AAGTACTCAAGCCTTATATTCAGGATTTTTTAGCTGCTTTTGCGGCTGTTTTGGGGCCTGGGAAGACCCCTCAGTTCATGGAAGACGGCAACTCTGCTCACGGCCACAAGACTACTAGCAATATTTGTGCTACTTGGCGTACTTCTATGGGTATTACTCTATTCCCCCATCCTGCAGTTAGCCCTGATATGAATCCTATTGAGAAGTGCTAGAGGAGAATAAAACAAGCTCTCCATAGGCGCCTAAGGCAGCCAACAACTGAGGTTCAAATGGTTGTAGCAGTATTAGAAGAATGGGACAAAATTCCTCAGGAATGGATCAATGGGCTTATTGAGCAGCAGGACTTCTGGGTACACGACTTAATTAAGCGATGTGGCTGGTCTACAGCTAATTAATTAATAAAATTCATGATTCTGATGCCCTGAACGCACGGACTTTTGTCCCCATGTTCGTAAACAGGCGACAATTAATGGTGCCAAGCAGGTTGGTATGGAAGGCAAGCTGAGCGAGTTGATTCCGGGTGCTTTTGCGGATTTGATATTCCTGAGGGAAGACCCACTTGAGGATGTCGCAAGCCTGGATCGAATTGATGAGAATTTGGCATTGATCATGAAAGATGGGCGCATTGTGAAAAGTCAATTGAATGGTATAAGGATCGAAAGAGCTTGTGCTTGGGATTGAAGAACCTCGCTCTATTTGCTTTGTCGTGGGATTGGGTTTTCTGGTTCCCTTTGATCTAAGATTTACCAGCGATGCAAAATGTTCAACAGGTCTTCGTCTTTTGGAACTCTGCGTTAACTACTTGGTATGAATTGTGATCCTGTTTGTGTAGGAACCTTTGAGTACAAGGCTGAAATATACCTCGGCTTCGTACACTGTGCCTTGATCCTTCGGACACTTACGTATGTCAGCTCATTGGTATCTTTTAGAAGAATAATTGGCCCTCAAATCCTAGAAGATACGAGAGTACGCGATAGGACGTAAACAAAGGAGCAGGGGTATTACGAGCGCAAGACGATCATTCGCTCTCGAGACGTCGGCAAAGCCCCGGCAGATTCTTTGGACCCATTTACATAATCTGGGGCTGGAGCTTACTGCGCCGCAACTAGTCTATATACGTACAATCCTCCTGTCAGCAAGCGATCCCTTTCAGCTATGATTTCAACGTTTCTGCACAACTTCGAGTCCAAAACCATTAAAGAGTTGATATGATATTGTATAAGTGACCTCAAGAGGCAAGGATGTCGTCTACGAACAAGAAGCGACAAGGAGATGGAATACGTGCTCCTCATAGCAAGGCCAAGACTGGATGCCGCACGTGCAAGTAAGGAAACCTCACCTTTTTCGAGCTGCAATATAGGAGTACCTAAACTAATCTTCAACAGAACTCGAAGAGTCAAATGTGACGAAAGCAGACCAACGTGAGTGGCAACTAGGAAACTACTTGTCATCCTCCCCTTTTGGCGAGTCAAATGTACACATTCGCTCAACGTCTGGGAACTGATCGCTCGATCATCAGGTGCAAACGATGTCAGACATTCGGAGTTCACTGCGATGGGTACGATATAGTTGTTTCGTCGAAAAAACCGCGGCCCAAGGATCTTCGTCCTCTTGTTCCAATGGCCCGAACAGAGACAAAAGCATCCACTCGCGCAAAGATTCGAAATCCGGTCAATGTCTATAGACAACCCGGATCTCCGCGATTCGAGAACGAAAACGAAGCTCGCTATTTCAATTGTTTCCATGTACAGATAGCTCACTCTCTAAGCCGTTGCTTTGATCCAGAAATATGGCCCCGGTCCTTCTTGATGGCTTCGGAAGCCGTTTGGCCCATTCGGAAAGGATTGATAGCATTGGGTGCTCTTGATCTTACCTCAAAAGAAGCGTTATCGCAAATCCGAGAGGGTCCTACGAAGGAAGGCATCACGGATAACTATCTTTTCGCGCTGCAGGAGTACACACGCTTCATCAGGGGTATGAAGCAGGTTATGGCTCCCGAGGACCTACGAACCCAGCTTCTTGCCTCGATAATTATTATATGTTTCGAATCCTATCTTGGAGATCCCAAGGCAGTGGAGTTCCAGGTCCGCACGTGCATCAAATTACTCGACCAATGGAAGAAAAAGCATCAGAAACCATGGCACCACCCTCTGAAGTCTCCAGCACCGAACATGGTCGAAGATGAGCTCCTGCACTTGTTCGAACGGCTTGATCTCGAAGTCATTTCCCAAAATGCAGCGAGAGATTTCTCACGAGAAGAGCATCTCAGGCTAAAAGATGAGGGAATCGAAGCCATTGCAAACATGCCGGAAGCATTTAGTGGTATTGACGAAGCGCGTATGTATGGCAACCTCTTACATCGTCGCACTGTTCACTTTGCGAATGCATATGATGACAAAACGGCTCCTCACATCAGCGTCTGGGAGAGAGTATCAGCAAGCGCGACTCCCGCTGTTCTCGATGACTTCGAGACTCAAAGAAAAGCTTGGTATCGTTGGGGTCAAGCTTTTGATCCCCTGTTCAAACATTCCCTCACACCTGAAGGTGCGAGCACCTTCTTTATAATGTCCGTCCTACGAGCACATTATCTTGTCCTGCAGTTGCTGTTCGAATCTGTATTTCAGAAAGATGAAGTCTTCTACGACTACTTCCACAACGACTTCGTGGAGATGCTAGCTCTCTGCAAAGGCTTGCTTGCAAATGAGTCTTCTAAGTTCGTTCTCAGCGCACATACTATTGTTGTGCTTGATCTCGTCGCGAAGAAATGTCGGGATCCGGAAGTTAGACGAGAAGCTATTAAGCTTCTTGGGGAGAAGCCTCGGAGAGAGGCATTCTGGGATAGTGTTATGGCAGCCAAGATTTGCGCGTGGATCATGGAGGTGGAGGAGGAAGGCATGGTGAATGGATTCATTCCAGAAGAGTCCAGGGCCAGGAAGATAGGCGCCGAGTTCAACCTGCCGAAGAAAGAGGCGAAGATTTGGTGTTACCAACTGAAGGAACAGGGGAGCTCGATGGAGCTGAGGAAGAGAGAAACGACAATAACGTGGGGAACGCCACTTGGGTCAATGCCATTCTACTCAGGTATAGTGCTACCCGACAAGTTGGAACCGTGACGGCTCTTTCTTACATTTTTGAAAGAGTTGTGCTGAACTCGGGTATGTAGGAGGCAACTTTGGCGAAAAATGGGAGGACTGCGCAGCAGATAAATCTCCCAGTCTCTTCCAATTATCTCCAACCGGAAGATCACTCGTCAGGCCTTTCTAGAGCAATTAGATACCCTCGATAATTCATCAGTCATGAATCTTTCATGAATCTTTGGTCAGACCCAATGTCCGTCGAGACGGCCACCTCCAATCCCAATCACGCGAGATCTGTCTGTACACATCTTCTACATGGCGATAAGTAGCAATAAGGTTCCATTCAGGCTGTTAAAAACGGGAGCCTCTTGATCACATGACAGCGCTCAATATTACCCATGAGCTCTAACTTATGCCGGCGTGGCTAATTTCCCCAACTTCCCCATATTTTACCGTGGCACAAGAACCTGAGGAAGTTAGTCAATGCATGCATTATTCATATCTGCAACCGTTTATGACCAATTTCTACGCCGGCAGTGATATACCCCTGACAATTTGTTTGGTTTCGCTGTGGCTCCACATGACATCTCGAACTCATCCATATTATATTTTAGATTTGCGGTCCGGTGATAGAGATGGACAAATCTATAATGTAGCTTCCAGAGTGTGAGATTCTCGGCAGTCAAGACCATGCGGTAGATAATAGCAACTAAATATTGGCAATCTGCCACTTTCCCCATTGCCAGCGCCAAGTACCAGAATTTTGCGATATTCCTCTTTTCCAGTTGCTGAGATGAGATCCTCAATTTTATCTGCTGTTATAGCACTTGCAGCCCAACAAGTTGCAGGCCATGCCATATTCCAACAACTCTGGGTCAATGGAGTGGATCAGATAAGTCACCGCTCCAAAATCATCGATTTCTTGACTAACATTCTGTTTACCAGTCAACCTGTGCGCGAGTACCTACCTCGAACTCGCCCATAACCGATGTATCAGGTTCAGCTATTCGATGCAACTCGCGTCCTGGCGTGGCAGGCAAGTGTGCCGTGGTAGCAGGTCAGACCGTCACGGTGGAAATGCATCAGCAGCCCGGTGATCGAAGTTGTGCGAACGAGGCCATCGGTGGTGCGCATTATGGTCCCGTTATGGTGTACCTGTCCAAGGTCGCGGATGCTACCAAGGCAGATGGCTCGGCTGGGTGGTTCAAGATCTTTCAGGATTCGTGGTCTGCGGTATGAGGGAATGACTTCTGAGAAAAAAAATGATTGGTGAGCTGATGTATTGAATAGACGACGACTGCGAAGGTGGGAGATGACGATAATTGGGGCACCAAAGATTTGAACAAGTGCTGCGGCAGGATGAACGTGGTGATCCCATCAGACATCCCAGCAGGAGACTATCTTCTCCGCGCTGAGGTTATTGCGCTGCATACTGCTAGTTCGACTGGAGGAGCTCAGTTTTACGTCACTTGCTGTATGTCAATCCTCTTCCAATGAACAAAACCTATGCTGACGACTATCTCTCCAGATCAAATCAGCGTCACGGGAGGCGGTTCAGCTTCTCCGGCTTTGGTCCAGCTTCCAGGTGCATACAAAGCAGGAGATTCTGGTATCAAAATCAACATCCATGCGGCGGTCGGTACGTACGTGGTGCCGGGTCCAACGGTCTATGCAGGTGGAACGACGAAGTCTGCTGGTGCTGCTTGTACTGGGGTTGAGACTTTGAAAGCTCTTCCTTCTGCAACTTCGCATGCGCGACGTAGGAGTTAGACTTGTCAAGTATCGTTGGTGAATGTTCGGGATCTTGTAATCGCTCTTTTGGAATGTTTGTCTTGTGGATAGAAAGAGTAGAGAAGGAAGGAATCACGGAGGGATCAAGTGGTTGACTTGAGTTGGTGGTGAGATGATTCAAGTTGTCTAAAGACGGCAAGGCGGACTATAATACCACATATGAAATCATAAGGATGCCACGAATTGCAGACTTTCCAGTTGTAGACATTCAGTGTGGTTCAATAGCTCAAGAGTTTGAACCTACGCTAATGGCCTGATCACGTGGAAATAAATAAAACAAGGCGCGCTTCTCCGTCAAAAGTAACCTGTCAGATGCTAGCATTGAGGGACTCAAGCATCACGGGTAATTGAAGTCCCTGCTCTCAGAATTCCCAGTAGGGTATCTTTCCCTGAGAACGTGACAGCGGTCACGTGCCTTAATTCAATATCAGAATATCTTATCCGGATTTGTTCGAGCACTACCTGTAATTGTGCCAAAGGTACTGGAACATCCCAGAATTCTCTTTCGAGCCACTCGAGATAAGAAATACACAGTTTGAGAGTCTGCGGGAAATTCTATTATCGTTCCGAAGCCTCCGTGGCGCAAAGCCTTCTCCGCAACCTGTGGCTGAGTTTGTGCTTGGATGTAGTCATGCTGTCGAAACGAAACATCTCAGCCACATAGAGAGAAAAGAAAGTCCAGTCAAGATGGGAAGTAGAGTTATACTTTCTTTGTCCGATACTTCGACAGCCTTCACCCACCTGCACATTTCGCTAAAAACAGCACGACTACCAGATTCGACGACTATCCAAACAACGTTCATGCCTCTTGACTTCGGCGAACGAAGGGTCCTGGAAAGAGATGAGCAGAACAGTATTCAAATCAGATCGAGTTAACACGTTCTCGACTAGATACAAATCATCAGGACTCAGCAGTCAGGCGGCAGAAATACCTTCAAGGGCTTTTCTTGTGGTGCGACGTCCAAATAAATGCAACGAAAAACTGCAGAAATTGATGTATCTCTTGGCAAACGACGACAAGCAATATCATATATGCTATGATGGCGGAAATTATCAACCAGTGGCATCGACGACCTGCGCCTCGTGTTGGAACTGGATCGACGAAAATCCTGAATCACGAGCTTCATATCTGGCTCACCCGTGCGGACGAGACCAGTTCACCGGCAGGTCGAGATACCCGGAGCGCATAACATGCATAAGCTGAACCGGCTCACCAACATGTTTTCTTCTGCACCGCAGCCAAGTCGTCATCCAACGGCCCATCACTAGATGTTTATGTAATCCTCAAAGCATGTTCCACATTACCGTAAACTTTGACTATTTTCATTCTCAGCTCGATTTCTTCCATCACGCGTAACCCACAATTATTTGATCTCAAGATCCGAACAATAAGCATATCTAATGTTCAGACGAAGCCAAGAGATCACATCCAGGCGGTCGCTCAGTCGGAACGCCGGCATAAAATAGCACGGACACCCCCTGAGTCTCAGAGCGCTTAGCGAGTTTAAGCGAGCCAAGCCGAACCTAGCATGGCCTTGTCTCACAATCCCAAACGCGGCCTACGGTTTCAGGACATTCTCAACATAGCTTGACCACCTGCCATCGAGTCGATTGATTAGATGCGTTCTCGACAACAGCGTGGCCCGTTCCGAGAACACAGTCATAGCTTCCCAAGTGGGCATTCGCCTCGCCCCAAGTTGGTCAAGGGCGCTGTCTTCCCCATGACAAGGAGGACGATCACGTAGGTGGATCCATGCCTTGCAAGTGACAGGTTTCATGGGGCACGAAGCTTAATGGACTTTGGCATCGTGAGTCGTCTACCTTATTCTCTGGGTCCTTTCCTGTTTTCGAATCTTGTTCCTTCTTCATCGATGCTTTTGTAATTCTTACGTTCTTTCACCTTGCTTTCTCGGGCAGGGCCTTTACTTTCTCTTTCGTTTCTATTGAGCTGGATCTCCTTTCTAATTTCTTTTGTACAGTCTAGTCATTATGAGAATTAGTAGTATGTTCCGTCGCAGTGTGGGTGGTGTAGTGAGTGGGATTTCTGGCACAGCGGGATTGGAAATCCGCCAAAGCGAAGAGGACGGCAGTGGACAAGAAGATGGAAGCGGGGAAGAAGATGGTGGTGGGCAAGAGGATGGTGGGGAGGCAGATGGTGCTGGATCGAGCAGTACTTCAGACAATACCGGAGAGGGCGATGGTTCTTCAACAACCGGAACAGAAGATGGCACAGGATCGAGCGATACTGGATCGAGTAGCACAGGGACAGCCAACACGGGAGAAGATAATGGTTCTACGTCAAGCGATACAGGAGCAAATAATACTAGGGCAGAAAACAGCAATGGAATAGAGAATGGCAGCGGAGGAGATGCGGCTTCATCGATTGTCAACGAAACACCAGCTCCTATATCCACCCCACCCGCAAAGACAGCCGTCGCCACCCCAAGCCCAACGATCGAAAAGACGACAATTCCCTCTCCCGCAGAATCTACACCTCTTCCAGAAGTGACTCCTGTCGCGAAGACAACACCTGTTGCACAGACATCCACTCCAGAAACCACACCTCTTCCAGAGACTACCCTTGTGGCACAATCGACACCTCTTCCAGTAAGCTCTGCTCCTGCTGTAGAGACTCCAATACCGAGTTCGACACAACCGGTACAAATTGCCAGTCCAGTCCCTACGACAGCTGTTGCCCAGTCCTCATCAATCCCAGAAAGCTCGGTACCTGTTGCGATAAGTACATCCGTTGTGTCCGATCTCCCAGCGGCTACTACCTCAGAACTTCCTGCTGCTGGCACGAGCTCTAGTGTAGCAGTTGATATTCCTGTACGTTTTTGTCCTAGAACTTGAGTTCCGTTTCACTAATGATGACAGGCGTCTTCGGCTGCAGCAACGACTATAGTCCCAGACAGCTCTGTTGCAATTTCGTCCTCGTTCCCGTCGTCCACTGTCGATGTTTTAGCCACAAGTTCGGATCTCGCTTCCATCACATCGTCAATCCCTCTGCTGGCAGCTGCAAGCTCTGTGCCAATCTCAAGTTTTGATGCCCTTACGAGCTCCTTGTTATCAGCTGCCGCAAGTACGACTTTGGCTGCATCTACCGACTCCATTGTATCTGCTGCTGCTGCCTCCTCAAGCTCAGTCTTCACATCCGACACATTGTCAGCTGCTGCTGCCTCAAGCTCGGTTTTCACGGACTCAAGCTCTTCGGTGATATCAGCCGCTGCAGCCAGTAGCTCCTTCTCGTCTTCGGATGTTTCTACAGACACCGCACTGGCAGCTGGAGTATCAACAGACTCGAGTTTCGCTTCTGCGACCTCAACCCTTGCCTTATCGACGGACGCCGGGCAAACAACAGCCATCGATAGCTCTCTTGCATCCGCAACTAGTGTAGCATCCATATCCAGCCACTCTCAAGGTGTCCTATCTACATCGGCTGTCATTCCGCCTCTCGTCGTCGCCTCTACCGACTCAGCGGCACCGAAAGCTACCCCACCAACCCCAAGTTCATCTGTATCTGGACCTCCTCCAACATCCACTGCCGATCCAAAAGCAACCGCAACTGATGGAACTAAGGCGACTGCTTCCGACTCTGCGTCCAAGTCAGTTGCAACCAAGATCTCAAGCTCAGCCGAATCTTCCGTCGTGGTGATGACAACTCTCACGTCTGGAAAATCCACGCTTGTGACTTCATTCACTGCCGCTGCGGATTCGTTACCAACCGTCGGTGCAGGAGTCAGTGGTGGAAACAGTGGTTCGGGAACGGGCTCGAATGCCCCTGGTGGCGGATCAGGTTCTGGTACTGGTGGTGTAGATGGAGGATCAAATAGTGGAAGCTCAAATGGAAATGGAATCTCGACTACAGCGACGACGGTGACGGCTAGTAAAACGACCGTGGCAGCTGGTGCTATTGGTATTGCGAGTAAGTATTGTCCCTCTTAAAGTGGAGCATCACTAATATATGGAACAGTTGGATCTATTGTGCTTTTTGTAGCAATTGTTTTTGTTATCCGTCGAGTCCTCAGACAACGTCGTCTCGGGAAGAAAGCAGATACACCTCCTCAATCACCTCTGTTGACTTCACTTGACGCTAAGTTAGATGCCTCGCTGCCGCTATCAATATCGAGGAGCATGTCCCAACGCTCTGGGAACAACGAATTCAGCAGCTTCTGGGGATTAAACAGCACCAGTAACAGCAACAATGGTTTGGGCCAAGAGACTACAGCTGCTGGATCAACTTCAAGATATGACCAGAATATTGGGCAGAGTAGAAGTGGCGGACATCTTAGCAGCTTGAACACCTTCAAAGATTCGTCTTATCAGGTTCAACTTCCTTTCGGGAACGGAGCGGAGGAAGTTCCACCTATCAGTCCGTTGCCTCAAGCGATGATGGGACGGTACACGGATGAGGAGAGAGGAACGCCGGTGTTTGAGATGGATAATAGTACTGTGAAAAGAAATGCTTCGACTGCTGGAGGGAGGTACGAGGATCAGAGTCCGGGTGGAATTCAGACTACTTTTAGTTTGTTTCCGAGGTTGAGGAGGGATAGTTTGGGGAAGCAAGTTGAGCCGAGAGATTTCTAGTGGGGTGCCGAGAGGGCGTAAGGTGATGTGTTGACTCGTGGATCAAGAGAGGAATGTGTATGAAAGAAGGCCAGCAGAATAATATGAATATGCAGAGAGTAGTGTAGAGAGAACAGTGTCTCCATGACGGTCAAAAGTTGTGAAGTCGTGCAACGGCGAATGACGAGGCTCCGACGATGAGCGTGCTGTCGTTGCCTTTGATGATGGTACAGTAGTCTCCATGATTCGTCTTCGAGCAGGCAAAGAATCAAAAGAAAGATTGTGTCGAATCAATAAATTACTTTCTGTTTCATTATACGCTCTCGTTTTCTCGATGAAAGGCCGCACGACAGTAGTTCCAGCTCTGTTTCCGAAAGTTTGTTGTCAGATAAATATTTGTTGCCGTCCATCCCTGCCTTTTCCCCAGATGGCAGCCCTTTCACGTCCCTTTCCCCTATTGCATCACTCATCACCAAGTATACCGCACTCCTTTATTCAAACGCCCATCTGATCGCGCATCGTCCTGGGTCCCTCACCTCAGATCATGTCCTCCTAGTGCCATTCCTTTCACGTTCGTTGATCCGGAGATGCAATCGTTTGCCAAGGCTATAGGGATCGGATCCTTAGAGAAGGTGTATATAGTGTCCGATCCCGAATAGTGGGAAATATGGGATCTGTTGAAGTGCGATGTGAGAATGATCAAGAGAACGAGCAGATGGGATGGTGGGGATGGAGGCTTGCCTGAGTTTGTGTTGACGGGAAAGGTGGAGTTGATGCGGAGGTGTTTGTGGTGGGTGGGAGAGTTTGATATGGGTAAGTGGTCTTTTGATGGGGCGTAAGGGATCTGTTAGCATGAGTAGTACTGGTTTGCAAATCTTGATGTCGAGGCTTGGACCTATGTTGCGTGTGTTGATCTTTGACAAGTAAAAATGCTGTATCAAAGAGAAAATGTAAAGCCACGTCCAACATTCCTAGACACATGGTCCATGACATCGTGATGGAGGAAGTCATATTTGATTATCAATCTAAAATCCTTGTAGTACAACGCGCGAGAACATCCATACGCCACATCAAACATTAGATCAGTCCTCATTGTTCATCCAGATAAATCCTTCTAGTCAGACGATCACACATCATAACAAAACATTAAGCCTCATCGTTCATTCATATCAATTCTTCCAGCCAGTCGAGCCCCATTTACCCCGATACTCAAGTGCTCTCATTGACATAAAGCGACCAAGTATCTGTCGGTCGCTGGTCCTTGGACATATTGTATCCAAAGCCGGCCTCGAAGGACCCTAGAACAACTTCAAGGATTAGAGGAGCACAAACTTTTGAGCACGGGGAATAGTTGTAATCGGGGTTGACTTACCATTTGCTGCGAGCAACCTTGTGTATGAGCGAGGTTTACGAACACTGTTTTGAATAGCATGTAGTGAGTCGAGCTCCTGGACATCCTTCTCTCAGTCTTTCTCGCTTGAATTGCTGTCACTCTAATTGTTGCAGTTCGACAGCCCTTTATCGTTGCAGACAGTTGCTTGATGGCTCGGCATTGGTGGGGATCGAGCTCGAGCTTGAGGTAGGGTAGGGTAGGGTAGGTTCTTGAAGTGCATCTTTGTCAGCAGTTTTCAATCCTGGATATGCAGCTCTGGAAGCTCACTTGTTGTTGGGGAAGTTGTTGGAATGAAGTTGTATTTGCTTGATAGAGTGTGTATAAACAAGTGAACAGACTCACTGTGGCAATGTGACGGCCAGGATTCTTTATACCTTTGTTCAATTCCAGCTTGACCGGTCCATCATTGTATACATGGATGAGAGATACCTAACAATACCATTGAAGGATTCAACTTCCGCCTCAGATTGATAAACTTCACTCAAAGAGAGCCCAATAACCGCCAACCCAACGTCTGTCACTGGCGAAGACCCCTATATCGACCTGACTGAATTCCTCCCACCGGTCCAGGGTAAAAAAGAAACTGGTCACGTGGCCTTGAATCAACCTTGTGACGCTCGTGGGCCGAGATAGTTGTGCCTAGGACCGGTAGGACTGCAATGAGGAAAGGGGCGACGCACCCGTCTAATCGTGAAATGTTTTCAGGACTGGAGAAGCTCCATTACTTTTTTCTTCTTGTTGGATGGCTGTCACGCTTTAAAGGGTGCAGCTTTGATTGCTTGGCGGTGGACCGGTGTAGCTTGCCTTCCTTCATGCTTGGGCCTTCTTTTGAGTGCCGTCAGCACTCTTTTTGAGCAGGGTAAGTATTCGAACGGACTCGCATGTGAAGGTTCTTGCAGGAATCTTGCGTTATAACACTATTTTCAAATACTTTCTGAACTGATGGCAGCTTTTTAGCGTGCCTGGACATTTTTGGACTTGGAAAATCCTCGTTCAGGGATTATGACGTCTCTAATTGAACGGAGAACTAGAAGAAAGACTAGTTAAGGGTAAGAACTTAATTCTAACCAAAGTGGAACTCCTCTCCCCCTTGCGGGTGCGATGAGGCCATCTCACGTGTCTTGTATCACGTGCATAACATGCTCTCTTCCAACATGGAATCTTCCCCTGTCTCCAGGCTGTCTGCCCAAAATTGTGTTGCTACAGCTATAACTTCATTGAGATAAAAAAGAAACTGCAGTCTCTTCTAACTTAACGCCGAAGAGAATATTGATAAATATCCACGAGTCACTACACAGTTGGAAATGCAACGTTGGGGAAGGATAATGATTACACACGAACACAGTGTTCAACAAGTTTGATACCGAGGATACGCTATGTCAGATCACCGGAGTGCCAAAAATAGACATCAAATAGGTTCTCTCTACAACGTGTTGCTGGTTGTCCACTCAGGCTCATACATTTGAGAAACCAGGTAAAGGTTTTTTTCGTATTGTTTGCTGTTCTTCAATTGCTTGAAGGTTTCGCCTGTACAATACCAAGTCAGCGATGAAGCCTCAAGACAAAATCGGGGTGTGCATGAGAGCAGGAACCTACCACTTTTCCTCACTTCATCCGAAATAAACTGCATAAACTCGACTTGTTCCTGGTCGAATCGGGCAAACCCAACGTCTTCTTCCAGGGACCAGTTCAACGCAAATGGTTGTGATCCTTTGCATATAAAGTGAAAATAAGCAAGCAAAGTCTTAGCTCCTGCGTGAAAACCTTCCAGGAGGGGATAGTTGGAGTAGTAAGCCTGTTTGGTCATAAGCCAGAGAAAAGTTGAGCTGACAACTGGTACTCACACTCAGATTGTGCCTGATAGCGAAACTCCGATCGTGGGATGTTGCCAGCTCATAATTGTTCAGTAGAATGAAAGTACAGAGGTGTATGGTGAACCAATTGCTGATTACGTTCTTCTTGAATAGCGCAGTGAGTCTCCGCAAGACTGTCGACCGTAGGGACAAAAGAATCTGGTGTATTATAACCTGATCCAGTTGGCAGTCCATGATTGGGGTAACTGGAACTCGATCGAAATATGGGCTTGACTTATTTTCGACGTCAGGATACATGCCGAGTGTGTCATGACCACATATCCTCCAAGGTGTTTCAATGAGCCGGCAGCCAACCCAAAGGCGGAGGGTGTCAAGAATGATCGTTCTTTGATCTCCCTGGCAAGTATCGTCGGCTTTGAATGAAGAATGAGGTGAATTGGAAGTCTGCTGAGACGTACACTTCCGGTTTCTGCTGCTCGAAAAGCGATTTCAAAAGTCTTCCATAGGATTTTGTTCGACTCGTCGACTAGGTACTCAACCTAATCTCTCCCAAATATATCAATATAGTGCCACATGTTCCGAGCAGTCGACTCGACGTCCATGAGCACAAATGGTGGCATATGTAAGACTTTCTAAACTCCATTCTCCCACCACTTGTAGTCTAGAACATCTCCTTCTTGGGTCGCATATTCCTTGACATAGACCTTAGCCATAGCACGACTGTTGCGTCCATTGTCCTGCGTGATCATAACATGTCTGAGCTCAGGATGTTCCTGTTTTTCTATTTCATGCAGCTTTTTTCCGACCCATCGTCAGGTAGAAAGAAATTGCTCTGCGGCTGCTACAAGCTGTGTTGGCCTTTTCGCCAAAATTTTCAGGAAACCACAGGCGGAGGGTACTTACACGCACGAAAAGGAGCCACGTCGGAAACAGCCCAACGCAGACAGCCAATTTTGGTGCTGAATTTTGGTGATGATATCATGCAGTTGATACAATCGCCAAAAGGATCCGTTGGATTTATGATGCACTGTGAGAGGTAAGCTCTCTGCCTCGACTTCTGCTACATGGATACCAACCCTGATTTTCTGTATTGAGCATCGTATGCAAGAACTCATTTGCCTCGTTCTACTGGTCTGCAATTTTTCGTTCATGCAAGTAACCGCTCCTCGTTTCTTCTTCACTCTGGTTGGACTGGTATCTGCTGGCTTTGCCCCTTTCGGGCCTCTCTTTCGAGGCTTCACGAGCGCTTTGAGAGTTTCTATGGGCAATGGTGTGACTGGCTTGCTTGCTAGCACCACAGCGGATTGGTCGTCTATTGTGTCACTCATGCTTGATATTGTCCGAGATTCTAAGGACAAAGTCGCTGGCGACACCGACTAGAACAAATGACTTTCTCTAGATTTGAAGGGCATATTGCGGGAGCTGCGGAGGAGGCCACAACTTCGCCTGTAGACCACATCTTCTGAGGACCTTGCAAGTATCCCAGTGCCGAGTTGATAGAGCTCACATGAGGTTGATGATGGGCATTATTGCGAAATGTCAAGTCTGTGCTCATCAGGCAGTCTGGGATTGATTGTGAAGCATACAAATCGCCGATTCCCATATGATCAGGGGAGATTGGGGGCAGATTCCAATCCAATGCTGTATTACATTGAATCATCGCCGGGGGGTAGTAGGGCAAGGATGGCACAGGAGTGTTGGGGTGAACTTCTCGCCGTGAAGTCTCAAGGGGAGCGTGAGCAAAAGGGTGACCATTGCCGTCACCACCAACACCTCCAGCAGGGAGCCATCCGGATACGTTCCGAAGGATAGTATTGGTGGTTTGAATCGCTGCTATCGACCCCGCATCCAGATCCCCAAGAGGGTTGTCGTTCAAAGAGCCGTCTCGTCGACTTGTGAAGTGCCCGTCTACGCAATGTGATATTGGGAGCTCTTGAAGCAGCGGTGACGAGGTATCTGGTCCATCGATTCCTGCCTGTTGCCGAATGGAGGGTATAGAATCTGGTGTGTGTGCCCTTCTCCGTGTTGGCCCGATGTGTTCTTCTAGCTCTGGTAGTGCGCTCACTCAGCCTGCTGCACGTAGGTTACTCGCTTGTTTACCTTTATCGGCCTACAAGGCTGTCGGGTTTCTCGAATATCAAACTCCACCTCGCGCCATCATCATCATCATCATCATGAAGGAACTGCACTGGAAGGCCGAGGTGAAGATTGGGAGCGAGCGCTTCGTGGTGTCGCCTTCCTTTCAGGTACCGTGATCAATCGTCCACACAGCCGTTCCGCTCTGATAATCCCAAGGTCATTTCTCCATGCTCGAACCAGCTCTTTGGCGGCCCCGCGACAGTCATCAGGCTACATGAAGGACGGTTGACATCCGGGTTTCTATCACAAACCGTGGCGCGCTTCAAGGAGACGGATGATGTTTTCCATGAAGCTTTTCTGCGCACAGTGATCGTCGTCGGTGCTCAAACCCAGAAGGTTGATGATAGTGTCGCCAGTCTATTGTCCGAATGGGGTGCGAAACTGTCATTCGAAACGACAACTGGCGAGCAAGGTGAAGGGCCTTGCTACATCATTTCTGGGCAATGCTATGCAGTGTGGAAGCTATTCCCGGACTTACAAGGGGCATTCTTCGTTGCAACACTTCCGGCGGGTCATAACAAGTACTTCCTTCCCAATCTCTCTCGATCCGAATTGTGGTCTAACTATCTGCAAGGTACCAACCGCTCCACGGAGGAGCTGGCCCTTCTCTTGAGGTCGCCGTGCCTTCACGCTTATACTATCCCAAATCAGCTTCAAAACCTCTTAACGGTCTGAGATTCTCCATCAAGGACAACATGAACTTGCGCGGAATCAAGACATCGCTATCTTCCCGAGCATGGAACACTCTCTATCCAGAGGTTGCTGACACTGCCCCGGCGGTGCAGTATTTGATTGATTTAGGCGCTGTGATCGTTGGTAAAACTATGTTGTCTCAGTTTGCCGACGTCGAAAACCCTACGGGAGACTGGGTGGATTATCACTGTCCCTTCAATCCCCGTGGAGATGGATATTTGATCCCAGAAGGGAGCAGCAGCGGGGCCGGTGCGTCCCTAGCAGCGTATGACTGGCTCGATGTTAGTATTGGAACAGATAGTGAGTTTGTCTCGCCTTCCATGTCAAAATTTCCCTTTGACCATTTTGAGCAGCTGGCGGAAGCATTCGCGATCCGGCATCGATGCACGGCCTTTTCGGCATTCGTCCAACCTTCGGAAGTTTGTCTTTGAAAGGGATATTTCCATTGGCATGGTCAGAGGCCCCACCCTGAAAGCTTCAACGCTGCAAGATTTAATTTGTTACGGCGCTCTTGATACTATAGGATTTATGACTCGTGATGCAGTCATTTTTGAGACTGTCTGCGATGTCTTGTATCCGAAGACAACAGCTCCAACAAAGGTATACTTCCTATGGCTTTACGTTCCTTGCTGACTCGATGTTTGTCAGCCCACACGACTGATTCGTCTCCCTGAATTCGACTACCAGAACGAAAAAGCACAGGAAGTGATTGAAGGCTTTGTGTCTCACGTGGAGGCTCACTTGAAGATCAAGAGTGTCAGTATACGACTGGATGACATTTGGAAGGGGAAAAATCCAAGTGACACAGGCGAGTCAATGGCGGATTACGTAGGAAAGAATGTAGGTACGCTGCATGATACCACGAAGTCTTCTAACACATTTGAAAGGGAACAATCATGAAAACCGTCAAAAGCTTCGACTTATGGAACAACACAGAGAAGTTCAGGCGCGACTACCATTCGCAATTTGGAAGACGCCCTTATTCTAACCCTGCAATCGAAGCAAAATGGGCTGGAGCATCTCAGGTAACCAAAGAGGAACAGGATGCAGCTCTTGTGCGCAAAGAAGTTTTCAGATCTTGGTTTTTGTCGGAGATCATCTCAGACTCCGGTACAGTGATTGTCCTTCCGATCTCAGAGTCCGAGCCTGTATATCGCGATGAATATAAAGAGTAAGCCTCAAAACCTCGGTCCGATCAACTCTGACATCTCTTAGTGGGCCGTGGGTCGGGGGGTCTGGTTGGCACAGAAATTTCATATCGATACTCTCGGGCTGTCCAGAGCTAATACTCCCAAGTACGTAACTTCCTTGCCCAACTTATGAATGGATTGTGTTTCGGACTAATACTTCACTCTCATTAGTTGGTCAAATAGCTTATAATTCGAGGGTGACAAAGCGATCCGAAAGCCTCCCGGCGGTTGGATCATTTGTTGGGTATCCAGGTAAGTCCTATTCATACCCCATCATGTCTTTACACTGATAGGTCTAGGATCTGACAATGCGCTTGCCAAAATGATTCATGAGTTGCTAGTCGAGCAGGAACTGCCTACAAAGGTCTTGACTGGAAGTACGTGTCTTTAAGGCGCCAAGGTGGATTGATGGGCCTCACTGGACAAGTATGCATGCATGATAAAGCATAAATTGCGGAGTATCATGTCCGACACCGTTTGAGGTAGTCGTGTGCTCTGAATCTAATAAATAGCTTGACTTGGTCTCTACAACTTGCTCTTTGTTATCATATCTGCGTGTTGTGACGCCCCTCTATTTTCATTACTGGTCCTTAGAGCTTGTGGCCGTCTTAGCTCTTGGACAGCGTTGGGGGCCTGCATTTGCATCGCCATTTTTGATTTCACGTGCATGAAGAAAACAATAGCAATGACCTCTAATGCATGCAATAAATCTCGTTGCTCAATCCCACGAGATAGATGAACAGCCTCATCTGCACGTCTCGCACCTTTCGACACCCAGCTCATATTGAAATAATCATCGGAGATGCTGGGTAAGATAAGTAAGTCATAACCAATTCTGCTTGCTGCATCTCATTGTTCAGAATGGCATTAGGTTAATCACACTTTCAGTCACAAGTCTTGCGCTGTTGGCGGCAACAATGCAGAGCCTCACCATTTGATTTCTGCATAGCTGATCAATGCCAATCATTGACTCGCATAAATACCCATACCAATCCTTCTCTGTCTTATCTTAATAGCATTCGGCTTTTGATCATAGCCGGTTTATGATGCCTCCATCACTTGAAAAACCCCCTGCACTGGCAGACGAATACTACCTCGCTCCTAATCAAAAGTACCTGCTAGCTGAGCCAGTACTTTTCGACGAGAAGTCTACCAAATTATCTTCGCAAATCGACTGGGAACCAAATATTGAGACTTATCAAGCGAACAGCCCGTAGACTTCGTGCTGGTGGTCTGATCACCACCTTGCCGGATGCATAGCCTCGCAATATCCATTCTCCACTAGCCTGGGGAGCGAAAGATATTCAGGATGAGAATGACTATGTGCTGACCCTTACGAACGACGAGAAGACCGAGATTAATGCTACTTTGGCACATTTTCAGAGTAGGGATCAAAAGAGCCATGCGCAAAGCTGGTACTGACTCAACTTGCAGGCCTCAGACTAGATGTTAGCTCCGTTCACATGTCCACATTTCCCCTTTGCCAATTTGCTACTCGGCTCTGGACCCTTGCGGTTGAGTTAGACAGTGGAAGGGGGTTCTTCGTCTTACGTGGAATAGACCTGAAGCTTTACAGCGAGTGACGGAGGCACGGCAAACCACAGAAGCCCGAAATTCGTGGCATCTGTTATGCACCGGCCGCATTCTTCTAGCGAGCCGAGATCAGGCACTGACGGAACGTCGTCGCAACTCTCCAGAGATTCACGGTCGATTTATCCGTTGGTTTTGGGGAATAGCAGGTAACCGCCAAATGGAGCTGAATGCCACCGTCTGAGGCTTGCGGCGAGATTCATGATAGCAGCAATGATGAGAAAATTTTTAGATTTCTAGACAGGGGAAATTTTGGAGTAAGAAACAAAAAAGAATCGCTATAGTTATTGAAGCTCGCTTCTTACGACTGATATTTATGTAGGATAAGCCTAATATACCCGGATTCGATCTAACCAATGCATTTCTATTTCAAGAATATCAAATGCTGTATTAGCAAAAAGTTGGACCTCGAAGATAAGGATTATAGCAGCATGTCTCCTATTTCCGGGACGGTTTGTCATGTTAGTCGGGACCGCGTGCCTTGTGGACTTCTCTAGTTCTCGCAGTATTTCAGGACACGAATCTCGTTCAAATGAAACATAAGGCGCGGAATATAGTGGGCTTTAAAAGTATGAATCTTTGCTTTTCGTCGGATATAAGAAAGAGAAAAGCAAAATTCCGTAGTGATTAAAGAGTATATATCATCTCCTCGGTGGACGGATCTTCCGACTATCAGTTAAGTGTCAATATGGAGATCGAAGAAGACGGAGAAGTGAAGATGTTTTGAGCCGTCCCATTCTAGTTGACTTGAGCAGATTTTGGCTCTTTACCATTGCATCGGGACATTTAAGGATAGGTGAAGAGTAGTGGAATTTGTTGTCAAGTAAAACAATGCTGTCACTTCCATTCCCACCTCTCAATTAGAAACTCGACTGCAAAGACATCGTGGTTTCTGAGCTGACGGCTGCACTTCCTCCCATGCTTTTGTATCAAGGCGAAAACGAACTCTCGTTTCTGGATTTCCTAAAAGCGTTAGTCTATCCGTCTATATATACCTTTCTAGAGACAAGAGGTCGGCCGGAGAAAACTGAGCAAGATGTTGTTGTGAGTCAAAGACAGGAAATTAGTAATTCACTAAATGGAATACTGTAAATCACTGAAACGCTGGAGTAACTCCAAATATTGCAATCCTGCTGAACAGCAATATAAATAACTCGTCGCCTTGGTCCCCGTCGGCCGTCGCACCACAAATCGAATGCAGACCCGACTCAGATCCGGGCTCTTGGTCGGAGGAAGATGTAGCCCCGGCTCCACAGTGTTCGCAATAGTATTTGCCTAAAATAGTATTATTCACTGTATTACGTATTCTTGTCCAAAAATACTGTACTGTAGAGGGGGTAAGAATATTAAGCAACAGCGCGCGAAACAACCAAAACAACAGCGCGTGAGTACTGCGCTAAGCAGACCACGGCTCTCTGTAGTAAAGCACTTCAATCCAGATGTAAAAGCATTCGAAACGTGTCACTTAAAATATATGTGTGTCGAAGAAGAGTTGTTATTATTCTAATAGCAGGCGACCACAATATATGGGAAGCGTCACATGATAAGCTAGGCCCGATTGAGTATAGTGCTAGGGAAGACTAACGTTCCCGGGCTGGCCTCTTCAACCTCACGTGCTGGTCAGCGCCAAAAAGAGCTGGTCCCGCCACAGTACTTTGAGTGATACGTACGATAATAATATGGTTGTACGTATAATATCAAGACTAGTATTATTGAATCTCACTGGAAGTATACTAAGTACTGGAATGCTTTGTTTCAAGGGTTCAATATCGATATATTGCACTATTTTTCTATGAAATATGCCCCTTTAGGCTCTTTTAGGCTTGGATTTCAATGTCTCAAGCTACATTCCAGTACTTAGTATATTACCAGTTTCGTACAATAATACGGAACCGGTGCTAATACATACGTACTGACCTCATATTGTACGCGGTAAGTACGTATTAGGTTGATATTACCTCACGTAATACGGGCGTATACTATTGCGAACACTGCGGCTCCAGATGAGAGGTCTTTTTTTGCGGAAACTTCTGAGCGTGGGTATTTGTATTTTGTTGTTCGTTATGGATGGAAATTCTTTCATAAGAGGGGGGATCAATTGACAATAAATGTAGAAACGACTACAGACGAAATTTCTTTAGTCTTTAAAAATAAAGAAAAGGAAGTGACAGGGTCTACAATCCCCGATTCCCGAAAGGTTGCGGCCTGATTTCAGAAGTGAAGAACAAGAAGGAACGGGGTCTACAAAGCCCGATTCTCAAAATATTGCTGCATGATTTCAGAAATGAAGAAAAAGACAGGACGGCCTCTACAAACTCGATGCCCGAAGAGAGCCTAATTTTAGAGGTGAAGATGGAGGCGGAACGGAGTATATAAACCCCGATCCCCGAAGCAAAGGAACAAGCAACAGTCTGTTTTCCAGCTTCCAGCTTCCAACAGTCTTTCGTAGAACCTGGGTCTGGTCTGTGGTTTGGTGTTACTTCTCCTGACAACGTTGAGATTGCGAGAGTAAAGAAAGAGAGGTTTGTTGTCAAGCAGAAGAATTACTGCCATACCGCTTTCCACCTTAGCCGTCTTGCTATCTCACCTCAATAACAAGCATAAACACAAACATTTCCCATAAAACCTATCAAAAAGCGGCAATAGAAAAAAACAAAGATAACAAGCACATAGTAGTTTATGCTTTATACGCCAACGCCCTTATCTCCTACCTCATTCACAAGGTTGAACAAACCAGATAGTCAGAAGCAGGACCAAAAGAGACGGCCGTCAAACACCCCATCAGCACTAGAACCCAATTGAAAAAGTTATCATATACCTCGTTATCTATGTCGGAGTTTCCCAAAAGCGTTAGTCTATGCGAGTATATATACCTAGGTACTTAAAGCTGGGGAGACTTTGGACATGATGTCTGATATCGTTATCGTGACTCAAAGCCAAGAAAGTAAGTCACTGGAAGACAGAGAACAGTAACTGAAACTTTAGTCATTACTTAGTAAAAAGACAAGAGTACTTTTCAACCTCCTAGCTCCTATATTTTAATTGATCTATTGAGGTCTAGAGGATCTGGAACCTCATTGTGAACGTGTTTTGTTGCCGTGAAACTTTTCTTTGCTGACAAAATACTAGGATACCCGAGCACAGATTTAGCTTCAGACGAACCATAAAGCTTTCTTCTTCTGCAGCCTAGTATTGTTAGTGGCTGATCACTCATTCACTGTTTCCTTTCACAGAGATCACAACAATATACATCTTAATTCACTACCCAACCCACACTCCACCAACCACCCCTCCCGCTTACGAATCCAACGCAAAACACCTCTCACTATTATCGGCATCATTCCCCCACCAATTCGGCATAACGACAATCTTCCCCGCCCCAAAACACAAGAACAGCAACAACATATTAAAATTAAACCCGGTATCAAACGCCGCCGCCAGGATATAATTATACTTGGCCCACAGCTCGTATCGGTATCTAAATGCCCAATGCATGACGACGAAACTGCCGATGAAGCCGGAGAAGTAGCCCGTGGACAGGTTGCCGTAGAAGGTGGAGAGCGCGGAGAAGAAGATGGTGGTGTTCCAGAGGCGGAAGCGCAGGGGTGAGGTCGGGAAGAGCCGGTGGAGACCGTACAGGATGATGGGGCAGAAGAGGCCGGCGAGGAAGCCGTAGGGGAGGGCGCGGAAGGTGGGTTCTTGGAAGAGTTTTACTGGGCCCTGAGGGGTGGGGTTAGTGGGGTAGGTTGGAGGAGGGGAGGGAAGAACGTACGACGAGGACGTATTGTACGGATGTGGTTAGGGTGCTTTGGACGGATTGTCCGGTCCATTGATGTGAAGGGTCTTTGATGGCTCCGGTCAGGTAGTCGAATCTTGTGTTGAGGACCCAGCGGATGACGGCGTAGTTGATGGGGATACCAATTGTGGCACCGAAGACTTGGGAGAAGAATGTTGCTCGAGGTGGGATGTGCATGTAGTGCCCGATTTTCTGGTCTGTTTTCCATCAGTTCAACTCTTGAGACGATCGGATGCACTCTTACCTTGAAGCATGTATTGGGCTCGATACCACGCATCACCCGCGATGGAACTGTAGACTGAAGCGCCTGTTGGGTTCTTGTGTCCGCTCACAGCCTGGATCATGACTCCATACAGAAGCTCATTGGTAGTTCCGATTGGAAGCTGGAAGTTGGAAATGGCGTAAAGCCAACCCAAGGGTGTGACGACAATCGCTCCAGTCCCGATTGCAACGAAGTACGTCCAGATAGGTATATACAACTGTCCTGCGCCTAGCATAGCAATAATGCTGACGAACGAGCACATGAACAGGGCAATATACCACCAGAGAGGAACTTCTTTGTACGCCCGTTGAAGAATGTTGAGTTGATCGGTATACTGGAAATTGATGGTATCGTGGTTCTTATCTCGATTTCGAGCTCGAATCTTGATAATAGCATCACGAATCTGAGGATATCCGAACGTAGCGATCCAAGCTAGAGCCGAGGTGTAAGAAGCGTAGTCGAAGAACATACCCCACAGCATTTGGGTTCCTAGATGCAAGGGACCGTTCTCTTCGTAGGCCGTTTCATTCAAAGTCGCTTGAGGCGTGATCAAGGATGTGAGAGGGTATGTCGAGCCGTTGGCTGCGTTGAGGTTAGTTCATTGCTTGCAGAGAATCAACGGGACGACTCACCTGTCAATACTTTGTTAGACATTAGACCATGTTTATAGCTACCTAAATTACCCCACTTCGCAGCAGGAATGAGGATCCAGCAGTTTAAAACGAAAGCTGCGAAGATGAGGACCTGAGTCCAGAATGGAGTCAAGAACATATTTCCTGCATTACTGAGATTGGAGAGATTGGACCACTATACTCGAAAATTAGCACTTTATCTGCAAGAAGAGTGAAGTCCTTACATCAAAGCTCAAATTCAAGAACCCCATACCACCGAAACCGGACCCAATGAAGTTCGCAGTCGCATTCCGAGGAGCGACCCAGCACAGGAAAGCCATGCTTCCCAACATCGGGAAAACATATTCAGGAAGGAATTGCCAGAGCGTGACAAATCCGAGAACGGACCAGAAGACGATCACTTGTTTTCTAGAAGTAGCATCTGGATGTTCTCTCTGCTTCTTCTGAGTCTCGAACAGTGCGGTCTGGCAAAGACTGCTTAATTAGTATGTGCTTATTTGAGAGAAATCAACTGCTTACGCTTGGAACCTGGCAGAATGTTAGCTAGATGAGGAAGTCAGGGAGAAAAATACTGACCAAGGATACTGCGGATCATAGAGCAAGAATTGTCTCGAGATAGCAGCAAACGAATATCCCGTCACAACAACACTCCACATGAAAACAATTGCCACTCCAGCATTGATCCGCTGCCCGAAAAACAGTTCCGCGATTGAGATTGGTGCGAAAGCCAAATTATACGTCGCACCCGAAGCTGCCGAGATGGTGACCAGAACATGTTCTTTCACACCCCAAGGCGCAGGATTGAGGTTGAACCCCCATTTAGTGAACGGGACTCTGACGTTCCAAGCTGGCAGGACCTTGGCCATCCACATTCCAATATAGTTCGAAGCAATCTGCGTGAAGAAGACCGAGAACGGGATATAGGTTGTACGGTAATGGCTCAATTGCGACATGAACGCTCCGGGAATAACGAACAAGAGAGTCAGGACGAAATACCGAAATGTCAGAGTAGGTAGAGTCGGATCATCTTCCAAGCTGACAATTCGTCGAACACTAGCGGGAATGTCCCTCACAGCGGGATCATCATCTGCGAACGCACTCTCTGAGGAAGCAGAGGACGCTCCAGGAACGACTTTTTCCTCCCCAACCTCCACAGTCGAATTTTTCAGATCATTCTTCTCAATTGCATCCTCGCTTTGGGTGATGAAGTCGATGTTATCCTGATCCAGCGCCGTCGTGCGAACATCTTGACCGTCGCGTCGCGGGAGCAAGGACTTGATCAATCTGGAAGCCATAGTGCAACTCGCCAGCGTATCCGTTCGCGAACGCGAGATGGAATTTTCGGGGACAGGCCTTTATACACGGAGTCAGAAATTGTGCATCCATGTACGTACAGCCCCTTACCATGTTACTGCACGCTATATATAAGATGAAGCACGCAATAAGATCGTCAATCCTCCTCTCTCTTCCCTTGACAAAATATTTTCAATATTTTGCTAGGGACCTTCTACTTTGAGCCAAGCACCCGCATCGGGCCGTAAGTGAAAAACATAGTTAGATTTTGCCACGGTGTTGCAGCTGTGTTGTCTTGGCACAGGTTTGCTTCTGAGGTGATATTTGTGTTAAAACCACAGCTCATTTGGGTTCAATATGGGAGGTTGCATGCAGATCCAACGGACGGTTGTGGTTGCAGCGGCGTGGCGAGGGGACCAATCAACGGGAATGGGGGCGTTGGAGGGTAAACTTCCGATCCGGGACTTGATGCGGGGTCCGGTACTCGGAGTGAGGATATAGAGACAACATGAAGCATCGAGACGTAGTTTTTCAATCTTCCTGCGAAAGAGCAAGCTGGAAATGAAAAAGCCATCGAGACAAAGCGGAATGCAGCTCTTCACGAGAATAGAAACCAACGGAAAAGATCTCGACATGACCTGTCGCTCAAAATCAAAAGCTAGAACATCTTCTCGAGTTGCATTGCATGCGGCGCGGTCCTTGGCAGTGCACAGACAGACATCCATACAAAACGCTCCAGCATAACTGGACAATATAAAAGAAGCATGATCTAGAGATAGATCCGCGCATGGAAGCACGAGTCTCGCCTCATTACACCAACAGATAAGGAATAAACCCCATGATCCTTCGTACTCTATGGTAAACAAGATTCAGCCGTGGAACCGAATCATGCGGTGAGATCCCGATAACCTCAATCGGGGGCCAAACTGTCGGGAAGGTATCAAATGAAGATACTCACGGATACCTAGGTGCAAGGTTCTTATCTGATCACTTGATCAAGAGAGGTCAGAACGAATCCAGGATGCAGTGAGATACCAATAACCCAAATTGTCGGGAACGTTTTCGAATCAAAATACCCAAGAGTATTGAGTTTTCATGTAAGTCCACGCGAGAACGGAGCGCATGCAGTAAGAAGCCCAGAACCCTAGAACTCGCAAGGAGGTGGAACTCTCGGAAGAGTCCTCAAATGAAGGCAGATAATCTGGAGCATGTGGTTCTTATGTGGACTCCTGGGTCAGAAGTGGTAGGGCAAGACGATGGTTGGGGCGAAAAGTGAATGTGGAGATGACTGACTTGCATTAAGAGGTGTCGATCTGCCTTAAGGCAGATCGTGCTGACTAATCTAAGACTAGGGCTAGGACTAGCTAATCTAGGACTAGTTATGCTACAATGGTGCTGTCTATGCAGTAAGTTGCTAATCAAGAAGAGACTCAAAAGTCGTAGACGCTAGAAGCCAAGATATAAAAGTTATTATGTGATTTAGTTGTTCGAGGAAGCCAAAATGAATGAATTATCTATAATAAATTAAGAACGCCCGTCTTAAGTCGATCCTATCACAGTATATGTATATGTTTTCTGGAGCTCTTGCTTAGCAAACGAGCATGATCAGTATAAATGCGGTCACGTGTGGCGCCACTAGCGCACCTACCTTCTTGGTACCTAAGTAGCTTCTTTCTCTCTCTCGCCCTCTTCTCTCTTCACTCACCAAAACATACACCTCGAACAGACTCGAACAGACTCGAACCATATGCCGAGACCGTCACCGATGAGCCAGGCAACTTGAACAATTGAGACTGCCACGTTTCTGGGGGCTGAGGGAGAGGGCAAGGATGGCACGTCCCCGTTGCACATCATCACAGCCTCGTCGTCGCTCTGCTCTATGTAGGCGCCCTTCCTTCACGATGCTCTCTTCACCATGCATACACCATGGCGGAAGCCTTCGCAGCTCTCAATATTGCAGCGAACATCGCCCAATTTGTCGACTATGCAAAACAGCTCATATCCAGCAGCAAGGAAATCTACAGTTCGCTAGACGGGGCGCGAGACGAATACAAGGCTCTCAAAGTTATCATCGAAGATATCAAGACCGCCAACGATGAACTTCACCCAAGGTCCAGTCCCAGTCCATCGACCGACGAAGTACGGTTTCGCAAGCTGGCAGCAGAGTGCGAGCCTTTGGCAGACAAGCTCCTCGCTATCCTGAAGGATTTAGAAGTCGCTTCGGATGCCCGATTTCGCAGACTGCAGACGATGCGCCAAACAATCAGGGGTGCAGCGAAGAAGAAAGACGTACAAGACCTCCAGCGTAGGTTAGTGGCCATTGATGTGAAGCTACACGAGGCGGCAACGATACTACTTCAGAAGTAAGTGTGAAATTGTGCGTGGCCTTGACGAAGCAGGAGCTCATGGTACTCGGCCTAGGAAGCACTATAATGGTATTACATCTGCGATCAACACCCTTACCCAAACGAACGAGCGTTTGAAAATGAACACAAATCTCGCTCTCGAAGAAATGCGACTAGATCTTGTGCGGACTTTGGAGAGACAGGAACATCGAGTCAAGAAGGAACAACAAACTAGAATCGAGAATCTGTTTGAAGAATTGCGCAAACTTGCAAATGCAGGTCAAGAGATGACGCAACAGCAGGCCATACTCCGAACTCTCCTCTTCGAGGAGATGGAACAGCGCCAGGAGACGATCCAGGACGCACATAAAGCTACACTCGACTGGATGTTTAAGCCTGACAAGGAGAAGTTTGTTGAGTGGTTGGAAGCCGAGAGGGGAATTTATTGGGTGAGAGGAAAAGTTCGTGGGCTTCCATGCATTTATAGAACGGAGTACTGACTGTTGAAGGCGGGGAGTGGAAAGTCTACACTGATGAAGTACATATGCAACCATGAGACTACTCTTAAGACTCTTCGACGATGGGCTGGGACGAAGCAGCTATTCACCGCTAGCTTTTTCTTCTGGAATTCGGGATATCCAATGCAAAAATCGCAAATTGGACTGCTGCGAAGCTTACTGTATCAGGTACTTCGTGCCTGTCCAGCATTAATAATGGAGGTGTGCCCCTCGAAACTCCTCATGGAGCCTTGGAAGAGAACAGAGCTTTTCGAAGTTCTGGAGAAAGTCTCAAAACAAGCTACACTGCCTGCAAAGTTCTGCTTTTTCGTGGATGGCCTCGACGAGTACGAAGGCGACGACGAGGATATCATTGCCCTACTTCAAGACCTTGCCTCGTCTCCAAGCGTTAAGATCTGTGTTTCGAGTCGTCCCTGGAATGCCTTCCTAGACGCCTTCGATGACTCGGGATGGAAGCTAGTTTTGGAAGACCTCACCAGAAACGATATGTGCGAGTATGTGCAAACAATGCTTGCTCAAAATGAAATATACCGCAAAATGAGCATGGAAGACCCACGCTGCAAGACCCTTATACCGCAGATCGCGCAAAAAGCTCAAGGCGTCTGGCTCTGGGTATATCTCGTCGTTCGTGATCTGCTACGAGATTTGAAAGGAGGCGAAGAATTCCCACTTCTACAGCGGCGACTAGATAGTTTCCCGAACGAGGTAAGTCATAACCTCTCAGATAACCATTCATAGCTTTGCATCTGTCGCGCTCCGTGACTAGTGTACACATCCTTGGGAGATATTGTATGGCCACGCGATTTTATTATTCAATGGAAAAGCTGATATGAATCTCGGGGCTTAAGCTAGAGAAATATTTTGAGAATATTATTAGCCGCATCGACAAGATACACAGAGAAGAAACCGCGCGAATCTTCTTGGTAGCGGTGACAGTGATACAGCCGCTGCCAATTTTTTACTTACATTGCCTCGCCGCGGAAATTATCGATAAAGACTACGCCATTCATATGGACATTGAGCAAACTTCCGCCGGAGACGTGATTCGGACGAAAAAGAAGTGGAAAAAACTTCTGAACAGTCGATGTAGAGATCTGCTCGAAGCTGATGGTCTCTGTGACCGCGATGATCTCCCTTGCCTCGACGGCAAGGTTAACTTCTTACACCGAACTGTTAGTGATTTCTTGCGGAGTAACTACCTCGAGGAGCTGCGAAGTCGTGCCGGGGAAGAGTTCGACGCTAGATCCTCGTTGTGCAAGATCATAATTGCTCTAAGCAAAGTTTCAGCGGACATGATTGGTCAGCGCAACTCTGGCAATTACAGTGAGAATATACCGGCTTTCGATTTAGTTGACGAAATGTTATTATATGCCAAAGATTACGAGAGGACGGAAGCCTTGTCAATGACAGTTCTTCTAGATGAGTTGGATCGCGTCAATACAATTAGGGCTGGCGGCGCCGGCAACCATGGCCATTGGACCAATAATAGAAAAGCTGGGATTCCAGAGTACGATAGGTGTACCTTTCTAGCTCTGACCGTCCAAATGGGGTTGCGACGATACGTAAGGGAGAAGCTAGAGTCGAACAAAATGCTCATAGCCCACAAACGTGGCCGCCCCCTACTTGACTATGCATGCAGGCCCGTGATGGATTCTCGGCTACTTTCTCAGCTTGGGAAGGATAATGTTTTAGATCCTCGCATGGTGTGTCTATTGCTCGAGTATGGATCGGATCCCAATCAACGAGTAGAGATCTATTCCGAAGGCACTATCTGGAGACTTTTTATTATCGGCTGCGACGCTCAGAAGAGAGGACCTGTCCGTTCATCCACCCAAATTGACATGTGGTATGAAATCATTGAGCTCATGATCGACCACGGAGCAAATCCCGACGCGAATGTTCAGACGGTGAAAGACCACGACGGCTACGACGACCAGAAGAGGGTCGTAATGATGACCATACAGCCGATGCTGGAGTCTATTTTTGGGACTGATAGGGCCGCACGCCTTGCTTCCCGGATGAAGGAAGTCGCCCAGCGTAATCGCCCTCCACCTTCGCTCTTGCGCAGATTACTCGGATGGACATGAAGCGAACGACTCAGCATGCGTTGGGGGTACAACTCAGCATCTAGCCTTCATTCTGGATGGATCCTTGAGGAAGAGAAAGGGAGATAGCCCAGCGAGCGATGATGTTGGCAATCAGAGATCGGAGGAGAGACGATGAACTGCAGATGAGTGTGGATTTCTACAAGCGCCCCGCAAGTTTGTAAACTTGATCTACGTTGGGGCGATTCTCATGTTTGGGTAAAAGATGTGGCTGAGGAGCGTGAATGAGTGTTTTTATAAGTTCTGAGGAAGTGAAGCCTAGGATGTATGCTCGAAACTAGAATAGTAGGAGGGGACGCGACGAAGGGACCGCTTTTGCAGTACAGTCTTTTTTCTTTCTTTTTTTTCCCTACCAAGCTAAACGACACGTGACGTGATAAACAGCCTGGAATGCATTGCTAGCATATAAAGACTAAGTATGTATGTAAATTATGAATAAACAAAGCGTAAAACAAAGAAATTGTCAGGCTCTCAAAGCTATCAAAAGTATCAAAGTAATCTTTGACAAGATTTCGGGCAATGGGGACGGTAGTACCCCTCTAGTAAACGCTTGGTAGGGGTTTCGGCAAGTTGCCAAATTCAAGTCCAAAGATTCAGTAGGGTAGTTGGTTGATATTGCTTATGAAGTATTGCTGGGCATGGGACATTCAAGAAAATATTATTCATGATACCCAGAAATATATAGTCCTCAAATAATTTCACGCGAGAATGCATCCAGAGCTCAGTCAAAGTAACAAGAACCCCATCACATAACTTGGAGACCACTGTCGGAAACGATTTAGGATTACAGAAGCATATCATGTGACCATCCTCTTCAAGAAAGCATCTCCTTAACCGTCTCTTCAACAGACTTCGGCCCAATCCCCTTCTCAGCCAAAATCTCCTCTAGCGTCGGATCAGAAATATCGCATTCTCCCTTCTCCAATGCCCCATAAGTACTACTCCACCACTCAACAGCATCCCTCTCCCTCTCCCTCCCAACATACTCCTCCACATACTCCTCCCTCCCCACAACCTTCACTTCTACCTCTCTCCCCCTGCACTTCCCCACTACCCCAGCAATCTCCCTCAAACTCCTCTTCTCCCCACTACACAAAACTACCGTCTTCCCCTTCCATCTCCCCCTCCCATCCGCCAAAATAACCGCGTTCCCAACCCCTAAATCAGCAATCCCCGTCCAGCTCACCTTCCCATCTCCCGCAACCACAATCTCGCTCCTCTCATCCCTTCCTTCGACGTCGAAATAACCCAGATAAAGCGGCCAGGACTCGTTATACAGTCCTTCTCTGATAATCGTATACTCCACCTCTCCCTTCTCCTTCAGACTTTTCAAAAATTCCTCCGTCCGTAAATGCGCCCTCATTACGCCTGCCTCGCTCTCATCCCCGAACGCGAGGGAGGTGTACACGATTTCTTTCACACCAGCCGAGATAGCGGTGCGGATGGTGGCTATATGCACGCTCTCGCGGCCGCCTTTCGCGGCGTCGGAGAAATCGAGGGATATTTCGGGGGTGGAGACTAGGAAGAGTTTTGTGATTCCGGAGAATGAGGAGGGGGACGGAGAGGAGAAGTTGAAGGGGCGGGTTTGGATGCCGAGATCGCGGTAGGGGGTCAGTTTTGGGGAGGTGAGGGGCGTGGAGGTTAGGATTATTAGTTGGGAGGGGGGGAGGAGGGAGTGCGTGAGGAGGGCGGAGAGGGTTGCGTGGCCAAGTTTGCCGGTTGTTGAGGTTAGGGCGAGCATTTTTGGGGGAAAGAGAGCGGGATGGGGTTTGGGGATGTGGTGAGGATGTGGTTATGGAGGGAAGTTTTATATGAGATGCTTAATAATTGCTCGACGAGGACTACGTCATTGATGTGGTTGTTGAAGATCAGAAATGTTGAGAAGGGCAAAAAGAGATAAACTTTCAGCTAAGACTTAACTTTTAAATAATCGTGGATTGAGGCTGAAGGGTGGCATGAGATGCATGTCGGTACGCACTAGCGCTTGAAGCTTTCGGCGTTAAGCAGACTTGCTGAGAAAGCAGAACACCAAGATTCTTCCAATTCCTGAAATGAGGAGGTTTAGAACTCTTGGCGGATGGAGATCAGTGAGTCTTATATGATCCAAAGAGAAGTTCGAAATGATTCACAGGTGGATTGTACAGCATCTGGGGGTGAGAGGACGTCTTATCTCCGACGCAATATCTGAAGCTTCATTCTTTGCAAATTAACACATCAACACCCATTTGCTTGATCGCTAGAGAGGGTATACTTCGCTGCAATTCCCAATACACCAAGCTCCAAATTCACAACAATTGGTAATCACATTATTTGCGTGCCGAACATACCGAACACTCGCTGCCATCGTTCGCCAGGACCTGCATTTGCTTTTGCAGGATCTTCTTCGTCGACCTTGACACCATATTGCTTGATACAGCAGGTGAAAGCTTTGTTTTTCGGCGTCAAGTTAGCGTCTGCTTTGCTTCCTGCCCCAATACCATTTACTGTCATTGGAACATTGGGATCTCGTTCCTGTAAAACTCCAGAGGCAGATTTCTTGGATTTCAACCGTCCGGTATTCCCCATCTCGTCATCGCTATCGAGATCAGGTTGTCCACCAGCTTTGTGAGCCGGCGATGAAACAGAGGAATCAAAGGACGACGCTGGCGGATCCTCCTTCCCTTTTGCGGACAGGTTCGGTAGTGTAGAGGACTTGCGCTCTTCTAAGTCACCCCAGAGTTTGAACATTTGCTCTTTCAGAGAGGCAAGAAGTTCTGGGTTTCGACGAAGGCTACAAGAGATCAGTATTTGCATACTGAGATAATTGATGTTTGCTTACTTTGCCGCATTATCATCTAGATTCAGTAGACACTGTGCATCATGGTTGCTGACCATTAACCACAAGCGTCCTTGGGAGTCCTTGGAATCTACGTCTTCGACTTGGAGTGAAAATCTCCACTCCCACTTCTTCTCAGCGAAGCCTTTTCCACTACGGAAGGTTCGCATGTCTTCTTCCAGGTCTGTATCTTCGCCTCCACTATAGTCGGACAATATATCCATGTCGCTGGGTCTGCGGCCCACTGCGAAGTCCTCAAGTCTATTTGGAAAGTAGTCGACGACTCTCACATTCGCCTTATATTTGCATACGGTAAACGGTGAGAGGACGCCGTCGCTCTTTTCTTCTTTCAAAAGAGGTAACGGTTCCAGAATCTGTTTGAGCGGCAGGATTGGTTGGTCGGGGAAAGTACTGCGGACTTAATACTTGTTAGTGAAAGATACAGAGACAGGGAGCAACACTCACTGTTGTCATTGAGATCTAGCCGCGTTGCAGATTTGGCGTCCGCTTCTGCAGCTTTCTTTTTAGCCAACTCACGCATTTCCTTCCGACGTTTCTTGCTGTTGCCTTTCGACAGTTCTTCTTCATTCTTCCGTTTCAATCCTGCACCAGAAGCTTCGTCAAGAATGTTTTGTTTTTGCTTTTCGAATTTCTTCCACCACTCAACTCTGCGCCGAACTGCTTCTTTCCATCTGGTGTCATTCTGATCTGGATCCTCGGCTTGTTCCATGACTTTGACTTGTATCTTGCCCTCAAATCGATGCGTGTCACCACGTAAGAAGCCTTCTAGGAGTCCTCCTATGTTTCCGAACTTGATTTGAACGTTGCTCAAAAGAACCCATTGGTTAACTTCGATTTCGTCTTGCACAAAAGCAGCATGAGCATCATAAAGAGTCAGTTGGATGGTCATCTTTCCGAAAGGGCCGGGCCACGCTTTAGATTCCTTGCTTTTGGTCTTTGTGTATCCATACTCATCACCTTCTCGAACAGCAGCATTCGCGTCTTCGCCCCAGGCGTAGTTGTAGAATTTGGAATTAGCAGTGTAATCCGAGAGATACAAGGTAACTCTGTCTCCAGATCCGTACACCTTGATGACCTGACCTAAGATATTGTAAAACCTCTCCGGCTCCACGTCTTTTAGCAAGCTGAACTTGTCTCGAGACCTCATCGCTTCCTTAGTCTTCCTTTCGAATTCGTGGTCGGAGGGCAAGTCCATTTCATTCGAGTGATGATTGGCTTCAATCACATATCGTGTTTCGATATCATTGGGTATTTTGCCTTTACCAGAATCGTACCGATAAGAGGTCCATGGAGGTCCCATCGCTCCTCCTGGTAATATTGGGTTCTTGCACGATAGGAAATGAAATTCCGAAGCCTTGTTTGCCATCAGAGACACGCTTCCAGACCACATTTGAAGCTAGTGCATGGTTAGAAAGAATATCCTGTGGTTAGAACACACTTGCCTTGGCTTTTCGAAGGAGAACTATGTCTCTAGCAGCAAGCACAGCTGGCATGCTTTTCAAAGGCCAGAAAATGATGATCTTTAGGCCATGCATCTCGAACTGGGTAGATTGATCTAAGATCTCCAAAGTGCACTTGTAATCTGATCATACGTGAGCTAGATAGCTTATTCTTGGGCAATCTTGACTGACCAGAGCCCCTCGTTTGAACTGGTGGTTGGAAGTCTTTAATGAAACCGATGACATTGACCATGGCACCGGCCTTGATGGTTTCGCTTGGCATATTATTGATCTCTTCAATGGATTTAAAATCTGGAGGTAGCGGCAACGCCGACGAGTCAGGAGTGCTCGTCATGGTAAAGACAGTTGCGTCGTTTGATGTGAAAACACCGCGTTGAAAGCTTGATACGTTAAGGTTTTATACTTTCAAAAGACTGGCATCACGACAGTCGTGAAAACATTAAGGACGATTCTAGCGAAAAGTTCCAAGCACAGCCGGACATACTGTTGCTTGTGTTCGACTCAATGCATGCCTTTCACAGCATCAAACGCGCTTCTGGAAAGGGAGACGCGACTTGCGCTACGCAGGCATCTACCCCACTAAACTGTTAGTCAGCAGGCTAAATCACGTGTAGCCGCCTGCAAGCGTCAAGCGCGAAGCCTTTTGCCTTTGAGCTCTCCAAATCCCTCCACCATCCTTCATATTCCACTCGTCTACAACAAACACAACACTCCATTCCAGGTTCTGATCACATTCGATTGATCAACCTGCGTATCTTCTTGATCGTATCCAAAGCGCATACTTCCATACCGCAAACATGGCCGACCGCTACATCCCAGAGCATCGTCGCACTGGCTTCAAGGCAAAGAACACCTTCAAGCCTGAAGAGTTGAGACGTCGTAGAGAGGAGCAACAGGTGGAGATTAGAAAGGCAAAGCGTGAAGAGAACTTGGCCAAGAGACGTGGTATCGCAGGCAGCGACCGTCCTGGAGCTTCCCTTGGCGCAGAGGCTGACAGCGACGATGATACTGTTCCCACTGAGAGTCAGGTATGTCGATCACTTTTATGCAACTTTTACGCAATAGCAAGATTGTTCCCTTCCACCTTCATGCGACCACGGAGTCTGCGCCCAGTACTGAGTTTGTGATTGACTAACCCGCGTCTCTATTCACCTCGTGGTGGGGTAGTTGATTGCGAATTATTTATTTTCGCTTGTGGGGAGGGAGTACCCGCGGGCGAACGTTCCACTCTTCTGAACCCCAGCAGACCAGCACCACTTTCCCAAAAGTTATGGAGATCATACGAGCGAATGCTAATCTCCGTGTCATGTCTAGTTGAACGAGGACCTCCCTCAAATGGTACAAGGTGTATTCTCTGAACAAATCGACCTCCAAATTCAAGCTACGACAAAGTTCCGAAAGCTCCTGTCGAAAGAGCGTAACCCGCCCATTGAAGAGGTCATCAAGACCGGTGTCGTCAGCCGATTCGTTACATTCCTTCGATCTCCTCATACCCTTGTCCAATTCGAGGCTGCTTGGGCTCTTACCAACATTGCTTCTGGTTCGGCGCAACAAACTCAGGTTGTTATTGAGGCCGGAGCTGTCCCCATCTTCGTTGAGTTGCTTGCAAGCCATGAGCCGGATGTCAGAGAGCAGGCTGTTTGGGCCCTGGGAAACATTGCAGGAGACAGCCCGTCGTGCCGAGACTATGTTTTGAGCTGTGGTGCTCTCAAGCCATTGTTGAACCTCTTGGGTGACAGCAGAAAGCTGAGCATGCTGCGCAATGCTACCTGGACTCTTAGTAACTTCTGCCGTGGCAAGACACCTCAACCAGACTGGAATACCGTGAGTGATTTCCCCGCTTTATACAGTTAAAAGGCTTACAGTTTCAGCAGATCCTTCCCGCTCTCCCCGTTTTGGCTAAGCTTGTCTATTCTTTGGATGATGAAGTTCTGATCGATGCCTGCTGGGCTATTTCATATCTGTCCGACGGAGCCAATGACAAAATCCAAGCCGTTATTGAAGCTGGTATTCCTCGTCGCCTTGTCGAGTTGCTTATGCACGCTTCTACGTCAGTTCAGACCCCGGCTCTGCGATCCGTTGGTAACATTGTCACTGGAGATGATGTTCAGACTCAGGTTATCATCAACTGTGGTGCACTTCCTGCTCTCCTGTCCCTCTTGAGCTCTGGAAAGGACGGCATCCGTAAGGAGGCTTGTTGGACCATCTCCAACATCACTGCTGGCAACTCCACCCAAATCCAAGCTGTGATCGATGCCAACATTATCCCTCCTCTGATCCATCTTCTTTCGAATGGCGACTTGAAGACTCGCAAGGAGGCTTGCTGGGCTATTTCTAACGCCACGTCTGGAGGCCTTCAAAAGCCAGAGCAAATCCGATATCTCGTCAACCAAGGATGTATTAAGCCACTGTGTGACCTCCTTGCCTGCCCTGACAACAAGATCATTCAAGTCGCCTTGGATGGTCTTGAGAATATTCTCAAGGTCGGTGAGATGGACAAGGATGCAGCTGGTGAGGGACAAGAGAACATCAACCGATATGCTCTGTTCATTGAGGAATGCCACGGAATGGAGAAGATTCACGATTGCCAGACCAATGCCAATGAGGAAATTTACATGAAGGCTTATAACATGATTGAGAAGTACTTCTCGGACGAGGAAGATATTGACGAGCAGGGAACATCGACACTCGAGAACCCTACTGGTAATTTCGGCTTCCAAGCCCCTCAATCTGGGTTCAACTTTGGTGGCACCACCAATAACGACTCCATGGATATGTGAGCTATTGGCGGTTCCATACCTCACGACCTGCCCTAGCGCGCCCTTCCCCTTTGAGTCTACGCATCATAAAGCATTATAATACAAATTGCCCCCGCTGGTACCGATTTGGGATCCAGCACTGCACCGTCGCCCTCCCCAGCACCTCCAGCACAAAATCCAACCCACCCACGTCCCCTGCGAAAAGAAAGCCGTCCCCGATGTGTCCAACGATTAGCGAAAGATTCACCGTCATGTATTTCCTTGTTGTTCAACCTCCACCCCCCCGGCACATCACACAAACGGCGTTTTCTGAGACACAGTTCTTTGTTTTGCGAAATGAATGTGGAGGAGAAGAGACGAGATATGGTAGCTTGAAAGCTCCTGATCTTGGGAGTAACGCGTAGTCATGGTATTTACAAGTTTTGAGCGTGTGGGCTTGAAAGCTCCTCCTCTGATTGCGAATTGATGGAGATGATTGATGAGTGAGCATGAGGTGGCTCTCGTTCGTTCGTGGATTAGATGATTCTTCTTCTAGCCAATGGATGGAAATCAAAATCATGTGTTTGTGTGCGTGCTATGTGACTGGTGAAATACTATGTAACAGCTGATTCGTAAAATCTTCGATTCATATCTCACCCCTTCTGCCCATCACGCAGAAGCAACAACCTCCCTAACCTCCTCCTTCCCCTCCCCATCCCGATACATCCCCAAATACGTAGCCCTCAACCGACTCATCAAATGCTCCTCGGCCGTCATCCCCTCGACGGTCTTCTGCTCGCCCTTCCCCGCTAATTCCTGCACCCGCTCGCTAGGCACGGGCTCTAACACTGTGCTCCCCAGGGGATGGCCGAAATACGCGATGCTGTAGCGGTCGGTGGCGGGTGAGGAGTAGGTTGAGCTGGTGGAGGGGAAGATTACGCGGTGGACGGTCGATTTGAAGAGGTTGTTTGTCCAGTAGGAGAGGAGATCGCCGATGTTTACTAGGATTGGTGGGGAGGGGTCGGTGGTGGTTGTGGGTGGGGAGACAGGGACGGGCGTCCAAGAGGCGGTGTTGGTGTAGTTGTGGGAGTCCACTAGAGTTTGTCAGTAGGGGATGGAAAGGATGGATGGAAAGGGAGCGTACTGCTTGATGGAGGAATGATTTCTAAACCTGGTTGACCGGGTCGTTGGAATAAGAGGGTGATGGAACCGTAGTCTGTGTGAGCGCCGGCACGGATGTCGACTGAGGGGTGGAAATCCGAGTCTGGTGGGAGGGGAGGGTAGTGGAGCAGTCGTAGGGTACAAGGTGAGGGGCCGGCACCGATATGGCGAGAAGAGAACCAGTCTGGACCGCCGGAGGAGGGGTCTACCTGTACTGGTGTTAGAGTTGTAGAAGGTTGAGGGACAGGAGGGGGAGTACTTCTAGTCCAATGGCAAAGAGAACTAGGATCTTGATCATAAGGCCATGGCAGTATTTTTGAAATTGGTCGATTTCTGCTTCTCGAGCTGCAAAGGATGGAGGAAGTGGTTGTTGAGCTTTGCCGTCGACGAATTCGCCCAGGTTCATTGCTCTGAAGAGAATAAGTGGGGTTCAAAAGATGAAGGTTTTGGTGAAACATACTCTTTGAAATCACCTCTCTGGAAAGTAAGTCAGCAAGCGTTGAGAGGTTAAGAAAGGTGTAATTACTTTTTGGTTCTTGGTATCCAGTGTCTCAGCATGCATGCCGACCCATCCTCGGTTCTGGGCATAGGTCAGTCAAGAAGTGGTGCTTCCGAAGTTCTAGGTCATACATTTTCTTGGATCTTGCATGGCTGTTTCACTTCTAAAGGGGAGGTGAAGAATTCTTTTGACTAGAGAGAGTGTTAGCATCTATGATAACGAGAGTAGCTGAATTATATACCAAATCGAAGATGCTGTCTATTGCTTCAATAGGTATGTCTTTTCCCAGGTTCTTGATGTATACGAATCCATAAGTGGCAGCAGCATCGACAAGCTGTTTTGCAACTTCTTTCTGTGGAAGTGATCCTGAAATATCTATGACAGGAATCAAACCACTTGTGCCGTTCGTTACTGTCATGATTGCAAGTACTGTTCAAAAGTAGAAGATGTTTTGGCTGACAGGTAAGACATAGGGAGGCTGATAAGGGCAGCGGAGACGGCCGATGGGTTTATCGAGAATCACGTGCAAAGTCATGATGTAAACCCTTGATCCCTGCAGACGCTAAGCCCCACTGAGATCTCCCAACCGTGCCTGGAGAAGCTCGAGGTTCACAAAGCACGACGATCTCAGAAATATTTGTCCTCACTCTCACCACCAGCTTCAACTTTAGCACCAATATTCACTCACCTTCGCATTTGCCTCCACAATCGCTATCTACCTCATTGCCTCTAAAATCTCAGCTCTACATCATCTCCAAAAACTAAATTCCAATAAGAAACCCATCCCACAATCAATTCGTCCCTCCAGCCTCCTGTCAATTTTGGTTAAGGCCAAGTGAGTCGCACTTGCCATTTTGACCACAAATTTCGAAGTTGAGCGGATCCAGAAAGAGCACCTCAATTTCAGCAATACGCAGTTCAGCTTTGGGTAGCTGCATACGCTCTTGCCAAAATGCCTCGTAAGTGAACAACTTTCATTCTTCTCCCCGCCGCCCCTCCACGACAACACAATACACACTGCTTGCGCACTGCAAACCACAATGGCGGCACGAGAACGACAGCGCACGATGGAATATATCGCGGATTTCAAAGAACCCTACGTCCCAATCGAACAAGTTCAGACGCCCACGATGCCAGGACTGCTGAGAAACTTCAAAGCACCCTATGAACCTCTCCTCCTCATGAACTCCTCTACCATGGAGTTCTACCCACCATCCAATCCGATGCCTCTTCCATCTCCTGGATCTGCAGAAGCTATGTTACCTACTATCATGATCCCATATGCGTTCCCAGGCGCTCCGATACCCCCAGTTCCGCAAGAATACCCACAGTGGACAATCGATGCACAAGGCAAGAAGAAGAACTGCTACGAACTGCTCATGGACCGATTGGAGCGCGATCACGCTGGCGCCCTCTCCGAGGAGTTCCACGCCTATGCCAAAGGACAGGGTCACAGGATTGAAATCATGCTTGCGGAACGTGGTACAAAGAGAAATTACCCATATGCTAACCTCGATCATACAGTCCAAGAGAGTGATTTTTCTGTTGGCTCAAACATCTAGTAAGCTTCTCATACCCCGCCTCTTCATAACTACATCTAACATACCCATAGCTCTACACCTTTCTCCGATCTAGAAAATGCTGTCCTTGGTGTCGAAGCTACCTCATATCTACAACACATGCTCGATGATCCTCCCACTCACGAACCATTGCTCGCTGCCCTTGGCGGAGATCCCATAGCTCTGAAATCGCACATCGAGAAGGATTTAGATCAATGGAAGGAGAACAGGATCAGACCTTTATTTGTCTTTGATGGGCAATCTGTCGTTGGCAAGGAGGAGATGGCTCTTCGTCATGCTCGCGCAGCTTTGAACAAGACACAAAAGGCTTGGGATATGTATAGCAAGAACCAACCAGAAGATGCTGTTAGAGCTTTTGGTGCTTCAGGTAAGCTCGTTTCCTGTGCGAGAAATTCTTGCTCACAGTATTCAGGTTCCGTACGAGCACAAGATCTTTACAGATTACTGCAAGAAGTTTTGTCTGAGCGAAACATGGAGTTCATAATTGCACCATTCAGTGCTTGTGCGCAGCTGGCATACTTGGACAAACTTGAGACCCAATACATTGATGGCATCATGGGTTCAAAGGAGCTACTTCTCTACGACATCCACGACAGCATGTTCAACCCACCGACCTCTGCCGACTGGGAGAAAAAGATGTTCACTGGAATCATCAGATCTGACCTAGCCGCAAAACTCAACACTACTCCCGAGATGCTTGCTGACGCCCTCCTCATGGTCGGCACATCCTTCCTTTCGCCATTTCCACCTCTTCAAGTCGAAAGCATCATCTCCTCACAACCATATACCCTCACAGATGCTATCAACCTCTTGAGAACCTCAGACAAATCTGTCCAAAACACGTGTGTTTCATTCCACGACATTCTCGAAAAACGAGACCCCGACTGGTTGGATAAGTTCCGCAAAGCAAAGATGGCTGTCAAGCATTGCATCACAGTGGATGAGAAAGGAAATATCTCAATTCGAGAATACGATAACCTCACTAATGATAACCACCTCTACCTTGGTCTGCAACTCCCAGCAGAGCTCTACCACTATCTTTCAAAGGCTTTGATTGGTCCTAGAATCATGAACTGCTTCGTTCATCGGGAACTGATCGTTCTTCCTACCTTGGATGGTGTCATCTCAGACGAGTACAAGAAATTGGTCTCGCGAGATTTGGTACCACTGAAAGAGACGACAGCTGCGTTGATTTCCTCTCGAATCCACCGGGCTATCCAGCATTACGAGATTGTGATGAAATTCTGGTTCGATGACGGTCTTAAGCAGACACTTGTCCACAGGAATCTCCAACCACAGACAAACCAGAGAGTGGACACATGGGGCATGAAGAGTGCAGACCTGAATAGTCTAAGCGCCACTTTGAATGTGACTCCTGGAACATTCTCATTCGCCGTGTTCTCCCTGCAGGATCCTGAGAACCGTGCCAAGACATTCAGGAAACCAGATATGATACTTGATGGCAAATCTGAGATTTCAGCGAGTGTCTTATGGCGACTGCTGCATCTTCGAGGCTACATAAATGATCAACATGAGTTGACTCCATTCGGAAAAGGACTTGCTGCAATATTGAAGTCAATCGGGCCCACTATCAAAGCACATAAGGACATTCATCACATCGAAGAAGCAGCTTTCCTTGCGGTAGAGCTGATCCGATTCGAAGTTCTTAACGCACGTAATCGACATAATGACTTGATCGGTGGTGCTTTGCGAGGCTCAGATGAAGACAAGGCTAACTGCATTCTCATCGGTCGGACTGCATGTCTCCTCAAGTTACGCCACGCAAGTATCGGCTACACTGGACCTCTCAGCAAGAACTTCCTCTCCTTCCACTCTATCATCAAAGCAGTTCGTGAGACGGATAGAGATCTCCTCGAAGCCGCTCTTGCATCAATGTTGTTGAACGCTCAAGCTGTTCGTCCCGTTCATGACTGTGATCGTCTAGGCCGAAGGTAAGACTTGCTCTCAAATTCCTCTTGCATCTATGCTAACAACTTATAGCTTACCTCTTTGTACCGATGTCGATACCAGTCTTGGAATCGCTGTCAAGACATACCTCGACGACTTCTACAAGGTTGATTGGACTCCCGAAGAACGCGAGAGTAATAAGTCGCAGTATGTTGAGAGGTATCTCCCACATAGTGTCAACTTCCCAGAAGATCTTGACGTCGCTTTCAACTTCTTCGATGCAGTCTGTGCTGGAGTAGAACAACTAGGAGATGAGATGAATCCGACAGACAAATCTGCTTGGGTCAGTGCTAAGGCGTATCTCGACCTACGAAGATAGATATATCCCGGGTTGGGCGGCTTTCATTTGCAGGATTCTTCCATGGACTTCATCGCCACTTGATTGGATCAGCATAATTATGATGGATACTCATCTTCCTTCATAGTTACTATGTCCCAACCATGAAGTCTTGAGGTCGGTGTAGCTTGTGGCTGCTACTGATCTTATGCGGGAGGTTCATCACTTTAGAATTACTATACAGAATAAAGTTCGTCAACCCATAATCCTCTTGTCCCTGAGTGATTGTCAACCTTGAAATTTGCAAGTGCAACTCTTCTCTACGCTCTGTGATTTCCTACTTGTGCTCTTTATCGTATCATGGACAGCAATTTGTCATTTTTTTGAGAAACTTTCATTGTCCTTGAAATATTGCTTCTTTCACAATCCGGAAAGTAGGGTGATGAAGGTTGGATTGAAAGTGAGCAAGCTGTGATTGTTCACGAATAAAGACAGGCAAATTTTGCCTGAGAAGCGGCTTCAATTATGTTCCTTTTACACACTCTTGTTATACACACTGCAGAGCTGGTGGAGCTAATGTCCTGAACACATATACGACCTTCATCAACTCAACATCCAGAACCAGATCCTTAGACCAACAACCAACGCAGCAAACAAATCCCTCTTTCTCCCTCAACCCAAATGCTCCAGCAACATCTTAACAGCCTCCTCGCACCGCTCCACTAACTTCCTCTCCACAATTCTATGCATATGATCATCCGCCACCCGGTACGTCTTGAGCACCTTAAGCACCTCGCTCGTCTGCTCCTCGATCTTCTCTTCGTCACCTGCTCGGAACGCGGTCTCCAGGCTCTTCATCGCGGCTTGTACTTCCCGGTCGACGTGGTAGCCGTACCGCCAGCTGCGGTTGCTGTTTAGGTTTCCGAAAGCCTCGGTGATTAGGGGCGTTACGAGCGTTTTGGAGAGGAGGGTTTGTAGTTTGGCGATTCTTAGGGCGGCGGTGGGTGTTGGGGTCGGGAAGCTGGTGGATGAGGGTTGGAAGTCTTGGGTCAATGGCTCAGCGAGTGGAACTTCTTTAGTATCTGTCTGTGTCGCCTTGTCTTCACCACCACTAACAACCTTACGTTCTGCTTGAATCCCGTTGTTGTTCTCTCCCTCACCAACCGGACCTCCTTCCTTCTCCCTTTCTTTGCCTTTCCCTTTTCTGTCTTCCGGCTCGATAACCTCTTCACCGTCAAAGCAAATAGGACACACAATCCGTAACGAATAACTCCTTGCCTTCGTACTCGGGCATACAGGGTCCCGGTCCGAAGCCAGGGCATTTGTCCAGGACCAGCATGCGGTGGTTGCAGCCTTGGTATTGGAGGAGTTGGTATTTGCAGCTGCAGGTGGTGCGGCGGGGGATGGTGTTGGTGGGGAGGGTTACGGGTGGGTAGGAGGTTCGTCGGGTCGCTGCTGGGACGCGTTAGTTTTTATGGAGAAAGGGGGGAAAGAGAGAGGGGAAATTGTGTACCTGGTCTTGTTTGAGGTCTTGTGTTGGTGAGGGTTGGGTCTGTAGTGGAACTGGAGGAGGCCATGGTGATTGCCCCTTGGTAGTGCTGTCCGTCCAGACTTTTCGAGTTATAAAGTTCTTTGAGTCGGATATTAGCTGGGGACAAGGACAAGTTGAGAAAGAATGGAGAACTTACGCGTTGGGACCACTTCTGCTTTGTGGTGTCGAAAGCTGGGTGGGTGTGAGATTGGCGTTTGTTGAAGGGGGAAACTAGGTGAACGCGTTACGCGACTTGAGATGAGACTTTGGATTTAGTCTTACTGCACTGACGTCGGTCACTAAGGCAAGGACATGCATTTTTGGACCTTTAAGTGTTGATTATCATTAACCCTAGCTATTGGACAAAAACGAGGTCACTAAGGCAAGGACAAGCATTTCTATGTTCCAAAGTGTTAATTACAATTACCCTTAGGTATTGTAGATACAGTGTATTTGGATTGAGGTCCAGATTACCATGTTGAAGACAAGCATTTCTGCAATATCAAGTGTTGATTATCATTAACCCTAGCTATTGGACAAGCAGTGTCTTTGGACTGAGGTCGAGGTCACTGAGGCAAGGACGAGCAATTTGCACCATTAAGTGTTGATGCATTTAACCCTAGCCACCGTACAAGCACGGAATTTGGACTGATATGGAACTCACCAAGGTGGGGGCCAGCATTTCTTTACTTTAAAGAGTGAATTAAATTCAATCCTAGCTATCATATAAGCAGTGTATTTGGACCGATTTCAAAGTCACTAAGGGAAGGACAAGCATTTCTTTAATTTGAAGTGTGAATTACCATTAACTCTTGCTATCGTAAAGCCTAGCAAAGAGTATAATCGTCTGTGATAATGCAGCTCTCTGACGGCAAAGATTTCGTTCTTTGCCCCTAGTCCTACAAACATTGTTATTCTCTTCTCCAATCCCCCATTGCTTCAAGTCTCCCTCAGGAGTCTCTACAACATCTCGGTATCCTCTCCACCCTGGCCAGCAGCAGCTTGGTTCTCCACCAGCCACTTCTCGACACTGCCCTCACAAGCCTTGACTACCTTCTCTCCGAGAGTAACAGAAGTCTTCTTCAACTCCCTACGAAGTTCCTTCTTGTTCTCCTCGATTTCGTTGAACTTGCGAAGGAACTCGGCCTCGTCGCCCTGTCTCAACGCCAGCTCCATCGCGGTGATATTATCGGAGACTTGAACACCATAGAACCAATCGACAAGCTCGGTAAAGCCATCATCCAACTCCTCAACCGTATTTTGGATTGCAGATGCGAAGAACTTGCCGACGATAGCCTTGGACTTGCCAGAGGACTCTGCAACATCCTCGGTCTCGACACGGAACTTCGTATCAAAGGTGTCAAACATGTGATCGAAGTTCTCCTGAACTCGCTTGGCACACTCGCGGATCTTTTCGCGCTCTGAGCTGGTCATGAACTTGAGGCACTTGGCACAATGGTTCTTCTTGAGGACGACAGCTTCTTCGGAACCAACTGCTGAGTCTCCTTCAAGGGTTGCGCCTTGGGCAGAACCGAAGATCACGATCTTGTGGCCGCATTTCTCATAGAGTTCAACAACGACGATGTTATTCAGAACAGATGAGATGCTCATGGAAGTGGTGGGGCTGCCTTGGGTGCCGTTAGAGGTGGATTGGGCTGCATTGGCGATAGTTTGAATGGCCGGAACTCCGTTGCGAGCGTAAAAGGCCTCGACTTGCTTCTTAAGGTCATCCAAGGCGGTACCCTTCATTTCGCTCTCCTTCTGGGTCTCCTCTAGAGAAGAATTAGTACATGTTTGTGACAGAGATTTAAAAGCGGAAGAGCTAATCGAAAGAACAGCTGAAACGCGTATTCTGTGATGAGCTGCTCCCGAGGAAAGTCGCGAGGAGCGCAACTTGAAAAATGAAAAACGAAACATTGGCAGGATTTGACTTACTCAACTTTGCCTTCAGCTCTTCAATTTCCTCGTTCACCTTCGAAGCTTCATTCTCGTTCGTGACCTTGACCAACGCGTCATTGCGCTGTTTGATCAAGCCCTGGACAAAAGCCTCGAATTCGGGTCCCAGGGTCTTGGCCTTGAGCATTGTCTCTTGGGTAACTTCAGATGCTCCTGGGGGACTACAGAACATGCAGGCAAACAGGGGACGGGGGATAACGGTTGGGCAGCGAGCAATGGCCTTGGTGCGGCAAGCGTAAACATGCTCGTTCCAGGTGTGGTTGCACAGGTAAGTAAAGTCAATATCCGGGCAATCGCCCATCTCAGAGGCTTCCGCAGCGGCTGTTCGGTCGATGACAAGGGTCATGTTGGATGATGTAGTAGACTTGTTGGATTTTTTGGATGTGATTTCTCCGAGCTTGCGTTTGGAAGCTGCTCTGGTCGACATGATTGCGGTTTTATGGTAGGTTGCGAGCTAATTCACGTTAACCGCCGAACGGGGCTTAGCTTTGTTGCGGGGATTGTTAGAGTAAACTTACCAGATCTTTCTTGTACGATTCCAATGCTTTGGCAGCTTTCGATTTACGTTGAAGACGCGTCGTGGAGAATCTTCGTTGTGGTGCAAGTTCTTTGTAAATATAATTATCGAAGCGAGAGATCGAAGCAAGAGCTAGTTCTAGAGGCGGCCGCACCTATTTACCTCTGGTTACGGGCTTTTGTTTACTTAAGCAATGGCATAGAAGCGCTAGCTTCCTTGTGTAAAGTTGCATGAAGACTTATGTCAATTGAACTTGCGCCTTCATTGAACAAGCACGATCCTATTAACACTTCTTCCTGGGGTTCTATCAAAACATTTGATGATCAGAACAGCTCTGATAGCTCTAGTATTAACAGCTTTGACCATGCTGGTTCTCAAAGCAGTGCGAGAAAGCTTCCAGAGAGACAACGTGGCATTTTCAGACCCCTCTTGAATCCTTCCCCAGAAACAGATCTACCAGACTCCACCGCATTTGGAGGTTGCTTCTCGTGTATATCTTCGTTCGGGATTACTATATACTTCTTCTTCGCGAAAGGGTTCTGCCATCGATTATTCTTAATAACTCCATCTAGAGCCATCTGATGCTTAGTATCCTCGCCGAAGTCCTGTTTTTCGATTGGAGGCTCCTTAGCATTTTTATCTATTACTTCTTTGGTAATGGCGTCCAACTGCTTTTGTTTTCTTCTTTCCTTTACAGCTCGCTGACCGTCTTTAAAAAATGATAGTGCACTTTGTAAAACTTTAATTCCTTCCAAGAGAGCTTCTTTTTCCTTTTTTATAGATCGAGCAAGGAATAAAGTACTCTGCATATCTATTTTGAGATTACATCGATCATTTTCCGTGACTTTTCGTTGTTGTAAGCAATGGTCTAAGATATTGAACACAAGATTTGTTTCGATTTATTTGTAAAATAATTTATTCGCGAATATGTTGCTTTATTAATGAATTATTGATTTTTAGTGAATGTGATAGTAATTTTATAAAATTATATTAAGTAGTTAAAATACCCAAAATTTGAAAATATATTATATGTTGTGAGATTAAATCTTATGATTTTTTTAATATTTTAGTTAGCGCCAGCGTATTATTTAATAAGCTTTTATAATAAATTTTCGATTTAAATAAAGTAAAGCAATCGAAATAAATTATAATACTATTTTCCAAAGAAAATAATATTAAGACTTGATAATAATAACCCAATTATTATTAATAACAATTTAATTAATAATAATAATACCTTATAACTTTTTATAGTAAATAACGCTATAAAAAAAGCGTAGCATAATAAACTACACTAGTTTTATATAATGAAAACCGCGACCAAAATAATACTCTAAATACTATCGCTATTCGTTCTTATGTTAATTTTGTTTAAAAATCGTTTTTGTGCGGATTATAGAGAGGCTGGAGGAGTGTTTATATAGAGGGGACGGAGGATGGAGGACGGGGGCCGAAGGAAGTGAATGGAAGGCGGAGAGTAGAAAACGGAGAGCAAAGGACCAAAAAAAGTGAATTTATAGATTCACTAGCCGCGGAGAACGGTTCGGAGAGTAGTAAGGTTGGGTGAGTGAATTAAATCAGTAGAGAATGAGCACAGGATGGAAAATAGCTAAGCTTCTCAGTCTCATAGTGAATAAGAGCACTGTTCCGATTTACTCGTAAAATAATTTATTCGCAAACCCATCGCTTTATTGGTGAATTATTAATCTTTAGTGAATGCGATAATAGCAGTTGTCGTAGTTGGTGGCTCTGATTTTACACATTCTGGGTAATGCGTCGTAATGCGGAGAGTTTGAGATCTGGCTTTTGAAGTGTGGTAAAGCTCTTTGGTGGTATAAATATGTAGCGGTGGAGAAGTTCGCCTCTCGGAATTGCGCAATAATGGTTCGATGCTTGCACAGCCCTACTGCTGTTGCTGCACCGAATAAAGATAACTGTGCGTTCTGTGGTTGAGATGGAAGTGAGTGATGAGTTGTGGAGTGAAAATATGTCAATGGTTGTGGGTTTATGGAAAGAACGAAGTGAGTGGGTGTGCATTCGGTGCAGGGAAAGAGCGGTGGGGTTGAACCAAGAGCATAGCCAAAATCATAAATTTCACAATATTCACAAGTCAACTCATTGACTTACGTGAAGATGTTCCAGATTGCACGTCGACTATCTGAAAACACCCACATATAGAACAATCCAGTCCCGTCTAAGCAAGATGAATCATACAATGCTTCCAACCATTCTCGGTATTCACAGACTTTCTACTATGCTCCCAACATCTTCCACAACTCGGTTCTCGCACAAGTTCCCGCACAAACTACGAGCTGGAGGTTGAGTTTGTGTATTTATCCAGCACCTCGCAAGCTTCTTCGCCGAACATGGACTCCCATTCGATAAATGGATCCTCCAATCGCTCCATGTATGTTTCAAAAACGCCGTTGATGATCGCCTTCTCGAGCTTATCCAGCTGCTCTCTTACGCATAGGGCCAGAGAGTCGGCGCAGTCATCCACGCCTTTCTTGATGTCTTTCTTAATGTCGGACTCAGACAAAGCATGTAGAAGGAACACTTTGTCAACCGAGCTTTTGAAAACTACTCTCAGGTCGTGTGCCAGATCGCGTCTAAGCTTTTCTAGGTGAGGGCTAATACCGGCGCGAAATTTGTTGATCAGCATCCGGACTGCATCTACACGATTCGCACGCGTCTGAAATAGTGATTTGTTGGACGCCAGGAGTCATGCAGGTCGATGGTCCGCATTTGTAGATTTCCTTAGGATGTTCGACGGCATGGCCGGATCGGAAGAGACGCTTTGTTTCGGAGCACATAATGGAGAGTTTGAGGGATTGACGTTGTTTTATTTACTGATTTTCCTGTTACACAATTGCAAAAGGACTGCATAGAATGTTAGGGAAGCTTGAAGATAGCATTCTGCACGTTGAACTTACAAGGAATGGCTCCCACAAAGGGGAGATCGTTGTACTGAGTTTTCACTCTTGAGAGTGTTGTCTGTCCGCAGTTGTGAGGAGATGTGAGGAGATGTCGAAGTTGAACAAGCGGAGCGAAGTCATAGACGAAGCAAAGCGCACTCGGAACTCTTCGCCTAAACAATATGCCATTTCTAGACTAGCGTTAACTTATTGTGAAATTTCATTTGACACAAGTTACGGTAGACCAAAAGAGAAGCTTCAATAGGCAAATTTTGCAAGCTGTATGTGTTCTAGTCAATACGCAAAGCCTGTTGTTTATGAAGCAACCCCTTGCTATTCATAAATGGCAAGGTGTTTATGTATGGCACTTTTAGGTTATGAATGCTCTTGCTTTTTATAAATTTTTAGAGAATATTAAATTAGCTATAGCTAAACAACGCCACAGATGTATAGCCCGGAAATGAAAGCATAATCTTATTAGCACTTTACCACTTCAGCACTTCAGCACTCCAGCACTGCAATGCACCAAGCATCTCAACTTAGGTTTCTCCAAGAAGAATAGCGGCTCTGTTGGAGAGCTAACAGCTGTGGTGCTAAAGTACTGAGGTGCTGAAGTGCTGAAGTGTCCGGGCTGTTCACCAATGGCGCTGTTCATTCATGAACTAGACTTACCATACGTAAACACCTTACCATTCGTGAATGGCACATACTATTGGTGAATACCGGGGTTCCTATTCATAAACAGCAACTATTTATGTATGGATTAGAACATATGATTGAGACTCTAGCACGATCAACACAAGCCAGCTAACCATTGTGTTTTTGGTTACTGTTGTCTAATGCTGATGTACTTAACTTTTCCTACAGAAGGAACGATCAACAGAGTAAACCAGATTACTGCAAGGCTCTTATGCTTCGAAGTTTACATATTTGGTTGTCTACTACGTAAGTTGAACTGTCTGGCTGGTTTTAAGCAGTATGAACACAGCAGCAATTATCCGCAAACTCGCCCAAGTCTCAGCATTCCATCCCGTACAGACCACGCATACCAAGCCAGTTTCAATAGCTCTCCAAACTTGATCCACTGCACGACATTGCAAGTTAAACGAAGGAATCCAACACTTGCACAACGGCACCATCAGTCGACTTCGCGATGTTGGCTTGCGCCTCACGAAGCTTGTGTGCAACAGAATCCACCATAGATTGACAACCCTCGGTAAGCACCTTCTTGACAATGGCATTTTCAGAACCTGAGATGTTGAGAGCGGCGATCTGATTGCTGAATACCTTATGCAGCTCTGCGATATCGTCCTCGAGCAGCTTGAGGCCGAAGGTAATGGGAGCCGTGATACCGATTGCAGCAGCCTTTTGGAGACCTTGCTTGCTGCTGGTGAGGCCTTTAGCGTGGATATCGGGTTTGTGAGTTTGAAGAGCCTTGACGACGGTGTCGGAACCGGACTTTACTTCGGAGGTGTTAAGCTCGCAGGCCTGAATAAGCTTTTCAAGCTTCGAATCTAGATTCTTGATATCCTCGGGAATCTTGTCTTTGGCTTCCATGGCAGCCATCTTTGCCTTCTCCCAAGGATTCTGACACGGCCAGCACCTATCCCCGGACTTAGCTACGTTCGAGTTATGATATACCTCACGGGACTGGCGTTCCACATGGCTTCTTGATTGACAATCGCTCTCATCGCATTGAGAGAGCCAGTGTATCATGACATGGCCACAGCTGTGACGCACAATAGATCCTACACACATGACGGCGAGGTGTTAGGAGTGTGTGCAGATCGATTTCGAAACAGCTGTCGTAATCAAGATTTCGGAGACTTCAACAATGTTAGGCAGACCTGAAACTGACAAACTACGAATGGAACTTACATATCTCAAACCGTAACTAGACCAAATTCAAGTACTCCGTGAAGTTGCTGAGATTTTTGAAAATTAAAGGAGACCTAGTCGCCTATATATACCTCTTCTTTCCCGCTCATCAAAGATCATAACACAAATACCTCACAAGATCTAATCATATCGGATACTTCTTCACGTTCTGTGTGAAGGACGTCAAAAGAGTAGAAAGGCTAGTACGTTCCAATGGTTCTACTGTTAGGAAGTCTCCTTTGCGCAAACACTCCTTTACCATTGCTCCTTTGGTCAAAACCTATTGGTCTTGCTTCCTGCTCTGCTTCGATTGCTGTACGCCTTTCAGACTCAGTTTCAATGCTTTGCCCTGCTTCTTTGAGATTCTCAAAGTCGGTAGAATCAATGCCTGCTCCTAGTTCCAGTAGTGAATTTCATAACTAGCGAGTTTTGTCTGCTCAACAAAGCAATGCATATACCTAAGTCACTCTCTGTGTGGAAAATTTCAATTGAGACAAGCATACGGCAGTCTTATGTGTTCAATTCTGGATTCACAAGTCCGGTAACTCGTAATTGTACATCCGTTCCGCCCAAATCCTTTAACTCCGTGCAACAAGACAGTAAATCGCGGAAAAGAAAAAGAAAAATCTTAGCTGACACTCCAACAGAGCTTCTTTATGACATCGTACAGTACACGCTGATATTCTTGGGAAGCCGATAACCGTGGCTCAGGAACCAAGTTTAGGTATACAAGAACCTCGAACTGGCATGCAACAACGCAAAATCCTGAAGTAAGAATCTTTGCGCGCCTTCTTCAGCAGAACGACCAAAGAACACTCGCAGATGTATCGTCTCCCTAGATCGAATATCCTCAAATGCCCAAACTCGTAAGTGAATTCCGTGTTGATGCCCATAACTTTGAATCTCGTTCTCCAGAAGACAAAGTATTGCAATTGGAGTATGTCGCTTAATCTGAGTCCGAGTCTGGCCAGAAGTTATTTGTTTGTCTTGCTTGACGAAAGATTGTCTCAGAACCTGAGCGGAAGGGTCTGGAACTTGAACTGAAGTCATTGGAGTGTGTGGTTTGATCGAATGTATTGGCCCGCTCACGGTAAGCAAAGGAACCAGGGATTGAACCGAAGATGGTAGGTTGAGGGGATTTATTGGAGGTACTAGCTTCTGAACCAAAGGTAGGCTTGTGGGTTGAACTGGACCCACTGGACCTAGGGGCACACCTAGGGGCACTCGAGTTCGAATCGAAGAGGTTGCCTGGTGACGGCCTGTTGATAATACTCGGGGTTGGACTGTGGGTGCTCGCGGCTTGAGGATCAGAGAAGCTGAATCCTCTACCAGAGAAAATAGAGGCTGGATTTGAGGTGGAGGTACTGCGTTGAGACGGTGTGCCGAATGAACTAGACGCTGAAGTTGAACCAAAGATGCCAGGGGCTGGTTTTGAAGTGGTGGTGGAAGTGCGGCTTGTAGAAGTTGTACCAGACGCATTAGAACCTTGAGATGGAGCTGTAGCTGAGCCAAAGAGACCATGAGCTGGATTGGAAGTGGAAGTACTGCTTTTAGCTGCATTGAAGCTAAAAGCTGAAGCTGGAGTTGAACTAAAAGTATGAGAGCGTGGTTTCGAAGCGAAGTTGCTGCTTTTAAGGGGTGTACCAAAAATGGCGCTACCTGGAGCTCGCTCTGGAGCTGGAGTTCCTCCAAAGAGGCCAAAGCCTGTGCCCGAGCCTGAGGTATTTGCTTGAGTGGCGGCACCAAACGTACTAAAAGCTGGCGCTGGAGCTGTACCAAAAAGACCAGAGCCTGGGCTTGAAGTAGAAGCACTGTTTTGAGAGGCTGTACCAAAAGTACTAAAAGCTGAAACAGGAGTTGAACCAAAGACGCTGGGTATGCTGCAGGTATGGCCAGTGTTATTCCGATTATTGACCGTCGCGATATTTGCTGTTCTTTCCAACTCTCTGGCTTCCTCTTTCTCCCGCATTGCAGCTTTGCGGTCTCGCATCCTCCGATCCCGTTCTGCTTTATCCCGGTAATAGCTCGCACGTGTGGCTGACAAAGGATCCCACCCCGTCTGTAGTAGGTCCATCCTATGCCACGCTGATTCCCTTCTAGCCTCCAGTGCGGCTAGTTCTGTCCAATATGTGTCGGATTGCTTAATGACGGCTTTCCTGAGAAGGGTTCTTTCACTGTACTCTTGTTCAATTGATATGCCTGGACAGCCCGGTATTGGTTTGCTCATTCCAAAAATCCCTGAACTATCATGGCAGATGCCTCTGCGATGCTCGTTGACTTTATCTGCTTTGTCTAAGTCGTTAAGGATTTCGTCGAGCGCGTCTATCTTTGCCCAAAGATTGGATGCGTCTTTATCGAATCGTTGCGACATCCTAGTCCATCCTTGCCTCAGCTTAGCCTCGTGGGCTTCCTGTGCTTTTGCTCTCGCTTCTTCAGCACGTGCTGCAGCTGCTTTCCTCTCCCTCTCTTCTTTCGCCTTACGTTGTTGTTCTCTTCGTACTTCTTCTTGCCTCTCCTTCTCTTTCGCTCTACGTTGCTGTTCTCTCTTCTCTTGTTCTTGTTGACGCACTTCCTCGTCTCTCGCCCTTTTCATGTGATCCTGGACATTGTCTTGATTGTCCTGGGCACCTTGAGGCGGTGAGTTGCGCGAGGCATCGTTGATCAAGCTCTGCAGAAGAGATTCCGCATTCATTTTAGGCAAGTGAGCTCGAGCTTGTCGTATAGTTTTGTAATACAGACTATCGTAATCCCGTCGGCTGCTAATGTCTACCAACGCCTTGTATGCGTCGTCGAGCTGCCATGGTAAGCTTTGACCCACATAATCCACAGCGAAAGTTCCGGACATACCTTTGAGAAAGCAATATGAGCCGATGCCATCTTTGTTGAATCGGGACTCCAACGGTCAGGGTGAACCTTTAAACTCAAACGTCTGTATTCACGCTTGATCTGCTTCTCAGTGCAGCCTTGATGCAGTCCGAGGAGCTCGTAATAATCTTCCGTCGGCGGTGCTGGCATCGTCACTGATGTCAAACGAATATGGCTTCTGAGTCTTCTGAAGAGGCCTTTTCCCCAAGCTATACTCCAACAACATGCAAGCTCAGCCTTGGTTTCTCCCGGGAGTGATGCGATCAAGGTGATCAAGACTTTAGCGACCTGTGTGATCGCCCACGACGATTGTTGGGATCGAAAAAGTATTGAATCTTTGCGAAGGTAGAAAGAATTTGTCAAACTGACTTGATTGTTTAGTTCAAAAGGCAAGGCGCAAGGAGATCGAAAACCTTGGAGGTTCCCGAGAGCGCTGGAGCGCTAGGTAAGGCTAGCTCCACGTGACTGCTATGCGATCAGCCTGTGATATTAAGAGGTTGAAAAGGCTTGATTGAAAGGCTTAGCTCCGCTGGGCCTTTTAGGCTCCGAAGGAGCTGACTAATCTAGTACGTGACTGAAGGTCATGTGACAAAAATGACAAGCCTACAATTTCTCTGCTCCCATGAGCATGGACGGGTAATGGGATATGAAATCTTAAATACTCTTTCAGACAGAAAATCAGGTATGAGAAAATCAATTCTAAGCTGATAAGCACTTCGAGCTGGTACTGTACTGCAGCCATTTTCGGTGCCATCAGATTTCTGGCGCTCGCTAATAAGGAATTCTACCACTTGACCTCCAAGAAAGAAGATTGAAATTTGCAGTGAAACAAATTGGAAATAATACAGTCAATCGATTGATAATACAATACTTCACTCCCAACTTATATAATACAATTCTGCAGAAAAAGAAAAATGCCATCCTCATATCAAAGAACAACATACGAGATTCCGAGAGGATCATCTAAAGAAATTCAGCCGACCTTCCAGCAGAACTATCAATTAAGCTCGTCACCACCCGACAAATCATATCAGCCATCATCCTATCCGTCGTCGTAAACCGATCCGCATGCGGCGAACGAGAAATGGAATCAGGATGCCACTTCATGCACTCCTTCCTCAGTCTCTTCGCCATCCCTGAATCCTTCGGCACTGCTTTCTCAAAGAACTCTTCGACAGCTGAAGCTTTCACATCACGGTATGAGCCCGACTTGACTGGCCAAGGAATAGAGTCTCGCAAAGCTGCTTCTGATGATGCAGAAGACTTGAATTGTACCCATCGCGCTTCGTACTTGGTCCACAACTGACTCCATTGCTCTTTCTCTTTCTGCTCATTCTCCTTTCTCTCCCGTTCTCGCTCTTCGCGTCTCTTCTGGGCTCGTTGACGGAGGCGTTCACTGTAGGCTGCTTGCTCACGTTCGCGCTGCTCTTTCCTCTCCCTGTCTTTTCTCTCTTTCTCCAGCCGCTCTTCTTCTTGCCTCTTCGCTTCTCTTTCCTCTTGCTCTTTCTTCCGGCGTCTGCGCTCTTTTTCGTCAGCTCTCCTAGCTTGCTCTTCTTGACGGTGCTGCCCTTGGTCAAACTTCCGTCGATCTTCTGCATTTTCTTGCTGCTTATCTTGCAACTTTGCCAAAAGCTCGCGCATTTCTCGTATCTGGCTCTTCATGTCTTCAACACTTTCATCTTTTACAGAGTCTTGCTTCTTGCTGCTTCTCATCGGCTTGGTCGGTTCTCGTTCGCATTTTCCAGGTAGTTGTTGAATGCTAGATTTCCATTGCATAACGATTTCGTCGGCTTGGTTTTGATGATACCTCACACAGAGCGCTCGGGAAGCAATTGTCCTCAATCGTGAGATGACCTCGGGACTGGCAGGGTCGAGATATGATATCTCGTCTAAAGTGTCCATGATGCTTGTTTTGTTGTCTTGTCTGATTGGGTTTCGACAGCGTCGTCGCTGTGAGGGGGCATAGCCCATGCAAGTGATGCATTGGTAGCCGGGGTCGGGATTGATAATTTCCAGGGTCTTTGTTGGATTCCACAACTTCTTTCTTTGGGCAAACGTTGCCTCACGGGAATAGTAAGTGTTGACAACCATGATTGTTGAGACTTCGATTGTTTGTTCGTGAATTGTAGATTGAGAAGGTTATTTTGACGAGATAGAGCATTCATGATACCTATATGGACCAATGTTGGAAACACCATCAGGAAGGCTGAGCAGGTGTACCAAAGGAGACAAAAGTGTTGGCAAGGGTATGTCACACACTCGCTAGTCTGGACTGCATCAGCCTCGCAGCTCAGCGAGGAACTCGTGGTCACTGCAGGGTAACATATCCCAATCATGGAGGCTATGAGACTCGGCTAACACTCCACAGCCACGAAGAATGCAGCAAGTTGGGCTGTCGCAAGCCGAAAAGGCAGCCTGAAGCACGTAATGTGCCACACCTCACCGGAGTCCTTGATGCGATCGAGTAGGACGGCCAATCCCAAGTGACACTCAGCTATCTCCGCATTGAATAAGCCACCAACCAAGCCACGAACCCCAGGCTGCGGCCCGAAGCGCTGGGACGGATGGCATCGCCGAACTGTACTACTTGATGCTTGTTACAAAGAATTGAATGGTCGTTAGACGTCATAAGTCCCGTTCAGCGCTTCAATCTGTTCTATCAGAGAAATGAAGACGGGAGATGCGGTTTGATAAGTAGCGGTTGCGAAATAATTGCTTGTTTGTGATTGAAGGTGTTTCAGCCGTCATCTTTGCGCTAACCCATTTGCTGATTCATGAGAAGTGTACAAAATAATTCATTATTGGAATTCATAATCGAGATCATAGCAGAACTTAGTCACTACTATATCAAGAAGCATTCCCTCCATCATATCTCGTATCGGGGAGGTTGTCCATCTGATCCGGCTGAGGGGTGACATTGCGGACATACCCTTTGTTTTGAGTTAGCTTGAGGCCATATGGGTAGATGAACCGAACGACTTACGGTACTACCTGTCCTACAGGGGACATATTCTGGAGACCGATAAGGTCTGAAAGCTACTCCAGTGTCAATATTGCTGTTGGAGGACAAAGTGAAACGGTAGACTTACAAGTGACTGTGAAAACCGGCATCGTTCCACCCAGGCCTCACGTAGCAAAAGTGCATGCTCCACGCTGTTGCTTATGAATGCTATCCTACTATGAAGTGCCACAGAATGTGTGCTCAATTTCTGCATGCTCGAACTTGGTAGATGTGTATCCATATATGCTAACTTCTTCTCCAGAGTATTGAGCCTCAACAGATTGAGTTCCAGAGCAGATGCCTTCATGATAAGCTTGCCAGCAATGTCGCTTGCTCGACAAGATAATTTCTTATATTCAACTGTCGGGAGGTCTTCACGCATAGTCTGCTCTTTAATTTTCCAGACTTCGGAGGAAATGTTGTACATGTTCACCGAGATGTTTCGGACTGCATATTCGATGAGCAGAACTGGTATGAGAATCGGATGTGGGCATGCATGGTATTGCGAAGTCAAATCCAGATCCTGGAATTCTGTTGGGAACGATGTTCGTATGTACCCGCTCGTTATGTTCGATGCGGACTGGTATCTAATTGTACACGCGAGAGCGGACGAATTTATATCCTGAGAGCAAATTACAGCTTTCGTTATTAGTTTCAGCATGATTCAAAGTCAATGTTCGAGGCCAAGGGAAGGAAACTCACTATATTCGTCTCCTTCCGTCACAAACATCCCGCACGCGCCGGTCTGATCAGATGCCCAGTGCAACTCCACAGGTGGGAGACCAAAGATTTCGCACATCGTTTCAAAGTTACTCTTCTTGAAAGGGATCGCGCTTCTGATAGGTTGCACGAAGAAAACAAGTCTCAGACTACTAGAGGGGGATTTGATCACGGGTTGACGCTTAAGCCATGTGCTGAAATCGTCTTCTTCAACAATTTCCGCGTTCAGTACAGGGTCTATACCTGAGCCCAAGTCGTAATTCCAGTATTCGAATGTGTTGAATCGGGACTGAGATTTGCCTTTTTGAGTCTCCTCTGTGAAAGAGACCGGTTGGGTCCTTGGCCAGCTCCAGACCGTCTTTCCATTAAAGCTGGATGGATCCATCGCAAGCCTTGTTGTAGATTGTGCAGATAGATTTTCTAGTGTCATGGAACAAACGTGTTGGAGCTATCCTCTTTATGTCTGCTGTTCATGAGGCCGGAGAGCGCGGTCCGAGACTTGGCATGCATTGTATATTTCACTTCTCGGCTGGACATGCCAAACCCCAGGGCGTCTTTCTCTTCGCAATCAAGTTACGGGTTTAAGCTAATCTGCAATCACTGCACACTGGTTCCGTGAGTCTTGCTGCAAAGAGGAACCTATATTGTTACTGTACTCTTGCGATAAATTTCGATTAATGTGCCGCGAGACATCTTTCATCTCTTAGCAACTGGCGCGAATTGCGTAAATTGCACAATGCTGTTGTTTTGCCCATTTCGCGCACGATGCGCAAAAAGCTGGCAATGGTAGTGAGACTTGAATACGGAGCTGCATCTTGGACGAATGTGGCAACGGATGTACACGTCAAAAGACACTTCGTTCAGGTCATAGACTTAGACTATTCCTCGTTTCGTTATTCCCTGTGCCATGTTCTGCCACCTGAGCTTGATAAGTGCCAAACAAACAATAACGACGGATGAAGAAAGAAAAGGACTACTGCTTTGCAGAATGACGGAGCAGAGCAGAACGCGGCTTATTTGGGCAAAGAGAAAAAAGGACAGAAAGTTCACAGATGTGACTTGTCTTGCGGAAGCTTGATTGCTGATGCAAAAGAAGACAAAAGACCATCTTTAAAAGTATGTCTAGAAGTATACACCACAATATCAACCGTACCTCCATGTTCCACCCTCCAACCCATCTAACCAAAAACCTTCTCCTGCTTCGCACCATCAATAGCCTTAGCAAAGCTCACCCGATCCTTGGTATAAAACTCCACCCCAACCTGACCCAAATCCGCCTTCCCGCCATCCAACCCACCCGCCTTGATACAAGCCACATCCGGCATGACCTCCAGCTCCGTATACAGACTGCTTCCGCAGGTCCCGCAGAAGAAGTGCTTGTTGATCTTTCCCGAGTTTCCAACGGCGTCGTACGTCTTGAGCGCTCCGACAACAGGCGTGTTGCCTTTCGTGACTTTCATGTTGGTGCGTGGGACCACCACGTTCGAGGTGTAGGCTCCGCCGGACCACTTTTGGCAGTCGGTGCAGTGGCAGAGGGCGGTTACTGCGGGTTCGCCTGGATGAGCACTCAGTGTGTGAGGTCTGCGGATGGAGGAGTAAGGAGAGAGGTACCGGTGAACTCGTATTCGACGGCTCCGCACATGCAGCTTCCTTTGGTGGTCATTTCGAAGGTTTGCTTTGGGAGACGGTTTCTAAGCGAATAGTTACTCATAGTTAGGATTCGGAAGTGTGCTATTGCAGTTTAGAGAGCTAGGAAAGGAGGGTTTCTCTTGTGGGGGAAGAAGTCCCTAAGGAATGTAAATATGGCGAGGAAACATACCAGGAATGTCTAGCTTTTCGCGCCGTTGATAGATTCGTATACGGTGATTTCTTCGAGACTCGTCCAATTGATGCAAAAGAAAGAAAAACAGAAAGAAAGCAGGGGCGAAATATGTACTTATACCCCTCTGCGACCCGGACATCAGATCCACCAAACGAGGGGTTCTCGGATCGCATCCTGGCCGAGCAGGAGCTGCGCTGTCCTGCAGTAGTGGGAGGACACTGCCTGTCCGCCGCAATGATTCCACATTGCTGCGGGCCTATGGAGAGCTCCGAATCTGTTGGATGGACTCCAGAATGCCTCTTCTTGGCTACAGCTATTTGGAATCGTTGTGTCCATCGCGGCGTAGGATAAAGCTACCCCGCAGTTGCATTCGACGCCGTCGTCGGAGAAGTGGAAGCTTGTCGTTGGAAAGGCATTCCGATTAATACTTATTGACCGGAGAATAGGAGGAGAAGAAATATGAGGGTAGAGAGGTGGCATCGCAGTGTTTATAGAGCTGGTGGTATCCCACAAGGTGCTGATGACTGAGAGAGGTGCATGCGACGGGCCCACTCTTTTGCACGTGCTTTCTACCTACTTTGAGCAATTTTGATATTTACCTGATAAACACATGAAATCTATTGCTCGACAGTCTCATTCAATTGATATCATTGTGGGAAACAGACAATAATCGAATGCATAATTTTTGGTCACTCTCATGCCTTCACATTGTGGTGCATAAAGCACAGCTTTGTGGCCTAGGGAATTGAGAAAGGAAAGACATTTACCTGCCTAGTAGCTATCCAGTAAGGTCGTAGAGGCTAGTTGGAATGCTTCATTTTCATGTTCAATGAGGGGAACCCATCGTCTATTGCAGCAATGATGGTGGTGCTGACTTACAGAGTTGATATGCCCTCTTCGTGTACACTCAGCCACAGATCTTGCATTGCAACCCAGAAGAAGATACCCATACCACCATCACCATCACCAGCTAGACCTTCATCCAAGCATTGTTGAACCACACACCAAATAAGAACCCGAAGAAGAAGGCCGTGATGACAAACAAACACACCAGATATACACGTTCCCGGCACTTTGAGGTTACCAATCTCTCAGCATCTTCAAACGCTTTGCTCGTATTATCGTCCAACCACTGGTAAGAGGCATGGAGACATTCCTTTACCGCCTTCATATCAGGATTGCCAGCCAACTGCCGCTCTATGGTTTCATTCAAGCAAGTACGCCAGAACTGAAAATACTTGTTAAGCTCTTCCTGAAGTACTGCCATCGGGGCTGTGATGTCTCTCGTCAAAGGATTGCCATCTTTCGATTCCTTGCTTGTGGTGATCGGTTTGCTGATGGGGATCTTGATATCGCTTGGTCGAAGTCCGACTTCGCGAGCAAATTGGACGACCTTGACGGGGCTGGAGATGGAAGAGCGCCTTCGAGCTTCGGAATTGACGACCCCAGCAATGGTTCCGCAAGATTCGATCAAGGTATCGAGTTTATCTCCAATTGCCTTGACATCAGAGGATACATCAGTATCCACAGTCTCGATGGTGTTGATAGAGCCTGAATGAGACGAATGATCTGATCCCATGCATGATGTGCAATATCCGTTGACAAAGGTTATGGGGAATTGGCGCATTTCTAGGCATTGGTCGTCCGTACATTTGGTTGAGTAATGGATGGTCCTGTGGTTACAGGGTTGATAACTAAGTGTCATTCCCGTACACATGTTGCCGGCTCTCCAGTGCAGTCGTGAAAGCGGTCACTGGCATCGAATAATCGAAATAGTTGGTGGTGTAGGAGACTGGCCAAGGACGTCAATTTGTTTACGAATCTGCAGCAGTGGAGGGCCATACCAGGTTGCGATACTGGATCGGCTGTAATTATTTTCATCGGAGCTTGATAGTTTGTCTGAAGATAAGAGCGTGTGTGAGATAAAAGTTGCTGAAGAGCCTTCCTTCCTTCCTCAATCGACCCGAATCACGTACTACAAACGTAATTTCATCAACTACGAAAGAGTTGAGATCATAGGAGAAAGGACACTGACCTGGTCAACTTCAGTCCTTGCGTGTCATATAGCTAGGAAGAAAATCCACAGACTAAACCCCAGGACGATGATCTACTTCACGCTACAAACCGGATGGCACATCGCAACGAGACAGAACAATTCAAGTAGACTCTTTTCATACTCCCAAAGAGTCCATGCTTTTCGTCTATTATAGTACAGCCAAGAGCCCGCTATGCAACTTATGGAAATGCAAATACAACCGTGAACTTAAATGCGCCTGCCCGTGGTATCTGAGTTGAAAGTTATGCCAAACTGTCTCCGCATCGAGTGAATAAGGACCTCCGGTGAAAACTGTAATAGTAGCTCCTCCAACCCCACACATAGAAAAGTTGCAAGTGCTGTCGGTGAAGATAGTTCAGGAATCTAATCTCATGCCGGAGGTTTGTGGTTTTGGTACCATTCCTCAAGCATAGCTTCAACTTTTGGTCCCCAGACATCCTCCCCAAGCGCCAAGTCATCATATTCCAAGACATTCTTGCCAAGCTCGAAGTCGCCTTGTCTGGTTCTCTCCAGCTCAGCCATAAGCGCAACGGAACCAACAGCTGCACCGAGATCATGGCAGAGAGAACGTACGTAGAAGCCTGATGTTACAGTCATACGGAGTCGAGCTGCTGGTGGTCCCTTGGCTGACTTGGTCGTAGCTGAATGGGTGTTGACAGCGGTGGTGGAAGTATTTGGAGTTGCGTCCGCTGCTACTTCGGGAGCTGCCAAGCCTCCAGACATGACCGCATCCTCGGAGGAAGTTACCTTCTTTCGTTGCTTCGATGGTGGTCTCTCATGGACAAGGTCGTCTTGGTTCTCGACTAACTTTCTCTTCTCCTGCTCGAATTCTACACGTCCTTCATCGACCTTGGCCGTTTCACCAAACCCCTCCGTAGCACCTTCGGAAGACTCTTGCACACTAGATTGTGGTAGAGATATGTCTTTTTCTTCGACCTTTATTGTTGAATTTGCCACTGCTTCCTGTTTGGTACCATGGGTCAAGTGTGAATCATCGTCGCCCGAGCTAGCGGTCACATCATGACTGTTCGTCTCATTTGCTGTGTGATTCTTCTTTCCACCCGTAACTGTAAGACCATCGGTGTCATCCGCAGCCTTAGAAGGTAGAGCATCAGCCGAAGCCTGGCCATGCTGTCCATCATTGACTTGGCTCTCTTCAAGATTCTTCACCGCACCATCCGTGCTCTTCGGCTTGGCAGGGAGAGCATTTTCCTGCTTCCACAACTTATTTGCGACGTTGACTTCTGCGTGTCCTGCTTCGTCGGTTGGTGCTTCATGTTCATGAGTTCCTCCCTCCATCCACTCAATCAACTCCAACTCCAAAACATCGACTGGTCTCCGCTCAATCTCTCTGGGTATCTCCTTCCCTTCCCGAGCGTACTCATAGAGAGGCTTGCCATTCATCTTGAGCGCAGAAAATAGTGGAGGTAGTTGCATGAACTTTCCGCGAAATTGACCAAGAGTATCCTCCACCATCTCCTTCGTAATATGGTCGTAAGGAGCTCTTTTCAACACCTTTCCCACTCGATCATATGAGTCGGTGCTTGTGCCGAAGAGGACGACTGTTTCGTAAACCTTTGTACACATCAGGAAGTCTTGCAGAGACTTTGTACCCTTTCCAATGCCGGCAATCAATACACCAGTAGCAAGAGGATCTAGAGTTCCACCATGACCGATCTTGACCTGGATCTTCTTCTCCCTCCTTCGTTTCCGCTGATTATGACTTTCTTGCTGTCGATACTTCGTTTCCGACTCTAGCCAAGGCGCGAACAGCTCTGATGGGTTGAAGTAGGTTTGCAGATCGCGCACCACTTGGGCAGAGGAGAGACCAGTGGGTTTGTTGATAGCTGGACAATTAGCAATTGCGAACTTGACTGCTAACAACAAGACATACCGAAGACGCCTTCCATGATCTTGCCCTTTGTCATTTTCCAGAAGTTTGAGGCGGACATTCGTCCAGCTTTTGCGACAGATCGTCTCTGATATTTTCTGCGCCCTCATCTGGAATTTGCACCATTTTGCCGGATAGAAGGCGGTGAGCGCTGTATTACGCTAGCCTTACTCCGTTGTAGTGCCACCGCTTTTCTTTAGCTCCTCCGGAGAATTCCGTTCGGATGCAGCCCCTTTCGTTCGCTTACAACCTCACTACAAATTGTCTTGGCTAGGACCACAAGTGAAGATTCCGTTCACAACGACGAACAACGACGACATAACGATATCTGACTCAATTTCCGGACTTGTGTCGAACATACCTCTTCCCGGGTCAGAAACTGAAGTTCAACAAGCCAACGTCTTCGCACACGATATGGAGAATTGGCGCAGCATCGACGTCCAAGATGCCAAAGTGCTTATTGGTGGTCAGCATGTCAATACTGGCCTCCTTACAATTATCGCGGAAGGACATTTAGGGAAGGTGACAATTACAGGATTGTCCGACACGAAGATGAACAAGCAAATCCACGGGTCGACGGGATTGGCTGCAATTTCGGTGACATCGCCGGACTTGTATTCCATCCAGGACAATCCAACCGCGTTGTGGGTTGGATCAAAGTCCACCTGGTTTTCCGTCAATATGGCCCGCGAGTACAGCAAAGTCTTTTCGTCCGAAGGACATTCAATCAGCATGTTCTTCTCCGTTGTTGACTATTATCTCGAAGATTCATCTCGGCTCGATCTCCCACTGTCTAGCCAGCTTCTTGAGATCTTCGCACTGGTAAGTCTACATAGTCCTTTTAATATTTGCCGCGCTCGTCATTACTAATTCTTAATAGGACATTGCATCATTTGGTACAGGTTCTACTCTTAGGGAGAACATTCGTCTTTGCCACAAGCACGCTGCCTTTTTGGAACATCATATGGCAAAGGAGCCTGCCCAAATCGTCAAAGATGGAAAGTTGATTGAATGGAGTAAAACTCCGTTCTATGAGTGGATCACCCAGGACATCGAAAGCAAGACTAACGCGCTGAGCAATGGCATGATCAACCTCAACGAGCTAAAGGATATGATGGAATTTGCTAGTGCCGGAAATTCACACAGAAACTCGCCTGCCGAAGGCATGGACGGACAAGGAGACGTCAAGATGTCAGATCCCGTGGACGAAGAAGAAGAATATCAAGAAGAGGAAGTCACACTCCCAGCACCAAAAGTTCAGACTGGAGGAAGAGGCCGAGTCTCAGGCACTCATAAGGGTCCCTACATTTCCCCTCAACTACCCTCGAGCTCCAAGATCCCAGATACGTTCGTGGAGATCGCTGTCGCAATGTCCTATCATTACGTTGCCACGAATCGGGACGGCAAAACCATAGAAACTCTGTCTGTTGCCACCGTTCAGAACGCCATATACCGAGACTACTCGATCTCCAGGCCTGAGATTGCTACACGACTGATGCGCGATCATGCAAGAACCATCTACAACGCTCTGCTTCCGGAATTCAAGAAGGCGAAGATCGGTCAAGATTTGATTGCTCTTGAGCCTGCTACTGGACAGATTAAGTGTGCTAAGGAGGTACACGAGAAGAAAGCCAACGAGCAGTATTTGAGGTTGAAGGCAGGGGATGAGGTCTTGAAGCAACGGGGCGGAAATGCTGTACGACAAGTCCGAGAAGTCCTAGAAGTCCAAGAAGTTCGAGAAGTTCGAGGAGGGCAAGGCTCTGTTATGTCTGTTGCTAGTGATAGGGGTAGCGGTGATGGATTTGTTGTTCGTCGAGACAAGCCTGGCTACATCAATGGAAAGCCGATCCCGCAGCGCATCAAACGCTCGGGAATGTATGACTAATGAAGGAAACACTACTCTGGGGCAAAATTTGGCTGGCGTTTGATGTAGGATGCATTAGAGAGACACAGGTTGGCGTTAGAGAGTATGAATAAAAGCTCTTCTTCTCCTGCATTTCTAACACCTGGTGACAGCAATGCTATTGTATCAATTGTGATGTAGATCTCTACAAATCGATTTTTGAATATCCCAGGACGCTCTGGACATTCAAAGCTACCATAGGCTTTGGAAATACCGGGCTGAGAACTGATCACGTGAGATGAATATCTTTCCTTACATTCTACCTAGATCAATTGTCCTAACCCGCTTTAGATATCTAGATCGTTTGAAGGTTGTACTGCACCGCCAAATACAGATATAGCGGAACATAATACCAAAATTTGGAGAAGTTTACGTCACGTGAACATAGAACTGTCTCTTGCTATCAGTGTTACTATATCCAGATTGTCTGGACATTCAATTTTATCAATTTCTTCTCATTTTCTGTGCTTTCCACGTAAGAAATTTTTGTGCGGGGGTTGTATGGCTGACTAATCAAACTTAGGCTGAGCCTAAATCGACCTCCAGTTCCCTTCTCATTTTGCCATCAATCAGTTACGTGTCATTGTCGAGTAACTTACGATGATCACTGCTCCAAGACATCGCTCTTCTTGACATTCAATAAAGCATATTGATGCTGTTCTTTCCTTTCCTTGTTATGTTCATCCCGTGTTTGTACGTAACAGTCATGGGCTTCGGTCGCAGAATTCATGGACAAAGCTTGGCATTTTGGCAACGTGGAATAGTAGCAACACTGCCGAGTAGTCGAGTGAAGCATCTGCCAAGTACAACCATCTCTCGGTCTTTCTCGTCTTTATCTGGCTAGCAGACACTTTGAGTGATAAGAGGCATGCAGAGCCGTTCATCTTGTCAGCCTTGATATGGTTCAGTCGGAAGTGCTGCTGACAACCGTTCGCTCATATACTTGCTATGACGTCTGTTTTCTTTCGGTGTGTCCAGCTTGGGTGTCAAAGCTACATTTGACTGGGCTTTGAATAAAAGTTCAGGGGTAGGAGCCTCCCACGGCGATATTTACGCGACTTCTGTCAAACACCATCAGCAAAAAGAAGAGTTGCGGCTTGTCTAAATGGCAGCCCCTTCGATCATGTTCCATGCTTGCCACGAGGAGAGAGGTCCAGAGCCCTGGGTGGTGTTCTAGTGCATGCAAACTTTGTGCCTGCAATCTTAGAAATTACCCGGAAGGCAAATTCTTTCAACCCAAGTTTTTTCTGCCTGATCTAGTGCAAGTGCCGGCATCGTCATAAATCAAATACTAGTAAACTACACGGGGCAATTGATACTTTACACAATCACCACTTTGCAAATGCTTAGTATTGCATTGCCGCTCTTTGTTTTGTGCTTTGGAAATGAGCTGCGATAGAATTCGATGTTTTCAAATCCTGATGAATATGATCAAATTTCTTTGCCTAAGGCTTATATCGTACTTCACTGTATTTGTAACTGCACCCGAATTCCCGGCCTGGCTCCCCACACCCCACAACTCCAGACCCCAGAATTGACATCCATCAAACCCCGTGTACCATGTATTTGTCCACGGGATCTAATATAGTCGTCCCAAGTTGCGCAGGACGTGATACGGTAGAGTTTGTTCTTCGCGCTTCTCATCCTATTGCCGGTTGGCGGCTGAAAACATTCGTAAATTGTGTCAATAAAACACAAACCTCCTACCCAATCATTACATATTTCGTATTCCGGCCACCTGATAGAAACTTTATGAACAAGTTCTTCATCGTCGGCAATTGTGGGGCTAAGTATCTCGCGGCTCCATTTGAATATAAGGATGCCTCGATACTTATTCTCTGTGCCTTTCTGCAGCTTCTTTCTTCGCCCTCTTCTTCGTCGTCACTCTCTACACCCTAATCAAGACCAACATCTCAACTGTTCGTCAAGATGCAGTGGACTTCGGTTGCCGCCGTTGCGCTTCTCGCGCACAGTGCTGCCGCTCAAAACATGCTTCGTTTCGCATGTTCTCAGCTGGTCGTTGATCGTGTTGACCCTCTCGTCGATCCGGGTGTGGTTTATACCCCTCATCTTCATCAGATTGTTGGAGGAAACTCTTTTAACATTACTATGGATCCGGCCACACACGACCTTCCTGGTTTGTCAACCTGCACATCATGTACCTTCAAGGAGGATACGTCGAACTACTGGACGGCTGTTATGTTCTTCAAGGCAAAGAACGGAACTTATATCCGTGTTCCCCAAACCGGCAATGGAGGGCCTCAAGGACAACTCGTAAACAAGGGTGGCCTTGATGTGTACTATATTCCTAGCGGCAAGGTTACGGCATTCAAGCCTGTAAGTTAACGTGGTTAGTGAAGGTCGACTGATTTCTGACTGGTTGTAGGGTTTTCGAATGCTTGCTGGAAGTGCTGCCAATGAAGACCCAAAGAAAGTTCAATCAGGATCTATCTGCCATCGTTGCTGGACATCCACCAACGACAACAACTTCGTTGGCGGTGCGCCTTGCACTGGCAGTGACACAGTTGAGATTCCAAGTGACCCCAAGTGCAAGATGATCAGACAAACCATCATCTTCCCAACGTAAGACTTTTCACATTATTATCCAGTACATTACTGATGGAACGTAGCTGCTGGGATGGCAAGAACCTTGACAGCCCAGACCACAAGAGTCACGTTTCATACTCAGGACAAGGTGCTAACGGTGGTGGAACTTGCCCATCTGCTTTCCCAGTTAAGATTCCCCAGATCATGTACGAAGTGATGTGGGATGTATCCAATTTTGCCGACAAGTCTCTCTGGCCCACTGATGGAACCTCTCCATACATCTACAGCATGGACGTCGGGTAAGTGAACATTAAATCGATTTGGATTCGTGAATTGGTTCCTGACTGGCTCTTTAGTGGCGCTGCAGCTCACGGTGACTACATCTTCGGATGGAAGGGTGATTCGCTTCAGCAAGCCATGGACAAGAACTGCAACCTCAACAAGGATTGTCCAGCCGCTGGTCTTCACGCTCAAGACCCAAGCGTTTACGGTGCATGCAACGTCAAGCAACAAGCTCCAGAGAAAGTTGACGGATGTAAGTCAAATTATACAAATTGGTAGAATTCCTCTAACGACTTCAACTCTAGGGCTCGCAGCTCTGCCACTCGGCACTCCTGCCATGAAGGCATAAATGCACTCCAAGCATTTATTATATACTGTTTACACCTGCCAGACTTTGCCACCCGCTTTCAATTCAACTTAACTGTATCGTGGGTCCATTGAATGCGAATGCAGTTCAAGACATGCACAACGTTCTGACAGCCACCACTTAATGGGGCTTGTGGGAGTCACTCCGACACTTTCTTGTCACTCGTTAACCACTGGCATACTTGATGGTTAGATTTCATACTTCCGACCCTTTCTGGTCTTACTACGCATATTTCAAATGTAGCTAGCTAGTTCCCTTCAATTTAGTGCCCCCTTTTGTATAATTGACCGATCACATTCACTCGTGCATTTGTCGACGGATCTTCTCATCTCATTCGTTGTTCTGTTGCGATGATTCGCTGACTATCCCAGGGGAGAATCTTCTACCACGAAGGTATTGATTAGTGCAGCCGATGTGGAGGACTTGGATTGCCACAGAGTAAGTCCTTGGCTAGCTTTCCTTGGATTGTAAAGCTTTTGCTTGTGCCCAATCTGCCCCGCACCGAGATATAGAGAGATTATGCAACCCAAAAACCAAGATATCGTGTCTAATTTCGATATTTTCCTCCCCCACTTTCACGCAATTTCTCGCGTCGCACTTTAAGGTTGCAACATAAAGAGGAGGCAAATCGTCGATGATTGAGGCTATTCGGACCATCCGATGGTATTGGCCGACATTGCTTCGTCCTCGTCATAGCCTTCAGCGAAAGGATCCAGTCGTGTGCTGACTCTATAGTGGGGCCAATTCAATCACGTTCATCCTTTCGCCCACAATGATAGTCTGATGTTATGCCCAAGCCGTGGTTAATATCCCGATCCCCCTGGTCGCGCTAACCGAGCCTGTGAATGCCGGCCGGTTGCATGGTTCCAAATCAACATCTATAACAGACCTTCCTATTGTAACATCATCAATATACGGGTAAATGTGCCACCAAAGTACAAAGTACAAAGTACCAAACAATTATCTATCCACTCGGTCACCCACCCGTCTTCTCAAAAAAGTCGTTCCGCCCCACGGAAGCAGGTCCTGTTCAAAATAGATCAAGACGTCCAAAAGAGTGGCTCTTTCATCCGCACTAGAAGATTCCTTTCAGTATATAGTGCACATCCGCCCATCTATTTGCTCCCTGCCTTCCTCTCATCCTAGTAGGAATTGGATAATAAAAGTCACCAGTATTTCTATCACTGCCGACTGCCTCATTATCTCGGCCATATATCGTCTTGGCATTCTGTTTGGAACCCCACTACCGCCACAAGCCGTCACGCCAAGTCGATCAAATCCTCTTACGGATCAGTAATATACGACCCTCTAGTTTCTCGGTCGCTGATTGATTTCTCTTCTTTTTCGAGCGATCATTGGAGTGCGAATTCAAAATGTGTTGGATCTTTGTTGCCTTGTGGGCAGCAGCTTTGGTGGGCCTTGGTAAATGACCAACATTTCCTTCTGAGTGCTCTGTTAACAGTCTACTACAGCTTCGGGAGATCCAGTTTCAGGCGCTTCCGTGTACCATGATCCGGAAACAGGATTCACGTTCTCGCAGTACAATGTGATGTACAGCTTGTCAGAAACCATCACCTTTCGTATCGCAGTACCAAGTCCAGTTACTGCAAACCAACCTTATGATGCTGTTCTCCAAGTCGTCGCTCCCATTGACGTGGGATGGGCTGGACTTGCGTGGGGCGGTCAAATGACATATAATCCATTGGCCGTGTCCTGGTCTAACGGCAACAACGTCGTCGTCTCTTCTCGTTTTGCTACGTAAGTTACATTCAGTTCCTGGAAAACTTCGACGTTGACAAAATATCAGCCAGCATGCAGCGCCACCAACTTACAGTGGCGCAACCTACTCAGTTTTCAAGACTGGGACACACGTGAACAGAACTCACTTCCAGTACACGGCGAAATGCACTGGCTGTACCACTTTCACCAACTCGGCCGGTACCCCAACGACTATCAACCCCACGGGCACAAACCGTCTTGCTTTCGGTTACTCGAGCAGCAGACCGAATAATCCATCATCTAACACATCAAGCTTTCCTGTTCACGACGTGTACAATTACTGGAGTCAGGATTTCTCTTCTGGAGCCAATACTGCTTTTGCTTCTCTAGCGGCGAAGAATTTGGGTTAGTATTGAAGAGGTGTGTTGAAAGAGGGTTACGAATACTGAAGAGGTGTGTTGAAAGAGGGTTACGAACAGATTGGTGTGACTGGAGCTAGTTGTGTTTCCTGTATATAGACCTCCGCAATTCTGAGGTAACGCTTGGTATGGAGTCGCGCTGTACATACATTCTTTGTTTCCGCCCAATGAAGCAGTGGAACGGTGGCCAGAATTTTCAAGCCTGTCCGCCTGTACAAAAGGTACTATGGTCAAGTGAAGTGCAACTGCAAACCATGTCTGGACGATTTCAGGAGGTCTTTTACTCAAGACTAGTCAAAAGTGACAAGTCGAACGTTCGATGCCAGCTAGCGACTATAAATACGTTCCGTGCTCTTCCAAAGAATATTTTCACCCGGATGAATAAAGTTGGGAACTCCAATTCGCGCTGCCATATAAACAGACGATCCGACTGTTGAATGGATATTATTTTTCTAGCAGAGGTTGCGAAATGTTCCACGGATGCTCCGACACTGAAACTCTCAACCTCTAATCCGTTTCATTTCACACGCAACTACTGTCCAAGACAGAAGAAGCGGGGTCGGGTCACAAAGCAAAGGTTCAACCATCAGATGTCATCTCATGCGCAGTAAAGCACGGCGTCAAATGTGTAGAGGTCACGATATTCTGATAAAAAAGGCATAGCGTCCCGCATTCTCATTTACCCCGCCCCCTTTTTAGTTCTCGCTTAAATGACAGGATGTGGGGCCTTGCTTTGAAAACCATCGGCTTCTGCACAGGCATCTGGTATGATTAACTCTAAATTGTATAGATAATCAACAAAGCGAGAAGAATGTAATGTACCTGAGAAATGAAGCAGAATCAATCCTCAAGAACAAGTCCAGAACCTTAGTTTCAGCCCAATGGCAATGAAGACTTTCACTCCTCATGCAGTCTGACTTTACGTTTGGCAACACACCGCTTCACCCTGGAGTTTCTACATGATTCCTGCCTATCTTATTGTCTATAATCCTTTGACGGCGAGTCTGCGGCCGAGTATGTCCTCCGAGCGAAAGGTGTATACTGAGGCGAGAGGCGACTTGATTCGGTAACAGGGACTTGGTAATCTAGCCCTTTAAAGGTTAGCTCAGACATATCAAAGTTGATTCAAGATTGAATGGCAAGTAAGAGACTTTGCGTACTTGATGAAGCTGCTATGCTGTGCAAAGAAATATAAGCGATCAAGATGGTGAGGAGGTTGACAACTGTGCCAAAAAGGAGGAAGACGATAGCCAAGGCTGTGTCTGAGGGTACTGTTAAACAGACCAGCTTCAGGGTATGCCTAGGTAATTAAGCAGTACAGTTGTTATTTTTCAAGACAGCCAAAGTTATGTTCTCTTGCACGAAAGGAGTGAGGGAAGCATCCAAAATAGTGACTGACCCATTTTGCAAAGGTTTAATATCTCGAGAATCGATTCTGTACGTGTGTATCGAAAAACCTCGGGAGTTCTTGGTACATGTGCAATGTTTTGATGGTGCTTTGACAAATGTTTGTATGTATCAGGCCAGGCATGAAGTTATAGAGTGCTATTGTTTGAATTTCAAAACACTGGACTGGCCGCTGGTTTGAAACTTTGAAGCCAAAAGCCGGGGAATGCGGCTTATATGCCATAATTCCGTACTTTTTGTACGACGGCAACACAAGCAAACCGCAAGGCTCTCACCAAACGCTTTAATTTGTCCCGTGACAAGCGTCTTTGGAAGGAAGATGATAGAGATAAGAAATTTTCATAATATATTCGTTAACGCTCGTAGGCAGGGAGCAAATTAAGAAATGTGATGAACAAATGTCACTATCTAAGAGTTTGAGAGAGGAATGTCCCTGATGGTGTAGCCACTGACCGACATCCGAACGACGTAACACGAGAACGATCCAATAAGAGCAAGTGGTCCGCATTTGACCTCGCTTGCAACTTCATGCATGTGACTCGCAGCTGAGACAGGCTAATATTGATGGAATATGGTGTAGTTACATAGTAAGGAATAAGGCTGAGTAGTTGATCAGAAGGAGCACTGAACACGGCGAAAGGCTGAGTGCATTAATTTTACATATTGTTGGTGGAGGGACAAGGCTTCTACGAAGATGGTTTCAACCTGGATCCTAATCAGCTCAATTTTACTGCGGATGTTCAAGGTCAATTTGTGCATCCATAGCTCAGTGTTGACCCAAAGACGTGGAAATACTGATTCTAAAAGTCGTGCTAATTCAGGGGCTCGCTTAGGCTGTCTCTTCAAACTCCAAAGTGAACATAAGGGGCCCAATACTGCGGATTCTCTTGCGATAACTTCTGAATTCCCGTCATGATCAACTTTGCGTCTCTCCCTGCCCTTTTGCCTTCTTTCTTTTCACCTTCATTTGTTTTCGTGACATTCTCATTGCAAGGCGACTGGCTCGCCGCACCCATTGCTCTTCGCTCTTCCACATATCCATCTCGCAGCGCCCTGACAGCACGATGAAGCCCTCGGTGTACGGCTTTATCTGTCATGCCTTCATCTTGAATCGTCTCGTATAGTACTCTCGCAACATCCACGCAGTGTCGGTCTGATACTTCCCAGAGGGTTCCAATAACGTGGCGAAAACCGGCGAGCTGGAATGCACTGATGAGATGAATACCCTCGTCAAGTAGTCCTTTGGCTTTGTTAGCACCAGTGGAGCAGGCGGACAGGTATCCTAGGAATGGCGGATTATTTGCCATATTGGAGTCTCGAAGATCTCCCACTGTCAAAGGATTAGTTTTCCAGTCGTCAAGGAGTAGACAACTCCGAGATGGGTCTGAGGGATCGGTTTGTCCGTGGCCAGCGAAATGGAAGATGCAGCAGGTGCTCATATACCTCAACACCTCTTTTCTGGAACGAGCGGGTTGGACTGTCTCTAGCCCCATCGATGCGCAAAGGTCATCCAGCATCTCCACCTCTTCTGCTGCATATGGGAGATCTGAGTTTACATGAAGCCCGGGAGTCTTTGACATTCCAACTAATAGAGAAATGTCAGGACTTTTCTTCCTATCATCAGGGACATCGGTCACTGGCTGTTGTCGAACATCGTTGCGGCGACCATATATCAAGGCTTTGACAGAAGAACTGTAGGAAGAAATAACTCTGTCGATCACTGTTTCGGTAGAACCTCTGAAATGATATCCCGAAGCATGGATCGGGAGCTGAGTAAGTGCGCCAGTTGGTATCCACCATAAATGTGGCCAATCATCATCAGATGGCGTTTGCTTGAACCCCAATGCTTCTAGCACGGGACGTGCGACAACGTCCCAAAGCCACTCTAGCAAGGAAGAGGTAACTCCCACCGCATTGAGTACCATCGCGTGTTCATTTACTTCTCTTTCATGAAGATTTGGCAGCTCCAATACTTTGATTTCAGAGCTAGTGATGAGAAAAGCGTCGCACCGATATCGACTGACATTTATGACAGCAATAGGACCTTTGCTAGCAGCAGCTTTGATTTGATCCACTGTGGGGGGAAGCAGGAATCCTTCAAAATTCGGTAATTGACGTATTTTGGCAAGAACCTCTTTGAACTTCTGATCTGTCTCTTGACTGCGCTTTGCTTCCAATTTGGCCAATGGTAGATTGTCGATATCTGCTAAAGATATAGGTCCTTCGTTTGGAGCATCAAGCTCATCCCGGAGAGACGTAAATTGTTCGGCCAATTTAGGGTGATTTTCTCTCAGCTCCGTGATATCAGTCCGCATTTCCAAGATCAAGCCCGAAATAACACCACGACCGAGCTCCAGGAGTGTTAAAGCATCAGATGCTTGTTTCTTTGCGTTCAGGGCAGCACCGGCTCCACGAGCAGCCAAACCAGCAAAATGACCAAGTGTGTATTGCTTATCAGAATGCTTCAGTGATCTCGGGCTCACCACTGGGAGCAGGTTCAGTCCTGCTTCATAGAAAAACGTCGAATCTTCCCAATTCTGCTGATCAGCACGCACCCTGGCAGCACTATCTGCGCACAGTATACGATGCGTTGGTATAGAATTCTCACATCCAAGTCCTGCTTTGAAAAGTACACAGGCTTCTTCCAAGTCTTGGTCGTCACCAAGTTCTGAATTTCGATAAAGGTGGTGGAATCCAGCTTTGTAAAATATTCTGGCTCGGTCAGCGTTACTTGGGGGCAGCACTTCGACAGCAGTCTTGATAATCTCCACAGTTTGGTTGAGATGATAGGCCTTCCCCGTCTCTTTGAACAGTCTTTCATGACATGTTGAAAGGAGGAAACAGAATCTATGTCGACCGTGGAAACTTGGGGGCGTCGAGGTAAGTGCCAATTCCAGCAATTCCACCGCACGTTCCAGGTCTTTGACAGATCCTCTCAAGTCAAACCTGCCAACAAGAGCGCTTGCAAGGTTACTCATCGTAATAATGCGACCAGAGTCGTTGTCAGCTGCAGTTGCAAGTGCAGTTTCTGTTGCCTCGATCGAAGCATCTTTGTCTTCTGGATTCTGAGTACGTACGAACTGTAAATCGAGAAGTTTCCCAAGGTTGGCAAAACATAATGAGCGGAAGGGACTGTGAGGCAAAATTGCAGCTGTAGCCATTTTTCCATATTTCAAAGCGCGGGCTAGATCATCCATCGATTCTGTTACCTCAAATCGCTTGCTAAGTGCTGTTGCAAAGCTGCTCAAACTGCTAGCGTAGATAGGACTGTCGGGAGTCAAAAGGGTGACCACCTCTTCAAAGGTTTCGATTATTCGTTTCAGATCATCTTGATTGCCCGTTTGGTCATATCGGACATTGAGGATATATGCAAAATTAGTGAGGAAGCTTGACCTTTCCGGATGTTCCGGCGCAAGAGCGTCTAACACCCTTTCACCTACTTCAACGGCTCTGTTGAGATCCTCTCTTTGTCCGGTCTGAGCGAACCTTAAGCTGAGTATGCTGCCGAGATTTGTGAGATTCTTAAGCTGGTCAGAATCATGCAAATTGATCTCAACTATAGACATTTCTGCAAACTCGACTGCCCGATCCATATCTTCTATTGATTTGCTGGTGTGTTCGAATCGGGAGATCATCCAGCCTGCTAAATCAGCATACCAGCGTTGTCGGCGATCGGAATCCGTTGCGATCTTGAGGACTGTTTCGAGAGTCTCAATAGCTTCATTGAGATCCCCGATTGTTGGTTTGAACTCATACCGCACCCTCAAAGTTGTTGCTAAGTTGCTCAAAAGGCCACTATAATTTTTGTGGTCATCGTGGTCAACCTCTGTGACGGCTAATCGAGCAAGAGTTATTGAACGATCTAGATCTGGGACATCTTCGAATCTTTTGAACCGTTTATCGAGCAAGGTTGCGAGTTCAACCAACCAGTGAAGCCGACGAGCATGATCGGGTGCGGTGATCAAAGCTGTCTCGCGGATCTCAATGATCTGATTTAGATCTTCTGTTGTTGACGTCGCATCAAATCTTGTTTTCAGCAACCGTGCTAGCTTGTCTTGGTGGAGTGTTTGACTTGGAACATCGTCGACTGTAGTATACTTGACGGCAAGGTTGGCTACTCCCACAGCACGGTCTAAATCTTCGATCGCTCCATTTTCGTCGAATTTCAGTTCGGCCAGGTCTCTGAATTGATACAACCACTCTACTCGATCATCGATTCTAGTCTCAACAGCTAGGATCATGTCTCGATTTTCGAGTACGTGATCGAGATCCTCTCTAGCTTTCGTGAATGCCCAACGCTTAAGCATCAAATTGTCGAGGGTGAAGAGCTGCTGTGTTTTATCATGACCTTCGGAAGTTCTTAGCGCCACTGCCTTCTCTACAGCTTCGATTCCACGATCAAGATCCTCTTTTTCTCTTGCAACAGAGAACCGATTCCCTAGGCTTGCCCCGAGAAAGTCCAAGCGATTAGCTCGGTTGTCGTAATCGTCGTAAGTTGTGAGAGAGACGGCCATATCGATGGCTTCCACGACGTTATTTAGATCTTCTGGATCTCTTGTCTGCATGTAACGCGTTTGCTGGAGTTCAGCCAGCTTTGCGAAGTGCCTGGCTTGTTGGACATTGTCGTCAAAGGTTATGGCTATCATCTCCTCTGTAATACCAATAGAGGTAGAGAGATGAGTTAAGTCACCACTGGCCTGAAATAGTTGCTTGTAGCAGAAGGACAAGATCTCCATTGCCGCCAGTCGTTGGGGATGATCAGAACTCGCAATGATCAACCAAGCTTTGGTCTTGTTGATTAAGTAATACAGGTTTTCATTATTCACAACTCCAATCCCGTGCGACTCGAACCAATCATCATTTATTGTCACGTCCTCGTTTCGTTCGTCTGCCTGTATCTTGTTTGCCACAAGAAGATCTAGCGAATTGTTAGTGCATGTTCTTGATAGAGTACTCGAACCAGAGAAGCCGACTTGCTCCGCTGGACGATCCCGACGCCTCAACTTCTAACAATTCTTTGGAGCATTGACAAATCTGACGTACTGTGGATCCCCGAACGATGTGACTTCTTTGGATCATCACTTGCAGTTTCTGCAATCCAGCCTTCTGCTTGCAGGATCGCTGCCTCTAGATGCTCAATGGATCCAGTCCGCGTGAAGTTGAGGAGGAGAACATAGATATACAGCTCAATCCCATCTTCATCGTGATCCTGCTGTACTTTTATAAAATCGAGTAATTCCTCATCGCTCATCTCGTGAATGATAGTCGCCATCTCTGGGTCGATATCGAAAGGATCCATGTTCGCGAGTTGATTCTTACATTGGTCAGCTATCACTTATGTTATAAATTGGTTCGCGTCAGACTTACAGACATGGCTGATATTCTTAGAAGTCGTTTGCGATACGAACAAGACAAAAAAGTGATTGTAACACGGTGTATTTGAGTCTCGGTCGAGGGTTTATTTTTCAGGCGTGGTGTGCACCGAACAATTGGAAAAATGTATTGAAAAGAATCGTTCAAAGAGGTTGTTATCTTACTGATGTGCGAAATATTTGGTAGACCGCTTCTTCACGAGGCTGTGTCTTCACTATGATCTATTCATAATATATTAGGCTTTGATGCATAAGATGCACAACACACATGTCAAAGACGGCTTGCCCGGAAGACCTACGAGTCGGGCGTGGATTGCTAGCTGAAGTATTTGCCGAGTAACAACTATGCCTTGGGCTGAGTGGCTTGGACCTGTGGATCAATCCAGTTGCCGCTCTTTGATCGCGTAAGCCTATTGTTACGATGCACGTCGACATGGCTCTTCATTTTTCACAGCCTCTTCTCGCTGTTCGTGATTCACTTTGCAAAAAAAAAAATATCCTAATGAGAATAAGACGATGAATTGGCTCGCCACACTTCAAAGCAACTATAGCCCTCAGCACATTGAATTGCGAATCTCCCTTCAAGAATTGTGACCCTGAAAATTCGAAATGTTTGGCATCGCTGCCTAGATGCCGCAAGTATGCAGTTTCGGGTCGCACAACAAGCGACATTTGGTTGATTGGGCTTTCAAATTACGCCTATCGTAACGCTTGAAGCATGGCAACGAATCAGGTAGTAATATGAAAAGACGGCTGAGCATGATCTGACAACACCAAAGCTAAAGTTCGCATCATCACTGCAAGGCTCTCGTAGGAAATACGAGGGGCAAAAAGAGTTCCCAAATACGGCCAGATGTAGTTCGGCGTGATTTATCTAGGTTTCCAAGCCCATCATCCACACCAGCCAGTTGTGCACAGAAGTCAACTTGAAAATCAATTTGGAGAATAGATATCTCCTCGTCAAATTGTTTCCTTTCGATACTTATGATGGACGACTCTCCGGCCCACTGGGCTATACTTATTGGTAATGATTTCTACGAAGATGCACCTCTTCGTGGTTGCGTCAACGATATAAACCTCGTCAAGAAATATCTCGAAGGGGAGAAATCAATCATTCATATCGATGTCTTGGTCGCGAGTATTCCTGATGCAACCACTTCGGCAACACATCGGCCGGTCGAAGAACCAGAATCATGGCCAACGCTCCAGAATGTCATTCTCAGTCTCAGGAGAGTCACCGAGAAAGCAAGTTCTAGAGATTTTGTCTACATACATTACTCTGGCCACGGAGTAACCAACAAAGGCGAACCAGAAATGTTCAACAGTAACAAAGACACTGGCGATGTAGCTCTTGTGCTATTTGATGACACGGGGTGCTCCTATCTTGAGGGGCAAGAACTAGCATCATTACTGAAGGATATGGCAGATAAGGGGCTGTTCGTTACTCTGGTCCTCGACTGCTGTTTCTCTGGAGGTTTCGTGCGCAAAACTCTTCGAAAAGAACCTGGAATACGAAGTTTGCCTTACAAATCTGCTCTTGGCACAAGTTCCCAGACAGCTGGTACAAACAATGCAATTGATCAAAGCAAACAGCTTCTGCGAGACGCACAAGTCAGACCACAATGGCTGATCAACCCGAAGAATTACACCGTCTTCTCCGCTTGCGGTCCGCATGAGACTGCAGAAGAGCTCACATTTAGTAATGGTCAGAAATATGGTGCCCTCACTATTTTCCTGGTCTTTGCGCTCAATCAGTTGAGGAGAGCAGGAACTGAAGTTACCCATGATTCCTTGTACCGTCAACTCTGCATTAACTTCCACATTTCCTGGCCTAGGCAGACACCGATGCGGTATGGAAACTCGAACCTTTCTTTCTTTGGGAAGCTCAAGTCAGGACGGTCTATGAAATTCTTTCCTGTCTTCATGGTACCCAATGATAACACCTTGCAGATAGGAGCAGGTGAAGTACACGGTGTATGTGAAGGCGATGAATATGCTGTGTACCCATTCAATTCTAGCGAAGACGGTTTGGACTTTGAGGACTTGCGCGTCTTCACAGCTAAAGTTGAAACCACTCATACCCTCACATCAGACCTCGTGTCAATTGAACCAATATCAACGATAGGATCTGTGAAGACCCCATGGAAAGCCAGATTGATAAAGTCACTGTCATCTTGGAAGGTACCGATTTGCATCAACGTTGGCCCCGTTGATGCCGAATCTTGGTTGGAAGCCGCTCAACATAGACGTTATCTCTCTATTGCCATGGATGGTATAGAAGGGCAGGAGGCTTTATTCAATGTCGTTCCCAATGACGAAAACGAGTATCAGATCCTCAACCAGTCCAAGGGAGCAATAGCGAGTCTACCAAAAGTCAATGCAAAGAGCGACGATGCCTTGACTCGAGTTATGGATATCTTGGAGCATGTCGCTACTTTCAAATATTTCGCAAATATCGATAATCGCCTTCCAAGCATACCATTCGAACGATCATTCAAAGTTCGCCTCCACGATAAAGCAGGGAAGGAATTGGGATTACAGGGACTTATAGAGGTGGGAGAAGATGATGAACTGTGTCTGACTATCGAAAATCTGAGTGACGACACCATCTATCTATCTGTGTTTGATCTGGGACCATCTTGGCAGATCGACAACTTACTATCTCAACTGGGAGGCGGCGGGTTCAAGGTTCTACCACCAAAAGGAGAAGTATGCACAGGCCGCGAAGAAGTCAAATGGGGAATGTGCGTGCCAGATTCGTTCAAGAGCCGGAATATGTTCCAATGCGACGACATCTTGAAAGTGTTTGTTACAAGAAGACCAAGCTCATTTGCGCCTTTGCTATTGCCAAGCATCCCGGGTGCTACACGCTCTCATCAACAGTCATCTCGTGGAACTCGGTCGCCGCTAAATAGGTTCTTATCCGGTCTTTCGGCAGGAAATCGTGGGGAAGGAGACATCTCGGACGAGGCATGGTCAACACAGAGCTTCATCATACAGACGACGTCAAAATCAAACTAAAGGCCAGTGAAGAATTAAAGCATCGTAGGAAGTGTAGCAAGAAAGAACAGAATAGCAAATCATGACAGTGAATACTGCTCTGAGATTAGTGACCCAATGACTCGTCTTTTCCCAATTTTGAACTCTTTTTGTCTCTCCCAAACAGCCAACCAGCTCCTGTGACTTCAACAAACAGAAGTTTCCTGCCATTTGTTGCTCCTCGGCTCGCATAAACAAATGATCATTGAAACTAAGCTGCAACCAGATCCGTCTCTCCCCACTTCCTCCCCTCCTTAGCTGTATATCCCGCGCTATCGCAAAGAGTGTACTTTTTGTTCGCAGTATCTACCGTCTCGATTTTGTAAGGACCTTCCTTTTCGGCACCTTCTACACGAAGTTGCACTAGATCTCCAACCCGAAATTTGCATTGCTGTAATCCTCATTAACACATGTTCCTTCGAAAGCCTGTGACACTGACGAGAGGTTTCGGCTTTTGCTTGATTTTGCCACGGCCGTCATCTCCAAGAATCGTGAATGAGGGAATTTCATCGCTGTTGCACGTGTTAGCTTACTCCAATAACATCAGCTTGGAGTCTTGCACCAATCTAAGAAGTCCATTTTGGACTGTTCAAGGCATTTTCGTGGCTTGCGGTCTTTATTGCAAGACCTTTCTTGGACAAATAAAAGAGCCTCTTCGGTCTCAGGCTGAGGAGTGCCTCGCTCATATTTATGCACGACGACAGTTTTCCTGCCGCGGGCGGATTATGTGAGGCAAGGCTCGGCAACCTGGACGCCTCACTTCACCATAAATTTGCGCCCATTGGGCACCAAGCTTACCAATGAGAGCCGTTTTATAAAAGCAGCAATACAGACAGAAACTCCACTCGGTCAGCCTCTCTTGGGCAGACTCGGCAAGGCTTGCACACAGACATGCAATGCACTCTGCGCTGGCAAAGCCGCATTTCTAAATCATGATATCAAGCATCGAGATTCATAGAATTAACATTCTGTTTGAAGACCGTTACACATCACGACTTCATGCGATAGAAACTTTGAACCAACCAAGTGCGCTGGTAGTTTGCTCCTCCCAAATGCTAAAGCAATCAGCGAAAGGAAGATTATCACGTCAGCCCACATAGCCGAGCATCATGACAGTCCGCTCAGAGAGCGACATTGAGCTCGGAGGTTCAAGTACACGACCTCTTCGCCATTATCTTCTGAAGCTCTCGTCGAAACTTGCACCACACGATATTCGTTACTAACTACTTCAAAGCCGAGCAAAAATCGCCACGAACCTTCAGACTCAACATCCTCTTCGCTTGCAAATCATGGGTATCATCTCTCTTCGCGAAAACCGAGAGATACGAAGTACGACAAACACAAAGTACACTCACTACCTTCCATCACGCGAGTTCATACTTTACTGACAATCAGCAGTTGAAGATTACCGCGAAGGCTACCCAAGATACTCCGCACTCATCGGCGCGGAAAAATCCTTCCACATCTGCCGGCGATTTTCCAACTTACGAGCACGCTTGCTTCTCCTGCAACAAGATAAAATATGCTTGCTCGAGAAACATCTCGAGCAGATTGATCGTGACGAGAAAGCTCCTCTATTCTTGGGGAGTAGTCGATCGGATGTCAATGTCGAGAGGGGTGCTGTTATTGAAGGCATTCAAGTTGCGCTTGAGCGCTATGGTACGTTGTCTAGTCTGACGTGGAGGAATGAGGAAGGCTGATGTTTCGACAGACAATATGGTAGAGAGCAACAACAAGATGCTGAGTTACGAAATAGCAAAGCCACGAGATGTGTTGAGTCTGCAAAACTGGGTCAGCAGTACGGCTTGCTTGGCAAGGGACGAGACTGCGTACTTGACGCAGTGCGAAGATCTGATCTCTGTTGCCTCACCGAGGGACGGAATGGCAGAGCAACTCGAGTCTTGGATTGAGGACATTATTGTTCGTTTCGGAAGGATCTCTTGTAAGGTTGATTTACCCACATTGAGATTGCAGTTCGCTTCAGCTAATCATGCCAAGCTCCTTTCTCGAGACGTGTCCAGAGATTCCTACGTATATATCTTTTCGAGGTCTAAACTGGCACGAATAAGTCGAGGAATAATAGCTTGTCTCGTCATAGCCTTCCTACTGGCTCCAGTGGTGGTATGCAATGCACTTAGCGGGCTGAATTCTCGGTTGATAGTTATCGCAATTGCGACGTTCCTCTTTGTGGTGTTACTCTCGGCAATGATCAAAGCAAAAGCGGTAGAAATGTTTGTCGCAGGAACGACGTGAGTAATCAAGTGCTTCATGGATTATCATGTGAAAGAAAAATATTGACATGATGAATGATTAGGTACGCGACGGTTTTGGTTGTGTTTGTATCCGGCTCAAGTGTAATCACTACATAATAAGTAATAAGGGAAGTACATAAGGATAATAATGGATGATGGAGCATAACCAGTATTATATTCATTTAGCTTGTACCAATACGAGTTCTGTTTCCCTTACAACTTGATTTCAATTCCTTGACGCCCTTGAATGCCGATAATCCTCACTGCTACAGGGAGTCGGCACGGAGCATGTCCTCCACACTTGACTCTCCAGACGGGAGTCAGACATTGGTGTCTGTGTGGCTGGACAAGATCTCACTGATAAAATTGTCAATTCACAAGAAAAGATGCAAGGAGCATATATGCTTACTTTTCCAATTTCCCATGCCGTGAAGCGCAATCCAAAGTACCAGAACAGCAAGTATATTGATCAGGGCGATGAGAAGTCCGATGAGTAGTACGAGTGCTACATCTGAGGAGGCTGTACACATTCGTGAGCGAGAATACGATGATGTATTACAGGATGCAAAACTACGAAGGAGAACTTACCAATCGCCGGCATAGCGAGAATTTTGAAAAAATTTCTTTTTTTCTTGCTCGAGATCTCACGTAGTGAGCGACTCAATTCTATAGGCTTTGGCTTAACAAGAAGTGGAATTGTGATTCATTATATACATAGCACCGAGGCTCCCGGGAAACGGACTATTTGAATGGACTTTGGCGGGGTGCACAAGCAATCAAGATTCTCAGCAGGGTTGTCGCCGCGAGGTCGTCAGGCATCAAGCCCCTGAATGAGCGCGGTTACCCTAACTCCACTTAAGCGAGTGATCTGTCCCCGACGCGGTACCTTCTGACACTGCTGCGCAAAGTGAGGCTGTGATTATGTGATGCATAGCGGCGGCGAGATGTGCTGCGTAACCCCATTCATACACAGAGCTAAGTGAACAAAATTTTGTCACGAAGTTTTGAGCTTATCAAGAATGTTTGGAATCCGAACTTGAAGATAAGATGAGATCTACGTCAACACCACAAAAACAGAACTGTTCGATTCTTTTCTATTTGTAGAGTCTAATCACTCAATCCGAATACTGAACAGATACTCTTTCTTCTAATCTATGCCAATTTCTTGGCATACTCTAGTTCGGAGTCACTCGATGTAGGAAAATATGTATGCTCATGCCGGAAAATTATGCTAGTTCCCGTTGGCTGGTCGTGGCCTGTAGCTGAATTCGCTGTTTTAGAGAGTAGACAAAAGGAAGAGGGAGGAAGGAAGGAACGGACACTTTTCGCGCAGCATAGCGCGCAGAGTGAGGTATGCTAGGAGCATGTTGATGAGGCTGATAATGGTACCAACCAGCCCGAAGGCGATCGCAATTGTGATGTCTATAGAGACTGGAGAGTATGTTAGAGTTGTGATTCATAGTGAGACAGGGGTGAAATAATATGGATTTGGAGACGGCGAGGCTGAGATGTCTTGTACTAGCGACACCAATTAGGAGAAGTAATTTATTTACCCATGGTGATGATGTCGATGGTTTAATGAAGCTGTAAGGGATTAAAGAACGACCAACTGGATGGTGAAGAGAGCGCAAGACCTTCGGGGTGTTGAGCTACATACGGTGGAGATCCGCGTTGAGGATGTCAATCTCATGTGTGATAACAAGGAGAACTACTCCGCTTCTATATATTTTCGTGCGTTCCCCATTTTCAGCGTGGCATAAAGAAGTAACTGCCAATCGGGACACAGGAGTAAACAGGGCCCAATGGGTGTCACTCCAGCCATGGCAAGAAAGCCACTCACGTGGAATACAAAAGTCGTCACTTCTATTGGCCGGAGAGCGCATTACAAGATGCTAGGGCCAGTTCCAACGAGATCTCACCATCGTGACCCGAAAACAATACCTTTATATGGGTAGTAGCCCACCACGACAGTGACAACAGGAAAGTAAGGAGCACAGAGAACACTAGCCAGGCGTCTCTTCAGATAAGAACTTCAACGTCGTTTATGTCTCTATAATCCCAAAACATCTAAAACCTTCAGAAAATCTCATCCACACGCCTCCACGCACGCTTATAGAATCCGTGCAGTCTGCCGTCAATCAACGCTCCTTCTTCTTTCTTCCAAACTCCTCCCCATCCGAGCTGTGTTCGGAAGAACTCCTCGATATCACGTGTCGGTGCTCATGATAGAATCGTGAATTGCCAATGCTAAGCTCGTTGGAAGACTTCGAAGCTCTATCTGATTGATGGATCAGCGATGGGTGTGACTCAGAGGATAGAAAAATACACTAACTGCTTTCCAGAACCATGGCCCTCAAAGTAAGATAAGCGAGCACGACAGCTACAAGGTTGACCAGTGTGCCAAAGAGCCCAAAGACGATGGCTATAATTGTGTCCGAGGATACTATGCAAGAATATCATCAGCAGGAATTACTGAAGTGGAGGAGATAGAAAGCGGAGTTTAAGAAAGAAGAGTTCGATTAAGCACATAGGGTAGTGCTAGCCTTGCGAAGAACTTTAAGGGGTCGTGGAAGAGTAGGTGACCGATAAGACACAACGTTGAAACTTGGAGGTCCACGAACGGTGGAGGGGCTACGTACTCATCTCGATTAAGATAAGTTGCAAGGTAAGTTGTTTTTAGCCTGGACGTGTAGGATTGCTCGTTGGGGTTCATTATTATCGAGGACTCTCAAGACGTATATATAATTATAGGGAACGATGACATACTCAGAGGAAGTGACATGGCTACAGTATGTCTCGATTTCCTCAATGGCGATTACCGGTCTCCTGGTTGAGCTTTGGATAACGGCCTAGCATCCGCTTAACGAGCCCCGCGCAGTGACTGCGCGGGGCTCGTTAAGCGAATTAATTCTAAGCGGCCCAGAAGTGAGCCGTAAGGTGAGCGCGTGTTTCCAATAGGATTGGATAAAACAACAGGAGAAGACAATGGCTCTCTGGCGTTTCGGGAGCCTTGCTAGAGAATGACGTCGAGATACTTCAGAAAGCCTATTATATCAACAGCCGTGCGTAAACGATCATAAGCTGGAGCGCGAAAGACCTTTAAACCACTTAGACTTCTGGGGCGAATGACAAGAAACCTCCCGCAAGACGGCCACAAACCAAAACGAAATGTCAATTTTTCAACACTAATTAGACACAACGGGATAGTCGAATGGAAAAGACTAGGAGTGCAGCCTTTCTGAAAGGAAATCTTGCTTTCCCACCATACAACAATAACACTGGAGTGCTGAATCACCAGAATCTCTGCAACGCAACAATGACGCCCAGGATTCAGTGTGGTGTACCCATGACTAAACACCAATCTCGTCTTCTCAGACTTTCTTCGTGCCTCGTCTCTACCTCCGCTGTACCAAGACAATGATATTTTGCATGCTCAAACCAGCGAGTGATGTTCACGTGATATCAGAAGATGTTGCCAAAGCCAGAGAGGAGAAGAGTCTAGATCCATTTGATATCAGAATTCATAGCAGAAGATAAGAATAATATTTTTCCTCCATTCTGTCGGAACCCGCGTGGCCAGCTGTAACTCGATCTTCAGCTCCTCGAGGCAGAGTTGAGAAATAAGATCGTCCAAACGTCCAAGCAATACCCGATCCCCATCTGACACAATCAGCGGACTGTCCACGAATTTGCGATATCGTTTTGAAGTCCTCATGCGCGTCCACTGATCGATGGCGGCTTTTTCGCCCCCTTCCTTCCCTTCGTACTCGTTTTTGTACATTTTGCGAAATTGTCGAGAGTCAATGGTCATAAGGGTGGTAGCGAAAGTGCAGGAAGTAAGAAGAGAGGCATAGATGAGATAAAGGGTATATCTGGCGTATCGATTCTGGGGCAATAGATCATATTGTTTGGCAAGGGATGGACGTAGGGTTGGACGTGGAGGTTTCGAGATCTCGAAAGGTTTGGCCGTCGTCGAAAATGTAAGTATTTGAGACCGCTGAGCACGATGAGGGAGTTGGATTGCAGCCATGCGCATGTGCTGGGAGTAAATTCGATGACTTAGGGGGTGTATTTCGTTGTAGAGGAATCGTGTTCATGGGACGTGAGCTACCGCTCGGTGACAGAGATTGGAAAACTTGTTGGTAAAGAAGGATAATAAACGTGGGGACAAGATAACATATTTGAAGGGAGCCACAGGAATGTGAAACATGATAGCTCTACGCCTAAGGGAATCTTGCAAGCTCAATATTGGATCGAGTCGTGATTTGCTCTCTGACCATCCGAGAGACTTCCATGTCCAAGAATTTGCACAAGGGTGCCCATAATTCCGATTCCAACCGCTCTCGTTCGTATGGTGAGAGATTGGCTTCATCGAATCGTCTTCTTAGAGTGTCCTTTCGTGTTGATTGTACTGCTGATAGTTGTGCAGCTGCGAGTTCCTTTTCTTGCTCCGAAGGGCGTGTATGAATGACGTGTAATATAGGCAGCACGATAAACGAACTGCAGAACAAGACGATCCAAAGGTTTTTTGCAATGTTGATTCCACGATTGGAAGTGATTTTTTGCCGCATATAGTTTTTGAAGAGGCCGGACCATTTACTACTTGAACTTGCTGAGGACTGTAACAGTAATTTACATGGGGCTTTGAAGCCTCTCGAAGCTGAGAAACGGCGTATCATGATGATGTGCGTTCAGGGGCATGATAATTTGTGTTTTGAGTTGACGGCGAGGGATGTGATCGGAATGTGTGCTCGCCGCTTATTTGGTGGTCCAAACTGGACGTCACTTATACAAACGTGAAGTAAGGAGAGTGCTTTTGGGCTTATCGAATCTAGCGGTGCAATGGTGGGATCTGCACGTGATAAACGATCTGAGAGAGAACTCCATAGTGATTATTGTCATTAAGACTTCCTGTGCGGATTCGGAAAGCGGGGCTCCGAACGTGGAACGCGCCGTCAAATCAATGCAGATTTCGATGTAGCCCCAGACGTGTCATTTAGTGATGATCTGGTCCAGTGATCAGAAAGCAGGACAACTTTCTATGAAGCGCGTCTTATTACTCGGCATGATTATGCTGCAGAAGAAAAAGAAAGATGAAAGGAAAGTAGGGATAGCGTCTCAATGATTAAGTGTATGCAGGTTCGAGAAAGTGATGTAGCCACAAGGTTGGCTCGGTCTCGAGTCAATCAAGACCAAGCGAAGAGGGAAACATCTAGTACTTGAGAAGGGGGTGAAAAGGAGATTGTTTGTCAATGACTGAACATCAACTATGTCAGTCTGAAGACCATGAAAGCGGTGACTAACCCTAGTCAACCAGGGGGGAGTGATAATAGCTTTGAATCGACGCAGGAAAGATCGGACTAGAGGAAAAAAGTAGTGACTGATGATTTTGCTTAGGAAGGTCACGCAAGTGCTGTGCACCGGAAGAGAAACTCCAATTGCTTTTCTCGTTTTAAGAACTACTACCTGCTCCTTCTGTTTACTCCCATTTATCGTCGCCCTGCGCAAGAAAATATTTGTGCTTGTGATGGAAGGTCATCGCATTCTTTGGTGGAGCAATGTGGTCTTTATCTGGATGTATTTGTCAGACCAAGATATCGAGAAAGAAGAGATCAGATTGGGATATGAGAGAGCTTACTCTTTTCAGAAGGCATGGCTCGCAGAGTGAGGTATGCGATCAGCATACTGATGAGGCTAATGATGGCGCTGATTAGCCCGAAGGAGATGGCGATCGCTGTGTCTATAGAGACTGTAATACGAGAATTAGCGAAGCGGAGAGTTAGGGGAAGGGTCGTTGAAGAAGTTAGTGATAGAGGGGATATATTATGGGAGAGAATGGCGAGGAAGATAGTGTGAGTAGAAGTGAGTGATGAAGGAAGAAAGGAAATGAACGATGGAAAAAGTGAGTAGGTGAGGCTAAGGCAGTAGCTGGTGCGGGTGGAGGGCGAAGGTTAGATGAGATGTGCTGGTTATACCAATCAAGATTGATGGAGGGAGAAAATGTCTTACCCATGATAATCATCAGTTGGGGATACCTTGTGCGACCGACAGCTCACAAAAGGGGTGTTCGAGATGTGGGAGGAACTGAGGACTATATGTAGCTGGAGATATGCTCGAACTCGAACAGCGAGGCTGACTTCCGCTCGCGTGAATGTACAGATGCACGATTGCAAGAAAGAAGCCAATAAGTGAGGCATAGGTAAAGCCCTACCAGATTTCCCGATATCATGAATTTTGTACGGAAGAATGAGCAACCATCATCTTTAGCAATAGTCGATGATAGCATCCTAACATCACAATACACACCAGACACCAATCGCTTTACTGAAACCGAAAGGCGTGCAGATCTTGTCAGACCGAAATCCTCTAATGGCTCGCTGAGAAGACACTACTGCAGGTAGTTGCTCACTCTAGCAACATGCACAGCGGCTTTCCCGGTCATCCTCCCACTTTTGTACCGCAAGAGAGCCCATCTCGCAGCTCCGCACACGGGCGCAAGGATATGCTGAACTGCATTGCATGACGCCTCGTTTCTCCCGCAACACATCCCGCAACACGTCCCGCAACACGTCTCGCTCGTAACTCGAGAACTCGTGACTCGAGAACTCGTGACTCGAGAACTCGTGACTTGAGAACTCGTGACTTGAGAACTTGTAATTAATTGATGTTAACTTTTTTTAACGTTTTAATCGTCGATGAAATATTTAATTAATTTTATCTTTTTCTATAATATTGCACATTTTCTTCGCAAGTTTAATCTATTTTAATAAATTCAAAATCTCGTTTGATTTTGCATTTAATTACTTTCGAAAGCAGCTTTAATAGTCGGCGTTAAGGCACTCCTGTTGGGGCCCTACCCTACAGTAGGGCCCCAACAGGAGTGCCTTAACGCCGACTATTAAAGCTTTAGTTAAAGAAACTAAGCTCGTTTAAACTACTAAGAAAACCCTCGAATTAACAACCTTCGAAAGCAACTTCACTAGCATAACACGCACCACGCAGTATTTGAAAGAAGGGTCCCCATATCGCTATAATAAAGCTAGTTTACTGCCCAGGAAAGAGAAAAACCCACAAACATCCGTCTCACTGCGCGGCACGTAGGTAAAAGTTCCATACATTGCACCTGAAACTTATCGTGCGAAAATTGGACTCGCTTCATCACAACTTGTCATGATGTCATAAAATATCCACGGCCATTGGTCTTTTGATGAAAGCTGAAAGAAACTTGGGGCTCGAACTCTATGTTTACTGGACAGATGCTATGGCTTTGAAACTTAGTTGTGCGCAATTCTTTTGTTTAGATAAAATGTCAAATCGAGGGGAATACGGTCACTAGCTTGAAACTAAAAGCATTGGGATTCAAGCAGTGGGGAATGGATGGCTAAAGCCTCGTCAAAAGCTGCTCTCAACCTGTTCGGAAAACAACAGAATTTGGGCTCAAAGGCTGATAATCGTTCAAACAACGATTGCCTTTGAACGATATTGAAGACAAGACAAGACATGCAAAGAGCTGCGGAGAAAAGCCAAACATATAGGGAATGATTGAGCAAGAAATTCCTGAACGATACAAGCACTGGGAAGTATTGTACAGAAACTGGATAGAAAGAAGGCGCAAATTTGAAGAGACAATTAAAGACTTTTGATCTAGAGGACTGCTGGACAAGCCTGACGAACTAAAGTTTCCCTCCTGAGAAGCAATCTGCAACACCTTTGTACATCTCCCTAAACTGAGCGAGTTCCGACACCAAGGAGGAGCACTTAAGCAACCTTCTTCCTCTTGCCCTGATCCTCTTCTCTCGATAGAATGACATGAGTATATTCGTGCCCCAACATTTGACGAAAATTCAATACTTGATCATCGTTTTGATCTGTATCATTATATTAACCGAAGATACATACGTATGCCACGCAAGGTAGAGGAAAGTGAGAGGTACATAAAAAAGACCACGTACTAATTTCAATAATTATAGCACAAAGAGTGAGGTACGAGATAAACAGACTAGCAACACCAATAATGATGCTAATAAAGCCCAATATAATGGTGAGAACTGTGCCGGTGGAGACTAATAGGAGTCAGTGGAGATTAGTCGGATCATGTGATTAGTGGGGATCTTACTCGTTTTTTTGTTTGGAGGGAGTTTTTGAGGAGATTTCTTGAGTGATGTGGGTTAGGAAAAACATGTTGAGAAGAAGGTTCGTAGTGTGGTTTTATATGCAACACCATTAGATTGGTGTGAGTGGGGTAGAGGGATGTTGTTGTGAAGAGCCTCAAGAGATGTGACAGAGCCGCACAAGACAGAGCAGAGCCTCAAAACTCCTCGCGAACTATGGTGGACCAGTTCGGTGGAGCAAATGAGAGCATGAGGCTAGTCAATTGGGACATCTGAGGCTCCGTTATGCAATTTGGGATGCTGACAATGCTGGAGAAATCATGCACATGGCGTGGGGCTGCATACTTCGTTTGGCGAATAGTGAGCCAGCGATGGGGGAATAAGAGCCCGCTGTGCGACTATTTCTAGCAGTAGAGCCTCAAATAGCTATCACAAACAAGATTATGGAAGTGAGGGGATCACGTGGATGGTTTGAAACGAGATGGGAAGAATTTAGGTTGAACGAAGACCCTGATCTGAGCGAGGGGTACCCGTCCCTCTCTCATCAGCCGAACAGATAAAACTTAGCAACGCGGACTTACTTCCAATAGGTTTTTGATGAGTTCACCTTGCATCGTAACTTTGTCTGTTCAAGTCAAAGAAAAGAGTCGTAACACGACGGGAAACAATGAACACTTATATTAGTCAATAACATAACTACCAACCATCAGAATTATCATGACATCAGTCTTGAAATTGATTCCTATTGTTACATAGCGTACAAGATTTGAGATTTAGGTAGAGCGTGCCATTTTCCGCGACATTTATCATCGCTCACAATTTCCGATCATGAAATTATGGAGAGCGACGAAGAAGAAGCTAGAGGGAATCAAGAATGCGATATTGCATCTAAAGAAAATCATGACAAGATGTATCAAGCTCGCAAACAACAAGAGTAAAGGCAAGAGCGTCGGGCCGCTTCAGCACTCTCCTCAGATTCCGAGCTTTGCCACTGCCTAAGCTCACCGCAGCAAGCAGGTAACTTTGCAGAGAAACAGCGTAGATGAAGCGTACATGTAAAGACATCATAAAGCACTTTTCGTAATAGGAAGTAATAAATAATCCTAACTAGATGACCAACTTTCCACTCCCTTAGAAAGCTGATGTACATCCGCCTTGACAGTGCGAATTCCAGCATGAAAAATCAGACGGCTAACTCTCCTTCTTCTTCTTCCCTTGGTCTATATCTCTCGGCAAAGCGACATAAGTATGCTCATGTCTCAATACGTGACTAAAGTCCAAGACTCGATCCTTGTTTTGGTCTGCAAACCGGAATTAGTTTGATATCCATGTCATTAGAAGCTATGCGAGCGTACTGCTTTCAATAGTCATAGCTCGAAGAGTGAGGTACGCCACGAACAAGCTAGCGAAGCTAATAATGATGCTGATAAGGCCGAACGCGATTGTGAGAATTGTATCGATCGAGGCTGCAGGGATAGTGTCAGTATAGAGCGGGTAAATAAGCGTAATAAGGAAGGCAAAGGTAGACAAGGCTGAGTGAAGTAATGCATAAAGCAAAGACGCTTACCCATGCTTGCGAATATAAATCCGACAACAGATAGTAGGAAATGAGATTGAAAGATGCCGATACTGGGAGGACGGACATTCAAATAGTAATTGGTGCGATCGATCAAGCGAATCATTTCCAGCACTTGCATCTTCTTTGGGAGTAACTTTTTAGTTGAAAATTTGGTGGACATCATACACCTTGTCGCATCCTGCAGCTGCAGTCTGGAGCGTTGACGTGCCCAATGAGATCTGCAGGGTGGCGTTCTAGACGCATGACGCACGTAGAGGACTGGTGGTACATCGCTTTGCGAGAAACATTTCAGTGTTGCTCGGAAACAGGGGTGCGATGTCAGCACCAATATCCGCTCGGGAAAAAAAAGGCCATACCTTGGCCAAGGAATAGCTTGTCAGGCTTTCCCGAAGACTTAATGAAGTTTGGGGCGGGATATATTTTGTATGGAATGATAGGCCACAAAACTTCTATCGCCGGCGGTGCGGCATTCCTGTATCCCGAGAACAGTCCATCCTTCCAACGTTACAACCTAGACTCGGGATCCCGGTTCTCGAGACACCATAGACTGAAGAAGGGGGAGAAGTGAACACAAAGAGAAGTATAGAAGCTATGTTCTTTTGTGAGGAACAGGCTGCTTCGGGCGCAGCGGCTAAGCAGTGGAGAGGGAATCAAGAATGCGATATTGCGACTAAGAATGTTCGTGACAGGATGTAGTAAGCTCACAAACAACAATAGCAAAGGGAGGAAACTTCGCAGAGTAACAGCGTGAACGAAGCGTAAACATAAAGATATCATGAACCATTTTTCGCGACAGGAACTGGTGAATTTCTCTGACCAGACGGAGAACGCCCCGGTCCTGCCTTTCTAGAAAAACCTTAAAATGGTGATGTACGCCCTCTTGGACGCTCCGAACTCCAGTATGAAAACAAGCCTCTAACTCTCCTTCATTTCGCCTTGGTCTATATCTCTCGGCAAAGCAACATAAGTATGTTCATGCCTCAAGACTTGATTGAAATCTGGGACTCGCTCATCGTTCTGGTCTGCGTCTTGCATCAGTCGAAGGTCAAAACAAGTTGGGAATGAAGACGCGGTAAAAGTAGACGGAGAGTGTTACTGCTTTCCATTTTCATTGCTCGTAGAGTAAGGTAAGCAATGAATAAGCTAGCGAAGCTAATGATGATGCTGATGAGGCCAAAGACGATTGTGAGTATAGTATCGATCGACACTAAAGGAGTGGGAAATGTAATATAAGACACGCAGAACAATATATCTTTCCAATCAAAAATTGAGCTCACGTGACATAGGCTTTGGTGCCCCGATTCAAGCTGTTCAAGCTTCCTCTCTCTGGACTTCTCGCATAATTAGAACCCAAACACGGAAAAACAACCACCCGTCCCCTATCTTCTCCCCTCTCCTTTCCAAATCACAAACCAAGAAGCAACAACCCCGCTGCTCCAAACAAACATCGTTTCAGTGCCGACTCGGGCCGCGATCATCTGATGCATGCATTTCTGACTTGAATTGCATCATCCTGCTTGTTCTGCTCTGTCTGTGCTCAATTGGCTTTTCTGACAGGCCTTTTCTGACAAGCGGACGATCTTATCGCGAAGTTTGATCAGCAGGTGTGATACGTGATACTTGTCACGTGGTGCGCTCCGGCTATAAAGCAACAGAAGAATGGTGAGATGTGGAGATGGAGATTTTGGAAGAGAGTGTGGAGAGGAACTTGAGAACATGCAAAGAAAGGGTTGCAAGCTCGCATGCTCCCGTAGCTTACGGGTCCACGATGCATATGCATGCATGCAGATAGGTAGCTTCCCTCCTCTCAAACAATTGATCCGAGACCCAACAAACGAACAAGCAACAGTAAAAATAGCAAGAAAGAAGGTTTAGGAAGCGCGGTAAAAACAAGCTTGTGATAGATAGAGCTGTGGTGTGTTCCTGCGAGTGCGCGTCTGAGAGCTGGGATTCGAGGAGAGAGTTGAGGCGTGTGCCAATGAGAATTTGAGGCGGGGTGGTTAAGCGCTGGGGATTTTGACGCGGTGTGGGATTATTGGGTGGCTGTTAGAGGGGCGTGTACCGAACTGATGAGTGATGGATGCCGTGATGCGGGTGTGATGGAGAGAATGATCGAATGATTGAATGAGGGGAATGTTGGTTTGTTGGTATTGGTGAGTTGGCCATAAGTGAGTGAGAAGTGAGTTGTGTCGAGGTGGAAGAGAACACAACTGAGAAAGGGCAGAGATTTTCCAACTCTCAGACACGCTGAGGATATTTGAAGAAAGTGGAAGGATGGAGATGCCATGCCATGCCATGTCGCAATCCTCGGCTCCAGCAGCTTGGGCATAACATGCGCCTGATATGAAGCTTTCGGCGTCGATAGGAAGAACGTTGTTACACCAGCCGTGCGAGAGCAGGCGGTGAGCGATGCTTGGACCGTCCCGGGCATGATATCGGAGGCTGAAAGTGGCTCTCAACGTGGTCCTGCTTCCGAGATATGCTTATAACAATGCCTCTATATTCGTGTATTCTTGCATGGTTCTGCATAATGTGAGAAGCATGACGATCCAAGAAGTGTGGAGACCGCGATGCTGGATCCTTTGTTTGAGGTGCCAAGTACTGTACGCCCGTAGACGAGAGGGAAACGGAGTTCCCCCCTTTTCCTCTCACAGCCTGAAGAGATGATGGAGTTGCTGAAATCGTGAAACATCATACCTGCAGGTCATCGAAACACATGACAATATACTTGAAGCGAAGATATACCGTAACTCTGGAAGTGGTGCTCGAAACGATTGATTTTTGATGGTATCGTGACCGAGTTGAGGGACATGCTGAGCTGAGAGGTGAGCTGCGTGAGCGAATTGTCAGCTCCTTCTCTGCTTTCAGAGACTCGTAGATCCGTCCATCATGTCTTGGCCTTGCGTGCGTAGAATTTTCGATGGCAAAAAAAAAGGTTTTGGAATATGCGTAAAATAGAATATCTCCGACCGGTGATGATGCTGAGTAATATGAATATCTTCTCGCCTCTGCCCTTCTCCAGCCAATGTATTTCCAATTCTATCTTGCACCAAACCCGAATCGACTTAAGTCTTGAACCATAGACAGCCAACCATCAGACGCCGCCGCCATCCACAATACGCAAAAAGCCACCAGAATCCCAGCAGCAGCAGCAGCAGCAGCAGCAGCAGAACAACAGAAAGCCAGCCACAGCCAGACCAGCAGAGACCAGCAGCGGAGCGATAGACCCTCAAAATCAGTAGTCAGTGCCGCCGTCAATTCTTCCACTCTTCTTGCTCCTCCTCTTCTGTCTGGACTCGACTCGACTTGACTCGACCCAACATCCACCCTCGACTCGACAATTCATCCTCCTTTCTCCTCTGCAGTGAATTAATAAATTCATCTTTGTCCCCTATTAATACGCAGATACTATTGAATAACATACTGCGTGGTGTTAAGTAATTTACGAAACCCACTCTGCATTCTCTTTGGAGCGCGCCTGCCTCGCAATTTCGCCCGTAATCAAAGCACGGCCGTTTTGCAGCCTTCGAGGATCGCTCAAGTCGCAATCCGCTGCGAACTTTCCTTCCTCCAACATCGACCACCACGACCATCATCGACTTCTTTCTCTCGACCACCACCGCCCATTCTCCCTCTCGTCGTCACTCCTGGGTTGTTGGTTGTGTTCCGAGTCTGCCAGACCCATCCCACGCGCAGCACCCGCTGAAGCGACTTGCATTGGAACCAGGAGTCAAGCATCTGCGACACGCTTAACTCCACCCTCGAGGGCAGCAGGCAATTCCAACCTCTTCAACTCCTCCACCTCCCCCCATCGACAACTTCACCGACATCGATTCCATCGAGTCTCGGGCACACATGTATCGAGCCTGATACCACATTGCTGTTTGTACGATCATTCCATCATCGTTGGTAATACCGTGATCCGCTGAAGGCTCGCGACATACGATCACGTTCACCCACAGCCGTCCTCCCATCAAAACCCATCGACATCTGCATTCCAAACACGCAGTCGGCCAGAGATATACAGCCACAGCGTTCGAGCAAGCAACATCCGTCTGCCGTGTTACGCAGTATAAATATTCCGTGTTGGCAGACAGCTGAAACGCTCGATTGAAAAGAGTCACCTCCCCGATACACCGCAATTGTGCGGACCATCGCCATCATGAGAGAAGTTAATTTCAGTATTCCCAATGTCAACAAGGCATCTGTCGGCATCACCACCGCCTTGTATGATCGCAGAGCCCTCGACTGCACCTCGACCCTCCCACTCATCAATTCGCTCAACCACCTCGCATACCTCACGACATCATCGGCACGGATAAGAGATATTTTGACCGTCGATGGCGGCGTCGAGCGATTGGTATGCCTTCTCAAAGCAGGGCGAAGCAAAGATATGATGGACATGTGGAAATGGAATTTGGCATTTCAATGCGTTGTCAACATTGGGGTCCGAGGATCGGAAAACGTGCGAACAAGAGTGGTGGAGGCCGATATGGTCCCAGTCATTGCTACTATTCTCGACAATTACATCAAAGTCGTTGATAGATGTCGTGAAAAAGCAGAGGAGGCGAAGAAATTGCAGGAGCAGCGATTGAATGGGTCACGAACTGGCGAACACAGTCGCTCTCACAAGGGTTCTTTCGGGAACCGCACATCTCGATTTGAATCAGAATTTCGAGCGTCTCGCAGACAACCACCTCCACCATCTATCGAAATTCCTACTACATTCACAAACGCTCCTTTGACGGCGGGCTCGGACGCCATGGACACCACTCCAACCGGGCCACAATTCGCGCTCACTTCCCCACCCGAGCGAACCACATTCTCTGTTCATCGACACCACCATCATCATCACCATCACCCGAGAAACTCAGATGCCAGACAGCATTTCCTACCTCCTTCTCGCCATAATATTCAGCCTCTCGCTACTGCCGTCCCATCTATGGACGCTGCAGATGGATTTAACATCCGACCCGTTCGTGATGTGGATCGTCTGCCATCAATGGTTCCTGGTTTCCACGGTGGTTTGACATCGCAACCCGAATCTCCCACGACTCCTCTTCCTCCCAATCAAATCCGATCACCTACTGTGCGTCCTACATCCATGTCAGCACCTTCAGCACGTTCCAGGAGACGACCATCCATTCGACACCAAGCTTCGCTTGTTGGGGAGTCTGAAGATCCCAACGCTGATAGCATGGCATCTGATGAATCTGGAGACCCAGAGATCTCAGGTGTCAGCAATGCGGATATTCAATCACCCGTCAATATCCAAGACATCACAATGGACGAGGGAGACAGCATGCTCACTGCTGTAGAAACTCCTTTGGGCTTGACTACTCCTACCGTGTCTGAAGCACAAGACGCGGGTACTTTCAACATTACACATAGATCTGCTATTGATGGTAGCATGATTAACGACGCCACGACTCCAACTGGTCCAGCAATGGGCCTTTCACCTGCTCAAACCACTGCTGCGAATACCCCACCCACCATGCCCAATGCCACAATCCCTCGATATCTCCTTGATCGACCCACAGCAGCAAGCGGACAAGTCCTGGCAGCTATGCCAAGGGACGAAGATGTCTTGATGTCTCTCCAACTCCTCGCATACGTTTCAAAGTACTGCAACCTCCGCTCCTACTTTCAGAAGTCCCATCTCGTCCCAAAATTGAAGATTGGGTCCGAGCTTCACCTTCTTGACGCTGATGAAACAAATCCTTTCTCCCCATCTTCATCATCCTCACCAACGTCATCCACCTCTGCTTGCGACTCAGAGGAAGAAGAATACCTCCTTCCAGACGACTTCAACATCTTTCCTCTTGTCGAAAAGTTTACTGTCCGACATCATAGCCAAGATATGCAATATTGGGCAGGAGTTGTGATGAGGAATCTTTGTCGCAAGGATGATAGTCGTGGAGGAATCAGACAATGTGCATATTATCAGTGTGGAAAGTGGGAAGAGTTCACCAGACAATTCGCCAAATGCCGAAGATGCAGGAGGACGAAGTATTGCAGCAAAGAGTGCCAGAAAAGTGCTTGGGTCTTCCACAGGCATTGGTGTGTAGCTGCAACTCAGTAGCACTTATAGTGTCTATTGACCCCAACTTTCGGCTCTCCTCCTTACACAGGTTAATGCTACATGTCTGGCTTGAGGTCAGACCATCGCTGGAGCGAAGTACGGACGAACGATTTTCCTAATATTTTAATGTCAACGAACGGCCATCCCATCAGCGAGGCATGCATCCATTGCACGAAACGAATGATAGCGAGTCCCTTACCAAAACATCATACGAAATGAAAATCAACTCTGCATCCAAGGGCGTTCTTTCAATCCATTACATCGATTTCGAATACCTTTGCTGCAACATATTCCCTTTGTCTTTTTTACTGGGGCATCAATCCTCAACTCGGAATTGAAGCAAGTATGCGAGGTGACAGGATAGCCGACTTTTGCTTGGCATAATGATTCAGGACTTGTACAATACCCTGCTATGCCAAGCAGAACATCCCTCTGTAGCTATGGGAGGGACGGCATCCCTCAGCATCGTTCATGATTGCGTGCATTTTTGGCTTGGCATTGTTTTTTTCCTCTGCTCTTTCGGTGTCGGTGCTAGGATTGTTTCATCGCGAAGAGGGAATGGAATGATTGGAATGGATCGATGGATGGATATGTTGATCGGTATCAATTTGCTGGTCGGAGCAGAGCAAAAGAATTGTGGATATGGCAGCGGAAGGATGGGAGTCGAGTCGGGATAGGAAAGAAAGTGTATGTATGGTTATGGCTTGCGATGAGCTCAGGGGTGTTGAATAAACATGAACTTGAACATTGATCTTTTTGTCCTGTTGATTTGATGCTGTGTAACTCGTGTCCTGCCCAAGTGTGGAGCTAGTGCTCGCTGTCTTATTAGAATGGAAGTCAATGTCTGTCTAAATTGTTGTGGGGATCAAGTGTAATGTTTGCCGCATCATTTGGTGACATGCCCTGAAGACTGAAAGTTCACCACAGCTCTAAAGAGATGATGCACAGCTGCTTCCTGGGAAATGAATAAAAGATGAAATGGTTCTAATTCCCGAGCTTTAAACTCAAATCGAGTAGGTAGGTAGGGAAAAGTAGCCACAGTAGTCATGTGACTCGCTTCCGCTAGTCTAGGGTTAAATGCCGAGCTAGGTTCGTTCCATACCTATATCAGGCTGAACATAACTCTGCTTTCAATTCTTTGTTACCATACTCCTTGAGGTCTTTCGAAAGAAATTACTTGCAGATCATTCACACGTCGACTTGCACTTTACTATAAAGTTGAAGGCTTTATTATACATCATGGGTATGTTTTTATAATTCTTTGCCTTTCACAAAGTTCCGTTTAGGTTACTACGTTACGGGCTTTGCGAGCATGTCCACAATGTTCTAGCAATAATCTTGAGCATATACAATTATGGATAATATTTCTTTCTTTATCTACCTTTTGTCTTACCGATATGTTGGAGGACTTTGGCCGCGGCATTTGTGCTGTCATTCATTCATGTTGTTTTTATTTCCACCTTCAGTGTTTACATACTTTCTTTGGAAATCTGCCGTTCATTCATGCAGCACTCGTTCTTACGTCCATCTATCCTCCCCGTTGTCCTTCCGCTTTTACACTGTCCTTGTCTCTCTATGCCGTTACCCATTTCTTCATTCATTCCTTCCTTGACTTTTACAAATGCTCATATCTAATCAATCTCCACAGTCTTGTCAGATGCAGCCCTCACGATCGCCTTCGGCCTCCTTGGCACCATCATTGGTCTCATCAGCATCTTGTTCGCATACCTGACTCTTCAAGCCACAGTGCACGGAAAGAGTTCGTTCCTCTCTTTGCCGGGCTTTTGGCCAAGCTGATTAGTGCTGAGCAGGTACTTCGACGGGGTTGGGGGAGGAACTTGGGCCTGTGATGAGACATGAACATACGTACTTCATCGCACCGAGAGGTGCTGGGTTGAAGAGGAGGGGCATGAAAAGAGGATGATAATCAACCTTTTGGTTGGAGTCTTTGATTATGAATGTTTGCTTGGAGGTGACCAAGTGGTTTAATTTTTGGTTTCTGGGACGTTCAGCGAAATGCATTATTCAGTTTTGAATTTTTGGAGTCCGTTTCTCTCTTGATAAATGAAAGTTGCGATTGATGTGCAAGATCCGCGTAACGAAACAGCCTCGTGGCTACTTCTTGCAGCCTCGCGGAACGTTATCTTTCTGCTGGTAAATGTTTATTATTTTCGTAACCTTGTCTCGATGTCCACCTTCGGCGATTTTATGCCCATTGGAGCCACTCTCTAGGCATACTGCACAAGCTGGAGCACGCGGACGACTCGATCTATACGACTGAAGCTGACCCCACGTCGAGATTTCGCTAGTGCTGTTCTAAATTGGACTCGTGGGGGCGACGGACTACTTGCTATCCGGTGCTTCGCATAAGGCCGGTTTCATTGGTCATTTCCTGCCACCTCCAAATCTTGACCGCCCAACTGCTGCAGGTAGTTCCCGGAACTCGCGTTTGACTGTCTGGTCTCGCGCCATCTTTTCTTGTGTGGCTTTCTTATGACGCCTAGTTGGATGTCGCTGATGCGAATGGTGATGCCAACAACTATATAAGATTACTATCGACCATCGATCCCTTCCAGAGATACATGCAGTGGATATCAATCCCCTACATCTCCAAATTTTAGTTTCGTTAATCCATTATGAGTAAATTACATGTATTTTGCTCTCTATCATTGGGGGTTATATATTTTCTTAGGGTCGATGTTGACATTTAAGTTCTGTTGAGTTTCGAGCCAGTTCAAAAACCTTTCTCTGTTTTTTGCATCTTATCAGAAACTTGCGCATACTGATTGATGATCAGTCTCGATCGACACAGCTGTCGCTATAGCCATAGGGATCTTCAGCGCACTCATTAGCGTCGCCAGTCTCTGGATTGGATATCTGACCTTACGTGCTACCAAGGCAGAGAAGTGTAAGTGCTCAATCTACCTGCAAAGCAACTTCATGCTGAACGATAAACTAGCATCTCCTGACAGTTCATCGGCCGAGCGCAATGAAGTGATGCGCCACGAACACAGACACTTTGTCGAGTCCGCGAGTAATCGTGGGAGGAAAGGGTGGGAACTACATGGCGAAGAGGAGTAAAGTCTGCTCGGCCTATGTGAACTTGGACAGCGTGCGAGGTCTTACTGGTGTAATGGTGTCCTGGGAAGAGATAAAAGCACAAGTCTTTTCAAGGACTAATTTCTTCAAGCAGAAGTCTCAAACACAGGTCCTTTCAAGCACAAGTCTTCTCAAGAGCACAAGAAACATCACCAGCCCGGCCACAAGCTGTTGCGTATTGTCGTTTCACTCAAGCTAGTACTTCGTTGTTGAACGCCAATCAGTAAGATACACTACTCACGGCCTGTATCTTAACTCTCAAAACTCTTATAATACAAAGCACTGCTCAAACCCCAAACCAAGGCAAATCATCCTTGAGAAGTACAATCATAACTCACAAACCAATTCGAAAAGTTTCCCGCTGTAAAGTCTGCCACTATCGTAGGTCCAACGTTACTAGGAACTGCCAGTCCATGCCATGTACACTTTTGCAAGCTGTAGAGAGTACGGCTACTTGCTAAGTCGGAAGTGTTGCTCCTTACTCTGCCACCTTATAACACTTTCTCATATAATGCCCCCCGTGGTCTTCCTGACTCTCATATGCCCATAGCCATTGAAATATCTAGAGGTTCAGACGATCTGACGGCGAATAAGGTATTGATTCTAAATCTAGGTATTGTCCCCAACTGATTGACAAAAAAACAGCAGAAATAAGATATCATATCAGATATCTACTCATACGGCAGATCAAAGATTCCTTGGGTCTATATTTCCTCGTTTACCACAGCTCTTTCTAACTATTTTCTATTGTTCTATGGTTCTGTCCTTGGATTTGTTACTCTCTTCACCTCACCTCCCCCCTCTTGCCTCCTTCACCATGCCGCGAACGGCCCTAGCAATCTCATGTCGACTGTCATAGATTGGGTACACAATAACAGCCGCAATAGCTCCAAAATGCCATATAATTGCCATGGTGACCCAGCCGCCGAAGAAGCTCTTGGTGAAAATCCAGTCTCGGTATAGAGGCAAAGGCCAAAGAACGATGGTGACCAGAACATTGAGAACGAAGTAGCTGCTAGCAATCTTGAACCATTTTCTGATATGCATAAGTGTCTGTTCGTCAAATGGGTGAACAACTTCGTCGAGAGGTGGTTGAGAGTTCTGCTGGATTTGTGAAGGATGTGGAAGTGGGCTGCTATCTTCTCCGGTCGTGAAGTAGGTCCCCTTCTCGGCATTTCCTTCGGTTCGAATCTTCTCATTGACAGCTTCGCTACTGGGTAATCCGGACTGGAGAGAGCTGTTCGGTTAACTCTTGTCTTCGATGAGGTCGATTCTTAGAAACTCGCGCCAGTCGAATTGGCTTGGCCAGACTAGAGAAATGATAACAGAGTAGAGCGCCGGAGAGAAGAAAGAGATGATAGCCTCATAAAGACCTGGTACCTGAACCTGAGTGGTTTGAATATTTAATGCTCCAGACCAGTACCACTGATTATAACTAAATCAGCATATATTTCGGAAATGTCTCCACGAACAAGTACTCGAGCACGCTCCCAAAATTTTCAGATGTAGGAACATTGAGTTCGACTTACAGATAGGGCAAGCCAAGCAGAAAGTCCAGAAAGAATCCCAAGAATAGGACTTAGGATTGCTGCCAGCTTCGTTTGTCTAGACCATAGGAGCGTCAAGATCAAGGGCAGGATGCCAGGACATGCGATAATTGGTCGGAAGTAAGTAGACCAGTTGTTCGTTGCACCAGCATATTCGAGCATGATGGCAAAGCCAGCCATGAAGCAGCCGTGGAACACAACACCCCAATGACTCACCTGGAGAGTTTTGCGGTCCGAAGCACGTGGATTGATGTATGTGCGGAAAAAGTCGAGAGAGATGATACTGCTGACAGCAATCATAGAAGAGGATACCGTACTGGTGACGGCCATGAAAATGAGTACAAGCAGACCAGTAGTGGCACCTGTGCCAAGTAGAGACCTTAGTACGTATGGCATCACGAGACCGGAGTTCACCTGGGTGGTTGTCAAAGTGTTGGGATGGTCGAACCAGACAGGGGTCTTCTCGATTGCGCGGGCGCTGAGCCCAATGATTGTTCCGGTACACCATGGGATGGCAAGGAAACGACCGACACTAGGTCGTACGCCGGAACTGTGGAGTGTACTTTGGAAGCGAACGACTTCTGCCAGAACGCAGTGTCCATCAGGACGAGTGCAAGATTGCCAAACTTCAGTACGAGGCCGAACATGACAGCTGATACGTTTAGCATAAGACCATATCATGATATGAGGAGCTCGACATACAGCTTTTAGACTTCATGGTCAGAAGCGAGCCTTGGTAGTTGCCAGGAATATAGTCATCCGCAGCTTTGACTTTGTCGTACAAGCCTGAGAGACCACCAATGTGCTCGTTCGTCAAAACGGCGAGAGAAAAGTAGATCAAGAGGATCAAAGCGATCGTGGTATGCAGAAAGTCCGTTAGAAACGTGGCTTTCAAGCCACCAACGGCAGTATAAGTGACGACTACAATTGTACCAGCATTAGCATACGCATTGGTATTCCTCACGGACTTTCGAAGTAAGCTGACTTACCTCCTGCTGGAATCAGGATACATGCAGCGATAACATGCATCCCCGTCATTCCGGTGACAAGTTGAGCACCTGCAAGAATCATGCTGCCACAACCAAAAATATTGTTGACCAAGTTCAGCAGAATGAACACCCAGTGAGCATACTTTCCATATCTCATTTTGATGATTTCCAGTGAGGTATGCGCGTATGGTACTCGCAGCTTTGCCACGATGCCGAGGACGGCCATAAGCGCAATCTGAAAGGAGAGCCCACTTGCCCACCAGATTGGGAGAGCAATCCACCACTTGTAGGTATAAGCTGCTGAAAAGACGCTTTCGTTGATCCACATTCTGAAGGCATCCATCAATACACATCTACTTCATACCGTTTGCATTCTAACTAACCAACTCGAGAAGACTGCTGAGGCTGTCAAGCCCGTTCCAACGGACCGATTTGCGACCATGAACATTTCGGACTGATCACTATCCTCCGAAAGATACCTCTTTTGTATGCGGACTGCAGCGATGATAAGAAGGCAGAACAAGATCGAAAGTCCGATGATAATGCCATAGCCGTCGGCCTGGGAGAGAAGTTGCACCATCTTGAGATTTGAGAAATCTCAACCACGAAAGAGCAAGACAAGAAACAAACGATGTTAGTAGGAAAGCATTCGAGGTTCTCGAACTACATATATCAGGCATGTATGCACCCGTCCCCGTTGGTGTCAAACAAGCGTGCATTGTATCATCAATTGCGGCCGCGATATTGACGATCGTTGGACTAATGATCTCTCTTTGCTGGGTAACAGACCCAGCAAAAAATAAACTTTTGATTGTTTGCAGATGTCATTTGCTGAGATACCTGGTAGAATGAAGATACCACGTAAATGTTGTGGAATGAGTGGAGCCGCGCAATTGCGTTATGTAGCTCGCGAAGCACGCGAGGATCGGCCAAAAATTCCCCCACCTTTGGTAGTCAATAATGTGCTTGAAGTTGGCAAATTGTTCCTGAAATGAATTAATTACCGACTGATAGACACATGGCATAAGCAAGGTAGAGCATACCTAGACCATGCTTTTCTTTCTAGCATTGAACATGTCGACCAAAGAAGTCGAGAAGTTGACAGCGAAGCATCGAGCAAGGCCAGAGCCACCAGCAAACATCAAGATATTCGCAAAGATAATTGGGAGCATTTGCAAAGACTTAGTCGAGCTGGACAGGGAGGAAGTATTCATCCGGCGCCCTTTTAGCTAAGTCGGAGCCATGGGAAATTTTTGTATGCTGTCTTTGGATTTCAGGGGAATGTCTTAGCGACTTTCGCTAATCTCAAATCCTCATTATGCCGTTTTCACTTCGCAACGCAAAACTTCATATTAGCTCCAGCTATGACACCAGATCGGGGAGCTATTACGTCCTGAGATGTGGAGCGCTGCTTCAATGGGATCTTCTGAGAGCCGCAGGATGTCAAGTCACGTGTAAATTTCAATTCATCATCATAGGCAAGGCAGCGCGGACAGCGCGTACAGCGCAGACAGCGCAGACAGCGCAAAATGCGCGGATAGTGAAGACAACGAAAACAAAATTGCAGATACTGTGCCTGAGTCAATATTTCTTTTAGTCTAAGCCTTGGACAATCTTCTGTCAAAGTGACCGTTTCTTTAATCAATAGTATTAGTCATATTCGATTTAATACTCCTGAATATGGGGAAGAGAACAAATTTCGCATGCTTTCCCTTTTACCATGAGTGACATTTCGAATGCCTGTTCTAACCTTAATAATATCTAATATCTGAAGGCGACAAAATATTCCTCGAAAGCGCTAATATCTTAGGCTATTACTATTCACGATTGCATCGCGATTGCAAGTCTCCGTAATCACAGGTCATGCTCCTGGTAGTGTGAAAAGAGCTGCGCAGGGATTCATAAGAGACGCGTTGTCATATCAATCGTTCAGGAGGAAACCTGCCTTTGTGCATTGGGAAACGAACGATAGATCTGTTAGTGACGATAATTATTCTTTACTAGTAAGCACGAGTGAGCAATGTGGAAAATCATAGTGTACGTTGCATCCGAGACTATCTAGCCTTCTGATGTAACATGATGTCCAGACCAAGAAACCCTCTCGAGTGTACCTCAAAGGCATGCTAAAGACCCAAAGAGTAGACTTTCAGGAGTTTCGTTCCGCAAAAGCTTTGCCAACCAACTATCGCAGACCTTCAGGAATCCGCCAGCCTACCAAGTTTGCCTCGACGGCCCAATCGAATTCAGAATGCTCAGCCGGATTGAGAATGACTTTTCCAGCCCCAACTTCAACCATGAAGTTGAGCTGAATGCAAGACTCTACTATTGTGACACCTTCGAAGACCTTTTGGGTTGCATACTTAAGGACGGCACCAGTTCTCCAACCACCTTCTCAATCTTGAGCCCGGTCTTCCTCATAATCTCTCCTACAAGAAAGTCGTCTAGGCTCGTATTATGTACTGTTCCATCGACAGTAACTCTTGGTAGCTCGAAGGCATTTGGAAAGTGAATATCGTTTGGTGAAAGCCTGCTGGGAGAAGAGTTAGCTGAAGTAACTTAAGGATCTTTAGTATATGGACTCACAGAAGTAGGGCCCTGGTATCTCGGATGATGAAGACACCGATGACGATGTTGTCGTAGGGAGTCCCATCTGAGGATCGGTAGGCTTGGCGAAACTGCTCGGGCGATAGAGAAAGCTTGTCGGCCGTGGCTGGGTCGCAAATGCTAATGGTGTCCATGCTGCCTGCTTGAGATGTGGTGGATAGAAGGCTCGTTATTTCTTGGTTTGCTAACGCCGAGGAAGTTGACTTCTGACTTTGAAAAGTTTGAAGCAGAAAATTGATTACGACTGTCTTATATACAAGCTTATAGCTTCTCGCTTATTTCACGCTAGCCCTGAGCTTCACACCTTGTACTTTCTAGACTCATAGTGTGTGGGGGGAGCTATTCACCATAATGTGAAGTGACTCCAAAGCTGATTTTTTTCACGTGTCTACTTCAGCTACTCACATAGATTTTCGCTTTTTCATGGAAACTTCCCATCGGCGCAGCAATTTAATCGCTTGGCCATAAAGCTACCTGTATTTACTTATATCGAGGGTGAGCCTTGAGTCAAGCATTAAATTGAAAGTATAGGCAACCTGTATAACAGGAACTAATGGTAGTCCGAGCTAAGGATATTACACCAAGCACTGCACATTTCATTTTGAGTGATTACCTTTGGTCTCTCCAGAGCATAATGTACTTTAGTGCAATTGAAGGAACTACCTGGAGGCATCCTGTCTTGAAGTTCACGAGTATGAATGGACCCCTACATGGCGATGACTATGACTCGCAGTGTTTGACTTCGTGTTGTGGATTTAGTTCAGGGGCTCGGCTCACTAAGCGAGGTTAGCTTTACTTACCTAGGTAAGGAAGGAAATCTTTGGAGAGCTGTAAGTATAGGGGCAGACTTAAAAGTGTCTACTCTATTATATTAATCTAGCACTGTCAAGTCTTAGTTAGGACGGAGCAAACAGTCCTAAGATCTGTGACGTGTCTAATCACATGAAAGTGGCAATAGAAAAACATTCCATTGCTCCACGATCAGCAATTCCAAATAGCAATGATCGAATGATAATCCACAGATCGGTGGTCATACGTACTGTGGATGTGCCTTTGTTCAAGATCTTTAGTGCAATTGTCAGACACGTGATCTGACGCGCACCGCACTTTTGCTTTCGCTTGTCGGATCCTTCACAGGCAACAGCGGGGTTGCTGCCTACGCAACTTTTCAACACAATTACTTATCAATACCTTCGAACTCCCGTTCCAAAGAAAAGTTTGCACAACATTAGGAAACATATTACTCAGCCTAATCTAGTCAGAAAACTCTACCTGCACTGGCTGCATCGGCTTTACGACTTCGAAGCCTATAATTGAGACGACCTTCAGAGCTTTCTATCAGAATCACACTCCTCTCGGTCTTTATCTGCACGTTCACGGAAAATGTCTTCATCTGATTCCGACGAGTTCGAGGTCATTGACCAACTCGAAGCCAGCCTCTCACCAAAAGAGCTCGCAAAGGTCCAGGCATGGCTTGAGCCCACCGATTACAATGCACAATCGAGCGAATTCCATCGTCACTTGAGCTCACAGGCTCCTGGCACTGGACTTTGGATATGTGAAACTTCTAAATATCAGCAATGGGAGAAGTCGACTGAGTATGGAAGCTTGTGGATCAAAGGAGTTCCCGGGTCGGGAAAATCCGTGACCGCAGCCTCTATAGTTGAGCATTTGCAAGAGAAGTCCAACACTCCAATCTTGTACTTCTTTTTTCGATATATCATCTCCGCCAACAAACGTCCTCGAAGTCTGGTCAAAGATTACCTTGCGCAACTGCTTCCCTTCAGTATTCGGCTTCAAGCAACTCTGGAATCCCTAACGACTACGGATCTGGATGACTTTTCTGACGAAAGATTGTGGGAATATTTGCTGATTGGTTTGACTTCTGTCGAAAATGCTTATTGCGTGGTGGATGCATTGGACGAGATGGAATTACTGCCTAACGATTCATTCTTGTCACGACTCAACAATTTAGCAACTTTTCGACCAAACAATGTGAAGCTCATCGTTACAAGTCGGCCAGAACAATACCTTCAGAAGAGCTTGAATGATACTTCTATCGTTCATATCAGCCTTGAAGAAGACCTAGTTGGAAAGGATATTATCCTCTTCCTGTCTCATCGCCTCCAAAGTCTCATCTCCCAAAGCGACCAGCAGAGCTTGAGAGACTCACTGGTTTCAGCTATATCTGAGCGATCCAATGGCCTTTTTCTGTATGCTCGTCTTCTTCTGGATCAAATTGCACCTCACTTGGGATCGACGCAAGTAGATGTTAACGAACTGGTGAAGAATATTCCCATTAGCCTGGAAGACATGTACAACAGCATGCTCTTTCACAACGCTACATCTCTCAAGATTGATATCGAGATCCAGATGTTTATCCTCGAACTAGCTACGCATGCATCACGCGCCCTCAGACTGAACGAGCTAGCAAGTGCCTTGGCTTCCGCGTTTCCGACTTCAATGATCCCAATGGCTCCAAAACTTCTCACACGGTCAGCCTGTGCACCACTTCTCGAAATCTTGGAAGACGAAACTGTTCAAGTTATACACCATTCATTCACTGAGTTCTTGTTGAATGAAGAGCGAAGCCTTGACGAGGAGAACTCAGGCCCGCAATTTCCTGTTTTGAACACTTCTCATGTTCACAGGAAATTGACAATCGTCTGTTTGGATCATTTGCAATCCGGTGGATTGAGATTGGAAAAACAGACTTTGGAAACAGGAAAAGGAACCGCCACTAAGCAGAGACGAGGCCGGCGGTTCCCTGAGGAGAATACAGTGGATCGAGAAAATTATCAAGAGGCGAAGTTGTTCAATCCATTCTTGGAGTACGCAGTGGAAAACTGGGCGTTCCACGCCAGCAAATATGATTTTGAGGATGATGGTTTCTTTCAGTCCATCGAGAAATTCCTCAATCATGACAGCATCGATTTCAAGAAGTGGTTGAAGCTAGAATGGATTGCAGGAACAGAAGATTGCGCAGCACCGGCACCTCTCCATGTCGCTGCATTTTCTGGCCTCACGGCATACGCCAAAAAACTTCTTGGAGGAACCGCGGTTGATATTCGGGACGGTGAAGATCGCACACCATTGCACTGGGCCTGTGCACGAGGACACGTCTCGATGGTCTCTCTCTTGCTAGGCAATGGTGCAACACCTGACCCTGAAGATTGCCGTGGGGTCAAGCCCATCCACGAGGCAGCGAGGAAAAACTACGCGAGTATTGTCAAGGCTTTACTAGATGCGGGAGTAGATCCTCTCAGCCCAAAGGAAAAAGAGAATGTGTCACGAAGGTTAGTATGCGGCGATGTTTCAACCAAAGGAGAGACCGCAGTCGAATATGTGTGTCTGCAGGGTCATACGGATACAGCTAAGATCATGTTACCATTTCTATCCTCAGCAGCGACAGAAGAAATGTTCTGCCAATGTTGTCGCCATGGTAAATATGAGGTAGCAAGAGCTATTCTTAACGCAACGAAAGTATCGCCGAATTCAAAATCTAGCGGTGCTACGGCACTTTATCTTGCGTGCCAGTCTCACAGTGTTCCTCTTGTTAGAATGCTCCTGGAGAACGGGGCAGATGTTCATCAGACTTCAAGGTGGAAGTATAAGACTAGACAGAGCTGCGGTAGAAGAGTTGTTGAGGAGCCGCTGAGGACACCTATTCATGCTGTCCTTTATAAATGGGACACAGCTAACAACACTGCTTGTCAAAATATATTACGTCTCTTACTCGATGCTGGCGCCGATATTGAAGCAAGAGACGGCAATGGAGATACTCCTCTTCTCAGTATATTCGGACATCGTCGACGCACCTCTTTTGAGATTGCTGCCCTCACAAGTCTCTTAGAATCCGGGTCAGATGTGCTAGCCATCGATTCAAAGGGTGATTCTGTCCTCCATCGCTTTCTCGATAGCTCACATGATATCCAGTCTTTAAAGATGCTCTTCCAGCATGGAGCTCGGGGTGATGTCATCGGCAAAGATGGAGACACAATTCTTCATACAGCATTACATCCAACATCTCGAGATGGTAGCTCCCGATACACGCTCGATCTTGTGAAGATTCTTCTAGATATGAAAGCACGTTGTGATGTGAAAAACGAGCATGGATCAACCGCTCTAGAAGTTGCAGCCGGTACTCGCGGTTGCGGCTTGGAAATGGTCAAGACGCTGCTCCAGGCCTGCTCTGATAAAGATATTATTCAACGTTGTCTCTGGCATGTTTCCACTCGGAAAACAAAGGAAGAAACAGTCGAGCTCATTCGCACTCTTCAAAAGTTTGGTGTATCATTGGAAGATCGTAATGATAAAGGCGAGACTGTATTGCTTGCTCAAGTAGCGTGGGAAGAGCTGTTCGATGCGTTTGTCGAATGCGGTGCAGATTGGAAAGCTATTGATTCGAGAGGTAGGGGTGTCCTTCATCACTACACCTTGAATTGCCACAATAATTCTACTCCACAACGGTTACAGAGATTGGAAGGTATGGTAGACATGGGTTTGGATCCATTGCAGGTAAGCATGCGAGGTATCTGAAAATATGATGTCGTTCAATGTTGACATGGCGCTCAGGTTGATCACGACGGGAATACTCTGCTTCACGTTCGAGCAGCAATCTACAAAGGCGAAGAGCTCGATCGCTTGTTGGTTCAAAAGCTCTTGGACTTCGAAGTTTCAGGCAATGCCAAGAATAATAAAGGGATGACACCACTCCATGTCTACTTCGAGAACTGGGATTTTCATAGACCCACCACCACAGTCCGCAAAGCCTTGAATGAGCGATTCCACGAGCATTTTAAGATTTCATTACTGGAGATATTTAAAAGGCAAGCTACTCGTGTTCCCACAGCTATTCGTCCGCTTTCGTTAGTGCATTGTATGCCTTGAAACTGCTCGTCGACCTCAAATGCTTGCGTCGTCCTCCCCTCTTCCGAACAGAATTTTCTCTTCAATGTTTCGTTGAGAAGTCAAGTTGAAGAAACAAAGGCTGATATGTGATCTAGAAATCCCGAAGTTGTAGATATTAATGCCCAAGATGCCGAGGGTGTGACACTACTTCATTTAGCAGCCATGCGGTCTGAAGCTCGATTGTTCTATTTGCTTGAAGAAGGTGCAGATCCTTCTATCTTAACAAAAGATGGTCGAAATGCTCTCCATCTAGCTTGCCGAGCACGCGAGGGAAATGTTGTTGAATACCTGAGCCATGTAAGTTTGCTCATTCCCTAAATCATCTGCCCCCAATTCTCAGCACTCCAAAGCACGAGACCCTCTGCTATTGATTGATTCTCGCATGTGCTTTTATTCGCTTTCGGTATATTACTTACATTAAGTACAGAACTTCATGACGATGATCAATCAACGCGACATACATGGAAGAACACCTCTTCATGATGCCTGTGCATCAGGCCTTCTGGAATCTGTCCGTTCTCTTCTGAAGGCTGGGGCAGACATCACCGCCGTAGACAACAACAAGAGAACTCCTCTTCACGCATGTGCTGAATATGCCGACGAAGAGAAGCTATGGAGTTTGCTAGCTCGTCACAACAAGGAGTCTAGCTATTGTCTTCGAGATCGATTCAGGCCCGCCCGCTCCACACCGCCATCTTACCAGCAATGGCATGAAATTCCTAGGCGAGGACCAACTAAGACTCTATGCTCATCAACTACTACATCTACAGAGCAATACAGTTTCAACATTGGCCACATTGTCAAAGCTCTCCTCTCCGCTGGGAGCGCTACTGAAGCGACTCGCCAGAACATTCATAATCAAACACCTCTGGACATGGCCATTGAGTATGACTGCAAAGAAATGGTGCAGGCATTGGAGTCCTCGATTGTACAAGTTCAAGATTACCGGAAATTAGAAGTTGGAGATCGTAGACTGGAAACGCTAGCTGCATTGAGAAGGCCAATGTCAGTTAGGGAGCTTGACGAGTCAGCGTGCCAGGAAATTTTGCAGAATCCATCGTTTTATCTTCCTTATCTTACTCCGAGCAACGTGGAGTGGACATTGCAACAATGCAGAGAACCTACTGGCGCGGGCGAACCAACATCTGCCTTATCTACGTTGTTACCATTTTTGTGTGTAGCCGTAGCGAGTGGCTTTGCCGAGTCAGTCGAGAGTTGTGGTTCTCTAGCTCGAATCAACGATGATCCGAAGGCTGTCCTAGCTCGAATTCAAGACGAAGCAAAAGTGCCTGAAGAATATTCACCGATATACTCGACACCCATGCTCAATATAGCATGCTCCAGAAAGCTACCAAACATGGATACGATCAAGGTGCTCATCGAGAAATGCGGTGTGGATGTTAACGCTCGTGCCTTGGTCAAATCAAGGGAATGGGCCAACCCCGTTGACTCCATAGAAGGAGGTACCTCTCTACATGTCCTCGCAAAAGCTCATTGTTGGTGGCAGCTCGAAGCACTCAACTATCTTGTACAAAATGGCGCCAACATCGAAGCAGTCAACGAGAAAGGCGAGACACCTTTGCATGTGGCTTGTACCGGACCAACATATGTCGACATGAACTGCACAAATGCTATCTATGGATACTGGAGGATCGAATTCGTCAACGCACTTCTCGAGCTTGGCGCCGATGTCAATGCCCTCGACAATAGCGGCCTTTCTTGTTTGCACAAAGCTAGTTCTTCTCCGACCATCATGAAGATACTTTTGAAGCAGGGTGCAGATCCCACTGCTGGAAGTACTTCACCTATTTTCTCCGCAATCCAGATTCAGTGCCTGGAAACACTTTCGACATTGCTCGATGCAGGCATTAGTCCCAATGCCATTGACACCAGTGCGGAGTCTGAAGGCTTTAAACTACACTATCTTGTCAAGAACCAATCTCGTTCCGCACTATTCTGTACTGCCTTTGCCAGTTTACACAATCAACGGCCCAAGCACTCCTCGCCAGTAGCGAAATTGTTGATCGAAAGAGGGGCAGATATCTATCATCGGCTCGACGACACAGATACTCTGATACATTACTTCTTTGAGAATGCTGAGTATGAGCTAGTCTGTGCTTTCCTTGACCATGCGTCGAAAATTGACTTCGACACTCGAGACAGTCAGGGACGTACTGTATTCCTGGCTGCCTGTGATTGGAAACTATGTCTGCCTTTTGAGCATCATGATTGGGAGTTTAAAGCAGTCACCCCATTTCTCACAATCCTTGAGTTTGGCGCCGATCTTTTCGCAGTTGACAACGATGGCCGAAATGCTCTACACCACCTTCTTGACAACCCTGACATAGAAGAACCGGCAATCAAACAATTCCTCGCTCATGATGCCGCCAAGACTATGCTTCATCAGAAAGATAACAAAGGTTTCACGCCTCTTCACTGTGCCTTGAGGACACTCCGCCCTGCCATTGTTGAAGTGCTCCTTTACATGGGCGCAAATCTGCAGAGTCCAGATCCAAATGGCGCAACCGCATTGCATCACATAGCAGCACAGTGCCTACAAGTCAAAAGACCCTCGAAGAAAACTTGGTCCGGTGCTCACGAACCCGAATATTACAGCGGTCTCCTCGCTCTGTGGAAGAAGTATCTTGCTATGGGAGGTTCTATCAACGTCCGTGACAATGCAGGATCACCACCCCTTTTCTGGTACATGTCATCTAGTCAACGCGACGATTATAACGCGGCCAAGGATGGTTGCTGCCATATGGAGCACTTCGATACTTATTTCTTCGAAGATGTCAATTTGAACGCGAGAAACAATAATGGAGAGAATGTGTTGCATATCATTGCAAAACGAGAGAAGAATAGCTGGACGAAACCGGAGCACGATAAACAGTTGTATGCGTTCCCCGTCAGGAAGGGCATAAGTCCATTGGATGAAGATGGAAAGGGAAGGAGTAGTTTGGATATTGCGGCTGCTTGTGAGCAGAAGGGTATCTTGGAGTTGTTTCAGCATAAGAAGGAATCTGTGCGGAATAGTGGTCACACACATTCACACTGAATATCCCGATTTGATTGCTGGAAAAATGTCTGAAGGAAAGATTTCATTTTTTGAGAGAGAGGCCGTCATTCAAGTATTACAAAAAGTTGTTGGGTGTCTCATATTATATCGCTGGCGTTTCTTATCATTTACTTACAATTTGAAGAGAAAATCCTATTTGATTATACTTGCACAAATTCTTGGTCCTCAGATACTCCACCACTAACTTCATACAGCCTACGTCGATAAAAATCCGCTGATTCTTGTAAGCTCATATGTTCGAGCAGATCTGTGATCATGAATGGTCCTTCTGCGAGCACAGGACCGAACTTACTCTCGTTCAGATCATCTTGAGCTTTATCACCAGTCTTGCTCCATGTCTCATGCTTCGTTAACCTCATTAAGTTCATGAGACTAGACGGCTCCACTATCTCGATCCACCTGATGACTCCGCAAAGTAACTTTACCCACTGAGTCACACGTTCTCCATCTAACGTCCCCTCATGCTGTCGAAACTCGATTGTGGTCTTCGGAGTTTCGCTCGACAAGTCAGGCCGCAGGAGGTTGAAGATGGGCTTGACGTTGTACGCCATGTATCGATTGGGGACAGTTCCTTCCTCGCATACAGCTCTTACCAATGCTTCCATATCCTCATGTTTCTCTAGCAGCTTGCAACCTTCGTATGCTGTGATACGATGTCCGGTCTGTGTGAGATGATTGGCTGACATAGAAGAATATCCCCTCATGCTCTGCGTGTATTGAGAATCGCCCTGTCTGTTAGCTGGATGAAGTGTATCGAATTGGTGATGGAAGGCCCAGAAGAACATCATGGCTTGCTTCACGCTTCTGAGTCTCCATCTAATGTCAGTTCCAAATGAGACATGCACATGTAGACCTGTGCTTTCATTGGTGTTCGTCAAATACTTCGTGGTTAAGATTTTACATACCTTTTGAACAGCTGCAAGATTCTCCGGTGTGAAGTCGTAAGCAGGAGATTTTAGTTCAACACCGAGCCAGTGGTATTTGTTATTGGGCGGACTGATACTGGTATCACCTTCAATGTCCCACTTTGAGACGTCAACCAAAACAGGGGACACCTGGGCTGGAGTTTGATTGATTGGTAGTCCCGCTGCGCGAAGGTCGTCTCGTATAGATTGGTAGATGGTGCGTTTCATGACTTCAATTCGGAGAATTTCATCGCTGAAATTCTTTTCGTTGAAAAGCTTCGCGTAGGAAATTTTGTTTCGGAAAAGATAGGCTGAAGCTTGGTCGATCATGGATTCCGTTGGCCTGAAAGAGGATGGCTTAAGTTCTGTGATGTCTTCGATCACTTCATTTGGGTAAATGTAAGCGACGTTGAGTTCCAGCTCGACGCCAAAATAAAGTAGAGGATAGAAAGACATCTTTCTGTTGATATTAACTAGAGTACTCGAAATGGGGACAATAAGGAGGGGGAAAGAAAGGATTCGACAATGGTTTTGTATTCGAGTCTGCTTTGTGTGATACATGAAACAATGCCCTTGTTGGTCATCATCAAAGAGTGAAGACAAAGACGCTTGAGATACAAGAAAATCATCGTGCGCGCAGTGGCAAGAACAATGGTATCATCGATACTCAATATCTCTGAAACGACAAGAATAAAGCTAGACATCCAAAATTATAGCGTGCTGCCGTGTTGAAAGAGATTCAACCCCACTTGGATTCAGAGGAAAATGAAAGTAGAAGCAGATTAGATTCTGTCCTCTGCTTCGATGAGTCCCAAACCTGGGGGAACATGAATTGCAAGGAGGATAGATGGATGGTCTAGACCAGCGTGATATTCCCCACCATGCCATCCTGTAAATATGGATAGATCCCGCCTTGTTTAGCATCCCGTTGCTTTCAAACACCCGCCGTCCTATCTGACTTCCTTATTAGGTCTTTCCGCAACCTCCTCCTCCGATCCCTAATTGCAAAGAACCACTCCGTCGCGAACTTAGCGATAAACAGGCAAACCAGCACCAGTAGAACCGCGAACACGAATCCCACAAATAGAACTGCTAATCGACGAGAAAACGTCCAAAACCTTGGCCATTGGGTAGTCACCAAAGGTTCGACAGCCAGTTCTACCTGTAATGAGTTCAAAAACAGAGACACCAACCCAAATATGAAAAGAAGAGGTCCATATAGTCTGGAAAAGTAGGTGTCGTATTGCCCGTAGATATTGTGAAAGTATCGTCTTCTGAGAAAGAGTTTGCCATAGAGGTTCAATCGAGACAGGCGGATTTGGCCATAACGACATCGCTCAGTCACATCATCATCGCGAATCAGCTGGAAAGGGGCTATGAAAGCCGAAAAGCTTTCCCACGCGGCGGTGGGAGGAATTAATCGCATTTCTTGAGCTATATTGAAATCTGATTCGTACTTGATCAGGTGCCAATATGTTCGCAGAAATCCAAGTGCGGAGCGTTCGAGGAGCTCGCGTTCCGCCGCCGATATTGACATGGGCGATGTTGTCGTCAAGTACGTCGACCAGAACTTATAGGATAACAGATACTTGGGTAATTGTTTGATATAAATCAAGTCGTAGTACCAAACAAGGTGAAGCTCAGGGTTTTCCGTAACGACTATTCGACGGAGCTTCACAGCTTGGTGGTGCAATGGTGCGACATGTGCGCTGGATTGCTTGGTCATCCACCAGAGACGCTGTCCAATTTTCTCGAGATCAGGGGTACGGGGATCTTTCGAAAGAAACGGGTATAGATCTTGGGTATTGCGTAAAGAGATTTGACGGTATCCCGGCAAAAATTTGACATTGTTTGGTGGGTTGAGGTCTTTATTCAGCTCGTGAGCTTCTTTGAAAGGCACTGCTGAAAGCACTGTCATGCCGTCGAATATCATGAAAGAGAAACAATCAGAATATTAGCAGGCAGTGGCAGTCAGCTTCTACGTTGGGTTATAAACAAAACGCCTAGTCGCAATATATAAAAGTTCCTACTCTCATAGCCTTATAAAGCCTTCTTCGAGCCTCGGGCTTTCTCAGCTGTAGGGAAGGAAGCGATCTGCAGCCTCAGTCACCCTGATAGCTATTTTTTACCTTTTGGCCGTTCAAGGCCCTGTGATCACACTGGTGACGTGGAAACTACCTCCCTACAGAAGCCACTTGATATGGGAATTCTCACGGAAGCATAATGCATCGTCAAGGAGTGATCTTTAAGTAAGATTTAATTTTGCTGGGCCTGAAGTATTTCTCAGAGCCTCAAAGAACTTTGTAGAGTGAGGCTGCCCGTGCCACATATTGTGCTACGTGGGAAAAGGGCGGTCAGCTGCAGCTGGGCGTCGACCCCTGTCGTCTTGCGGCCCAAACTAGGCTGTCGTCAGCCTCAAAGTCCTCTTTGCCGTTCTTCAAATTTTATTCCTCGAAGTCGATAACAGTCTTTTCAACAAAAACAAATTAGACGTCTCATTTGCGTTCCATGCTGCTAGACCCAATATTGGGCGATAATTCAGGCTTGGGAGTTGCACTTTTATATCTGCCTCGCCCCATCCTGACAAGATTTGTTAGTAGCCATTATTTAATGCGACATGGATTCATCAACAAAGTCGCCCCAGAAAGTGGACCAACGCAATGCTAGAGCCCTCGAAGAGATTGTTACTCCAGAGAGCTCCTTAGAGAAGGATCTACCGAAGTTACCAAGGAAGTTGATACAAGGCTGTTGGGATTACGAATTCTGTATACCCCAGAGGAAAACTTGCTTGCTGCGGAATGTGACCTCGAGTTCGTCTCCTTGTCCACCAAATCCGTCTCCGCGACTCCCAACTCTCACACCAAGACCCCAGAGTTCATCGCTCTCTGGGACTTCTTTGGAGATCTAGATACTATAAATCTTCTTCCTAACATCGACCAAATCCGAGCGTACTTCGCAGAGTATGAGAAATTAGTTGAAGCATACGAGAAGATCCACGGGACAGTATGGCCTCTTGAGCTACGCGAAATAGCTAGCACTTTCTGGGAGCAAAGCCTTCTAGAAATTGAACTGGAGAGACAATAGTACTAGGAGGAGAGAGAAGAGTTGGTGAAGGCGAGTGCAGAAGCGGGAAGACGCTGAGGCAGCTTTCCAAAGATGGTCACAGGGACTCCCTGACACCGACGAGGGAGAGGCAGTCAAGAAAAGCGGTCGTAGAGACAAGTGTTACAACCATGTAAGAGAAGAAACGTATGCAGAGTCTGACTGTGCTAACCGTACTAGAAAAGGCCAGAAAAAAAAAGCTATCAAGCAATGTAAACAGATCAAACTGGCAACCAGACAATTATGTATTACAGAATGAATGTGACAATGTGATCCTAAACATCGCTTCTGATCATGAGATCCTCAAAACTTCAGCCGCTGGCATCTCAATCGGCTCTTGTCTGACGAAATGGCTTTTCACATCCACCTCTTCTTGCGGAAGTTCCGACATCGCGGGACTGGAACCATATTTCTCAAAAACAGCATTGCTGCCCAACAATGCAGGTTCGACGTGGCTTCCATGGAGTTGTGGGACATCGGGTTCCGTATTTTGGAAGTAAGGGTCGCGTCTTTTTTGTCTCTGACGGCGGAGGAAGAAGAGTATGAGGCCGAGGATGGCAGCGATAGCGAGAAGTCCTCCGATTACTCCACCGGCGATGCTTGCAGTTGAGGGGTTCTTCTTTGATGGAGAAGAAGTGGTTGTAGGTCGGGCACTCGATGGAGTAGACCCAAGAGCTGTATTATTCGAGGTTGAGTTTGCAGTTGGGTTGAAGAGAACCTCGAGATTCGTGTTTGCGAACCCAGTCGCCGGTGCGACGACCGTGGCACCCCCATTTAGCCTACAGCACTCAAGTCAGTATCCTCTGCGACAGATGGAATATTTCGAGTTCTCACGTTCCGCCAACAGCCCTCACGACATCATCGGGCACCGTGTACGCACTTGCGTTTGCATCATATGTATTTCCCCAAGTCAAGTCGCTCATATCCAGAATACCAACTCCTTGGGTTTCCCAATCACAATCATTAGCTATCTTGGAAGTGTCGCTGCCTCCAACTGTGATCATTTGCCTATTTCCAACCACGTGACAAGTATGCGAATAGCGGGGTGATGAGCCTTGGTAGAGCTGGATCCATTGAAACGATGGCAAAGTGAGGACCCAGACTTCATCGTAGTATGCATTGACGCCGTCTCGTCCTCCGTACATATAAATGTTGTGGCTCGAGTTGTCGGGCGCAGATACGAGAACGAGGCACAAGTCCAGGCGTGGACTAGGCGTGGAGCCAGATGTTCCTTGGGAATACCATACTCCATCAGGCGTGCTGGCATTTTTGAAGGAGCCTACGTCGAAGATATTGACAGTTTGGAGCGACAGTAGAGTTCCTGAAAAGCTATAAGTCAGCGAAGTCCCGGCTAAGCACGTCTGTATAAACTGAACTAACCTTTCCAATCATGTGTTAAGTCCGAAGTCGACTTTTGACCACCTCCAATCAAGACCAGAATGCCATCCGATCCAGGCAAAGGTACATGAACCATCTGCCCCCTCACCCTAGCCTCACTACTGACATCGGCAGTTGACAAGTTTCTTGCAGACTGATCATTCAGATCTAATACCACCATTCCGTTCAGAAATCGCGTGGTACTTTGTAATACAGTCGTCTCCGTAGAACTGCCATTATCCTGCATCCCATTAAACCAAAACGCCAAGCCCTTCTCCGGAATCGACGTAGTAGGTCCGGAGGCCGGTTTATTGATCCCATACTGTGACATGTATGAAGTCCAAGTATTATTTGAGCTGTCGTACGACCAAAGCGATTCGGTGCCTGGCTGAGGCTATTGCCAACCTAAAAAATGTCATATTATCGATCGCGGTAGAGCCTCCAAAAAGCCAGAACTTGTTCGGATTGGTGGGATCAGGATACAGTGCGCCTCGTGACATATCAGGGACAGCAAGGGTTCCAGCAGAATCTCGAAGCTTGGAGATTTCCTTTTGCGGGAAGTCGCCTTTCGAGTCCCAGGCGGTACTCATGTTAATTGATATGAGGTATTGATCTTGTGGACGTTAGAGATAGGCAAAGCATTGTTTAATGTAGATCCGACATACTGTTTCCAATTGTGCTGTTGGAGATCTGAGTGCCGTTAGGGTCGAATGTGGCGAACACTTCCCTTCCTCCATCAATGTAGAGTATGTCATTAACAACGATTGCTGTACCGCTCGTCAGGTTCAAGAATCTGACAATGGTTGTGAGGCATGAAAGAAAGCGGTTAGGAGGAATGGTGGATTTTCCCCTCGAAAATCAAGACGTACACTGATGATCCAGTCTGCTACAAAAATTGACCAAGGGGTCATATTGCGCATTTGCAACATGTTGCAAAGCTACCAAAAGTAATAACAAAAGAGTGTTCAACACCATTGGAAAGGATCACCCAGAACGACGAGCAATCGCAGGCATAGGATAGAAGGAGTAAAGAATGAAGGAGTCTCAATGTCCATAGATGTCAGTAATGCAGGAACACGGCATGCCACCCTTGCCAGCTCAAGGGACCCTGCTAAGATCTTCCTAGATGGTGGGACCAAATCTCCACAACCACACTTTGGAAAACTTAAATACGGGTGGCGCACAACAGGGCTGAAAAACAATTGCCTTTTTGGGGCAATGCGTTGGCATCTTGGAGTTGAACAGCATATCAAAGATTTAAGATCAAAGACGGAGAAGTACACAGTCTAAGAGGATCTTGCTTTTTTGAGTCGACAAGAAGACCGGTGACTTGGAATTGGTCTTCAAGCGCTGAAGTTAGATAGAAGGTGAACACCGTTGTTGTGGATATGCTTGTCGGCCGACACTTGCGGCTGAGGCTGAAAGTCCTCATTTCGAAAAAGCTCAGTCAGGCCAATCATCTGAATGAAGGGGGAAATATATGACAAGCTGATTCTAGATTGGCCAGCACCAACAAGAGAGTTGAAATCAGACCAGGCCTGGCGACTCACAACGGAATGTGTTTTGGTGGGCCGCAAAAATCGTTCTAATGAGATCTGATCAATTTCAGAAGAAGCCTAAAACCAGTTAGAGAGGTAAAGAAGAATCCAAAGTATGTGAATGGGAAAGTTTGAGTAATCAACCACTGCGATGGACTACGAACGGGCACTAGCCCACAGGAGGATTCCGGAGACTAGCGAAGTGAGCAGACGTAAAATAGAAACGGCCACAAGAGACAGACCGCACTACATTATACGTATCGTGAGTGTACCACATGGACTCGAGATTCGGACACAAGAAGTGCTTCGTTGGTATCCACAATGTCCGACTATACAGCAAAACAGGCCTTTCGAATGACACCGGAACGCCAAAGCCCTGTCCTTTTGAATCCCAACAGTGTAGTGACAACCTCTCTTATCTCTTGCCCGCTCTCCTCGCCTTGCCTGGTCTTTGCTTCGCCACACCCTTCATCTTTTTGCTCGAGAAACCTTTCAAGTCACCACTGCTCATGGCATCGCCACTCTTCTTAAATCGCTTCTTGCCACCAAAGCCAAACTTCTCGTCCTTCTTCGCTCGCTTGTTGGGTCCTTGCCTATCTTTTCTTGAGCCCTTGGTTCCAATCTCGTCTTCCACGGCGACGTCGAACATATCAGCTTCGTTTGTGGTTTCGTTGTCGGCACCTTGGCGTTCTGTAACAGAAATTAGCACTGTAGATAGGGAATTCCACGCCAATGCATACTTCTCTTCAAGGTCTTGATCTTGTCCATAGTTTGCTTGCGTTCCTTGTCTCGTTCTTGCAACTTCGCAACTTGAACTTGCTTGCCGAACTTCTTCAAGTCTCTCTGCTTCCTGGCTTCAGCACTGGCCTTCTTGCTGGCCGCCTCGTCAATCATCTTTGCCTTGATCTTGGCCATATGTTCATCTGCCTTCACCATCTCCGCAAAGTAATCTGTCGGTCTCGTGAATGGTACGCCTTCGGCCTTGAGCTTTTTGCGGGCTTCTTGTACAGCAGACAACGATTGTGCGTAGAATGCGAGTTCTCGATTTAAGTCATCTGACACATCTGCAATCTGTACAGGCTCAGATGTGGTGACCGATTGGTGCTCTGAGAAGGGTAGTTTCGAGATAGGGAGGGATATTCGTTTCAAGGCAGCGGTAAGAGCGACGGTGTTGTTGATTGTGAGGCGTTGGTGGGGTATCATATCTTCTTTCTCTTCGTCATTAAGATCCTCAAGGTCGGACATAGGTATATCTTCATCATCCTCGTCATCTGAAGGCTCTTGGTCGTTTTCACCGGCCGATGAGTCGCTATCGCTTTCGTCAATCTCGTCGAAGTTAATCTGCAGAGAAATTAATTAGATGCTTGTCGATTGCGTCAAGAAACTTGCCTTCATTGGACCTTCTACCTCTTCTTCGCTGTCACCCTCTTCCTCATCAACATCTGCGACCTCATCTTCCACTTCCTCAACATCTTCCCACTCATCCTCATTTTTCCCGTTTGGCTTCTCGACAGGCGCCTTCGCAGCCTTCTTCTTGTTTGCGAGCCTTTCTTTCTTTTGCAATTTCAATTTTTTGAAATCCGTACCCTTTTCAGCCGCAAGGGCCATTTTCAATTTGCTTTTGTTAACCATTGCGCCGTTGTGCGGAAGCTCAAATTGGTGGTGGTCTTGAATTCATTACTCCGCAGAAAATAATTTTGATGCAACTTTTCAAGCTCCCGCGCTAGAAATATTCTGCCATCTTGACCGCTTTGAACCCACCTCAGTCACGTGTGCACCCTTGACTTCACATTCTTAGTCTTCTAGATTTCGTTCTGCTCTAAGGCGCTTTAATCTCGTGATTACAAAGCTAAGGGACTGGATCCCAACCGTAGCTCCGGATGTTGATGTTTGTGATTCCACCGTCATACAGCATACGCCAGTGATACCCCTTTCTCTTAGATACCAAAGAAAGTATTCTCCTCTCCAGAGCATTTCATCCTGAAAGTATGGCAAGTAGAACAGTATCTGTAATGAGTCTGCTTGTGTTAACTAAAATGCCAACAGAATCATCAAATCCAATATCTTTGAGTGGTCTGTCCACTTGTTGCTAGCCGACCTGCTAACTCTAAAGTTCTAGAAACTTTGGGACATTCTACAATCACCTTCTTGATGTATCTGTTATGGATCTCTGCAGTGCTCCTCTTTCAATTTGTTCTTGTTAACGCAGCGACGTCTAGCCTGATTTCTCTTCAGTACATCTTCCCCAACCTATCTGATCCCGGGTGCCTCTTCCTACGTTTCATCCACGCTTCTTGAGACTGCTCTAAGAAACTGTCGGCACCTAGTGCATGGATTGAAAGGTTGACCTTTGCACGTTGATTACATCTCCAGATTTTGATGACCTGCTTTTGCAGCATACACCTCGTGCGAAGTAAAGCATAGTCTACAATAACGTCTTCACAAAGGTGCCGATCATCTTGCTCTAACGAACCCTCCAATACTTCCCAACAAGACATTCCTTGTATCACTCAACAAGCTCTAGCTCAGCGCAAACCCAGGTAGCCCTAGACCTCACCGAACCACGAAGGGAGGGCGTGATGAGAAGCATAGTTGAAAATGACTTCACATCAGAACCAGCTCCAAGAGCCGCTCTAGGAATGTCCCCCACATCTCTTCCCTCCAATGTCCTAAACCTCCTGTCCACTCTAGAACCGCACTCCGTACCTTTCTCCAAGCAAGCCCCGTTGTACGTCTCGACAATGACTCTGATCTTTATTGCCCCAAACCCTCAAAATATCCATCATCTGCTGCTCCATGTCTGTGAAGACTTAGCTCGCCCTACAGTCACTCTTCCTACGAGCCAAATTTCACACGAGAAGCCATCTGGCAAAGACTCGAAGATCCTGCTTCGGGCAATGTCCCAACAAGCGAGGCTCAAACACCTTCTTCGGGGATACGGGGTTTGATAGGTATCTGTGACAGGATCAGAACCAGACAAAGAAGAAATTAGCAATGTGCCAAAGGCTGGGACTGCTGCAGAACCGGCCTTGTGAGTAGAGATTGTCCTTGTATTAATCTCCCCCACAGTCAAAGCCCCCCAGTTCCTCAAACTCCAACTCTTCCCCACTACCTGCTATACCTCAGACAGACACTCTCAAACCAAACATCAATAATCATCACAGACCAAAACCACAGCTAATCCCGTCAGGTGCTCCTTTAGTACCGCTCCCAGATTCGTCTTCCTGGACATATCAACCACTCTTGCTGGTACTGGATCCCCGACACACTGTGCAAAGATTCCTAGTGCGATGTGTCTATGGTACCTCTGCTGCTCCACAGACGGTATCTGCTTGTGAGAAGAACATACCACGAGCAGACCACAAACCTCTCTAGCTCCAAAATGCCCGTCTGAAGCAAATCTCTTTCCAACCCAATAAGCCCGGCTGAATCGACGGACTTCAGAGACAAATCAAGCGCCCATGACTCCGAGTGGAAGATATAGATGGTATTTGGCTGGTTCGGCTGATGGAGGGACTGATCGAATCTAGCTCCCACCGCTGGATTGAGGACCGTCAACCGCTATCACGTCTAGATGATTAGTGTTTTACGAAGCTAGGCAACCTTCTGTATGCTCGTCGGCGGTCTGTACATATGGGCCCGTAAAGTATGGCGGTGGTGAAACTCGAGGAGCAGTATTGGGATCTGGAACACAAGGAATCTGTAGACTGTATAAAATCCATCAGCAATTTCACATTAAGATATCAAGATATGTCTGGTCTTCAGCTCAGCGCTTTTGTCCTCACCATATCGGAGGCTGGACTTGCGACTTTTGTCAACCTGTTGAAAAAGCTGTCAGCGTGGACGTATCTTCTCAGGAGGACGTCACAGAGCTGTAGGATGAACATGGAGACGTGACGGAGATCCCAGCCGTTGTGGAAGATTATCAAAACCAACGAGAAGGCCTGACCGCCGTGCTCCTCGGGTGGAGAGTTAGCTGCTCGTCCCAGAAAGAAAGTGGCAATGCAGTTTGTTCCAGATCAAGCTGGCGCTTTTACCCCACCAAGTCGGCCATACTCCATGCGACTTGTGAACTTAGAGATTAAATCAGCGATTGTCCCTAAGCCAACCAGCGCTTAGGAGGGTGCTATGCTGTGATTCGGTTGAAGATTTTGAGGTTCTTTGAAACTATAGAGGAAGCAAGAATCAAGCGTGTTAAAAGTGTCAAAGAATGAGTAAATATCAAACGCGTTCACTGTGCTGGACATTGAAAACAAACTCGATCTGATGTGGTGAATAAAATTCTTGGAGAGGTATTTGGTGAGATGAAAGCGAGTCCCACGACGCGTCGGGTTGAAGGTGAATATTTCCACGCGTCAAAAGGATGAAAACTTCACAAGCAAGAAAGGAAAGAGGAGATGAGTGAATGCCATGCTGTTATTTGCTATGCTAAAGCTAGGTGTTTTACAAGTGGAAGAAAAGGAAAGAAAGGAGAATGTGCATCGTTATGTGATCGGCCCACGCGACCGCAATGTCTGACCTTATGTGCAACGCCATGAAAGAAAGAAAGCAAACTAATCTACAACCCAGACGTGAAAATCCTCGAAAATGCAAGTGAATCCACCAAACGCGTCAGGAATCAGTGACGTCATCATAGTCATAGGCGCTCTCTCCAGTCTCATCCTCATAGTCCTTGTTGAAGTAACAGCCTGAACCTTCCCATATGACCTTGAAGTTGAAACCAGCGAGGGTCTTGCTGGCCCACTCCAACCTTTGGGCATAATCTTCGTGCTGCTCGTAGATGCGGCTGGGATAGGCAGGATTGAAGTGGTCATGGTCAACCAAGGTCAATTGCTCGAGAGCGTTGTTGTCAAACTGGGAGACGGTGTCTTTTGGATGCTGGACAAATTGGCACCACTCGATCTCAAGCTTCCGAACGGCGCGACTGGGGTGCTTGTTCGCGTGCCTGGTAATGTGTTGACCAGCGATTGCCATAGCTTTCTCATATTGTTGGACATCTTCCGGCTCATTGCCACATCGATTGTACACAAATGCCAGGGTGTCTATGGTCGGGTTGAACCAAGCATAAGGTTGATCGCCAAGGCCGAGGCGAGGAGCTGACCTAAGCTCGCTAGCACGGGCTGTGAGGAGTGGAGAATCGAATTTGATAACCGTCCGAGGGACCTTGTTACGTGGGTCTCGGTAAGACCAAGCCTGCTCGGATGGGTTCCAGAGAGCATACAGCGTGCGAGGTCTTGAAATGTCATGGGCGAGCTCCAGGATGTAGAGGATAATCTCAGGAGGGACATTTTTGACGGCCTGAGCTCCAAAGCTTTGTACAAGGTAGTCGGGATCCAGAGGGGAAAGGGGGCGAGATGAGATGATTCTCGAGAGTGCAACTAGTACCATTAGCATCAGTGTTGGATAGTGAAGTGGTGATAGTTACTCTTAGCCATCTTCACATTAAGGCCAAGGCGATCTGTCGCCATCAACTCAATTCGGAACGAGTCGTCTCCTTCTTCAGGATCCCTGGCATCTCCCCAGTCTCTGCAACGGGCTGTGCATTTGGTGTGTTTGCATTGCGGGCACTTGTTGGTTTCAATGTCGTTCTTGGTCAGGCAGCGGCAAAAGCAGCAATCCCAGAAGTTGTAATGTTGGCAGCGATCGCACTGAATGTGACCGCATTCCTTGCACTCACCCCATTGTCCAGTAGGAATGATTTGGCCACAATTGCAGCATGGGACTTCTTCTTCTTCCTCGTCATCAGAGTCTTCTTCTTCATCAGGATCCTCTTCGGAAATCTCTTCATCACTGTGCTCGAGTTAGCCAATGTCTGGAAAAAACACCTGGGCAGGACGTACTCAGAATCTTGGGAAGGATCTTCAAGAGACGCAACTTCTTGGGTGACAGGAGCAGTGTCTTGAAGGTCGACAGATGTAGCTTGTTGAAGGTCGACGGATGGAGAGGTTTGAAGGTCGACGGATGCAGCTTGTTGAAGGTCGACGGATGGAGTTTGTGGAGCTCGCATTGAACGCGTCTGCATAGTCCTGGTGGTGGGAAGGCTCGAGACACGCGTTGATGCGCGTCGAGAGGGGGCACGAAGCATCATGACGATGTCTCGTTGAGGAGAGTGATGAGGTCTTGAGGTGATGGAAGTCTTAAAGAGTAATAAGGTCTTGGGGGTCTGAAGTATCTTGTTGAAAACGAAGCGTGACTGGATGCTTCAAGGTGGCGTTGTTTCAAGAAGAGAGTTGTATTTGGTCGGAGAGAAGCGGGGTAAATATACCTCAGTGGGGGGAAGCGAATCGATCTGGATCACCAAAATTCCCGAACGCTGATTGGCCCCTGAAATGAGGCGACTTCTGTTCCTGGAGCGTGAATATTAACCTTAAATCAAGCAGGCAGGAGTCCTCGAACGCTGATTGGCTCCGAGATTGGCCGACTTCCTGTCCAATTGGCGTGAATACAAGTCTTTAGCAAAGAAGAGTCCTTAGACGCCAGGCAAGCACGCTAGGCAAGGTTTCTCTCCTGGAGTGTGTAATCATAAATCTCAAAGGAAGCAGATAGAACTCCTGGAACGCCGACTCCGATGTCGGCCGGTTTCCTTTCCAATTGGTGGGAATACAAGTCTATAACAGACCAGAGACCAGTCGTTGGACGCTGGGCAAGCTTTTTCTGCTGGAGCGTAACCTCAGACCTCGAAGGAGGCAGATTGGACTTTTGGGACACTGACTCCGATATCGGCCGATTATCTGTCCAAGTTGGCGTGAATATAAGCCCTTCAGCAAAGAGTAGTTGGATGCTGAGTGAAATCTGAAATTAGGTGATTTTTGATCTACTTGAGCGAGGACATTAACCTCAAACCAAACGGACGAAAGTTCTCACGCATTATTTGGCTCCGAGATCGACTGGATTTCTGTCGATTTTGAGCGACTTTGTAGATGATTTCAGCACAAGTATGCACGGATGCTCATTGACTCCAGAAATTGGTCGACTTGCTTGCGTGAATGTATAGACCTTAAGCAGGCAGGCAGATGTCCTCAGACAACAATTGGCTCCGAGACCGGCTAATCCTCTGTCAATTTGGCGTGAATTTGTGCAAGTCTTTAGCAGACAAGCCCGCACAATTGCTGAGTGGCTTTGAAAATCAGTTGATTTGCTTGCGTGGATATATAGACCCCGAAGTAGGAAGGCAGATGTCCCTAGACATTGATTGACTCCAAGATCGGCCAATTATCTGTCCATTTGGCGTGGATGCAAAACTATAGAAGTCAAGAGAACGGTGCTGAGATACTAATTGGCTCCAAAAATTGGTGGTGTTGCTGGCGTGAATTTAACCTTCCGAGAGAAAAGCCCTCTATAGATAATTTGCCGCATAAATCAGTCGTTCTTGCTCTAATGGGAATGAGTGTTATCTTTTAGCAGGCAAAATGAGACACAGATTGGTTTCGATGCCGATCGACTTCCAGTCTGATTGACGTGAATGTAAAACTTCCAGCACAACACAGTCGTAAAACGAAGATTGGCCCGTTGAATCAGTCGATTTGCTTTCCTACTTTGCGCAAATATACATTGCGAGCATAGAGAAGTCCTTGGACATTGCTTGGTCCAGGATCCAAGTGATTGACGGTCCTGCTTGTGTGAATTCGGAGAGGCAAAAGTTCTTGGACGCCCATTGGCTGGTGAGGTTAGTGCGTGAATATTTGTTGGCTCCAAAGACGAAAACTTACCTTTGTACCTTTGTCCATACTATCAGTCACCACTAATCTTTGCATGTCGAAAATACTTCATGCCCACCCACGCGACGACAACCCATACCCAGGCCATGACTGCGGTGAGTATGATCAGTGCAGGATAGTACCCAACAATTGGCAATGTCATATCATCTTCTAACTCTGGTGGCGCGTAGGGTGTCTCTCCAACGTCCCAGGCCCAGCTCCACACCCCGAGGCAAGAGCCCATACCCGTCACAAAGACAATCCAGGTCACGATAAGAACGACCCATCCCCACCACTCAGTCTCCGAGTAGTCCCACTCGGCATCAGGCGGAGGAAGAGGACTGGCAGCAAGACCTCCAAGCGATAAGGGGGATTTCGCTTTCTGCCCCGATCTCCGGCGGGTGAGTGATCCTGCACCAGCGGGGAAGTACGAGTCTGAACCAGAGGAGGTCGAGGGTCCAACTCGAGGTACTGGGGGATTATGGGTTCTGATACTCAAGATTTCATCTTCATCAGTGGTCGAAGTATACGTCAAAGTAGGACTCGTCGCCGAGGTGGGCGAGGTGACAAGATGGTCATCAGTCCCCATTGGAAGCGTCTTGATTGGTGACAATAAGGTGTTATTTGCGCGGCTGGCATACCCTTCCATTGATGGTCTTGGAGTGGTATCTGAAATACCCAAGCCAAATGCTACGGCCTGAGGCATTTCTTCTGGAGATGTCGGGCTCAAGGCGCCATCCGTACCGAATGCCATCTGGTGGCTTGTTTCAATAGCGTGTGTTTTGGTCTCTTTCTTCTCTCGCTGCGCTCCTCTACCAAGAAGAGCCGCTTTCCTCAGGGAACCTTTTCGTCTCCTTGTTTTCTGCTGCTGCACAACGACTGCCATAGCGCGGCTGGTCTTCTTTGGTGAGATGCGATCATCTCCAGGCAGGAATTCGGGACTAGTTGGTGCTTTGTCCGAGTACTCGTCTGGATTAGGCCTCAGAAAGGAGAGCTTGGAGAGAATGCTCCCTGATAGCGTTCTCCGATGTCCTGCTGGAGCGTCCTCTTCGTTCATGTGGCTGCCTTGAGAAGCTCCACCAGAGGCCCTAGTAGGCTCATTTTCCATATTGTCGGCTCTGATGTCCATTATTAAACAGGAATCATTAAGTAAGCTTCCTTAGACGGTACTGAATTTCCTTAAGACTTGATTAGGACATGAAAGCAACTAGAGTATAGTTGTAGGAACATACCACTTGCTCTCCAGTAGACTGCAGTAGATGTGGATTCGACAAATCCTTCGATTGACACTCTGTCTTGAGGGCCGAATGAAAAGCCTGTTCTAAGCTTGCTATACCATGTCAGATGCTGAAGCAAACACCGATGTGCGATGTACCTGAAGCAAATAATTCTTCATACAGCCGCTCGTCAAGGTCGTGAAGCTCCGAAGCACCAATGAAGTTTAAGGATTTGGATCTTGGTAAGACCTTGAGCCTTATCTTGGAAGATTCCCCTCGATTAGGACGATTGGACGATGGGCCGGGAAACGGGTTGGAGGAGTGTATAAACACTTTCCAATAGGGCAATCAATATGTGGCAACTATTAAACATGTACCATAGAACCAGGAGACATGATGAGTATCGGTGGAGGTTTCTGTAGGTGAAGAGAGCCAGAAAGGTAGATGATTATTTATCTCGTGGCTATGCGGTAGTGAATGCTTCTTCAAGCGTCTTAGCCGGTTTCGGACAGGGTGGAAAGACGATTCCTATATAAGTTACGCCATTAGTTTTGGCCGAAGAAGCGAAGGTACCGATTGGCCAGAGAAGGGAGTAAGAAGGCATCGATATCGTACTTTTGATCTCAGTATGTGTGAATTATCGTTGAGAGTCGTCCACTAGCTGGTCGATTTGCAAATGCTCAGAGTACAAGGGATCACAGTTATTTTTCCTGCAGGCCAGGGTTGGTAACACGGCGACCGAGCCCCTATAGAATACAGATTGAGGAGAAGAATCAGTAGTAACAAATTGGGCAATAATCAGGCTAGAAATCCTCCAGCATCTTCTAGCAAGGAGGGCTAAGATACTAAGAGAGTGCTGATAGCGGGATTGAGCGCTTCGTTGAGGTGAGGACAGCAAGCAAGAGGTGAGGTGTTCTGGAAATAAAGTTGGACGCCAAGAGATCGCGTACCTGGACCTTTTGACGCTAATGCACTCTCCCGCAGACCTCGAAGCGCAACCATCGTGTACCAGACAACGTCGTGATCCTTCGACAGCTTCTTGCGCGAAGTCTCCTTCAGCTTCGCAGATCGTTTCATGCTCCATCGAGGGCCATAGATATCTGCCATGGCGTCGAGTCTCCCTATTCCTGCTCCTCCGAGGACACCTACCCCTCCAACCCCTATTCCTGAAGAACCAGAGGAGCGATTTGGGGGCAATGGTGGATCACAAACGATGCGCTCGACGGTGACCTTCGATCCGAATTCTCTGTCTCCTATGAGAGATACGTTCCCCAACCGCTTCGGAACGATACCTTCGCCGACCTCATCCTCTTCGACCCTCCCAACACCTACCTTGAGTTCCAATGGAAGAATGGGACCTCCCCCGCCTCCTACGGGGCCGAGAGCTCCTTTTACGTACCAGACGCAAGCCATAAAGGATAATCCAGTAGTGGCAAACTCAGTATGGCCCAGAGACCAATCTTCTAGCAGCCCATATTTAGCAGGCGTGAAGTTCAAAGCTATGAGCACTAACGCAATTCAGAACATTGGCAAACGCAGAGGCCATAGGTACAAACACAGCAGTGTGAGCGCACAGCATCAGATATTCCTCGAACCGCCTCCGCGAGCCCCGCTTGCACTCCCCGCATCACTCCCTATCCCGACGAAGAGCGAAGCATGGGCAAGCAGATCGAAGGAACAAACTACACGGATTGCCTGGTGCGCGTGCCACGTCCTCGTGGCTGTGTTTCTGTTCTTCACTTGTGGCTCTCTTGCTCTTACAGCCCTTTCCCACCTCGTCTTCTTCGATGCCCTCTCAGCGATCATCTGTGTGGTCGTTGACATCCTCAGCAACTTCGAAGTCTGGAAGCGATCTTCTATCCGACATCCGTTTGGCCTCGAGCGAGCAGAAGTACTTGCCGGCTTCGCCATGTCGATCTTCCTTGTCTTTGGTGGATTTGACTTGTTATCGCACAATTTGAAACACTTCCTTGAAGGCCTTGGCTCCCATACACCCCACCATCCACACTCACATCAAAGAGTTTCCCCGGGCTCTGTCGACTTCGCGGCTCTACTCACAATTATTGCAACTCTCATCTCAGGCATTGGACTAAAGAATCACGCAAGAATAGGAAGGACAATGCGCTTCGCAATGATCTCTAACCTCCCCTCCATTCTCTCCAACCCCTCCCATCTCTTAACACTATCTTGCAGTACCGTCATGCTTCTTCTCCCCCTTCTAACCACTACTGTCTACCTCTGGGCAGACAGAATTCTTTGTACCCTCATCGCAATCAGCATGTTCGTTCTTGGTGTCAAGCTTGGCACAACGCAAAGCCTCATGCTCCTTGCGTCCTACTCCGGAAAGGGCGTCAAGGACGTCATGAGAGAAATACACACAGACCCTTGTGTCACGCACGTGGAGGAAGCTCGATTCTGGCAAGTTCATTACGGACTCTGCATGGCGAACCTGAAGCTCCGAGTCAGAGGCGACGACGGACAACTCCAGCGACTGAGGGAGAGGATAAACTACCTAGTAAAGAACAGACTAGGTGGCGGATATGGCAAAGGCTCTGCGGGTGTGAAGTGGGAAACTACGGTGCAGATGACGGTGGACAAATCATGATTGCGCACCTAGGAGAGGAGATGTTCTTTGTACATGTTTGATTTTTTTTCGAACTGGGATCAGTTCTTGTATATGGCAATCGCATTATGGAGGAAACGACACACAGCTTACGAAAATGAAGCGTACATATGAAATCAAGAATAAACATCAAACACATGCTCGTTTTCTGTGTCTAAAGCAATCCTCCCAGCCTAGAATGCTTGATTAAGCGACGGCTATACTATTTCCCATAACAACTCCCACAAACGACAGAACAAAAAAAGACAAAAAGAGAGGCTCCACTCTATTGTAGGTAGCACGGGGTGTGTTGATTGGCTGATGGTAGTTTTGCGTATTTATCGCTATACGGCCCTGACTAGTCAAATTCCGAATATCCTGGGAGTGGAGAGTATTTATGAAGGGGCAAAGTGGGGTTTTTTGGGGGGGATATTTAGCTAGATCTGCAAAAGTTGAGTGGCCTTGGGTTGGAGAGTACTTATAAGGAGGTAAAGTTGGGTTTTAATGAGGGATATCTAACAAGACTCCTAAATATTGAATGTCCCAGGAATAGAGAACACTTACAACAACCCAAAGTCAGATCTCAATCAAGGATATTTACAGTATTTCTAAACATTTAATGTCCCAAAAATGGAGAGTGCATATACTCATCGAAAGTCGGGTCTCAATCACAGGAGATATGACGCAGCTATGTCGTGAAAGGATATCCATACATCTACCAAAGAACAAAGAGGGGATGTCCGCTTATAAACAAGAATGTGATATCATACTACCTCAACTCCCAACGCCATCCCATACCTCGTTACATCAATCATCTAAAACAAACTCCACCCACCCTTCGCTTTCTTCTCTCCTTTTCCCCTAGCTCTCTTCCCTCTCTCCTCAACCTCTAGCGCTTTCAGACCTTCCATTTTCTCCAAGACTAATTCCAAGAGTTCTTTCCGGCGGATGACTTCCAAGTGGCCTTTGACTCGCGGGTCTTCTTTTGCGAAACGTTCTACTTCTTCTTTGCTTAGACCGCGGCCGAGTCGCACGTCAAGTTCTCGGGGGAAGTTGTAGTAGAATTCGGAGAGGAGTTCGACGTTCAGAAAGAGGACGGCGGTTGAGGTTAGTTTGGTGGCTACGACATCTAGGAAGATTTCGGGGCAATAGTAGCGATTTTCCTTCTTGGCACATTGTTTGGACTTTAGGGCCTGGAGACGCATACGAAGGAGGGTGGCGCGGTCTCGTAGGAAGATGGCTTCTTTGCCTGTGGTCCGATTGTTAGCATGGTATCTTGAGTAGGGGGAACGGTGGGCGTACCTCGTTGGAGCAAATCAGAAGAGAAGCCACCAGCTCCACTAGCGCCCTCACCGACAACTTCAACCTCTCCCTTTCGTGCCTTGTCCACGAAGCCTATAACGTCCTTCAGTTTCCTTCGACCACCTGCAATCTTCTCAACAGTCTTGACCGCCTCTTCACAAGCTCGAAGCTCGTTCTTCAGGACTTCGCCTACATTCTCTCGTCCCCTCGTCCACTCTCCATCCTCAACGTCGATCTCAAACTTGTAAGGCTTGATGCAATTCTCAACTTGATCCGAAGTGCTGTAAAATCTCTCATTGAGAATACCTGAAGCTGCCTCCGTAATGGCTTGGCGAGCAAAAGGATGTGATGCAAATGTGCTTTGAGAAATAAGACGATCGACATGTGCCTGAATAGCGTTTGCTACAACTGTAGTGGCAAGACGACCAATTCCAAGCTTTGTTAAGGCAGAACTTGAAGCATCGAGCTTGCGGTGCCAGTATAATGACTCGGGATCAGCGGTAGGGAGATCAGCTAAAGCATCAGGTTCGGGTAGGGTAGGCGTGAGACTCGTGACTGGCTTATTCCAGTATCTCGAAGCGAGAAGATCAAGAACTCGCTGATCCAATTCTTCCTTCAGCATCTCTCTGACTTGTGGTCGGCCAAAGCTCTCAGTGAACTCTTTGAAAGAATGCTTGAAGGCATCTAGACTTTCGGCAAGATATGATTCCGCAGACAGTGGTCTATCGTTGTACTGGACCTTGAATTCATAGGTTGCTTCTTCGAGCTCTTGCCGAATGGCATCTCCTGTAGTCTGTAGACTAGCAGCCATGGTCTGTTCCAAGACTTGCATCAGCTTTTTGCGCAGGGTCGTGGTTCCAACAGCAACACCGGCCTCGGGTCCAAATTCGAGAGGGTGCGATGAGAAAAATGCATGCTCGTTCTTAGAAATAGCTGATGCGATGCCTTCATTGCCCTTCTTGAACAAACTTGACGTTTGAGGTGGTACTCGTGATACAACTCCAACATAGCCAAGGCGTAAGGGGTATTTGCGGTCATTGAGAATTGAGGCTCCTCTTGTGGCATCCACCAAGTCCATCTTTGTGACCACACCTATTGTTCGCTCCCCTCTTGGATCAACGCGTCGACTTGCACGAAGAGCCGTTGAGTTAGCGAGATCAACATCTGCTGCAGAAATAGCAAGAATCACATTCGGTGGCTGAATATACTTGTCGCAGAGATCAGATATCTTCTGCTTCAATTCAATCGGCTGATCGTGCCCAACAACCTGAATGTATCCAGGTAAATCGATGAGGGAAAGATCCGGTACATGTGGAGACGAGATTGTGAGTTTAATGGGATCATCCGAGACGCATTCAGAATCTGGTACAGCCAAGTTGAGCTCCGTCAAAGTCCTTTGAATGTGAGAGAAGTCTGTTATCTTGCCCAGACTGAGAGCCGGAAATTCTCCATATTCCGCTTGAGCATCTGGGGTGTTGACCAGAGTCAACTCGATTGGCCGCCTTGTAACCATATTTGAACCTTTTGGTAGAAATTCGTGTCCAACAATAGCTTCCAACACAGAGCTCTTTCCCGAAGATTGGGATCCAATTACAACAATGGATGGAAGAGTCAAGGCATTTGATTGACCAACAGTCTGTAGTATGCTTCGGATCTCAATCATCTTCTTGGTCAAAACCATCATTTGATCGTCCCGGGCCACTTCCTCTCCACTTCTTGGATCATCTTCAGTGGACTGGTCGTATCCATATGCGGCAGCAGTTCCACCGACGGCAGCAGCTCCCATTCTGCTCTGTTTTGGTGGCTCCTCTCCTTCTGGGCCACCTTTCCCATTACCACCAGTACCAGTTCCAATTTCTTCGTGAATCCGTAATATCTTCTGCAACCATTCCGGCATCTCGACCTGTTCTGTTGTATTGTTCCATCCTCTTTTTGTTTGGTCTGCGATATCCTTGGCACTGCCGAATATACCTCCAGCCACCCCTTTCACAGTGTCGCTCGTTCGGTTGAAAACATCCATAGCATAGTTTCCAGCCTCTGCAGATGATCAGTAATTGTATGATACTTGGACAAGGAAAACGTACGTGTAGCTTGGTATTGCACATATGCTAACCCGGCGATTGTAGCTCCCCCAAACAACGCTGGTATTCGTGCAAACTTAAGCAACAGCTTAGGAAGGACTCGAGCAAAGGAGGCATTTCGGGCAACGACTGCATTGGAGAACGGTAGGTATCCAGCCGGCCATCTACCTCGTCCAGCCCTCGAAGCCGGCTCTGTCCTAAGTAGTCCACCTGCGGAAGAAGTCACTCGGTGATGGATATGACGCGCTGCTTGGCTGTTGGCCCTTTGGGCCAGAGGAAAGAGCCTGGCCGACAAGAGTCGCCCACTCATGGTAGCCAGGCGTGGGAGTGTAACAGAAGGGTCTCTATGTGTTGGGAAACCATGAGAAGCAAGTTTGAAACAGCAGGTCGTTGTTGAGAGCAAGCATTGATTATCGAACTGATATCGGACATCAAATGTTCAATGGGTGTGGCGTGCATGAAGTGGCTAGAGGGCGGTGTGGCTCGAGAGAGCTGTGGCGCAACGTCATTTTCTAGCCTTATCGTCTCCTGTCTTTTCAGCCTCGAAGTACAACGGAAAACATATTTTGTGCTTTTCTTGCTTTTTCTCGGGTTTGAGGAATTTATTTTCGACTATTCGCATCACGAGGGGCTTTGTTCTGCGCATATCCACATCCAGTCGCTCTGTCGTTACTTTCTATCCAAGCTGAAGCCTTTATTGGGAGGAATTGCGCCATCTTCAGCCTCGTTGCTCTGACCAAGACATTTGGCTGATTCACCTACTTGCGACGAACAGCAGACAACGCGAAAGGTTTCGAGATCGGTAACCTTCTCCTTTCAATCGACGATTACTTAGTCGACGACTGCACCATCTGGACATCGTAAAGACACAAGCCACCAGAAAGCGCGCATTACAAGATGTGTCGGTTTATGGTGAGCTGACCCCAATATGGAAAGAATAGCTGCTAATATCCATAGGTGTACAAAGGTTCGGATGAGATCTTGCTATCAAAGCTGATACTTGACCCGACACACTCTATCCTCACTCAGTCGTTCGATTCCCGCCTTCGTTTGGACATGCGAAGACCTCATAATGGTGTGTTGACCGCTATTCATCTATAAATCTACCACCCTATACTTACTATACTCTAGGTGATGGATTTGGCATTGGATACTATACCGACGCCAAACTTGGCCCCGAACCCTGCGTCTTCACATCGACCATACCTGCGTGGAACTGCGTCAATCTACAACGTATCGCTTCTAAAACTGCTTCCCATCTGATCTTCGCCCATGTACGAGCTACAACCGAGGGATCTCTAAGCGATGATAACTGCCACCCCTTCTATCATCGAAGTCTGATGTGGATGCATAATGGTGGCCTAGGTGGCTGGAAGCAGATCAAACGAAGTTTGGGTCAGCGTTTGGCAGATAAATGGTACCTCGGCGTGAAAGGCGGTACAGACAGTGAATGGGCGTTTGCTCTGTACCTCGATACTCTTGAACGAATGGGCCACAACCCTAGCTTTCCTCCAGCAACTGGTTTCGGCCCTACCATCCTCCGCCAAGCAATGTTGAAGACAATCGAACAAATCAATGAGTTCATTGCCGACATTCCAGAAGATGTGGTTAGAGATGAAAAGGTTGATACTAGAAGTCTGTTGAATTTTGCCATCACCGACGGACATAGTGTTGTCTGCACTCGGTATGTGAGCAGTTGCACTGATGAAGCTGCTAGCTTGTATTACTCCTCTGGTACTACCTGGGAGGACAAGAGCAGCAAGGGTGAATATCAGATGGACCGTAGAGACAAGGGTGCAGACATTGTTCTGGTGGCTAGCGAACCATTGACCTTTGAGCGAGGTATGCCATCTCGCAAGAGTCTCTCACAATTACTAACCTTAAGTAGAAAGCTGGGTTACAGTACCTACCAATTCAACGTTGACCATCCACAAGCAGACTGTCATGGTTCATCCGATAATCGACGAGTATTATAACCACAATCCGTACCATTCTCGGTCATCGCAATACGTCCAAGACAAAGGTCTTGTCACTAGTGAGAAGAGTGTCACACGCACGGGCACCCCTAGCCTCCCAAATGGCAAGAAATCAGCTCTGTCGGCCTCTCTTCACGAGAATATAGCAGGCACCTTACTTCCTTCCATGCACAATCGATCCGCGTCTCCCGCACTGTCTCCTGCCAACGAGAACACTCCTCGTTACGTGTCTGCACTATCAGACCTCCGTTATCTGACCTCCGTGCCAAATCTACATCCACAGGAGCCAAGAGTCATGGAGCAGGGCAACACTAAGAAGAAGAGAACTTCAATTTCGGCCGAAGATCAATTGAATGCCCAACATCAGCCGGTAGTACCGCAGCAGCCAGAAGTACCCGACTCTCCACCAGCGAGAACTTTTGGGGATCCCAGCAAGATTGCGCAGTACTTTCCAGAAGTAAGTTAAAGCTTGTCGTGGCATCGTATCGAAACTATCGGGAATTGAGACTGCTTATGAAAACTTGGAGAATGGTGTTATGGACAGGTAGTGAGCGGAATGAGGAGTTATGGCATGGTGAAGAATGTGATACAGGACGGATTACATGGAGCGCCAAAATTTGAATCGGTTTAATTAGTTTGTCTAGCAGCAGAGCCTGATCTTGCATTAGCATGCTCATTTGTACTTGATGACTGGTAGTATTGAATAATGTAGATATCAACCTCGTCCCTGCTGTCCAGTGAGCGGTGGTGACTCCGATCTTCATTCTTCGTTTGGGACTTTATAAAGTCGCGCATGGTTCAGGATGTTGCTGGTGGTGCCCACTGTCCGTTATGGCTCCAGCTAGGTCTATTACACCAACTCCTTACAAAGTATCTCTCCTCCAAGGGCTGTCCCCAAGTCGAGGTGCGAGGCAATCACCTCGGCTGCCTACAAAAGATTCTCCACATTGTTTCTGAAGTTCTTTGTCGTCGGTCCGATGCGTTCGCTTTAGCCAGATAATCCTTTCATCTTAACAAAGGCTTCTCAAATGTTCTTTTTGTTCTTTGCAAAACTTCCCCCTTTGTTCTTTCTCCGCTGCGCGGCAGCATTTCGTCATTCAAACAAAGCTATTGTCTGGCAATTGTTCCGTGTTTCCTAAAGCCTAGAACTTTTCGGCACTTCGAGTGTTCCTCAATTGGAATGTATGAACAGGAGCCTGACGAATTGCATAAATGAGCAAGTTATTTCCACCCCTAGGTTCTGCAGAGAAAACATAAGCACACAAATAACTTTTAGAACGTCATTCACGAATACAGTTCCTCAACCTTTACAAACCACCTCAGCAAAACAACAACTTCACATCTCAAAATATGTGTACCGGTCCAAATCACGAGTGCCGCCGATGCGGCAATTTTGAAGGTCCAGATTCTGTGGAGTTCGAGAGCCGCTGCGATAACCCGTGGGCATATGGTCATACCATTACCGTAGTTAGTGCGGTTATTGTCACTTCGGCTTGCGGGGCTTGCAAGAGGCTGGCAAGGGACGAAGCTGACGAACTTGACGAAATGTTAAGACAACAAAATAGTCCCACAAGGCAACTTCATGAACAGAACCCACAAGCACCCCAAAATCAAGAGTTTCCATTATTTTTTATATTATGGTGCGAACTAAATAGCAACGGTGAACTTGCAGAGAACGAGTTATCTGCTGAAGAAGCGCTGAACGCTGACATCGCAAGCTTCTTGGGGTATCTCCGAGATGCACACTTTGATCCAGCTCATGTTCACCTTGCTCACTTATATGGAGGCCACATTGAGTGGTTACGACTCGACAAGCGCACAAACTTCGACTTTGAGCCTCTTATGCAGCCAGCCTTACCTCGATTTCAGATATGGGCGCGATCGCAAGCGACCAGAGATCATGTCCAGCAAGACAATCATACCATTGCTGCCAGCGATGCACATCGACGGTTTCAACGCATGGTCGTCACATATGCTGAAATGCTCGACCCTCGAGATAGAGCAGAATTCCAGGCATCCAGGGAGCGTCAAGCTGTCAATGGTCGCCGAGAGCAGAATTATGAAGAGCGACAGGACCATGAGTACAATGTGCTTCCATGGAGGGCGTGGATCCCCATCCTCACTCCCGACGTCCCTGCTCCAGCTGAGCAAGAAGATGAGCCCATCGAATCCTTCTCCCACTGGGTCTCACGCCGTGATTACCTACCGCCGCATGTTCAACGATGTAACCACTCCTCGCCAAGCCCTCCTTCGGGACATCGAATACTACACCGTAGAGATCATCAACCATCTAGATCCAACACATCCCGGCGCCGTCGCTTGGCACGAAAGTATCATCCTCATGCATGGAGCTGCGGACCGACACTTCAATTTCGTCCCAAATTTTTACGTAGCGCGGCCAGAGATCTTGAGCTTCATGCAGTTTCGTGCTAGAGATGCGCCGGCTGGAAGTGTGTACGCACTTCCGTTCGATGAGGCGCTTCGAGAGTATGAGCGGTACTTGTCTCATGAGCTCCCTGGCCCGAGAATGAACCAGCGCTGGTTAGATGCGGTGGATGAGTGGATGTTTCAGGCGAGAGCTCAGTTGTAAGATATCAACTCCTTCACGCTGCCCCTGGACATCTGCTCTCTTCCTCCCCTCCTACTTACTGCTTTCTCTCCAAATCTGCACTCTATCCTTTAAGATAGACAAGACTGATCATTGATCCAGTCTTTTAACCATGTAAATACAATTCAATTCTTTCCCCCCAAAATTCCTTATCATTTGACTATCGTTCTCCGTTCTAGAAAATCTCCTAGGCAATAAATACCACATCAAATCGTGCTTTGATTTCTCGCTTTTCAGCTAATCACATTTGACATCACTTATGTCTTCTTAATTTACTTCTGGTTAAGTTCTAACGTCGTCGATATTTTAATAGCCTAACCAAGCTCCTCATCAACTCAACGTTGACTCATTCTGGATACGTACTCAGATTACGAATTTCCATCCTCTCCAGCATGAACCGTTACCTCAGGCCAGTCTGCCCCCGGTTTACTGAGTACCTTTTCCTCCTGATTCAGCAGTGTGTAGTTAAAGAAAGCAGTCACAAACTCCCTTGTTACGTTCACCATACGACGCCCCTGAATGGCTGTATTACTCGTTTGTCTGTTCACTAGAAATTCTCTCCAGAAAGTCACATCGCTGAAATCGAGATGATCGGCGCGGGCAACCCACAGAGTACGCCACCATCCCGTTTGCGCTACCGGAAAGGTATCCCACGTGGGATCATACGACCCAGTGTGATTAACTGTTCCCATTTGCAACACCGGCCTCTTTAGGTCCGCAAGAGAGGAGTTGGAAGCTGGGTTCCCATAGAGACCTCCGTCCAGGTTTAATGCCGACGCCACGACCTTTCTGTCTGGGATCGCATCTGCCACGCCCAGGGCAGCAGCACCGCCCAATGACTGTCCGAATACGCCGAGCGGTGCTACCTGGAACGGAGCATGGAGCTGCTCGACCAAAGTAGACCAGTACTCGACGAAGTGGATCCCAGCACGGATACGTGTCTCATATATCGGCGGTATGATGTCGAAAGAGAAAATGCCGCCGTAAATGCCGCTAACACCGGTGCCGTTGGGATAGCGGACAAAAGTCGTCTCGTAAGGGAAATCGAGAGCGGCGACAGCATATCCTCGCGAGGCCAGCTCTGTCATTGTTATCGAATACATTGCCGAGAGGCCCTCAAAACCAGGCTGGAATATCAGGCTGGGGAACAGACTGCCTTGAGGCGGTTCGGCGATAGCTGCGTTGGGTTTGATGTTGGTGGTGAGGTTGCCGACTGTACCGGATGTCTGGTTGTAGAGAGCATCTAGAGGTGCGGCGGCTTCGGGGTCCACGTATAGTGTCACTGTTTTATTGGAGGTCTGAATTGTTGGGTAGTATATTGTTGCGAGGTATGAAGTGCTTATGTTCCCCGGCCACGAAGGATTGTGTTGATCAATGAAAGGGATCGCGTATGAGCGTACACCCACGTCATAGCTGCCAGTGGTTGGTGGGACGCCAATCGCAAGGCATGGAGTGAGGTACTGTGTAGTGAATGTAGCTGAGGTGAATAGTATGATACTCTTTGAAGACAGAAGTTTCGCCATCATGGACTTGTAATGAAGCTTGATGACTTGACGGTTGGCAATTTCCTCTTGAAAATCTCGATGGATCTTTGCTACCCACGGAATGGCGTGGGGTTTATCTTCTCCTCTGTGATCATAGACATTTAGAGGAGCAGAGTATTCGTTCGAGGCTAAGCTCTCATAGTTGCTTACAGATCCGCTGACTACTTGAAGACATGACGTTTGATTGAGGTATTGTTAATTTTTAGCATTTAATCACGCCATGTCACCCTGGAGTACGACAGCAGCTAACAAGCGGGTCTACCGGTAAGGAATAGCCTGTATATTTGATCAAAAGACTTTTGACATCCCCCTCTATCATCAATAGTCTGCCTAAATGGAACATTTGAAATTTTTGGTAATAGCCGCAACACCCGACCCCACTACATATATGTGAAACATGACATCCAACAACCGAGGAACGATAGCGAGGATCGTAAAAGGCAGTGGCATCTCTTGAATTCCGTCTTATAGAAAGTAGCGAAATTCCTAGACAGCTATGGCTTACACTGTATCAAAATCACAAGAGGAGTAGTGCTGTCCTCTCCAAGTGCAACAATTTTGTGTTTGATGCATTCTTTTGTTTCTTCTCCTGCTCTATCTGCTACTTACCAATTTTTAATGACTTACTCTTATTACGTTCTCCAAAGCAGGGAACTTCTTCACTTGAGGCTTCACATTAAATATACGCTACTCCCACTCCAGGATGATTTATCTTCTGCGCTGGCGTTGTACAAAAGTCGTATATAAAAAGTAGCTCAGGCTAAGCTCCGTGAGCTTACTCTCTTGTCTCTTTGTAATAACAGATCTGAGCATTCACCAGGGGGTGCAGTGATTCGTCTGACACCAAAATACAATTATTTCACAACTCTTTAGATTCTTAATAGAAACTTTTGAAATTAGATACATGAAATCAATATGCTTACATCTAATATTCTATTTAATCGCAATATCTTAAATCAATCTACAAAAATTCTAAATAAAATTATTTAATACAAAATTTCCGATTTTTAATAATTTATTATAAGAGAACTACTAACCGGATTCGTTCAAAAAATATGTTTCATTTCATAATTAAGTCTATTCTATCACATGAAAAATAAGTAGACTTAAGGCATAATACCTTGAAAACTTTTTAATTTTAAAGGTGGTGTTTTCGCTTAAGTTTGGTGTCAGACGAATTGCTGCACCCCCTGGTGATTTTTCAATATGAACTTTTACACTCAACTACCTACAGAAGAATCGAAATCCTGAACCACACACTAGATGAACAGCACACCCACAAAGCTAGTGCTGCAGTGTCAGCAACCCAGGTCTATACGGCTGCTGGTCATAACTAGCCCCGTTCCCTGGTGTCTGTCCCTGGAACAACAACTGCAAATTACACGGATCAACAGTCATCGTCTGATCAGGATTACTCCTTATCAGATCCCCATGACTGATATCATTTGTCCAAGTAGCACCACTATTCGCCTTGCCTGCGAAAGGTGCGCTCTCCCCAGAAGTCTGCTTTGTCCATGCACCGCCGAGACTGGTTGCAGTGAAAGAGCGGAAATATCGGCCGTTGGCACCAATGGCTTCGACGATCATGAGGTATTGGTTCTGGCCTTCTACTGTGTAGACTTGTACCGCTTCGAATAGTGCATTCGTCGTATCGCTCAGGACTATTGTCGAGGAAGTGCCAAAGCTGCCGGGGAAATTGGAAATAGGCATACTGGCCCGATATATCTTGCCGTTGTCGCCGGCGAAGAAGAGATACATGTTCGTGTCATCGCCGATGACCGTCTGATCAATAACACCTGTACTAGATCCACTTATCGTCCCAGAGAAGAGAGGTTGTGCTGACGACCATCCGTTGGCATTGGTTGGATCACTAGATGTTCGGTAGGAGAAGGCGGTTGGTCCCCACTGATAGGAGAGAATCCATATATTTTTGGGCGCGAAATAGAAGAGTGTAGGTGCGACGGTGGCAGATGTCATCCCGTTCTGTGGAGCAGTGGCCATATCGGACCATGACTTGAAGAGACCGAAGTTCATGGAGCCGTACTTGGAGGAGTCGTGGTTTGAGGCATAGACGAGGTGTGAGCCATTGTAGGGAGCATGGGTAAAATCTTTGAGCGAGACCCAGCCATTTTTAGGGGTCACGAGGGGAGCGTTGGGAGTTGGTGTCCAGTGGTAAGCTGTTGGGAGGGTGCATGTTGTGGCTGTTTGAGTCAGGACTGTCGTCGCCGACGCAAGCAGGACGATGTAGTTGAGAAGTTTCATGGTAGCTATTTCTTTCGTTGAAGATGGAGTACAAAAACTCTGGAGACTCCAACTAAGTTGGTGGATACTAAAGATTATATACACTGGCGTATACGTTCGGGCCACGTTGGTTATGATCAGATTGGCAACTGAGATCCAGTCTCAAGGTAACCGTTCCAATAAGCTTCTCCTCCCAATTTCGATTTTTGTCTCCAAGTACCCTTCAACAACTTCTCGGTCGAGATATCACGAGCTATAAAGTTAAAGTCCACCTCCTCGGAATAGTTTTATTTTGCATTTGAGAATGTTCCACGACTTGTAGTTCGTGGTTAAAACAAAGTACCTCGCTTAGCTCGGCAAAGTGGATAGCCCCTGATGATTCGTCCCGGCCCGAACATCCAATAGCCACTTAAGCGGAAAGAGTCTCTCCGCAGTGCGGGGATCTATATACTTGGGACAGTAATAGGGAGAGGTTTAATATCTGTATCTGAATTGCCATTGGAGCGCTTCTACATTTTTGAGTACCGTTGCATTGCGATACATCAATCTTGGGACTTGTCTATAGGAGTGCCGAGGTTGGTGTCTATCCTTGCACTCCAACGGTAGACCTGCGGCCGATGGAGTGAAGTAATTTTAGCGAGGCTGCCATCTGGCGAGGCTTGCATTTTTTCAATAGTGCCGGAAGCGCCTGGATTCCAAAGAAAAACAGGATTAGGATGTCGAGTTGATAAGAGGTTGAGTTTTGAAAAAAGTTTGATAATCTGCGAACTCTTTTTGAAAAGCTGGAGATAGTTTCAGCTGGACTTGTGAATTCGAAGTTCGTCGTGCAGTGGAGGTGAGATGCGGCCGCTTGCCACTCTCCAATAAATAACGCACATGGCTGCCTAGCTATTCAACTCTCTTGTGTTGCCATCTGAGCCTTCTTAAAACATGTCTAATTTATTTCACTCATTCATTCTCGGCCAATAACCTTTTAAAAGTAACTGTTCTTGAAAAGAAAAGCTCCTCTGTTCCTCGTCTGCAGACATGGCTGCCGCTGTGTTCCAAATCATGTCTGACCTCCACCTCGAAACGCACCCTTCGTACGACCACTTCCAACTGGAACAAACAGCTCCTTACCTCGCATTACTGGGAGACATCGGTCACATTGGAGATGATCGTCTATTCGCCTTCCTAGAGAAACAGCTAGAGCGATACTGGGTCGTGTATTTTCTACTCGGAAACCACGAACCACATCACATGTCATGGACCCTCGCAAAGGCCAAGGTTAAAACATTCGCTGAGAAGATGAAGAGACTGAATGCCAAGTCAATAGTTGGAAAATTTGTGTTTCTTGATCAGACTAGGCATGATCCTACAAAAAAGCTCACGATTCTGGGATGCATGCTGTTCTCCAAGGTCACTGATGAGCAAGAATACGCTGCGGAGAATCGGTTTGTGGATTTCAAGGATATCCTAAGATGGACGGTTGAGGACCACAATCTTGCTCACGAATCCGATCTCAGATGGCTCAATGAACAAGTTGAAAAGATAGAACGAGAGGAGCCGGAGCGGAAGATTGTCATTTTCACACATCATAGCCCTTGTGGTGATGCAAGGGCCAATAATCCTAAACATTAGAACAGCGATGTCAATTCAGGCTTCGTAACTAATCTGAGAGATGAGAAATGTTGGAAGAGTTCTACGGTGACGATGTGGGCGTTTGGCCACACGCATTATAAGTGCGATTTCGTAGAGGAGGGCACAGGCAAGAGGGTGTTGGCGAACCAAAAGGGGTATTTATTGATTTCGGAGAAGACTTTCAGTATGAAAGCCACTTATCGGCTGGGCGAATAGTTGAGAGAGAAAAACACTTCATGATTCTATCCTCTTGTTTCTGGTACTCAACAGCATGATAATATCATAAAACAAGAAGAACACGATCTTCATAGACCCGCTTGCTACTGTGCTCGGGGTTTGATTCGATAGGCCTACATTCAACTCAAATATTATCTTTTGCCTGTAGAAAGCAAGAGAGATTCTCATTGACTTCAATAAAAGTCAAGGTTATGCCTCTCTTTCAGACACTATCCATAGTCAGAGTGCTATGCAATTTACCGTAATTTCTAAGACAAATTGTTCTTCGCTTGTTTTAGTACTTATACAGCAGAAAAGTGCTCACGTCATGTCATACAATGTACCCATAAGTTTGTTCATGCTCTCTCTACCCTAATGACTATGTTGAACAACACGTCACCGTTCCCAGTAACTCTAATTAGTTGTCAAGTTCGCGCTCTCACCCCATGCAGCCACTCCAATCACCGCCAATCCTCAACGAGCTTCATATTCCATCACTACAGAACCAGCACCCACACACTTGTTGGATTAAATCTATCCCAGGTGAAGCTCAAAGTATCCATACTGTGACTAGGTTGTCGTTTCTAATCTAATACAATATATTCCTGACAGCATATATTCTAGTTAACAGAAATTGATTACTCACACATGAAGGATATGAAGTTGAAAACCAGTACTGACTCTAGCTGGATTGTTGAAGCGCTGCCTTACTAAGAGCAACAAAGATAACTTCTCACAAGGTATACAAGTCTCTGGGATCGCATTAACAGAGGGGCTCAACAAGGATGCAATGTCTCAAGCCTCAACCTAACACTAGCCGGATTAACAAACATAATCCCTGCAGCGACGTGCAACAAAGCTAGATATTTACAAGCCTTGCATTTCCTTAGCGCCTTATCAATACCCGTTCCGCCTTAAACTTACTACCACTAGAGCCGGATTAACAAAAGTCTTTCTTATACCCCTGCAACGACGTGCAACAAAGCTATATCCCTAAAAACCATACAGCTCCCTAGCGCCGAATCAATACGGTTTTCGCCTTACCAAAGAGAAAGAAAAGCAGGCTTTAGAAACCGCTAGCGCTACTCTGACCACAACATCCCTGCAACGACATGCAAAAAAACTAAAGACTTACCAACCATACTACTCCTTAGCGCCGGATCAATACAAGTTCCGCGTTACCAAGGACAAAAAGCATCCTTCACAAGCCCCTAGCGCTAGACTAACACACCACCCCTGCAACGACGTGCAACAAAACCTTTCTCCCAAGGTGAACCGACACTGTACAAGGCCGCTCCTCGCTAATCTCTTCATCTCTGATTCACTGCTTTTCACCGATATCTTCAATAATAAGCAACACTCTAAGACCCCTTTCCGCTGGTCTTCTCGCTGTCTACAATTCACACCAAAATTCGCTTCTTCCAAACATGACAGCGAAAATATAAGAATCCGATAACCACCTCACGTAGGCTCAGTAGTGGTCTAGTGAGAGGTTGTGTCTGTCATGAGCGTTTTGTATTTACTAGAAGAGTATGGAGGGACTCGTGTTTGGGCATGGGAAGTTTTGATGGGAAGTGGGTTGTATAGAATTTTGTCCGCAAATGTTTTTATTGTCACTTTCTAGATTACACAAGATAAAAGAAAGAGCGAGGAAATAGACCTCCATTTCTTAACACAAAACCAATCTCCTCTCAAAAAGATCAGTTCCCATCCCACCCCATCTCCAAGCAAAATGTCCCAAAGGAAACCACCAGCATCGCACCTTCCCAATGCACCAACTCTCGAACCACACATATCACCTTTCAAGCCTGTAACCACATCCATCAGACACATCTCAGAAAATCAACTTCTCCCAATAAAACATAACAATATATTAGATTCCCACCCCGCAACCGACCCACAATGTGCCACCTAGAAGCAACCCACTACACCCACCGCCTCTGCAACCACACAGGTACCTTTTATTTCTCCCCTTCATTCTCCCCTCCCATACCCCCCCTTCTTCTAACTCCCGCAGTGCTAAACCTCCTCCGCTGCCCCCTTGCACGTTACAGCCAGCACCCAGGAGCCTGCGACCCACTGAATCTAACCCTCTCCCCACAAAACATAACCCGAACGCACGAACGCTGCAGCGCGTGCCAGCTCCGGGACATCAACGAGATCCGCGCCCGAAACGGGCTCGAGACGCTGAACGATGTGATTGGAGTCCTGCTGAGTCACCAGGGGGTCGATTTGAGAACTATTAGTGATGGAGTGGTGGCGGGGGTGAAGGCACAGGTGCAGAGGGACAGGAAGTGGAGGGAAGAGCAGGAGGCCACGGAACAGGAACAAAGGGAGAGGCGGTGGTGGGCGAGGATGGAGGACCAGGTGAAAATCAAGGACAAAGAGCGAGAAGCGAGGATGGTGTTGAGGGAGAAATTCGTGCTGAAGTATAATACGAAGATTGAGATCGAGTCGAAAGGCAAAGGCGAAGAACGCGAGACAGGCGAAAGCAGCGGCTCCACCTCGTATGCCACGGAAAATCAGCATGGCGTCCCTGTCCAACTCTCCGGGGTCTTTGAGTTTAGAGACGATGAAGATATACAGGATGCAAGCGGTACACCGTCACCTGAAGAGGACGAAGATGATGAGTTTGAGAAGGAAATGGAGCAAGAGCGAGAGATTGCTAGGATAACTGGGATATCAAGTCGGCTGTCAATTATTGAACGGTCGGCTGCTCAGGTGCGAGCTTCTGCTATCTCCACACCGCCGGGGACGGCTGAAAGTGTGGATCCGAGGGAGAGCGATCCTACTTGGAAAGGAAAAGGGAAAGCGGGTGATGAGCCGAGTAGCACTGAGCAAAGCGGCGCGAATTCAGGTCCCTCTGCAGACTGGAATTTGACAATGAGTGAATTAGGATCTAGACTGGCTATACCTATACCAAGTACACCCAGAATGAGGCATGCCGAACTGCCTACCGCAACATCAAGGTATTCGCCACCAAGCCACCCCGAGCGGAGAATGACAGGAAAGAAAAGAAACTCGGATGATATGGCGGGTACAGAGTCCAAGGCAATAGGACAATTAGAAGATGGTACTTGGATCGAAGAGGACGATAATGGAAAGCGAATCAGATTGAGCCCAGAAGGCCGACGCGGGACTGTTGGCAAAGGCTCTCATGGAGAGGAGAGGGACAACGTGAAAGATGGTCCCGAACAAGTCTCTGCGAGAAGAAATAGTACCGACTCAAGCAATCCGCCAGTAGGTCATTCCGGACCGACCAGGCGTCGATCCAGCAGTGTGCGAGCAGTGTCACCAAGAGTTCGAAGCTTTTTGGATCAACTCCAGGATCGAGTAGAAACCGATTCGGAGAAGATGACTCCAGAGCAAGAAAAACAGCGAGGCGAGATGAGCAGGCCAAAACTGAGTCAAGCGAAGCCAAGCAGCCCCAGAAAAGCCAGGACACCGCTGCCTATGTATGGCGCTATTCCACCCAAGATTCGCGAACAGATCGAGGAAGAAGAGCAGAGCCAAGGAGGAAATGATCCTCCTAGTCCGCCTGTTCATGAGGCCGTTGAAAAGCTACAACACCCCCAAGACAAAGTCATAGAGGAATATTCCCAGCAGTTACAGCGAGAACTCATGAATCAAACGACGAGACGAGGGAGGGAAGAGATTTTGAGGCGAGAAGAAGAGATTCTGAGGCGAGAAGAAGAGTTGGAGAGACGGCAAGAAGAGACTATGAGGCGGGAAGAAGAGATTCTCACACGGGAAGAAGAGATTGGGAGGCGGGAAGAAGAGATGGAGAGACGGCAAGAGCGAATTAGAACTGGCAGAGATATCAGGATGAGGAGAAGGGAGCAAGAGGCTGTAGCGAGGGGAAGTACTATTTTGGGGCCGACTGTTAGAGATTATGAGGCTAGCTTGGAAAGGAATCGGGTGAGTCTGTTATCGTTGAGGCAAAAAAGAAAACAGATGCTAACGAGAAGGCAATTCTAGAATGCTAATCAGACAATGAATTCACCGAATCCAAGTCCTTCAACTGATCAAAGCGGAGACGGAAATGAGAAGGAAGCTGAAAGTGAGTACTCTCATCTTCGTTCTTTGGACCAAAGGGAATAAAGGTGAATCGATAGCTGATTGATAAGATTAACTCGACTCCGATACCCCGACTACAAAAGCGATTTCGATCTTGGACTCGAACTTGGATAGCGACATAACAAACACTCACTTGACAACCATCAATTGGATTACAAAACAAGAGCAGAAATACAGTACAAGTACAGGCGGTAGAGCTACTACTCTTCGATATGTGTAAAACAGTTACCTTCGTTTGTACGTCCTCTCTTTTCTCCCTCCCAATAGCAATGCTAACAAAAGGAAAAGATGACTGCGGCCACAAGCTCCTCATCCGTTTAAGCTGCGATAAGAACAACTTCTACCTCTGCGATGAGATCGACAATGATAAACGTATTCGAAGATATGATTGTTGCTGCTGCATTGAGAGGATGGAGGGTTTGGGTATCATGGGGTTTGTTCTTCGCACCATTCCCCTTCGAGACCACGTCATAATCTCTTCAACGTGCTCTGCTTCCCCAAGAAGAGGGATTGGGGTGAGGAGAAAAGCAAGAACTGACAAACTCCCCAAAACAGAGACCTAGGCCAAGACCCCGCGACAATCCAACCCCCCACACCCACCGAAGACGACGAACAAATGCAAGATAACAGCAACGAGATGATCGATATCCCCATGCGAACCCATCTCACGGACGAAGAGAGAAAGCGTGTTGAGGGCTGGATTAAGGCGCATAATGCGGCTTATGAGAAGGAGCGGGCTTCGATAAATGAGAAGCTGGAGAAGGAGATGGAAGATAAAAGAGACATGAAGGGAAAGGAGGATAAGGAAGAAGGAGAGGTTCTGGAATAGTCGTTTCTTGCTTTTTGATGTGTGGATTTCTTTCTTTCTTTGCGAGGGCTGGGTTGGGGTCTTCATACCGTTGGGCTGGCCTATTCGACTTTGAAACGGTTTTCTGTGCTTTGTTTTCGAGTGGGCGTTCAGGTTGCGATTGATAACTTGGCTCCCTTGAGCAATTAGCGCTGGATAAACAGATGGGCATCGAAGCAGACAAGCGCAATAATGATAGAGTAACAATTCTCATTCTCCTTCATTTCAAGCTTGCCTTGAACTTTCGAGCCGCCGTGATATGCCTTCTCTGGACTGGAGTTGTATCACCTCACTTGAGCTTGAGCTTGGGCATGTGATCCTACCCTCCGCTTCGAGATGATGGTGTTGTTGGTACCGTACGCAAAGACTGTTTAAAAGGAAAGAAGAGGAAGAAAAGAAAAGAGAAAGGGACGTCGTTAGGAAATTGTGGGGCAGATCACGGGGTACACATTCCCACATACTGCGCATCTCACAGCACGACCCATTTCGCACCCAGATGTCTCAGATAAATCGCAGTCACCGGCACAAACACATCGCCAAAACATGGTAATTCATTATTCATTAATATCCACTCCCTACATGACTGGCCAGCAATCATCATTGTATCGTAACGTCGTTATGATCTTGAGCAATCATCATAAGGATGTGTTGGGGATAAAATAGATTCGGACCAGCCCGATGAACTCAAATCTTCGCCCAGATGGGAAGACAGAGGAAAACAATTACTAGTATCGTCGCCAGTCCCATCCCACCAGCCAAGCTTTGAATGACGACCTTCCTTTGTAAGCGTCGAAGGTTGTCGTCTTTGACTTTGAGTTTCCGGTCGAAGATCATGAGTTTGGAGACGAGTCGAATGAAGCGCGACCGTTTCTGTGTAGCGCCACCTTCGTCTTCGAATCTTTCCCAGGGCAGTGGCTGGCGGCGTGAGAATAAGAGGAGGAAGAAACAACTCCCACGAATTCCTGACAGAATCAATCCACCACCGGTAGCCCACATTGGCCATACGCCGATACCTCTCCATCTTGATGACTGGCGGAAGCCAGGCGATTCGAATGCAAGGAGAAGCATACAGAGGAAACCAGTGACAGTAAGAACTATGCCGAGGCCAGTGGCCATGCAAACAGTTTCGAATGTACCGTTGGAAACACCAAGTCGGACAAAGTTTCTGTGCGAACATGACTTGAGCAGAAGGTAGCAGTGTTCGGCGATAGGTTCGAGGTGCTTGGCTTCTGTTGAGGTCTCAATCGCATCAAGCACCTTCTTGCGCATTGGAGCTGGGATGTTGAGTTCTTTGGGTGCGCCAGGAACGAGGAAGAGAGCTTTGATAGTCTCAAGTTCTGTGCGACGAAGATCACGAATCTCAGTTGATGTCTTTCCTGCTTCTTTGGCCTCTTCTTCAGTACGGATCTTTTCGACAAGTGAGAATGGACGTTTGTAGAGAGGTGAATTGCTGCCGCATCCTTGAGCACCACATGAGTTTAAGGGTGAGACGAATTGTGCAATGCGCGCATATATCTCACCTTCGGGGTGTTAGTAGAGGTCTCCGAAATCAGACGGTTCACTTACTATCTTCAAAGTTGAGGCTATCTTGGTTCTCGGCATCAGTGGTTGTTGGTTCGGGTTGGAACTTGTCATCGTTGTCCGGTTTGGCCAAACTCGACTCCGAATTGGAGAAACTGTTGCTATCGACTGGAGTAAGAGCTCGTGGGAGTTCTGGGAATGCAGTCAAGCGACCTGCTTGGTAGTTCTTGAACCTGCAACGAATTAGAGTCGAGCCATGGTATGGACGAATCGCACATACCAGATGTAGAATTCGAGGTTCTCAGATGAATGCTCAATGTACTTCAGGTACATGTAGAAGTCATATAGCGACATCGGGCTGCCTGGTTGATGTTAGCGATGTTCGAATGCACTTCAAACGATGCATACATGTTTGATTCTTGAGGATCCTCTCCAGACGCAGTTTCCGTGGGATGTCAGTGCTGGGACGCCGTTTGAGGTCGAGACTGGCACGAGGAGTTGCAATTGGTGTATTTGGATTTGATGCCGACCCAGCCCTTTCCCTGATAGCTGTTGCGAACTGACTGACATCAACATACGATGGCTTCTTGTACCATCGCGCCCATTCTGGATACTCAAAAGGCATGTTTGTTGACGAGAAGAAGTTGTTGCTGAACAAGAATTGAAGCAAAGATAAGCTGGGGAAGCAGGACGAGGTGGGCAAGGGTTTCTCTTTATGTCGGGGGAAGGCGCTGCCGGAGGTGAGCGCAAGTGAATCTTGTATCAAGAAGGAAAGAGAAGGGAAGCGATCCGCCGTTTCCTCTTTCCAGATATGTCAACGGCAGATCCGAACTCACTCAACTCGTTACGTGACGGATAATGGCTTTGCATAATTGATGTCGACGATAATTCATCCTAACCTCTTAGCAGATTTCTGTTCTGGTGCTTTGATGTTTTGGACACTATTCGCACCATCTCCCACCACTCACAGCTATGGCTCAGTCTTAAGCTTTGATGTTCCTGCACCGTTCGGCCAGCCCACGAGGAAATCAGAGATAATAACCGAAGCCGTGTCCGTCGTCTCTTCACCTGTTCGTCTCTCTTCACCCATTCTGTCCCGCAGTCAAACATCGCACGAACCCAGCCAAGCCCACGCCGTCGCTTCCTCCGCAGCAAACCACTGCAGCTGAACATGTTCATCGCAACCACGCGGGGTCACGCAAACCGGGTCTGAGCACTACGCGCAATCGTCTAATCCTCAGGCACGGACCGAGATTTGCACTTGTTGGAATTGATTTGCCTGGTTGGTGTTGTGCAGCGATTTGCGAAGAATGGCAGCATCTGGATTGGGGCGGGGCGGAGAGGTCAATGCACAACCACATCTGTCAGGGCACATCAAGCTCGCAGTCCAAGCGGCCACAAACGTCTGTGCAATGGCGAAAAAATCCAATAGTTCGGCTGGAAAAACAACAAGTGCGTGCTTTAGCCTGATGATTGTTCCGACGAAGATACGCCGTGACTGGCTGGTTGATTGGGATGTTTCATCGTGGGAGCGAGCGAAGGCTCTTTGACCGTCGTTGTAATGCTCGAGTTGCTGCATCGTCACCTTGCAATTGATAAACATTCGGGCATGCGCAGATCATAGCAGACGGTGAGTGATACAGGGTCCAGCTCTTGTGTCTGTTCTTCTTCTTATCATGTGTTATCTTGACGAAGAACTGACTGTGGGGGGGTTTTCCGTTCTGGACAAGAGGAGTACACCGAACTCCAGCTATACGCAGAGGAACTGGTGAGAATGTTTTTCGTCATCTCAGCTCTCCACAGGTGCTTCTCACTCCTCAATGACAGCCGCAGCATGAACGACTGACTAAGATATGCCAGTCATTACCCGGTCTAGAATCATTCTCATCAAAACCACACTCACTTAGCGGCCCTCGTAGCATCGTCTTTCGACCGTCAAATTACCTAGCATTAAGCAACCCCTCCATCTCATGTCCAGGCACCACATGAAACCGTCTAATCATCTGTTCTTGAGGATCTTGGGTCCAATGTTTTGCTCTACCCCACCTCCCTACTCGTTCTTCACGTTTCATGCCTCATCCTGTCAGCACCGCCTTCTTCGGTGGTGCCAACGGCAGTTCTTGAAAATTTCGTGCATTGCATGACACTCCTTAGTTGTGCTCTTGTGGTACTGTTCGGAAGATCCACGTGGGAATGTTCTTCGGTGATCTGTTCTTTCGTACTAATCCTTTTGGGAAATAGGTGCGGAAGGGGGACCTTCAAGTTCTCTCCGAATCTCTGGACTCTTTCCTTGTACAACCGTTCTTCCTTCTTCTTCTTCTTCCATTTTCTCAAGCTTCTTGTTCTGTGGTTCTTTTCAAGTATTTGCTTCTACAATGGTTGTCAATCTCTGCCTGATGCTTCATCGCTCTCACGTTGCCGTCACTCTACTTCCCAAGCACGTTTACCACCTCACAACAGTGCTACTGTTTCTCATCCAATGTACTTGACAGTATGGGAGTTACAATAACTAGCTTCCGTGTCTACTCTTCTCGTGGATCGATTTCTGCAATGGTTATCATACTCCATTTGATACTTCACTAGTTGCCAAGTTATAGTCCGTCCGCTTCCCAAGACCGTTCACCACAAATTGTGATCGAAATTCAGTCCAGAACTTGGGATAGGAGTAATAAATCTTGCAGATTTTGATAAATACATCATGAAAGAGAGATATCAGGAGATTCGTAACCTATCTCCCAGACCAATGCAGCTTTTCCCATGACAATGTACTTGACGGCAGTCAATCAACTTTCCCAAGCATAGACTGTCTAGCTGATTTTGGCATCTGAGAAGCCTCTCAACAGATCGCTCCTATACCTCAATCAACTTGACATTCTCAAGGCAACCATGACGGTTCTGATGTCAATTTGACCGGACATCGTCAGTCACGTGGTTACATTTGCTTGCCGTATGGTGCCCTAGATGTTGAAATAAAGGTTACATCTTACACACGACAAGAGAGTTGAAGCTGTCTTGCGTGTTCCTTGCTTGTATGCAAATCACGTCCCGCTTCTCGCTCCGTTACCTCCGACTACCTTCAAGTGAATTCCCTCTACCTCAATCTTAGTATCTTGTGGCGCAACTTTCTGAACTTTCAACCTTGATCGACCACCAGACAGCAACGTCAAGCAGCGGATCTTCTTCGTTGCTATCTTCTCCACTAAAGATCTGGAAGTCTTTTGACCGGAAGCTTTGCGTGTGCAAAGGTTTGTTACACTTCAATTCCCAATATTGATCTTTGAGTTGAAGCTCATCTTTAACTCCTGATTCAGGATCTCGCGCTGGTATTCCCTTCATCCCTCAACATCGAACAAAACACACCACACAAAGACCAACTAAAGTCTCCCTCCGACAGCCTTCAAGATGCCGCCGCAATCCACCACATGGAACTTCAAGTGTGGCCATTCGTTTCTCGAGGCTACGATCCCCGAAGGAGACCACGAGAATACCGTCACAAGTTACAAGGTGTGCCCTAGGTGCGAGGAGACCATCTCAGCTGAGCAACATGCCAAGGAGGTAGCAATGAGCGAAGATGAATACGCGCTTCATATCCACGAGAAGCACCACGACTTTCTCCAGAAAGCCGGCGAGAAGGTCGATGATGGTAGTGATCTCGACTATTATTTCACGCTCACGAGTCAAGCAAACGACGTCGAATGGGCCAAGCAGATCATCAAAATTGGGTACCAGTTCGCCTTCAGTCATCAACCGAGAATTGGAACTGTGGCTGAGGATCTGGAGGTGAAAGCAAAGAAATTGCGGGTGCTCGTGAACGCTGAAGATGTCAACTTCGAGAAGCTTCCCACCGGCAATGGAAAAAAGGCAAAGCAGGTTAAGAACGAGTGGCGTATTCGCTACGTTAAGGTCACTGAAGCTAAGAAATTGTTCGATGGTCTATTGATGGGCTACTCTGAGGAGGACATCAATATGAGTTTGTCGTTGGAAAGTGAGGTGAGGAGCGTTTGGGCGGGGGTTTTGGGAGTTTATGACCCGGAAGAAGACGAGCTCAATAAATGGCTTGGCCAAACTGGTGTTGAAGAGGAGCCTGCTCGAGTCAGCTATCTAGACGAGGAATGGTTAAGTGGTGTTGAAGAGGAGCTTGGCCAAATCAGCGATGAAGACGAAATTACTGACAATAGAGACTCTATCAAGTTCTCGGAATGAGGTAGTTTGCTCTTAGACGTTTGTCTCGACAGCGAGGGGAGGGCAGACATGCAGTATCGACATTAGGGAATAGATTTGGGTCTCGTTCTGGACTATAGGACTTGGTCTACATCTACGAGCGTGAAACTCAGTATAGAGAATGCACACCCCTTCTTTCCAACCCTTCTCCTTCGTGCTCGTGCTGAATGTCCTTGCTGCCACCATCTTAAAGCTCTGTCATGCTGGCTACCAAACTACGACAGACTATGTCGGAAAGATATCTCTCCATCTAAGCAAAAAGAAATCACCATAACTCTCGATGAAACTTTGAGTAGCTGCACGTTAATTGCTCACCGACCCTTTGGAAACTCAACTCGTTGACAATCACGTGCCCATATCCCCTTTCCTACCTACGTCAGCACCACCATTCTTTCCTTTACAAGGCTGTTTTAGCTTCAGCCTTCCCTCGAATCGTCTAGTCTCTTAGCGCTTAGACTTCAACTTTGAGGTTGCTTCTTCACGACAACAACGACCATTCCCCGAGGCAACGTCACGATCTCCTCAGGAACTCCGCTTCGTTGACGCGTCGCGGTGAGAAAGTTCTCCTTCACGGGAGAGACTCAATTCGAGCTAAGGTTTGTTATTTTTTCTCTGGGGATGAAGATGGATTAGAGCTAATGGGTACAGGACTGCTCCGTTGGATCATACTTTCAATGTCTCAATCTTCACGAAGTCAAGATTCCGCTCGGAATCCTAGAGTTGAGATGCCGAGCCAAGAGTGGACTTTCGCCTGCAGCCATAAATTTCAATACAATAAGATGTTCAATTTGTTCGACATTGAAAAGCCTCGAGTCCCAAGACAGTCAGTCGAAAAATGTCCTGCATGCAAAGAGAACGACGCGCAAGATAAACTCCGAGAAACCTAAGAGAAGAATAAAGACGCTCAGGAAATGGCAATCTGGGAGAAGCAGAGCGGAGAGATCAAGGCTCACGTCAAGGTTGCCGAAGAGCAGAGCGATGATGCTACGGCCGATGAGTTGCAGAAGATGTTGAAGAATTGCAATAAGCTTTGGATGAATAAGGCTGTCAAGGTTCTTCACGATACAATGAAGGATGAGACACCAATTCCAAGGGTTGCCGACATATTCAGAAATGATCTGGATAAGTTGGCCGAAAGAGTCGACTCGCTAATTGACACTCTAAATTCAGTTGGAGAAGAAGGTCTTGAAGCTGAACTCCTTTCGGGACTTCAAAAGCTGCATAACTTATCTGATGGTCTTTCGGCTTTGGAACGGAGGTTTGAGGAGCCGACCCAGCGTGATCTTCGTATCTTTGACGATGAAATGGAGATGTATGGCGGAGAATTGGTGTACATTCTGAAGCAGCTGTTGTCTACAACAAAGTCTAAGGCAGAGAAGTGATCACTATGGTGGCCAGACGGGATGAATGGAACAGCGAGGCGAAGACATGGTATCACAACAACGTGGGTCAAATCAAAGCACAAAAAGCGGCATGTAATGGGGCAGACTTGAAGTACGGGAGATCTGACTGAACCTAAGTCACTCAAGCACATCAGAATGAAGACTGATATTCCAAGCATTGATGCTTTTTCTTTCAAATGTGACCACCCCCCTCTCAGTGGCCCATTAATTTCCAGAGCACGAAGTGTTTCTTCGGTCCTAAGCTTACTGGCTGCTCTAACGAAGTCCGTGAAAAGAGTAGGGAGCACCTTACATCAACCGTGACGTGAAATCTTTCTTCATTAATGCAATTTAATGTGGCAACAGTAGGTTCGTTTTGGTACCGCGAGTTCCTTCCTTCCTAACTTGATGTCTCGGTGCTCTGCTAGCTGCAAGACGCTTCGCTCCTCTGCTCTTTCCTTCGACGTGCACCTTCCAACCCAACTTGCACAAAATTTTCAGGCTTCGTGAAGTCACATCTTCTTCGAATCAAAATAACATTTCTATCAACCGCTTCCGATTTCGTGCTCTTGGTGTAACTAGAACACGCCTAAACTTGATAACCACAAGCTGACGCGACAGGGCTCGGTGCCACGGCCCATTCGATATTCGAGATCCTTGTCTTTCAAAGTCTGTGCTCTTTCAAATATTCTCGAAGGTTACATGCTCATGTTCGGCAGCAGGTGGTTTCTCGTTCCCAATATCTCAACTATAAATCAACTCGACTTAACCCCAGCCACACCTGGACGCTCTTGACTGCAGCTTCAGCCTCAAGTAGAGAGGTGATACTGATTGAGAAATCACGATTACAGAAACGTATCTTATTCATCATTTGGTGTTAAGAAACATTTTCTCATCTCTGACAGACGCTCTTGATCTCTCCACCTCGTTTCAGGTTCAGTCTCACAGCTTGCGCCTACCTTTATCAAGAGAATATTGTTTCATCCAATTCATCTTTGGAACAGCGTGTTCTGTGAGCTCTCTTCTCTTGCACCATACGACTCTCTATCGAAGGAATTTTCTACCAGAAGCTCTCTCCACACGACAATCATCATCAAGATGTGCCCCGTGATATGGACCTTCGCGTGTGGCCATGTATTGCAAGGTACTGGCCCTGAAAGGTTCCCACCAAGGACCACCAGTCTCACCTCCCCTCATGCGTGCCCAGCCTGTCAACTTAGCGCCATCCCAGCCACCGACCAACTCAAAGAGGAACTGGCTCGAGAATTCGATAATCATAAGCAAACTTTATCCTTTCTCGAGAAAGAACTCGATCTCCATCGAGACCAAGTCAAGAATGTCAACGTGGACAACAAAGAGATGAACGCATATCTGGATAGGATCGGGCCGTTCCTCATGTGGTCGTGGGCCAAGATGGTTGCAGACTTCCATGTTAAGATGTGGACGCATCCACGCGTCGAAGTTTTCCGCGATTGTTTAAGGTCCACGATGATGCAGGATATCCAATCTGTTATCATGGCAGTGGATGCTATGGCCAAGGCTAATATCTTAGAGCATAAACATGGATCTACTAAATTAGACGATGAGGATATAATCATCCTCGGTCGCAAGCTACCCAACATTCTTGCTCAGCATGAAAGCAACCCTGAAGTCGGACTCGACGAACGAGAAAAAGAATTGATTGAAGCTTGGAAGACGGTATTGGCTTTGATAAAGAAGGCGGACGTTGGGGTTTGAGGGACTTGTCAACGGCTAGAGCCTGAAATAAGCGAAAATAGGGGTGTGGACCTTTGGCCAGCTATGAAAAGGCACCCATTGTTTCACGTAGCGAGTTAATCGACATGCACATCAACCTTTAACGAGGTCATTAAATCTCGTTGGCGTATTTGTTTGATAATGTGCACTTGTCGTGCCCTTTCTAGTGAATTTCCGTCCAACTCCGCTGTCCCTCGCTATTCTCCAGGCTCCCAATGATCTGAGCGTACATTTTCGTTATTCATCTCTCGCAGTGGCGACCCATCGACGTGCTTCCTCTTCTATTTGCACTTTGGGTTTCTCAAAGACCAAGGCATTCATGGTACTAAGACAAAAAAGTAATTATCAAAAACCCATTCATCCCAGTACCAACAAATTGACAAATGCAACCAAGGAACGGCTGACTTCAATCCGAGAGCTTACCGTCCTTCAAACTGGGCAACTAGAAAATGCCTATTGAAGCTTTTCCTTCTTGGCCTCTGAAATTGTCACTGTTGGCGCGTACGGCGCAGAACGCGCGAAGCGCGCAACAAGCGCAAATACCGCAGACAGCGCTGAGCGCCCACATCTCCAATGAACTATTTGCAGATAAACTCAATTCGGTGGCACAGAAAGCACAACTGTCCGTCCCTTCGCAATACTCGTGCCGTGAGACTTGTACTTGATCACTAACAAGGCGTTCAAGTATCGATAACGTCGAGAGATAGACGTAGAAATGGGCATCGTGCAGGCATGGAACAGAGACTGGAGAATTTTGGATGTGGAGAAACGATATCAGATAAATTGAAGCATTCTGTAGATATTCGGAACAGCAGAAAGAAAAGCTTGTGGTATCCCATATCGTACCATGTCCATCCTCTACTCGAATATCGGCCTCTGCGGGGTTCTGTCAAGAAAACGATACATAACAGCAATACAGTGCCTTCCATGTGAAACAGCAATTTTGTCGATAGCAGCCATCGTAAGGTCTTCCTCAATTACTGGGTGCATTCTCAATAATCAACATCGTGGTAGCTTCACAAGATAATCAGCCTGCCTTTCCTCTAACTCTGACTCAATTGAACACTCACGAGTCTTCGAGGCAGTGTGATACACAATCGGGTAGAATTCACCAGCAGTGAAATCATCGAAATCTGTCGAGATACTTTGTCAGCAACCGGCGACGAACCAAGTCAGGAATGAATCAACACTTACAAACATTCTTCGCATTATTATTCGGTCTGAAGTACGGCACCAGAACATATCTCGTCTGTCCGTTCAGGCAAATGGGTCTTGGTTCCCACTCGTGGCTCAAAATTCTCGCGGTGCCGCCGCCAAGGTTCTCGGGCTTGCTGCAGGTGGGAAACTGAACTGCAGATTTCCCGGATCCGGACTGGAGTAGGTAGCAAGGGAGTTTTCCGGCTGGGTTCTCGTATGTTCTGAGCGAGTTGTAGAAGGTCAGAGAGAATCTAGGAGCTTTGCCGGTGGCTAAGTCGGGAGTGTAGTGGAAGATGTAGCCATTTTTGCTGTGTCCGCTGTTGACTAAGGCAACGTCGCCTATGAATTTGTTGGTGTAGACCTTGATGGTGAAGATGCGAGGGTAGAAATCAAAGACTCTGGTCGTGCTAGGGCATGTTGCTCGGATCTCGACGGTGTCGTTGAGGGAAGTGGCGAGGGTACTGTGGAATATGGCAGGCACAATAGAGAGAAAGTGAAAAAGCTTCATGTTGCAATTGCAAGTAGATTAATTCCTAGAAAAGTAGGGCAAGAGAAGACGATAGCCTCGAAAGTTCGTTACCATCGACGAGGGATTAAGTATGCTGCCTGACAATGACACAAGATCTTTGGTCTTACTGTGTAGACCTAGAAACTGAAAAATTGTCGTTGTGCTCTCCATACTTGAAGATCGCACCTACAAACCTCGGCTTGTGTGACGCGTGCATGGTGGTAGAAGCAAGTACAAAGCTGTCCTAAGACAACACAGTGAGCCAGCAGAATGGGCATGATTGGCAGATGTACTAACATTGATCGACCTGTGCTGCGAAGCACTTCACAGCCACTGGGCATGACAAGTATAGAAGGGCAGACTCTTGAGCCCAACCGAAGAAAAGCCGAGAGACGAACCCTTATTCGCATGCTCCGCAAAATTTGTAAACAAAGAGAAGAGCTGTGCTTGTTTCATCATCAGCCACGAACTTCGGAAGGAGAAAAGTGATCCTTGGACCTGTGATACAGAATACCACATGACGAATCTGTTTGTCCATTCATGATCGGACGATAACAATGAAGTTAGCCAATGGCCTGCATCTAATCGATCCTCCTTTCCCTATCTCCAAGCAATGGATCATCCTCTCCGTCTAGAAGCTCTTTGCTCTTGTAGCCTGGGTATAAGCAATAGTGCTGAGTCATAAAAATAATATCAAACAGAATACTGATGTTTCCTAGCATCAGCTTCACTGGATTTCCTGTAATGCCAGACCGGTCCCCTTGCAGGTAGCTGTCTATGCCAAGCTGTATAATCGAGAGAATGCCACCAACGACGTCGAGGAGAATCTGGCCAATGGACCAGCCTTGTGTGGATCGATTTCGGTAATTCGTAAGGACTTGAGGCATGTACTTGACGAGCGTGATAAAAAGCTTGACGTACGAGAAGGCGTAGATCTGTCTGCGATTAGAACCTATGCTTTCATGTCCGCAGATATTCACATACCACATCTATCCACGCCCACCCAGTAGCAGGATCTGGGTCATTCCTCACAATGACGATAAGTATAACAATGAGCACCCCCAGTATACTACCAACGAATATGCTCATTATGAAGCGACTTGGTCTGGCACCTGGACCGCCCCTCTCCTCAAAGCCCCATAGCGAAGGTAGGAATTGCGAAAGTGTAATGGCGCTCAGGACAATAGCATGTGCTGCGAAGGCGAAATCGTTGAACTGAACTGTTGGAGTAAGACCATGATTTCTCGACGCGTACTCCTTGCGGATCAGGGGAGAGTATAGGAATGCCGCATTTGATATGAAGTATCCCACAAATCCGAGGACGTTGATTGCTGGGAAGTCGATGGTGGTTCCTGTTGTAGACTTTCGGCGGAAATTCAGTAGAGGTTGAGGATAGAAGGAGAGGGACCAGCAAATTGTGTACACCCAGCCGCAAAGCTCCGAAACGACTTCAAGAAAAGAGAAAGCCATAGCCAGAACTTGTTGTCAACTCATGAAGGATGAGCAATGAAAGAGGTGAAGAGAACTTGAATCAAAATATCACACGCGCGTGCCTGGATCACGCGGAGTACGGAACGGAGTTCGGTGCAGATAAATTAAGGTTATCAATATCCCTGCAATGGCGTCACCTTGGCGCGCGATCGATACAGTAGTGACGACCTCATACTTCACTCTCCCTTTGGTCCGTATCTTCAAATCTGTCTTCTTGACCTCAAAATCCTCAACATAGCCTGGAGCACATCTTGGAAATCAAGATGGTCGATATCGTGTTCCTAGACCTCCCTGGCGAGATTCGTAACCAAATATACAACCACCTTCTCATTGTACCTGCTATCTCAAAGCCACGGCTTCTTGGTGATCCTCCGATGTATCCTCAAATCCTCTCCACATGCCATAAGATTCACGAAGAAGGGAAGCAGATCCTATATGGCGGCAACACCTTCCTCGCACATCCCAACCTTCTCTCTGACAGGCCGCGATTGCGACTCTACTACGACGCCATCTCCTCCTCGAGTCTGATCTCTCTGATCTGCAAGTACCACATACGAGTCCGTCTAGACTGTGACCCGAACTTCTCTGTACATAAAGCCATAGCCGCTTTTACGGGGGTGGAAGAGTTGACATTGGAAGTCTTCCAAGCACAATTTGGGAGCTCGGATAATAAAGTGCTACGTTTGTTTGAGGGTATAAGAGGTGTGAAGAAGGCTAGGATATATGGAAGTGTCACCGACTTTCCAGAATATGTGCGGTGGCTGCAGAATTCAATGATGTTGCCTGTGGGGGTAGAGGTGGAGCCGTTTGATAAGGAGAAAATTGGGCTCAATCAGGTGAGCGGCTATGACATTTGGACTGTCAGTGAAAACGAGGCGTGAGAAATGCATATGCTTACATCTACTTGCAGCACGGTGGTCGGTGATCGAGCCTAAGGTCGTATGGCACTCTGCAGTTCTCATCTGATCGAACGAGATGATTGCTACGTGTCAGGAGGTGGGAGGAACTACCCTCTCTCCCAGGACATTTATAGACCGTGAAGCTGCAAGGCCCATTCCGATGGCTTTTCTGATTCAACCCTTTGCTACTGTCGATGGTGTACCATGGAGCAGCCGCTTCACATGCAGTCCGTTCTGCGCGCCAAAGCACCTTATGCGCCGTTGAGCACTGAAAACCATCCTCCAAAGCTGTATCCATTCCCTCGGATTTGTCGCTCCAAGCTACCCTCGAGATCACTTTCTCCACTATGAAGTTTGCCTGGCTGCTGGTCATCGTTCTTGATATCTGCCATGTTCAGAAGACAGGATTGGATCTAGCCTTTCCTTTTCATCTGGCTGCCTTTCGGAAAGATATAGGACCAAGGTACATTCGAGCACTCATGATTGAGATATTTCGGAGGAAAGCAAATCGGCTCGACCTGAAATTGATTGGCAAGGGAGGCTTGGCTGTTGTTTAGCGTCTTTCCACTTGAGGTCTATAAAAAGATCTCGTGCGAAACACTTCTTCAAGCGTGTCAACGAATCTGTTTTGCCATTCTTCCACAACTTCTGCAACACCACACTTGCCGAGACGCAGAATTTACCTCCATCTCTCGAATACCTTGCCGACGCTTGTTGGATCCTTCAACATTTTTGTGCCAATACAATAGGTCAGTTATTCCCAGAGTTTGTCGGCACACACACAAGACTAAATTGCAATCGAAACAGGCATACTGACTGATACCAAACAGAACACTGAAAGTCAACGGTGGGACAGGGATATCCCGTCAATCGCAAGCCCTTTTCCGCAACGTTCAGCGAATATCCGGTCAACTTTCAGCTTCAGATCCTCTTAGAATTGTAACCGCGATCGAAGCTGAGTTCGCGACCTACCTGTCGCAAAGCTTGTCCGGTCAGTTGTCTGGTTCCTTACGTGATTACAAAGTACTAAAGGCATACAGAACCTAGTCTTACATCCCGCAACATCAATTTCACTATGGAGCTTTCCCCTGAGACAACCAGTGTTTGGTCAGACCATAGCGGTGTTGGCTCCAAAGACGATTCCAAGATACCACCTCTCGAAACGACCATGGCCAAAGGCCTCGCAGAAAATGAAATATACAGGTTGGGCAAGGCTTTCGGAATCGACATCCAAATCGACAACCCCTCGATTGCAAAACCTACACCACCTACTCTCATGACAATCCCGAAGGAGCTCCGAGCTGAGGTTCTTGGGCTTCTGCTGAACAAGCCTGAACTTGGAAAGCATATATCTGTTCTCCGAGGCCACGGAAAATATGAGAAATACGGGCTTCACCCAGCAATTTTGAGTGTTTGTAGGCAACTCTACGATGAGGGTCGTTACATATTGTACAAGCAAAGCTTCTATATTGGCTACTTCTCCTCGGAGTATTACCATATCAGTCCCTTAACTAGGTACCTCCCTCCTATCCGCGAATTTCCTCTTAGAGTCATGCATCCGTCAAGAATGTCCAAAATTGGGTCGTTGTGGTGAGCGGGTACTCGAATGCCCAACACCATAATCTTTTGCCCATGGACGACTTTTGCCGAGCAATCAGTTCATCTTCTCCAGCTTCCATTCAAGTTTGTGTCATTCCCAAGGGTATCGAAGCTGCTGTAGATAAAGAGCACGATGTCATCTTCAATGTCCTAGAGCCACTTAAGATCCTACTCCTTAAAGCAGAAGTTCTCAAGATACGAGATGCCAAAGTATCGGAACTACCTAACGTCTTCGATTTTCCCGCAAGCTCACAAACCTGGGTCTCATGTCTCGATGAAGTGTCGGAAATGGAGCAGAGACAGCTTTTGCAGATCGTGGAAAGCAATGCTCCCGTCGAGCACGGCTTCGAGATGCACGCAGCTCTCTTGAAGTACTGCCAGTCCTTTGAGCGATGTCCTCCGTTCAACAATGACATGGCTCTTTGGGAGGGTGAAGGGCATGGGGATCGTTTGGGTCGCAAATACAACAATCCCTATAAGGGCACTGAATACCATTCGGTCGAGCGTGGTCTCCAGCGAGCCAAGAATGCTGCTGAAGCAGACAACGACGTTCTAGCTTTTAAAGTACATCGAGAAAATGTTCTTATGTATCTCGAACGTCAATATGGAAAGATCAACAACTGCTCCAATGCTCTTCTTGACTTTATAAAAGAAAAGAAACGACTTGGATGTTTATTCCATCCTTACACCCGTCCTGTTGAGGACTCAATTGATTTGGAAAAACAATTGTATCATGCCAAACTCTTGTTGGATGACTACGCCATGTCGTTTGAGCGCGAGGCCCCTACACCAATTAAGATCCAAATTCTTCGGGAACAGCGTTTTGTCCACTTGCCAAAGCTCTATGACGAAACCAACAGAGGCGTTGACGTTGCCATCAGACGATTCAACACAGCGATCGACAAGAAAAACAACAAGAAGACTGTGTTACTCTTTCAGAAAGCAGTCGATACGCTCGATAATCAGCTCATCAGGATCCGACAAGCCGGGAGAGATTTATTTGAGCATGACCTTGATATCAGCAGCCGTGGTGTCGATATCCATCCTTGTGACCCCTCTTCCATCGATCATGTTGTCTGGGACGTGGAAGAACCAGAGATTGGGCCCAATTTGGCAATAATCTAACAGGCAACCCCTTAGCCGGTGGAGGAGACAGCAGCGATAGCAGCGATAGCAGCGATGAAACAGATGACCAAGAAGATTCGGATGAGGACACTACGATGCAGGACGTAGAGTAAGATGATGGAGGTCGAGGGATTATTGAGGCTTAGATACCGGTAAGGGCCAGTAGCATCGACCATAGAAGTCATGCGGAGTCTACAAGAGCCAATGATGCAAATTACGATGCCGTGCCGGAGATAGAGCTTGCCACTCACTTCGGTGCTCAGATCCTAATTTGCCCTAAAAGTTGAGGTTGGTCTTGAGCTACCTTCTTAATCCCTTGGTTATTTGGTGTCGCTTCGAGAGTGGTATTTCTGAAAGGGTATCTGCATCTACACATCGGCGGTTGAGAGTGTCCGGGTTGCTGGTATATGTCGCGCTACTATGATGGAGGGGGCGGATCCCGATCAGTACTCTTCTTGGATCTTGATGGGATATCTTTCTTTTCCAGCGTTTACTTTTAGTTGGTATTCTTGACACCCTTTCTTTTTGGCAAGGCTTCTAGAGCTATTGTGTTGCGCATATTGAATAAAATCCCGAGTACATTGCATCCCTGTGTGCAGTGCTGTATCCCACGACTCCTAATCACATTCTTTGCAATAATTGATCGATGCTTTTCCCACTGCTCGAGTTTTAGGACTCCGTTTCCACCATACATCGGGTAACTTGGAGGAGTTTTGAGTGACATTGGCTAAATGTTGGTTAGTATTCTAGGGCGTTCAGTGGCTACGACTCTCAAACCTTTCCAAGCAGAAAATAGCTATAGAATGATGAAATATAGTGAGAACCTAGTTGCCATTCTCCTTAAAGTAGATTCCCATTGCCAGATAATGCGAAATGTTCGACGCTTTGCGCTGTGATTTTTCAAAATTAATGGGACATTGGCAAGCGCTGATGTGTTCCTATTCATCTGGCTTCCACAATCTGGTTCACTCTTGCAATTGGCACACTAGTCAATGAGCAAATACAAAGACGCTAAAGCGGATAACTTTGGCACGCTAGCCAAGTTGCGATTCTGTATATAAAGAGCCTTTTCTGTTCCCTTTCCCATAACCTCCTTCTTTCTACAACCTCCATCCTCCCGCAACCACTTCTTCCTACAACAACTCCTTCTGCGTCTGGATACTCTATCGGCCGATAACCGTCAAGAGATACAAGTCTAGAAGCCTACCTTCAACATCATAGACTGTCTACCTGCAATTGTTTTTACGCTTCGCCTGCGCAAAGCCTCATCCACCAGCATCCAGCTTGGCCACCGTGTCAACTTGTTGTTCATCATTGTACTGTCCTATTACTAGTACGTTATTTTCCTCATTCGAGGCTTGAAGACACAGACTAACGAGTGTTCAACTCTCCAACGCAATGAACGGAATAGCATCTGACCCTGCCCTTGAGGCAGTAGAATCTGGAGATGCGCAACTTGCGCCTCACTCTCAGGTTAGCTCTGAGCAACAACTCTCGTCCAACCCACTTTTTACAGCAACCATCCAACACTTGCTCCTCCATCAACATGATCAGCAACGCTGACCAGGCACGACTTGAAATTCTGCGGTTGAGCAACTTTTTCGGACTTGGCATCCAGTCGAATCAAATCATCGTTCCTCAGCCAGTCCCAACTCTTACAAAACCACGAACATTACTTACGCTTCCCGGGGAAATTCGAAACGACATACTCAGAATTCTGTTGCATAACCAAGACCTTGGAAAGGCGGCGTCGGTCGACCAAGAAGAGAACGACGGTGTGACTCGACAATATGGCCTAAGTCCAGCTGTGCTGAGGGTATGCCGGCAACTATACAAGGAAGGATCTTATATCTTGTATGAACAGCAAAAGTTCTTCATTGCCTGCTTCCCGAGACGCAATAACCACCTGAGCCCTTTGACGCGCTTTATTAGAGACGATATCTGGGAAACCCCACTGCGTTCTCTACCAGCAGTCAAGAAAGTCAAGCACTGGACCGTGATTCTCAGCACGTATGGTTTCGAATATCCTGCAGAGATTCGACCATTCGAGGATTGCTGCAGAGCTATGTGCGATTCTTCAATAGCGTCTATCAATGTCTGTGTTGTTCTTAAGGGCATGGAGACTACGACAGCTGATGATACGGATTACGAGACTCCCAAAGCAGCTCTTTCCCCCTTGATGATGCTCCGTGGACTGGGTCCAAAGATTCTTACCATTCGACATGCGGAACTATCCGAAGTTCACAATGTTGTGGACCTATTCCAAACTGTGCTAGACTTCGAGTCTGTCCTAATTGATCTGCCGAGTAAGGACATGAAAGAGATCATGGAGACGGTACAAGGTCAAACACATGTAGAGCTGCCTTTCAAGATGTACGAGGCTCTACTTGAATATTGTCAGACGTTCGAACAGCATCCATTATTCAAGAAGGGGATGGAGCTTGATTACCATGAGACGCGCCATCAATTCAGTGGGGACCCTCAGCTCTGTGATCGATATGAATGTCGCAATCCTTACAAGGGGGATGTGGCATCCAGTTGAAACCACTATCCAAAACGCACGGTCAGCCATCTTCCGCGATAACGACCTTACTCGGTTCAGATATGAACGTGCCACTGTACTCAATTATCTAGAACGACAATACCGACGCATCTGTGAAGCTTCGACAAATGTGGTCGAATTTGTCAATGCGACAAAGGAGTCGACACTATTCTTCGATGCCAATGAAATGACTGGAGATCAAGTCTACCCGAGAAGCGGGGAAAATGGCGCCAGATTTCAGGCACTGCTCCTAGCTCAGGACTATCTCGAAGCATTCGAGAGAGAATGTCCATTAGACACCAGAGTACAGAAGTTCGTGCAGAAGCGAAAATTGGACCAGCTCTACTCCGAATTGCACCGGGGCGACATCATTCGGCGCTTGCAGGCCGCCATGGATTTCTGCGATCATTCCAAGCTGTCTTTCATTCTCCGCGATCTCATCGATAGTTTAGATGATCAGTTGATTGAAATCCGCCAAGCTAGAAAGACGCTCTTCCTCTGGGATGGCGAAGTCGAGAATCGAGGTGTTGACATCCATCCAAGAGATCCAGTTTGTGGGGAGCATATCAATTGGTCTGTCACCGAACCTGTGCTTGGACCCGAACAGGGATTCAACCCGGATCCAGAAGAGGTTGATGCTAGCAATGGAAGTGATCCTGATGATGGAGACGACGGGGATAATGATGACCAAAGTGATGACGAGGATGAGAACGAGAACGACGAGGTTGAGTCGAGGTCAGATGGTAGGGAAGAGCATGAGGGGAATTCGGAGGCGGAATCCGGTGTGAGTGATGGTGGAAATCCAGAGGCGGAGCAAAACCAGCAGGACGTTCTTCCAAATTTGGCTGCTGACAATAGTTCCTCCAGCGCCACATCTGGATTGTGAGGTTTAGAGGCTCGGATAATTTGGTCAAGACGCTATTATTCGGTCTCGGACGTCATCATGTCTGGCGCGGCTGATCGGGAAATTAGGATGGGGATCTGAGGTTCTTCATCTGAGAAAACTTTCAACGAACGAACTGGGCTGGGTGGTGATACTTATTTCTTGTTTCTTTCCTTCCAGCGTCTTCACTTTCCTTACTTTCCAGACTTGATTCTTTATATCCTTGCTGTTTCATTCCTTTAGCGATCGGCTCCTCCTTCGTCCACTTTTTCTAGTTTGTCAGATAGGTGGGAGTTTAGATTGCATACACCTTGCGATGTTTATTGGCAATAAGACTCAGTTGACTCGTCGGCAAGTCCAATCCCATCATCAAGTGCGCCAAATGTGATGCAATACTGTCTTCAATGATCTCACTGTGAAAAGAGTTGATTATTCTAGATTACAAGAAAACCCCCGGTTTTGCTAAATACAGGCCCAACTCATGCACGTGATCTTATGTGTACCACGTATTCGGAATATCTTTCTTCTCCTCGTGCTAATATAGACCAGACGACCTATTTCTGATACGATTCTGATGAGATAGCCCCTGATTCCGAATTGAGAATTTTGAACCCAGGTGGAATAGCCCCCTTTTTACTTCTTTGAGTCATGATTAAAGCATAAATGCCTGATCCTCCTTGAATCCCAGCAATTGTTTCCCCACTTTCTTCTTTGAAGCAGAAGCAGATTTGGCCCGAACCCTTCGAACTTCGACACTGACCTTTCTGCTTCCTCTATGGAATAGTGAAGATAGGTTGTAAGAATTGCAATTATGTATTGTTGGCATTCGTCTCTCGACCAGGGCCATTGTGGCACGTCGCGTGCCGTTATTGACTTTCGAAATCTTTTGCCAATCTTCGAAGTGACTGATTTGTAAGATGGAGGTGGAGATTGGTCAATGGTATCCTTATTCTTCGATCGTCCTATCTTGCCACAGATTTTCGAGAGTATGTTTGGGAATGGCATGTTGGATAAGGATGGAATGCGGAGTCGATTATGATTGAAAGATGAAGGGTTGTTTCATTTGTGTTTTCTGGTTGAAATTCGGTCACTTGGTGCGAAATTTATAAAAAGTCGAGGTGAAGGCGCTAAACTAGGCTCGTATGGCGATGTGGTAAGCTAAACCTTAGATTCTTAGTCCGGCTCACTTCAGAGCCAGACTATGTTTCTAGCGGGATAGTGCTGGACCCTAGATTTAGATATTGAAGTTAATCGCTAAGTGTTGGTTTTTAAGAATTATGTTCGGGTTATCATTTCACGGATTAACAACGATTTTATTAATCTTTTAAAAGACTAAAAGTCGCCGGCTATCATGCAAGATTGACTCCTCAAAAACAAGTCTAGAACCTCGATCTTAATCCATGAGCAATATAAACTTTCAATCGCTATGCAATCCGACTTAAGCTTTAGGTTAACCATGCCTCATCTAGAATGTCTCCTTCGCCACGATTTCTTGCTAAAATATCGAATAAAATTTAGTTAACAGCGACCAAATTTCACGAAATAGCTATTAATAAAAGCGTGTAGCACTCGAGATGCTTAGTAATAGCAAGGGAGCAAATAAGTTTAGTTTTTTGGTAATAAATACTTTCAAGATATCCTCGCATTGGAACATATTCCGGCCGCTTCGGACATCATTTTACGAAGGTTAGAAAGTGGATAGTTGCAGTCAGCGGATCGCAACTTAGAAGTCAGAACTCCGTTTCCAGCTTCGTGAATCTCTGCCGTGCGATTCGTAATGGGCGCCCGACTCGCTCATATCGCTGTAATCGGAAAAGGCATGGAGGGACCACTCACTGAGAAGTACGAAGAGATTGAACATGTCTTGGAACCTCTAAGATGTTACGAAATCTAGTTCCGAATGCATTGACAATTCAAAATGTTGATAATTTCGGTGTTGCCGACATTATTGAGATGTGGGAGAATGATCGAGACTACGAACCATTCTACGACGAGACTAATACATTCGATGGAAACGTTCATGATATCGTGACATCTGACGCAGGTCATCCATATGTTTGACCAGCTAGTCAAGTACAGTCAAGCCTTTGAGCATCATCCCTATTTCAAAGAAGCTATGGCACAATTTGATGACTGCCGTCCAACAATATGTCGATAAATGCACAGTACATGGCTTTCGAAATCCATATCGAGATGGAAGATGGCATCCTGTTGAGAGGTCTTTGGATTGTGCAAGAGATGATGCCGAGATTGCCGATTTGGCCGCGTTCGAAATCGACCGAGAGTCAATCCTCATGTATTTGGAGAGTTAGTACAATTCTATCAGTAATGCCTCAATCAACATTGTTCAATTCATTAATGAGCAGAAAGAGGAAGGAGGGTTGCTTGATCCATGCTTGTTGAAAGAGAATGCTGACCATTATCAACAAGATACCATGCACTCAGCTCTGCTGTTGCTACAGGAATATGCCAAGTCTTTCAATAGGCATATGCCTCGAGATATTCAAGCTCTGGTATTAAAGAACCAGGATCATTTCGACTACTTGTTCTTTGTGCTTGATAGGGCTTCTATCCTAGACAAGGTTACTGCAGCTGTCAAATTCAACAACCTTCATAATTTCAAATCGTTGTTCCGTACCGCCGTGGATCACTTGAACGATCAGCTTCTCGAGATCCGATACGCTCGAAAAGCCCTTTTCACGTGCGAAGTAGACAATGATTCTGCTGTTGATATGCACCCCGCGGATCCGGCTTCAGTAGACCATATCGACTGGAACACCCGGGAACCCGAAATGGGTCCATTTTGTGGCCAGAATATCGATGACACAAATTCTAGCGATGAGAATAGTGATGGCGGAAACCAGGGGAGTGAATAGGAGGTCAACGGCGACTCTAGTACAGCTAATGGCGACAGCGAGGGTGGCGAACAAGACAAGGATGTTACGGAGGAAGGAAACATCACTGCTTTGTCTCAAAGTGAAGAGGAGTTGACTGATGAACAAGATGATCTTGAATCCACACTTGGCGAACTAGGAGATGGGTTTGGACTTGCTGACGAGTCAACTGGCGGAAGGCTTGTTGATCTTGTCTGAAAAGCCGGTGCAGCGGTTTTTAGTAATTTCTTTTAAATCGGTAGTTTTCTGCGTACAAATAGAATGCCTAGTATTCGAGAGAATATCATGATGATCCCTACTGCGCACACTCATCGACAAGCGTTGAAAGAATTCTGATTAGTGAACGGGAGCTTTTAGTAATTCATTCTATTATCGTGAGCGTGAGGTAAGCATCTAACGCCTGCGGCTTTATTCGCCAAAATGTCTGTCAAAACATGGTTGTTTATTAACTTATGAAGTCACAGCGACTGAGTTCGCAATTTTAAGGCTGAAATAGTCTGCCCCAAGCAGCGAAGTTGAGTAGAGCTGGATGCTGAGGGCTCCTGAATCTTAATGTTGAAAGTTTATATCTCCGAAATATAAGTCTAGATCTGGAGTCAACACTTTGGAGGCTCGATCTTTGATTTAAGAGTTTTAACCTAAAGTTATGTAAGAGCCAGCCGAAGCGACAACACTCGCTTAAACAAAGGGCTTGAAGCGAAGTGAAGTTGTAACATCTACTTCGAAATATTATTTGTTTAGAAGAGTCGTTGATATTCTATTCGATCGATTAGACAAAGCTAGTCTGGCTCATATATCATGTGACAAGCATCAATTGACAATAAAGCTCTCAATTCAGGGGAATATGGAAGTGAGCGCAAGTCGATACTAGTACACAATTAGACGCTAGTTTAAAGTGGGACCAAAATCTTGTATTTAGAGCGTTGACTACAGTCAACTTTCTGCAACTCCCGAGCAAGAACAAGAAATTTCTTACATCAAAAGAGAACCTCTTCTTTGACTTTTGGGTATTCTCGCATTCTTTGTCTCCACCATAAAATCTTTCTATTGTTCGGTAATTACTAGACCAAGTCACATAGTAAGTCGAGACCGGTTTGCGCTCGTCAACATAGAGTCTAAAACTGATTTCACACACCCTAGGATAAGAACATGGACAGAAACATCTATGATATGGATGAATGGGAGGATCATAGTGGTAGATCGCAACCTCATCCGAACACCGCACATTCGAACACACATCTTGGGGAGGACAACCTGGTCATCAGAGAACCCGCGGCCTCATCGCCTCAGGAGCAAATAACCCCCATCTCTCTAATGCGCAACGAAGAAGACCAAGCCCCTGACACGATTCCTGAGATTCTCGAGGAGGCAGGTGGAAATTCTGGGTCCGACTTGGGGTCTTTGATTCCAGAACACCTGATGGACAATAGAACAAGTTCGAGCTTGCAGAAAGTTTCCCTGCAGGTTGGAATCGATGGGTTTTCGCAACCGGATGATGGATGTCTAGAAGTACTTAACGATCATGAGAACGCCGCTCTAGAGACGCTCATGGCTCAGTTCCGATCGAACGATCCTAGCAATCCGGACGCTTGCCTGATTAAACTTCCGGGTGAAATTCTGGATACTATTCTTGGATTCCTCTTCGTCAACAAAGATCTTGGACGAAGCACTTCGATCGCAGCGAATGTTGATTTCGGAAAGAATGCCGCATATGAGCTCCATCCAGCTGTTCTGAGGGTTTCTCGCCACCTCTACGAAAGAAGTGTTGGAGTTCTCTATGGACTCAACGTCTTCTACGTTGCATGCATGCCTGACCGATGGAATATGTCTACCGGACAACCCAATCCGTCCTCTCCCATTACTCGTTGGTGGTCTCCAGATATCAAACACCCCACTGCTGCCGAATCATCCGCTTTGCAAAAGGTCCGACAGTGGTTGGTCGTTGTGCATCCTGCCAATATGGGCAATCCACCACACATTCCACAAAGCATCACGACCTTCTGTCAAGCTATCTGTCAAAACCCTCCGGTAAACATGGACATTGCCCTTGTTCCCAAAGGTGTTCAGGTGGGACTCAATGACCACGATTACACCCCTATCGAAGAAGTCCTCACACCTTTAAGATTGATCAGTGGCGTCAAGACCTTTAAGTTGCGCGACACAACCCCGCACGAGATACCTGACACGATCGACCAAGATGACGATGCCCCCTTCTACCCTTCCCACCTAGAAGACTACCCTGTCTTGGAAGTCGAGTTGACCTTGTCATGCATCAGCACTGATCTTGTCGAGTTTGCTTTCGACATGCATTGCCGCTTATTGAACTACGCCAAGGCTTTCGAAGCCCATGAGCCTTTCAAGCTAGAGATGGCACTCGCTAAAGGGGAGCGGATTGTTGATGAGCTCATCGGATCTAATGCTTGGTTCCATCACAACAATGCTTTGAGGAATCCCTACAGAGATCTCTCTGACATACATCCTGTTGAAGACCACTTGCAAAAGGCCAAGCCGGCTAGCGATCACCAAGATGTTGACTTATTCAAGCTTCACCGAGCAGGCGTTATTAACTATCTGGAGCCTCAATACCAAAGACTCTCAGCTAGCGCCACAGCATTGACTGACTTCATTCGCGGGCAACAATGCTCTGGTGGTGTCTTTGATGTAGACTGCATGGGTCACGACTTTCTGTCCGGAAATGAAGAAAAGTGCGCTGATGGACTTGCACTTCTTCAACAGTTCAAAGCCGCATTCTTGCGCCATGCTCCCGATGAGATCAAGCAGCATATTGCGGATCATCAAGCCATCTTCGATTCCTTCTATGATTCAAAAGTTACATGGTACATAGAGAGACTGGGTACTTTCCTTCAAGTTGGAAACTACGTCGGATTCGTTCAATTATTTTGCGACTCGTTCGACGAGCTCTATCGCATGTTCTGCAGCATCCGAGAAGCACGAAAGGAGCTGTTTCTTGCTGATACTCTCGACCAGACCGGTTGCACCCTCGATTTGGAACTTGATCGAGACGATAGTAGCATTGATTGGTTCGACGAGGGCGCTCCTGGCTGCACTGGCTATGGACACAGGAATAACCCATCGGACGGAGGTAGCAACAATGGGTCGGACGTTGACGATAACGAGCGAAGCCTTGATGAGGAAGAAGAAGTAGAAGAGGGAGAAGATCAAGAGAGTGAATACCAAGAGGGTGAAGACCAAGGGAGTGACGACCAAGAGGCCATCGACAAAGAAGTGGAAGACCAGTTCTCCGAGGAAGAAGACGAGGATGCGGGAGACAATGAGCTTGATGAGGAGGCAACAGATGGTGCAAGCAATAGTGGTCAACTTCATGACCCCTCGACCATCTCGGAGACTGATTCTGAGCTGTATCTTGGTGTAAAGCCTGCCACAGATGCTGCCAGTTCGACATTAGAAGGAGATACAGACGACGTAGTTGAGCAAGGTACGTCTTCCAAAGTGTGTGATAGGCTTCTTGACTAACATACAATAGGTTAAAATGTTGGTCTTCGTCTCCATCGAAGGTGGCTTTGTCTTTGTCAATGCTAGCAGTCGAAGCCGCCTACGAAATTCGAAGGCTATTGTTTTACATACAGGAGAGATTGCGCTTTGGTTTGCTGCTTCGGGAAAATTTTGGTAGTCACGTTTTTATTATGTATCCTTGCGTCATGGGACAGAGACAGGGTTACGGCTTAGGAAACGTCGCAGAGATCAATATACCTGAACCTGTTGTGTGCTGATATTTTGCTTTGCTTTTGGCAGTGAAAGTTTGCGGGGACAGATCCTGAGCCATTTTTGAAATTATTGAAAATCTTCATTTTCCCTTGCCCGTCTCAGACCACTCTAAATTCTTCAAGCCTTCTACTGTGACTGTTCTTGAAACCATTTAACTTTTGACTGCTCTCACCGCGTACTTTTGATATGATGTACCACCTGCTTTTGAGTTTGCAGCCCGGTCGAGGCACTCAAGCGTCGACGGACTCTCAAACAAGTTCCAACACAATATCAATGGACAATAAAACTCTTCCCAATAATGTGAAAGATCCTGAACTTTTGACGACAGCCTCCAATCTCGAGTGATGTCAAGAATAATTCCAACCTCTTGGATTGTTTATGCCACCTACGTCCTCTTTGCGCCATATGAGTCTGCAAGAATCTCCTATAGGTGAGTGCTGTATCAGATGTGACATCATCTACTTCTGCGAAGGCCCAGAGCCTTCCACTCTTCAGCCATCTGTTGGTTAAAGAATCTGAGTGTGGTTGTGAGTGGCAAACCTGAGGGATGTCAGAATGTTGGTGGTTTTCGTGGCTGAATGTTGGACTTTTCACAACAATATAAGGAATTTGTTTCAGCCACCTTTGGACCCCAGCCCGCCATCTACGCAAACATCTCATAGAATAACTAGTTGATGGAAGCCACTTACGTGCTATAGCCGCTGACGTACGATGGTAACTTTCAGTGTGTTCAGAAGATAAATACCTACAGCAAGAGACCAGTTGGAGAGCATCAGTCCACATCCATGATCTCCAAATACTTCCAACCCTGCATACCAAGACCGATACCCACCTTCTATCACTAGCTCAACTCATAGAAAGTTATCTCTACCATACAGCCCTTGTCTTCGATACCCATACCTAATCTCGCATTTCGCAACTTTGGACGAACCTCAAGCGGACCTCTCGAAAATGTCTTCCCTCACAGAATGCTACAAGAACACCGAGCCGCATTGCGATATGTGGTCCCAATTGTTGAAATACGCCCAGTCATTCGAAAGATACGCACCATTCAAGCAAGACATGGCCAAGGTCAACTCTAATTCAACAAGCAACTTCAAGAAGTTCTCTCACAAGAAGACATCACACTTAACCAATCATCAACTCCGATCAGCAAACCCCTTCATCGACGGCCAAAACAGTCATTCAGTCGAGAACGGGCTCCTTGAAGCTTCACAAGCTGCTGCAGCCCAAGATTTCGTCAACTTCAAGCTGCACAGAGCGACTGTACTGCATTACCTGGAGCCACAATACCTGGACATGATGATGCAAAGAAGCGTCTTCAATCGATATCTTGGAGACCTGAGTGACTCCGGAGCTTTTTTCTGTATCGGACACAATGATCCATGTGGATCAGATGATTTACCCTTGGCCATGGTCTACCTTGAGAACTATTCTCGCGCTTTCCAACGACATCTCGATATCTATACTCGAACACGGATGATCAGGCAGAGACGAACTTTCGAGTCGCTTTACAGCTCTATGCCGCGAGAGGAAGCCATGAATATAGTTTACGACATGGTTGAGCATGGAAGCTTGGTGGACTTTGGTGTCTTTTGGTCGCTGTTTCGTTCTGTTTGCGACGATATGGATACCCAATTCTTCGAGATTGTTTCCGCCAGAGAAGGATTGTTCTTGGGTGACGTTGGAAAGTACAAAGCTTGTTCTCTTGATGCAGAGCTTGGATCAAGTCAGAAGCCCATGAGGTGGCTTGATGAGATGTTGACCAGTGATAGCGACGCTGACTCGGATTGATCAGTTGACGTTTACGGCATCTCTCATTTGTTTTTGGTTGCATATATGGCGTCGAAGAGGTGGCTCGCGAGGAATTTTGAGTCGCGTTTTAAATGGCTCTATATTGGGTCGGGTCGGTCTGCTTCAGTTGGAGTTATTGTCTTCACTAAGTTGGTTCTTTGGTACTATGAAGGGTGAAATACAGCTGGAGTGTGAAATTAATGGCTTTGCTACTTTCATGAAAAAGGTCACTTCATGATCTTCCTGGGATGGAAAAATTTTAACGGTTCATACTTTACAGCACATTCATTACATTCCAAAGCTGCTATCACCTGCATCACAAGGCACTACAGTGGGGATCCATTTTACCACTTTTCCAGTACGGCCTTTCAAAACTTCTTCGTCATCGTCATCTTCACTGTCATATTCCTTTTCGCCGTCACCGTCATTTTCATAGTCAGGGTCATTTTCAACGTTATCGTAGTCCCGCTCTCGTCTTAAGCGTTTTCGTGCCCGGTCACCGACTTGGGATAGCTGTTCGACCATTTCGTCCACTTCGTACCTCTCGAGATTGGGAGGGTTTTGCTGAGCGGGTAAACGTGCCTGCTCAGCAGATTCTGGAAGGAACATTTTGAAATCTTCCAACAAGTCTGGTGCAGCCGCAAACAAATCTGTCAGTAGGGCATAAACTTCTTGAATAGGTAACGATTCTCGTTGATAAGTTTGCAGTATGTCGAGAAATTCCCTATAAATCTCAGGTTTGTCTTGATATCGGCTCTGGAGAGTCGTTAGTAGTTTTCCAGCATGGCTTCATTGGACTTTCCTTGATCTTGTTCACGAATGATATAGCATCATTGAACTCAGCAGGCCCTCGACCATCTCTGATAGGTTTGTCGTCGGCAGGAATGATGACAGGATTTCTGGCGAAGTTAGATATGGGCAGTGACTCTGCGACTTATTTACTTACAGTTCTTGGAGTATCTCCTCTGCCAACTTTACGTTTCTGAAGAAGTCGAGGCTCTCTTCAGAGTCAGAGGCGCTCTTCGTCCGGCCTCCTGGATTGTTGGACTTGGATAAATCTTTGCTGGTAGCACCGTCTCGTATATCAATATCATACAGAAATAAATCAAGCTTCCGCTTCTTGCTCGACTGGTCAAACCAAACATTGCAACGTTTGCTTTCAAAGAACTCTTGTTAGCCACTTCACATCAGTTTGGCGAGATAAAACATACCAGATACGTCCACCTCCCGGTGCTGCTGTTGTTAGAGTTGAGCCGCACCTCGGCATTGGGCACGTCTCATCAGTGTATACTTTGCTCGCCGGCTTGTATAACAATATTGCCATAATAATAGAAGCTCCAGGCAGTAGCCGCACGTTCTCCGAAATGACAACCTGACTGTTCTTGGCACTAAATAGTTCATAATTATCTGTTTGGACTTCCACAGAACCCGGCCCGTCTAGAAATCGATGCTTAATGATTGCATTGAGGAGCCCGAAGTCGTACTCTGAGGGGACTGGAAATTTTAAGCCAAGGGCATCTTCCACGATAAGCGGGGCTTGGAAGAAGGTCCATTTGGCATCAGGAGTAGCTAGAGATTCTCTAATCTCGAGGACGACGCCGTAAATCTGTTGTGTTGAAACACTGAGTTTTCCGAAGTCAGCCTGTGTCATCAGAGGTGGAACACCAAGTTATCTCATACCAAACTTTCGCGACCATCTCGCCCAGAGATTTCATTGAAGAACCGATCTCTCCACTAACCATTGCGAACAGCTTCGTGAGCATGGAATTGGCATTGTGGACAGCAGCAGTCTGCGCTACCACGCTATCTTTGATCCATTGCATCAGAGACTTGGTGTTTTCCAACCTTTCTCGAATGTGCAGTCGTTCCAGCTCCCCCTTCTCATATACAAGTTCCATTTTCTCCAATCCATACTCTGCAAGTAGCATATTGATCGTCCCTATATGTATACTCAGGTAGCTCTGCAGCTTCCTTATATCGTCCTTCTCCCCAAATGCCCACAGTACTTTATCCGCGGTCTTCCTGATAGGTTTCGCTCCACCCTATACCCCCAAGGATTTATCATATTTCTTTATTTTCGCCAAGAAATCTTCGAGAGGCCTCTGGCAGCTCAATGCCGTGTACTTTATCGACTCAAGATTCGCAGACGCTGCATTTTTAGGCAATCTATCAAGGTGCTTCAACGCATGATTGAGGGACTCGAGCTCTCGAAGCAGCTCTTGATACTCGGACTTCGACCCACCAGCCTCGCGTAAGCTTTTGGTGATATCTGCGACAAGCGTTCCCACGGCGAGAAAGTCTCCAACTGAGAAGCCAAAAGACATTCTGACTTCCACGCTGGTGGGCAATTGTTTTCAGAGACATAAACGTGCATGGTAAAGGTCTGAAAGTTGCGGCTTCAGCTGGAATTTGGATGCGGTCAAGTTTTGGATGCACAGCCACGATTGAGGGCTGAGTCTCGTCAGCCACAGCTGCAGAGTGCGATTTGTGCAGCACAACTTCTCTGCTGAGGCGAGATCATTATCTTTATGGAGAACTCCACTATTCAAGCTTATTTTCAAAGCAACTGTTCCTACCAGGCCTTGGCACCTCGAGGAGTTTTCGAAAGTTTCGTTTAGCGCGGAGATGACGATGACAATGAAAAGTCGACATGGTGAAGAAAGCAGCCTGAACCTGCTATTCTTTTGAGTTTGGGCTAGAAAAAGTCATTGAATACAAGCTATTCGGACCAAAGTTAGGCATCCCACAATGTATCACTGAGCATGACCACCTTTGAGAGCGTCGTCTACACCCCTCTCCTTCAATCCTCTACACTTGCACCAACAAAAGGGAAGTGTCACATTTCCCCAATTGGCACGAACACATTTACGCCGTTGAAACTCGGACAGCCGCTTGATCATTCAGACTGCTCTCAAGCTACAAACCACCTCCTGACCTTGATTTCTGCTCTAGCGATCATGTGATCACAGATGACGCCAGCACCAGAGAATATGCTAGCCTCTGCGTTGCACCTTGCTTCTTCATCTATCGGTCGTCTCCACTCTGTAACTTACTTTCCACTTCCTTCCTCGACATCCCATCCAAATACGCACACACGCTCACTCAACGCACTTCTGACCAATCTCATTTGTAGGCCAGGTGCAATTCGCTACCTGCCCACCAGTAGCTCATTCACGCAACAGACGACTGATGAATTGAAAGGTGCGCATACTTTCAACACCGACACGCAAACGCTATTAAAGTCGAAGAAATACATACCTCCAATTTCAACTTCACGACCTCTAAGTATGGAAACGCAAGCAAATGATGAAGAAGGGAGTTCCATATCAAAATCTCTAGGATTAGAGAACGTGTACCCACTCGGACTCATCGGCAAGTTACCATTGGAACTACGACTACAACTCGTAAGTACTCGTTCGCCTCGCTGCCTTTTTCGAATACCACGTTTAGACTTCCGAACAAGTCTTGTTTTCACTCTAATACACAATCCTAATCCTACAAAAAACCAAATTCTAAATTCTGCTAGTATGAACTATTACTGGTGAACCCCATGTTGGCTAAACCTGAGTCAATATCGAGAGACAAAGATTTCGGCGCTTTGGTCCGATATGACCTACACCCAGCAATTCTACGCACGTGCCGACGCATTCACGAGGAAGCAACGCCTACTCTTTACTCGAACAATACATTCTTCATATCTTTCGCCCCATGTAGTAGCTGGATATACGATTTAAAGAACATGAGTCTTTGTCCGCTTACCCGATACATGGCTTGTGCATATGATCCGCCACGTAAGTGCTACCCAACGAACGGTACAATTTCCTGCTTTGGTCAAGTTAAAAAGTGGAGAGTACTACTCAGCAGGGCGGTTGGCCGGCTTTTCGACAATGAATACCAAGCTGCTTTCACTTTTTCAAGATTCTGCTCCCTGATCTCCGTTACGACCCAAAAATCTATCGAGATCATTCTGATACCGGCGAGTCAAAGATTGGGAGAAGTCCATATGGATGAGAAGTGGTACCAGTCGACGAACATAGTGTTACGGCCAATTGGATTGCTAAAGGGTGTAGAGATCTTGACGTTCAGGCACTCCAAGAGGGAAGATTTTGATGGTAATAGCCCCCAAGGAATTATTACAAGGTTGGATAGAGATTTGCCTTCCACAAATACTCTAATATCTCTCCGTTCGCTAGCTATTGGAGAGTCACCTGTGGAGAGTCCATCCAGACTCTGGGAGTCTTTGATTCGGTATGCTCGTGTATTTGAGCCGAATCCCATGTACGCTCAGGAAATGGACCGAAACGTGCTTGATATTTACTTGGCGATTTACCGGTCTACTCCCAATGCCAGTCTTGAAAAGATCCACACACCCCAAAGCTCTTTCATACTAGGAGAGCATCCAGTCGAGATTGCATTGTGGCAAGCTCGTGTGGCAGCCGAGTCCCTAGACGGTATCAGATTCAAGCAAGAACGTGACGTGGTTGTGACGTATCTCGAACAGCAATTCAGAACAATACTAGCAGCACACATCAGAGTCAGAAATTACATCGAACGAAGACAATTTGCTGGTATGTTGTTTGATGCTGGAGCGCTCGTACCACGGAATGAAACAGAATCCAGGATCATGTCTCAAAAGCTATACATACCCACTGCACTTCTAGAGGAATACGCTCGTTCTTTAGTGCGCGATATGGCACCTGATGTCTATGAAAATTATGCGGTGTATCATCTCGATATGCAACAATGTCCAGAAGACTTTGACAACTCGGAGCGGCAGATATCCACGAAAAAGCTTCATGAGGCGTTAGCGTTAGGCGATTGGGAGAAATCCAAGTTGGAGTTCAGGTCTGCATGCGATGCTATGGACAAGCGATTCGAGACCGTCATAGAGGCACGACACAATTTGTTCTCCGCGGACGTCACTGGCGATCACCAATGCGAAGTGGTTGTTGATAAGGAAGTCTATGCTGGATCAATCGACTGGGAGAAGAACAAAGTTGGGGAGTCTGAAGTGCAGGATGATGAGGATATTGACTTTTGAGTGAGAGAGTTACGTTGCTAGTCTTCTAACTCTGATTTATGAAGTCTTACCGCTGACTTTGCCCGCAATAAGTCCTTTTGGCTAGAACGGCGAGCAGGAGCTGGTCAATTTTGTTGGAGGATCTCATTTTCACATATGATGACTTCAAAAGACCTCTTTGACTGTTATAGCCCTGACACTTAGTCACAGTGCTTACCTATAAGGGTCGTAGATTATTCAATACAATGAAGTTCTTACTTGTGTCTCTTGCCATGATCTGAACGTGACTACATGAAGCTGCAGAATTGAACCATCCATTACACCGCTCAAGCTCTTTCATTATATTACCTGCTGGCCCAGTCAAGCACAGTTCACTCATCACCTTTCATCGTCATCTTTCTGTTTGGATAGGTACGAACGTCACTTTCAAAATCACGTGCCAGACGCGGTACTCCTCCCGACCTCGGGACTTCTTCCTAGGTACCTACTAGGGAGTCTCGCTCGGCCCGACCTTCCTTCTTGTTTAACATCAGAACTCGTCAAAACTTCAACAACCGCAAGATGGATGAAGAAGAGATCCACTCGGTCGCCCGCAATAAGCAATGAAGCCTACAAATAACGAATCTATGTAGGTGATCGCGATAATTTGCCTGGAGTTACGAACGAAGCTGATCGGGTGATAAGTGATAACAGCTCTAACATGACACCTGTTCCTCGCTCCATGCAGAACGAGAGCGGAGATCTCAGTACGCAGTCGGCGCTGTTGGACATCAGCCAAGAAGAGCCGGAAGTACATCTGAAGCAGAGCAACAATGGGGCTGGGAGCCCATTAATCGACAAACTACCTCGTGAGATACGTTATGAGATCTATTCGTACCTGCTAGTCAACCCCGTTCTCGGCACAAGCTGGTCAGTCATTGAAAACGAAGCACATACTCTCGGCAAGCGAGAGCACTATGATCTACATCCTGCGATCCTACAAACGTGCAGGATGATCTACATGGAGGCATCGGAAGTCCTTTATGGCACAAACACATTTTTCATCACTTGTTTCTCCGTCCAAGAACTCTACAGGATTGAATACCTCTGTCCCATAACCCGCCACTTGGAAGACGAAAAACCAACCACAACCGAGCGATTGACGATATACGCTCCATCTATCAAGACCGTCAGGCGGTGGAGAGTCTTGATATGCGAAGTAGATATCCAGGATGATCTCTATGGGACACTCCCGCCAGATGTTTTAGATCATCCCGATCTATACAAGCAATCACAATGGCAGCTTCTCCATTTTTGTCAGTCGATTTGTCGAAGTCCTCCACGATCTTTAGAAGTCATTTTCGGACCAATTTCAGCAAAGCGCTGGGCAGCAAGAACAACTCAAATATTTCATAAGGTTACGGATCCTCTGCACCTCCTTCTAAAGATCCCTACTTGTTGCGTCCGACTAGCAAGTTCCGAAGAACTTAGGAACTCAATGGCAGGAATGTACTTTCTGTACTGGAATGAGGATGAGTGGGCCGACACGGAAAATAGCGATAACAATATTGACGAGTTCAGGGTGGAGAGTTTTGACGAGAAATGCCGTGATCTGAGGGCGCTCATCACAGGGCAATCTCCAGTCGAGCTAGTATTTGCAATGTTTTCCAACCTGCTGTCCTATGCACAAGCATTCGAAAGAGACCCTACTTTTAAGGACCAGATGGGGCTGGACCCAGAAAAAGATGAAGAAATTAAAGATATCTTCGGCATGGAATACGAAAACCGACTACCCAGACCGCTCCTCGACAAGAACCCTTACCGATTACGGCATTCGATGGTGCCTCTGGAGGAAGCTTTATCACGAGCAAAGTGGGCTTCTAATAGTAGTGACTGGCCAGAATTCAAGCTACAGAGAGCTAAGGTTTTGGAAATTCTGGAACAACACTGCGTCAAGATAGCTGGGGCCCGTCATGACTTGGCACTGTTTTTAAGACAAGAGAAGATGGAGAATGGTATCTTCGGCGTCAATCACGAGGAACGGGCCTCGGAATTCCATCATACTCGGATTGAGGATTGCCACGAAGTTGCCCTCACCTACTTGGAGGACTATGCCAGTGCTTTCGACAGAGACATAAATCGAGCAGGCAGAGCAATGCTCAAAAGCTGTCAAGATCTATTCGACACGGAATACAACCGTATGCCGCGAGAGACTTTGTTGAGAGAGCTCAACCAATGGATTAAGCTACGCAAGTTTGAAAATTTCAGGCGGAGATTCAAGAGAGCTGTAGACGATGTGGACAAGCAATTTACCGAGATTCTACTTGCTAGGAGTAAGATTTTTGAGTGGGATATCTCTGAAGACCGAGGCTTTCTGTTGGGTCTAGAAATAGGCCAGTGCGACAAGATTTCCGAGTCAGACTTCAAGATTCTGCCTACTCGACAAAGCATCACGCTCCGTGTAGGACCAAGGCGCCGCTAGGGAACATGCCGACGGTTCTGGCGGAGAACCTTCACCGTAAGACCAGACTTCGGATGAGGATGCTAGGGACCTTTATAGGTAATATGTTCTCACAGGAGTGGCTTGCAGTCGAAGCGTTGGACGGTGTTTTTTGGGGAAATAATTCGCAGTTAGGTGGATGGGATATTGTTGGAGAACCACTTGAGATCGATTGGGCAGAGTGGTAGGTCCCATGGTTTCGAGTGCTCTCGGATTAAGGACTTGCATCTGCGGCAGCTCCTGCTCTTGTTCACCTGCTTCATTCTCCCTACTGTACTTAGTATGAGACCAATGGCATCCAAACTCTCATCGATTTACTATAACACTCTTAATGTCGCACATCATTCCAGTACCTAGTGAAGCTTCAGTTGTAGATCTTGATCCTTGCCCCAATCAAATGTAAAATAGCTTAGATAAGTGAGATTCTGGAGACGTGAAATATGATATTTCACTTTCCAGACCAAAGGCATTAGCTCCATTAACGCCTTAACGCTGTTCTTATGCATTGCTAGTAGTAGCCCTGACCTGAGTTATCAGAAACGCCACGATCTACTTCCTCCTGTGAAGCCAGTTGAAGCGATTGAGCGAAACTTCTGGACTATTCCAAGTGATTTTAGTTAAGTTTTAAATTCGTTTTGTTACATCATCGATGTGGTAGTCTTGTCCAATGTCAAGCAAGTCAGGTGCCATCATTGTGGCTGGCATCAAGGTGACCATAACTCCGAAAGAGGTTAGCCCTATTCATGCAGCAAGAAATCCTCTAGCTCAAGGCTCAAAAATACGATATATAAGCTACCGAAGTCTTGGCCGGAATGCAACTTCTGGTTCACAATATTGTCTTCCACAACAACTCGGTTCCGCCTGAAGCGCCTCTTCCATAATCTGAGTCCTTCGAGCTCTGATTTCTTCAACGAGGCTTCTCTAGAACGTATCTGTCTCCAGATCTGCTTTCTTGAAGTTCCTTGTCTTAAAGAAATACCACTTTCGGGATTTCTCGTCTTCGACGAATCGGTCTTGCGCAATCTTCATCCACCCGATGCACAATTCCTTACCTTGATCCCCGAATCCCTCCCAAGAAATATGGAAGAATCGTTGTTAGAGGAGTCTGCGCTCTTAGCCCAAGCTGGTAAATATCAACTCCCTCTTATTATTTACTACAATTTTACTGACTTCTGAAAGATGAAGTAATTGATCCAGCACTCCAGGTAGAAACATTGAAGCAAGAAATCGCAAATCTCAAAGCCGAGCTTGCACGTGCATCGCAAAAGAATCGTCCTGAATCAGCACAAGCACCTGAGCAGTCTTCCCTCAAGCATGCTCCTACCACACAAGAGGCGTCAAAGATTTCTTCCTGCGATTTCCTTCGCAAACTCCTTGTCGAAATTAGAGTCGAACTTTATCGGAACCTGCTCATCAGTCCAATTTTCGGTGAGCCAGAGTCCGTACACTCACATCGAGAACTTGGTCTTACTCCCGGCATCCTCGGAACATGCCGCCAATTCTACCACGAAGGTATGCCTATTCTGTACGGCGAGAATACTTTCTACATATCATGTTCCTGGGACACAAGTGATATTGAACAACGATGTTGTTGCCGCCCACACTACTGGACACCAAAGGATAACCCATGGGATATTCACCGGCAAGGATGTCTGTTCGTTCGAGACAACTTCAATCGATCCCCCATCACGCGGTCTCTAAATGCTGCAAAGTATAGAAACAACCATGTGCAAATGGGCAACATTTCGGCCGTCAAGTATATCAAACACTGGAAGGTTATCATTAACACTCTTTTAGAGTCCGAGAATGAGGATACTGACAGATGGTGTGCTATTGACTTTTGTCAAGCAGTCTGCAAAGCCACACCCAAGTCGCTGGAGATTGTCATAGTACATGAAGACTCAGATTCTGCGACTCGATGGAATGGCGTCTATCAGACTCTAGAGGCTACTCTGGAACCTTTCAAGCTTCTCCGAAATCTAAAGAAGTTGAATTTCAGAACCGCTGACTTGTCTGATATCGTAGTAGGAAGAGGTATCTATCGGATGTTGGAAGCACCAAACGTCGATTTATCTCAATTGCTTTCAACTGAGCAGCAAGATGCACTGCGCCAGCTTATGACTAGCAACGCGGAGATTGAACGTCCACAGGATATGTTGACCCCGCTGCTTGCCTACGCACAAGCTTTTGAAAGATACCAGATGTTCAAGTTGCAGATGGGTCTGAGCCTGGATGAGGAAAGTCGTGTTGCCCAAAAGCTGGGTCCTGACTTCGACGATATCATTGCTTCCGAGTTCGCTATCACCAATCCGTTCTGCGGTCGCAATCCGCATACAGTTGAAGCAGAATTGCTTAGTGCCATGAATGCGGTCTCTAGGAACAGCATGGATGACTTCAAACGGTACAGAAGCGTGATTCTTGCGTATCTAGAGGACCAATATCAAGCAGTCTGTTCAGCTCGGATCAAGTTGTCCGGTTATATCCAAGGGGAAATGACCCAAAGAGGATTATTCAGTACCACCGACGATATTGGAGAGCAAAACCCCTACATACGCTCTCTGGAGACAGACTTTCGCGCAAAGTGGCTACTTATGCTCGAAGATTACGCGGACTCTTTCCGACGCCATATGCCCTTCCAGACTAGAGTCAATTGGAACAGGAACAAGCGACGACTGGAAAACCTGTACAATGCAATGCCAAGAGAGCTTGCTATCAATCAGATGCACCAAATGTTTGAAGTTGACAAATTTCAAGGATTCTTATCCGTTTTTAAGGCAGCATTTGAGGACGTGGAGAAACAATTCTTTGACATCTGCAATGCACGAGAACGACTCTTCATTTGCGACATCACCGAAGATTATGGGTTAGACTGGGAAATGTCTATGCCAACAGAGAATGACAAGGAGCGTGTCATATGGAACGTCAATGTTAAGCGTTCTGGACCAACTCTTGAAGCATATCGTACTCATCATGCAATTCGTTGAAACTGTGGGTTGGTAGAACTACGGTCAATAGGAAGGAGCTGCTTTGATTGATGCAGTCACTTGATACTCTTCAATGATTGTGTTGATGTTTTGCTTTTGGATCACTTTGCCATTAGGAAGTGTTCTGCAGCCTCTTCATCACACCACGCTCTTAAATTCCCTACACCACCCTTCTTTCCCACATTTGCATTGCTTTCGACTTGGAGCTTTATTCCTCCCATCTGCATATTGGTGAAGGTCAAGAATAGCCACGAAGGAGAAAATTTTGAGATTTTGGTAGTGGTTGAGAGGGAAAATGGCTTCTGCTGGGGTAGTCTGGAACCTGCAGTCAGAGGTTTGCGAGATTTACTTAGAATGGAAGACAGTCTACAAGCAGCAATGACTTTATGAACAGAATTGAATCTTAGTTGTGAAAACTAACACGTCCTACTTCAACAAGCTTCCATGATCTTTTGTTTTCTCACTCTCATATAACTCCTACCTCCTTTTAGTCCCAAACAGGTCAATGTAACTTCTGAGTCGTTGAGAATGTGGAAAGGTTGAATATGAAGAGCAGAAACAATGTTACATAGCCTTGGTTTGTGCTTGAGTTCTAAATTCAAATGTCTGAATTCGAAGAAGAACATAAGGTTGGACGTTTTTACACACATAAAACCACGTGACTCGTATGTTTTATTTCTGCGTCAATTTGACTAGCTCCTCTAGTCCTTAGCCCCTTCTTTTGGATATAGAAGAAGGTTATTGTTGCGGCGGCTCTTTCCGAAACAACCGCCTTTCCGATCAGCTTTCTTCCTCAGTGGCGCCCTTCATTAACCTCCCTCGATATCATTCTCCGTCACCTTGCTACGCGCTCTTTTTCGCTTCGAATCTTTCCTTTTCCGCTGCTATAGCAAGCTCCCATTACATTAGGATTTTCAGGCTGGTATCTCAATTTGCGCTCCATAGTCAACTCGGCTACACTTTCTTGCTTTCCAACAGGTATCGGTAAAGGTTTCAACTTCGTCTATGATGCTGTCATATTGATTTTATATTAGCAGAAGACCGCGTCACAATGTCCACCAAACGAAAACCCCTCATGCAACTTAAACCTGAGCTCGCCTTCGTTATTCGAACGAAAATCCTTCAGACCGACTTCGAGAATGCCACTCTTACAACCAAACGCAGTGCATCGAACACCGCAAAATGCACCTTCCTTGACAAGCTCCCTTCAGAGATTCGGCTTCACATTTACGAACTCTTACTTGTGAATCCGATAGTCGGAACCAGGAATTCTGTTGGCTATTATAGCAGCCTTGAACCATCGCCTAATATTCTCGGTGCATGTAGACAGATCTACAATGAAGCGGCGCCCGTATTATACGGGAAGAATACATTTTTTATCCAATGTTCAAGGGAGACGTTGGAGTTTGACAAGGAACGATGCGGCTGCGAAGTCAAACAGTGCCAATCATGCAATGAATCTCGCCCCTGTCAATACTATGCAGACTTCTGGAATTCATACAACCACGTTCCTTTCGAGCCATCTCTTACAAGATACTGGGACAATACTGAAGATAGGAACTGGTTTATGACGCTCGATAAAGTGCCATCCTTCAATCTTGTGCAACACTGGAAGGTTGTCATCAGCCCTCTGGACGTTTTCCCCCACGGCATTCGTTGCAAGTGGAGCTTGAGCCCGCTCTGCTGTGCCATTGCTCAAGCTTCACCGAAATCAATTGAGATTGCCATTGTGTCTTTGCGTAGGAGACTAAGCTGGGGATTACAGAATAGAATTTTTGAGGAGTGCCTGGAGCCTCTACGAGCCTTGCGGAAAGTAGGGAGCATCTCCTTTACAGTTGCCCAAGAAAAAGATCTAATATTCGTCTCACAAGGTGAGATTAGGGACAATGACCCTAATTACACGCCAAAAGCTTCACTTCTGGAAGAACTGCGCGGTTTGGTGACTAGCGACTGTGAGAGAGAATTTCTTAGGCCCATGTACGAACGGTTGCTTCGATATGCTCAGTCCTATGAAAGATTTCAACCTTTCAGATTGATGATGGAGCTGTCGAGTCGACACACAAGGATTGCTGACGAATTTGGGTCGGAGTTTGACAAGTATCACTTGATTGCGGAACAAACTCCATATCCTTACAAAGAGCACCCTGTCGAACTTGGCTTGTTTGACGCCAAAGCAACCATCCTGAAAAATGATGGGGCGCATTTCAGGTTCTTTCGGAATACAGTTCTGGAATACCTGGAACATCAACATGAGAAGATAATGTTGACTCGAGAGAATATCATCCATTTCATCAAGAAGGGAAAAGTTGCAAGTGGCATCTTTGATCTCGCCCTAGCTCAGCGGGACTCGAAACTTGCCACATCGGACATACCCGAATATGAAACAAACCAAGGCCTTCTGCTGCTGGAGGACTATGCTGAGGCTTTCATTCGCGAGTTGCCGTTCGACAATCGAGCTATCTTCAACCGACATAAAGCTAAGCTCAAAAAAGTCTACCATTCGAGGGAGAGAGAAGAACTCATCTCACAGCTATATGGTGCTGCTGATGATGGTAACCTCCCTGACTTTATGATTTTGTTCAAGAGTGCCTTCGACGATCTCGAAAAGCAGTATATGGAGATACAGACGGCGAGACAATTGCTCTTCACAGCAGATATCTTTAGAGACAGGGGACTTGAAGAGGGTCTCGATATCGAAGAATTTACTTGCGAGGATGGTATTGACTGGGCTATCGACACTAGCGTCCTCCCTTTTTATGCAACAATACCCAATTCTAGTGGTAGTTTCGAATGCGGCGGGCTGTAAGTGTTAGGGGGTTGAGCAGGTTTGGAATGGATTGAGGCATTCCCAGATGGAAACTGCTTTTGGGCTGTCGCGTTGCTTGTATTCTACATTATATGCTACTTCTTGCACTTGCTTCTGGCGGGGTGAATTTGAAAAATACAGGAAAGCAATTTTTCCAAAGGAAATTTAGTGCCAATGATCAGTGAATCTGTCGTTTTTATTGATCGTATTTATTGCTCTGTCGTAGTCTGATCTAACCACGCGGCCTCTTAACTTGAACCCAAGCAGTTAGATTTTCGTTCACTTAACTCACTACTCTTAGAAAAGGAGGTAACCGAGAATAAGCGAGCTTAAGCGACAGCCTTATGCACCCCTTTGGGAATTCTGGCCTAGATGATATTCCAGAAGCTAGCATACATTCCAACAGCTCTCAAGGCTACCCCCATTTGACAAAACCAATAGGCCGAGACTGCGAAAAGTCGACCGGAGACCCATGTGAAAGGTCAGCCCTAAGTGCATTCCGCTCTTGCATATTTTAGTGCTTACATAAAAAGACCCGCAGATGCACCAGAGGATCTGGATCTCTCCTAGGTGCTAATATATGAACAGCTTTCCGCACAAAGAATAGAACTACTCGAATATTGACGTTTTGAAGTGCCTGTTTGTCATGGATGAAAGCTCTGTGAAGAAGAAGCGGCCAGTTCCTGAGCAGCCTGCTGGTTTCGACCCTACTGCTATCCGCCAGGCTACTAATATTGATCGCTCAAACTGCACAAGGTATGGTAGTAGCATTTCCCACGAACTCTCAAACGCAACTACTGAATGTTACTGAAGGACGGTCCCCATGAAAGTACTCGTTCTCGGCCTCTCACGCTCAGGGACATCCTCTCTCCGCCAAGCATTCTTTGACCTCGGAATCTTCGACGTGTACCATTTCACCTCAATCATCAACGAGAATCCCGCAGATTGTAAACTGTGGGTTCGTGCCCTCGAATGGAAACTTGAGGGGAAAGGTACTTGGGGGAAGAAAGATTGGGATGCGCTCCTAGGACATTGCATGGCAGTTTCAGATCATCCTTGCCTGACATTCACCGACGAGCTTTTGGAAGCTTATCCCGATGCTAAAGTCATCCTTACCGTCAGAGATAATGTCGATGTATGGCACGAGTCGGTGATGCAGACCATTTGGCCGTTTGTGGAATTGTTGATCAAGAAAGATGTGAGCATTTGGCGGAAGCTGTGGAGGAAATTCCTGGATCCCGATCCATTTGGGAGGATGACGGAAATGTTTCATCTCAATCCCAACGGTATGTATCACGAATTTCCGACAAGAGGGAAAAGGTTCTATGAAGAACATAATGCAAAGATTCGAAGGATGGTGCCGAAGGAGAGGTTGCTGGAGTATAATGTTAAGCAGGGGTGGGGTCCTCTGTGCGAGTTTTTGGGTTACGAAGTTCCCGAGTGGGATTTTCCTAGGGTAAATGAGAGGAATGTCTTTGTTGCCCATCGGGAGAAGTACGGAGAGCGGATGAATTGGATTGTGGTAAAGAACGTGCTCAAATACGTTGGTAGTCCGGCAATAGTGGGGTTGGTTGCATGGCTTGCTTTGAGGAGGAGAAAGTAATTGATAAGTTATAAATAATCATCCTGGCCCTACCATATGAGCTCATCGCACAGTTGCACGGAGGATCTCACAGCTGCGTTGTACTCCAATTGTCAAGCGTCAACCTTGGCGATTGAGTCACGTGTTACCCATGATGTGGTCAAATCGTGTTACAAGAGAGAAACAAAACGTTTTCCATGATCAGGCTTTATGGAACGGATCTTCATCATTGAAATTTGAATGTCTGAAAACTGTCTCAGCCATGTGATCTTACTAGTCCTAATCCAGAATGGCGTACCTTCCAAGGTTTTGTCGCTCCCAGAATTAGATTTCCGTTCTACATCAACATCAACCTCACAATAATTTCCATCTTCCTCCATTGTCCGCTCTAACAATGGTTAGCCATGGAACAGATTTGTCTCGTCATGAATGCATTTAAAGTTATTCTTGAACGCCTTCACATCGAATTTCCCGATCAAACAAAGATGTCTCTCCACAGAATGCGCCATCCACGCAAGGCAATTATATCCTTCCCGTCTGAGAACAATTTCAGATCAATCTTCCTATACTCCCTATTTTGGATGATAAAAACGAATACCAGAGTTGGTCTGTTCGTTCTGTTTATCACGACGCGTTACATTTACTGCCCCTGATCGTCACTACGACTCGAACTCGCAGACTTCCCTTTGCCATTGCACTTTTGATCACTTCACGCTTGTACTCTAGATAAATAAACAAAAAAACACTCTTGTCATTCTAATACCAAGTGGCGGAATCAAACTCGAGATCCCGACCCCTTGAACTTTCTTTTTTTCTCCTGTCACTTTTCGGCATCAGAAGTAAATTTTCTGTCTCCTGAATCAAACATTACGGTTTTGTCACACTAGTGCTCAATAAATTGAGACACAATCGCCCAATATCATAACGGCGCCCCTTCGCCTTATTCTCTATTTCCTCTGTTTTTCCACCTCCCCACACTCTTTCTATTCCCTTCACTGTGTGATTGATTGTACGTAGAGTCTTCTACGTGCGCAATTATCTTCCTCTCATTATGCGTTTCTTCTCTGTTGCTGCCGTGCTCTTGGCTGGTGTAAGCTCTGTGTTCGCCGATGATCTCGAGGAACGTGGTAAGTTTGATCCTCATCACTCAGCTTTTCTGAAAACTCCACTGACATCCACGAACAGACAACACAATAGTCAACACCGTCCATGTCACCAACATCGTCACCGTCAGCGGCGCGTCCGTCCACCACGAAACCAAACAATACACCGTAACCAGCTACCAAACCGTGCACGAAAAAGGCTACAAATCATACGCGGTCTCGATGCCCCCCCTCCGGCCCTTCACCAAGAAGCCCAAAGTGCACACCCACTCTGCCAAGACGCACCGTGACCACACAACCAAGGTCCACGAACACTCCGTCAAATCCAAGCACGCTCGCGACGTCACCGAGTACGTTCACGCCACGGTCAAGACGGTCGAGACCGTCAAGCCGCACGAGACGAAGGTCCATACCGAGAGCTTGAAGAGCACCGTTCGCGTGAAGCATACTAAGACTGCGAAGGATCATCATCGTCCTCATGTTACTGGACTTCGTGAGTTGGCGCACAAGAAGCCTGGTGGCGGGAAGCCTACTGCGTCGCCGGTTGCGCAGAAGGAGAAGAGGGCTTTTGGGGCTGGGTGGTTTGCTTAGATGTTTTGGTGATGTATGGAAATAAATTGTTGTCCGCGAGGGCAGGAGAGGGAGAGGAGAGGGGCGTGATGTTCCTTTCGTGGGAAAGGAATGGAATGGTGTTCTGGTTAGATGCGTTTGTGGTCTCGAGTATACTATTCCCCAACACTCCTTTAACTTTGAATGTATCTTTTGTGCTGGTTTCGAGGGTACTTGCCGTTCATTTCTCTACGAAGCAAGTGCTTCTCCTGTTCTCGGTATGGTATCTGGTACGAATGGTCTTGATCCGATTGTTGTTTGGAGTCGATTCTCGTTGCTCATCTATATCAACAGGAGAACCACCGCGGTAGTGCAGCAGATGCATCGCGTGACGAAGCACAACTCACGCACTTGCACTCTCAACATATAATACTTTCTTCTCTTAGGCTCTTTCTGCCATACTTACTTCTCCTTGCCAATGATCGACGCCGAAACCACGACGCCGAAGCCACCCCCTTTCATTCATTTCGAAAGTTTGAATGACTGAAATACTGTGGAGCTGAGCTGAAAGGATGTCTGAGCTACCAATTTCAACAACAAAAGTCGGCATGTGGACTCCAAACCCAGAACAGAAACTACATCTTCCACTCTTGCCTCGAACTCCAACAAAAACAAACCCATCTCAAAGATCAGAATTTGACTCTATACACCCCTTCTCCACCAAAGCACTTACAACTATATATGCCATCCAAATTCTCCACCCATCAAACCTAGACTTGTCCACGGCTCGGTCCGCAATCTTCAAGATTATATAAACCAGGGTCCCCAAGTTAGCAAGTTAGTAATACGAGCTGCTACATGCAACAGAGACTAGGTCGATACGGTTCGTGTTGCGGATGTGGCTTTCCCACGGTTCCGGTTCTCTTCTCGAAGCAGGTCACGTGAATCTGCATGACTCCGGTCTCCCGCCATTCCACACCTACCTACGTAGTCGCTTTCTATAACTCTATATCTCATCTCTCGTTGGTAGAAATCAAAGGTTGACTCTCAAGCATCATTGGCAGAGTGTGTGTGTCCATCCCCATATCCGAACCACGAACCAAAGCATCGGGCCGAGTCCTCTCCTGGGGAGACGCTCCCAAGTTCCTGACTCGTATAGTAACTATTCCTTCCGTGCAGCTGCGTGTTGGGTAAAGTTATATCCGCGTTATGGAGTAGAGGTTGTTTTTGGATGGGACGGGAGAAAATACTGCTTTTGGAAGTGCGGGTGGGTGTTTTGCGTGAGGCTGAGAATAGGTGGTCTAGACTCGAGGGGGTGGATTTGAGTTTGGATGGGGATGGGAATGTTTGTTGTCAATGGGTGTATGGGTTCTGCTGGAGAGTTGGCTTGGTAGTAAGAGCGAAAGGATGTTGGTTTATATGATGGATCATGGACCTGTACTTCCGTACAATTGATCGGATGATGAAAAGGAAGTTCTCTCAGATGTCAAAGGTACGGTACAACTTTACTTCTCCTTAGTCCCACAAAACACCCTGCAACTCAATTCCAATCCCCCTTATCTAATTCGTCAATTCCTCCCCAACTCCCCAAGGTTCATCCTCGTGATACTCATCAGCTGACCCGCATCTCAAATAGGAAGGCGACTTGCGATGCCAAGCCTCACACCTCCGCCTCAATTTTCACCACCGAACCCACCACCACATCCCCAGAACGGCGATAATCAGCGAAGCAAAAGCTTCCCATTCCATCCAATCCAACTCTCCAGGCAACGCGCCACCACCCGCCTCCTCGGGCTCTGGCGGGCCCCCCATCCCCAGCTCTCTCCATACTCTGTCTCGTTCCCCGCATCGTGTGACCCGTGATGGCGATTCCCCGTCACACCCCGTCCCTCGCATCACCCGCTGCCCTTACCCCTCTCTTGCACCGGCATCAGAACCAAGGTAGGAAGGCCCCATGGAGATTGGCAGCACACGATCAAGTGTCGTCGACAGAGCGGCAATGGGTATCTTCCCTATCTCGGTCTAATGTTGACCAAGGTGGGGCAGGAAAAAAAGACTAGCAAAATGAGAATCTGGGCAACTGGGACTGATGGATGGATGGCGCGGGGAAATTTAACTCTCTTGTCATGTCCTGGTGCTGGTGAGAGTTCTCGATCACTCATACTGGACTCGCATTGAATAAATAGTATATATTGAGACGAGTGTCTCCTTTGCGACTTCCCTTGACTACTCTTGGAGCTGTGCGCTTCGAGCTTCGAGCCCCCCATCCTCTCTCCCCCTTCACGTCATTGAGAATAGGGACTGTTGTTGTGCGACTATTACATAGGGACCGGATCATCGACAATTCCTGTATCGTTTACAGTTATCCATAGATACATACCTCACCTCCTCGACATTATTTGCAATCATGGACATGACGTATGGAATCACGGCCCAACCTCACGATGCGCCGCTCCATTTCCCCCCGAAGGATGACCTCGCGCATACGAAATCCATGAACGAGGTCATACACAATGCGAAGAATGCGACGGATAAGGAGCACAAGATGACTTTGTTGCAGGGGATCAAGCTCTATCCCAAGGCGGTGGCGTGGAGTTTGTTGATCTCGACTTGTATCTGTATGGAGGGTTATGATGTTTGTTTGTTGAGTAACTTTTGTGAGTTACCCTGCTTTAGCATATGAAAATGGGGTTGGACATTGAATTGGAGTTTTTGGACGTTGTGCTGGATTGTGGAAGCGGGAATCAAATGCTGATTGTTGTGTCAAACAGACGCCTTCCCGCAATTCAATAAGAAGTACGGAGAGATGCTCCCAGACGGTACATACCAAGTCCCCGCAAGATGGCAAGCAGGTCTCAGCAACGTACGCGCATCCTCAGTTCCTCTTGAATTCAACTAACACGGACTGCAGGGTGCAAATGTCGGAGAAATCATCGGTCTCTTCATCAATGGATGGGTTTCGGAACGATTCGGATATAGATACACAGTCATGACTTGCCTGACCCTCATCATCGGATTCACAGCCATCTTCTTCACAGCCCAGAGCGTAATCGATCTCCAGGTCGCCGAAATCCTCTGCGGTATCCCGTGGGGAGTCTTCCAGACCCTGACGATTACATATGCTTCTGAAGTCTGTCCAGTCGCTCTCCGTGGATACTTGACCACATATGTCAATTTCTGCTGGGGTTTGGGACAAGTGATTGGTATTGGCGTTATCAAGTCTCAATTGGGTCGAACGGACGAGTGGGCGTACAGGATTCCGTATGCGCTGCAGTGGATGTGGCCGGTTCCTCTTCTGATTGGTGTATTGCTTGCTCCTGAGTCTCCTTGGTGGCTTGTCCGAAAGGGGAGGACTGAGGATGCGAAGAAGTCGCTTCTTCGTTTGACGAGTTTGAATCGGGAGACGGACTTTGATGCTGATGAGACGATTTCTATGATGGTTCATACTACTGCTTTGGAAGAGAAGGTGGGTTTCCTCTTTCAGTTTTTGAGAATCATACACTGACAGAATCTCAGATCACTAAAGGAGCAACCTACCTCGATTGTTTCCGCGGAACAGACCGTCGTCGCACGGAAATTGTCTGCATGGTCTGGGCCATTCAAAACCTGTCTGGAAACTCTTTCTCAGGTTACTCAACCTACTTCCTCGAACAAGCCGGTCTCCCGACATCCACATCCTACGATTTCGCTCTCGGTCAATACGGCATCAACATGGTCGGAGTCTTTGGAGCCTGGTTCCTCATGTCCATGGGCATCGGTCGTCGCTCCCTCTACCTCTACGGCCTCTGCGGTCTCTGCACCATGCTCTTCATCCTCGGCTTCCTCGGTCTCGTCCCCCACGCCCACAAAAAAGAAGCCTCCCTCGCCACCGGCTCCATAATGCTCATCTGGGCCATGTTCTACCAACTCTCCGTCGGAACCGTCTGCTACTCCCTCGTCGCCGAACTCTCCACCCGCCGTCTCCAAATCAAGACCGTGGTCCTGGGCCGCAATCTCTACAACATCGTCGGCATCATCTGCTCGGTTCTCACCCCCTATATGCTGAACCCGGGGTCCTGGAACTGGGGCAACTACACGGGCTTCTTCTGGGCGGCGATCTGCTTTTGCTGTATCATCTATACGTATTTCCGGGTGCCGGAACCGCAGGGACGTAGTTTTGCGGAGCTGGATCTGCTGTTTGAGAGGGGGGTGAGTGCGAGGAAGTTTGCGAGTACGGATGTGGATGTTTTTGGGGAGGAGGTTAGTGTTGATGATGGGGTGGTGGGCAGGTATGAGGAGAAGTTGGAGGTTAGTCATCAGGAGGTTGTTGGTGGTGGTGAGAAGAGATGAGATGGGGTAGTTCCTTGTCTGTCGATGAAAGAGAGAGAGAGTAGAATTGTGGCTGATGGTTTTTTGATGTTTTGTAGGGACAGCATTTGGTTCGTTGAGTTGAGGAGTGTTGAGTCGGATGTCGTTTTTATGGGTTGTTATCATTGGGTTGGAGTCGGATTGGATGAGGTGTTTGGTGAAGTCGTTGAGGGTTGGAATGGGGTGTTGGATAAGCATAGCCCATGAAGGCTTCTGAAGTCAAGGCAAGCCAAGAAGCCAGGAGGGTGTGGAGAGTCAATCAATCATGGAACGAAACAATAAATCAGTCAATCAATCAATACAACTTCAATTCGTTGCCATTTTTAAAGTGATCACCGTACTTTTAGTGTTTAAACAAGAAAATATCACTATTCTGGCAAAATTGTTGAAAATAAAAAGTTTCTCCGCATTCAAGTTTGCCGTTGAGAGTTGAAGGGCATATATCAATTACAGTTTAATCATATAGAATTGAAAACAGCCAAAAGAACCCACCACCACCACTGTCAAATAATCCCACGGAACCAGACAATCTCTCCTAGTGGCCCGAAGAAAGAAGATCTTCTTTTCTATATACAAGCCTTTATCTATCTATCTATCCATCCATCCTTCTTCTTTGCAAACAATTTATTTATTTTCCTTTTTGTAAGAAATTATATTTCGATATTGCGGGGCTGGAAATCACAAATCAATCTTAGATTGAAAGACTTGAATGGAGGATTTTTGGCTAAGAAAGAAAGAAGGAGGCGGGTTTGGTTTTTTTGCTTTCTTAAGCAGCAGTATCTCCTTTACAACGAAACGCCGATATCTCTTCTCAAACTTTCATCACCAAAATCCAAACTCGGCAGGAAGCCAGCCTGCAATACCAACATCCAACCCTCCCCTGAGAACACAACATCCCATCTCATCCTATTTTTCCTGTCTTCCATTTGCATTCCTACCACCGCTCAATTTTTTTCTCTGAGCCTTTTTAGCAAAATGACTAGTATTATTTGTAGTAAAAACTCCCTCGTTAGCTTCATCACGTCTTCTTTTTTTTCCTGACGACAAGCACATCCTACGCTTTCTTTTGTCACCTACCTCTAATCTTCCACTTCCCACGCCCATCAACAAGAAACCGACTGCTCTTCACCGTCTGAATAAAGCCGCCTGGGACAAGCTCAAGGCAGAAAGTCGGAACCGAAGTGCTCGTTTCTACAAGGTTGAGGTATATACCGCTCTGGGTCCTTTTTAGGAGCGCTAGTCTATGTAGGCAGTGAAAGTAGAAATTTAAAATAAAAAATTAAATATAGTATAAAGCTGGAGTGAGAATACAGTGCTAGAATAAAAGCACGGTGCTAAAATAAAATTATACTTAAAACTAAATAAAATAAACAGCATATAAAACCTGACCCCTCCCCCCTCTCTTCCCGCTTCAACCCTTCAAAACATCTATACTAGAAAACAACCCCTTAGACCCCTCCATTAAAAACTAATATATCAAAAGTACCTACCTAGTATTCTAAATCACATTCACATTCACATTCACGTGCCTGCTAACCATAACATCCCTCCTCCCTACCTACAAAAAAAACCAGATCACTATCCCACCAAACAATATTAACGCCGCGCACTCAACCTCCCTCCCCATGGGGCCAGGAGACGATTTATATAACGAAGAATTTCCATTCCATTCCATTCGCTTTCGAATGCCTAAGAATGGCTAGTCACATGACCCCCATCACCCTCCACTTTGACAACCCCCGCCGTCTCTACCCGACCCGAACCGAAGTGCCACCACTGGTGTAACTCGAAAAAAATAGAGGGGTCATTGACTAACGAATGGACGGGCCGCTGCGTAGGTAGCTACTTGGGTAAGTGGAAGGAAAGGTTTTTCTTCGTGCATTTTCTGGTGTCATTTCAAGCTTTTCCGGTTTTCTGTTGAGGAGCGGGATGAAGGGGGTGAGAATGGAATGGAGAGGTGAGTAAATCAGTGCTGGACAGAGTTCTGCGCATAAGACGGACGGGATGAGATGGGATGGAATGAAAGCAGTCCCCTTTCGCGCCATGGTATCGGGATGTTAAACGGTAAAGTGGGTATAAAGCTTGAAGTATAGTCTTGTTCCTAGTTATGTTCCGGAAGAGAACATGTCCGCATATTTATAGACCAGGTAGTAATATCACATCACGATTCACTGCTAAAAAAAGGAGCCAGGGAGATTTTTGAATACTGTTCAATTGCTTGCTAATATAAAGAAAACCCGCACCTCGATTTGTTGTTCGGTCGTGATCATTCCTACCCTTCCCATTCCATCCCTCCTACTCCATCAATCAATCAATTGTTTTGTATATTTATTGTACCTTTCCCAGCAAAGCATCCATCCATCCATCCATCCATCCGCAGAGTGATATATCCTCCACCTCCATCCATCCCACGACAAAGAAACAGCAAGCAAAACGCAGCAGCAGCAGCAGCAACACAAATGACCGCACAAGGAAAATCGTATAATATGTTCATCCATCAATCGTAAAGGAGTGTGAGTGTGTTCTGGAGCTTTTTCTTTCGGCCAACCCATCCACAATATGCCAAACCAACCCCGGCAGACCAAATGAGCAGATGAAAAGATGATAACAACACCACCACCCATAGACCAATTACAACAGAGTACTGGACGAACAGGAACAGAGACAGCGACAAGATAGAAAATTGACAAACGCCATGCTGCTCGCAACCCCCCACAATTAACGCCGGAAAGGAGATAGGGTGTACGGAAAGAAAGATGAGAAGGAGATGCTTTTATTGAAGGGACCAGTACCGAGAGGTGACAAGATATATGTCGACAAGAGGAGAGAATCGTTAATACACGAATGAAGCGTTGTCGAAAGTCCAGACCTTATCATGATCGGTGCAATGACTCGTGACCATGACTGCCGATTGTGGAGACCCACTCGCATCTACCGTTTTCTCTTCTTGCTCTTATCTGGGCTGCTCTGACCGCCAGCTGCCACCATCGGAGGCAGAATGCTTGTGTCCACAGACAATTCGTCCTTCTTCACCGGTACACCCATGTGGCGTCCATAACGGCCCTTGCGACCATTTCCTTCATCCTCGCTGACACATTGATCTGCACTCAGACCAGCGTCTTTGCATCGTTGACATGGGCGTTGACGGTCGCAACCTTTCTTACTCTTGCGACATCGCTGGCAGCGGGGTTTGGAGGAAAGGTCCTCTTCATCCTCACCGAGTTGATGCTGGAATGCCAACGCAGATGCATTGGACGTCTTCCGAGACTGAGGTGGCAGAGAGGTGGGAGAAATTGGCTTAGCGCTGCTAGGAGCACTGATTGACTTCTTTGACCTAATCTGAGTTGGTCTTTGAGTCTTCAATTTGCTTGACCTGACTTTGGCTTCAGAAGCGCTGGTACGGGGCTTGCCCATGACGGTGGGGAGGCTCTTGGACTTGAGCATCTTTGGTTTGTTCTGATCAAGCTCCATAGCATCATCTTTGAAAGCAGGCTTGAAAGTCTCATCACGGCCGTCTTCGCCATCAGCCTCATCTCCACTAGGCTCGGTGCTGTCTTGGCTTGGCAAGATATCATCCAGATGCTGGCGAAATTTCTTGACATGTCCTGGTGGCAAGATTGGGCTTGCTTCACGCTTCTGGCGCCGAGGAGGTGGCAATTCATCCTCACTCTCGCTCTCTCCCTCACTTGTTGCCCCAGTAGAAGAAGCAGCATCTGCTCGGCCGCTGAATGTATCATCAAGCGTGGAAGCAGATGTGCGACCGTGGGAGATGTTTGACATTTCTCCCAATCTCATCAATTGTAGCGCAACATCTTTGTCTTCCTCCGACATGCAACTGCCAACTGTTGGATCGGGAGTTGGGAGTATGCCTGAGCTATTGCCATTTGGTGTGCTGCCAATTGATTGACGATTGGTAGGATACACAGCACCGCCGCGAGTGCGACGACCTTGAGGAGCCGGTGTAGTATACATCCCCGGCTGACCAAATCCATTGCTATAGCTTTGTGGGGAGTGTAGTGGTTGGGGGTTCGAGAATGGATGTTGTGATGGGTTGGTGAAAGGGAAGGCTGAGCGATGGTGCTCATTGCGACGAGCTGGAGACACAGAGGAGTTCGAAGTCGCTGCAGGCATCTGGGGAGGAGCGAACAAGGGCAATTCCTAGTTCCAAGTATTAGCAAAATGTAGAAATAAAGTGATTGCGATCTCTAAGAGCTGTCGTGTACTTACGGAGCTTTCGAATTTGGCCCTCTTTCGTCTCCCGCCCTCAACAATATTGTCCAAGCTAATCTCGGTGTTACCAAGATGTTCACTCTTGGTCCTGCTGGAAACTGAGCCAGGTGCTCCATCCCCACTGCTGTACCCATTCATGCCATCGCTGTGATTATCTGTAAAGCTGCCATGGGCGCTCGATCCACGACTCTTGAAACCAGAGCGCGACCGGCTCTTTTTCATAGGAGGTGGATTCGTGCTGGCAGATGCACTTCGGCGTCCACGGCCTTGGCCAGGTGATGCGCTGCGCAATCGAGACGTTCTTGACGTTGGTCTCGATGGGGGTTGACCATAACTGAGTGCCTGTGCTGGTTGCGGTGGTGGCATATGGTGACCATCGCCGGGATAGTAATTGGCAGCTGCCGGGAGGATAGGAGATCCTGAGTGGTATGAAGATGGGCCATATGCACCTGGTGGAGGAGCAGCCTCTTCGATAACTCTGACATAAACTACCATATTGTTTCGGAGATTCTCATAGCGAGCGATGAGGGTGTTCCCCTGCTCATCCTCAAAACTCACTCCTTTGGCACCACCTGGACCAGCGTACAGCCCATAGAAGTTCTTGACGGTGGTGATGATTGAATCGGTAGTATCGTGAGGGAAAATTTGCACTCTCATAGGGAGGCGCGCACGGTACTGGGGGGATTCGGGGAAGAGGAGCTCAAATGCGACACTCTTCGGAGTCGGACTCCCAAAGGGAGACATGCTTGGATTGTGAGGAGTTGTGGAATTGGAGTGACCATTGCCATATGTAGCTGGTGGTGTAGCCATCCTGTGATCACTCCGCGCATCCATCCCAGTCGTTGTGGTTCGGGTCGGGTAGGAGTGTGTGCGAGAAGGTGGTGCAGTATCGTGAAACTGGTTGTGTGCGTGTGCAGATACTGGCCCTGACAGAAGATTGGATAGTTCCATTCCCCTATGGGTATACTGTTTTCCGAGCGATTGACGTTGCTATTGATCGAGTGATGGTTGTCTGTTGAGGAGATGAAGGTTCTGGGCTGGCTGGGTGGGACGGGTTGTCGCAAAGCAGGCGGAGGAAAATGGACAGAACGAACGTAGGGTATCTGGTCGAACTAGATGGAGGCAGATGTTAGCATTGATATTGGCAGACTCGAGGATAGTTTTAAAACTCGATTTGATGAAGAGATGGGAAGAATGATGGAATTGTGCGCTGCGTCGTCCTGTCTGGGCGCTTCGGAGCTGACCCGCTGGAAGCAGAAGTACAGCAACAGACAGGACATGGAAGGAGTGTGATGTAGTCTGGATACTTGATCGCATACGATCAAAGAATCATGGCAACTTACAGCTGATCGAAATGGATGTCGTTGGGAGGGCTATCGAGGCATTTGAAGTGGTCGTTCGCTCCAATTGGCGTCTCGAAGACCTGCGATGACCGATGATGTTAGCAGACGATTTCGAATGAGATTAAACTCTTCGGTAGGTTGAGATGATGTAGATGAAGATGAGGGATGGATTTGATTCTTACCTGCTGCTGGTCAGTTGTGCGTTCCTCCTCTCGAAGCCTTTTCGTGTGTGTGAGGAGAAAGAGAGGATGTCGGCTCGCGGAGGCTTGAGGTGGTTACTCAGAGCCATGGATTTTTATGCACGCACTTCAACATAACTTTGATCAACTACATATTTTCCAAGAGCAGGCATTTTTCTTGTCTTAGATATAATTATAGTATTAGAGAACATTCACACTTGTCAAAATCTATCTATACCGTATCTACGCCCAAGAAATGGTGCACAATTCTCGGCTTCTATGGTCATGTCGCTGCCCACTTTGCACTGGGACGTCCAGATTAAGAACGTCCCATAGAGGTAACGATGCACAGAGAGCAGAGCAAGTTCTGTTCAAGATATCTAAGACCGCTACCTGGTTGTCTACCATTGCCTGTTGATGGCTGAAGGATTTACTGCAATAATGCTTCATTGGTCTCCTGTGTGCTCGAGTCTACCATTCATCCCGCTTTCGGAGAGTATTTTGCCTATCTGGAAGAGAAACGTCCACAAGATACCAGAAGCTCTGCACATGTTTTATAGGAGCGCGGAAAGCTATCAAGGTCCCCGAGCGCATGCGACTACGACTGCGACTTGAAATAACCTGTGTGTCCAGTCCAGGTGTGGTCGAGACAACTCAAGAAGCAGTGGCCAAGTGCTTGATTAAAGTGTGCCCAGCCCATGGAGCCAATGATGGCATGCGCCAACGTTTGAGGCAGGGATGTGTCGAGAATGATCATGGGTGTAACGCTTCCCATCCATCGTTTGACGTCTGGAGGTTTTGGGAATGATCTGAACAATTCCGGAACTCCAATGTCTCGAAAAAGGATTCGATGACCTGAGAAGGGCCCTATCAGGAGCCGCACACAGATGATTGAACGGCACAAGACATGTCGGTGAGCTTTGAGCAGACGTTGTTGAAGCAGCTGCAATTATCAGTTGCGCCTCCAGGATGCTGGTATGCGCTGGCGGCCAGTTTCAAATAACATTTATGCCCATAGCTCGTAGGGCCTACCTACGGCAGATTCAAGACTGATTGCAATTGATGGCGCCGGGACAGGCAAATCTCGCCAGGATGTTGGCGATTTGCGGTGGATTCCGCCTCCATTGACTGGATAGATCTACGCCGATGCAATTTTTTAGTCGGCAGGAAGATGCGAAGGCTATGTATGGTGTTGTGTGTGACGGCCGAGGATGTGACGGGCTGGGAGAAAAGCTGCAGGACTGACTGGAGGTAGCGATCGCAGAGACAACAAACAGACAGCACTTTTGCAGCGTTGAATTTACAAGCTACTCGTTTTCCTTACTGGCGGGGCCCATTGTTGATGTTTCCCACATGCAGGGTTGTGGTGGTGTTCGTGTTCTCGTTCCTGTTCTTCCGGGCTGAGGTTTGAGATGCTGATGACGACGACCCAATGGGCTTTTGCAGAATTCGCGATTCCGAACAATAAGGTCTTGGGCCGGTGGACCGCAGCCCTCTCGACATTAGAAGACATCCTGTCGTCAACAGTGATGTGACGAACTGGTCACGCCGTATCGTCGCAGGGGAAAGTTAATTGCGTGCTGATAGGAGAACAAGACATGTGGTGGTGGTCGTGGTGTGCGCCATAAGCGCAATTGTCGGTAGGAGTATCCTTGATTACTGGCAAATCGGAGTCTGGTGAACTGACCATCCAGGCACGAGATTGAGGGAGGAGAACGAAGACCAATAGCCCCATGACGGTTGGATATTCGGCTAGATATTTTCGAGGATTGGCATCTTCGAGAAGTGGACACCGGGGAAGGATCAGATCAATGCTCTGTCGAATTCGTGGCATTCTTCATTCGGGGGTTCGCTGAAGGATCCAGTCAACCCGTCTTCCGAGCGGCTAAGCTATCTCCTCGATACTCACCAGGAGGTTGAAAAGGAAGCAGAATTCGCCGCTGATACCACAATATATAATCTGAGTGAAGTGACATGATGCATGACGATGTTTCGAGGTTGCAGAGTTGGTGGAAGAAGACTTGAAAAGGGTCAGCTGACTAGGCGACAGATTGGCGTTGCGTTACCCGATTTGGAGGCGATTCTGATGCATTCATGAAGACAAGACCAACTCTGCTCTGATTGGAGAAATCAAAAATTCAGGATCATAGTACTACATAATAGTATCCAAATCATGTATGGCACATTGTCACAAGGCATTGTTGAAAAGTTGTGCATTTTGGAAAAAAGTTGATGTTGCTTCTGCGTGTCGAGGGAGACGCGACCATGATCCTAGCTCGCGTCTAAGCGGGTCGAAGCCGCACCTTCCGCACTTTGGGCTAGCGCAGATCTGCAAATGGCAGGGATCCATTTGTTGACATCTGAGTTGCACTGGCCAACCATCTGGATGTTTTGATATTCCACTTCTACTTTCCTCGAGCTCGATTTCAGGTCAACCTCTTCCTCAACATCACATCTTCGCGACAACTTCTTCTTCGCCACTTCATCTCATGATATTGCTGTGATATCTTCTGCCCAGTACTACCACAGTACTCTGCGGATTCCTCAACGCGCTACTTCCACCCAAGTATTTCTCGACGACAAGAAGCTCTCGCAGCCCCTTATACCTTTTGGGACGCGACATTTTCTCCGACATAACTTGAGCATTGTCGCATCGCCTTTCCAGACCGCTATCGCAATTGCCTTCCGCGGAGGCCTTTGTAATTTCGTAGCATTGCTATCAGAATGGACGCGAGAGTAAGTTTGTTGTTTACTGGTCAAGCTGCGCCTTTGACGCATCATCTCCTGCGACAATTTCTTTTCTACATTCCCCAACATCACCTTGACAACGTCATGTCCCCTCCAATACACATGTATACACACATCAATCTAACATTTAATGCTTTGCTAGCCTCAACGACCGCTCCGAGCTGCTCGTGCTCAACACGACGAGAACTCTGCTACCGATACTAGTCAAGCCGTCTACAATCAACATAAGTCTATCGGAGGACTCGCCAGCATGCTCCCCAACGCAATGAAGGCTCCGGCCAAGAGAACTGCCTTTGGTGATGTCAGCAATACCTCTCGAATGTTGCACTCAACTTCACACGATGATTCTGCCATTGCTTCGAAGAAGAATCTCGACCTTCCCAAGCCTGTCCTGAACAACAAGCCTTCTGCGCTCCTCCGACCTGCTCAGCGACCCTTGACTGCTAGCTCTGCCCATTTTCCAGCTCCCTTTAGCGCCGTCGATACCATCGCCTCTGATCCCATCTCAGCTTCGATTGCTGCTAAGATATCTCTTGTCGAGTCGAAGCCTCTGGCTCCTCCACCAAAGCGTGCCATGTCAAAGCGAAACACTGCTATCTACAAGGACACCGAAGTCGAAAGTGTTCCTGTCGCTCCGGTTCACCAAAGTCTTGGACCCCGACACCATAAGAGTCAGCCCGAGTTGAAGCAAGAGAAGCACATCATTCGCCGAACACAAAGCAAGATCGTCGAGACCAACTACGCCAATTCACTCGAAGCTACCTATCCAAGTGATCCCATCTATGAAGACGCACAGGAGCAACAGTTCACCAACATCAACGAATCGAGTGACTCCAGCACCGAAGAAGAGAAGAAGCAACCGCAAGAAACAATCGCAGAGAGTGCTTTCGACTTGCAACAACGAGCATTGCCACCTACACCTCGCGCTGAACCGGAAGAATACTGGGAGGATGAAGAGGAGGAGGTCTACGATGAACAAGGATACACTACGGCCCATTCCTACAGATCGCGTGGTGATAACACGACTGGTGGCGCAACTACAGTTCTCTTTCCCAAGGTCACTAACAAGGCCAAGAAGGAACTGGCTGCTGCTAAGGAAATGGTTGAGAGTGCCCGTACTATTGAAGATATCGAAGATGAAGCCTGGGATACTAGCATGGTTGCTGAGTACGGCGATGAAATCTTTGCTTACATGCGCGAGCTTGAGGTAAGTTTGTCAAAGCGTCATTCTCGTATTGTTCGGATGTGTTGCAACGCGTACCTGGACACCGTGTCTGCGACCGCCATGCGACCGTGCAGCGGCCGTTGTTTATCCATACCCTTGTCATGTTTACATCTTTGAGACTTCGTGCTAACTAATCCTTCCAGATCAAGATGCTTCCCAACGCACACTACATGGACAATCAAACTGAGATTCAGTGGTCAATGCGCTCTGTCCTCATGGATTGGTTGATTCAAGTCCACTGTCGCTTCTCATTGCTCCCGGAGACATTGTTTCTTTGTGTCAATTATATTGATCGATTCCTATCTTGCAAGATTGTCTCCCTCGGCAAGCTTCAGCTAGTTGGTGCCACGGCTATCTTTGTTGCTGCCAAGTACGAGGAGATCAACTGCCCATCTGTCAGCGAAATCGTCTACATGGTCGATGGCGGATACACCGTCGATGAGATTCTCAAGGCCGAGCGATTCATGCTTAGCATGTTGTCATTCGAACTTGGATGGCCTGGTCCAATGAGCTTTCTTCGCCGCATCAGCAAAGCCGATGATTATGATCTTGAGAGCAGAACATTGGCCAAGTACTTCCTGGAGGTTACTATCATGGACGAACGTTTCGTTGGTAGCCCACCTAGCTATGTTGCTGCAGGTGCTCACTGCTTTGCTCGTCTGATGTTGAAGAAGGGTGATTGGGTAAGTTATAATCCTCCAAGAGTTTGCTTTTTCAATATTGATTGCGTATAGTCTCCTGCTCATGTGTACTATTCCGGCTACACCTGGACTCAACTACGACCTTTGGTAGCTATGATGTTAGAGTGCTGCGAAAGTCCACAGAAGCATCATCAGGCTGTATTCGATAAATATTCTGATCGTCGCTACAAGCGTGCATCTCTCTTCGTCGAAGTCGAAATGTCCAAGGGCTTCACTTTGCCAGCACCTGTTTGCAACATGCGACCATCACTGCCTTCTCTTGAAGATGTCGCTGCCAACATGCCATTCGAGACCCGCGACTCATTCCAAGGTTGGTCCAAGGTTCGGATTTGATTGCCTAGCTGCCTAGCTATGAGCTTTCAGAACCTCGCACAACCTCATCAACCTAATACGTTCAATTCTTTGTATATTATTGGACCAGATATGGAGTCTCTCGTCGACATCGATACGGTATTTCCTACTCGACCATATCTGGATCCCCCAAAATACCTGCTTGTTAGACCTTGCTGCAGCTTCGCAGCGATACTCGGTGCAGTCTTCCTGATTGTACTCGCATACTTCCCCAACACCACACCGAATTGAGTTTTGAACTTGCCATTCAAGACTTACCTCAGTCTTCCGGCTACATGTGCATTTCAGGCGTAATGATTCTTCACGACGAGACGAGACCACGACTTTCTTTCAACTTTGCTTGCTCACTCATGCTTTGGGGGTGTTGGTGAAGGATGGAAAACAGGGGCTCTTGCTCGGTAATGCTGTTTCCTGTCTCTTTAATAGCGGAGTGGAGTGGTGGCTCTTGTTTCTCTGGATTGCATTCGGCGTCTGGGCATCCAAGGCAAATGCCTCATAAAAGCTTAGAAACGCAAAGTAAATGGTAGTGTCATAAACACAAGTCTTGATGCCCGTGTGTGAAGAAAGTGAGTCCATAAACACAAATCAGCCTGTCTTCGACTCAAGGTATTGTCCTAGCTGTCGAATCAAGTGGCTATCATGCGTGTCTTGCACTAATGTTAAAACCTACCTCTCATCAAGCACCTTTGGATTTGGTCTTCAACTACTTAGAGTATATTCAAGGGGTATGCAGCATCATGTCTTTGGGTAAGGTATGTTCTTCTCCTTGGCCAGTGAAGCGGGAGTTTAGAACTATGTCTTCGAGCAACGCCAACTGCTCTATCCATCCAATCGAAGGAGGTCATACTGTCCTACCCGGAAAGTGAGATGTTTCTGTTTCTCCGCAAGTGAGACACCTCAGCTCATTGTCGCATGCATGCATGGTGAACACGATGCTGTACCACAGGTGCAGATGAATGCGAGTCAAGCCGCGTGGGGGCGATCTGTGACAGTCAAGATGTGCAGATGCAGTTGGTGTTCATTGGGTGGTCATTCCGAAGGGCGACATGGCTGTACATCAATCGCCAACCCTTTCAGCCCCTGGTCCAGTCCGTCATTTACAGGTCACGTGCAGCTGGTGAAGCCGAAAATTAACCTGGATGCGCACCAATCCCGTTTCGGACGTCCCTGCACAAGGATTTTTCTTGCGAACGGAAAGTTGGCCGACTTACATCCGACTAGATAATAAATTTCCTCCTACCCGGATCACCAAGCACCAATTCAGAGCTAGAAAGGACAACAGCTTGGTCGACGGCCCTCTACCCCATTTTTCCCCAGCTTCTCTTCCTCTGAATATCTTCATTCCTACCTCCAGTCACTCTCTTTCCCACCAAAGACATTCTTTGCCATCAATTGGCGCATCCTGCCAGGTTTTACACCTTGCTTTTTGTTACGCCTGCAGCGGGTTCCCCCGTGCACCCATCCGCGACCCCATTTTTCGCCCATCCCATAGCCAGACTTTGCAAATTTTCCTCCTCACCGCCGAGGATCTCCTATATCTACCCCCAGCACGGTGACCTGCTTTGAATTCGACGCGTTCGGGGCCTCTGCAGCATGACGGACGTTACCAAGGTCAAGGAAGCCGTCAAAGAGTCGCTTCTCGGCTCAGAACACACTGCTGAGGGCGAGCAGCTATCCGCACAGTCCAAGGCGACCTTTGACAAGAATGCGCGGAAAGATGAGGACACAGGTGAGCTGTATATGGGCGAGGAGGAGTTCGTGAATGCCGTTGCGCCAGAGGGTGAAGATTACGTGAGTCAGCTCACTTGTGCCCCTGTTTTCTGCTGTTTGCAGAACCCATTGACTGACGATGCATTTCGGTATCTAGCATAAAATCAAACGAGAACAGTATGCGATCCTGTTCAAGGTTGCAGACCGACGGAATGTGGGCAAGATCAACCTGTTCGATTGGGGTACCTTTGAGAATCTCTTGGCGAAACCAGACGCAGAGTACGAGATTGCCTTTCGATTGTTTGATGTAGATAATACGGGGTTTGTGAAGTATGATGATTTGAGGAAGCTGTATGAGATGAATAAGGGTCCTGAGAGCATACCGTTCGATTGGAATTGCGAATGGGCGACTTTGTACAGTGGTGGAAAGAAAAGGAGACATGATTTGACATATCCACAATTCTCGCAGATGCTGAGAGGATTACAAGGCGAGAGGATACGACAAGCGTTCCACTACTTCGACAAGGATGGCGATGGATACATTGATCCGGAGGACTTCCAGCGCATTATCCTACAGACTGCCAGTCACAAGCTCTCCGACCACCTCCTCGAAAACCTACATACCCTCTGCAATATCTCCACGGGAAGCAAGATCTCATATGCCAATGTACGGGCTTTCCAAAACATCATTCGAGAGATGGATTTGGTGGAGTTGATTATTAGACAAGCAACAGCGCATAGCACCGATGGCAAGATCACTCGAACCGAATTCCTCAACGAAGCTTCACGCATCACTCGATTTTCACTCTTCACTCCTATGGAAGCAGACATCCTATTCCATTTCGCAAGTCTCGACGAACCCTCAGGACGACTCGGCTTGAGCGACTTTGCGAAAGTCCTTGATGCCTCATGGCGCAATCCTCTTTACAATGCCTTCAGCGATGTTGCAGGGTCCACAATTAAGAAAGCGAAGACTACAGGTCAAACATTCTTACACAATGCTCTCGAGTCTGTGCATCATTTTGGTCTGGGAGCGCTGGCAGGAGCGTTTGGCGCATTTATGGTGTATCCCATTGATTTGGTGAAGACCCGTATGCAAAACCAACGTTCCTCGCGCGTAGGAGAGATGCTGTATAAGAACTCGCTCGATTGTGCGAAGAAGGTTATTCGTAACGAGGGGTTCAAGGGCTTGTATTCTGGCATCTTACCGCAGCTTGTTGGTGTTGCGCCAGAAAAGGCTATCAAGTTGACGGTTAATGATATGGCTCGAGGTTTCTTCTCTGAGCCGGATGGAAAAATTTGGCTTCCTTATGAATTTCTTTCTGGTGGTTCTGCAGGTGCTTGTCAAGTTGTATGTTTTCCGCTTTCCTTCCTTCTTTTCCCAGCTAATCCATTGAACAGATCTTCACCAACCCCCTCGAAATCGTCAAAATCCGTCTCCAAGTCCAAGGAGAGGTCGCCAAGAACGTCGAAGGAGCCCCCCGCCGCTCCGCCATGTGGATCATCCGCAACCTCGGTCTCGTCGGCCTCTACAAAGGTGCCTCAGCCTGTCTCCTCCGCGACGTCCCCTTCTCCGCCATCTACTTCACCTCCTACAACCACCTCAAACGAGACTACTTCCAAGAATCCCCCACCAAGAAACTCGGCGTCCTACAACTCCTCACCGCGGGCGCCATCGCCGGCATGCCGGCCGCGTACCTCACTACACCTTGCGACGTCATCAAGACTCGTCTGCAGGTAGAGGCCCGCAAGGGCGAATCCTCATACACCTCGCTCCGCCACTGCGCGCAGACTATCTTCAAAGAAGAAGGCTTCAAGGCGTTCTTCAAGGGCGGTCCGGCACGTATATTGCGCTCGTCCCCGCAATTCGGCTTCACCCTCGCTGCGTACGAGGTCCTCCAGAATCTCCTCCCGATGCCGGGATCGGCGACGCACCAGAAGGAAGCCCCGCATATGGGTGTTAGTGCGACGAGCTCGGGTGGGCTGCCGGGCCAGGAGGGACCCCTGAGTTATTTGAGGAGTCGGAATGCATTGAAGATTATCCTTGATCTGGATGAGGAGTTTGGGCGTGCAAAGGTTCCCGGGAGGGAGGGCTGGAGGAGTTTACCTAGGTTGATGGGGGGTGGTGGGGGAAAGTAGGAGTAAAGCGAGCTTCGCCGCAGAAGAGAGCGGAGCAGTGAGCTTGACAGCCTAGAGAGGAGGAATAGAGGAAAACCATGTAAGACTTGGGTGAAACTGGGCTCGTCATTGGCCCTGTAGACAAAGTGGCGTTCGTCGTTGGACATAGACAGAAAGAAAGACGGAGAGATTCGCATGGCAAAAGAGGAACAGAAGCATGGTTGGCGTTCTTTTATTGCTCTTGTTTTGGCTGTTGTAGGGAAGGAAGGGGGTTTAGTAAATTGTAATTTTTGTTGATGGCTTTTGAGATTTTTTTTGGGGTTTTGAACGTTTTGGTGACGGCAAAGGTGACAAGGGATGGTTGTTGTTCGGTTGGTAGAGGGAGATTGGGGAGTAGAGGTAGATAAAGGAAAGGTGAAGGGGATGGGTAGAGGAGAAATGTAGACGGAGAAAGATCCAGTAGAGTAGAAAAGATAAGATGGGTGGTACATAGAGGAATATATAGGCGTCTCTTTGGAATACACACTCTCCTCTCCCCATGTTCCTTTGCTCTGCTTTTCAGCTTCAATTTTGTTGAGGGGCGAGTGTCCTAGCCACGTTCGAATATTGTGGGGTTGTGGGGAGTTGGGACTTCGAGGGAATGTCTGTCCATTTGTGGACATTCAGAGGGTGAGTGAAGCAGGGAAAGGCGAGATAGAGTTCGGGAGTTGTTATTGTGTTCTGGGGATGGTACTGAGAAGAATGTCGGTAGAGTCTTGGAATGTCAACTTGAAGCTGAACAGCTCGTCCCTGTTCGGACAATGTTCTTTCTGTGCTGAACCATTTCTTTGTTACCATTGTCTGTCCGCTATTGGACTTCTATTTGTGTCGATGTCTGACCTGATCCGAGCTGAGCTGAGCTGAGTTACTGGGTTTGGGAATTGAAAATTGCATTTCTGGTGATTTGGCTTTAAATCGGTTGATATTCTTTCCAGTTCATAGTGTTTTTGACATCTCCCGTATGGGCATTGTTGTTTCTTTGGATGTTTAAGATATCATGCATTGTGTTTGGTATTTGGTGTTCTCGTTCTGAGGATTTTGGCTCGGGTTTTTTCCCGGGTGCTAGTGCTGTGGATGTTGGAGTCGGGTTGAATGGTTGCTGGGGAGTTCACAATTTCCGGGGCATTTTTGGTGATCTTTGACTTCAGTCTATGTTGAAGGGACTCTGGTATGTGAAAATAAATGTCCGTGTTTTGGATGAGCTTCAAAAGCGAGTACCTTTTAGATTCTGGGTTGGATCTGTGAGTTAAGAACCGACTTTGGGAGGACTTCAGTTAGGCTGTTCGACTAGAGAACTGAACTTCAAAACATGCTGGGATGGAAAAGAGCTTTTTCAGTTGCTCTCTGGTATAGTTCGCATTTCATTGCCTTTTCTTTCTCCCTGGAACTATTTGTCCGATTTTTCATCAAGTACTTGTCTATCCCGTGATGACACTTGTGGTGCGGGAAAATCTTCTCCACTATTAGAAGGTACGTCGTTGCTTTGAGATGTAGTGCGCAATGGTATTCTGGATATCTCGGCATAATTGCCCAGGGCTCCTTGTAACTCTGGACCTTCTTCCCTAACCTATTAAAATGAGGAATCTGGTCACAAGTTTGCAGATATAGTATTGTTCAAGCCTAGCTCGCCCTGTCTTTGATACACGATCTGTTTGTTGCGAGAAAGTTGAGACTCAATTCTAGTCACGTAGTACCTATGACTGATTAGTTGGAGACCAAGCAAGTCTCGCTGTCGTTGCCACTTACTTCAAACAAATAAGAGAGTTAGTGCCACACAGTAGCTATCTAATGTTTCTCGGCTGATACATCCTACCTTTAGTTCCTTGTCCGGCTTTGGAATTGACATCAGGCTTTGCCTTTTCGGGTGCTTAAGTCACGTGTTGTTTCATTTTCTTTGGTACCGACGGGACGGGAAGTAACTTGGTGTCTAGCAAGTCGCAGCTTTATTCAAATTGAATTCCTTAACATTCTTCTCATCACCCACTTCCCATATAGCTTTCCTGTTTTAGAAAATCAAGTATTAAGTAAGTTCGATAGAAAGAAAATCCAAGCAGCTGGTCACTACACGGGGTCACCTCATTATCCCACTTGCGTGTGTGTTTCATCAGCGAAAATATGGAGTATCAGTGCACTGACGATGAGTATAGTATTCAAATCGAACTTCTACCTGATATCAATGTACCATGGACTCAAAGGCGTCAGCAAACATGTTAAAGTCCGGTTCGAGCTTGGGAAATGAACAGAACTTCGCTTTAGTTCGGCACAAAGATCAGAGAAACAGAAATCTATTTCTCGAGCTTCTTCCTAGAGAGATCCGCGACGAGGTATACACTTGTGTTCTTACGAACCCTATTCTCAGCCATCCCGACGTCTTTGATCGTATATCCGACGTTTATGCTCCCGGCTTCAATGATAAATCATTCGGCCTTTCTGTTCAGATCTTATGGACTTGCCGGCAAATCTACAGAGAAGCGGTAGACATCCTTTACGGATCCAACGAATTCATTTTTACTTTCACCGATTCAACTTTCGACTTGAATCCCCTGCTCCGTAATCATAGGGGATCCATTCACACTATCTTTGTCAATCCAAATTTTAAGAAAGTCAAGTCTTGGAAGCTTGTGCTGTCGACTCAGGAGTTTGTATGCTGCACGCGTACGGAACAGTTTGCTAAATTCTGTCGCCTGATTTCAGACGGTGGTAATGCTAAGAAATTGACGTGTGTCCTGCGCGACGATCGAATTCTGAAAGAAACCAATCATCTCGATACTAAGGTAGCGCTTGACTTCCTCAAACATCTCAGGCTGTTGAGAAACCTCACATCCGTTGAGATTGAGATCGCTCCTCACAGGTGGTATGACCACGACGGAGAATCCACAAAATTGCTCAACTCTTCGCTCATGCTTTTAGACCTGCACAAACTAAAGCCCTTGTTGCTAAGCAATGATCCAGTGCTTAGACTCTATCGGATGTACTCTAAGCTGTTGACCTACGCGCAAGCTTTTGAAAGAGACGAAGAGCTCAAAAGCCACATGGAGTCCACATGGGAGGAAGCCCGTTATCATTGCAGCTGGGGATATCTTTCCTATAATTCCGCGTACCCGTGGAAGTCCGAGCTTGTTCTTATGGTAGAGGATGGATTGAGAGCCTGTAATTTCGCTTGTCAGGAAACTAATCTCGAGAGTTTCTTATCAGAACGCAGTGCCGTGCTGCAAATTCTCGAACGGCAATACCAACAAATTGTGGAGGCATCACAATCGCTGAACTGCTTGATCCAGGACCAGCTGGCCAAAGACTTCAATGCTTGTCGTAAGGAACGCAGTAAGACTACATCAGCGACAAAGTCCTACCACTCCACAGTTATTTACCTGGCTCAGCAATATGCGCGAGCATTCATCAGAGATACTCTCATCGAATCCGAACCTCATATCTGTCACAGTCCCAAGCGGATACTTGGAGACCAGTCTTCGATAAAAGCAGAAGACCTGTTGTGCCTCTTGCCCTATAAAGGCGATGGAAGCTTGGTCATTGAGTACTTCAAGTCTGCTTTGAATACCATGGACAACCAATATCTGGAAATTCGGAAAGCGAGGAAAGCGCTCTTCGATTGCGATGATCAAGAATATCCTAAACACATTGATGTCGAACAGTGGAGATCTGATCAGATGATTGATTGGGATGTTGCGGCGAAGAGATGGAAGGAGATGTTTAAATGTCCTCAAACCAAACCTAAACGACCCTTTCTATCAGCGCTTTGGAAGCGCATCTGGTGTGTTCTGCATTGAGAGTCAGAAAGCAAACAGGATTCTTCGTGGCATTGGTCCTGCGCAGTGTTAGCAATAGTATACGGTCGTATTACGGGGTCTAGTATTAGGTTAATACGCACTTACGGCGTATAGTGTGAAGTGCATATATATTGACTGCTATTAGTTTCGTATCAATACAAGATACTAGTTTTAATATTATACGTACAACTATATTATTATTATACGTATCACTCAAAGTACAGTATTTTTCGAAAAGAATACATACTACAATGAATAATACTATTTTAGACAAATACTATTGCGAACACTAGTACTGCGTGCGGTAGATACCTAGGTAACAACGCTCCTGCGATTACCACTCTTCCAGGAGATAGTTCTGAAGGGTGCCAAATTGTTTGTTACATGAGATTTCGAGCGATTTCGAGACTGCGTTTGACAATCTCATCAAGGCGGGTAGGATGAATAACACGCACGTGGGTTTCATGACATAGGCTAACCCTAAAGTTAATAGGTTAGTCCAGAACGATATCATTAATTCATCCCGGATTTGAACCCGATCTAACTCAAGCAAGCTTGGATCGCGCCACGAAAAGAACAATCGAAGTCCTTGAACTGGAGTTTTCTGCGGATCTTCATATCGACCTAGTATTCCTCCTTGAGGTGAGTGCATGCAAAAGCCTGGCGGTCATTCCTATTCTGGCCCATTCTGATCATTTACTTATATCGCTCCTTACATTTAAGGCTCGTAGCTGAAACCTCTCAGTTTGTGCAGAGGGCACTTTTCTCATGCGCACTTCTTGCAGCGCTATAGCCTTCTTATCTTCGAAGCAATCCAATTCAATATGACAGATATTATGGGAACACAAGTCGCTTCGAGGACAAGACCGGTCTATCAAGATGGGCAACTGCTTCGATACTTCCTAGGTCTTCCGGACATTCGGCCTTTAGTACTATCCAAAGAATGCCGAGAATTTCCGAATATATTAGTGAAAGATGTTGTATTCCTTTCACTCGACACCGAAAATATCACAGCAGGTCAAATACCTCTTGTCGATCAATTTCAGGTCGGAATTTCAGTTTTAGATTCCAGGGATCTACAAAGTCTTATACATTCTCGGCCTCTGGTGTCTATGCGCGAAGACAATCTTCTTCGAACTCAAAACTTTTGTGTCGGCCCCACCGGATACTGCTCAAAAGCCGCGAGAAGATTTTTATTTGGTCAATCAGAAAGCATTCATGCACATCAAATAAAGGAAAAGATCGAGAGCTTGGTCGCTGACCGAGATGTGGTTCTTGTGGTTTATGATGGCTACAACGATTTGTGGCTTTTAGACGAGCTCAAAGTCAAATTGGAACCGGTTGCTGTACTGGACCCGCAAAAGGCTGCTCATGATGTGCTCCAATCGCAGTATCAAAGAAGCCTAAACGACCTCTTGATAGAATTGGATTGCCATTTTAATTTCTTGCACGTGGCAGGAAACGACGCGAATTTTACCCTTCGGGCTCTCTTGATGATCGCGGTAAAAGGTTCTCACGGAATAAGTCTCAATGATTCACAGTAAGCCATTCTCTCATTTGCACAAGCCATTGCACAATCCACTGGGCATGATAATTGGCACGAAAGAAAGGACCACGTCGCGGAGGAGAGAAGAAAATATATCGCCGAACGCGAGGAGATCAATCGTCGGAAAAAGGAGGCGAAAAAGACCAAGAAAGCAGCACGGAAGGCGAAATTGGCAGCAGAAGGTCATTGGTCCTCAACCAAGACCGGACGCCGAGAGTTTTGGGCGAAACCAGAGAATGCACGCAAAATCCCTACGGTAGCAAGGGACCGGACAAAAACTGGATAAATTATCTAGTTATAATCCAGGATTTATCTAGCCAAATTTTGTATAGAAATTATCTAGTTCAAATCCAGGATTTTGTCGGCATTTATCCAGGATTCGCAACCAAAATCCGTCACTTATTTATAGAATAAAAATGTGTGCCTGAGAGCCTGAATATCATAATGAAACTATTCCCAGTTTCCGGCACTCCTGCCTACACTCCTGCCTGCGGTCTTGCTTGCATAATGGACGCGTTCTATAAGAGAGTTAGTACTGTGGATTGATGCTGTAGATGGGTGTCACGTACTTGGATTGAGAGGGAGATTCATGAGAGAGAGGGGATAGATGCATGCACACTTACTATTGAAACAAGGAGAGAGAGATGCATAATGCAGACTTACTGTGCTGACTTACTGTGGAAGCTGAGTGGAAGCTGAGAGAGTGGAAGCTGAGAGAGTGGAAGCTGAGAGAGTGGAAGCTGAGGGTTGAGGGTGAGAGTTTGTTTACTTTAGTTAGCGTGCTTGTTATTGCTTATCTAATGGATGCATTTCAATTGAATTTCTCTAAGGGCCTTAAATCCTGGATAAGATGAAAGAATGAAGCACTCATTTAGCTTTTATCTAGGATTTGGAACTTCTAAAATTTTGAAGTAAACGAATACTACTCGAATTTAAAAAATTGTCTAGCTTTTATCTAGTAAAATCCAGTGGAAATCCAGATATCCTGTACAAATCCTGGATTAATGCTGTACAATATGCTCCCGTAGGGATGGAAGAGCCTGCCTCAAGGTCTAGGTCGAAGGATGGGTGGATCTGAAGACCGTTGTAGGCATTGTCGTCTCGGCGGCTGTAGCGGCGGCGCTTGCTAAACATCAGTCAGTCATCAATGCTGATCACTGCTGCATCATCAGATAGTCGTGAGAACATCTGAATATACTTACAGGTGGTTGGAAGAAGGAGGTAGATAAGCCATGATTGATATCGATGATTTTATCTATATATGTACAGATGTTGGACGACAGAACGGACATCGAAAGACGAGACGAAATCATATTATCACATTTAGCACAAAAAATGAAAAGACCTTCCCTCAAATTCCTCCTTCCTTGCCCGCAAGTATGTTAAGCCTTTATCAGAGATGATCCTATCGCAACCAAACCTCACATCCGTCACGAGCCCGTTCTGTTCCTGAATAATTAATCGCCTTTAAAATCAGAAGACTTACTGTCGCTCTTCCGCTATGAAAGCGAAGAAAGTCTGGTCATCGAGTACTTGATCCAGAAGGGTCTCGTGGAAACATCCTACTGGACCGATGTGGAAGGAGAGGTCGTCGGGATACATCTCTTTGTGAGCAACTTCCTCGTTAGATGTCAGTGGCCACTGCTTCAAAGAAGTTCCCATCGTGTTTCTACAATTCTCTACGGTGTATAGTGTGTGACAACACAATATTGTATTTCCATGTATAGTGATAATTTTCAGTACACAGAGCACACGCGATATATGCTCTTGGGGGCGAACAACAACGTAGTGGTGTTACAAACTCTTTAGTGTCATGTTCGGAGAAATTTTCGAAATTTCTTGCTGCGATGCTGTGCTACGTGTTAAGTGGACTGCAACTTTCAGGTTACAGGAGCCAGGCATCTTCTTGACGCAGAGGGTCTGTCTGCTCTGCTCGCACAAGGACTGCTCACCGATAATGACAGAAAACCATAGCCAACATCAGTAAATGTACGTGCTGATGGTAATAATGCCTCTCTATGGCCATTCGTATCAAAATCTTGTCGGTGCATCAACTTACGGCAGCACCGGTGACAACGCTGATATTTTCTTCTCCGAAACACTTGTCAGATGTATGAAGCACCGTAAAAGCAATATTTCATTTGAATGCACTTGTGATCAGAGATCTTTGAGAGTCAACCGACTTTGATTCCGTAACCCTGCATTCCATATGCATTCCATATGCATTCGACTCGTATTTGCCCACCCTGTTATGACCATTGACCAAGGACTTGGTATACAATGCGTTCGTTCAGTGTGCAATCACGTTCTAAACTGGAAATGGTACATTAGATATCCGCACCGGTCCATACCACTCCGAATACAGTTCTCTGTCGTGCACCGATTCCTCACTATCTGTGTCACCGTCTGTGGCACTATCTGTATCGCGATCTGTGTCGGTCGCGTCTGCGGCAGCGATACAGAGCAAACGCTTGAGGAAGGCGACAATTGATTTTCTCATGGTGTCTGTTCTTTGCCTACCCGAGTAAGACTTTTTCAAAGTTCGAAACGGGCCGCATTACGCTAAGAACCTCTGGATTTTTTCAGGTAGTTTTGTTTCTGCTGATACTGTTTTGGTAGAGCTATTCGTGGAATATGATATTTTTTGAATCTGTTGTTGTTGTTCGGAAGAAGGAATTCTGATCTGAAGTCGCGCCTCCATACCTATAGTAGGTAGCATTTCGGTCTCGACTGGCCACGGGATCTAACGCAGCCCTGTATGTACCGAGCGTTGGACCGCAAATTGTGTGGCGCTAACCCCGGTCTAGCCTGCATGGGCAAGAACATACTAGTCGGCTGCGCTTTCCAGTTCTCCTCTCTCTATTGTTTCGCCCTTTTGCAGTGTCAGATAGTCAAATATGAATCTCGCTGCCAATCAATCATTTGGTGTCATCACGGCCGTGCCGTGTCTTATCTACCAGGTAGAAGGCGGTGGCTAGTCGCCAACACTAAGTCCACAGGAGTTAGTGGTACTACGTGTACGAACCAACCAGCCAGCCGAGGCGTCCAATGATCAGCCGTGTCTCGGCGCCCAAGTGTCTCAAACCAGCTGACTGTCAGCATACAATATAAGATCAATTCTTCATTGATGCGACATGATGAAGTACACACCTTCAAAATGACTTGCAATGGTCGTATTGTCATCCAAAAAGGGGTTCCGCTACCTGAAGCTGCTCTCGCGAACCTGAAAGCTTCCGTGAAGGGAGAGGTCGTCATCAAAGGAGAGGCAGATGAAGTGATCTATCGTGCAGCAATTGATAGATGGAACAAGGCTGGTATCCAAGAAGCAGTTAGTAGAGATCTACTCCCAGAAGCTTTTCATTGCCACTAACACCATCAGGGCATTGTTGTCTTTGTCGATTCTGAGCAAGACGTGGTTGCGTGTCTCAAGTTTGTTCAGGAATATGATATGGATGTCACCATTGCCTCCGGTAGACATAGTTACTACAAAGCGTCGTCAACCAAAGGTGGCTTAGTCATTGGTAATTGTCCACTACCGTGCTGCTTGAGAAGCTCAGGTGCTGACCTTCAAGATCTTGGGAGAATGAGAAAAGTCTCCATCGACAAGAAGTCAATGAAGATTACTGCTCAAGGAGGATGCAAAGTGGTAGATTTGGAAACACCATTGCAAAGTAGGAGTGTTGACTAGCTCTCTGGACTTGACTGACTCCTGGACAGAGCAAGGACTTTCCGCTGTCTTCGGAACAATCAACGATACTGGTTGGTTTGGCAGCATCTCATATATTACTTAAAAGCTAATTGCTCCAGGTATCGGCGGCCTAACCCTTGGAGGCGGTTCGGGCTATCTGACTGGCCAGCATGGTTTGATCATTGATAACCTACTTGCTGCCAAAGTGGTTACTGCAGATGGCAGCGTTTTGGAAGCCTCTCATGAGCAGAATCCTGACCTCTTTTGGGGCATTCGCGGTGGAGGATCTAACTTTGGAGTGGTTACAGAGTTCACTTACCGAACTCATAATCAAGGCAAGGTATTCTTGTACGCAAATTTTCCTGAATGATTGAATATAGTTCTGACTATGGCAGCGGACCACTTGTCTTCACACCCGACAAGAATCACAGATTTCTCCAGCTTGTAGAGCCAATGCGTCAAGCTACAGAAGCAAGCAACGGGAAACTCGCAGTATTTGTGTCTTTCACAAAAGTTCTAGGCATGCCCAGTGTCCACCCTGTTTGCATAATCTTCTACGACGGAACAGAAGAAGAAGCTCGACAAATCACTGCACCACTTTTTGAACTTGGTCCAGCTAAGGCAATGGCTGTAATGAGAGACTACGCCGAGTGCACAGCTCCGACCCCAATGTCTGAAGGTCCACCGACTCATCAGCACTACTCAGCTAGCAACTCTCCTCTGAACCTTCCCGTAGATACGGCTCTTCTGGAGGAAATGATCGCAGCTTTGGATAGAATGTTTGAGAAATATGGTGACGTTGTCACCGCATCGAGGCTCTTCTTTGAGCTTCGGTCGTATGCAAAGTCTGCAAACATTGACCCTTCAGCCACTGCTCTGAGAGCAAGAGCACCTGCTGTGCTGTTAGCTATGGAAGGAAGACATGATGGATCGATTCCTTCGAAGATACGGACGGAAGTTCAAGCCATTATCGAGATTGCTCGATCGAAGCAGAAGGGCCGCTTCATCAACGCGAACATTGGGGACGGATCGGAGAAAGTAGCTGATATGTTTGGGGGGAATTATGAGAGTCTGCGGCAGTTGAAGAAGAAATATGATCCAGGCTTTGTGTTTAACAAGTGGTATCCAATTCCACCTGCTGGGGATTGTTCGGTGCAGAGTATAGAATCGGAGTGAACGCGTTCTATGACTAGGAACAAGGCACTGCGGTGTCGAAAGACAGTAGAAGAGAGCAGAAATGCACTGGAGATTATACTTGGCAGAATCCAGTCCACAAGGAGTGTTTGAAAAAGGAGCAAAATTAGATTACCACGAGTAAGATTACCTGGCAGTCAACTCTGGTCTAGACCACATCAGCAGTCCTTGGCTCCAGTTCTTTGAAGTGCTTGTGGATCCCGCCGTAGTACACCAATATACAATTACCTGGAAATTTCGGTATTTCGTCAAAACTCAGATGAAATTTCCGAAAGATAAGTGCAGATGACAGCCTCGATTCTACCTAGGCAGTCTCAAACACCTAGAAAAGTGTATCTAAGTCTGATGAAAGAAATTATCCATTTTCCACTCTCCATTTCTTTGCCAGTCTAACGGTCTGGTCTGAAGATCCTGCTCGACATCTCCACTTCACCCCCATATCATCGGTTGAACTATCAACACCATGCAATCCTCCACGCCCTTCCTCCACTAGCTCTCCCTCATTTGTTCTACTCTCCTAATCGCGCCCCTTCTCCTAGCTTTCGACCAGCAAGCTCAATATCGAAGCCTTCAGCCTAATCATGTAAGTATGGGATACAAAAAGAAGGGAGGTAACGTACGAGCTATGGGATGTGGCTGTGTGGGGTTCTTTCCAAGACTTTGAAATTGGTCTTCTGGCAGACTCGTGAATTTCATGTATGGTAAGCCGAATTTCTCTTCGACAGTCCCTCGCTGCTCCTTGAATATTGTTGGATCTTCTGGTCGGAAGTAAACCCCATCACCCTCAAGTCACTGTTAGCCTTGTTCGCAATCTGACCTATTAAACGTTCATATACCACGTACAAGCTGCCAATCTACTGGCGTCACTATGCGAGGGTTGCGAGTATATGCTTGTAAAGAGTTGAGCACACGGATGATCTTATCGATATTTCGGCTAGTTTCTATGGGATATATGATTATAGCTCAAATTCTTTTGTTGTCGTCGATAATGAAGACGGAGCGGATAGTATGCATGTTGTTTATATATTATGTGATATTTTCATTCGTTGGAGTCTCTTCGTGGTCGAGCTTTAGAAGTCAATAAGTACAGAGGACGTAAAAAAAGGATAACCAAAAACATCATAAACTCACATGTTGTACAAACGCACTACTATTACTCTCTCATCTACAATAATGGGAAATTCGATTTTGCGATGAGACTCCATGGTCTACGAGGCCAATGAACTCGCACCTCCGACATAGACCGCGCAACGTCGAAGATACCTAGCTTCACAGCCCGAAACACTGCAGACGACGAGTACAAAAATATCAAAGAAGTAAAACTAGAAGGGAGAGCTTCGCCTCCCGTTTGCCTAAAACTCAAATGCGAATAATATTTTTATAATTTTTATAATTTAAAAATTTTTAAAAATTATTTTCGAGTTTTTAATAATTTCGAGAGTTTTAAACAATGGCTTTGTGTATATCACGTGCCGTTTTAGTAGTGTAAAAAAAGTTTTAATAAAAAAAAAATAGAAAAAAGAAAACTGTACTGCAATAGCGGTCCCTTCGTCATGTCCCCTCCTACTATTCTAGTTTCGGGCACTGGCATGAATAGCAAAAATTCAAACCCGTCCGTGGCAAGAATCTAGTCACAAAGTATGTAGGTAGCTTCAGAATGTTGTATCAGCAGCGTAGCGGTATCAAAATCTTTGCCAGCATACAGACATATTGCCACTAGCTGCTTCGTACCTGGCTGGTCAACTCTTTTCATTCAAGATCTCCATTGGTTTAATTCCAGAGGATTTTCTTGACTGGAAAGACTCTTAAGGCGGTAAACTTGTTCTTAGGAACCTGTTCTTAAGAATTGTTGCACCAAGACCTAGCTTGCGAGTTAAGGACGCGGGGTAATGACGAACCTGCACTGGGCGAAGCGCTGAAGAACTCTGGGACTGATACGATCAATACCTATCAATTTGGTAGTGAAATTGATTGAATGATCATAGCCAAGACACCGCAAACCTCATCAATTTCGTAACCAATGAAAAGTTGCGAGAATGAAGTTTAAAGATTTTATTTCGTCCAGTTCATATTAAAGAAACACAATATCTATCACACCCTAGCAAAAGGCTCCGGCTCTCTAACCTTGTTCTACCAGAAAGAAACATTCAGAAATAAAAGAAAAGCATAACATGGGTCTGAGTCGAACGTCAAATCCCTCGATAGTCCTATTGTATGCTTCCCGATGGCGACACGTTATCCATTTGCTTGGTTTGTATGGGCTGCTGATTCGAGTTTGTATGCTTCAATAGTGAAGGAATGTGATGGATGGAGGTGCGGTGATAGGAAATAAATCCGAGCCTAGTCGCAATGACAGTCAGCAAATGTTATCATCGTGACAGCAAACAAACAACGGATCAGGGAGGCGAATGTTCGAACTTACCTTTCACCTCCCAGGTTATCATTTCCCTCAGTATCAAAGAACAACAACTTTTACAAATACTCTCTTGTCTCTCACCACCCTGTGCCTGGATCCATCCCCAGCTCGGTCTCCTCTTCATCCGGTCCAATAACAGGCTCATTGACACTAAAGTCAATGCTCTCGTCAATTCTCCACAGCTCGAGGTCCACGTTCTTCAAACGTTGGACGATGTCATGATCGAACAGCTTCTTTCTAGCACTGCGGATCTCTAAGTACTGTACGTCCATGTCTTGAACTGCTTGTTTGAAGTAGACCTTGAATGGAAAGCAGTTTGTATTGATATATGGGTATGCTTCGGCCTCGACTTCTATGACGCCACTAAGATAGCTAAGGCATGTGTCTCGCTCGGTAGCCAGATATTGAGCATCGAACTTGCGTTACATTCTTCGAATATTGTATCGAGTGGCAGCTGGCGCGTCTCTGTTGAAACTCTTCGCGTAAGACTCGAGTAGAGTCAGACCCTCCACAGCTGTCTCTAGATCCATCCGTCGCCGTCAAGACAATCTAGCATGCTTCCAGATACCTTGTGTTCCTTTATAAAGTTGGCCATTTTGAAGGTCGAAACTCCTCGTAATAGGCGCAAAGGAAACATAAGCTGTGCATGGGACGATATACTGCTGAAAAGTACCAACTCCTAGCCGGAACTGGTTCCTCGCGTTTGGGAATTACCAATACTTCAAGGGAGGTAGGTTGATTCTCCGACAGAACTCGACAAAAACGAGAGAAATTTGGATCAGGTGTATGCGGATCTAGACCTTGTGAGTGTCTAAATTCCGCACTGAGTACCACTTTCCATCTTTTGATACTTCCAATCAAGCTGATGCTTCCGCAATCCGGATCGAGTATGTCAATGTCAACATTTCGTGTCAACGCGCACCAGCCCGTATTCCATGAAACGAAGGATGCGAGAAACGTGTTCTCACCATAGAGAACAGCTGTCGCCTCAGTGTTTATCTGTCGATTTACCCGAAGGATGTTTGGGAATAGCTTCACTTCATCGAGACTCCTGTCTCGAAAGGTGGCAACAAATCTGGCAGCCTCAACGTGAGACTCCAATCTCTCATCAATGAAGAGGAAACGGTAAATCTTGTCGCGGATCTCTCGAGGAAGTTTCATAAGGAACGAGCAACTTGGCTTTGTACTGGAACCTTTGGAAGGGGTTTTCGGAGGCATAGAATCGAGGACAGGTTTGTTGATCCGTAATTCTGCGTTTGCAAGGAGGGATTGTGAAAGCGCTAACCTCAGCTCGTCTGGACAAACTTTTATGGGATAACTTCCAGAGCCGAGGAAATGTGCTGATCGAAAGTCAAGTCGTCTGCCTTAGCTCTCTCACGTGGCTGTGGGATCGCCTTGCTGCTTGTTTATTTTCAAGATTGAAAAGTACTTTCAGCCAAGACTTTTCAAGAACATGGTAGAGAAACGGTCACTTTAATCTGATCTGGAAGCGTCCAAGCTCTGATTAGATTCTATAGTACATTCAGAACAACACTTTCTTCAACATAGTCTCTTTGACGAGTACCACTTCTAGAAGATGGAAGAATCGCGCTTCGCCAACGATTGCGAGCGTAGAAGTGAAATCATGTACGTCCTCTATTCACCATCTCTTCTCGCACCGGCTGACACTTCATAGTAAAGAGTCTCCGATCCCTGTCACGATGGACGACGAGCAAGACATTTCGAATTTTTCGAACGAACAGCTCAGGGTGGCCCTGGCTCAAGCTTTACGAGAAAACCGACAGCACAAATATCTTCAAGCAACTCATGATGACACCGACAGTATCTTTGATAATGCCAATGATGATGAAGAAGAAGCGAAGTTGCAGAAACAAGGTTGTCTATTCCTCGACAAGATCCCTCGCGAGATTCGAAATCAAGTCTACGGATACTTATTACTCAGCGAGGTTCTAGGATCGCAAGACTACGGATGGGGCAGATTTGGTGGATTTGGTTTGTATCCAGCTATATTCCGAACATGTCACCAAGTACAAGAGGAAGCGACGCAATTTTTCTATGAGAGAAACACGTTTATTAAAAACTTCACGGACGAGTTTGGGTCTCCGAGCTACGACTGGTGCTGCTTGAATCGCGATGATCAGCTACCAAATAAGATGATTGCTGCGAGGAAAGTGAAGCGGTGGAGGATAGTACTGGCAGCCAGGAAGAAGACCGGACATTCGACCTTCCGGACGAGGAGTTTACTAAATTTTGCAGGACATTGTGTGGTAGTAATTCTACATATCTAGAGGTTCTCTTAGCGGGAAGCTCTGGGCATGACGATGTCACGTCTCAGAGTGGCCGATTGGAAGATATCCCAGAAGAGGATGAGGATGAGGATGATGCTCTTCCTGAGTATTATGATTGCGAGAGGTTACTTCAACCTCTGCGACTTTTGCGAGGGATATCTAGCATTAAGTTCGGACAAGGAGTGCACCCAAACTTGCAGAAAGATCTTACCATTCTTATCTCAAGCAAAGCTCCGGTGCGCCGCATATTCTCCATGCATGAGAAGCTTTTAGAGTATTCTCAGAGCTTCGAACGGCAGCCCTAATTTCGCGCTTGTATGGAGCCATCATGGGAAGCAGATGGTATATCGATATCATCAAACTCACCAACCACATTAAATCCGTATCTTCGCGGCTTGAAGCATCCTGTAGAAGCTGGGCTGGAGATCACCAATGGTGCTGCCAAACATGACGATCTCAACCTCTTTCTGCAAACTCGCAACGGTATTCTTCTGTACCTGGAACCACAATATAGTTGCATTGTCAGAGCAAATCGAGCCATCACAGACTACATCAAAGACCACAAGTGCGATAATGGACATTTCGATACTACTGGCGGGTTTTATGACTTCAACCTTCATTCCGCGTCTGAAGCCATGATCCTCCTAGAAGAATATGCTGCCAGCTTCGTCCGAGATATGCCGCATTCTACAAGAGTCGAAATTCGAAAAATGAGAGAAAGCTACGAGGTGAGCTACGCAACAATGCAAAGGGAGTTATATCTAGACATCCTAGCCCGGGGGCTCAAGGCAGAAGAGCAGTCGCATTTCCGCGGACCAAACATTGAGCTTTTGAACTTTGCAACGTATTTTAAACTCGCAGTGGATGAAATGGATAGGCAATATCTTCTCATTCGTCGTGCAAGAAGAGCACTGTACGAGAAAGATGACATCACGTACCCGAATAATATCGATCTCGAGCTTTGGCGATGCGATGAAGCTATTGATTGGAGCGTCAATGAACCTAGGTTAATGCCGGGTTACTCCTCCACTCAAAGCGGCTATAAAATCCTCGATGCTGAACCTGGAGATTTCGACGCGCAACGATGGAGCACTGGAGGCAGTGTGCTTCGTCGGTCTCCCAGGTGCACAGGAATGGAATAATCACTCAGCGATGGAGACGACCCAGGGACGGCACGCTGCAAGAAGTATCAACGGGACTTTCTACACCTACTCTTTGCTATTCGAGCTTTTCCACCTCCATCAACTCTCGGATGCAGAACTCTTTTTCTCTTCCGCATCTTACTCTTTACTCCTAATCTCCCGGCTGGATCTCAACATCTAGAAAACGACAAAGAAACTAGTGAAGAAGCGCTATTGACACTTGGCAGTGGATGTGTGATCTGATGCAGGAGAATGGATTTTTGAGACAGCTTCTACTGCTTGTGAAAGTAATAGTGATAGTTTACAGGCATTGCTGATAGCTAGCAAATTGTAGCGCCCTATACCCTGTCTTAGACCTTTTATATTCTGTAGCATAGCAATGAAAAACCTCAAAAGGAATTTATTCTACGATTAGTGATGTTCCTTCTCCTGCAATTTTCATAGATTGATTTCTGTTGTTGAGTAGCTACTCGAGAGTTCAATATGTTTCTATGGACCTTCAATTAACATTGTAAGCTTAAAGGTTATCTTTGGACTTTCATCCTGAGGTGAAGACTAATGCTACAGGCTCTTAAAGCTCATCTTAGAATCTAAGGTTTTAAGCTTATTCTTAGCGTCTACCTTAAATTATTTTGTTGCACATCGCAAAATGAGAGATTTCTGAAAAGTCAACGAAGGCTTTCACCAAAACTTCCAAAATTAAGGGAACAGCAAATTTCGGCGCTAAGAAGCCCTCGGCCAATCATGTTTCAATATTCCTTTTGTATGGGAGTTTCGTTGTTGAGGAGCTCTCTGAGCTGTTTAATTCCGGAAAAAAGTTAGGCCGGCGCTAGGCCAAAGAGGAGTCTCGAACGCAGGCAATGGCTATGAATATCTCTCAGAGAGCACATAGGAACATTCGAAACCAAGCCTTGATGTACGATCAACTCCTCCTTGCAAGTATCTGGTCTTGCTGGTTTCTTCTCGGCATTTGATTAAGCAGTGCATATTTTGCACTCCTAGTCTGGCGTTCTTTGCGCTCCTTACAATACTCTACCACTGCATCAGTTGAGGTGAAGCTTGTTGACTGCTGTACTGAATACGAAAACAATCTTTCTAGCAATGCTCACAATTCGAGTCTATGAGAAGATATTATGGTATTAAGTTTTCCTCAACTGTCAGGGTCCAACATGGACATCCGTTAAGTTGAAACAATGCTTTGCCTCTCTCTGGCAAGGCGAAATTTAAGCTCAGGGGCAAGAGACATCATGAGACATCATGATGTGTAAAAAGCAGTGTATTTGGCTCGTGACAACTTTGATGCAAACACTTATAATAGTTGGACCAACCCACCATAAGTTGTGGAGCAATTGAATCTCTTTCGAGAACGGACGTTCGACAAATGTTGACTATCCAATGATTTCACGTGACTCTCGAGAATTAAGTAAAAGTTTTTCTTGTATATACAGAGATGAAAAGGCAATGCAATACATACACAAGACCATCATTGCCTTCTACGGTCTATCTATTAAGTCTCAGCTTCCTCAGACTTCATCCACTCATCCTCAAATAAGCGGCCATAATGCCAGTTGGAAAACCATCGTGGGCTGCCCCTGAATTGGCAGTCCTAACGACTTCGGCAACATCCTTATCTCCTCCGACCCCACTCTCGAGAATCAAGGTCTTGCTATTGATTGTACTTATTCCATACGTGAACACCTTTGAGCTGCTCTCGTAAAGAGCAGCATTATCTTGACAGTCTGTTGCGCAAAAAGTGCGGGAAGGACCAGAGACGAAATTCCAGAATCCGCCAGAGGAGATGTTGATAATAGAAGAGTTTGAGACACGCTGATAAAGACCCATGCGACACTTCAAAGTATTAGCTTTGTGAAACAGGACAGAGAGTTTTGAGAGAGAATGAGAGCTAGGACAGAATTCGAAAAGGAAGTATTTGTACATACCACAGCATCAGTCGCCGCACACCAACTCCAATCAGGAGGCTCACTTGGCAGCAAAGAATCTGTCCAAGGAGCAGGTGCAAGGACCGTAGCTCCAGCCCCCTGCCAATAAGCAGCCTCACCTTGCTGCAATCCCAAGAACACATTCTTCGCCCCCACGATGTTCATTTGATATAAAGTATGATGCTCAATTCCCAACCCCAGTAGCCATGTCCCACGTTGTGCCTCAACCAAGAACCCTCCTCCAGGAGATGGTGTCTGAGTACTGCTTCCATCAAGATCGTGATCTGCGACCCAAGCCCACGAGTTTCCCAGTATGACGAGGAAGTAGATGTCAAGTGGGCAGAGATTCGTGCAGCAGTGCAGGTCACGGGACTGCTACAGCTGGTTTCAACTTTCGATCCTCTTGCTCCACCAATGCGGAAATGACAGTTGAAGAATCCCACATTGCCTGGTTTGCCGCCTGCCATATTGACCTCGACTAACACGGCCCCAGGAAGTATATCGGCGACAGTGAAGATGAAGTCTGTCAATTGTGCGACGCCCACATCGCCAGCATTGCCGATTTTGAGCATGGGTGTTGGTTGTTTGGCGTTCTTGAATTTGCTTCCACTTGCGCTAAACTCGGTGAAGGATTCTCCGACCAGTCTGCTTCCAACAGGTATAAGCAAGGTGTCGGTAAGAAGGTAGATGCCATGTGGAAAGTACAGGAGCTGCTTGCCGGCAGCGGAGTTGAGGATTGCTTGGAGACTGGCAGTATCATCTGTCACTCCATCTCCGGCAACGGGATGAGCAGCGACGTCTTTGACGTCGATTACTTGCGAGACATCGTATTCGGCATATGTTGGTGGAGTGACAGTTTCATAGAACCCGGTGCTGTTGACCAGGGTTTGTGGACGAGTAGTACTAATCATAGATCCAGTTAATCGACTCGGCGTTGTTGAGTTGACAGAGTACACATTTCCTCGAGTCCAAGTTAAGCCAGGCATGACAGATCCGGTCAGAAATGTTGATCGCCTTCTGAATAGCAGCAGTATCGTCGGTTGTGCCGTCGCCTTTGGCTCCATAGTCCTTTACATTTCTGAAGACGGTCCAGTTCTTGCCATTGGTGATGGTGGGGCTTGTCCCATCGTGCTTGATGAATTCGTACCAGTATCGGCTCGTTGCTTTAACATCTCGAATTTCATTGCTGCCTGCATTGGCAGCAGACAGTCCCGTGGTAGCAAGGCTGAGCAAAAGAAATATAATTCTCATTGCTGCGTAACTTGCATCTGAATCAACTGTCTTGACCCGCCATTCCGAAAGTAATTATATATCTTTATCTATCACTTGAAATCTTGCTGCCCCCTCCTTAGCTTATTGATCTGACCCATCTCGCAGAGATGATTTGCCAGAAGGTGTTGATGATCGATCCCATGGTTGCGGGACTTGCATCGGCAAAGGATAAATGATGGTCCAAGGAAAAGCAATGAAGAGAATGATGCAATTACGCAATGCTGAGTGTTCTTAACTCTACAAGAACAGTCATGTATTCATCAGACTCCAAGGGAAGGTGAGTTGTAAGCGAGGCAAGAATCCAGGAGTGGACGAAACAAGCCGTGGGATTGTGGACGGACCAATCGCGCAACAATCTCTTTTCGGGCCATTCCAACGAACAAAGGCTAATTGAAACCTTATATAACTAAGTAAATCCAAGATCTGGGAAGGCAGATCCCTGAATAAATTGAGAGATTTTTAATATGGCTAAAATGCTGTTTCATTGCGGGGTTGCCAAGCCCTAACCGAGTCTTTAGGGGCTCGCTAATCAAATCAGGGTGAGTATCTAGGTCAATTACGAGACCATGGTGCTTGCAAGAGCACAACTCTGGCCGAGACTGATCGCAAAAGACTGGGCAAAGAATTCTTGGCGTATAGAAGGCATGAGACCAATGACTACCTAGGTACATATTATGAAATGAGGACCAAGAAGAAGAAAAGTATCACGGTTTTAGCATATCACATTTAACCATAGCTCAATTCAAAGCGGACTCAATGGGAAGTTATTCACACCTTTTTTTCAAAGTTCATGCGATTTATTTGCAGAAGTTCTGCGAACGCTAATTTTGCGACCAACTCAGCGCGCCTTTTAGTAACAGATTGCAGTTCCCGGGCTTTTGAAGTTTCGTACCGCTTGGCCCCTCGAAACCGCTTCCATCACTTTTGCCCTTCCAATCCCATCACCCCTGTACACCTTCATCTCCAATCTTCAACGTCACATTTCGTTATCTCCTTGACCAGTGGCTTGCTCATCGTGATTGTCCATATCAATGTGATACCCAACGCCTTCTACGTCATCGGGATCGTCTCGATTCGGGAGTGCACCCTGCGATCCTTCGAACTGAACAATCTTGGGACCCTCGATTGGAGTAAGACAAGGTTCTTCTACTGTCCAATTGATCGCATCGTCGCACCTGTGTCTCTCGAACCACAGTTCCTTGTCGAAGATGTATTGTAGCCCAGGAGGATCTTCGTCGAACACAGCCATCCTGAATTTGCGGATTTGTAGGTACTGACTATCCATATCATCAATGATCTCCTTCATGAGAGATGTAATGATCAACTCATGACTTCTTTGGTACATCTCTAGCTCCAGCCGATGCAAGAGAATTTCCCGAGGAAGCTTTGCAAACCCTGCCATCCATCGTTTCATATCCGAGAGTTTGTGCTTCTGCTCCTCAAGACTTAGATCCCGCTCAAAAGTCTTGGCATACCGGTAAATCTCAACCAACCCGTCAGGTATCAAGCATTTATCGCTAAGATCGAAGAAAAAGGCAAACCTTGACACGGGTCCAAATAGACCACTGCAGCGCTTCTCAGATTTGACAAAGGAAGACATGCTCTCTGCTGCAGCAGCGATACGTTGATATTGAGGTTCTAGAACTTCAAGGATGATGTGGCGCACACGGTTGAAAACCTCAACGTTATTTTCTTCGCTGGCAGTGGCTGCGTACTCGAGTTGTGATTTCACAGAACGAAGGGAAAAGCCAGGTTGATCGATGTGTGTGAACAATACGGACGGCGCCACCTTTGATCCCAAATAGGATGGAGGGCTGCTAAGCAAGCCATATTCCGGGTCCATTTTTCTTCGGGCTTCTTCAATCCTCTCAAATGCTCGGGTATAGTCCAACAGACGTTGATACATCTTAAAGACTCGCACGACTGGTGTATTGCTTTGGACAATGAACTTCAACTTTGCCACGAGGTCCTTGGGTAGATCTACCTTGTGAAAAGTGCGAAATCGCACTAGCAGAGGCGAATACCACCATTCGTAAGAAGATGTCTCATTGTCGGGGAGATGCGTAACGGTAAATTCGGAAAGATTTCGGAGCCAAAGCAGTGGCTGTAGCATTCTGCTGGCTTTGTATTGGCGGGGAATATCCGGAAAGGTTGGTATCGTGAGCGATCCACAAGGCACAAACTCAACGTGTAGCGATTTTGGAGATGAATCGCAGATCATTCTGCAAAGATAGACCAGTCCATGGGAAGGACAGGATGCTTCCCAACCTTTGTGTGAAGACAGTGTTACTTTCCAATGCTTGATTTTCTTGAAAACACCTTCAAAGTGACCAGCAGTGAGGCGTTGTCCCGGAAAAGGCAGACGCAAGCGGCTGAAACTATATTGAAGGGGCATTTCAGGGCTGTTGCGGAAAAGAGGGCACAAAACATTCTCGTTCGAAAGAGATTGGAAGAAGAACGTGTTCGATTCGTAAAGAATGGTGGCTGCTTCTCCGTATACCGCTTTGCATGTCCGTAAAAGAGCTGGGTGAAGGCCATAACGCTTTCTGTAACTGGATTTGGCAGCCCCCTCACCGAATAATCCAGGAGCGCTCCCCTCACGGTTGTGCAACGACTTAATTGAACCCAAGATAGGATTTATAAGCAAGTACTTGTAAATTTCTCGTCGTACCTCAATGGGAATCGTCTTCAAGAGGTGGCATTTCTTGCGAAAAGGCTCCAGATCTCTCAGACGCGCAGCCAAAGCTTGCTCTCTTTGTTGGGACTCAGCTAAAGCCGACCGTAATATAGCAACTTCGAATTGTGGGGAATCTATGGTGACGGTGTTCAAGCCAAGTTGTTCTTGCTTGCGAAGAGCGGCCGAGAGCGCAACTTGCAATTCCATACCATTGGCAGTTTCGATGTTATATGCAATTGAGGCCTCCAAACCTGCTTGACTTCTGGATTTTAGCTTTCGCCATGAACCCAGAATGAGCTAACTTACCTCGGGAGATGTTGGTTGACACGGGGGGTTGCTGCCTCAGTCGCGTCCGGAAGTGGCGCCACGTTCATGTTCTTTCGCCTTTGAGGGGCAATTTAGAGACAAATCCAAGTTGGGATACAATAAATAATAGGACTTACTGTTTGGAAGAGACCATATTGGCTATGTATGATCCGAGTAGTGCGCAGCGTTGCGCACACGATCGAAGATCGAAGATCGAACAGATGAAGACGGAGTTGGAAATTCTTGACAAGAATCAAAATACAAAAGTTGGTATAGGTTAATCGATATACGCCAGCGGCCGTTGCTCCGACTGCCGCTCTTCGCTTACGCTTAAAGAAGGGACGGGTTTTGTGTGAACTAAAGTCTGGTTATAAGTAGTGTTATCGATAGTTTAATCGATTTACTTAGCGCCCTTTACTGGTCCCATTTCCACCGACAGTCGTCTGATTATGAGACACTGTTTGAGAGTTTCATTGAAATTACTGAACTCTCAGAACAGGATGAATTCAAACTTGACTTAGCATTGCTTAGCACATGATATATTTGAAGCTCTTGTCTCATTTCACTTCCCATATCTCCCTTTCATCCAGCCTTTCTTTCATTCATAGCCATAGCACACGAAAGTGCTGAGAAAAACCTCGTCAAAGTATGAAGTTTTAATCTCTTAACAACTCAAGTACTTATGTTAGGGAAATGATGCACATATAATATTAATTTATATCACGTGCTACTCCATTCGTGTACTGCTAGCCAGGTCCCTTTGAGAGCTCACACTGCTGCAAGTGAAATCAGATCTGACCTGAACCGGTGCAGTTTTCAGAGAGAAAATGAGGCGTCGCGGGGCGTTCAGTTGAAACCGAAAAACTATTCATGAGTTGTAAGGAAGGTAGGCGGAAAAGAATCATAGATACCAGTTGATGTACGCCAGGGGCCTCTGCTCCGACTGCCGCTATTCGCTAGTGGTTGAAAGGAGGGATAACTTGCCAATTGGACGAGGCACACTTCTTGCACAGAATTTGTTGGACTGTCCACACAAAATCAAAGAAGTATCATAATATTATTACGTGTTATAACTTATTGGGTTATGTTGAAAAGATCCAGAAAGATATTTGAATTTCATGTACTGGTGCGCTGAGAAGTAAAACATGCAGCACTTTGAATTCCAAGATTGTGGCCTAGGCAACCAGCAACTTATAACTTATTTCCCCGGACTTAGAGGACGACTTTTGTGTGAATTCAAGTTCAGCCATGTCGAAGAGCATAGCACCCAGATGAAAAGAACTTGAGACCTGTGAGCCGATCCTACACTAAATGGAATTGCTCTGGTCATTGTTTATTGTTATTGGTTGAAGGAAATGATTAGTCGGGCGTGACATGAAGTCTTGACATGGAGAAGGGCACCAAAATTACAATATCAGTAGATACTAGTCAATGTACTTCAGCAGTAATGGCTCAGACTACCTTAACTCGCCAGATGCTGACGGCAGTGAACAGTCTGGCATGAATTGCTGTTATAAGGAAGGGTGTAGGACCAGCGTTTAAAGGTGCGAAGAAGATGATTGGGGAGCAATGGTACATGTAGAATACTTGATGATCGAACATTACCTGGAAGTCTTAAATATTCTGCAAGCATCCAGAGATTTGTCGGTTTAAGCAACTTTGCAAGTGTAGAAAACAGCATTTGAAATGGCTCGAATGAGTTTAAGCAACAAGCGCTGGACAAGAAAGAGCAACACAAAGGCAGAGAACGCTCAAAGGTAAAGGTACAGTAAACATCGCATTGGCTCAGGTGTTTCTTTCACAGGCCAGCTTTAGCAAGAGTTTCATGAAGAACGCTGTGATCACTGATGTCAACGTTGACGTCCTCTTGCATTTGTGTCTGCGCGGTGGTCTGATAGTCGTGAAATATGAAACTGCCAGTTTATGCCGATGAATGGCGGTAATTGGGTGACACATTTTGCAGCTTGTGTAGAGGATTACACCACATTGAATGTAGCTACTGCTGTGATTATGCATTCAGTGTGAGAATGCGGATTTCGGATGAAGTGAGGTTTGAAATATTAGCGTGGCTGAATGGCCAATCAGATTGAATCTGAAATTGTGGGTCGGAAAGGCTGTGATTCAAAAAAGTTGTCCCCCACCACATACCAACATCAACAACCTCAAATTGCCCGCAATCTCACGGCACGCACCCGCAAAGACCATCATAAATGCGGTGACCCTGCAGAAGCTCTTTAACAAACGAAACTCACACCCGCCACAATGCCGCCAAAAGGTGCGCGAGGCGGTGCAGCGCGAGGCAGAGGCCGTGGACGAGGAAAGGCTACAGCTCCTGCAGCACCAAGTGCAATGGAAGGCCTAATTGGAGAGTCTGCCAATGAACCTTCGAGCCAATCCACTCTCGAAGACTCCTCCCTGCCCTCAGCAAAGATCACAACGCCTCAACATCTTCTCGATGACAATTCAGTACCCTCACCCAATTCTTCGCCAGTCTCAATTCCGACCGAAACCCCTGCCCCAACGCCTGCGCGCGCTCCCATACCACGATCAGAACCTACAGTTTCATCTTCAAGTCATGTTGGGGAACCTTCAACACGAGGTGGACGAGGTGGGGCTCGAGGCGCGAAGCCTGCTGCTGCAAGTCGATTCAAGCCAAAGAATGTGAGAAGCGATGCTAGCAAGCTGAAGGAGATCGCCGAAAGAGAGGAGGCAAAATTACATCAGTTGGCTGTTGAGAAGGCCAGAGAGCAGGCCAGATTGTTGCGTGGGAGAGGCAGACTAGCAAGAGGGAGAGGTGATGTTATGGGCAGAAGGGTTGCAACTGCTAGCGGGATATTCTCAATTGCTCCTGAAGCTCTGAGTACGTTCTTCCTTGGTTCTGAAACGAATCTTGATGCTAATTTCAACAATCAGAATCCAATCCCGAGTTCGCGTCAAAGTTCAAGTCAGGAGGAGGTGGTGGTGGTAGTTCGTCCGGTGTCAAGAAGGAAGTCGGTGCCTCTTCACGCGCAGGTGGTCCAGGAGGGTCAAGAGGTGGTGAGAGTCGCAGTCAGGATTACGAACCACGATACCCTGATCAAGATGAAGATACTCCAAGAATTGATATCGAGACGATCAATATCTCCTCTGACGACGAAGAACCTGTTTTTGCTGGCTTTCGGCCAGCCCTGAACGGCAAAGCAAAAGCTGGCTCAAGTAAAGGAGGTCTAAAGCCAGTTCGCCTACACAGAGAGGAACATAAAGAGCGTGTCACATTGGTCAACACAGAACCGACAACGAAGCCGCCTCCAGAGGACGATGACGAAGAGTTACCCACGATTGATGAGTTAAGATCTGCCAAAGCTACGCGCATTAATGAGCCATCGAGCCCAAAAGCAACCTTCATCAAATACGAGGTGGACGATGGAGATATGCAGATGTCATTTCGCTCTGGCAAACCACCGCCAAGTGCTTCACCAGATGCAAAACGCAAATTGCAAGAGTCGAATGCCTTCATACCACCCATTGAGCTCGATACCATTCCAGAAGGGTCGGCCGAAGCAAATGCTAAAGCGAAGAAAGAACAGAAGCAACGAACAGCCACAAAGAAAGCCGACAAGAAGCCTGTCCTGCAGACTGCACAAGATAAAGCAGAATACGAACGTCATTTACAAGATGTGGCTATTCTGGCAGACGAACTCGGTGGCCTCCAGGGAAATCTACGCGACATAGGCAAAGGAAAGGATGTCGAAGGTGATGTTGAAATGGGAGGCACTCTTGCAGAGGATGACAAGAAAAGTGGTCGATTATATCTTTTCCAGTTCCCTCCTGTGTTACCCGAGCTCTACAATCCCATCCATGGGAAACCAAAATCTCCAGCCGAGGTGAAGGCAGAAGAACTTGCCAAAGCTGAAGAGGAGAAGAAGGCCGCTGAAGCTGCAGCAAAGGCCGAAGCGAAAGGGAAGAGTAAAAGCAAAGCCGCTGATACCAACACTGACGCAGTTGAGATCAAGGTCGAAACGACTCCCGCTCTTTCGCCAGAAGACAGGAAGAAGAAAGAGGAAGAGGAAAAACGAAAGAAGAGGCAAGGCTTCGTCAAAGAACAGGGTTACATCGGCAAACTTATTGTTCGCGAGAGCGGTCGAGTAGAACTTTCCTGGGGTGGCACGAGTCTGCTCGTTGGGCGAGGTGTGGATGCGGGATTTCTGACGACGGGTGTAGTGGTTGATAGTCAGGAACGCGGCCCACCTGGTGGTGGAGTTCCCGAGGGCCAGGCAATGAGTATGGGGCAGATCATGGGGAAGTTTGTCGTCACCCCAGACTGGCAGAAGATGGCCTGATATGTGAATGCGGGAGTGGTTTCCGGAGAATGGGAAGCGATGTGATGCATTTACAGGAGCGGAAAAAGAGTTGCATAGCCTGGCGTTTTCTGGGCTCTGCAAGAGCTTTCAATTGACATTTTCGAGGTCAGGCAAGAGAGACGACTTGATGGGTAGACGAATAAATATGTTTGTGTTAAGACATTAGGAGCCTTTGCTTCATACTTGGTGAACTGGGTTCAGTCAATGGCCTCTTGCAGTATCGCTTCATGTCCAAGTGGGCTTTACGTTCTCTCAATTCCATTTGACCTTCTAGTTTGATACCTCCATTTCACACGACTAAACAGCTCTCCGAGGCTTCATTTCAAGAAGCTTCACCCTCCAAGCCCTCAGCCTATCCCCAAAACACTCCTTTATCCCCTTCCCACATCACGTGCGCATCCCACCCCGCGTTCTGCTGCCGAAAGTGGACGTTCCACATTCATCCCCACAGTGGCGGACCCCGCCCCCGCCTTCGCTCTAATCCGACGACCGACGCCGAGATTGAGGTGGACTGGAAGACGTGTCGGGAATTTATGTATGAGCGGTTAATGTGAATATTTCTCCTGCGCTTGGAATGTCTGTTTTCTGCATAATTTTTTTTTAAGAAAAACATTAGGGTGAGGGATTGTATGATTTGAAAGCAGATAAGGATTTGAGAGAGGTGAGATTGTACGGGTTAGAGGACGACAACGACGATCGAATCTTCATCTCAACTTGAGCGACTTCGAGGACGATAAGTGTATTAGAAGTCTTGGGCAAGATTCTGGGATTGAGCACTTTGCTTGAGACGAAGGACTACACCAGCAACTGCCATCATATCTTCCTCAACTCCAGGGAATCACCACCAGCCTCGAACCTCTGTCCTTTCCGACAACGGACAAGATGGGCTCCATCTCAACAGACGACAAGATGTCCATTCATCTCATAATCATTGGTGCTGGTTTGGCAGGTCTCTCAGCAGCAATTTCCACCAAGATTGCGAGTCCAGCACATCAAGTTACGATACTAGAATCAGTAAAGGAGCTCGCTGAGATAGGTGTATGTACCTCCCCCATTGATGTATCTGTATCTCTTCTTCCCGTCACTCTTGGCACCTCAAACTGACACATTCATTCCAGGCCGGATTACAACTCACACCGAACGCAACCCGACTCTTCAAACCCTGGGGAATCTACGACCAACTGGTCCCCAAAGCCACCTTCCCCCAATCCCTCACAGTCCGCCGCTTCGACGGCACCAAAATCCTCGCCCACGAACCCGCCTTCCAAGACCAGATCTCCTCCCGCTACCCAGCTCCCTTCTGGGGCATGCACAGAGTCGACCTACAACGCGCCATGGCTGCAAAATGTGCCGAGCTTGGCGTGGTGCTGAGACTCAATTCCAAAGTCGTGCACGTCGATTTCGTGGATGCAGAAGTGGAGATAGAGGGCGGGGAGTGGGTGCGAGGTGATGTGGTGCTTTGTACGGATGGGCTGTGGAGTGCCACCAGGTCGCAGTTCTTGGGGATGCCGAGCCCGGCGATCCTTACTGGCGATTTGGCGTATCGGATTGTCATCAACACGGAAGATTTGACGGGACCTGATGCTGAGGAACTAAAGGAATTTATATTGAGCCGACAAGTCAATTTCTGGGTCGGTCCCGGGACGCATGTTGTAGCGTACACGATGCGCGCTGGTACTGTATACAACATCGTGCTCCTTTGTCCCGACAATCTACCTCCCAATGTCTCGAAGACGGAGGGAGATCTCATGGAGATGAAGGATCTGTTTGTGGGCTGGGATCCTATTTTGAGGAAATTCCTGGACCAAGTTAAGGGAGTCGCGAAGTGGAAATTGATGTGGCTAGACGGTCTCGACGAGTGGTGCAACAAAGACGGTACCTTCTGGATGGCAGGAGACTGCTGCCATCCCATGCTTCCATATCTCGCTCAAGGCGCAAACTCATCACTCGAAGACGGTGCTGTTCTTGGATACTTGCTAGGTAAAGTGAGTAAAGAGAAGAAAGCGGAACAGTTGCCAAAAGCTGCGAAGCTGTATCAAGATTTGAGGAAAGAGCGAGGAGAGAGGATCCAGAAAGAGACGTTTAAGCAGAGAGATGATTTCCATATGCCGGATGGAGAAAGGCAGATCAAGAGGGATGAATTGATGACTGGGATGTTGGGAGGTGAGTTAAGGGATGATGTGGATTTTCCGAGTAGGTGGACGTGTCCGAGGGCGCAGAGGTGGTTGTATGGGTATAATGCTTACAAGGAGGCGGAGGAGGGATTTAAGGCGCATCCTTTCTGATGTTGGGGTAACAACGGGAGTGGCATCTGGCCATATACTTTGTGTCATGAAGGCGCATGGGATTTTGGCAGCTTGTTGACGTAGAACTTTGCATGGAATTGGGTTATAGTTACAGTAGATGCTTTGGATCATTCTTCTCTGCATGCTTGCTATTTCCTCATCCGTGTCATGGAAGCATCATGCGACTGCGCGCCTTCGATTTGAATACTGAATGTGAAGTGGCTCTGGCAGCTTGATAAAACACATACCTGCGAAGAAGATAACCAGGGTCGTAAAGACGATCAACACCAACTCAGCTTCTGGCCAGGGAAGTTATGTCGTCATTCTGTGCAATTGAGATTGTTTCTATCTTGATTCTCCAAGCTACAACTAAGAAACTCCCAACATGTACTGTCCTGCACCACTCTCAACTCCATCAGTGCGGCACCAAACGCGGTTGAGTATCAATTTGGACCAGTAGTGGTCGCCTGGCTATTTTGTTCTAGGGTCTGTAATGGGTAGGGCTCGCCGGAGGGCGACAAATTGAAGTCCCGGAAATACTTTTGTGTGTTCCATTTGCTTGGATCAAATGTGTCCAATGGTGAAGTGTCAATAGGTGTCGTTGGCTTAGTAAGAAGGGCGGGATTTTTTGGGAGGCATGTTGCTTAGAAGGTGGCAAAACGGAGAGCGTTTATGGAGAAGTAGAACCGTTCGAGCTAGATCGTCTTCAGATACGGCATGCTCGTCTTTCTTCACAATATGCAACAAAAAGGACTTCTCGAGCTCGCCAGATGGTACATCAAGGGTTCTGGCGGACTCGTCCGCAAGGTTATTGGTGTAGATGTGACTCACCATAAACCCGAGACAAAGCCAAAACCAGACACACCTTCAAAATCGACTAAGAACCCAGAGCAACTAGAAAGAGCAAGAGACACGAAGGCTCTCATCAGCCAAAACAGGGGACTCGTCTTCGAGGTTCTTGCCGCCCGTGGACTTCCTCGCCGTCCGTTTCGTTTGATATTTTTTTGGAGGAAGGAGGATAAAAGAGGACGCAACAAAATCTGGCGACGGCTGATAGATGATCCTTTTTTGCCTATCTCAAGTTAGTATAAAGGCATGTTTGCGTTGTAAAGCAAATAAGGGTAGACTCACTGGGTATGAATATTGTCCCATGTTGGCTCAGGGAAAGATTAAATTTGTGCTTCAATCGCGTCCAAATTCAATTTCCTACCCAAGAAACATTGTAATGATTGTTGTGTAGTGTTTGTTGGTAAAGCGTGAAGTATCGCTTGTGGTCGTTGAACATTTGTGTATATTGTGGTAGGATAGATCGAAATATGAGGTTCGTTCTAGGTACGGGATGATTGAGTAGAAGGCTGTGCTTATTGGGAGCCCCACTTCAAAACATATCACGAGGCGTGCTGTCGAGACGAGGTGTTATGAAGTATTGTGAACAGAAGCTTCGAGAGTTAAAACAGTCTTAGTGGATGTAGTGATGGTGGGAATGATTTGGGACTGGTCGAAACTATTCCTGTTAGTATTGGCATTCGCATTGACAAAAGGGTAGAGATCTGTACCACGGGGTCCCTTGACCAATCTCTCCCAGGAAACTCGAGAAGACTTCCATGGTGTAGCGTAGGTCTCCAGCGATGGGCTTTCGAGATTGATTCAGTAGGATCGCAGCGCACGTTTGCCGTGTTGAGAGTCCCGGCAGAAAGCTAGAAGCGAAGCAGTATGCTCTTGAAAAAATGAGGCTTGCAACGTCTAATGAGGTAAAGAGCATGCGAGTATGGGAATCGCTCTGCTAGACTCACACTGTCTTCTTCCTGGAGCAATGTGCTCCAAGCTTGAACGACAGATATTAGGTGATCTGTGGGCTTGGATCGAGGACAATGAGCATAGGAGGTCTGATTGTGGTGTTTTCGACGTCAAACCTCTGCAAGGTTAGCTTAGGTCTAAATACGTATAAGACTGCAGAAGGTCTTAATTTACCTCAAATTTTGACACCCAATATGAGAAGAGGTTCTGAGCAGAAATTGAAACGACGGAACTTCATTTCGTTTCTCGGTCGAGTGTGTTTTAGCGAAAGAAGCTGGAATGACGATCAGGCAGCTTTAGAGACTGACTAGGAGCTAGTGGTAAACTATGCTATGATAGAGAATGAAAGTTCAAGCAGAGACCCAAAGGGCAACTGACTGAAACTGACCATGAGAAGAAGATCAAGACTCAAGGGGACAAGGTAAAGACAATATGGGAAACTGATCTTGAGTGATCTCTCTGAGTGACAGAGTTGAAGCCTTGCGACTGGCACCAATTTGGCTCCGTGCATGAGTGTGGTTGTACACAACTGAAGCTACATGGGAGACGAAAAAGAAAATCGAAGCCAGCAAGCCACAACCCGGTTCCTTGACCACTCGGAATCTCTTGAGCAATCATATGCCTGATAGTGCTGGAGCCTGAATCCGTGGATACGAGCCGGCAGCCTAGCGTGATGCTCCGAACGAATCGTTTTAACAACAATCAGATTTTTGAAACACTTGGAGGGGTAATTCCCGCAACCTCCGACGCGATTGCCTGTTTCTCTGCTCGGAGATTTCGCAGCCATTTTCACGTCCGGCGCGCTGCAGCAGGGGCTGAGATCGACGCGACTTCGCGGCTTCTAGCATTGGGACGAAGAAGCTCGGTGAGAGAAAGAGGGAAAAGCTGGAAGCTACTCTCCTGGCAGCTCCTGAGAGGGTCTGGTTTTGGTGGAACGGAAAAACAATACCCTACATCGATGCTTCATTTCTGTGGAACATATCACGTGGTAAAGTCACAACAGAAACTCTTTTACAGCAGATCTAAGTTTGGATCATAAAAAAAAGCTAAAATCGGATTAATTCCCTATTCATATCCAATTGCAGCAGAAAAAGAATGGAGCTAATGTTTCACGTGACTGTCATCTTTATGTTCATGCAGGTGGTTCCGAGTCCACAAGCTGGCGTCGTATAAGGGAAGCTTTAGTGATGAGCAGAATCCAGCAGCTAAGTCTGTTCTCATCCTTGATTTCGATTTAGGCATTATGTAATAAATCTCAAAGCTGTGCTTCATGTTGCAGTTAAGGGGCCGACGATGTAAGCGAGGAATGAGCCAGCAAGTCTATCTTAACCGAATCTGGTTCTTGACGAGCCTCACTCCCACTCTCTGATACCCCGACGACTTTCCAAGAGCTGCCTTTAGCCCACAATATGGATATCAAGGAGTCACAATCTCTCCTCGCACACAAAATCCATCAATACGTTGCCAGTTCCACGACGCCGGAGGCCCACACGCTCGAGACATGGACCTCGACAATCAATACAGGAGACGACGTTGAACAGAGATATTGGATTATGTGACTGTCTCTCCTTTACCTGTCCAGCTTCTTGCTGATCAAGACGTCTAGTTATGTCCATGGAGGTGCTTGGTGGCGACCCATGATCACGGCTTCTTCATTCGCGTTGACAGTGAAGCACCTCATGGCATCACCGAGATCCTCTCACATTGCAGGCTTCGCATCACTCAACTACAGACTTTCAGCACCACCTCCTCTACCTCAGTTCGCGCAGTTCGCAGAACCTGAGAACCCTGCTCGCAATGTCAAGCATCCAGCTCATCTCAACGACGTCATCGCTGGTCTCCGATATCTGCAGCAGGAACACAGCTTCAAGGAGAACTATATCCTCGTTGGCCATAGCTGTGGAGCGACTTTAGCCTTTCAGATTCCCAATGGGGTCGATGTGGAGCCACCATCAGCAGTGATTGGCGTCGAAGGAATTTACGACTTAGGAAAACTTAGAGATGATCACGTGAACGTTCCCATGTATCAATATTTCATAGAGAGTGCTTTCGGAAAAGACGAGCAAGAGTGGAAAGACGCAAGTCCGGTGAGCCAGCGGAACGAAAAAGGCTTTTCATGGCAAAGATCAAAAGTTGTGGCTTTGGCTCAGAGTGATGAGGATGAACTGGTGAACAATGCTCAGCGGGACGCGATGTGGGAAGTTATGAAAATGAATGAATCTGCGGATAGGAAGGACATCCTGATTTGGTTGACGGGAAAACATGATGAAATTTGGAGAGAAAAAAACCCAGAACCACAACTGAAGATTGCCATTGAGGAAGTGCTGAGTAGATTGTGAGATGAGCTCACGTGTATCCACTTTTATTCGCTCTTTTAGGTCCAATTCAGGGCTCACTTAGAGGAGGATACTGCGACGAACTGTCCTCTTGACAATTTGAAAGTACACATCAACGTGATGTTGAAAGAAAGGTTATGCGATTGTATCAGCATTATACAGATGTCTAAGCGAGGTTTGAAGATAAGTTGGAAGTCGCAAACAAAATCTGCCGACCGAGGCGCGCGCTAATAACCAACCATCCAGACAAGGATTCTCATCAAAAGCAAGCAAATATGATTGCAAACCGCACTTGACATCTCGTTCCTTCAGATCTTCTATTTCCCTCCTTACCAGAGAGCCAACCACTGCTTTTCAATTCAACATTGCTCATAATTCCTGCGCAAGCAAACGACAGCCTTGTAGCCTTGCAGCCTCGCCAGCTGACGTTGAGGTCGTGTTTTCTTGAGGAATCACCACTGCTACTAACGCTGAAAGTGAGAGGCAACTCTTGTTTCGGTTTTCCTTATTACCGGGTAACATCTACAATGGCTCCATATTCGGCTTCTAGCGAGTTTCAAGACTCGGACGACTACTCTGATGTTGATGAAGACCAAACAATTCTAAGACGAGGCAGGCAGTCTCTTGGTATCTCGAAACGGTATGTCCGAAGCTGGAAACCAGGACATGCCATCCGAGAATTCTATCAGAACTGGTAAGGTCAAACCTGAGTCTTTGCCACACTGTCTAAACTTTCACCTTTACAGGAAAGACGCCATTGTCGAAACTGCAAGATTGCATCAAAAGGATCTCTGCCCCTCTGTCAAAGGATTCGACGCAAAAGATGTGTACACCGTTGAGGCACGTCACCCGGTCTCTAAGGAGCTTCTCGGATTCATTCGTTTCAAAGATGGAACACTTGAATTCACCAATTTCAAAGCACAGCTGAGCCGTACTGCCCTGGACCTTGGGGAGACCTCAAAGGTCGGCAATGAACAAGCAGCTGGAACTCACGGAGAGGGTTTCAAAGTTGCGTCTTTGGTAATGGTGCGTGAAGGTTACCGGGTCCAATACGAGGCTTCCAACTTCACGTGGACCATGAAATTCGCTGGGAGAGACAAAAACATGCTCTACTGTTTCTTGAGAGACATGTCTGAAACCAAAATTGCGACACAGAAAATCAAATACAACGCCAGACTTCAAAAGGGTGCTTCTCGTGAGCTAAAGAACAACATATGGGAAGATGTGTCGGTCAAAATTGGAAAGGTTAATGGTATCGGTGACAAGATCGAGAAGGTCAATTTCTTGAAATGGATTGACGTGTCTCTCGACCTCAATCGTCCTCTAAAAATGATCGACACTCCTCACGGTCAACTCATCCTGGACGATGCTTTCAAAGGCAGGATCTATCTTAAAGGCCTTCTGCTTGAGAATTCTTCCACAACCAAGCCTTTTCAGTTCGGGTATAACTTTTTCAACGGCACTGTAGATCGGGACAGGAAAGGATTGACCCACTCGAGCGAAGAAGTAAGCGTACTGGCTCAAATTTGGGCTGCAGCCATTTGGTCCAACGAACAGGACACTCTCGAGAAGTATGTTTTGATGCTTCGCCGCCAAGAAGCAGCAGACGTGGATCAGACTGAGGCCTACATGTCAGACGCAACGGCAAAGAAAGTTTGGGAACACCTAGTAATGATTGACTCAGAGAAGAAGAGCTTTTACCACGACCGTCGCAATGGAGACAAGGTGACAACCACCTGCACCAACCACTTTGGATAATTCTGAGCTAACACACGTGATTGCATTAGGACATTGAGATCATTCAGAGCAGCCTGAAGAAAGAACCAGAACAACTCCCAGGCAGTCTCTGGGACGCTCTCAGAAAGTTCCATCTTGTAAGAACCCCACAAGAACAGCAACGTTACCTTCTGCAGAATGCAGCACCAGCAGAAGATATTAGAACCACATTTGCTACTACAGTTCAACGAGGTCTTCGTGCAGCCTTTGCATTGGACTCGAGAACACGAACGCTAAACTTAGAGTTCAAACGCGGAGACAAAACAGATCTCAGTTTGCTCTATGTAAATGGTTTTCTAACGATGAACGATAAATGGCTTGATTTTCAGCGCAGCCATGGTCGCAACAAATGCCCCCTCGCGAGCGAACACAAGCCGGGACAATCTTGGGATGATTATTTCGAATGCGACCACATTGTAACGGATCTATACAGAGAGGTACTGGAGGAAATTAAGCGTCATCCAGAACTGGTTGAAGACGAAGTGGCTGCAGTTGACGATTCGTTGCATCTGAAGGTCTGCGGGAGTCTCCGCCACATGCCAATCATGATTACCACAGAACAAATGTCCGATCCGGGAGCTATCGAAGTCAAGTGGTTTGACCTAGATCATGATGTTTTCAAGGTAAATGGCGTGGATCCTCTATGCCGGGTGGTATTGCATCGAGAGAGTACATGTTCTGCCAGACGGGACGAACTCCTCTACAAAGGTTAGTGCTATGGAATCCTGTACAAGTTCATTAAAGTGACGCATTGCATTAGCTACTCTAACGGAACATCTTTGGACAGATGAGCCTCTCAGCACGTTACCTACAGAGGACACTTGTGGCTGTCACATTGAACGTGTTCCTCGATTGAAATCAAAAGTTGTGTTCAGCGGATTAGATTCCAATGAGAAGTACTTCGCAATGGTTTCTCGAAACGAGCATCAAGAATTTCTTGGAGTACCTCCAAATAGCATCTCTCCCAGAACAGCGCCTGCACGAAGCGTTGTTTCTCCACCGATTGTGCGGGATTATCTAGGGACGCGATCACAGACTGCAAAGAAGTCCCCGAAGAAGGCTTCTTCACTTGGGGTTCATGCCCGCAGCAGCTCTGTAGGCACACAGATTGCGGACTTATATGACGATTCGCCTGCTGGTGCTGGTGCTGTGGCTGATGACTGTTCAGCTGCCGATCAGGACTTGGATGATGACATGGATGACAATCAAGGCGCGGGTAGCACAGATAAGCCGGAAGCTGGTGTCGAGTCTAGCGTAAGGAAGAGCACTTCGCCAACTACGAATCAAGCTCTACAGGTCAGTCAAATCACAGTGCACAAGAATCCTGGACACTGACTCCTTCTAGGCCATACAAGAAGAGCTCTCAACACACAAACAACTTGTCTTATCACGGGACCAGGAAATAAACGGTTCGAAGAAGAAGCTGCTTGAGCAAAAAGATCAACTCGAAGCAAATGAGTTAGCTTTGGAAAGTTTGCGACTAGAGATAGATAGTCTGAAAGCCCAGATCAGCCGATTACAAGAGCAACCAACACAAAACGAACTAGAACTCCAAGCTCAAGGTAATCACTTGAGAGAGAAAGAAGAAGACTACAACTTGGCACTAGCAGAAATCGAGTCGGCCCAGAGTATCCTACTAGCGAAACAAGCAGAGATCGATCAACTTCAACAAGAAGAGGAGGTTGCCAGTCGGACCATTGACAATCTTCGTTCCCAAGTCCAGCAGTTGAAAGATGATAACGAGGACCTGGAAGCCCGGCTCGACGAAGCAGAGATGAATTACGATACTCAAGTGCGACTCGCTATAGAGACTGCCGAGCGGCGACGACGACGAAGACCACGACATGATACTGGGAAGAGAGGACGTGAGAGTACGGAGGACGACTTTACTATCAAGACAGAAGGCTCATCGAAGAGACAGAAGATGGTCATTACAACTGCACAAAAAGGCATTGTTGATTTGACTTCTGACAATGATGTTTCCAACAATCGCACTTCTACACGGAGTTCTACTTGAGTGGCAAGAGCAGAAGCTGTGTCTTTTCTGGTGCTGAGAAGGGGCATGGTCAGGTCGTATCAATATGAGACCAAGTTTATTCTTTTCATCGCGTTATAAATGGCGTGCGCAAATGCTATCAAAGGGATGGGAGGCACTCAAAAGTAAGGACAAAATTGTATATACCAAAACAATCGCGAAACGGGTATCGCAGCCAAAAAAATCCTCATACTTCACCCCTGACCACGAAAACTCGAATGGCGTCCAATCTGTTGTCCCTCCGCCCCTTCACTAACCTCCTTTGAATTCGTATTCAAATCTTGATACTTGTCAAAAGTCAATCATCCCATGTGCTGCTGACAGCCCCGCCGTCGAAAGCCGAAATTAATGACGTGAGATGAACTTCTCTAGCACTACTCCAACGTTGCAGACTTTCTTAGATGAAAAGATCAACCTTCAAGTCTGGATGGTAGGGCGCAGAAGACCAAAGCTGCTTTGGCAACATGTTTCATAGTGTCATGTGATCGGTGATTTCTTGCTTTGTACGAAACTGCAGAACGGAAACAATTGAAGACGTTTGTGACTTTTCCCCCTCAGTATTAGGTAGGTGAGATTGTGCGCGAAGACTACTCGGCACTTACCATAGCCGTCTGAATGGCTCCCATAGCACGGTTCTTCTTTCCATGGCGTGAAGTTGCCAAGCTAATATCATACCGTGTTCTTAAATGCCGGGTTGGTGCGCGAGTGCCGCCAGATTCGAGGCACTGGCGTCAACAGTGGTGGCGTTTCCATACTCCTTTCCACAAGAGTTGATGTATATGGTCTTGGGCTTCTTGTCAGGCAGATGGTTCCAAATGGTGGAGGTGCGACTGCGAATGATAGACGGAGATTCTGGGCCAGCATAGGGATTACCAGCCATATTGCGAGCATGATACTCATCAAGAGCTTCATTCGTAAGGGACTCAAACGGATCAACAACGCCATCAACAACGCTATCAACAGAACTTTCTTGAGAGCTAGCCGCAACTTTTCCTATTTTCTGATTTCCCACATTTCCTGGTCGTCATGTGCTTACCGTTGACTCGTGGCTACCGACCAGCTTGACGGATTTACAGCCCAAAATTCGAGTATAAAAGGGTGTCGTTCAAGGAATATTCTCGTCCTCAAACATATGCGAAGAAATAGTATCGCTTGCGAGTACGCACCAAGGTTCCTTGACTTGCATGCTTATTTGAATGATATTTACACTGAATTTAATGAATAGACGGGCAACAAACTCTGGTAAGAACCTTAGTATGACCACGAGTGCTTCGATCACCCCTTCGCTCTTATTGACAAACGGAGTGAGCGCGACGCTGACTTTGATGGTCAACAGCTCTCTTGTATTTGTCATGTCGTTGCTGAGCCATCGGCAGTCGCTACAACGTGTGGCATCTTCTTCTTCATGTAGTCCAGCGATTTACCAACGAAAGCCGTCTCGTACAACAGTGTCGGTGGGACCATTCCTCGTCTAGATCTTTAGCTTGCGACAATGCTAACATCCGAATTATTTCGCCATCCCGGAATTCATAAGAATAAGTGCAAATCCGTTTCGGCTTCACATGTATCGGAACTCCGAGGAGTCTTAATATGCGTTCGTACTTCTGTACTAGTACGGAATTTCAGGTCTCGAGAATGTTCCCCGTGTCTTCGCGACTTTTCTTTTCCTTTCCAGGTGAACGAGTCGGGGTGAAACAAGTACTCAAGAAGGGACCCTGGTCCCTTCTTGTAAAACCACGCGTCTGTATACTTTGGGCTCGAGTCTTTCTCTCCAATGGTTGTATGCTTTGGTGATTGCATGATTAACCAAACTTCCCCAAGACCGGAAGAAGCTAGGGTACGAGTAGGGCGCGGGACAGCTCCCTCAATAAAGCTCCTTCTTGCCTTGTCCGCTCCCCATCGGGCAGCTCAAGAAGGAGCTTTTTCTCGTCCGGGACTGAGGTTTTTCCTCGGTCCCCAAAATGATGTTCTTTTCCATAAAAGCCGTGTAGATCATTCTCGGTGAACCTTATTCACCGGCTTGGAGCCCGCAGGACGCCCAAGGATAATCGATCCAAAAGTATTTTTCCTCCTACCTGTCCTTGGAGAGATGAGCGTCCTGCGGACATTGCTTCGTAGCGTTCGTTCTTGAAGATTTCGGGCAGTACTCGAATTGGTTCGCGTTGCAAGCATATCTTGTATCGATGTGATCAAATTCGCGGCTACACCGCTTGCCGTATGTGACCACCATGTAAGGCAACGGCGATTCTGCAGGTGATTGATTGACAGAAGGCCGCGACACGCTCGAGCTTTCGATGGGACAGCTGTATACGGGCTCGAGCCTGGGTCTACGTGAAGTCAGATAACAAGCAGCTGCAATCCAACTGGGACGCATACTCATCTGCGATGGCGTCTTGTCTCAAAGTCTGTCGAATTGATACCCTACCGGCGTATCTGCTACGCCCCGCACGTCTGCACAAAGCCTAAGCTGGATGCATGGTCATTGCACACTCTCCTGCGATCTTCGGCACTTTTACGTGTACCGAAAGCACGGAATCGCGCATCAAGGACTCTGACGATAATGCTGGGGTCCTCGATGCGCGACTGAGGAGGAAAGCAGAGGGGAATGTAAACATCCGGCTGAAGAGAAAGAGATTCGGATGCGCGCTAAACGTGATGAAACAAACCCGTGCTCAGATATGCCCGCACAGCGGGGTAGATGGCGGGGTCTGGGTAGCAGGGGCAAGATTCTGGAAATGAGTTTTGAGAGACCTTTCACTTGTAACGCGAGTCTTCAACAAATCAAATACTTCCTTGCTATGTCTTCGAGATGAGATGTAGCTGCCTGAAAATCAATCCCGACACCGCGAGTGCCAGAGCACCCCCCTTTTCATTTTAAGCGATAAGTGATGCTCGTTTCATTTATGCTGCTGCCTTAAACTTTCCTGAACCTTACCAAGACCTTAAATACCATTCAGAATTCATATAATAGCTTGTCTACCGCAGCTCTTATGTTATTTCATACGTCCTAGGAGAGAGAATAGGGGAGCTACATAATCAAGCTCGTGTCAAAGGTCTCGAAAGTTCAGGATGGATTCCTTTGAGAAGAAACTCTCTAAAGCAACATCTATTGATAGTCGAGAGATCTTAGGAGCAATCAGTATGGTGGTAGACCGACAAGGTGAGTCTTCTGCTTCTCGACCAAGGTGTAAGCTTTGTAGCTAAAAACTTCCAGGGACCCCTCTTTACCACTATGCATCAGGCTATCAATCATTAGCCCCCGATGACCCGTCCATTCTTCATAACAGTGCCTTCGTCATGGCATCAGCAGGCAAATTCATCACCCACATCGCAGCTCTCCAATGCGTCGAGCATGGCCTCATCAGCTTGGATGAGCCAGTTCATCCATACCTTCCAGAATTGGAACACATTCACGTCTTGTCAAAGAATCAGGAACTGAATGCAGTAGCTCGATCTTTTGATTACCGACCAGCAAGTCGGAAGATCACGCTTCGCCACCTTCTCTCGCACACGAGTGGTGTTGGTCATAAATCTAACCCAATGATCCAGGAATGGCGAGCTGCGAAAGGCGAAGCTCCAAAAGCAGATTATCATCCGAAGGTGGATATTGCTAAGAATCCTCCATATATAGCACCGCTACTGTTCGAGCCAGGCGAAGGCTGGAATTATGGAGCGAGTATCCAATGGACTGGTGTCCTTGTCGTGAGATTGACGAAACAACCACTCGCGAAATACATATTCGACAGGATCTTCTCTCCACTTGGGATGATATGTTCTAGGTACAACCCTGAACAATATCCTGATATTGTGTCACGACTTCTTCAAATGGTGGTAAGAGAAGGAGACAAAATATTGCCAGTTGAACATCGGCCCCAAGGACTCGTGTCTAGTATCTCAGATATGGTTGCACTCTTCGCAGATCTGATGTCTCACACATCGAAGATTCTGAAGCAAGAGTTGGTAGACTTGCTTTTCGAACCGCAGTTCGCACCTTCGAGCTGGCCCAAAAACCTGCCGTATCTCTACTCAATCTTCGTTGCTTGATTCATCCTCATCAGAATCTTGATTATATCCTGTGTTTAACCCGGCCAACTGCTGCTTCAAATCTTCTCCCACGAGCTCATCTTCTTCCTTTGGTAGTGTCGAAGAGTAACGTGCTGTGTCGAACGTATTCTCGAAAAAGATTTCGGGCAGAAAGTTGTCATGGGCAGACTTTGCCAAAATGAGAAGCGTAGATTTCCGAAGGTATTTTCCAGCTGTCGCCCACATGTTGCCCTTGCCCTCAAGTTTGTCCATGATTGCGAGCTTCAAGCTGTCGTCCTCCTCCAGGCACCGAATGTAAGTCATCACAAATTTAAAGTAAAGGTATCTTTTCGCTGGTCGGTTGTCATTCAAGAACCTGAGTTCTTGTCCATCGATATCCTATCACTGGTTAGGCTTCAACGTTTGTGGTCGAAGCTTTATCAAACTGACCTTAAATTTGATATCATCTCGGATCGGCATCTTCTCGAGACTTTTGTCCAGCAGCACCAATTGAAAGACAACATTCCTCTCGGTGGTGCCAGGCTTGGCGACAATTATAACTCGCCCTGCATCCAAAGCAGCTTCGATGAAATTGTGGAGTGGAAGACCTAGATACCATTAAGCTGATAAATTTAATCTTTGGACGAGTGGTTTACCGTTGTTTGCATCCCCCAACATTGCGCTCCCAGTGACCCCGAACAAATACGAAAGGGCTTTGCCATCAATGGATTTTGGAACAATGTGAGCGGCTTTAACAACAGTTTTGAGACTATTCGGGGTTGTTAGGGTGCTGTACCAGCCCGTTAAGACACAATAGTGGTCGTTGCTGTTGGTATCCTCATTCGGTCTCTCAGCGGCATAAAATGCCAAGACATCCTTCTTGAATTTGTGTTGATCAAATCCTTTTTTCTCCTTTCGTTGCCTCATGTTGCCCTCATATTCCGATTTCTGCTTCACTACAGCTTTCTTGCACGCTGAGCTCATTAGCCCAACGTAGGCTGTTTCGATAGTTTCTCGCGAAGGTCTCATCTCTTCCAAGTCGTCCTGAAAAAACTTATATTGATTCTTCACCTGGAACAGTTCGATTCTCTTTGCTTCCAACTCAATGTCGTCCTCAACTGTCGCCTTGTGCTCATCAAATTCCGCTTTGGTCATTTCCTTCCGCTTCAATCGATTACCAAGATGTTTGATTGTGACATCGGCGAGCTCGATATCTGACTCCAAAACCTCGATTTGGGCCTCGATAAACTTGGGCACGCTGGACGCCGAAGAACGGGCGGACTGTGCAGACACTTTTCGCTGTTTGATCGCGGACACTTCTTCTTTCATACTCGGACCGAGCAATGATGATACCCTGGGGGGAATCGTTGGTGGCTGCATTTTCATACGAAGACTGAAGGCGTATTGTGAAGTGTGATTGTCGCAGAATCCTTATTCGAGGTTGGAGATATTTATGGTGTTCTGGCCAGTCTGAATTTAAATGTGCAACATTTCCCGGTCGTGACGTTGTGATTTAGTAAGCGTCGGCCCGATGCCCGGAGAAGGAAAGAACTGTTCTACCTTATATGCGAACCCGCAGTCCTCTTGAGAGTCACTGGATGGTGGCTGGTACGGGGGGAACTTAGGACATAAAAGTCCCAGGTATGATAATATGATAGAATGAAAGGCAAAACACATTAAATTATCACAAAATTAAGGCTAAGACCTCCCAAATTCTAATTTTTAGCATGCTAACTGCACAATCTGCCACCTTTCAGCTCCAGCTCTCTGAATGCACCAGCTCACTGAATGCACCGGCTCTCTGAATGCACTAGCTCATAGTATATGCGCAAAAAGTGATGCAAAAGGAAGAGGATTTTGTCAGAGGAGAAGTTTTCACTTAAGTGGAACAAAATAAAAATATTAATAAATACAGAAAAAAGAATATATAATTAAAAAAATTAGAAATTTATATATTATATAATCGTATTATTATTATTTTTTTATTTATAATAATAGAAAATTCGATTTTACGAAATAAAACTCTATAGTTTATAATATTTCGCAATGTATTTAGATTTTAAAGTAAAATGCTATAAAAACTAAAATGCTTTTGCAATTCAGCACTTCACAATTCAGCAACTCAACATTTTGCGCGACCTTTGCCCTGCATTCCATGCCATTCGGAACGATATCGAGAACTACGCCGCACCAGCTGGCATACCGGACACCATGCAAGAGCCGCCTGTGAATCACAGCTTGGCTGCTTTGGTCATTGAAGCAGAAATGCCGCTCTCGCACATGCCCGCTGGAACGCTGACATGGAACGGGATGCCAAATTTGATTTGGGCCATGCACAGAGAGAGAGGGATTGCCATGATCTTCGCTACGCAGCTGTTACCAGTGGATGATGAGAAAACGGTTGATCTCGCAATGACATTCTTCAGGGAGGCTTGGGCTAGATTCGGTTGATGTTACTCCAATTTATGAATTATGTACATAATTACATTTACTTTTTCATTACTTCTCTTGTACGAGCAACATTCGTCTCAGTCGCCTAGCATACAGTGCAAGGCAAACCTTGAATCGCTTCAGCAATAGCATAATAAGCTGGCTTCCTCTGCAATGTGTCGTTATAGATATCCGCACCACCTTGCCCGGGGAACGAAGAAGGAACCCAGCTATAGTAATCATCAAAATCCCAAACAGTGGTCCCAATGCAGTGAGGACCAACCAACATACAAGCAGCAACACTCTGGTAGTAGTCTTGGGCTTGCTCTGCTTGACCAGTCTCGTTGTAGTATGGCGCTGTGGGGAACCTGATATCGAGCTCTGTTTGGACGACATCAACACCAAGAGCGATATAGCCTTGCATGGCTTCAAGTTGGTCGGCTGTCGATGGTGTGCCGCCCACTTCGAAATGAGATTCGAGGCCAACGCCATCGATTCTGATGTTGCGACTTTGAAGATCCTTGATAAGCGCATATGTTGCAGTCGTCTTCTCGCCAGGAGACTCGATACCGTAGTCGTTGTAGTAAAGCTTGATGTCTTTTCCTGTGGCCTCAACAGCTTCTGTGGCAAATTGGTAGGCGAGATGGAAGTAGTCGGGACCAATGGTGTCGTACCAGATACTCGAAGAGAAAGAACCATTGCCAGCGAGTGCCTCATTGATAACGTCCCAAGAATAGCAGCGATCGCTCCAGTGTGTGATGAGTGTCTTGATGTGGTTTTCCATCACAGCTGTGAGGGTCTCCGCCGTCCAATTTCCTTCTGTAACCCAAGGAGATAGCTGAGAGAGCCAGATTAGATTATGGCAGCGGACGAGGTCTCCTGATTTCTCGGCAAGATCGAGAAAGTAGTCGCTACCAGTGTAGTTGAAGACACCTTGTTCTGGTTCCGTGAACATGAACTAGATCTTATCAGCCAATGTTTTGTGAAATGGAGAACTTTAAAGAGAGCGTACCTTCATGGTGTTTGCTGGAGTCATTTCGCCAAAGTTCTTCGGGTCCGTCAAGATTGTAAGGTAGGCAGGATCAGTGGTTTCGTCGGTGCCCGGGATGTCTGCGGCTGTTCCAAACCAAAGCTTTCCCTGTGACTTCATCAATTGGTTCAAGTAAGGGCCTCCAGAGGGAGTTGAAGTTGGCGTGACGAGACACGAGCAAGCGGAAGCGACTCTTGATGGAGATCCACCACAGTTCGAAGCAAAGGTTGGAAGAGCCACGCCAGCTGAAGGGGTGAACGTGGGGCAGAATGCCTCTACCGCGGCCGAAGCACGAATGAACTGTCTAAGACAGTTGTCATGATTGCAATTAGGTGCAATCACCGAGCTTGTTGGAGTAGGCGTAGAAAGAACAGGGTTGAGAAGTGACAGAGCTACCGCAAGTGCTGCGATTGAGAAGGAGTACATCTTGTCCGCGTTTCTGGGAGGAAAGCCGGAATGCGACAATGAATCTCTGTCCGAGTCCGCCAGATTGGACCCGACATTGTGGCTCTTATATAGAGTTCCCAAAATCTGGAAATTTCTTGAAGGTTCAAAGTTCGCTCCATCATCCTTGGACAACCCCTCCAATCCAAGCACTTACCAACATTTCTCTCATCCTATGGACCGCGGAGTTGCAATTCAGCCTGAAGAAAATCCAGGAACAGAACCAGGTTCACTGATCCAAAGAATATGAGCTATGCGCGTCTCTCGTAAGTTTTTCCAGTCCTTGAAGGGATGACTCCATCCGTCATGGTTGTGTCGGGAAAACATTTGTTCCAGACTGCACCCCGCGAACATCGGTAAACGGCTAGAAACGACACGAGATTCCATTCCCCAACTTTGGAATTATCCCAATTTAGCCTACCACGCCGAAGGAACGAGAAAGGCGCATGGCGAGGGTCGTATGTGGACAAATGTGGGCGAAGTCATTTTGCCGGCAAGTCGGAAAGCTAGGACGGGCGGACGCGGGCCGGATAAATATATCGCCCCCTCTTTCTGTTCGGCCTTCCTCCCCGGACTCCAATGTAAACTTGTGACGAGTTGATAAAAATAAAATGAGAACTGTACGCCACCATCTCTTGTGAATCTCAAAGCTTGGACGAACATGACTGCTTTTTGCAGTGTTGTCGAGTAGCAAGTCGAGTTGACCTCGGCTAATTTAGGGGCTCGCGAGGGGAAGCTCAAGTCAGTCGTGGTGTTGATTTCTCGGTTCCTATTCCCTTTGAGCTCAGATACCAACTCTTTTTGTTCTACGATTGGGATGGTTTGTCAACTCTCGGGTGCTATCGAAAATTCTCTGATTCAATACTTATTCACGTGATAGTCCTCTCGTGCAGCTGCCGGTAGTAGCATGCCGACGACGAATGAGAAGCATCATTCTATTGTATAGCCAACGCGTTGTAACTGTTCTTAGTCCAGATTATTTCATTATATACATTTTCTGTGACTCCACTTGTCTAGTATCCAGCGCGTGCTCAGCGACTCTTACCCCTGTCGTCTCCGCCACTCATATATCGCAAGTCAGATCCCAATGCACAAACTCGCTCGTTTTATCAATGGTCAACCAAGTGCCTTGGACCTCCTTATCAAACCAAAGACACATCGTGTACCTCTTATGAAAGGCAATGCTCTGGCAAGCCCCACCACTGTTGCGACAGTCGCTCATACAGTCCTTGAGATTTCCTCCTTTCTGGACGTGCGTTGACTCTCGGTAGTCACCCATCACATTCGTGTATCCTGGGATTCCGCACAGCGGATATCCTACTGCGACAACTTGGAATTGATTAGTCATATCCAGCGAAGGGTTAAAGGGAACTTACTCTCATGGGGACCGTGCGTGTAGGTATACGTGGTATGGATTTTCGTTGTCGTTGAAGGCACTGGAGTTGGTGGAGAGGAAGGTGGAAGGGTCGAGGTGTGGTGATGGTGGTGAGAGCTGGAGGATGTTGAACTTGGTGGCTGCGGAGGCATGTTGATCGGCACTTGACAAAATCCATTTGCAGCGACTTGACTTATTAAGGTGAGAACCACACCAGCAATAGTAAAGAGGTACATTATGATTAATCCAACAAGAAATCTTTAGCGATTAGGATTCGATCGTCCGAAAGGGTGAAAACAAAGCGGTCGCAAAATGTGTGGAGGGACAAACCAGAGATATAAGTTTCTCCTTTGGAAAGCATGACACGATATATGAGCACTCTAGAATGGTTCTGCGGGTACAAACACGGCCATTTGTTTGAAACAAACATTATCAAGTACTTGCATCTGATAACAGCAAGCACTAAGACCCTAGGATATCATCTGGAAATGTCTGTGATTCGACAATTGTGATACTCCCGAATGTTGGTTTGTTGTTGGATGCGCAAGAATAGATACTCCACGGGCCTGTTCTGGGTCGATCGTCGCGGGAAGGAGCCGAGGCGCCAACCGGGAAAAAGGGGGCGCTAGGATAAATTCAAGATCACGTGCTCATGACAGGCGCTTAAAGTCGCCAATATGTTGAGGTTTACGCATACGAGAGAAAACGTATAGTAGTTATCTATTGAGAGTATCCTCACTGTCGACATAATTCAAAGCAAGCGATGGAAGTGCAATACGAAACGTCAGGTGCGACTTCTGTCAAGTCACCTGACACTTACTGATATATCGAAATCTTGGAACTTCTCTTCACTCGCAAGCGCGATGATGAAGAATCTGATAGTGCAGATCAACTGAGTCTTCGTACTGATATGGGTAGTGGGCAAGTCGGGTTATACGTCGCTAAGCACTTCCAGGGCTATTGTTACCTCTCTTCGCGCAGGATCTGTTCGCTTCCCCTGAGCTTGCCGAGACTGCTTGGTTTAAAACTTCGCTAAGATTTTTCTTACCTTAGACATTGCGATACTTTTCCAGTATTGATGTTCCAAGAAGCTGATTCAAGAAAATCTACATTTGATGTTTCTTTTGTTGGTTGAACCGAAGTGGACCGTGACCACTGTATCGAATAAAAGACTGGCCTTTTTGACATATTGATGTCTAACAGTGAGAATGACAGCTACGTTTGATGACGTAGCTTCAAATGCCCTTTTTTAAGGCGCTTTTTAGCATGTTTTTCGAACTCCTTCTCGACCGAGCTGTGGCTGAAACATACACGAATCAGGCTTTCATCAGTCCACAAAGCCGGGTGGACTTCTGCCAGCACACGCAGACAATAGAATAGAGAGCCTTGTGCCCTAGAGAATAAAAGTTCACAGTCGAGAAACGACTGAGGCGGTTTATCTTTTCCCCTTGCATTTGTGGCATTTCTGAGGCTGTGAAGCAACCACGTGTTCCTGAGTCAAGGTAGCTTTTGTATTCCCTGACTCTCGGTGACATCAACCCATAAAGCAGTGGCCGTTGGGACACTTGTTCTACGAAAATCTTCGTCTTACTCACTTTACACTCTTCCTGGCCTTAGCAGTGATGATTGTGGAAATAGCCGTCATTTTCCTCCCCACTCTCAGCTATGCCATGCAAATGTGTGATCAGCCTAGCGGCACTCTATACACAGGCACATACACTGATGGATCTGGGACTCATATCACATCTGATCGAGTTACACATCCCTATAAGTTTCCCAAGATAAGGAAATGCTGGTACATTATACGGGACGGAGAACATTAAGTGAAAAAGCTGACTTGTGCAGGTATGATTACTACGTTGTGAACGCAAGCCTCGTCAATGCACCTTGGAGAAAATCAACTGGAGACATTTATTGCACAGGCACATACACATGCACTGTGAGCGCTCTGAATGGCACCGAGTTCTACCAAATCCGGACGAGTGGTATCAGCATCAACGTCGGTCTCAAGTCACCCGATGTTACTGTCTCAGGTGGTCCAGAAGAAATCCCAAGTCTTCCAGAAGAGGCCGATGAAAGCAAAGCGGGCGATGGACGCGAAGCAGAAGTTGGTCTTTTTTACACGGTTCAATTGAGTACAACCGGATGTTATTCAGCAACGTACGAAAACCAATGTCAGTGGAACGACGGACAGTGCCACAATGTGTGGACATCACAGCAGATCTTGAAGCAGGTTGGATATGAAAGACAAGTATGCAATTGGAGCAATGGTGGAGTTACCGAGTGTATGGCGGACATTGAAATTGACACTCCAACCACTTACGTGAACTACGAGTGCGGAGCTGAATGTGGGACGCAAGAGATGATTATCCCATCGACGAGCTCGACCAGCACTACATCTACAACACAGACAACCCCTCCTGCGTCGACGATTACTGTCCAGGAAACGACAACTGTTGCCACGTCAACGTCTAGTCCTTCAGTCATAGCAACCCAAACGCCGGCAGCATCGGCTATCAGCATCAAGGCAAAGTCCACTGGGTTGAGAATCAAGGCTGGAAACTTATTATCCGCTATTTTCAGTGTTGTCCTGCTTCTTATCTTTCTCATATAGAAATAATGAATCTTCGAGCCTTTAAATCAGAAAACTTGCAGCAAGTCGGTGAGTGAATTTAGAAGATGGCGAGTTGAAAGCACCGGTCGTCGGATGGATGATTGACCAACGATGGGACTTGATTGCGATGATAAGAATCATGGATAAATAGAAACGAGTTCAAAGATTTAATGACCCTATAACAGAAACAAGCAACAAAATCAGTACGAGAAAAGTTGGCCGTCATTTCCATCTCATCTTCATCAAGCTTTCAATCTGACCAGAAGATACAGCAAAAGCAAGAAACAAAAGTCGGCCGTTATTTCCACTCCACTCCCCACTCCTTTCATTCACCGTAAAGCGCAAGAAAAGTTTCAAGAAAAGAAGCGGCCGTCAATATCTCGTAACCCAACACCCCACCTTCCCCTGAAATAGCCGAGCTCGCTACCCTATCACCAAGCCTTGGCATACCCCAAATCGGCATGCTTTTTCCACATATGCTCAGTGAGCTTGTCAGATCTCTTGTATCGAGCGGTGCATCCGGCAACGGTACAAACGTAGAGGAGCTGAGCGTTGGCATGGGTTTGCTCATGACGATCCCGGCAGGACTTGCGGTTAAACGACTTTGTGCAACCTGTGGACCTGCATCGATACATAGCAGTGCGAACAGGAACCGGGATCATGGGAGCGGGTGCATTAGTCTGATTACCTGAGTTGAAGTCCATGAGGCTGGCGGTTTGGTCTGGAACCATTGTAGACGCTTCCACTGCAGGATTGAGTGGAGTGTTCAACCAATCTGGCTCCCAGAAAGATGCCTCGTAGCCAGAATCCATTGTCATATTGTCAATGGAGTTAAAAGCATTTATAGCTGGAAGGTTGCGCATGGCTCCATGAATGCTACCTCGGGTCAACAACCCTATACTTTCGTGGTAATGATTGTTCTCGCCAGAAAGGAGGTCGGCGGGGGCGTCGTAGCCACTGTAGCCATTGTAGAAGTTTGGGGCTTTCAATGAAAACGAAGCGCCAGTGTAAGAGAGCTCGTCTGAAAGGAAATTCGCAGGCAAAGTTTGGATTTGAGTTGTTGCAACATATGCGGAGTCACACTTGTTGCTGGCGCCCTCCTGCGCTCGGTTATTTCGCGAATCGATGAAAGCGGGGTAAGACCCCACGAGAGATTTTGTTGCCGTTGCTTGATGGATCGTATGACAAATCTTGAGAGGTCCTCGCTTTCCTGTCGATACTGACTGGCCTATCAGCATGGGAAAAAAAAAACCTACCCGACCCCAACCTCGCCCTCAAACCCCAAAGAGTAAGAAGACTGGTTGAGTTCAGGAAACTGCTCCTCGTGGTATTCGCCCTGCATGATTAAGGGCGTAGCGTGAAGAAAGTGCTGACTTGTAGGCGAAAACCAATGAAGGCAGAAATAATGGCAATAGAGGTCGGAAAAGCTTTCATTTCAGCATTGGGGGAATTGAGTACTATATCTTTGTTCGACCCTTGGCAGAGGCTACGCCCTCACGTCAATCGTGAGACGAAGCTGCTGTGGGCTTAGAACGTAACACGTGACTAAAGCCGAAATAAGACGTCTCTGTACATCTGTACAAAGTCTACAGACCCTCAGCACTTACACCTCGTACTTAAAGAGGTACTAAAAGATAACTCTCCACACCGGTGTCTCTAAATGAGAAAGAATTTAACTTCGAGAAGTGTCACGTGAATATTTCAAATGTGGGTTTTTAGCCACCCACAGTGCAACTTTCAACTCTCAAATTGTAGGATCAATTTATTATGACTGCTGCAATGTTGTAAAACGATACGTGGTACCATGCTTTAACTCTGCAGCTCGTGTTCGGTACCAAGAGAAGCATGAGGATTGAAGTGCTTGTTTGCTGAGCAGCTTCGCAACATGCACCTTTCAGGGACTCCGCAATCATTGAAACACAGGGCCATCTACTTTAAAATCGCCCTTGATTTGCTCGTTTCGCAAGTATCGCCGAAATTGCACAATCACCAGGCGTTACCTAGGGCCTCCAGCCATCAATTGATTTTCTGATCGTAAATCTCCTTTCTTGAAAGCAACACGTTCTCCACTAGCTGGACATACTAGCTGTTATATATTGGTCGCTTCCTTAGGAAAGCGCGCGTAAATCAGCTTGAATCTGTGGTGACTTGAACCCTTGCCCACGCTTCGCCACCGAGACGCAGCAATGGACCCGCAAGTTTCAGAGCCGTGAGGTTTACGCATTGAAGTATCCCATTCATAAGCTAATGTTAATGCACTCTCGCGACTGAGAGATGAACTTACTTTTAGCTGATATATGAAAACGCGCTTTGAGCTTGGGAATCATGCAACTCAATAGAGAACATAGGGCTGTAAGGAATCGTCCAGGTCCGGGGTCTCAACTGATCATATGACCACAAGACGTCTCGTTGAATATTATCCTCGCTAGGTCTGTGGCAGGAACGATCTGATTAGACGAGTTGGCCAGTGTAGGTAGAGCTGAGATGTCGAGAACAGCAAACAGATCTCCTCCATCGTTGACTATATATACGCGCAGCTTCACTTGTTTTTCGGGATCACACTATCGAATTCTCTCTACTCAACACTCTACCTTGAGCTTCGCTCTCGAATCTCTGCAACACGCATACATTTGGTCACATCTACCCCTCATCACAATGAAGACTCCATTCATCCTCAGCGCACTAAACGCACTTTCCACAGTCGCAGCTCTATCATCGCCAAGCACCAAAACCTTAGTCAGAAAGCAAAGTATTTGTGATCTATGCTGACAGGACTTGGATGCTTTTGGCTGCGCGTCCTGCTATGCAAACTGTACTGGTGGTGGCCCTCTTGGATGAGAATAACCAAAGGGCTTTGAATTTCTTATTGGAGTGAGATAGCTTCTGTCAAATTTGAAGATAGGCATGGGACTAAGTAACGCTTTGCAGATTTGCACTGGTTGTGGGCTTTGGAGAAGGGAACATAGCCTTTGTGTGGAGGTTTGGGTGCAGTTCAACTGGATTGGAACACGATTTTCTTCTTCATAGCTTCAAATGGAGTTCTATAATCAGAAATCTTGATCGTAGGTTTGTGGAATGGTTGAATCTGACTATGTAGTTACGGGACTACCGTATTGGAGGGCAGATATTCCAGCCAAACGTCACATGGTGTTGAATCCTCTCGCAGTACTCGCTCACTCCAGAGACAATATGGGACGCAAGGACTCGCAATAGTAACTCGATTTCTTTCTCAGCCAGAAACATGACGCGTAAACGATAGATCCTCAACGTCACCACTAAAGGAAAGTAAAGCAACGCAAGTAAAATCAAACGGCCGTAAACTTCCTCTCATCTCCATCCCTCACTTCTCTTCACAAACCCGCCCAATTCATGCCTTCCTGTACCCCAGATCTCCATGCTTCTTCCACAAATGCTCCGTAACCTTATCAGCACGACTATATCCCCTACCTTGGCTTTTCGGGCAGCCGGCAATGGGACAAAGACGTCCCGTCATGTTCAGATGAACGGTGTATTGGTGACGAGCGAGGTCAGTTGGGCGCTTGAAGCGCTTGGTGCAGGTTCCAAACGAGCAGCGGTGAAGGTGGATGGTTGGTGCTGGTCCTGAAGCTGCAATTGTAGTTGGAGGCAATGCAGTTGGTCCGGTGTGGACAACAGTGGGAAAGCCTGGGGATGTGGTCATATTGACGTGAGCGTTGTTGTAGCTCCAAGTTGGGTACTGAGAATAGAGAAAAGGGGCCGGAATCTGGTCGAACTTGACTCCACCCTCATGCAAAGCTAGGTCGAAGGATTGTCCAAAGTCAGTGTCCAGGCTTGCGAAGGCGAAGTTGAAGTCACCCAGAGGACTCAATGCTCCGAAGTTGTTGAAGTTGTTCCCAAAGCTTGAGGGCGCCTGGGAATTGTATCCAGCGTTTTGGAGCGATTGGTTCAAGGACCCATGTGCGTTGACATTGGAGATGCTTTCAGAGGCCTCATCAGAACCTTGGATCACGTCGTTTGCCAAGTTGGCCGAATTGAGAACTTGATAGCCAGTGCCTGGGATCCAAGCATAGGTCTTTGCGCCTGAGACGGATTCGCCTAGATTTTCTGAGGCATGAGGCTCTTCAAGACTTTCAGCTGCAAAGTCTGCGATTTGGTTTATGAATTGGTTCGGAAATTGGTTCGAGAATTTGTTTGCATTTCCAGTGGGTAAGCCCAATGGAGAATTGGTATACTCGCCATGGGCTGGCTCAGCAGCGGAGTGGAAGCCTGTAGGAGTAGAATTTCTCAAAACGGAGGCGCCGTCACCGAAGACAAGACCAGGATTCTGGGCCAAAAACAATGGATTTCCAAACTCATCAGATTTCGAGTTTCCAGGGGTCTTTGGGCCGAAAAGTAAATACTCGGAGTAAGGTGTTTCCTTCGAAGCAGTGGGAAGTTGAGACTCGCTGATCAAGTTAGTAAAAAAAAAAACTCTCACCGATTTTTGGTGTCCTTGCCCCCATAAGGGAATGAGGATATACTGAGGTCGTGATGCTCTCCCATCTGAGAGATCGTAGCCTGATCTTTGGTGTTGTTAGACATGGTGGTGGGGAGGTGGAGGCGCAGTCGAGGGCGAGGGCGGTCGAGGAGGGCGAACGAGGGCGTAATGAACGAGAACCAATGAATCCGAAAGGCCGCGTAACAACAAGCAAAAGTCGCAGAAAATCTCTAAAATTCGAGAAGGGGACTCAACGCCATCTATATGCTCCCAACAACCCATGCACACACCACGACGCCCTCATCCAAGCCTCGTCTTTCATCCAAGTTCTCCCAACGCCAGCCCTTCACGTGACTACTGATCCAAGCCATCCAACTCGACCAAATGCAGCACAGCCTCGACGACCTCATTGCCAGCTAAATCCAATTCCGGCTCATCGATTTTCCTCGCCAACACATCATCAAGCATTCCTCTCAACCTACTAACCAAAACACCTATTCGTGCCCAGCCTCGTAGACGTAGCCAGCCATCTACAACGAGGCCACGACCTAATGTATCGAGTGTGATTGGCCCAGAGAACAGGAGCGCAGTGTAAGCGTTGAATGCTGATGTACCTATTAGCACTATTGTATCAGGAAAGATAAAGAGATACGTACGAGTCAAATCCCGAATAAAAACTTTGCTTGTAGCCATTTTGTTGAAATAACTCATATATACACTATTTCCTGGAAAGCCTTGCGCATCAAAGACCGTCGAGCTGGGATGTACAAAAACACGTCCATTTTCTTGGTTGAAATATTTGATGGTCTTGGCTTCTGGATCGAGTTCCACGGCGCCGGAGACGGAAGGGGCAAATTTCTTGTCGGGGAAGTCGATGCGTGCCAGTTGGGGGTTAAATGCACCTGCGATGAGAGAGCGGAGGAGTGAGGTATTGGAATTGTTCTTGTTGAGGGATGAGATAGCGGCGGATGACGAAGGGATAAATGATAATTCGCGAAGGGAGGTTAGGTATTGTGTGCGGTTTGATGAGATGTCGCTGAGGGTCTGGAAGTTGAGGAAGTTTTCTGAACACCAGTTGCGGATTTCTCCTTGGCGGATGCTCCTGTTGCTCATCATTTCGTCCCATTGCTCATAGGCTTTGAGGTCGCCAATCAGATCACCTTGATTCTTGGCGAATCTTGCCCTTGCAGCTTTTGCTTCTTCTCTCTTGTCTTGAGGAGAGACGAAGGGGGACTTGACTGTCAAGATGGCTGCGATAGTGACACAAGGCTCGAGACAGCCAAACATAGCACCGTAGACCATGAGCTTTCCGCATCGAAGATCGGCTGGAATCATAGACAGATGGCGACCCAACGCAGTGAGATCATCACCATCAAGAGCGCCCATTCTCCCAAGCAATTCCATTGCACCATCTATTGCCATACTCTCCGGTGGTGTTAAAGCGCTTGCCAAGAAAGCCCCGACAGCTTTGATACCCATCGCACGAACGGAAAGACAAAGTTGCTCTAGTGGTACTCTTCGAATTTCTGGCTCTGGTCTCTCGGCCATCTTGGTCATCTCGGCATTGCGAGTGTATAACTTGTAGCATTTTCCGGCCTGGACACGACCCGCTCGACCACGTCTCTGTTTGCAAGCTGCACGTGATGCCCAGACTTCTTCGAGCTTCCGCATATTATTCTGAGGATCATAGCTTGTCTCCTTGACACGTCCTGTATCAATCACAGCCACAATGTCGTCGATGGTGATTGAAGTTTCAGCAACATTAGTAGCAACTACTACTTTTCGCTTCCCAGCCGGAGCATGAGGGAACACTCGTCGTTGCTCAACAGACTGAAGAGAAGCATGAAGTGGTAATGCGTGAAGGTTCGGTATTGATCGTAGAAAATCCAGTGTTCGATTGATTTCGACCACACCAGGCATGAAGATCAAGATACCTCCATCTTGCTTCAGATGTGAAAGTTCTGCATCGATCTCCTTCACTGTCTGTGTGATAAGGTCATAATTGATGCGCATCCCAATGCTCTGAATAGCAGCGGCGATTTCCGAATCCATACCAGCAGTATCAGCAGCATCCTCGTCTCGTCTAGAGGTACGACCGGCGTTGAAACCGGTCATTTGAATCACATCGTCTAGGTAATAGTCCTCAACAGGATATGTTCTGCCACTGATCTCAACTCGGCCGACCTTGCCCATGCTCTTGAAGTAATCTTCAAATACCCCAGCATCGAGAGTGGCACTCATGAGAATAAGTTTGAGGTCTTTGCGCTTCTTGAGTACATCTCGGAGAAGGACAAGTAGGAAGTCGGTGTCCAAACTTCGCTCGTGAACTTCGTCAATAATCACGTGACTGACATCTGCGAGACTTGCAACAACATCGTCACTGCTACCCCCGGATGTTTGAAGTCTTCGCAATAGAACACCAGTAGTGACAAACGTGATTTTCGTGCTCTGCGTTGCTTTCGACTCCCCTCGAATAATGTAACCAACTTCTTGACCAACCGTGGAGCAGCGTTCGTCACTTACCCGGTCAGCAAGACCGAGCGCAGATATTCTTCGTGGTTGTGTGCATCTTGCCCATTGTTAGTATTCGGCGGAAGAATTTCAGAGATAGTGACTTACATGATCTTAGTGGAATCGCCTAAAGCTCTTTGATATAGGTCGTCCAAGATGAATTGGGCTGACTGTGTAGATTTACCAGAACCTGTCTCTCCAGAAATGATAGTAACTTGGTGTGATTCAACAGTATCAATTATGATTTCTCTCATCTCCCAAGCAGGCAACGTCTTTCGTTGCTGGATTCTAGCTTGCAACTTCGGATCAGTCTGCCGCCTCGTCCAATCCTCCTTGCTCTTCTGATTGGTTGTCCATGCGATTGGTCTAGGATGTCTTGACATCTTTTGTTTCTTTCGATGTACTGGACGTAATTCGCTGACAGTAGATGCAGCAGCAGAGACGTCTCGAAGCTTACCAGGTCTCTCGAAAATGCTGTAAAAATTTTGCTCTATCCAGTCTATGAGAAAGAAAACCATCTGCTCTCCAAGAAGATTGTCAATAGCATGATTCAGAGCTTGCTTCATCATGCTAAGACGTATATAAGCCGGCAAGGCCGCATGCACAGAAATAACCGGAAGTTTTTGGGGGTACTCTGGTGTACGTCTAATTTGGATGACTGGATCAACTTCAGGATTCCGACCTCGATTGGATGGCTTGATAGCTATTCGACAAAAATCCTTCGACGGTCGCGAATATTTATCGCCAAAGACAGACTGGAGACTAGTCAACTCTTCTTCCCATATGCCCATAGACTGCTCTTTCGAGTCTTCAGTGTCCCATGATTCCTCGGCTTGAGGCATGTCCTGGTCTTGACCAGACGATAAAAGAATAGCTTGCAAAGCCTCTGCCGATTTGCCTTCTTCTCCGTGTGTTTCATAGATCTGCTTGCAGAGGTCAAGGGAGTAACCCGCCTCAGCCAATCGTTTGATTGCACCCTCTTTCTTCAGGTCGCTACTGGCCATACTGATACCAGCTACGTATCCTTCAGGTAAAGCCCACCTGGGAAGATCGTCCTCTGGTACATGGATGAGGAGCCATTCGAGAGTCTCTTCTCGGTCCTTGCACTCTTCCACAGCCTCCTCGACGTGACTCTGTCGAAACTCCAAAGCTTTAAATTCGTTGACAATGGAATGCTTCTGGAATTGCGACAATTTAACATCATGGGGATTCCAGATCGCATGTCGTCGAATCAGGCCTTCAACCGAAGTGCGTGTCCGTTTACCCATCTCAATTTTCGGTACCCGCGTCCATCCTCGATTCAAATTATGAGAGCCTGTGTTGGAACTACTCGGACCCCCGTGTAGAGCAAGATTGGCTCCGCCAGGCCCCCCAGGCGTATTCAAAGCTTTCTCTCTAGCCTTGTCCCGTTCTACTCGCTTCTTTTCCATGGTTGCTTTGGCTTCCTCTCTTTCGCGAAGGGCTGCAAATGGGTCTCCTTCGTACATCCACGATCTGCCATCCTTGACATCTTCTTTCTTAAGGACCTCAAACTCTCCCTTCCACAAATCTCGATAGTCGGGAGGCAACATCATATGTATATTTCGCATGCTGCACACTCGAAAGAGGGCATAAGTTGCGGCAAAATGTCTTGCCTCGAGAGCAGTCGGTTTCGCAGCAAGGTGCTTGTGTGTGGGAGGAAGTTTGAAAGGCTGTAGCTGCACGAGCTCTTGTGTCTTCGGATTCTTCGATTTGAGAATGACCATGGAGGAGAAACCTTCAGGCGTCTTGGACTGTAGCAAACGCGCGAGATTAGCTATGCAACACAATTGAACCGAATCACATACCATTGTATACTCTGGTTTCTCCCATCTCTGTTTCTGACAATGCTCAGACAGCATATTGACAGGTAGCTTTCCTGTCCACGATGCCCCACCAATGATCTTCTTGACGTCTGGTCTCTTTGGTGCTTCTCCAAGCAGCGCAGGCCCATCTTGCGCCCCTGCACCCGTCGCAGATGTTCCCGCATTGTTTGCTGCCGGCTTCTTTGGTTTAGGATCTTTGTCGGAATTTGAGAAGACGATAAAGCTGTCATCTCCTCCAGTTGTTGCTGGGGATGGCTTTTTCGCTCCGCCGCCGCCCCCAGGTTTCCCACCCTTTGCTTGCCCCTTCTTGACCATCTTCGGTCAGGTCTTGGACGTAGGCAGAGATATCCATGTAATATGAACAGTCTGCAATCCAAAATGTGAATAGAAAATCGAGGTTATAGGTGTAAGAATTATTTGGTGTTGCGAGGCTGATGAGGCGCTAAATTTTTCTGCGGGCGCACTGCGTCATTGTCAAGATGCATCTGTCACAGACCGCCTTCAACATTCTTTACAGAGTCTACAATATCCAGCTTCAGTCTTGATTCTCCTTGACTTAACGGCATCTACAGAGTTGTCTTTTCGTCTGTTAATTGTATCATCGTCAATTCTTGCTCTAGTGTCTACAATTTCCTAGATCCTATTGGCGAGCTCTGTAACATTACAATACCGATTTTTGGCTCAGTAACCTCACCCACACTATTCTAGGTGTTGTCCCCTGCTCTGATTTTATGTATTTCTTTCACTCTTGCTTTCAATTCGTCATCTGTCCAACATCTGTTCAGCATCTGTCTATAGCTAGTTACACAAGTTTGCGATAATTGGACCTTCAACGATCCCTCAAGAGCCGCAATACTTTTGAAGGCAAAGCAGGCCTCATTCCAAGTCAGTGTCCGTTGGAATGAATCATTTAACCATCGAATGCCGTTGACTAGTTGTATTCCTGGTCTTGATTACTTGATGCACGATTCTGCGATTGATCAAATTCCTATTTCCAAAACTGTCCCAATTTAATAACCCCCAACCCGAATTTAACCCGAGATCTATACAAGGGGTCTATCTCTGGGTGCCCCCTACCGTTTAGGACTGCCAATTCACTCAATCTTTTCGCAAAGTCATAAGAGAACAGTGGGCGGTCATCGAAATGCGACCATATGCTGCCTATTCTATCGAGCCACGTCTCCAAATCAGCCCAACGATTCTGCATGATGTCTGTGATCTCGGTGGAGAATGCAGCAGCAAGTCGTCCTCCAGGGGTCTTGCAGTCCGTTCCTTTACTCCTCGATCCCAATCTTTGCATCTCATCTAGTCGCAAGCAATCCATCCCAATGTACTCTTTGAAATCTCCCTCGAAGCCTGTTTCGAAATGGAGATACAGTTTTCGAATTCTCAGACTCTGATCGAGTGCTGGTGCCTTCCCACGAAGAGCCTCAGCCCACGATAAGGTTCTCTCAGTGATGGTAGAGGAATGCTTGCTGCTACCATGAGCACAGACTGCTCTTGGACCCTCTTTCAGGAGTCGTTCCAGAAGATGGAAGAATGCCCATCCTCCTATATAGTTGATCGGTTTGCTTCCACTAGCACGAAGCCAGAAGTCCTCGCCTTCGAAGACCCGAAAGGTGATGTGCAATTCCTCCATTATGTTCGTACGCTTCGGAAGGTAAATCCAAGTGGGCCAGAACTCCCGTTCGCCAGTCACAAATATATCCAGTTCATACTTTCCTCGACCTTCAAATCTTTCGAAAGCATCTTTTGTTTCGGCGTTGAGTTGTTTGTTCGCGAGAAGCAAGGAGACGAGACCGATATTGCGTCTATTATGGTGAATGCAGTCGACTTTCACTTGATTCAGAATATGCTCGGTATATGTGTATTGCCTGGTCTGTATGGACTCGATATCTTTTGGTCGTTCGTTTCGAGCAGCGACGAAGATATCAAAGATCTGATCTCGTAGTTCACGAGGAAGGGAGAGTAATGAAGTCATCGCTGCCTGCGTCCTGTCTTTGATGGAAAGAGATCAGCAAGACAGACAAAAATTTTATTCCCAGAGAGACTTTTAGAGGTGTGCTGTGGATATTGTGTCATTCGAAACATTTTGTTTGGAACCTAGTACTAGTTCCCGCTACACCATTGAGCGGTGGGGCATTGCAATATCCGAGCAAAGAAGCCATATCCATTCTCTCTTTACAAGTGTATCAACTGCAGTAAGTTTCAAAACGCAATGGTTATATAGCTCTCTAGTTTGTCATTTGTTCCAATGAGCATTTTCTGTGTTTTCACTTAAAAGAGCATTTGCAATCCGGTCACGTGATATATAGTTAATTACAGTGCCCACGCTCACTACGAGGGGCGGTGCGCCCTCTCTTACCCGAAATCCTCTTCTTAAGCCTTAATAGCCTGAGATAGTTTACTCACTAACTTAGGGTGCAGCAGGTGAGAGCTCGCTCGCACTCACTACTACACTAAGTGGAGAGCTTGAAGCTCTGAGAGTATTGACTTTGAGAGCAAGCTCGATATAATCTCTAAGTGAGAACTTTCTATTGAGATAAGAGCCCGGATCAAAGATGGGCCGCTTGTTTAATCATCTAATAAAACTTTGAGTCCTCACTTGCTCTCGTTTTGTCAGCTGACATTGGACTTTTAGTAAATCCCAACCGCAAACAATTCTCCACGCTTAATCCCCTTACCAAGGTTTCGGGAATTTTATGTTAGCAATTATTCGCTTAGCTACAAGGAGGATTCCGACGAGGATGAGAGTGAGCCGACTGATGAGGTTCTTGATTCGAACATGAAAAATGAACAGGATTCCGACGAGGATGACAATGGGTCGAAGAAAGAGACTGCTAACTCGAATTGGGAAGATGAAGAAGACTTGAGGATTATCCTGAAGAAAAGTATGAATATCAACGGAGGTATGGATGACTCTGTACACCAGTCCTCTCATTGTTCCTCTTACAGCAAGATATGCGCGTTTTTGTGTCTCTACGCCAGTCCCTACGGACTCTACGATGAGATATAATACAAGTATCGATACCCCAATTCCTCAGATACCGAAAGCACTCCTTCCAGATCTTCTCCCATGATACATTCGGAGTCTGCCATCCACCATCGAAGACCCGCCATGCATTCAACTCCAGGTATTCGATCGACCGTCTAGTTGGTGCACCCACTTCCCACGTTGGAGAGTGGACCATGTGAGGTGGGCCTGGGGAGGCCTCGTAGGCATTTGGATCCATGATTCGAGGTCGATTTCGGCATTCGGGGGAGATGGTGTAGAAAATCGGGCTGAGAAATCTTTCAGTACAAGCATGAGACTTGCAGACTTTCGCGACTTACGTTGATAATCCTTAGATCTCATTGTTTTCAGAGCTAAGTATCCGAACCATGTACCAAGTACAGTTGCGGCCAATCCGCCGAGACCGACGGTGATTGATATTATGGTGTCTGCAGACATCGTCTTCGTAAAGTAGGTATATTGAGTGTAAAGTACGCGTCTGTGTCTCTGCCAAGAATAATCGAGAGGTCTTTCTTGAAAATGGGATGTTACTTTCTCAATTGAGACAATCTTTCCTGAAAAGACTTAGTATCTAAAAATTTGGTTCAGTTTGACGGATCTGTATGCTGTAACGCCAAACAAAAGTCCCAATGTCAAAAGTTCCAAAGTCAATCGACTACAAGGCTGAGGAGTGTCTGGCGATTCGGCACAGCCCCTCGCTAAGCAAAAGTTCCAACTCAACAAGCGAATAACAACTCTCTCTTTCAGCCACAGCGATTGGAACTTTTGCTCGCCCAATAAATCGGCCTGGTAATCAATAGACCTCTGACAGCGGGAGATCATCTGCAGCCTCGCACTAACGCGCTCGACGTAAGTACTTTCGCGTCGCTCGACAAAAGTTCCATCCTCTTTCTCATGACACAACCCACGATTTACTTTTCCTCAACACTTTTCTCTACAATAACGACGCGACGAAAGATGGATTCGTCTCAGAAAGTTAAAGCGCCTAGATATTCGGCAACTCAGTGGGAAGCGCAGAAAACAAATGTTGAGAGGCTGTACATCGAGGAAGACAGGCCGTTGAAAGAAGTTATCCAGATTCTGGCTCGAGAGTTTGGTTTTCAGGCAAGGTAATTGACCTCGACAATATTCGTCCTCGTGATTGTTTCTCAACTCGAATACAGCGAAAAACAGCTTAAAAGTCGACTCCCAAAATGGGGCTTCGACACCAAGAACCTGAAAGGCGACATCATGGTCCAGCTCGCTCGAGCCAAAGCCAAACGCAAACTCGAGAACAAGGAAAGCTCATTTCGAGTTTCCAAGAAGACTGTCGATGACCAGAAGATTGAGCGGTATCTTCGTAGGCATGAAATTACCGACGAGGATTTGCTCGCGATGGCTAGTCCTGTCGATGGTGCGTAACCATGACCTTCTACCCTTCGGCATGTCCGTTGAATTTGCATAGCTCCATCTCCTGCATACAGCGTCTTTACACCTCAACCATTCCGCTCACCTACGCCTGATGCTCCCCTCAGCATCGATGCCGCCTTGCAGCGATCACCTTCTTCCGGCCTAAACTTTCAAGCCCTTTCGATCAAAGAATCGCGACCTATGAGTCCAATTGTAGAAGGAATGACAGATGAAGACTTCGCCAAACTTCTATCGGGAGATGCACAACTCGACAATGAAGACATCGCCATGGCTGGTATACAGCATTCAGCCCCCACGCTGACCCCCACCCCAAGCTCCATAATCCATTTCAATCTACCCAGTATAGACACAGTCATGAAAGTTGAGCTTAAGTTACAAGATCCTCTCCAAATGATACACGATGAAGCCAGAAATGCCCTAGATACACTTGAAGAACAGATCAATCCACCATCAACTCCAGCCGAAGTACCAGGGCACGACATAGTAGCGACAGCTCGCCGCATCGCCAGTTTCCATGGTTCGGTCGTAGAACGATATCTCGCGAAGATCATGCATAGATCGAGACTTCGTGATCGATTCGCTGACCAATTTCAAGATCCTGGGTTGAGACAGGTGTGGTATTGTGTAAGTCCACTTGTTTTTGTCGTGACTTCATCGGCTAAAAAGGTACTTTCAGCATGTCTGCCACGAATACTACGCATCAGACTTCCGAAGCTGTCCCACTTTTGAGCGTAGAAAGGAGGAGCATGCAAGAGAGGAGTTGAAACGGAAGGGATTAGTATGCGTGAGTCACGTGCAGCTGACCTCACTTATGCGTACTGACTTGGACAAGATTAACTGCAATATGGAGATAGCTCCTAATTCAAGCTCAGGCTGGAGATCGCATTGTTTCATGTGCTCGGTTCTGGATATTTGTAAGTTGTTAGTTGTGGGACTTGTGATATAGACGTTGACTTTTCCAAGCAGGGATGCAAGGGAAGGGTGCCGAGTCGAATTCGAGTGATGACTATTACTGAGTCAATTTCGAATCATGATCAGCGAGATGATAATACTTTCCACCGTCTAATTTGAAGGAATAACCTGTTCATGTTGTTGTGCAAAAGAGAATTGTGCTGCGAATTACCCCGCATCGGTATCAAACATGCTACGAACGTCGAGAAAACAGCTCTCGAGTTGTGAGTCATGATCTCAATGATACGAGATCGCGAACAAGCTTATGTCTCGCACCTCAGCTATTACCAGTCTCCTCGAAAAGCAAGAAGCGGCGATACAAGGGGAGAACGAGTTGGTAAATACGGCGTTCCTGTCGAGGCGAGGGCGAAGGAGATCTGACGGGAAGAACTCGGGAACTAGAATATAGTATGAAGAACTACTCATGTAGTATCTGGGGATAGTCTTTGGGCTCTGCCAAGGCCGGGGTAAAGAGCCAACGCGTGACTCGAGAGCTGGAATTTGAATTAGATTGGGATCACTCAAGGGCCAAACAGTAATGACGGCCTAGCCATTTGCGAATGAGATAGCTAAAGCTACGTCTAGGGCAGGTATCAAATCAAGCCTTTTGCTAATGAAAGAATGTGTATATGCTCTGGCGGGGTAAAGTGGAACAGTAAGTAATTGCACGATTTCAGCAAGCAATTTAGACGTGCCAGTGATTGACCGTATCATCTGAAATTTTGATTCATTGGATGATTATGGTTGATCTACAGACGTGTGTATATCCTAGGTCCATCAGCACTGACGTTCTTCTCAAGCAAACTTAATCACACGTCTGCCCTCATACATGACGACATAAACCAATGTTAAGTGAGAATGTGATCTGAAACGTCATCAATCTGAATGATGAAGTGATAGTTCCTGTTCATGTTTGAATATGTCAGTCTCTCCAAATCGTCTATAAAATAGCCTGCATCTTTTCTGTCTCGGAAAGTCCTCCTTCTTTCTTCAGTATCAAAGCAACTCTCTCAAGATCCCACACGGCAATAAACTATTACAACTGAATTTCAATTCGGATCAATCTCGAACACAAAGATGTTGATTAATCCTATTATTCGAGCAGCGATACTACAACGGCTGGCGGCGCGACAGGCACTCATGGCTCAACTTCAACAAGATCGACAACCCTTGCTATGGAATGTCGGGCCTCTTGGTGGAGGGATCGGCGGCGGACCAGGTATTGAAAGGTTTCCAGGAGGCTTAGGAGGAATGCCTCCAGGTGGAATGCCTCCAGGTGGAATGCCCGGAGGTATCGGAGGGTTTCAAGGCGGAATGCCCGGACCTGGCTTCAGGCCAGGCATGGGAGGGTTTCCGGGTGCAGGAGGATTTGGTGGTTTTGGTCTTAAAGATGACAAAACCGGTAAAGCTAAGGATGGCAAGACCGGTAAAGCTTCAGAAGGTGCAAGCCGTCCTAGTTCTGCTAGCTCGGCTAGTGGATCTCAAGCAAGTAGAAGAAGCTCTAGCTAACACTGCAGTGCTAGCCAGGCTTCACTGCTTCGTAAAACTCAAGGTAGCGAAGGGAGAGAAGTCCGTAAGTCGTGAGAAACCCAAGAGCAAGAAGTCCTCCAAGGACAAGAGTGGTTCTTCCAAATCCGGCAAATGATGACAGCGGCCGGGATTGAGTGGGATTTTGAGGCATGGGTTTCCATTTGAAAGATGCCTGCGAGACTTTGGTGTGATGTATACTTTAGTATACAACAAGCATGGCTTTTAAAGTCAATGTTACTCTCGGAATCACTAGTTTGCTACAAGCTATTTTTGAAACTCTGTGAAAATCGTCTGATCTCCTTTGGATAATGCTTGGACAATTCGAATAAGTGACCTTGGCTGCAACTAACTTGATGACGTTTGGCATAATTTACTTGCAAATCAATTCATGCTTTATTGACCGTCGTTTCTCCTGCAGCAATTCCCAATCACACGTTACAGATATGATAGCACAAGCATACCGATGAATCTTCCAACGTCATCAGCTTGAATGTTAAAAGCATACTTGTTGTCAATCTCAGCTAATTCATCAATTACAACTGCTTCAGCACTTTATAGTCGTCTTTAAAAGAACGCGCATTCAATCTCTTTCCAGAAACGATCCTCCACCCCTCCTCAACATCAAAGCATCTCTCCCAAGTTCCAACCAAGCTAGGAATCTTACACCAATTCAACGTTAGCTCGCTTAAAGTTCCAATCCAAAAGAGATGGGTTTGAATAAGCTTAGAATACTAGGGCCAGGAATTTGGACTCCGTTGACTGAAGGAAAGTCAGATGCGTAAGGACAATGCTGCTGGTAACTCGCTCTCTGCTAGGCAGCGGGCTTTTATTCAGTAGCTAAACCATAACATAGAAAGGGATGCTCTACTGGAAGTATTCTAGTTAAGAGCAGCAATCCCAAGATGAAGAGTGGAAAATCCTCCAAGAGCAAATAAAGGATAATAATGGTCGCCGATCAGAGTTATCCAACTTTTGAGGCATGGTTTTTTGAATTGTTGAAGGATATTTTGGAGAGTTAAGTAGAATTATACAAGAGAAGTAAACAGTATGGTGTTTTTAAGACAACGAGATTACAGCCGTTGTGTCAGTGACATAATCATCTCCAAAGCTCGGGAGCAGCTATTCCCATCACAAATGCTTCGACCAAGTACCTGCCTCTGGCTACAGTGATGTTAATGACATTGGTATAATCCCATTTAATCGCCAATTCACTCACTTTGTGCTAATACACAGTACGCTTGCATCCGTTATGTGCCAGACAATAGCTCGCAAGGTTTCTTGGTACTAACGTGCATCTGTTGCACCCCGTTCATCGGAATCCAATTCCATGGAAGTTTACCCGGTCTATGGAATTCTTAGATATTCATCGGGCTTTTTCCATGGAATTCTAACCCCTCTTTCATTGAATAAATGTCTGTAATTTCGCATGTTCTTTCTAATTTGATATTTAGTAATTAGTTATTAAGTGATAAGCTTGAATCAATCGCAATAGGTCACGGTTTAGACTCATATTCGTTGAGAAATTTTTTTAAAAAAGGAAGTGGCAATGCCGAATCGGGAAAAGTGAGGGGATTCGGCACTTTTTGGCCCATAAAAATTCCATGGAAAAAGCCCGGTGAATTTCTTAGAGTTCTATGGAAATGGAAGGATTCCATGGAATTGGAAAGAATTCCGATGGAAATTGGTATCCGATGAACCGGGTGCAACACATCCGTAGATGATCTTAATCACGCGTCTTTAAATATGATTGCATGAATGAAATTGGAGAACGTCTTGAACCTGAATGTTGGAATTATAAGCCCCTTAATCTTGAATCAACCTTTTAAAGTCGTTTATAAAAGAACTCCACTTTCTCGTTCTCCAAAAAATTCCTCCATCTTTCTTTAGCATCAAACATATTCTTTTCTCGAGCTTCCAGCAGGGGAATCTACTTCACCTTAACGGCATTTCAACTCCAGCAAGTCTAAGATAAAACATCCGATGGAACACCTAACCGACGCAGAGTTTCAGCAGGAGATACGGAAGCACCAGGAGCGGATCCGCCAGCGCGACGCAGCCGGCCTCCGACCTCCTGGAACTAGCGCGTGGACCGGTCTGTCGCCAGCTGATCGCGAAACAGCTTTTCAAATCGTACGAGAGATGGCAAGAAGACGTAGATTACGAGGAGAACCGAAGCCCCCACGACCGACTAGAATTTGTACCGAGGACGATATGAATATAGGCCATGATCAAATTCACGCCATTGCTGCTACTCGCCAGCAAGCTTATGCACGACTTCAAGCTGCCCAAAATGGAGGAGTCGGAGTTGGGTATGGCTCCGAAAGACCTGGCAGCGGGATTCAGGGAAGTGGAGGAGGCTATGGAAGACGGCTCAGCGGTAGCCAAGCCGAGCTGCTTCGGAAGCAGTTGGACGTTATGAACAGGCGCGGATCTGGAAGTGGTGGTTCCCAAAGCGGCAAGTCTAAGAAGAGGAGCGAGTATCCACCGGGTAGTGGAAGGGGATGATACTTAACGTGAATGAATTAGAAGGTTGATGCATGGCTTTCAAGTTTGTCAACGTATGTTTGCGACTTTGATGATGAGGCATGGTCTTTTTTCTAGATAATCAGCATGGCTTTTCAAATCAATAGTATCAGATCATCGATGTGATCTGAGCGATCTGACACCTTAGTGAGTGTATTCCCAAATGATGCGTGCTTAAATAAGTTTACCCTGGCTGCAGTGACGTTAATCACAGGATCCTGCCATTCAGTCGCAAATAAGTCATGCTCTTTGATGCACTTACATCAATTAGGTACGTGCTAAAGCACATTCATACTGGATACATGATCAACACATAGTCATTCATACCGAATCACTAATCGAAGACGACGTAAAATTTGTAGGAGCTCTGCTCAAGAGCCGATTTGTAAGTACTAGCTAGATGATTTTAATCAAGTGGCGCGACTTCTCGTCTTTTTCTGATTCAGTTAATACTTGCTTCGCGAGAGCCGTACCATCGAAATTTTCTTGGAGCTCTGCTATCGTATTCTTCATTGTTTTGTTGAACCAGAACCGAAAAAACCCGGCCCGCTTGAAAACATTTTCTTCGCCCAGATTCTCGTTGGTTTCCAAGTGTTGGAGAACAAGACCTGCGCCCTCATATGACTCGTCTTTTCTCTGATCTTCAACCAGGAGCAGATATAGCTGCTGGCTCGAAGCATCCACAATTCTATTCCTTCGGTCAAGCCTCACCTCAACTCCATCAAACCTCCACTCTCCATCCTCTCCAACTTTGAGGACATCCATGTCTTTCATCAAGCCAAGTCTCCCGACCAAAGTCAGTGACCCTCCTTTCACCTGTCCTAGTTCATTTCCCGTCGCTAACTGAATATCAATATCTCGAACCTCAATAACCGTTGATGGAACATATTTCACTCTGCCCCCGAAATATCGGCCAATCGGTACGTGTACCGAAGCCCACGACCAGCTGGGAGCGACATAATGCGACGAATCGTTGTCATCGGAATGTCCCTTTCCAACATCCCACATAAGCTGTGAAGGAAGATCGTGTTCCCAAAGTCCAGCTAAGTATCGGCACTGTGTCGACTTTTGTACACGTGATGCTAGACCGCCAATTGCGACTAGCTTATCTGTAATATAGGTGAAGGTACTGTGTGAGGTGTAATAGTCGATGATGGCATTCCATATCTTGACTGCTTCGTCTTTCTCCACCTTCCCTGATCCCTTCAAGATCTCTTGCCAGAAGCTCTTTGATTGATCGGTCCAAGAAGTGGCGCTCAGGTCTCTCTCTGTTCCTTTGTCAGGCCACTCGCAGCACTTCTTTTGTCCACACTCCCAGTAGACTCTACTTCGTCCGAAGTGTATGACTCGCGTGCTGAGAAATCGTTCTTGGAAGACCCACCCTCGCCAATTGAGCGGCGCGAAGTTCAAGATACTGCCCCAGTGGTAGCCAGGATTCTCATTTAGATGCCAGAGGTCATTTGTCCCATCGATATCAATCTGGACTTGAGGTACTGGAAGCTTGTCAAGGAACAATCCTTGACTTCCTTCCGTGGCTGCAGTCGCTGCCAGATTACACAGACCGCTGGCATAGACTTGGCCCATCATCGCTGCCTCTTTCTGCCAATCCTCGGATGAATTTTGAATGATGCAAAGACTGTCAATCCAGATGTGTTGCTCTCCGAGTTTCCTTGACGCATATATCGCGTCTTGGAACGTTCTAGACAGCCCTTCTGTTGGTATTTCTTGCCGAAATTGTTCCAGGTTTTCTAACAAGAGCCTTTTGGGGACAATTGGTCCCCAGCAATGACTTAAAGTGAGGTAATTGCTTCCGGGCGGAATCTTATCTCGAAGTTGAATCCGTAGTTGAGGTTCATTGAGAGTTCCCACATTCAGAAGTCGTGTAGGAAGAAAGTTTAGACCTGCTGATTTGCACGCCCCTTGATGATTATCGATGCAATCTTTCAACCAAGTCCGCATGAGGTCCCAAGGAGGTGGATTTCGAGTCTGAATGTCGCGAGGTGTACCGTCGGAGCAGTCTGCTCTCGGAATATATTAGCTACCGTACGATTGATTAGTTTGAGGGACGGCATAACCTGTGCATGTCCTATCTTTAACACGGTGCAACCTCGCACTCCACTTCATCTCGACATTCGGACGCCACCGCCGGATCGAGAGATCTGTTTCGCTATACTTATCATTCGGAGGGCCTCCCGACCGCCAGCTCCGTACATAGCCCCAAACTTCGGGATCAGGTCCGCCATTTGGATCATCCGTAGCTTTTCTGCGAAAAGTCGTACTCTCAAAACTCCCTGTTTCGCCTTCGAACGAGTCGTAGACCATGGCACACAGCCGACATCCAGTAGCTACTCGCTCTTTCAGACGACTGTTAGCCTGAAGCAAAATAGTCTCGGGTGGTCCACGGCTCGGTCGCCCATCCCCTGCTTTTGCGATGTCTTTTTCGGAACCCCAGCGGTCTAGGGCTGTTCGGCAGTCTTTGCATAGTGGCGACTGCAATGACTCAAGTGCTTCAGAGGTCTCTGCAGTCACAGGAGTGGACATGGCTATATAAAGGCTGATCAATAATAAGTACTGTACCTATGTGTGTAGGAGGGTTTTGTACGCAGCTATCACGTGCCGATTTTAGAAGTTTCAGAGATCCTTGCAGATGCTGTGAGGATAGGAAAACATATGCACGGGCGTTCGTGGAGATTAAGCCTAATGTGCTCTCAATTCAGAATTGTTTGGAAGCTCTCTACGTCGAATGCAAGATGCTTCGGAAGGTTGGTGGCGGTCTGAAACCACGGAAGTGGGATTTAAGTGCCTTGGCAACAACTTTTAGCGTCCTCGCTTCCGATTCAGGGGTAATTCAGGGGTAAATAACTCTAACACTTAATTGCTAGTCCTTTTGGAGAGCATTCGCTAGACCTCTTCCTCATATCCTCAATGGTGGAAAAAACTGCATACAGCTGGTGTTCTGCGTTGGCTCGCCAACCACCAAAGTCGGTGAAGGATTTCATCCCCAATTCGTCCTCCGGCTCCGGGCACCGTTGTAGTGAGGCTGAGAGATAAGCTTTGTGCCGCACCAATCAAGCTTTTTCATCTGAATTTTTACTGGGTATTTCTTCGACGGCTGACAAGCACGAGCCTCGTGAATGGCGTGCTGTAGGTCGAAAAACTGTGCCGCGGCGTTTTCCCATACTTCGTGCCATAAGGCTGCATGTATTCATCTGCAACCATGACATTCCAAACGCACAGGAAAAGTAACACTATCACCCTCCTCCCTGAATGGTTGAAGCGATAGAGTTTGAATGCTATAAACAGAAAAGACGGGTTGGGGTCTACTACGTACAGGTTGTTTTAAAGGTTAAAATGAAGTGATGGTGCCACACCTCACTCCACCAATCACCTGTCAGGTGCAAGGACCATCTTCCAATCATATTAAGAAGCATCTCCTACTCACACCAGCTGTTTTCATGCTGCTTTATCCATTCATTCTGATTATGGAAAACTATCATGTTCCTGTGCCTAAGACTCCACGCAATAAGGAGCTCTCTAGGGATGATAAGCTTAGGCTACAGACCCTCTATTACACTGCAGGCTGGTCCATTGCTGACATTCTACTCTAGCACCCTCAGATTACTCGCAAACAGCTTGATTATGCCCTCCAAACTCGACTCACTCCTCAAAAGAAAGGGCACTGTGGCCGGCATGCAGTGATTGACACCCCTAAGCGCAGACAGCTAGTCCAATGGGTGACTTCTAGCTCATTCACTCGCGAAATACCATGGGCAGAGATCCCTAAGTGGCTGGGATGGGATGGATGGTGTGGGAATACAGCTATAAGGAATGCTCTTAAGAAAGAGGGGTATTGCAGAGCAGTCAGGAGGAAGAAGCCTCCCCTTTCTGATGAGAACCAGCGCAAGAGATTGGAATGGGCACGAGAGCATGAGAATTGGACCTTGGACCAGTGGGATGAACTCCTTTGGAGTGATGAGAGCTGGATGCAACCTGGGTATCACAAGAGGCAGTGGGTAACTAGGCTCATAGGGGATGCTGAGCTATTTCACCCTAACTGCGTGTCACACAAGTGGCAGAGGAAGATAGGATGGATGTTTTGGGGTTCCATAAGTGGAAGATATGGCAAAGGGTTGGGCATATTCTGGGAGAAGGAATGGAAGACAATCAATAAGGTGTCATACTCTCAGAGAGTAGTGCCTCCTATTATTCACTACCTGCACACACACCCAGGGCTGCAATTCCAGCAGGATGGAGGACCAGGGCACACAGCAGCTTACACTATGCAAGTGTTTCAGGGCTATGGTGTGCAGCCCATATTCTGGCCTGCATTCTCACCAGACCTCTCTCCTATAGAGAGTATATGGAATAGGATAAAGGATATCTTGGAAGCACTAGATCCCCATGTCCACAGGAACTATAGGAGGCTCAGAGCTACTGTAATTAAGGCATGGGAATCGGTCACAGATGCAGAGATTAGGGACATCATTCACACTATGCCACAGCGCTGTGCAGATGTTATAGCTGCTCGGGGAGCATACACAAAATGGTAGTCTGAATAGCTTCATTTTTTATGAAAGTGACCAAAAGCAGCGTGCCATAAGCATGCCATAAGTGGTGCGCCTAGGTGTGGAAAGAGAGTGGCAAGGGGTCTGAGCATTAACCTTTGAAAGGCCCTGTACGGAGTACTACGAACACGACGCCGCGAATAATATGGCCTGTTCCCGCCTCAAGCACGCGCCTCATACATGAACTCATCTCCTCATCTGCAGAGAACAGCTCACGTCAGCACCCGATCTGGGGAAGAAATAAGCCTTTTCAGGGGTATGATGCATGCGAAGATACGAGCTGAGGTGTGGACTTGCAGACATCCGCTAGCGTTGGGGGCTGCAAAATGAGCTTAAGGATATATCTATCCGGGAATTTCTGTTTGAAAGTAAAGCAATTTTTTCTCTAATTTCTCTAAGAGAACTCTGAGAGAACATCTTTTATATCCTTAACAATTGTCCGCAAAGAAAATCACAATGAGCGACGTCAAATCTGCTACTCCTCCAACAGGTGGGGTCAGTATCCCGGCACCTACGAACTCTGTCTCGCCAGCTGCCCCTCCCAAGACAACTGTTCCTTCTTCAACAGCACCAGCGATTAAACCCGCTCAGAAAGTGGCACCTAGCACCGCCATTCCAGGGAGCAAGCCGGCTTCTGTACCACTGAAGCAAAAAACTCCAGTTCCAGGTTCCTCCACTGCACCCGCAAAGCCCCTCACTAAAACGCCTACAAAGACCTTGACTCCCGGAAGCAAGCCAGCAACGACTATCAGCAGTAACGGTGCACCCCCAAAGAAAGTCCTAGCTTCTCCCGCAAGTGGACCAGCTCCTAAGCTGGTATCCACAGTTCCAGGCGTCAAACCTGCAGGTGTCCCAACTGCAAAACCTGCTGTCAAACCAGCAGGTTCTCCAGGAGCCAAGCTTTCTACTTCAGGCACCGCTCCCTTAGCGAGAGCTCCCATAACTGGACCTGCAGCATCTGTCCCGAAAGCACTTTCAGCCAAGATTGCGCCAGGTGCTGCAAAAGCTCTACTCTCAAGCACTGCACCAAAATCATCAGCTCCGGTGCTCGCCAAAAGCACGACTACGATACAAACAAAGAGTGTAGCTCCATCAACAGCCCCAATTGCCAAAGCACCAGTGCCAGCCTCAGCTCCGGGTCCAGGGTTCGCTGACAAGACAGACAAGTTCTTGGCCGACGGGACTAAGATTGTTGCTGGTGTCGGCGGCTTCCTTGGTGCTCTCAATGAGTTGTTGGGAGATGATAAGTAAGTCCTCCTCACAATATCCTAGGAATAAGATCAACACTAACCTCAAACCAGACCAGCAGATGCCAAACCAACGGCCACAGCAACGCCAGCGAAGGCAGCCACTGCCAAAGCAGCTCCAGCACCAGTTCCAGCGTCAACAAGCAAAAGTGCCACACCTGCTCCAGCAACGGTAAAAGGACCTGTTGCTCCGAAAGCATTGCCGAAGACAGCCATAAAGGATGCCCACGCAACCACTCCTCCCTCTCTCGGACACACCCAAGCAGCACCCTACGCCCAACCTCTCTCCCATGTCACACAGCACGACCAAGCACGAGGCCTCGACCATACTATGAGCTCGCAGACCTATGTCTCTCATCCATACAACCAAAACCGCGAGATCAACGTTCATGAGTACGAACCAGTATCCTCCAACATCCTCAATGTACGCGAAGACGTGGCCGTTCTGCAGACCACCGAGTACTGGGTTGAAGATGGAGAAGCTGCGCCGCAAGCTGAGTACGTTGGGGGTGAGGAAGAGACTTATGTCGAGTATACCGAGACTACCGAGTATGAGGAGGTCCAGGAAAATGAGAATGTGGATGAGGAAGGACAGGAGTATGCTGTTGAAGAGGAGCAGGGCGAGGAGTATGTTGAGGGTTCAGAGACGGAGTATGTTGTTGATGAGGGGTTGGGTATGGATGATGCTGAGACGGAGGTTGGATATGATGTTGATGCTACCGTGGACGTGGACGTGGACGTGGAAGAGTCAGGGGGCTACGTTGAGGTGGATGAGTCTGAGGCTGTGCAAGCGTCCGAAGACCAAGAGTATACTCAGGATACGGCGGGAGAGGTTGATGTGGATGAGTCTGAGACAGTCGAGGTGTCTGAGGACCAGGAATATCCTGAGGATGCAGGAGAGGAAGAAACGCAGACTGGGGAAGGAGAAGAGACCACAGAGTTCGACAACGAAGAAACATGGCAAGCTGCAGGTGATGAAGATGGAGACGGTTTGGAGCAAGCTGTCATCGATCTTGGCATCGTGAACCAAGACGATAGTGAACCAATGGATAATGAGGACGGAGAACAGCAAACCACTGAAACGGATGACGCCGATTTGACGACTGTGGAGGTCGACGTTGACGTCAATGTGAGCGTGGAACTTGACTCCAATCAAGGAGATGCTCCGGCCGTGGATGAAGATGGCAACGAGATCCAACAGGCAGACGATGACGAAGATGGAAATGCGCAGGTGAATGATGGAGAAGAAGAGAATGGCAATGACAGTGATGGAGGTAATGCGACTCCAGATGATGATGGTGATGATGATGCACCACCAGACAATGACGACGATGAAGATTAGAGCAGGACTGAACTTCGAGTTAGGATAGAAGAGCAAAATTTAATAGATCAATCAAATTTCTGAGGGCAATAGACATGTTCAAGAAAGCAAGACATTCGTGAATTTTGTCATATGGTTACTGTTGTACTTTAATACCAATACCATCAGGGCCTTACCCCTAGGGAGTCACGCTTGTACAAGTAATCTAACGAAAAGTGAATAATCGAGCCAGGTGACACCAAGTGGCGCTTTATCACGTGCATGCTCTTGCATCACCTCCGAGCATGTCTAAAATTTCCGACACATTAGACACTTTGATACCTTTCACAATTTCTGTGAAGGTGTTCTGTGAACTAGTAAATCCACTGCCTTGACATAGATGTAGATCATTTATTACTTTCATCTATGTTAGAATAAATTCCGCTAAATAACCGCTCAGATGATATGATGACAAGATAGCTATAATACAACGAAATGCTACCGCCTCTGAAACGCCAATAATGCCCTCCCACTAAATATTCTATGCTTTATGCTATATAAAGTACACCGCTTCAAGAGGCGTTAATGTCATGTGATTCGTTAGCGTCACGCTAAACCAACCTTATTCCTACATCGCCGAGTTTCACTTCTGTGAAATGAATTAGTCGCGTCAGAGCATCAAGGACCAATTCAGCGGCACTTGGATCCTTCTGCGCTACCACCGAGGGTCTATATATCGTACAGTGGCTCTCTACCCCACTCTTCGTATCGTAACAGCTGGAAAAGCCCCGTCCATTGTCCCGTCTCTTCAATTGTTCCTTCTCTTGAAAGTCATACGCCTTTCGCAATAATAGGCAATACCATCTTGCGTTCCCCTACATGGAATGCGCCAAAGAACTCCAGCACGAGCGGATGGATGTCCTTCTCACGCGCTGTCGTCAGCCATTCCTCCATACCAATCTCTCGCAATGGCGCTCCGGCCATGTCTTCGAGATACTTCCCGAAATCTTCATGGGAAACTTTCGCATCAACGCAATGATGGACGAAAGTGGCGCTCGGATTTTGTTGTGTTCGTTTTCTGCCAATGCTGGTAGATTCGATTGCTGACCCCACTAGATCCTTCGCTACGTCCTCAACCCTGACGAAGTCCCACTTCCCTACAACATTTTCCTCATCGAATCGCGGATACCCGCCAAGGAGTAGCGAATACTTTATAAGCATACCAACAGCATCAAGCTCGGATGCGTCGTCGCCCACGACGTGTGCCAATCGATGGACGTACGCAGACAGTCCGTTGTCAGCTGCTGCCTTCTCCAGAAGTGTCTCGCTGGCCCATTTCGAGGATGCATAGCCGTCGATTGAGTTCAGTAGTTCTGGAACAGCGGGCGACGCTGGTACTTCTAGGAGCGGCTTCTCTTCGCCGTGATGGAGAGCTTTGGCAACGGATGCGGTAGATACAAAGTGCAAGGGCACACAGCGTGGGATGGCCATCTCGCAGAGTGTACGTGTAGAGACAACGTTCGCGCGGCGAAGGGACTGGTATGTCTTCAGCAAAGACACGTCCGCACCGTTGTGGATAATGACATCGGCATGTTCAGCCAGGGATGTGAATTGGGGGTCTGAGAGACCAAGGTTGAGGCTCCAGAGGTCTCCGGTATACTCGATAATTTTGTCGCTCTTCATCGACAGGTGGCGAGGTTTTCCGCAGGCATCGGGACGAATTGCTATACAATGCACATATGCCACTCTCGGGTCCTGGATGAGTTGCGATAGCAGGTGTCGTCCGATGAATCCAGTGGCGCCCGTTAAGACGACTTCAAGACGAGTATGTCCATTTGTGAGCAATTGGGCCGATGATGAGGACATAGTCTTCGGTTGAGGAAGTCCATCGAGCATGCTTGCAATCTCAAGATCCCAGTTCATTGTCAACTGAGTGCCTCTGGATCCCGAAAGGGATGTCATCAAAGGATTTTTCTGGGTGGTATCCATAGCATCTCCAACTAGAGCGGCCATCTCACTCAAAGTGCTAGCTTGGAAGAACTGCGGCAGATAAAGCGTTACACCAAATTGGACCTCGATGAGTGATTTCAACTTGATTACCAAGATCGAACTACCTCCAACTTGGAAGAAATCCGTGCTGGATTGAACGGTCGCTTTACCAGAGATATGAAGTGTCCGAGTGGAGAGGACTTCTTCCCAGACGTCTCTCATCTGTTCCTCCAAGGGGCTCAGCTTTTGCGTGACAGTATCTGTCGCCGTCACGGACTCGGATATCGGTAGTCCGTCTACAGCATCCCTATCAATCTTTCCGTTGGCAGTGGCTGGGATGCGATCTATCGGTACTATGAATGTCGGTTTCATGAACGGTGGAAGGGGAAGATCCGAGCGAAGCCATTCTAGGAAGTCCGACTTGTCCTCGGTGAATTCGACATCGAATACGACGAAAGCAACAAGGACGTCCGAGGGCTGGTCGGATCTCAAGGAAGCAACAGCGTTCACGATTACCCCATTAGACATGTCCACAATGGCATTGGCGATCTCGTCAAGCTCAACGCGGACACCGTGAATCTTGACCTGGCTATCTCCGTCCAGTCGTCCCAGAACTTGAAGTGTGCCATCCGATAAGATCCTTCCCTTGTCGGCTGATCGATAAATCCTGCGTGGTGCGACGCACGATCCGAGTCTTTTTCTTTGAGTAAACTTCCGTCCTGAGTCTTCAGGTCGATTGAGATATCCAAGACCAACGCCCTGTCCCGAGATACAGATTTCGCCTGGAAAGCCGATCGGTAGGATGCTCATATCATCGTCAACAATTTCAAGGCCATAATTTGGCGACGGACGAAGGTAGTCGGTGCTACTGTCGTGCTCTTCACTCAACTCACGATATGGGACAACTCCTCTAGCACAAGCGAGCGTGATCTCCGCTGGCCCATACACATTGACCAGCTTCAGAGAATCACAGTCCAGCTTGCGGAAGGCTCTGCGCAGTTTCCAACCCAGCTTCTCTCCTCCTGACATCGCGAAGCGCCATGAGTCCGTTCCTGTCAGGATGTGGTGTCCGTAGTTAAGCAGTAACGAATACTCGGACGGCACGAAATGCGTTAAAGTAACACAGTACTTGACCATGAGATTGGCCATTTGCGTTGGATCACCTCGAGCACCTTTACCGACCATGACGATCGTGCCGCCGTTGCATAGCGCGAGAAATATCTGGTCTAACATAAGGTCGAAGCCCAGCGGACTCTGCTGCAGTGTTGTCTCGCGTCCAAGTCGGAGAGTCGCTATCGTTCCATAAATTTGGTTCACAAGGGCTCCATGCGTGAGCATGACACCCTTCGGCACACCACTGGTTCCGCTCGTGTACAGGATCATAGCTGGTTGACGACTCCGATGGCTGATATCCTTGATGATATCCTGCGGCATAAAAATCTTGCTCGTATCCTCGTCAGCATCGTCAATACTTAAGATCGATGTGAAATCCGCCTCTGCAGATATTTGCTGCGCCAGCTCTTTCGTTGCATCATGGCAGACCAAGACTCGTGGTTGACTCTCCTCGACCACCGCGCGAAGGCGTTGGGGGTGGTTTCGTGTATCCAAAGGAATCCACACAAAACCCAGGCGTAGGATAGCAAGAATACAACAAACAGCGTCAGCGACAGGATCAAGAAGCATAGCTACATACGAGCCAGGAGGGAGTGCAGGTTCAATAGTCTGTAGCTGTTGCGCGATTTGCATCATGCGGGCTCTCATTTGCGTGTATGTGAGGGTTCGGCTTTGCTCGTCTCTGATCGCGATGCCTTTCGGCAGCTGAGCCGCTATTTCATCGACGCGGCCTGTCAAAGTGCCGTTCTGTGCCCATGGTATTTTCATGTCGGTGCCGCGGCCAAGCTCTAAGGCTTCCTGAATGTCGGTCACGTTAGAAATCGGACATCTGCCAACTTCAGTGCAAACATCTCGAGCCAGACCTTCCAAGGCACGTGTATACCACTTCAAGAGGAGTGCGCCATCAGATTCCTCATACAAACTCTGCTGCGTGATGAGAGATACGAAAGTCCATTCCGATGTTGAAGCCACATTGAGGAGCATATCGTACGGGTGTCCTCCAGGCACAGCACCATCCCACTCGATCCTGCCGTCTCTCCCGAAACTGGTCTCATTTAGAGGGGCTTTGCGGTAATTGATGGCGGCTTGGAATAAGGGATGACGGCTGGTTGACCTTAGAATGTCTAAACCATCGGATCCAAGTACCATGTCCAGAGGCGCTTGCGAGTGGGCTAAGGCTTTCGAGGCCGCATCCCGAGTCCTCTTGGCTACCGCTTGAAACGGTTCGGAATGCTCCATTTGGATCCGGACTGGTAGCATATTGAGGAAGTACCCAATGGTTCCCATATCCTCGTCCTCGGTCCTGTTTGCGTCCACAACTCCGATAGCGATGTCATCAATGCTGAGACAACGCGCGAGAAATGTTGCAAAGCTCGCAAGGAAGAAGTGGAACGAGGTGACGCCGATCTTCGCAGCTGCCATATCGATGAGTTTCGTCATGTCGCTTGAGAGCTTAACACCGGCAGTGTTAATATTGTAATTCTGAACAGTCGGATGAGTCTTGACCTTAGAGAATGCAAACAGGGGAAGCGGCTCAGGTATGGTTTTGTAAACGTTCTTCCAGAACGCAAGATCACCCTGAAGATTCTGGGGTGTGAATGCTTTCAACTGCTTCTTCGCCAATTCAATGGATTGCTGGACATGAGGAGTTGCTGGCATGCTACTGAGGCGTCCCGAGTATGCCTTTGCGAGGTCGGCAATGAACACGCTCCAACCAATTCCATCGAGAGCAATATGGTGATGGTTGAAAATGATGGAATGGAGCGACGGTGAACGAGACAAGACCGTCATCTTCATGACAACGCCTTTCTCAATGTCGAATCGGAAGTCTTTGACAGCGTCTATCTCAGCATTCACTTCGCTATCGTCAAAGATTTGTCGCTGTTCTAGAATGATACGAGGCCCAGGAAGTACAGCTTGTAAAGGTTGTGACGTGGACATGTCTATGAAATACGCGCTTCTTAGAGCCTCGTGTCTCTTCCCGACCGCAAACAGAGCGTTCTGTAGTGTTTTCATGTCGAGCCGACCGTGAAACAAACCAGAGTAAGCAATGTTATACGCATTATTTTGGAGGTATTCGTGTAGGAAGTACAGCTGAGCTTGGGCGTGGGACATATCACCAGCTCTTTCGTACTCGATCTTCTCTGCATGGTGGCCATTTCCGTTACTTTCGTGGGATGATCTATTCGCGACTCCGGAGCGAGGGACTGCATGATTACCTGCACCATTTGTCATATGCTCATTCTGGAGCACTTGCGCAGAGGACTTGGAACTCGTGCCATTGACTTCACCATTTAGTAGCTTTTGATCGTCGCTCTTTTCTTCGGCCCATGGCTTCGACGAATCCGGCAACTTGCTTAGCGCATCATGGCAAATATCGTCCAAGGACGAACCACTCAAGAACTTCAATACCGGAATATCAACCTCCAGGATCTTTAGCAGCCAGGAGCGGATTCCAACAGCAACTAGCGAGTCGATTCCCAGATTGATCAATCCGACATCTGTGTCCACACCTTCACCAGGAGAACCGAGTGCTAAGCTCACTCTGCTAGCAATTGCTACCTTCAAGATAGAAAGCGCTTCTTTGCTGTCAGAAGCCGCTTTGAGCTGGTCTTGAGTGCTCTGACTCGATTGCTCCTGATTATGCTTGCCTTCTGTGAGTCTTTCCTCGTCTTTGACACGGCAGTGGCTTAATCGAGGTATGGCTCGCCAAGCGGTATCAAGCTCGGTGCCAAGCCCAGAAATAAGTTCATGATTCAATCCAGACTCTGGACGACCGGAAAGAATTGTTTGGGCGAATATTGCGTGAAAGTCTGGCTCTGGAATGGGAATCGAATCATCGTGGCGAAATCGAGCTTCGACAGATTCTCCTCCTGTTTGCTCATGGATGAACCCAAACCCAAGCAACATTCCGAAATGCATGACCGACGCGGCTAGACCTCTCTTGCGCCTTTGCATTGCTACTGTTGACATGAACATGTTGGCAGCACTGTAAGCGGATTGGGCCGGGTTTCCAGTGATGCATGACACCGACGAGAAGACGATGAAGAATTCCAACGGGGCAGAGTAAAACAGATTATCAAGATTCTGAGTCCCGATGACCTTGGGCTTGAAGACAGCCTCGAGGTCTTCGAAAGACGTACCGTCGAAAGGATGGTCGCGGACCACGAGGGCAGCATTCGCAACTCCTCCAATTGGCGGCATGGTCGAGATTATTTCTTGATGAACGCTTTTCAGATTCTCCATATTGGCTACATCGAGAGCAAATATGCGGACCGTTGCGCCTTTCTTCTCAAAATGTTTGCACACCTCTGGAGAGACAACTGGATTTCGACTGGAGACGGCGAGATATCTAGCTCCGTGGTCTATCATCCACTCGCAAAGGGATAATCCAACATTACCTGTAAGTCCAACGAGAAGATATGTCTTCTGATCATCGAAAAGGCGGTCGCTGGTGGCTGGCATCACTTGGACTTGAAGAGATTGGATGTCGGTCCAGGATATGATGCTTGTGGACGTGGCTGTTTCTGCGTGCTCTTGTATCAGGTCAGCTTTGATGACAGACTTGGGCGTCGGATGACCCAGATCTTGGAGCAGATTTGGTTGAGAGCAGTATTTCTCGAGCAGCTTGACAAGGCTGGATCTGCTGTACGACAGAAGGACCACTTCCTTTACACTGACTTGGTGGATACCTTGCCGTACGTCCACTCCATGTCCTCCGAAGGATGCAGGAAGTCCCACAGGACCATCGACATCTACTCCCATATTCACGAACCGCTTAACGTTGCGAGGAATCAGAGACCTTCGTTCGCGCTCCGAGGCCCGTGGATGAAGATAAGTTGCTTTCGCATCCGATGCGGCGTTGCTCGTGGTGAAGAACACGGAAACTTCCTTTTCAGAGGCCATCTTATGTATTATTTCAGCAAGTCCGTCGTCAGCATCATGGATCCAGACCGTTCCAGTGCTATTCGACAGCAGACTTTCGCACATTAGGGCTGTCAAAATGGTGGATAGTACGTCATCGGCACCTACGTCGTTGTTGCAGCTGAAAGTGCAGTCTGGAGACACGGCGATGATTGAGCTATTTGCTTTTGAAATGGCCAGGAGGTCTTGATTTGCTGAGGCATCTCTACCCAAGCAAATGTAAAACGGGTTCCCATCATCTGAGCAAGTAAAGCTGAACAGGGAGGATGAACGAACTCGAAACTGACTCGAACCTGCTTTTGCCTGTCCTCTGGAATCGCTTTTCTTTTCCCCAAAGAAGACACCGTCATCTCCAGCGGAGATCTCAATCGCAGTCGAGCCAGGCGAGACACTCTTCGTGATTCTACGCCTCGCAGAATTGAAGCGATCATTTATGTCCTTATTCGGCACAACTCTCGGGATAAGAACAGCTCCATACTCGACCGCAACCTCCAGCTCATTGCCCCATAGAATACCGTCGTAGCTTGGCAGATCGAGGCACATCATCTGTAACAGCATCTCGGAAAACATCGTCGCTTCCGGTTGGTGCTTTTGAAGGCGCACGTGATCGACATCGACAAGTTTTAGCCGGAGGTGCTCCATTTCTCGCGCAACTGTGCGGCCAATTCCGGTGACGATATTAGCATATGGGTCATCGTCTCGACAACCTCGAGTGGTCCAGAGAATGCATTTCGCTTGTCCAAATAATGCCTGCATGGCAGCAAGACGCTGCGCATCCATTCTAGCAAAAGTCGCCTCTTCGAGTCCAGAGAGGCAAATTACTGCACTCCCGTACTTCAAATCGGCGACTTCCTCTAGGTCGTTGATGATGGTCGTATGGTCTACGAATGGACATAAAAGATACCCTACCTGTTTCGCCATCTTCGAAACTGTCAATGTTCGTCCGCCGATGATGAGTAAGTGCTCTATTCGTGCCACACCGTCGGCCAGAGTGAGGGGATCTCTCAAGATACTGATCCGATCATCGACTGCTTGGCTGACCATGACGGAGAAGGTGTGCATGGTATCATCTTGGAAGTCTCTCAGCGCACAATCTACTCCCGAGAAGTCATTATCCCGCAGAACAACGTCCCATTGTGCTTCTGTCAACGTCGGGCCCTGAAGTCGTCCATCTTCGTGTCCGAGCCACCATCCTGGGAGGCCGGAGAATAGGAATGGAATTCGGAGCGTTGATGGGTTGATGAGTTCAAGCATGATCAAATAACCACCCGGACGCAGCAATTGCCGGCAATGCTGCACAGTTTGAGCGATCGTCGTCGTTGCATGTAAGACATGCGCAGCGATGATTACGTCATACGAATGTTCCTGGAACTCCTGATCAACAGGCGATTTCTCGATATCCAAAACCTGGAAATTCATCACTTTCTTATGTTCAGCAAATCTCGCTTGAGCCGCCGGGAAGAACGAGGGTGAGAGGTCAGTGAAAGTATAATCCTCAAGCTTGGAATCCAAGCTCTCCAAAGCCACGGCTGTGGATCCACCGGTGCCGGCACCGATTTCTAGGACTCGCAGTCGGGGATGTTGATGTGAGAGGTGGTCTAGGAGAGTTCCTAGATGGCCGTTTGTCTCGGGGACGCCTAGACCTGAAGTGTACAGGTCTTGTAGTCTGCCATCTTCTTCGAGAACCTCGAATGTGGTGTCTGAATTTCGCACTAGGGATGGAAGTCTTGAGCCGAGGTGGTGTATGAGTTCGAGGTCGATTTGGCTGTCGTATTGCTGTTCTTTGAGTTGGAGTATCGATTCGAGTGTATCAGTTCCCCAATTGCGCTTCTTGTTCGCTGGAAGCACGTAGTCCAGACCCCAGCGCATAAGACACTGGAAATGCGTTTCCATGGACTCTATCTCTGCTGGCTTCACCTCTCTGCAAAGTTGATTGAGATAGAAATACGCAGTCCGTTCGCATATCTCATGCAATTTCCGATCTCCAGTTCGCAGGTTTTCTTCTCCAGTCGACTCGAGCGAAGATACGATATCTTTCTTCCATATCGTCTCCCAGAACATACTCTGATCGTTCGCAGCAGTGGGGACTTCAAGTGAAGATAAAACCACGCCTTGAGCCTGGATTTCCGCATGTCCGTCCTCGGAATTGAAGACGTCGATATCGCCACAAATTATCCTCGCCGATGCCTCAGTGAGGTAACAGTCAGCCACTAATCGCGAACTTGAACGATTCTTCGAATTCATGTTGAATCGAACGCTCTGAAAGCTCTTCGGCAGGTAAGTAGTCCATAACCGTCCATCTCCAGGATACGCAAACGCGTTATACAAACTATGCAGAATACTGTCCAGCGTCCCCGGATGAATCGTGTACCTATCCGTCACAGTCCTTACCGCCGTCACGGTCGCGAGATTCAACCTCCTTTTAATAGACTCCAGAACAAAGGGCTCCGCATAGCTTAGTCCGAGTTTCTGCATCCAAGTATAGAAGCGCTCCGTCGTGACATCCGTTAGCGGAAGTTTCCGCTCATTCCTCGCTGGCAAAGTATCTTCAGCCGGCCCGCCCAATTTCACAAGGACGCGTCCAGTGAAGACCTCTTTATCGAAATCCGCGGATGCAGCGTCGACGTTACTGCAGTGGCAGGAGAACTCCGCCGTTTTACTGTCAGAAGTCTCGGATATGACCCGGATGCAGAAATTGATATCGACGCCAGGGGAATCTTCTTCCAGCGTAACACCATTATGAATCACAACGTCCTGGAGCTCTACTAATTGCACAGCCTGCTCATATCCCACGAGATGCAACGCAGCATTGACGGCCATAGCCAGGTATCCAGCAGCAGGGAGCAAGACCTGGGATTGGAATTTATGGCCCTGTAGCCACTCTACCTCGTTTAGACGCAGGATGTTCCGCCAGCGGACTTCTCGGTTAGCAGGGCTGGAGTTGAGGTTCGGGTACCCGAGTAACTCATCGTGAGGCGTGGTGCGCGTTCGCCAGGCCTTGGAAACTTTTGATTCTTTCAGCATGGGTTTGCTGTGGTCCCAGGGGTATGTAGGGAGATTTTTCTGCACGCGGGGAGGTGTGAAGGAGGGTCCTTGGCAGGCTTTTTGGAAGCCGCTGAACGAGGGGAGTGGGAAGTCGAGCGTTTTCCATAGGAAGCCTAGTGCGGAGGAGAATATTTCTACGGCATCTTTGTTTCGCTCCAATACGCCGTGATATGGGAGGCTGTGGCCGAGAACTTCCTGGATGGACTCCGTAGCTGGACCGCGGAGGGCAGGATGAGGACCGATTTCGAGAACGATGTCAAAAGTTTCGTTTTCTAAGGCTGAATTTACGGCGTGCGAGAATAATACCGGGTTCGTGATGTTTTCCGCCCAATACATATCCTCGAACGGAATATGCTCGCTCAAACTCTTGTTATCGTGCACGCTGGAATACCAATTACACTTCCCTCCGAAACAATTCCGTCTCGGCTGCACATTAGCAGCTTTCAGCGACGCGAGATACGGTTCCCGAACACGCTCCATGTGATGCGAATGATACGCATTATCAACCTTCAACTCCCGCGCAAACACCGCCGCTTCATCCAACATCGTCTTCGCTTCCGCGATCGCGTCCGCGTCGCCCGATAACGTGATACTGGACCGCGAATTCTTGGCCGCGACGACGATGCGGCCGCGGAATCGCGGCTGAGCGCAGAAATCATCGCCGTCGGACGGCGACATGCCTACGGCCATCATTTTCCCTTTGGAGGAGTTGGATGGAGAGTGGTACCCGCGATAGTAGGCGATTAGGATGGCGTCGCGGGGGGAGAGGATACCGGCGCTGTAGGCAGCGGCGATCTCGCCGGATGAGTGGCCGACGACGGAGGTGAATGTTATGCCGCTTTCGCGAAGCAGGTCAACGAGTGCGATTTGCAGGGCGGTGCAGAGCGGTTGGGAGATCGTGGCTGAGGAGGTGCGGGCGGGGTTGTTGGGGAGGAGGAGTTCTTCTGATAGGGACCAGGAGGGGGCGTCTTGCTTTGGGAGCGAGGAGAGTACGGATTCGAGGGTCTGGATTGTGGTTCTGAATGTGGTGGAGTGGTGGAAGAGAGAGGCGCCCATGGTGGGCCATTGCGCGCCTTGGCCGGTGAATACGCCTAGGATGCGGGGGTGGGGGGTTTTGGTTGCTTTGGTGGAGAGGGGGATGAGGTCTTTGTCCTGGAGTGCAGAGTCGAGGGTCGAGATGAGGGATTCTGTGCTGGTGGCGGTAAAGGAGGCGCGGTGGGTGAAGTGCGTTCGTCGGGTTTGGAGGGTCCATGCTAGACTTGACAGGTTGGTGTCGGGATGGTCTTTGAGATGTGTGGAAAGAGAGGAGATGGTTGCTTCGAGGGCTGTTTCGGAGTGTGCAGATAGGACGAAGGGTCCCCAGCATGGTGATGATGAAGAAGAAGGAGGGGTTGGTTCATCCCAGCTCTCGATGATAGCGTGGGCGTTGGCACCTAATGTAAGTCAGTCTTTGCGTGGGGAGGGTTGTAAGCTAAGACCCGTACCTCCGAATCCGAAACTATTTATACTAGCCCGTCTAGGCGCTCCTGCAGGTAGGTCCGGCCAAGGCTCTAACCTAGTTGGTACTTCTAAATGGTCGTAAAAGGGTTCTATAGCTGGGTTTAGGCGATTAAAGTGTAGGTTTGGTGGGATGAAACCGTGTTGTACGGCTAACGAGGCTTTGAGGAGACTGCCGAGTCCGGCTGTACCTTCCATGTGGCCTACTACGGTTTTTATTGAGCCGACGTGGAGTTTGCCTTGTCGGTCGTGGGTGGGGAAGAAGGTTGAGCTGATGGCTTCTGCTTCTTTGGGGTCGCCTACTGGTGTACCTGGACTCGGTTAGTATTTTCACAACAAAAACACTAGAAGGAAAGTGAAGAGCTACCAGTTCCGTGTGCCTCGAAGTATTGACACCTATCTTCCTCTTTCCGATAGTCAAGCCCACATTTCGTATACGTTGATCGTATAAGCTCCGCCTGAGCAGTCGTGCTCGGTACCGTCAGACCTCCCGAGTAACCGTCTTGATTAACACCCGTATTCCGTATTACACTCTCCACATCATCACCATCAGCTAACGCCTTATCTAGAGACTTAATAACAACAGCCGCGAATCCTTCACCACGGGCATAACCGTTAGCATCAGCGTCCCACATCCGGGACCTCCCGTCAGAGGAAAGCATCCTGAGCTTCAATGACGTCAGCTTCTGAGAGAAATCCAAGATTACAACTTACACTCGATAAAAAAGTGAAAACCTCCGGCGAGAAAACAAGATTTACTCCTGCCACTACAGCCATATCGCACTCACCACTCCTCACCGACTGAACCGCAAGATGCAGCGCCACGAGACTAGACGAACACGCCGTATCGACATTAATCGAAGGACCCCTCCAGTCAAAAGCATACGAAACTCGATTGGCCAGAATACACCTCGAGATTCCAGTCCCGGAATACTGGGGATGAGAATCTAAATCTCGTAGCACGAGTTGTTGATAATCATCAGACATCTGACCGACAAACACGCCGGTCGACGAACCGCGCAGGGCGGAGATGGAGCACCCGGCCGCTTCTACGGCTTCGTAGATGGTTTCTAGAATCACGCGCTGTTGGGGATCCATGGATACGGCTTCTATGGCGCTGATGGCGAAGAATTCGTTGTCGAAGGCCCAGGGGTCCTCTTCTAGTAAATAGGCTTTTGTGACGTTTGTTGTCTAGATATTGGGTGTCAGTATTATGTATGATTAAGGGAATAGAGAGACAAACTCCTGGATGCTCGGCATTCTGGTGATAGAAGCCCGCAGGCTCAAACCGACTTGATGGGATATCGGTCAACACATCAACGGGATCGCGCAACAGCGTCCATAATTTGCTCGGCGAGGTCGAGCCGCCGGGAAACCGACAGCTGTTGCCGATGATGGCCACCGGTTCTGCAGCACTTCGATCGACCATCTTTTCCTCTATGTGTCTATACAAAGAGAGACTAGAATGCGGCGTAGACAGACAGAGGACGTGGGATGGGATGAAAGTGCGAGGAAGGCGAACGAAACGTTGGGGGAAAAGAGGTACAGGACGGGTTCGCGCTGCCAAGAACAAAATGCATCGGTAGTTGGGACGTATAGTATAATAATAAGTGAGATTTTCGCCTCAGCTTAGATGTTCATTCACAGCCCTTTCTAAACGGGTCCATCTCCGTGCTCCGTGCTCCATTCCTACGTGCCAAGTTCATTGGAACGGTTCCATGGGAAGGGAGGGGGGATCCACTTGGTCCGAGTCTATCCATGTGCCTAGGTAGGCGTGCTGGGTTGATTAGTCTAGCTCGGAACTAGCGGGTCGAGGTCCGTGTTTGGAAAGTAGGTAAGTAAGCTTTGAGTTGGATTTGAGTTGGAATTTTGGTTGGATTTGGCATGTTACACATGCATGTAATTATGTCGCATTTGGTTGCCCGGGTCAGGCAGGAACGAACCGGGAGTGAGGGAGTGAATGGGATTGGTCGGACGAGCGTACAGCCTTCTTTAAGTAAGCAGGCTGAATCTTGGGAGTCTTCATAAATAGAATCCGACCCTCTTTCACACCACGACCCCGCCAACAACAACACGAACCTTTCAACAATCCACCTCACGATTATTTACGAACCGTACTCTTTGAGCTCTTCCTTCCGAGTATCGCCTTACATACACACCTGATAGTCATCATGGCAGCTGAAGCCCCCAAGCAACAAAGCCCCCCGCTCAAGTACACCGTTACGCATAACCGCAAGCCGACTCACACCCACGAGGAGTTCATTGCTTGGTTGGTTAATACGCACCTCCCGCTCGCCCTGCCAGTTTTGAAGAAACATGGCGTTTTGGGCTATGAACTTGTACGTTTCTCTTTTCCCCAATCCTTCCTCCCTTCCCTTCCCTTCCCTTTTCCATCCTCTCTACCTACCTATCTATCCCCTCGCCTTCCCCATCCCACCATCTCCCATACATTCACCTTCTAACAAAAGTACCTTAAAAAGTTCGTCACCCCCCCCTTCCTCTCCACGGCCCTCGCGGCCGAAATGGCCGTCTTCCAACCCACCTGGGACGTCTCGACCACCGACTGCTTCATCGAGTACACGATCCCAGACATGCAGAGCATGAAGGACGTGGTGGCGGACCCGGACTGGGGCGTCGCGACCAGGGACCAGGATGAGTGGGTCGAGATGAGCAAGAGTTTGGTGAGTTTGGGGTTTAGTACCAGTTATTTGAGTGGTGGGGAGATTGTGAAGAAGTGAGCTGCGTATGAGGACGTAGAGGGATGCGGATGTATGGGCTGGGATGGGGGGAGCTGTGGGTAGGGGGGGTGGGGGAGCTGGATGGGTAGGCGAGATACGTATTGCAATGAAGGAATTAACGGATATTGGGCATTGGGCAGGTGTGTACGAGGTACGAGATCTGGCTGGCTGGCTAGCTGGTAGGTAGCATCGAGCATGTGCGTCAGTCAGTCAGTCAGTCAGTCAGTCAGTCATTCAGCGGGTTGCTACAGTACATACATCACGCAGACAGGCGGCAAGGAGTCTAGATCACAGTGTCACACAAGGCTGAGCCCTAGCTATCAAACCCAACAAACAAACAAGCAAACAAACAAATTGCAAGGCTTTCCCCAACCTATCGCAACCTAGCTTCCTCTCTCTCTCTGCTCGGCGCCTTAATTAGTATATTTGTTTGTTTGACATTTGGAATCCTCCCATCCTTCCCGTCGCCATCCGCTGTCCGGGATGGGGGCCAAAAATACCTTTCCTTCCCCTGCCCTGTCTTCCTTCCCCCTGTCTATACTTACGCCCTGACGTGATTGATTCGCGAACTCAATCTCACTCACTCACTCGCTCACTCACCCCTGCCCGCCCAACGGTCGCCACGCATCGCCCAGTCCAAGTGCATCACTCACCTCCCAGCTCCCCCGGTCGAGCGCCCAGCTCGGTGGAGCTTACCGGCCCGCCCTAAGAGCGGGTGGAGGCTTGCGCTTTCGACAGGGGATGGATAAGTATGGTGTGCAGGGGAGGGATGGGATGGACGCGGGGTTCTAAAATAAGAGAGAGAGAGAGAGAGAGACAGGGAGGGGGAGGAAAAGAAAAACCCGCCGAAGGGTGTCGCTTAGAAGTATTAGTAAATTTAGTGAGGTAGGGGACGGGGGTGGAGGCGATGGGGAGGGGGGACAGGGAGTGGGGATTGTGAGGAGGAGAGGAGTGCTGGTTTAAGCTGGATGGAAGCGAGGAGGTAGAGCTATTCGTGACGGATGATTTGTAAATGGATGGATGGATGGATGGATGGATGGATGGAGCCGAGCTGATCTGATCGTGAGAATTAATGACGAGCTTTTTTGTTGCAGCTAACTTTTAGCTCGTGAAGCTGCCTAGGTACTTTTCTGTGTTGAGAGAAGAAATCACGTGTATGTATGTATAGTACACAGGCACAGGTAAATAGAGCTGGAGTAGGGAAAGTTTGTTATATTCCTCTTCCCGTGGCTCCGGGATAGACGATTTTCTGAGTTTGTGTTGTTTATATTGCTGGGGGATTTGCTCTGGGTTGAGAGAGATGGAAGAGTGGTAAAGTTTATTTTAGCATTACCGAGGGTGTGGCAAAATTTAACGTCGACTGAATTGCGACATTCGATTTTTTTTGGAAATTACGAGACTGACATAGGGTTTTGGAAATGCGGTTGAGAATAGCTCGAGTCGGGAAGTATTCGTTTTGTTTGGTGATAGAGGTTTGAAATTTAGGAAATGTGTGAGAATATAAGGCGGAAATTCTAATGAAAAGTAAGGTAAATCGTGATTAGAGCGTATATAATTTGAAAAGTGTGCATCTGATCTGAGAGTGTGCACTCTTAGTCTGAGCCAAACAGGAAAACTCTCGCATTTTAGCCTGCATTTTTGAAAGTATAAAACTATTTCTCGCATTCTTGAATGCATTGTACAAATGAATAGTGCGCGGATCTGGCGTATTGTTGAAAAAATGTGCACTTATTCCACTTCGCATGCTTTTAAACAGGTGTTTCAAAGTGCGAGCTCAAGCCAAACACACTCTAAAAGTTAATGTCCAAAGGGATTGAGTAATTATTGAAATTCTTTGGAAAAATAAATCTTATAAAGCCACGCGAAGGACGAGTTGAAAAATGGAAACGCGATTTATACAAAGAAAAGAATGTCCTGTATGTAAAGTTGAAACTTATACTACATGATATTGGCACAATTTTATGCTTTGCTGATCTTTGTTTCGACATGATGGTATCAATGAATCCAAAATCTACTCGTCCCAAGCCAATTCAAACCCACATCCCACAACAATAAAAATACACCCCCCCACCCCCCTCACAAAACAACCTCCCTCCCCTCCCTCTCCACCGGCGTCGAAACCGCACTCCTCCTCTCCCCCATCTCACTCCCCCTCTCCTCCCCATTAATCCCCTTCTCGCTCTCCGCAACCACACTCCCCAACCCAAACTCCGTCTCCAACTCCTCCCTCATCCGCAACTCCCTCGTCCCCCAACTAAGCAAGAACCCCGCCAACGCGAACGCCAGGCCCACTTGCCAGCACAATTTCAACGCATCCGTATATATACCCCTCACCGTGTCTTCCAGCGCCGGATTCGCCTCTAAGCCGAGGGCAGAATACACGCTCCCGCCCGCTGCAAGCGTATACGCGCCGCCATTCTGCAGGAGTTGTTGCGCGGAGGGGTTAGAGGATAAACGCGACGTGACCAAAGAGTTGGCCTTCGAGTTAAACACCGCCAACGGGATAGCAGCGCCCCAAATGGTCCCGAATCCGCGCATAAACGCCCACGTCGCGGTCCCGACCGCTGTATCTCTCTCCTCGAGCGGGGTCAGGACCGTGGGTAGGGTGACGGGTGTAATAACACCAATCGCCACCGCGGCCAGGATCTGGAATCCTACCCAGGTGCCTGTACTAGAATTTTGATCAAGAAGGCTAAACAAGCCGAGCGATAGGGGGAAGAACGCAAAGCCAGCGATGAGGAGCGGTTTATAGCGCCCGAGCTTCGTCATCAGACCGCCAGACAGGATGGTGAACGGCATGCAGACGGCAGCCGTAGGTAGGACGTCCACCCCGCTCCGGAAAGCGGATTTGTTCAGCACGGCTTGGAAGTAGATGGGGAGGATGAAGAGGATCCAGAAAACGAGCATGTTGTGGATGAAGGCGCACAGGAAGCCGATTAGCGAGGTGCGGTTGGCGAACAGGCGGAAGGGGGTGGTGGGTTCGGGGACGCGGGTTTCGAAAGCGAGGAATAATAAGAGGCCAGCGAGCCCGAGGACGAGGGGGAGGACGGTGTGGTAGGAGGACCAGGTGTATTGGCCGCCGCCCCAGGTGAGGGCGATCAGGATGGAGGTTATGGAGGCGATGAGGAGGGCGTTGCCGAGGAAATCGACGCGCGCGAGAGATTTCAATGAGAAGGAGGATTTCTTGGGGAGGGCGCCGAGGGAGAGGAGCACCATGGCGAGAGTTATGCCCGAGAGGGGTAGGTTGAGGTAGAATATCCATCTCCAGGTCGCGTAGGTCGCGAATGCGCCTCCAATCAAGGGGCCGATGGTAGTTGATATCGCGTAGATGCCAAAGATAAATCCCATGAATTTCCCCCTCTCGCGGAGGGGCACGAGATCACAGACTACCATCTCGACCATGGTATTCAGTCCCGCGCATCCAATTCCCTGGATGGCTCTCCCGAGCACCAAAACACCGAGACTGGGCGCCGGACCCGCGATGGCGGATCCGATGGCGAAGAGCACGATGGAGAGGATGGTTAGTGCGCGCCGGCCGAAGATATTCGCCGTCTGGCCAAAGATGGGCGTGAATGCTGTGGTGGTGAGGAGGTATGCGTTTGCGATCCAGGTATAGCCTTGGGAGGTGCCCAGATCGTGGATGATGGATGGCATGGCTGTTGATACAGCTGTGGCATCGAGACCAGCCAGCACGCTGGAGACGGCCATGGATGTCATGATTGCCTGGAGATATTTTGTTAGTATTTTATTTTATTTTATCTTGTTTACTTTGAGATGGCAGAGGTTGAGTACCCAGAAACGCCACCCGCGATTTGGAGACGCGGGCTCGGGAGTGGCTTTCTCGGCTGAAGCCATGATTCAGGTACGGTGAACGGCTGGGAGATGATTCTGTGGTGGTGGAGGACAGAAAATCTCGAAGTCTCGATTTTTTGTTGTAAGTGTTTGAAGACAAAGAAGATGTAGATAGTAAGAGCTAATCGTCAGACGAAGCTATGGTGACACCAAAGAAAGGTTCGATTGTGATATCAGCCTTCCTCCATCGGTTCCTGGCGTGTTCGTCCTTTCGTATTCTGGGGTTACGAATGGTCAGATGCAACATCAAACCATTCCAACCCACCTCGCAAAAGCAGCGACCCTAAAATCGAACTGCGGAAAGACTTGCTAAGAAACCCACAACTGCCGGAGGAAGCGGTACGTATTGCGATAGACAAACGAAGGAACGAAACGGTGGCGCAGCGGCACAGCTGCTGCGTGCTCTCGGATACTTTTTCTGGGCGTGCGCTGGAAGGTGATTGTTTTAGATGTCTTGCAGGGCAGCCTCGTGATCCCTGCAGCCAGCAGCGAGGCCAGTGAAGTGGAGGTTGATACCCGTTCACAGCCCCCAAATCTGGTGGAGCCACGAGCACAAGGAAGCACAAGGAAGCACAAACAAATGATATACGAGCTGATCGCACGTGTCGTACTGTATCTACCATGCATCTGCTGTACAACGGGCGCATCGACCCGATGGAGCGACGTGGTGGACAGGAAGGTGCTGCAGATCGTTATCCATCCGGAGATGGGTGCACAAATGGAGATTGGGACGAAGATCGAAATCGTCAGCTTACTGCGAGGTGACATCTCCTTTCTGCACCACGAGAAGAATAATGTGTTTGTGTCTGTATTGCGATCGACTGCTCAGCTTACTGGCACTTGGACCGCGAGTGATGATAAGTGCAAAGTCGCATCCAGATTCCCAGAGTAAGAAAGAATAGAATATCTCCACTTTCTACCTTGGTAGTAGCTACGGAAGAAATACCCGAACAGCAGAAACTTACTGTAAACAAGTCAAACCAGGACCAGCCCTGAATACCAGAAAGCTTGATCGCGGGTACGTGGGCTGATTGGTGACCCAATACGAGCGGGCTGGTGGTCCATTCCCAGGGCTCTCTCCACTCTGGTAATCCAATCCACTCTGGTAAGTGATTTACAGTAACTTAGGCACCGCCAGCCCAGTGCAGATTTCCAATCGATTAGAGTAAGAATACCGAGTGTTACCCGAGGCGAGCGGCGCCTTGATCGTGCAACACCACAATCCGACTGCCCAATACGTACTTTATTGTAGAGTACTTCGCCACAGAAAAGTAGCCCCTCAGACTCTATTGTATCGTGGGCGCCAAAACGCTGCAGGATATGCGCGCTGGTTTACGTATCCGGTGCGTCTCCTTCCCCGTCTCTGACAACCGGGCATGATGATGATGATGATGCTCTACCAACCATTGCACTCGCGTCCCGACGCCATCTCACCCCCTTCCCCTTCCCCTTCCCCTTCCCCTTCCCCTTCCACTTCTACGGAGCTTCTTTCGGTGCTGACGGCGCAGCTGCAATGCAAGTAAGCGGCGAGGCGACCTACCTATCGCAGCGGATCTCAGCACTGGTTATCGTGATCTACATGGTTTGGTTTGGTTTTGGTGCAGAACCGTTTTTGCGTCTGCTCAGCAATCTCCACTCTTCCTCCTACTCTCTATGGATGGTTCATGGATGCAGTCTGACTGCAGATATCCGGTCTTCAAAATCAAACGCTTTTCTATTGCCGATTCGTCCGGATATTCATAAATATGGGTCGAGGACCTAGATATGGAAGTGCGCGGTGTCTGATTTGCTATCACGATCGAGGTACACTGTGCGACAGCCAACGGTGCAATGCCAATGTAGACCTCGCTCACCTGCCTGTTCCATGCCAGCCCGGCTACTTTTACTGGTCGAGCCTAAAATAACCCACCGAATGGGTCTACTGCACTCTACGTGGAATAGAGACAGGTAAGGCTGTGGAAGCGTAGATGGAACGGACATGGAATAATGATCCATGATGGAATCTGCAAGTGCTGGTTTTGCTGGCTGGTCTCTAAATACCATACCATGTAGGACTACTGTATGTCCGACACAACCCTGAACCTGATAACCACCTCCTCCTCCTCCGTCAGCTTCTCCCAATTCGTCACTTCGGCTTACTTAGATGCTGAGCACCTAGATTCCAATCCAATCCAATCCAATCCTTTTCTCTTACCACCACCACTCCTCCTCCTCCTCCTCTTCCTCTTCCTTCTCTCTCTCTCGCGTTGCTGCTACTCCCTCTCACGAACTTCTGCAACAATTCACTTTGTTCAGCCAGTCAGTCAGGAAATCAACAACAATGGCAATGAACATGTTGTTCCCCCGCCAAGAAGCAATCGACTTCAACGGTCCCACGATTCCTGCCCCCGCGGGCCAGGTCTCCAACGTGATTAACCCACCGAATGGGAACAAGATTGCTCTTGCCATCATCTCCATCTGTGTTATTGTGTCGGCGGTGCTGTATATGATGAGATTGTATGCCAAGATCTTGACCAAGCAGATTAATGTTGGGGATTGTGAGTTTTTGTGTTGTCTGAATAGGTGTGGAGAGTGAGATTGACTGACTGGTGTCTGTAGATTTGACGTTGATTACTTTTGTATGTTACCGGTCTTGTGGATGGGATGGGGATGGGACTTCTTCAACTCGATTACATTTGCTGACTAGGTGACGGCAGCCGTTGTACTGGGTGTATATCTATTACAGTTACCGCCTCAGTTGGTCCCCAGGTTATCTCATTCACGAGTGGAATGTCGCTATAAAAGACATTCCCGAATTCTCATATGTAAGTCGTCTCTCTCACACCACATATCCCATCTCCCCTCCACCTCCCTCAAACTCCCACCTACCCTCTCTTCCCCAACCTATCTATCCTCCCCTTCTCAAACCACCAACTTAACAACATACCCCCAGGTCTGCTACGTAGCAACCTGCCTCTACCTCTGGCTCATCGCCCTCATCAAAATCGCCATCCTCTGCGACTGGACCTGCATCTTCGCCTCGAAAGGCCAACGCGGTTTCTTCGCCTGGACCTGCTTCCTAACCTGCGGCGCCGTCGCCTCGCTGGCCATCATCCTCTTCGTCATGGACCTCGTGAACTGCACTCCCTTTGACCGGAACTACAATCCCCTCCTCCCGGGTTCCTGCCGCTGGAGCGTGCCTGAAGAATCTATTGTGTCTGCTGCGGCGAATTTTGCCCTGGATGCACTGCCGTTGATACTGGCGCAGAGAATGATTTGGGGGCTGCATACCACCTGGGGCAAGAAGTTGGGGGTTAGTTTGATTTTTTTGGTTGGTGTTATGTGAGTTTTCCCTTTCCGTTTGCTTTTCCTAATTCCCTCTTCATTGAACAACAAACTAACAAAGACAAAAGCGGCATGATCTCCTCCATAGTCCGCCTCTACTACGCCGTCTCCTTCTACCGCGACTCCGCCGACACCACCTACTTCTTCTCCATCGTGGCCCTCTGCACGCTATGCGAAATCACCTGCGCGAACCTGGTCCTCTGCTTACCATTCGCGCCTAAAGCTATCAAGGGCTTCAAACAGACGAAGACGTTCCTCGAAATCAAGAGCTACATGACGAGCTCGAAGGGTAGTTCGGTGTCGGAGAGCAGAGAGGGAAGTGGTGTGCCGGCGCAGGTGGCCGAGAGTCCGAGACAGGGCAGCGCGGAGAAGAAATGGTTTGGGTTGGGGCTCAGGGAGAGTGGGGAGGGGACGCTGTATGAGGATTCGGTGGATGAGGAGAGTAGTTTGGGGAGGGGGAGTGAGCGGGCGATTCATTTGAGTGCGTAGATGGGATGGGATGGGATGGGATGGGATGGGAGGGAAGGGAGAGTGTAGATATGGGTTGGGATATATGGGTATACCAGGATTGACAGGAAATTTTGCAGGGCAAGGCGCGATATTATTGTATACCAATACCTTTTTCTTTTATATAGTTCTATGACTGGAAGAATTGAGAACGCTTTCCATGAATCAATGGTCCTCACGTGCTACCTACTCACTTATTCCCGCTGCGTGGCGAGCTTTTAAAAGTCTTTCTGTATAAACTCAACGTATCTCCCCTCCCTATCCAAACATCCTTCAAAATCCTTCCCCATTCCAGGGAATTGTTACAAAATATGGATTGAAACCATATTCCATTCACGTGCTACTCTCACAATCCCCTCTGTGCTCCTCTCTCTTTTACACCGTCAACACTTTCTCCAAACTCTCCAAACTCCATCACGCAAAATCCCATCTCCATCTCCATCGCCACCCTTCCAACCAACCCGCCTCCCGCATACCGCCCAAGTGGACCAACCGCGAACGGGAACACAATCCATCCATCCCGGGCGGAAACTAGGAACCTAGGTACCTCCCTAGCCCACCCACTAACCCTCTAACTAACCCACGCACTAAAAAGAGGGGATAGGATGTGCGGACGGGAAAAAAACTGCGTCTGGTCTGGGTCGGCGACCGACAGACAATGCACTCACTCACAGAAAAAACCGGCCCCCCAACTTACCCCCGTGGCGCGGTACTACTTACTGCAAGACTTTCCTAGGTTCAGGTTAATACAGTACCTACCCATGGGTGATGGTGTGCTACTTAACTAGCTAGCTAGTGGGGATTAGATTGGTCTACTCGTACAGCACACCAATGAGATAGATGGGTTGCAGAGGAGAGTGCACGTGTTGGCTTTGGAAAGTCGCCGGGAGATAGGGATAGGGATAGGGATAGGAAAGGGAGCTAGAGGGAGATAGGAAATGCCGCAGAAAGCGCTGGGGCTTCGACATCCTGTTCCATTCTAGTACTGTAGTCGTCATTAGATTTTTGATCGGTGCTGATCTTCTCCCAGCTGGCTGTAAGCTCTGGGGGCAGCCAGCTGTCGCGGATACTGGTAAGTAGCTTTCTAGGGATGTTGGTAGTTTGGCCTGGATAGGAAAGCCCGTCCGTGGAAGTGCTGGATGGACGTGGTTCTGGAATGGTGTTTCTATGTCCTCGTCATGGAGAAGAATGGGGCGTTATTCGCTGCCGATCTGTTCTAAGAATCGCTGGGAATACCGTCGTCTGTCTACCTAGGCAGGCTAGAAGAGTGGTGGAAACAAATGGCTCGTTCTACGTCGTCACGAATCACTGCTGATCTTCTTCCAGCTGTCTTTCATCCCCTCTCCTGGGAGTTGCGGATCATAGAGGTATTTTATTTCTCGAAATCGCTGGGATGAAGGGAGGATGGTGCTCGGAGGTGTGTTGTGTTTTGGGAAGGTGGGGAGCTGGTTTGAGGTTCTTTTCTCCGAGGGGAAGTTGGTGTTTGGTGGAAGGATTGAGGCCTTTATGTTGCTGTGAGGCGTACGAGAGGGGTGTGAAGATTTGTGGTGGTGAATGGTTTTATCACGGAGTTGAGGACAGGCAGGAAGTTTCCTTGATTTTTATGTTTGGTGAGGATTTGGAGGGCAACGATACCTTCTGTTATTGAGAGCTTTTCGTTTAAAATTAGCACTTATTGATGTTTTCTTTGACATTTTGCTATGGAGCAAGTTTGACGAGATATAAGGGGTTTTTGTTTTCACTTTAAAGTTATTGCTTAAACATCAAGATAAAGAGATATTTGTGATTCCTGTACTTTCTGCGGTACATGTTCACTTCGTTTCATATCCTCTCGCTTTTGCTATCTATATGTTCTTCGTGCAAAAATTCGTCCCAAGAAAAGAACTTGGGCAGATCACGTGCGAAGTCTCTACTGACCTTGAGGACGTTTTAAAAGGCATCTGAAGTTGGGCGGCACAAGTATAAGGCTCTTGATTGTAAATTAAGTTGAAAACAAGTGTTATGTTGCACAGCAACTTTAAGGTCTATGTCACTGAACTTGTAGTTTTCCGCAGGAACAATGACGCAGAATATCCCAATTACTACGTAGTACATTTCACTGGAAAGCGAATCCTCAAGCTCACATATAAGCGTGCTTTCTCGTTCACCTTTCCAACGGTTGAATGAATCGAATTGCTTTCTATTCTCTTTTGTTTCGGTAGAGGTGCTCTCCTGGCACAACTTCGATGGATAGAGAAACCTAGTAACCAGCTCTCTGGCTGGAGAAAATCTACAGAAGCACGCTCTTGCGGTATCCGGCATTTGCTTCTTGAGAAAATTGATAGTAGCTGGGAGCTTTACTTTGCTGGTTGGATTTAATCTTCATATGGGGCCCCGGATACTTGTTTCGTATCTCGAAGACGGCAGTAGAGTAGCTCAATGCAAATATGATCAGATGTTATCTATCACCGAGACTAGAAGATATGTCATTTATTTATCTGCGTTAGGTTACTCCCATAACACTGGCTCTGGTGAAAGAATGCTCAAAATTTTCACAATTCGCGCTGTTCGCGCTATGTGCGCAAGCTGCGCGAATTGCGCTGACCGCCCTTGACCGGTCAACCCAATTCATCACAGCGGCATGTTCTCCAGAGCTCGTCACTACGCGAGTACCGACATATGAGTATACAAACCGATACAAGTTCGCCAAAGAAGAAGTCCTTCCCTATAGTCCAATCTGAGCGACGACTCTTGACGACGTTTATGTTTTCGCATTTTTATTTGTAACTAGATGGCAGACCGAATCAAAGGTAGCGGGGGAGCCTACTAGATAGTGCCGTAGAGTAGAGTCAAGTACTGCTTCTAGCATTGATGTTCGAACCCTCTTGCAATCGCATCGAATTTCATGGTTCTGTCCATCTAGTCCTATTTTACTTGACAGCAATGAATTTCATTATTTGTGGCAGAGTTGGCCAAAGTTAGTAAAAGACACCGTAACACTTGGTATGCTCGTAACTGTGGATATAAACCTCCAGACAATAATCTTTTCATACTTCGCACCAGTCTGAAATGAAAAAGGAGTGGTACTGCAGCAACAGCGCCAGCTCACATGGACGTCGAGTAGGGACATGAAACTACTCTTATTCTACAGCTTTGTACTTTGGAGCTGAGAAATACTTCTAGAGGAAATCTTAAGGGACACTTGTTTCTATCAAACACAGTTCGGTCTTTCTTTGAGAAGTCAGATCAGATACTGGAGAAAAAGCCAAACGGAGAGAAGTCAAGAAACCTTAAATAAACTTCACAAAATTTATCAAAGACAAGTTTTAGAACGGTGATATCTAGCTAAGCATATGATTGACCGGAAATCGCTAAGTGTTGAGAGAACTCATGAAAACCAAATATTTGAGAACGATGATGTTACTTTTTCCCGCGTTATCAGGTGACCACGTGAAACTACTTAGGCACACCTTTTTTTCATGACGCGATTCTCCGTTCTTCACCTCCACCTCCCTCCGGGCTGACCAACATCTACACTCTTAGCTTGCACTTATCGACAAAGGGTCATTTCTTCTCCGCAGGCTTTCTAAGTTGTCGCAGCTCTAGAAGATGCCTTCGTCCCCACCTCCGTCTGAGTCGACTTCCACCCCACTCCCACCAGATTTCACGTCTCCACGTGTTGCCTTTGCTTCCACTCCTATTCCAGAGTGTCCGGACTCCAATCATGAGAGTTTGAGCCGTGGAGAGCACTCTTTATCTGCACAATCGTCTTGGGAAGATAGGTCTATGGAGGACGAAAGATGGAGCGAGAACGGAAGATCCAGCGCATCTTTCGAGTCTGGAATGGATTGCTCTTTCTTCAGCGTTGGCGCAAAACACGCCATTTGGAACAACTGTGGAGGGGAAGATAAATGTTGGATATGCGACGACTCGGAAAATCCGCGACTGTTAAAGTACCATGAAATAATACATAGGGACCACAGTGCAGTAAGTTGTTGCTGTTGTTCTTGTATTGATTAACTAACTGACGAATACACAGTTTGAAGATTACATGAAAAATAAACATCTAATCGATTTCAACGATCTAAGAGATGCACGAAATGGTATACTTTTATGCGCCGTGTGCCAACCATTATACAGCAATCCTTCATACACAACAATTCTTAGCTTCCCAACCGATCTTCTCTACTTCTACAACCACGAAATTCTGGATCGAGCTCGTCGCCGTCAATTAAGCATCGAGACCGGTATAGTCCCTCCCCGATGTTGTGTCACAGCCAAAATGTATCAGAAGCATCAACTCTCGCCAGGCGTAATCACAAAAGGGTCCTGGGGTTCATATACTCGACTCAATGTATATCCACAGAATCAACCCATTACTCGCTTGGCGAGTCTGCCCGTTGAAATACAGAAAGCTTGGGGTGGATCTCCTATGGCTATGATTCATCATTCCAACTGGGGCATGAACGGGTGGCTTACTTTTGGTGCCATTCCGAGAGATGTTCGAATAATGTTTCGCAAATTGCAAGACATTTACAGTAAATCGCTGACAGCAAACGATGGAGAAGAGAAGTTCTTAGTGCGAAATGGAGATGATTTCGTGGAAGACGTTTCGCCGAACGATTTGACGGACTTCGACAGCAACAGTGGTATGGGTGAAGAAAGAAAATTTAAAGACAAACATTCCGATTCGAGCGAGGATGATGAGGAAAGGCCCAATCGAGACCATCTACTGCAAGATTGGTTGGCAAGAATAGAGTATCCTCCTGCTGATCTCAACAACAACGGACTGCGTGGACGTCTCCCACCAAATCTCCTGACGACACTCCCATCACTTGCGCCTCCATCTCTTTCGCCCTCACCTCATGATCGCTTTGTCGACCCTTCGTTACCTCTGTCACCAGTACTAAAGACTCCGATGCCCATTTCAGCAGGTACCAAAAGAAAAAGGAGGGCTTCTGCTTAAGGCAAAGTTAATGGGAGATTTCGGGGCCGCCACAGTAGACGTGTAGAGGCTGCTCGTACCATCAATTCCAATCACCGGTAGTTATTCTAAATGATACAATATGTCTATTCATTTCGCCATCAGCGCTCTTGACTATGTGCATATGTCTTGGCTCGTGAAGATCTTCCCCATGGACCTACCTAGCTTTGCGAGGTCGTGTTGGAAGGATATAAAACGACTTTGGAACCCCAAAAAACTTGTTGGATCTTGACACGACTGAACCAAGCAAGAATGGTTCATGAGCGCTGGCGAATGATAACAATGGACGAAACACATGATCATAGCTGAAGACAAGCAAATCCATCAGACTCACTGTGGACCTTGAGGAGCATTTGTGCTACAGCAAAGCAAAAAAAATATATTTGAGCCTATTCCCATTCTGATGAAACTCTCCTAAGTACGTATGAAATCCTACAGCTGAAAATCATGAAACATCCACACTGTGAAGATTTTACACAGTGCCCGGATGCAGTGCAGAAGCGATGCATATTTGTTTCTGCTTCAAACGTTGTCCATATTTTACGGACGGATACCAAGCTTCATACTTGAGATCTCTCCCATCAAGGTATGGCACGAGCTCATATGTGATGGAATAATGCTCCTCCCTCACAGTTCCATCCCAGGAGACGCATGCAGGCACCGGTTCGATTTTGTGTTCATCGCGCAGGAATGTGAAGTCTGTGGTTATCTTGTCCTCTTCTTGGGCATCTGCAAAAGCCTTGAGTAACAAGTCATAATGTGGGTTAGAATACATGACTTACCTCTGTTGTGACGATGGTCAAGAGGGTAACCGTTGGCGACCGTTTTGTAGGAGACGTAAAGCACTTCCTCACACCGTAGCCTTCTGCATTCAACATCAAATACGTGCGTGTACTTGAACCGCTTGAACCTATGTTTCGGCGATATGACATCACCCTGTCTGGAGTAAGATGAGAATACGGCGTTGTTTAGGACAGCTTACCTTCATGACAAAGTAGTCGATTATTCCAACATAGCGATGCCCGTCATATTCATCGTATATCGGCTTGGCATTCATATGTCCTGGTGCTTCTGGCGTGTAGAATTCTTTCACAAAAAAGCCGTAGCTCGATACGAAGTCTCTCACAGTGCCTTCTTCGGGGTGGAGGGCTTGCATAACAGCACCGGCGGATACTGCTTTGATGCTGAAGGAGACCGTAGTCAGCAGGTTGTGATCAAAATAGTGAGAAATGTATCCTAGAGATACACACCATTCTTGTGCACTCGGAAGTATCAGATCAATGCTATACGGCAGATTTCGATCGGAGATGAACTTTGCAAGGTGATCTTTGAGAAAGCTTCGCATTGAGACAGCACCAGCAAATCCACCAATGAGAAAGACTTTCTGAATACCAAGTGAGCTTGTCTCCTCAAAATTCAGATACAGAACACATACTGTTGGCTCTTTCCCCATATCAATAACTGCTTCAAGCTGAGCATCCAGAATTTTCGCAACATCTTTGAGGACTGGGAGGAAAATTTGCTTGAAATCATCGCTGAAAATAATCAGTACTTGTTCTTGTTGCCAGATTGTGCCAAGAACTTGTAAGAGAAAAACCAAGGGGCTCACACGAACAGTAGCAGGTAGTTATCCTGATACTTCTCTGGTGTATTTCCGGGCAAGGTTCTTGGCCTACGCGCTTTCAAGCCTGGTATTTTAATTTGAGTACTAGGCCTTCCCATGATATCTTTGTTTCGCTTCTCGTACGTCTCAAAGCGGACCATGACATCGTCCACGAAAGAGTCGAGTGTGTTGCCATTACCTTCCAAGTACGTCTCTTCCTTCAGCCGATACTGCACCAGCTTCCGGAAGTTCTCGTTCAGGTAACTTGCGCCACAATTATGACCTAAAACAAAAGTCAGAAAAACAACCACTCGACGCCCTTCATGCTTACCACTAGGATCGCAGATCTCTTCGCCCAGTCGTAGAGAAGCCGACTTTGCGATGCTGTAGGAAGACCCGTCAACAGTTCCTCCTCCACAGTCAAGCACAACGAAGGTGTCACCAGACTAGATTGAATTAGTACGTTGCTATACCAAGCGAGATGATACAAACCTGAAGATCTCTTGCGTGACCCAGGCCAAGAAGATATGTTGCGGCAGCCTTCGGTTCAGAAACGACGAAGAGGTTGGTGACGCTCCTGTCTTTCAGTGTACCGAAGCCTGTGAGACGAATGGCTTCTTCCAAAGCTAGCTGAAGTATCCTGGAGGACCTGGGTTGCCAGTTTATTGGAACCGTTAAGGCGAACAGCACATGGCAATCGTCAGTGTACCGATCTCGCTTGATAAGTTCTCGTCGGGTATGCAGCAGGACGGGGACGAAGAAGTCTAAGACAACATCTTGTATATCGCGGGCGCCAGGTCGACTTCCAGCTTTACCATATTTGCGTATGTTTCTCTTATCAATCAAGTGTTGAAGAATTGGTCCCAACCTTTCACGATCCGCTCTGGTGTGCTCAGATGTCAACAACATCAACTTGGGTCGTTCAACGTAACGGTCTTTACTGCGTGTCGAGTGCGCACAGTATTTCTGATAAGGGCATTCATAACCCCAAAGATCTTCTGAGGATGCTTCGCTGTTTTGACAAGAGGCGGGTGGTGGAGCAGAGCCCCGAATGATGCGAAAAGGATCGAGAGCAGGTTTCTTTGTTGAGAAACGAGGAATGTCATCGTCTTCCTCATCAAGTTCATCAGAATCTTCTTCAGTCTCCGAATCACTCAACTCCAGGCGACCTGTTCTTGGATCTCGCATCTTAGGAATCGAAGAGTACCAGAGTTCAGTAGGCACTTGCATGCTCGCTCCGCACATGTTATCTGACGGCCAATCTGATACTGTACCGATCTCATGAGGAAAGACACGGGTGGTTGACGCTTCGTCGGGACATACCAAATAGGAGACCGATGTAAACGTGGTTCCATAGTCAATCCCAACGACAACCTTTCTTGGTTGTTCGCGTGTTGCGAAATCTAGTTCCTGGACATCCATTTCATCCTCAAATCCGATGTCTCGTGCAGTGCGCGACGACAGGGAAGGTCGTGGGTCGGTATAGACACGTGATGTAAGGGCTTTGCTTGGACGCTCTTCTGCTTCCTCCTCTTGCTCCTCCACAATCTTCAAGTATTCCTCCTCTCCCGTAGTGTACTGAGGGCGAGGTCGGTTGGAGACTCGAGGTATGTTCCGCCTAGCTCGAAGATCAGCATCGATTTCCTCTAGTTCAAGACTATCCTCTCGCTCTGGCCGCCGAGGTGTGCGGTAGACACGTGGATTGGGCAAGAAATCGTCGTCTTCTTGTTCTTGACTCCGTTCGGTAGGTCGAGCACGCTGCAATGTGCCTGGTGTCGGCGTAGCTGAGGAGTGCTTGGAAGATGAGGTAGTTCTAGAGGATTTCTCCTGGCGAGAATTTGTATTCATTGTCTTCCGTTCGTCGTTCTTGACGCTAATTTCGGGTCTCATTTTCGACGAGACATCTTCTTGCTGTACCATACTCAGTGCCTGGGGTATCGACTTCACCAGCCTAGCTTGATTCGTGGCTGGTATAGCTTTTTGAGGCAGAGGTGTTAACTTCTTGATAGCTGGTACTTGCGGTCGAGATATCTTGATAGGCGAATGAGTAGGAGGCTTCTGAGGTCGTTTGATGACCTGGGTAGTTCCGGTCTCTTGCGAAATAGGCTTGGAAGGTCCTCTAGACTTGCTTTGCGAGCCGTTGTTTCGTGGTCCCAAAAGTGGACGTGATGGACGAATTTTGGGTGGTTGGATCGACTTGGACTTTGGAGCGGGAGAGTGATCAAGCTCTGGTGCTTGAAGATGTTGTCGAGGTCTTGGTAAAGCTGGAGGTGGCATGGCTTTTCTTTCAGCAGATTCAGCTTGGAGATCTGCTGCTGGTGGTGTTGGCGATATAGGATCATTCTCGTCCTCAGGCATGCTTATTGTCTCTCTGAATTTGCTGTTCTTCCACATCTCTCGAAATAAACCGACCTGCTCAGGAGTGAAGTTGCTCATATCCATCTTTAAGACTGAATAGTTGTATGTATGCTAGAAGATACCAAGACCAAAGCTCGAAGCACTGTCATGGTGAGCAATCAAGATCAACTGGATGAGGGAGCGGATCGTTACGAAATGACCAAGAACGCGTTTGCAGACTGTCAACGGAAGAGCGGCAATTCTTACTTACTTTTGAAAGCCACATAATGTCCGGATGATCACGAGCGCTGATTGACATGGTAATCGTAGGATGGTAGACGACAGATATTTATCACATATCATAAAACGGCGCCTGGTACGAGTTTCTCCAGTAGCGCAGAATGGCAAGATGAAGCTTTGGACGGGATTATCTGACTCATATTATGTGGCTTGTTTCAAAGATCCACAATTGTCCCGCCGACACTATAAGTCGGGCGATGGCTGCAGGATGGCTTTTGTTTGTCCAAGAATCCATGTGCAGGATCCGAGAAGAGGCGTTGTGGCTTAAGAGAAAGGTAGGCTATTGGAACACGCGTTCAGAAATGCGACGGGCGGCGCTGGAGGAAAGTTGGCCGAGCTTTTGCTTATTACAGAAATTGATTCCCTGTGAAGCTTTACACAATCTGACTTTCCGGCGCTACCAGGCTGCACTGATGTTTTCTCTTTCTGATAATATTCACCCACCGACATCTAAGCTAAGCTATTCGAAAACGTTTCGAGTTGACGACCAATTCACCTCTGCAGAGAACGTTGCAATGTCAAAATCGCCCTGGACTTCGCAGGAAGTTACTGCGCTGCTTTCCTGGTTGGACTTTTGCAAAGACACTGCCGTGGACTTCAGGGACACAGTCATCGATCGTGTTAATGACGCACATAAGTTCAAGTCTGGTGAAGAGTATACATGGACTTGGTTACAAGTGAGGAATAAACTTCAGAGTCTGTATCAACCAGCAGGCAAAAGCTTCAGCATGGATTTTGTGAAGGAAAACGGCTCAGCCAGCTTTCCCGGAATTTCAGAGCAAATGAGAAAAGAAATTCAGGCTGGGGTCCGTGAATACAAAACCATATATGAAGATCAAGGGAAAGTCATGCTGCCTAGGAAGGCAGCAGTAGCAGCTTCCGCTGCGATCACACGACTCGCAGAATACAGAGAGGTCGACTCGCCACCAAATGGGAGGAAGGTGAGTAGCCGAGTGGAGCTCTTAACTCCTACTGAAAAATCCACCAGAAATCGAGCAGTTCCAAAATGGAGCATACAAACTCTAAGATTGAAGACAAATCCCACCGCCTGCATCAAGAGCAACGGCAAAAAAGTCAAAGCTTGGCTTCACAGGCGACGAGACAAAGTCGGTCCGGGGATGTTGATGAGCGTACTCTTGGGCCACGACCAACACGAGCAACGACAAGTCAGTGTACTGATGGGCTCCAGCAACAACTACGTCAGAACCGCGCAACAACCTCTGATATAAGGCAACAGAGTGATTCCGCAGCACCCGATCGAGTTAACCGTACTCTGGAGGAGGGCAAGTACAGAACAGCACTGCAGCAGAAGCAAGTAGAGATCGCCGAAATTCGCGAACAATGGCGAGAAGAAGTAGCAAGTCTGAGGAAACGTGAGGAGCAATTGACGCAAGACAAGAAGGATCTGTCCATTAAAATCAGCCATCTTGAAATGGCAAGGGATATGAGAAGTACCGCTTCCGCGGGTGATCCGATGGAACTCGAATTATATTTCATGAACAAACAAGTTTACGAGTTGGAGCAGAAGATACAGATGATGCAAGGCAAAATGCGCTTCATCAGTGGTGATGGGGATACTCTGGCAGACTCTGCAAGTAACAAAGCGCCGAAATTATCAACAGTACAATGGATTTCTTGCAAGGCGAGCTCGACTCAATCTTGCATGGTCATGACAGAGCAGACATGCTCCAAGCACCGTCAAAAATAGATTCGAATGACCTTGGCAAATTAATTCGGTCTGTCCATACCTCCACTGGGTGCAAACAAACTGAAGAAAATCTTCTTCGGGAATGGGTCTTGAAGTACGAGCCCGATATGGTCATTAAGACACTTGTTCTTGCGGCTCTTCGAGATTGGGTTTTCGCATCCACGTTTCCATCTTTCACGCCAAAAAAAACCTTGCTGATAGATGCGTATCGTGAAGCACTGATATCGCAAGGTATGTAGTCCAGTACCTGAAGTCTGCAGCGAGACTGATTGATCGTTCAGATGGTTGGAGAAACTTACACAACCTTGAGTTGACAGCATATGGCTCCATCATTGAAAGTGACGGATTCCAAAGCACTGACATTCCATTCAAAGCCAGTGGGTATGCGTCCAGACTGTCAACAGCACTTGCCGTCTTGTTTCCTGCATCGAGGGACAAGGCACAAACCTCCGACCCTGCTTTCGACACTTAGGGAGAGAATCAAGATGTATGTGAGAATCGACGGTATCGACTTTTAGCAATGTTCGAGGCTGCATTGAAACTCAAAGCGGCCACAGTTCCCACGGAGCACAACTATGAGTTCATCGTATATCCCCCAGGCACATCGCGTGTTCTTCCCGCTGTGGGTTTGGCAAGTGGCTCATGGATCCATGCGTCGATGCACGCATATACCAGAGGCCTAACGGGGCCAAGAGGACGGATGGCCGATGCATTGATACAATCAATGAACTTCGTAGACAGAGACATCGAGGATCGAGAACGAGTCGGCGTGTCGTTGCATAGCAGATACATCTCGACGCCGATTGATCAGGACACCAATCCCAGTGATGCTAGGAAGGCGAGGAATGCAAGTGAAATCGAACAAGACGATGAAACTGATGTGGAAGCAGCAAGGCAAGTCCTTGATTCAGAGTATGAAGATGATGATCTCAGACCCAAAAAGGCACGCAAAAGAGGTCTAAAGGCACCTCCAACAACCTCATCTACTGCCAAGATTCGTCCTGCGAAGGAGCAGCCTGCTAAGAGGATTGGGTCAGATGAAGACATCTATACAAGTCGAAAAAGACAGCGCAAACAGGGTATTTCTTGCGAAATTTGTGGAGCTACATTCTCAGCCTCAGAAGCTCTCACCAGACACAAAGAGACCAGTAAGCCCCACCCTCGTCCCTATAAATATTTATTAGCTGAATTGTCTTCTAGGAGTTTGCTCAGTGTGCGCTCTTTGCAACAAAATATGCAAATCCAAAAAAGAACAAGTCAACCATCACGCGACGGAGCACAACAAGAAACTCGGAACAGAACTACAGGGTCAACAGCAATCTACTGATGTAGCCGATGATCGAAAGCCAAGCCAGGGTCGACTCACAGATCCAAATGTGCAACCAGACGCACAGCCTTCACACCAATCTCACCCGGGACCCAAGACACAGTCCGAATCGCAGACGCAGACAAAGGAAAACAAACAGTCGGTGTCAAAACTTATTGCAACTGGCTTTATTTGTGATATCTGTCATAGAGTCGACTTCCAGGACATGAAAGGGCTCAAAAGTCACAGGTTAAGGGTTCATAAAGAGCCAACAAGAACAGAAGTATCAGAAACTCCACCGACTGAAGACGAAGCCACGCCTCAGGCCAGGACGACTAGACGAAGATCTTCAGTCAGAGAGATGGTTAATGAAAGTCCGCCAAATTCTTCTGACAAACGCCCAGCGCCACAAAAGCCGGCAAGTGTTTGTCCAGATTGCGGAAAGGATTGCTTGCAACCGAAACTACTGAAAATACACATCAAAAACCGTAAGTACAACTAATTTGCTTGCTCAGCGTCGACGCTGATTAATATGTAGAGGATTGTCTGAGATGTGTCGACTGTGGGATCTGGTTTGAGGATGACTGCAAATTTGATCAACACTGGCAAACAACACATCGACAAGCAAAAGAATTGTTATCACCAAGTCCACCAAGCGATGAGCCATCTGGTTCTCACGTATCGCAGCGCACCCACGTCGCAAGTTCATCGCCTCCGTCAAAGATCCGAAGCAACACGAGTGAATCCGATAGTGGAGACAGGCGCGACGAAATCTCAGCGTCTCAAGACCTGCGAAGTCCTAGGTCGTTGGAACCATCAGAGGAAGCTTCAGAGGTATCATCAGAGGAGACATCAGAGGACAACGAAACGCAGCACGATCCTGCGTCTCGTGAGAACACGTCCACACCACTGAAGCTAACAAGCAACGAGTCCTTCTCGAGCGCAATCGTGCCCCTTTCACGCAGATCAACTAGAGGACAGCATAGCAGTTCCCGAATGTCTGAAAGAAGCGATAGTCGCCATTCGACCCCCATGCGGTCGGATGGGAATCAACTTTCTGGAATGAATCATGTATGCCAGGGTGACAACTGCGTCGTCAGAGCTAGCGATATCAGAGCCGATAACGGCCCTTGCAGTAAACGGGAAAAGGAGACCACGGTTCATCTCCGTCAGAAGGGTGGGCAGGGAGGCGGCAGCCATATTACAGATGTAAGATTCACACCTGAACTGCGCTCCTCGAACTGCCCAGATGTCCTCGATATCGAGATTGAAGAAGATTGGTGTTCTGGGACAAGCCAGGTTACGGAGACTTCAGCGTACGAAACACAGAGTGGGATTGCAGGTTCTCAGCCACGTAGAATGTTGGCAGGTCCACAAGGACTCGTGGATTACATGTCTGGATTCTGGAGGCCGCCGCCGCTGTGATCAATGCAGTATTGATGGAGGTCAGTTTTCGAGAAGGACAAGTAGGATTTTTCTCTCTCGCACCTGAATTGGTGGAGGCGCTCCGGCATCTCTTTCCCGGTGCAGATCTCGGCAGATGTGTCCTCCGGCGTTTTCATTCTTATCAGAAGACTTTAGTTTCAAAATTTTGCTAGATGGTGAGTCGGTCGTCCTGGATGTCGTATGAGAGACACACAGGTTGAAGTTAAGTTTTGCTTCTGGAGCGATCCTGTTTCGAGACTAGCTCATCGGTGTGTTCTGATTGATATTTTAAGCGAGTTCTTTAAATGCACTTGGGCAGGAAGAGTTTGGGCCTGTAGTAATGATAAATTCACACCATATATCAATCCGTTTTCAAACGCATTTTATCTCTTGATTTCGTCGGTCCCATAAAAACCCTTCTCGATTTAAGCGCGGTATATTTCGAGATATTTGTGTTACACTTGTCGCCACGAACTCCTCCAAGAGCAGTGTAAGCAAGATCAGGATATTTCCCGTCCTGCAACAGATGCGTCATCTTCGCCTGTATCTGAGCAGAAGGATGCTGTAAGCTGCAAGCTTCTGAATTATTCATGACCGTCATGTGAGGATACAATGCCGCCGGCCAATTTTCGTATCTTTTTGCTGAAGAAAAAATCCCACAGCTAGAAGAGACGAGGCTTCAATTGACCTGATGCTTGATAGCAGGCAGCATCAGGTGATTTCTCCGAATCATTTCCGCAGTGGCTTTGCGGTTGAAGCTTCACGACCTCGCGTGGAAAGAGTTCTCCGACCCATCGCCGTTGTGGTTTCCCTTCGGAGGCTGCGTCTTCACCACATATCTATCTTGATTGGACAAAGGAAACAGTAGTTCGGGAAGTTTGCTGAATGCTCGACACAATGTAATTGAAAGTATCATAGGGGTAGGATTTCCATCTAGAGAACTCGGTGAGAAATCGGTTTGCTGCTTACTGACCTTCCTTCCCCACTGCCGTGCATTTCGGAATCCATTGACATCGTGTACAGTACAGGTACGATGAGAGACATCGAACGAAGTACACGAGATCCTGTAACAGGATCTGTACAACCATATAAGGCGAGCGATGAAGCCAATGTATCAACCTGTGAATTATAGATCATATTCAAGCAACCTTCCAACACAACATCCAAGACTTTCAACCACTTATATCGCTTCCCGGTTCATCTGACCTGTCCCCATTCGGAACCAAAATGGAAACAGCCGCATTACCAGAGCCTCCTCACAGCTTGAGAGAGCCAGGTGCCTCAAATCACCTGACACGCTCCGAAACTCGACGGACGCTGACCGACTTGGGCTTGACGGAGGTGGTGCCCCCCGTCGACATTAACTATCCTGATATCGGACGAGAGACCGACCCAGTCTTCCCAGAAGAATACACTCTCGAGACCGCAACCGGTTTCGTACCTGAAGCAGCTTTGGAACAGATCCGATCAAGAGCTTCTGTAGTAGCTTCACAACATGAGGGCAGCAGTCCCGAGAGTAGCAGGCACGACCTCGATCTGGAAAAGGCATCGCAGCCATATGAATTCGTCACGTTCACTTTCGCAGATGTAGAAAATCCGCAGAACTGGTCGACACCCTACCGATGGTATGTGACTATCATCGCTTCCATGCTCATCTTCTGTGTTGCATTTGGATCTTCAATAGTTACTGGTGGTCTTGGTTTGATTGAGGAGAAATACAACGTGTCGCTCGAAGTTGCCATCCTCACTTGCTCCATCATGGTCTGCGGTTTCGCTGTTGGCCCTCTTCTTTGGTCTCCACTCTCTGAAATCTGGGGTCGACGACCGATATACATCATCTCGTTGTCACTGTATGTCATCTTCAACATCCCTTGCGCACTTTCTCCAAACATTGGCGGCCTCCTCGTTTGCAGATTCTTGTGTGGAGTTTTCGCTAGCTCGGTTCTGTCTTTGGCCGGTGGAACCATTGCGGACATCTGGAACATCAAAGAGCGTGGTATGGCCATTGCCTACTTCGCAGCTGCTCCGTACTGTGGCCCTGTGCTTGGCCCGATAGTCTGCGGTTGGATAAGTGTGGCCACTCATCGTTTGGACTTATTCTTCTGGGTCAACATGGCTTTCGCAGGTGTTATCTTGATTGTTGTCGCCATGATACCCGAAACCTACGCTCCAGTGATCTTGAAGAGGCGTGCAGCTAAACTCCGAGTCGAGATGGATAATCCCAATATCATTACTGAGCAAGAAAAAGTCAAACTGACTCTCGGTGAGATCATTCGGACTAGCTTGCTCCGACCAGTCATTATGATGCTCACCGAACCAGTCCTCGACCTTATGTGCCTGTACATTGTGCTTATCTACTCGATGCTTTACGCTTTCTTCTTTGCATATCCCATCATCTTTGGAGAACTCTACGATTACAACGACGGCCAGATCGGTCTAATGTTCATTCCAATTCTGATCGGAGCTGGGTTTGCACTCATTGCGACCCCTTTCATCGAGAAGCAGTTTAGAAAAACATGCGAGGTTCGATCTCCAACTCCAGAAGACAGACTCATAGGCGCTTTGATTGGATGCATTTTTATCCCGATATCGTTTTTTATCCTGGGAGCCACCTCTTACAAATCCATCATTTGGGTTGGTCCCGCATCATCTGGTATTGCGTTTGGTTTTGGAATGGTTCTGTGCTATTGCTCTGTCAACAACTACATCATCGACTCCTACCAGAAGTTCGCTGCTTCGGCTTTGGCCGCTAAGGTCTTTTTACGATCTGGTGGGGGTACTGCATTTCCTTTGTTCATCACGCAGATGTATGGCAGACTAGGTCTTCAGTGGGCCTCTTGGTTACTGGCCTTCATCGGTCTGGGAATGGTCTTGATTCCTTACGTGTTCTACATCTTTGGCGCCAGAATTCGTTCAAAGCTTAACAGGAAGTAAAGAATCTGTGAGTATGAACTGTATAAGTGGTAAGGGAGAGTGAGGGGGCTGTATTATTATTACGTGAGATTTAAGGGTAAGATTAGACTAATCTCTGGGAATTGTTTATCGCGAGGTAGGATTGGAGATTTTCTAGAGAGTTTCGATCGAACGATGTATATAACTAGAGTAGAAGGTCGTAAACGCATCATAATTAATATAATAGCCAGCTCTGTCTCACTTTACTAATGTCATCCGCACAGGCTGAAATTCCAATCAAGACGTCCATTCCTCTCAACCTCCTTGCAGAAGCGCTGCAGTCTCTTTGCTCCTCGGCTCCCATCCTTAATCAAGCTCTCAGAACTCGAGTACGAAGAAAAAGTGCAGCAATTTCATGCCCTGTAACAGTATATCATCTTTGTCATATGGTCATCGAGATCATTTCCCATTTAGAATTGAACGCTTCATTGTATCTACTATTCTAATCCGTCCTTCAATCTAGCTTAAACACTGCAAACCTTAGAATCGTTCGAACCTCGTCATCATCCTCTTCACCCACTTTCCTCTCAAACAGCTCTCCAGTCGCCTTCCACTTCGTCCCCGTCTTCTCCCCAATCTCATCCCACATATTTTGGAACGTCTCCACATTGTGGTGATACCTCCTTTCACCACTTGCCCTATAGGCCTCTAAACTCACCGGCTTTCGAGTGCCCACCTGTCTCCCCAAAATAATAGCCTTCGAACCCGGCTTCAAGAACTTCACAACTCTCACTCCAGCCGTGACCTGATCATCCCACCCAAACAAGTGGAAAAAGCTCGCCGCATGCACAAAATCGAATTTACCATCAAAGACCTCCAAGCTCTTATTCTCCGAATCTAACGCATCGCCCGTCACGAACTGAGACGTCAAAGTCTCCTTATCGCGGAACAGCTCGTAGCCTAGCTCTACAAACTCGGGACGGAGATCAGTGCCAGCGAGGTTCTGGGCTGGAGCTCCATCGAAGACCAGCTGGCGAACAATATGCCCGAAACAACACCCTACATCCAGAAGTTTGTCGCCAGATTTGAGGCGCGTGATGATTTCTGGGTACTCGGGAGCTTGGGTGATGTACAGGTCGAGGAAACGCCAGCGACCAATGCAGGGGTAGTGGAAGATGGCGAAAGCTTTGTCGCGCTGGAGAGATGATTAGATCACTCGGTGTTGTAGGGTACCTTTGGGTTGGATGCAGTGTAACTCACAATCTCGGTGACGTGCGCATCAATTTTATCAGCGGGGATTTTGCTGTACGACTCGAGCAATTTCCATGCTTGAAGGTAGTTGGTTCTATCGGTCGGTAGCTCTTTCGTGTAGCGCTGGCTCTCTTTATTATATACAAGCGCGGTCATTTTGTGTTGTTGAGGATCGTGTCACTTGATGCTGTACTTTGTCTTTGGATCGCTTTGCGAGTGCTAAAGAAGTAGGTTTCGACGGAGGTACCACGGTGATAAGTATCTCAGACTGCGACCCCCGCATTTTGTGGCTAACATCACGCCACGACGACTGGTAATGGAGAGAGGTTTACCTGAAACGAAGACAGCCATTGTTATCTCTGTTATGCAAGACATGCCGCTATTGCCGTCAACCGCCCACCCGGAAGTCTTCTTCCGACAGCACAACTTCAGCCACATAAAAAATAGCATCAATTCTTAATAAAACAACGCATTGTCGTCGCAAGCTTCGATGGTCACTTGATAGTTGCGATTGAAAGTCCACAAGCTGTTGTGGGTGCCGTACCACCTGACGTATGGGGAGCTTTCACGGTTGCAAGGTAATCTTGTGAGTTGTGTATATTTCACGAACATCATCTGCAAAGTATACTGAAAGTGTATATGATATATGAAGGATAACGTCAATTGACAAATCAGAGGCAAGCAAGTGGTTCATTTCAACAGGTTGACAGCTCGACTTTACAGAGAATCTGAGAATGAATAGCTAGGGACTCGGCTGAGAAGCTGAGAATCTCCTAGAAATCGTCAGGAAGAAGCAGCTCTCTCACTGCACCCATCGAGTCCTTAAAGCAAGAAGTCCTCTTCCAAAGCACTCAACAACATCTCCTCCCTAGACCAATCCGCCCAATACCAGTTCTCCCAACCCTGCTGATCCAAACCCCCATTCCTCACCTCCTGCTTTCGTCGAAACAAATCGCGTCCCTTCTTGAACAGCTTCGCAATCCATGATCCACCCTGTCCCTCAACTCTCTCATTGCCTACAGCCATCAGACTCTCGTACGCCGGTGGTCCCCCTCTCTCATAAGCAGGCGAACTCTCATCAACCTCATAATCCGGCAATCTCTCTTCCTCAACTCCCTCCCCATCACGGGCCCGCTCGTCACGTCTAGCTCCAGCTTCAATCCTAGAGAGCACCGCAATCCACTCATCGACCTCCTCCTCCAGGTACCGTAATTGCGCCCCTATGTGTCCTTGCTGCGTCTCCATGTAGCGGAGTGCGGATTCGTAGTATCGTACGCCTTCGGGGTCGGAGCGGATCGAGTTGACTTTGGCGCGGATTCGGGATATGGTTGCGGCGTTGGTGGAGGCTTGGCTTGCGCGGCGTTGAGAGATTGAGCTTGGGGAGGTGGATCTTCTGCCTCTGGCTCCGTAGGGCGTGGACCGCATGTAGAGCGGCATTTTTCCCTTTTTTGGGGCGTGATTGAGGAGTTTTGTTGTTGTGCGGAAAAGTTGGAAACGTGGGAAAGAGGAGTTGTTTTGATTGTGGTTGTGTTTGTGTTTGTGGCGAAAGTTCTTAGAGGTAGACAAGACACTTGCGCTTTGAAGCGAAACTTAGACTCTAGTGCACGACTCACATCCTCGAAAGCGACACTTCTTCACCATAATGAACCTGATCAATTTGCACTAGCTAGCGCTTTGTATTCACTATCAAACGCAAAGGTAGGCATGTTGCGCTTCTGCATCTCTACTTGCGACTTTCTCACATCTACTCTCGATTATCATCCTCCACCAAAGCCACCAACACTGAAAGAAATACAACTATGTTGTTAAAATGACCAGCACCGCCGTACAATCCGTACCCATCTCCTCCCCAATCCTCCACCTTTATCATCTTTGTCCCCAAATAACCGCTAAAAAATCACAAGCCTCCCAACAAACGGCCTTGCCCGACGAAAAGAAGCACGCTTTAGTAGCAGCTAAGTTCTTCGGCCTTCGAGTCGACTTCTTCGAATCTCGGCACAACTTAAACCAAACAACTCAGAGTGGTGGGAGCGAGTTGAGGAAGCATCTCGAGGATTTGGAGTAGGATGTCGATGCCGTGATTAAGGAAATCAAGAGGTGGATTGGGAGCGATCGGAGAGGGTATGTGGAGAAACTGCTAGGTTATGAAGATGGGGATCGGGTTGGGGAAGAGATGCTGGGGTGTGAGGGGCTGGATAGGGATGAGGGTGTTGCGATTCCACGGAGGGAATCAAAGTCGGGGTAAAGGAAGTTGGTCCAGAAAGGACGACACGTTCTTAAAGCAAGACGCAAATAACATAAAGAATTTGGGCGGAATCGTGTTTCCGATTATCTTCCGGCATCTTCAACACATCAAATTAATCATCTGGGCACAATGACGAATATCCTACGACGGGAAGTTATCAGTGGTTCATGACCCCGCCAAGATTTATCTCCACAGCTGTACTATCTTGGCGCCCTGGAGAGGAAGGAGTCAAGAACAATATATTTTCTAGACGGGTACTTAGACGTTGACAGACTATACTTATATAAGCGACTACTTCAATCACAATCTCTTAGACTTTAGCTGTACTTCAGAAACAAAAACATCAGTAAAACTGACGGCTCTTGAGGATCTTCTTCACATTGGTTTCACGATCGTCTTCAACGCTTTGGACAACCTGGACGCCTGGAGACATGTCAACAAAATGTGCATTACTGCAAACATTCCCCTGATAGAGAGTGGCACAACTGGGTTCATGTACGAAGTTATGTGGGATACTAGACAATTCAATACCAAGGATCTGTGGCCAGAGGACACCACCAAGCAGCCTTTGGTTTACAGCGCCGGTGATCCGAGATCTCGAGGCTGGAGAATGGTAGTATCGCCGCGGGTAAAGACAGTACCCAGAAAAAGATGAAGAAATCAAGGATATCTTCGGCATGGAATACGAAAAGCGACTTGCGGCGACCATCTGTCCTGATTGCCGGAAGGCTTGGAAAGTGGTTCTGTGGTGTTCCTGACTGACTCTTTGATCCGAAGAAAAGTATGGACAGTGAACTCCCTTTACATGCAATGCAAATGCGAGTCACCAACCCATTTTCTAATTCTTTCCCTTTCATCGCTACAGAAGGAACACGATGATTGAGGTGAGTCATTTTTAAGTGATTCATGATGAAATAATTGCTAATTTTGACATAGAACATGAACTTGCACAATCAAAAAATCCTCAAAACCCTCCTCTCCCACCCCAACTCCGCAAACTTCGCCTCCGCCACTTCTCGATCAAAACTCCCATCCTCCCTCTCATAAACAGGCTTATAATGAAAATCCAGCCCTACCCTCAAGAACCCCACCCTCTCATACGCCTCTCCCTCCTCGCCATCAATCCTCGTCAGTACCACCGCATCAATATTCCTCTTGTCCATTTCCTTGCCCCAGAATGATCCTTGGAGGAAGAGCACTATGTGGTGTTCTAATTCTTCTTTGACTTTCTCCCCTTGTTCGGCTCTTTCTTCGGCGGAGAAGCGCTCTTCGTGGTGTCCGCATTCGCTGCAGTCGAGGGCCCAGGATTGGTCGAGGACGAGGGTCGGGTGGAAGGTGTCGTCGTCGTCGTCTTGGATTGCTTCGAGGAGTTTCATTAGTCCTGTTACGGAGCCGGAGATGGTTATATTTGATCCTTCCTTTACAGGGCCCAAGGGATCGTCGAGGTTGAGGTTGTGAGAGAGTAATTCTACCCCGTATTTTGAGATGAATTCTTTACCGGGGCCAGAGGCTTGCTCGGTGAACATGGCTGGAGGCCAAGAGAGATACATGGATGAAATTTCGCCATCAACGCTGAGCGGACTCCAGGTTGGGGCTCGGTATGTGGGTGCGGCGGTGAGGACGGGGTAGACGCGCCCCCATGCTAGACCGGATGCTATATCCGAGGTCCAGATACCGGCGAGGTAGGATCCTAGCTCTTTGTTTGGGCTAAAGATGCGAGCTAGAGTTGAGATGGCGAGAGCCTTGTTGAGTGACTCGGGAAAGGTGTGGTTTGCGAGCTCATCGATAGTTTGGTGCCAAGCTTCCAGACGGTTTGCCACGTTCCACACTTCTTCCGTCTTCTCAAGATTTTGCTTTTGACCGAGATAGCTCGTGATAAATGGTTGCACATACCCCTTCTTATACCTCATCCTGATCTGCCCCCGACCCGTGACTTTATCTGGGATACCAGCAGCTTCGAACTTCAATTCATCACCGCATTCCCAGATCATTTGGCGCTTGGTGTAATGCACTATTCTTGGTGCTAGAATGCGTTCGGAGGCCGTCCGACCGTTGGAAGACTTGGATTTGAGATCCGTGTCCCAGCGGAGTCGTTTTTGACGCATGAATCGATCCTTGTTTATGCCCAGAGCAGGGGAGTAGAACACTTGTCGTGGGGATAGAATGTCTGAGGTGGAGGTGGTGGAGATCATGAGGGTGGAGAGACCGTAGATCGTTGCTAATTTGGGTGTTTCTGAGCTGAGGTCTGTAAGATTTTCTTGGGAGAGGCAGAGATCGGAAATCCAGAGGTAGCGGTAGCCTAGACGACGTGTGATGGTGATTGCGTCGGTGAAGGTTTTAGGGAGAGAGCTGATATCGAGGTTTTCGCCTGCGTTGGGGATCTTGAAAGCAGAAGAGTTAATGTCGGCAGACGGGTGGCTGAGGACAATATATTCCCCTCTCTCCCCCTCGGAGGAAATGAGTTTGGGAGTAATGTCTGGATCTTGAGAGATTTCGATGATTCTGGTAGGCAGATCTACCTCAGCGGATTTTGGACAATTCTTGTGTTCTGAGCATTTGCCAAGCCATGAGCGAATTTGATCAAAACAAGCTTCATCTTCTGGGTTGGAAGGAATGATGCGTCGAATATCAGTATCGTCGTCCTTGGGACCTGAACCACACATTCAGTAAATTTGATACATCTAGAGAATGCAAGCTGACCTGTATAATCCTCCGAAACCACATAGTCAAGCATAAGATCATCACAGCTGCAGGAACTACCTGTGACGCGCTCTGGTGTCCTGACATCAAGACGTCGACTATGGATGAATACAATATTCCCTGGAAGCTTATCTAACCGATGACTCCAATTGCTAGAGTTCTGGAGAACGTCGCAAAAGAATCTGCATGCATCGCAGCCAGCATCTGCTCTCGACACTATCTCGGTATACTCCCCGAGACGAGGGTCATCGCGACTCAGACGCAGTGGCGGATCGAGTTCAAGAGCTTCGCATACTTCGCAGAGAGGCATTTTGTGAATTGAAAGGGGATTTTGTAGTTGGGAAAGAGAAAGTTTGAAGATGCAGGAGAAGCATTGATGAAACGAGATGTATATATGCTAGCTGCTGCCTACTCGTATTGAACGGCTGAAGAAACGTGTCTATTCACATTCAAGGTGTCACCTTTTTTTGAGTTTCGACTACTCGTTCAAGTGCTGGTCTATTCATATCAAAGCTGACTGACCCATTGCTAACACGAGAGTTTTGAGGCACGGCGATGAAATACGGGAAGTTGAGCGTTGAGACCTTGGTTTGGGGGCCGAGGCAAGCTAGGGGGAAAACTTTGGGCCACAGCGGCTGGGGAAAAGCGGTAGAACACTATCCTCGGTGCGACGTGCAACAAGAAAAGCGCCATGGCGTGATTGGCTGCTTGATGCCGCAAGGTAAAGCCAATGTGGTCTAAAGCTGAGATGAGAAAGGCGGAAGTTGACTGTGAGGACGAAAACGGGATGACGATTATCCGCTCCTGCCCTGCCAAAGCAATACAACTTCAGGTCAACAATTCATCGTGAGACTGACCAGCAAACACCTTTTCTGAAACGCCTTTCCTGGACATTGCAATCTACCCACGATAAAATCATGGCACACGAAACATCCAAAGACGCGATCACGGAGGACGAGATTGCGGGCACAGCACCTACAGCCTCGTCGTCAGCCTCGCCCGCCCGCAACGCATGTAGCAACACCTAACCTCACACACTCCACAGATACTAATAAGTACCTAGTCTCAGCCCTCATGGCGCCAAAGCGGAAAGCTGCCCCTCCAAGCCCAAAACCTGCGAAGAAGAAATACAACAAAGACATGCGCGACGGCCTAGACGATTACATCCTCCATCCCGAAACTTACTCCTCCTCCCGCGTGATATACTACGGCTCCGCCTTTGTTGCTATCAATGACCTCTACCCCAAGTCCAGCGTACATACCCTCCTTCTGCCACGAACGGAACATAAGGATATGCATCCCTTTGACGCGTTCGATGATCCTGCATTCTTGGCTGCGGTACGGGAACAAGTCAAGAAGCTACGGCATATTGTGGGCAAGGAACTACAAAGTAGATATGGACCATATTCTAAACAAGACATCCCCCGAGAAAAGGTGCTCAACGGGGAAGTCGAGCCCGCAGAAGATGGCGTTCTACCAGTTGGGAGGGACTGGGACAAAGAAGTTATGGCTGGAATACATGCTCATCCTAGCATGAATCATCTACACGTCCATGTCTTGAGTGTAGACAGATATTCAGAGTGCCTGAAACATAGAAAGCATTATAATAGCTTTGCTACGGAGTTCTTTGTGCCGATTGAGGACTTTCCGTTGGCTAAGGATGATGAGCGGAGACATGGACATGACTTGAAGCAGGATATGAAGTGTTGGAGGTGTGGGATGAATTTTGGGAATAAGTTTGCCAAGTTGAAAGAGCATTTGGCTGAGGAGTTCAAGGAGTGGAGGAAAGAGTAAGGGTTTCTCGTATTACGGATAGGCGTTTGGGAGTGGAACACAGTCTACAGAAGACTCGGAAGGCGTATCAGGTGGACTCAAAGACATCTTCATGAAGACAGAGCATTACAGACCACAGCAGGAATTGACAGACGATACCATTGATCAATCATATTCAGGAGGAAAACAAGTTTGTCTCGTGTATGAGGCTTGCATGACTCAGATTGTCTCACATGCCCCGGATTTCATGACTCGGCAGAAACGTCAACAACCAGCGGCGCACACTTTTTCGCCTTTTTGGGTCATCAGTCTCGGTCATTTTTCACCTCACACGGTCGCATGACCCCTCCACCATTCCTTCCTTCCCAGACATTTCCACTTCCCCAGATTTCCCCAGAGTCTCTCCTTTTAGAACTCTTTAGATTTCATACCATGATAGCGTAGCATTTGTATCATCTTATTTTCTTCCCTCAAACACACGCAAACAAAGATGTTCCGATTCCGCGGGATCGCAGCCGGCTTGTTCCTGTACCTTGCAGCTGTCAACGCCAAAGTTTCCGACAGATTGGATTACGAGTTCTTGCCTCGGGATACCATTTTTCCTGGTCCGTGGGAGCAGAATATTAGAGCGCCGCTCAATAAGAGTCATATTACGCCGGTCAAGATCTACAATTTCGAGGGTGCGACCGTGGGCGCCGAGGCGGTGCTGCAGGATGCCAACGTGCAGAGCGGGTTGAGTTGGGTCATTAGCCCTGGTGGCTTGATCACCTTTGAGTTTGGGGAGAATATTGCTGGCAAGTATGTATTGCTCTTCTTCTGCGGATTGAGAGTCGTGCTGATGTGTTGTGTTGGCAGAGTTTGTTTCGAGATTGACGACGTGAAGAATCATCCTTACCTTGTTTTGGCTTACTCCGAGTCTCCTTTCTTCGCCGGACGACAGTGCGATGCGACGGGCGATCAGTTGGCGCAGGATATCCCGCTGAGATATGATATTACACATAAGGGGATGAATTGCGTGGGTGGAGGGTACAATAGAGGCGCATTCAAGTACTTGACTGTGTTCATGCCGGAGAATGACCTTCCTACGGAGGGAGGTTATTGGCATGATGAGACCTCAATACACAAGAGGTCTGCGGACATTCAGAAGCTTCTACAGAACAAAGATGACCAGGAAATCATCGGTGGACCCAAGAATGAGACGGGAGAATCTGCAGTTGTTATCTCGGCTCTTTGGGTCAACTGCACCGCTTTCCCTTCTATGCGAAATGGAAGAGCATACACGGGATACTTCGACAGCTCTTCGTCCATGCTTAACCGCGTCTGGTACGCTGGCGCATGGACCCTGCAGCTGTCTACGTTGGATCCTCGAGAGGGTGGGTCAATCATTGACTTCAATCGATTCTTTGACCACAACAATGCTCCTCGAGGGGCGTGGTACTCCAATTATACGATCGCCAATGGCACTACCGTCACCACTGATGGTGCCAAACGCGATCGTATGGTTTGGCCTGGAGATATGACAATCGCTGTACCTGGAATTGCTGTTACGACTTATGATATGTTGGCTGTACGAAATGCTTTGAACACGATTTATGACCATCAGTATGGAGATGGCTCGATGCCATATGCTGGTCCACCCATGGGTGCTTTTGGGGAGTTTAGTGATACTTATCACTTGCACACTTTGGTTGGCACTTATTATTACGTTTTGTATTCAGGTGACTTGGATTGGCTCAAGTCTAGATGGAATGCTTACCTCGTTGCTTTGGCTATCAGTGTGAACAAGGTCGACGAGACTGGTTTGCTGCATGTGTCGTCTGTCAATGATTGGATTCGACCAGGTATGACGGGCCACAACGTCGAGGCTTCATCTATTTTGTACGAGGTACTTGGAAATAGTATCAAGCTAGCCAAGTGGATGGGAAAGAACGAGACGAAGATCAACGGCGAAGAATGGAGAGCCACTCAATCTCGATTGCGTAAGGGTATTGCTACTCTCTACTGTGATCAAGATGGTTTGTACTCCGACAATATGGGTCGTCGTGGGTGTAACGGTCCTGAAAAGGTCCTCCCTCAAGACGGTAACAGCTGGGCTCTGATGTCAGAAGCCTTCACCGATAAGGACCAAGCTTATAATGTTTCTGAGAACCTTCGGAAGCGTTGGATCAAGTACGGTGCTCCAGCTGTCGAGTTCCCGAATGTCATTTCTCCATTCGCATCTTCTTTCGAATTGCTCGGCCATGCTGCTGCTGGAAATCACGATGCAGCTGTTGAATTGATTGAGCTCATGTGGGGTTACATGCTTGACGGTCCTGGAATGACCAATTCTACTTTGATCGAAGGCTACAGAACCGATGGTTACGTGCAATACCCAGCCTACTGGTCCGCAGCACGCAATTCCCACGCTCACGGCTGGGCAGCTGGCCCGACAACTGTTCTCACTCAAGGCATCCTCGGTATCACACTCCTCACACCAATGGGGAAGACATGGGAAATCGAACCGCATCTCACCAAATGGCTAAGCTACGCACAAGGAGGATTTGCCACCAAACTAGGCAAATTCGAGGTCTCCGTAACGACAATGCGTAGCCTCAGCACCGGCCGAAAAGTCGAAGCCTTAAACGTCACCTACCCATCCGGTACGATGGGTCTCGTGAAATGGGGAGGCAAAGCACAATTCCGCACCGAAGGCATGGGTACAAGTTTCAGCTACTACAGATACATAGACGCAACGACCCTCGCGGAACAAGAATGGCAGACATGGAGCGTAGACGGAGTGAAAGATTTCGTTAAAGACGATACGTGGCGGAAACCAGAGGTAGAAGAGAGACTAGATGGTGTGGTAGATTGGGAGGCTTTAGAGAAAAATTATGTGTTAGCGGAGCAGAGGTTCAATCCTTTTGCGGTGAGTGGTGGGGCGGTGAGCGAGGATATGGAGGGGAAGAGGCAGTTAGAGATGTTGGCGCTAGCTAAGGAGACGAAGGATAGAGCGTTGGGGAGAGGGGAGTCTAGTAGAGTGGAGGGGGAAGATGGTGGAAGGGAGGAGTTGTAGTGAGCATTTCATGGGCATTGGGATTTGGATATCCGTCCAGCATATATAGCATTGGCATAGGCATTAGCAAGAAAATACATTACGTTAGACGTCTCGGGATGGGAAGCAAAGCTTTGTCCTCCAGGATCTCGTGACTTGCTTGCTAAGATCTGTCACTTCTTCTCGCAACTCCGAGAACTCGAAAGCTTGAGCAAGACAAAAATATGACATTGGTGGTACTAGACTTGAAGAAATAGTTATCCAAAAGATGTGACGATCGACACCGGATATCAATGAGCATGTCATGTCAGAGAAAGCTACGTTCCCACGTCCAACTATGGGCTCTTACCTAGGTACTTTGAGGCAGAGACAACAGCTCTTGTAAGGATCAGAGTACTCTTCTTGCTGAATTCTGATAACCTGTGTTCGTAGAGGAGTGAAAGTATTTCCATTGACCAAGGACTTCTTCTCTTTACAAAATCAGCTAGTTGTAGACGGGCTCTCGAGCGCTTCACTTCGAGCACTGTCGAGACTATTTTGCAGGCCACAAACCTGCTCTACTTACTTCTAGGGCGGCTTTGACCACTTTTCGTGATTGAAGAAAAACATCGCTTGACCCAGCATTAACTGCGAAAGAGGGACCAACTTGGTCTCTTAGGAACCAGATACGCTACAAATATTGTCCCATAAGTCCAATTTAAAGGAAACACTTGCTTCATCTCAAAGAACAGCAGCCAAAGCCAACATAAAAAGTAACCGAAAGATCAAAACAAATAAATTTAATCACTCTTCTTCCCCTTTCACAAACTTCGCAGCCTGCTCTCCAACCACCCTGCCAAAAACAACACACTCCAATAATGAACTGCCGCCTAACCTATTCTCCCCATGCACACCCCCCGTAACCTCTCCCGCGGCCCAAAGCCCCCGAATCGGCTTTCCACTCTCATCAACCACCTCTCCTTTCTCGCTAATCAACACACCTCCCATCGTGAAATGCACCGCCGGCGTCACGGTGCTTACATACACCACACTATCCTCCTTCACAGCATGTAACTTCCAATGTCCAAAACTCTCCCTGTTGAAAGAATCACTAGCATGCCCCGCCGCCGCTGCAGCATAATCTCTAAGCGTGGAAAAGGCCGCAGTACCAAGGTCGGCAATGGTAGATTTCCGCATCAGCCCTTTCCAGAGATAAAAATCGATATGCGAACTCGCGTTCTCATACACACCCTCGTCAAGCACAAGTTGGACGTCCCATTGTCTCGGTCCGCCCTCCGCTGTTTGAGCAGGGAGTCTAGTAATCGCGTCCGTAACAACCTTTCTCGTCTGCATCTCATCTACGAATCTCTTTCCCTGGAAAAGCAACACGCCTCCTTCGCCCCTGAGCAGTTCCGCGGCGAGGAATTTCACCGGATTCAAAGGGTTAGCAGGGTCGATGAACGATGTGGGGTGGATTTGGATTTGCTCCATGTCTAATAGCTGAGCACCGACTACCGTGAGCAGAGGCTGAGAACCCGGTCTCGGGTCGTTAGTGGAGGGGAATCCAGCGAGGTCTGGGCGGTACTGGGCTAGCATTCCATTCGCATCGCCGCCGAAGCCTCCTGTTGCGGAGATCACGGGACCGAGGGCTTTTTTGGGTGTTTTTTCGCCGGTGCAGATGTACTCCACGCCTGAGACGACGGACGACGGTTTCAAGACCTTAGTTACGGTGCAGGAGGTGTCGAGGTGAAATAGTGGCGAAGATTTCAAGGATGTCAAGAGCGTGCTGACCATGCTTGCGCCTGGTGGAGTTTTGCCTGCGCCTCTGTGGGTTCTGGGGAATGAGTGACCGCCGAGCTGAGCTACGACGCTGAGATCGATGCCATTTTCCTCAACTAACCATTCGATAGCTTCCGCGCTTTGGTTCGTCAATGTTGAGATCAGGCTCTCGCGTTCTTTCTTCATGGTCTGGAATACGGATCCAGCGGATCTGATAGTATCGGCGTGGAAGAAGGTATCCGAGAATGGTGGTCCTGGTTGGTATTTTGTCGGTGCACCGTTGATCCCAGAAGATGCTTTCATAGAATTGCCGCCGGGTTTGGCGGCGCGTTCGAGGAGATGGACGCAGATGCCGTGGGAGACGAGAGTAGAAGCTGCTGTGAGACCAGCGAGGCCTGAGCCTACTACTATGACGGTCTTGTCTTTCGAGGTTGCCATGATGAATCTTGAGCTTGGTGTTGAAATCAGATGTCGGAGGAGCATAGACGCAAGTCCGATGAAGAGAGATATGGAGATGAGGAGGAGAACTCTTCTTCTGCTCATGCTCCGTGTCTGTTGGTATGTTGGGATGAGGTAGCTATATGTACGTCGGCTTGTTGCACGGGGAGGAATGAAAGCCGTGTTATATCAGATTTGGGATGAAATCAGGCCAGGTTGGGGAGAATCAGGCGATTTCTACTTGCTTTGCCGGATGTACGAGCAAGGACCCGCGGTCGCGAATACGGATTTCCATGATGATGAGCTTTAACTTGGATGGCGTATCCGGCCTTTGGAAGATATCAATACTTTCACAAAAGAGCTGACGAGTACTTGGCCTCCAACATGAAGTTGTGATGCTGTTGTCTTCGGCACAACATTTTTCCAGCCCGTCTCGCTAAGAAATTGCCCCACTATCCTCAGAACCGACCGACTTGAATTTGAAGTGAGGACAACGTCGTCGTCATACGAGTGCAATGAGGCACTTGAGAGTTTTCAGAGTGTTATATCTTCATTAATGTCTGCGAATCTACCTGGAACAACAAATATCACTGGCCTGGTTGGAAGTCCAAATAATCGCTGTCCTCCTTCCCCACTTTTGGCGTCTTTTCACCCTTTTGCGTCGTGGGTCTTCGGACTGATGGCGACCTTGCAGACTCCCTTGTGTTCTTTCGCTCTCATATCTCTTTGGTACTCTGCTCACCTTGTTTTGCGATTCATGTTTGCTCAGCTTTTTTAGCTGCACCGTCTCTATCCCCATCTTGCTCTGGAGTTTGGAGTTTGGCCCTCCCGAGGTCTTCGACGACACTCAAGTCACGAGACATGAGAGTGAACAAGTTCATTTCGTGTTATTCAATACTATCTTTGAAGCAAAAAACCGTTAAAAATCTCTTGGTGGAGGTCTCCAATCATCGTCAGAGTCGTCCTCCGCACGACGCCGCTTCTTCCCTATCATTTTTTTCACACTGTCTGTTCCGTCTACCCTCGTCTCGATCATTGGAGACTTGCTCCTTTTGGCACTACTTGAAATTTCTTTCGGCGAAGGCCTGAAATTCCCCGATCCTGGACTTGAGGCTGTACGGCCGTATACCACATCTCCTGAAGTACGTGTCTTCGGGTGCTGTGAATCATGTGATTTCATGCCTTTAGTTGAAACAAGCGCTCCACACTCCTTGCAAGCGATTTTTCCTCGTTCAACCTCGAACTCAGCCCTATCGACACGATGACCTTCTCTCATACAGACGGGATGAGTCCGCCAATGTTTCTGCATGCCTCTTGATTCTGCGTAATCCTTCGAACAAAGGGGACATTCGTACCTCCCCTCAGCGTTTGGCTTCACTGATGGCAGTGCTGACTGTGATGTTTCCTCGGAAGCTCTAGACGCGTTTTCGAGCATGTTTGAGATTGATTTGCTGTCCTCGGGGAGCTCTGTGTCCCCAAATTCCTGCTGTTGAGAACGATCAAGATTCTTCTTCGTGCGTGATCCATCTTCCACGCTGTCCTGAGCACGATTATCCCTTCTCCAGAGCTTAGGAGTGACCGAAAACTTGTTTAGAGATGTGCTGGAGCTCTGGTGTCCTTGATTCTGCTTCGTTGTGTCTCTTGCATCCCGCTCCATGAGTCGTAAGACATCGTTAACACCAAGAGGCGGTCCACAAATTAGATCTGTGGTCTATCGTTAGCAGATGTGCGTCGGTAAAAGCACAGTAGTACTCACTGTCTCTTCTATGGTCAATGAGCTCTTGTATTACCGAGTACTTTTCCTTACATCCCCTGCACGTGGCGGGATGCTGTAACGAGATGTTGGTCACGCCCTTTGATCGTACTCCATTCGCTCTGTTAGCGTTGGTCTCGGAACCTTCTGTATACCAGTTAGTTATTTTCTCTGTGAGAAACGCTCTTGACGAGACTTACTGTTGTTAGCGTGCTCCTGGAGTTGTGGCGTATCGCCTTGTTCCTTGCTGTGAGTGATGTCGTTAAGGGGTGCATGCGACTTCTGGTAAGAGATCAAGATTGCCTCAGAGGCATCTTCCCTTCGTGGTAGCAGCAACAGCTTCTGATATTGGGTAGAACTATTTCTCTGCTCTTCAGCTACGGCAATGAAGTATCTTTGCTGGACCAAGGCAGTGGCCATAGTGTGTTCTATGATCGCCGTGTCTGTGCTGTATACATAGAATGCAGCCATCTTCCAGGTATCATCATCGCCAAGAGTACTGGAATCCGACTCTCTGTGGAGAGTTCCTGGCGGAAAGAGAACGAACTCGAATCTCTGGTTGGCTGTGACTGTGGCGGCTTTAAGCTCCAACGCAGACTTGAAAATTGCTTTGACACGGAATTGTCGTTCAACATATGTCTCCGTCCTCTCCCCCCAAGACTCGACCTCTTTGACTTGGTGTTCTTCTTCAAGGTCCACAAAGAGAGGTGCAAAGACACGCAAGAAACGATTTGTCATTCCTTGTGCTCTGTTCCGGATCAATGACTCGCGAAAACGAGGATTGTCGATAAGTCGATGGTAGGATGCGAGTTCGAGGTTACGTAGCCTGTCCCAACCATCTCAAACACTTTAACCAGTTGAAAGATGACGAAGGACCAGTTTGAACTCACCGTGTATCATCACACACTCTCTATATGCATTCAACAAGCGGGCGTCGTCTGGGTCGAAGTTTGGGAAGTCCGAGTAGAACACCCAGTCACGAACAGCTGCAACACACAGAGTCTTTATGAAGATCTCAAGTCCATACTTCAGAACGCATCTTTTCAACTGAACCACCTCTTCCCCAGTATTGCGACTGCCTTGAAACACGGACCGGATCAACAAGCACAGCTCACTATTTTCGGCAATCTTCGGCAGGACCAATGCCGTCCTCGGGTCGACACCAGTGGACAAAGCATCCAGTTCAGATGCAATGTCTTTCAGCCAGGTAGTTACCTCATACTCATCAATGGTTGCCTTGACTGATGGATCATGTTGTGCGAAACTGGCAAGTGCATTCATCTTCCCCAGCCTGCTGGACAGCTTCCAAATCTCGCCGTTCTTGTGGAAGAGCTCGTGTTCCAGAGAGCCTTTTCCTGCACACTCCCGTTCTTGACGTGCTAGGATGAGATTTTGATTCTCTGCTCTGAGCTCAAGGTTTCTTTCCTCGAGACTTGCGATGCTATGGTATAGTTCGTCGGTTTCGCGTTCCCACTCCCTGCGCATGATTTCAAGCTGGGAATCTCTTTGTTTGGCAGCAGTGAGCTGCTCCTCGATTCTTGGGCTTGAAGGTTCTGACGATTAGCGATCAATTTGTCCCGTACTGGAGGTCGTTTGTGGGGCTGATATTTCGCGATCTTTCTCGTACACGTTCGCAGGCTGAGTAGATGCGATCTTGGTGTTCAACTCGACCTTTGAACTAAAGTTTTGTGAGTTCATGGTACTCGCTTCTTCTGTCGAGGCCCCGTGAGTCTGAAATAATTAGCTCCTTTTCCTCAGTAGACAAGAAATGATGAATACCTCGTCAGATTTGCACTCTGGTAGTTGTGACGACCCTGATGCTGGGGCTTCTTGCACGTTCTCCAATTGCTCGTAACCTGAATCCATCTTCGCTCTTTGGATTGCTGTACTCCCGAAAGCCCTCTAAAGCAATACACTTGAAACGAGAACACAGGTGTAAAGACAGATTCTGGGGACTCCGCTTGACCCCGAGGGCAAAAAGAAAGCAACAGTCGAGCGAGAAGCATGCATCACGAATGTTGGATTATTCCCTGTCGTGGTAACACGGACTTCAATGAGGTTGTGGCTGTAATTGCTTCTTCAGCAGCACTGTGGTTCGACCAATCGGACCTGCCCCCGCAATCCCGCATATTGAAACAAAAAGCCCTCGATCGTAGCGTGCCAAAGAAACAGGAAACGATATCATTTTGAGGTCCTTGGATATGCACGTTGCCCGACGGAAGTCTTGAGCTGCAGCATCGGCAATATTTGAAACCGGAGCTGCGAGAGAATCAGGCCGCTCACCGAGTATGTTTGCTCACTTTATGATCAGTCATATCGGTCTCCAAATTCTTCTCGTGTATCGTGACATATCCTCAAATGAGATCAGCATGGATGTCGGCATACCTTCTGAAACAGATGAGCTATCTGAGATCACCAGTCTGATAACCCCACCCAGAGATTACTTTTACTGTACGACCAAGGTATTTGCGATCGAAGAGACGTCACTTTTCGGAAACAACGTTGTTTACCGAAACAGGAAAGCCGGTCTCGTTCCATCTGTCTACTAAAGCTCAAAGATTATCATCGATCTTCTCCAATTTTATTTCAGCTTTCGTTGCAGGAGTACAACTTTCGGTTGCTTCATCATGACTTCAACAAACATCAACACACCTCCCTCACAAGCGGAGACGATTGCCAGACTTCTGCAGCTAGCAGATCCAGCTGTTGTCCAAGAATTGCTTGCAAGAAGTGCCACCGCTCCAAAATATGGTGAAGAAGGTAGTGTTCCACCACAGACGCCCAAAACAAGCAGAAACACATCCCAATCCTTCACACACGACTCAAGTAGTCCAGAAGACGATGGACATCTCTCGTCAAGTTCACAATCTTGGGACGAGTCTCCTCGCCCAAAGAAAAAGGTCTCCAGCAAAAAACACTCACCCAGTCAAGCCAAAACACGCAAAGAAGAAGCCAGAAAATCTTTCGTGACTCCCTTGACACCGTCGTCGACTCGCACTTCTCGAACTGCTTCCCTCTCAACTCCTTCTCGTCCGAAGAAAACGACGTCTTTACCAACTTCAAAACGAGCATCACAGGCCCTGAACCACTCCCTTCAGGGACATGCAAACGATACAGATGATACCACTCTGCCTGATGTGGATGAGGAGACTTCGTTGAAGAGATTTGTTGTCGGGCTAGACTACGGTACCACGTTCACATCTGTTTCATATCTTTCTCATCCTATCGACGACGATCACCCTCAGGCATTTCCAAGCGATATCAAGGTGATCATGAACTGGCCTGAGGATGGAATGGGCGGTTTAAGAAGGCAGGTTCCAACGGAAGCCTGGTATTCTTCGATACCGAAACAGAGACCCGAAATCGTCGATCAATTTGAGCTGCTCGACGACGAAGAGCAGACTGGGCCTCCATCAAACAGCGACCACGCTTCAGCTTCCCATTCACATTCTCATAACACCTCTGACATGAGCATGGATGACAACCTCGACGATGAAGATTCTTCCAGATACCTATGGGGTTACGACGTACCCTACCAAAGGTTTACAGCAGGCACCACTCGAGATGAACTCCGACTTATCGCTCGTCCGAAGTTGATGTTGGTCAGATCAGAGCATACTCGTGAAGATCAAGCTCGCCTGAGACTTCGATTGAGCTCACTTATCGCTGGAGGTCTCATACGCAAGTTCACCCACAAGGACACTGCAGATCCAAGAGATGTACAAGACGTCATCACCGACTTTCTTGTTGAAGTCTTCAATCACACCAAGCAACAACTTATCGAGCTTGAGAACTACAGTCAGGAGTGTCCTATCTCGTTTGTCTTGACCGTCCCCGTTATCTGGAATGCAAAGGCTTCTCGCGTCCTCCAGTATGCGGTCGAGGCAGCCATCCGAGGCTCCGGGTTTGGGACCCTTCATCATGGGAGTGTTGACAACCTGTTCATCGTTACTGAGCCAGAGGCTGCTGCGACATATCTCCTTGGAAACTCACATGAGATGCTTGTAAGTCTGCAAACCATGATTACCACCTAGCATTGCTGACTTGCATTCAGGCTGGCGAAACCTTCATTGTCCTAGACTGTGGTGGCGGGACTGTTGACTGTGTGACTTACACCGTCACAAGTAGTTATCCTCTTCGGTTGAAGAGGGAAGTTGGGAAACCTTCTGGTATGTTGATATCTCGTAGCCTTGCAGTGCCGTGTCCATATACCCCACATGCATCAGTCACCAAACAACGGCACGATTTATTACACGTCTTACATCTTTGCAACTCAATTGATCATCACTGATAACTGCAAGGTGACAATTGCGGGGCGAGCTATCTCAACGATTACTATGAGAAGCATCTCCTCAAGCGACTTGCCAATGAGGACTACCTTGACACGAATGGAGAGACGAGAGAGTCGATTGTTAGACATCTCGTGCCTAACTTCGAAAACCACGACAAGCGTAGCAAAGATATTTCTCGCAGACCATGCAGCAGGATCAAAATCCCCGGCCTCCGAGGAGACCGAGAACGTGGTTTGTCAGGACCTGCTGCCAAAGGATTCGACAACAACTTTCTTATTCTCAACCCGTAAGTCCTCTTGCACTCAATCGATGAGACGAAGCTGATGAATTGTTTGAAGTGATGACTACAACCAAATTTTCATGCCTCTACTAAGACGCGTAGGTCATGTCCTTTGGTCGCAGATTGAGACGGCTGTAACCAGGGGAAAGGATATCAAGGTAAGAGACATGTTTCATATCTTTACACATAGTCTAACCAAGATTGATCAGAAAGTATTCTTGATTGGTGGTTTTGGCGCTTGTCCATCATTGAGAAGTTACTTGAAAGATTTTCTCAGAGATAGTGCAAGCGAGTTCATGCTTAAGCATGAAATCAGTCTAATTACAACCAATGACCAAGAAAGGTGAGCACACTCGACACAGTCATTCATGCTGAAATTGTGCTAATATCATTAGCTTAACTGCGGTATCCTCAGGCGCTGTCCTCCGTGCTCTTAACAAAGAAGGAGGTCCGGAGAGAAGAGCAATTTGCAGCTACGGCTTTCTGCGCATTCAGTATTTTGAGCCCAAGAAATTCAAAGGTCACCAGGGAGCAAAGCCATTTCGAGATCCCTTTGATCAGGATCTCTATGTCAGAGTCATCGACTATTTCATGCTCAAGGCAAAAGACCCTACGTCTCGTCAAGATTGGAGCTTAAGCGTCTAATTGATTTCAGGGAGAAATGGTCGCTCCAGTCCACCGATATGACCCCCATTACTTGTATACATGTATTTGAGGTTGAAAGTGAGCGATTGCTTTGCGAGGAGCTACTCTATGTCTCCGATCTACCGCTCGTCATCGACGACGAGACTGAACAACCACTGAAGTCTAATTATCCACTCGACCATTCTCACAACAGAGGTATAAGTCATAACTGCTTCCTACATTCTCCTACTTTAGACAGTCTGCTAACGCTGGAGCAGATGCTCAAGTCGCAGGTCGCATCATAACCGACTTCACATTCCTTCGCGAAGAAGGCAAAATTCTGCCAATCTACCCTGAATCAGATGATGAGGGTGAATTGATTGGCAAAGCCCATTATGAAGTCACGTACGACCTGATCGTTATAGTCGATGGGCGAAACTTGAAATACGAAGCTAGATATCCTTCTGGGCAAAGCGGGAAAGCGCAAAAGATTGCACAGATCAGTCTCGCTGCTGGCTTCGTCCCTGGGACTGGCTGACGGATCTTGTTTGTATTTCTTTTCGAAATGATACTTTTATTTCCGTTGTACTCGATGGGTCTTCTGATGTTTTCCTTTACTTGTTGTCGAGCTTCAAACGGTGAAATGTCGACTTCCTTAATTTGCTTTCTGGTTTAGGGTTTGGGTCTCGAGAGGCGTCACTATTGGAAAAGGTATAAATGACGGTCACTTTGTGTAGTCTGTTTAGCTTCATATGTAGTGGATCAATAGTTATCCTGTCGTCAATCTTCGTGGTTGTATCAATTACGTTGCATCACGACAAGCTGTCCTTGACGAGCCCCTTTCTTTCTCGCTTAGCGCATTGCTAACTCGCAACAAAATCGACTGTCGGACACTTATGGGATAACCTTACTGTAAGTACTGGCTATTCATAAATCTATTCACCAAAGGCATTAGAGTTGAGCCTCCAATTTGAATGGTTCCCGTCCTTCTTTGACTATCACGTGACTGGACATCTCGGAGAGAAGATTCGCCTTAATCTCTTCATCGATTGTTGATTGTGAATTGAATTATGCAGACTACGTACATTATCAAGGCTAAAGCCTTTGTTCAAGACAGAGAACGAGTAGAAAAATGCAAACTACAAAATCAACCTGTGCTAGGCCGGACCGCATCAGCAATGTCGACTTGTCCACTTTCTCGACTTTCCCACGTCACCACAAGCCCATCGAGCTTCATATCTCAGTGTTCGAGCTTCTAAAATGACCACAGGGTCATGCGAAATCGTGTAGGGAACTTTGCTTTGACTTGTCCGTCATCATCTGGACAGCATAAGTTGGATGAATGGTACCATCTTCACGAAGGAAAGTCATACCCACGACAATTCTCCTAGCTCCATGCGCATCAACTTAGCATAGTCTAAAAGTGAGTCTGATCGGATCTACCTTTATTGGTAGCATGATCTGCAGCAAAAGAGGATCACGTGCTGCTGTCATTGACGTGCAAGAGCTCTTCGCAAAGAAGCTCTTCGTCGTCAATGTCAAATGCATGCGATAGGAGAAGCAGTGTATGGGACGGAAATATGATATATGACGACGAGATGGTGGTGATGGAATTGGTGTACTGACGACAGTCTCTGAGTCTGCGCATCAAGATCTATCGAAGGATATCGACAGAGTCCGCACTTCTAGGCCGATGCTTTCCTGGATTGGAATTTGACCAAAAAGATAGAGGAGGAACTTGAGGTGATGAGTGGACGATGTTTTCCAGTAAAGCGTGAATTGTCTTGCGAGGGTTCACACACTTCTGTATAACAAAAATGTAATTGCGGCACCAGCAATTCGGCTTTTCAAAATAGTATGCGTAAAGTAAAATCTCTGGAACGAATCGGATTACAAACGGTACTCCAAGGTGGCGCTGCTTTGGCCTGAATTTGTGCCTGACCTGCTGCAAGTGCTAGGGACGAAATAAGCCACTTTGAAGCACAGCCCAGGATCTCAGCCAACTCGTGACTCACAGAAAGTGATGAAAGAGTGGGCTTCAATAGCCAAGGAAACTTGAGCTAAAGCACCGGAAGAATGCGGAAAAGGTGTGAAACTTCCCGATTTGTTGTAATGGGTCGTTCCTGGGGAGAACCCTGATACTCTGTTTGCTTTTATTTTGGGAGACACATTCACAGCCAATGCTCGGCTCGTCCCTCGGGAAACTTACCAAAAGATTGGCTACTCGGTGATCCGAGGAAAGCACTAGAACTTTAGCCAACGATTGGCGTCAATCGCTTTACAAGGTCGAATTGTGTAACGATACTAAATATTTCCATCTGCTGGGCGGAGATCTTTGAAGCGACTTCAGTTTCTAGTTTAAATTGTAATTTTAGAGTTGGAAAGACTATTCTGTTGACCATCGTTGAAAATGGCAAATCCTAAGACAGTTCATCTTGAATGCGATCCGTCAGATCAACAGAAGAAATCTCTTCGGGCGAAACAACGTTCTGCAGAAATTTTGAACAGACCTAGGACGAATACAAGTTCCCAAAATCGGGTAGGATACAAGCTCCGCCCCTCCTTTCTACGTCGCTAACTTGAGACAGGAAGTAGCTTCTGGGAACTCGAAACCCAGGGAAATCGGAAATCAATCCAAGCCTCTTCACGACGAACAGACACTTTCCGATATCGTCTCTGACCTCACAAACGAAAACAAGAACCTCAGAGCTCAAGTTCAGATACTCAGAAATCATTGGCAAGCGGAAGTCGAAGACTTGGCGAAACGAGAGGAAAAGAGGAAAAGCAACGAATTGATACTTCGTGCCGAAATTCAGCATCTGAAAGATGCACGCCGTGAGCGTGAACGTGCAGGCTTGGGGGATATGGAGGAAGAACTATACCTCAAAACTCACGACACATACCGTTGGCAGGCACGAGTCGCAGAAATGCAGGACATGAAGCTTTTCGTCGATGGGAATTCTCCAAGAGTAAGACCTATCGAAGAGAAGATCATCCAACAAGCTTTGGATTCTGTCGCTGTGGAGCTGCAAATCCTTCGCGCACACGACACCTCGAATAGCCCTCCTACCTCTGTGGCTCTCGGGCAGAATAGCGACCTGGATTTGTTGTTACGAAGTATGATACCTGAGGCTCGAGATATGGCTCACAGAAGAACATTAGCTGTATCAAACATGTTCAAGTGGGGTTTATCAATCTTTGCTCGAGGTCTTGCAGTAGCTGCAATTAAAGACTGGGTAATGGACACTGACTTCCCAAGCTTCATTGGGTCAGGGGATCCGAGGATTCTCGAGGAATATCGTAAGATTCTTTCCAATTTTGGTAAGCTGTACTCCTTCTTTCAAGGGATAAATACCTACTGATACGCTGAAGATGGATGGCAAAGACTGCATAACCTCGAGATGGCTGCCTATCGATCACTTACTGAGACAATATATTTCAAAGAAAGCTTTCTTCCCAGAGCGGCTAATGATCTTGCGGATCGTCTATCGATGGCACTTGTCCCACTATTTGTTCATACTTCGGATGCATCATTACACGAGGGATTTGCTTCATGGGGCGAAGACGAGGTTACCTCAAAGAATCGCCAGTTGTCTTTGAAGAGAATGTTCGAAGCTGCCTTGCGCTTGAAAGTCGCAACGGTACTCACAGATGAGCGGTATCAATTTCAGCTTCATCCGCTTGGAACTGTAAGCAAAGCTTCAATTTCTGACGGTGAATATCGAAATAATCCTGTCGCCAGGAATGATGACATGACAAAGAACTGGCTCCATGCCTCCTTGATGGTCTACCGCGGCGAGCAGTCAAATCCGCGTGACAGAATGGAGGACGCTTTGGTTCACCCAAAGAACTTCTTTTCAACCGGCGAGAAAAGAAGTCGGCCACCACTTGCTACCCAGCGCCTGACGGTTAGAGATGGTACGTGCAGTCAGACCTCTGAGGGAGCCTCCTCACCTGCACAGAGAGCCCAGAAAGATACTCTCAACGAGCAACAACGCAAGGAGGAGGCTCACATGCCGGTCACCAACTCCCGTCCTCCAAAGCGAAGCCACAACAACACAGAGATTTTAGACAACATAACTTCCGAACCAGCCAGCAAGCGACAAATGCTCAAAGGTCTCGAACCCTCTAAGAGCCTTGAAATGTCTCCGCAATTGCAGACATCAATAGTTCGCAACGGGGTACATGACATGGACTGCGAACACGAAGAAGTAGAAAGCAGTGATGGCATCCCGATTAGAAACAGCTTTCCATACACCAGCTGCCATGCTGAGTCCGGGACTGAAAGGAATCTGCTTAAGCACCAGCAAGAAGGTAAGTACCTTACTCTCTGATACATCCCTTTGGGAAACACGTACTTCACGCACTGACATGGAGCAGAGCATCCTGAACTATCCCATGACCGCCACACTCTCAATAGCCTTCAGAGTCAATCGTACTCTACACCCACTATCACCAAATTGGACAACACTGCTGGGGAAGGTCATGTAGATGAAAAAGTCACGTCTAGAAAGAGCAGAGGACCGAATTCCCCATCAACGCACTGCGGTGGATGTGATAAATCGTTTGCAAGCTCGTACAGTCTGAAGCAACATCAAAAGAATAGTATGATTAAACAATAACTCACAGAGAGTAAGTTGACATTGCTAACTCTAGATAGAGATCTGCAAGGGACGAAAGTGTAAAGAGTGCGACGACGTATTTTGGAAATTGGCAGACCTCGAGACGCACATGCACCACGAGCATGCTCAGTCGATGTTGGCTACTCCACTATTACCTTCTTCGGAGTTCCAGAGCCGGCGGTCAAGGCCTTACAATCAGACTTCAATACCCCTGGCATCCCCTTTCTCCACCGCTGCAACTGAGACAAACGCAGCTTGCCCGGAGCAAGAAACTTTCATCGCGCCGACAACCAACGAGATGATGAATTTTCCTCGAACAAGGTTCAAATCATCCTACAGCTTTCCAGTCAGCGAACAAGATAATATGTGGGGCTCTAACACCATGTCAGGCACAGTGCTCGGCTCGCAAAGTAGTCCTGAAGTGATGGAGCCGAAACCGGATCGTGGGGATTCCCATCATGGAAGAGACTACAACAACAAGTCTGCATCTACTGACAATGGATTATCATCTGCCAAGCGACAAGGTCTGTCGTGCTCCATGTTTTTCTTAATACTAGGCAACGAGCTGATATCCGTACGTAGACGCAACAAATAACCTTACCAACTATCTTGACTATTCAACAAGACAACATCCAAGTTTTCCAATTGGCCTAGAAGTTCCCGCATCCCATGGCACATCTAGCCAAGAGTCCTACGCTCAACCGTTAGATGCCTCTCGTGCATTTTCTAACCAAGATCTTCCCTGGTCTTGGAGTCAGCGTAAGTATTTCGCTTCTAGTTCAACTCGCATTGAAACTTGCTGATATCTCTCGACTCCGACAGAGGGATCTTTCCACACATGGGACAATTCAGTGCCATCTTCTTGTGAGTAGTTGGTACATGAGAGATAAACGAGCCAACATCTAACACTTCTGAGTCGACATGAGGTCGGAGCTCAATCTACACGAAAAACACGACACCGCTCGGAGCTATGCACTACTTCCAACGACTGAAAGACACGATTCTATTGATCAAGCGGCTGAGCTTACGTCCGAGAGACCAATGCACTTCAGTAGTCAATTATTCTCGAGCCATGAGGCGAAAGACACAATCTTAAACACGCTGGATCTTGATTATCCCTTTGCATCATCTTCAAAAATTCCTCTCTATAACCTTAGCCAGGAGAACGACGCACCGCCAACATTTCAGCTCAACCAGGAACAGCCACATCTTGTCAATGAGAAACTCCAAACTGAAAGCAGAAGATTCGTATCGCCTTCGCTAGATACCAATTCATTCTATCCGTCTCAAGAAAGCGTTCTTGACCTGCTAGCCGAAGCATCTACAGTTGAGATTCTTGAAATGCAAGGTTCCCACAACAACAAAGGTCTAGAAGATAAGTCAAGTATCCACGTCAAGCGTACTCCTTCTGCGATGGCCCCTCGTCCCGGACAATCCAAATCTTCGCGAAACTTGAGAATTCGAAATTCACAGCTTTCGCAATGGCCAATTTGTGTGGAAAGCGAGAGTGAATTTGAGGATGACACCGAAATTGGCATTCCTCATGAGAAATCAGACAATTTTCAAGGCTTTGACAGACCTCCCAACTCCACATCAGCTTCGCAGCCGGAGACCCAAACAAGCTTCAGTGTGGCTGGCGAGAAGTATGCAGAAACAAACGCCGTTCGTAGCACATCGGCCAATTCGCCAGCTTTACACAACACCGCCGAGCACACACCAGCCTCGCAATCAGAGAAAAGACGAGACTTTAGTGCAATACCTGGCTCCCAGACGCTGTTACGATTCTTACCTGGAGGAGGAGGCTGGGTCACAGAAGAGAGATAGTATTATTGTAATCATCCTACTTTCTGCGACATCTCGCGGCAATCACAGGAAACTTTTGTCCGCGACTTTTTTTTGTCTCAAAATGATAGATTGAACCCGAATATGCATTGCGCAAACTGTGAAAGGGGCCTTCACCAGCCTCACCCAGCCTCGACCAATGTCTCTCTTCTATCTACGCTACACAAGATCTTGCCAAGGCGCTAAGAACTTCCCTTTGTCTACTCGCAAGCTTGTTTACTTCTCTCCCATCATACGTTATTTCCTAGAAGTAGGCCGCTATCCATCCCGAGCACTATAGCATTCCGTACTTCGGTCTATGTTTCCGAGAAATATCTTATGATTGTTGGAGAACGTTCGAGGTGCAATTCTTGAGTGTCGTTCCGCCTACGGCAGCCTACTTAACAAGATAGGACAATGTTCTGGTAGTGTTCTCTCATTCGCTTTGCTTTTCACATATGGTGAGCTGACATGTCATAGTGAGATGGAACCACCGGCTCGTGAATCCGTGAAAAGAATGAACCCGTCTCTCTGGACATTAGGAACCACAGTGATCTGTGTCAAGATCAGTACCGGAGACGCCCAGCCTCTCAATTCGTTGGCTTCCTGGGTGGACGGCGACAGCACATTCCATCTCCAACCACGAGACGAAACATACCTCACAAATTCCACCGAAGGAGATGCGGCAATTGACAGACTACAAGAGTGTGGTACCGGAGGGTCGGTCTGGAAGCTCGGAAGCGAAGCTATCTGTAAAGTGAAATCATGGTATGAAGGCCGTCAACTAGAAGCTACCACAATTGACTTCGTCCGCAAAACTTGTCCCGAGGTACCAATGGCCGAAGTAATATACTCTTGGATCGATCGGCCCATCAACCGCACCTTTCTCATCATGAAACGAGTGCAAGCTAGAACGCTGAACACAGCGTGGCCTCACCTATCCGCTGCCCAGCATATGAACATTGCCAAAGAAGTGGCACATCACTGCTCTAGTCTTGCAAGAATAACATCATCGCGATACGAATCCATCTCTGGATGCGGAGTCTACGAGTATTGGCTGATGGGCAAGCTCCCTGCTTCTAATCCTTCGTGGTTTTATATGACCGTTGGACCATTCTCATCAATCGATATGAAAACATACATGACTAAGATCTCGTGCGAAATCTTACCTGAGGTAGGAGATGATTTCGTACTCTGCCACCCGGATCTCGGGCCAACGAATATCATGGTCTCGGAGGATAGAAATAGCGTCGCTGCGATTATTGACTGGGAAGCAGCGGCCTATTTCCCGCGTTTCTGGGTTGCCACCAAACCCGCGATAGGATGGGCTTTCAATTTGGGAGAGCCTGTTCCCAATGCTGAGAGAAGAGTGTGGGCGGAGTTACTTGTGAGTACCCTTCAGGCGCAGGGCTTCAAGTGTCTGGCTGCAGACTACAACAAATGGAGGAATGGAGTCACAGGCGAAGCTTGATCAAAATGGAGTGCAAAGAAATATAAAATAAGGCCTATTCACTACACTGTCTTTACTTTGATCCAAAAGATGTCTTGTTGTAGCAACAACGAATTTTGGTGAAACACACTGAAGGTGATGGCACTTGATGCTCATCTGAAAACGGAAAGTTTTTTGAGCGTTTCAGAGCTACTCCAAAAGCAGACATCGTGGAAGTAGGGAATGTCGAATAAGCTCGGTTCGGAATTACTTCGGTGACGGCTTGATCTAACATCGGCGTGTCCTGGTATTCGGGGTGGATCTCACCTGGGTCGGCAAGCGATGCGGAGAGCTTCTGTGTGAGATCGACATGATGGTCTAGCCTCGAATCCACTGACATACACGTATCTGCATCATCCAACATGTCTCTCGTGTTGCTTGTGGACGGAATCGTTGAGTGTTTCTGGGTCGTGTTTTGTCCGTCCTGCTCTAAATGGTTTTTTGCGCAATGTTTATCATAAAGCTAACGATCTTCGAACCACTCTTCACAATGCTTGCACCAAATGCAAGATTCTATTACACGTTAGCCAAGTTGTTGTACTATCATGAATCAAAACCTTACTGTTGTTGACATGTGTCTGGAAAGGCTTTTCGTAGAAGTATATTTTGCCGCAAAGGGTTCATTGAAATATTTGTCCAGGAGGTAACATTTGTTGTGTGGATCCGGATCGCTCACGGCGGCTGCCGGAAAAATGAGTTGCAAAATGCTTGGCATTATGATGGCGGCGAAGCTCAGATAAATTTTGACAAATTTCAGGGCACAGATTGCAAGTCCTGCAGATATCTAAATCAGGTTAGCATTCATTGGGTATATCCGTTCAGATATTTGAGATAGGAAAAGTACGTACTATTCTCTTGGTGTGACTGCAGATTGGACAGTTTTGAGAAAGTTGCTTTGCAGATATCGCATGTTGGGATTTTCCACGTAGTCAGTTCTCGGAACGAAGTAGCTTCAAGTTCCCTATCCGACGCAGTGCTTGAGCTGGATATTTCATGATCTATGCTGTCCATAACCATGCCACCCGGTGGCACAGACGGGGATGTGGCGCTGCGAACATTTGCCCCTGGATGCTTCCTCTGAGCTTCTTGCGAATGAACAGCCGTGTTACGGGAAGCGGTGGCTCTGTGATTTGCTCTACCGGGCGAAATTCCGGCTACATCAGCTTCAGACGATGATATGATGCTTTCGTGTATCACAGGGCGTGTCGGAGCGGTGCCGGTCTCGACCACAAAGTTTTCGGGACGAACAAGGGCATCCATCAGCTGCCCCGATGGCCCAGACGCTCGCAACTCATAAGTGCGCATCGATGCTTGAAGCCAAGTTAACTCTTTCTGAGAGATATGGTTAAGTGGAAGTGAGGTCCTAGGTGGATAGACAATGAATTCGTAATCACGATCGACGGTGACCGTGGCTGCTTTGAGTTTCAAAGCAGTCTGGAATATGTCGATCAACCGGGAGTGTCGATGGTCGCAGACTTCCTGAGTATCGCCCCAAGATTCGAATGAGCGATTTGGTGCTTCATAGTGTGAGGATGGGAACAGAATGGCTAATGTTGCTGTCAAACGAGAAGCAAACTCAGCAGATCGTTTCGGAATGAAGACTTGTTGGAATTCATGGGACTCAATCAGAGAACTGTATGCCGTTATTTCTAGATTGCGAAGACTTCGCCAACCATCTATTTCAAGTATCAGTGTTGTTGAAGGACATTCATGTCACGATAGTTAACTGACCTTGGACCATAATAGCATCACGGTAAGCGTGAAGGAGTTGAGAATCCTTATCCACATACGCGAGAAGTCCAGAATGAAAAACCCACTCTCGTAGAGCGGCAAGCGTAAGTGTTTTGATTACAGCTTCCGGCTCGAACTTCAGAATCCATGTACGAAGCCGTTGACCTTCACTACGTCGTTCATCAGTACAGCCGTGGACGGATTGTACCAAGTTGTACAGTTCACGGGACTGTTGCGTCGGTAACTGAAGACCATTCGCAATATGATGACCATGTAAAATTGAGCCCAGCTCTGCTTCGAACATCTTCATCGAACGATCTACCAGCATAGATAGATCTGTGAATATCGTTGGAGAGGCGTTTTTGGATGTGAAGCGCATCTGCTCCTGCATTTTCCTGATTCTCTGGTCGCTGTCCCAGATTTGCTTGTCTTTCAAGTATAGCTGATATTCCAAGGGGTCTTTGTTGAGAGCCATCCTGCTATCTCGCGCCATCTCGAGGTGGATAATCTTCGCAGATAACTCTGTTTCTCGTTGTCTGAGTTGTTTCTCGCGTCGAAGGTAGTCGGATGACTCTCTCTGCCACTCCTTTCGGATCAAGTCAATCTCTCGACAGTGCTGTTCACGAAGTTGATTATGGTCTTCGTTCGAGCACAAGGGAGCGTCATGTCGCCTTGAGACCGCTGATGATGACAGTTCTGCGGCACCTATCTATATTTGTTGTTAGCCAATCAGTTTACCAACTTTTCAACTGACACGTACAGCGCTCTTCGGTGAAGATCCTGTCTGACATGCTTCGCGGAAATGGGCCACCGCCGAACCTCGTGCTGAGGAGATGGCAAACGCTGATTGCTGGGTGAAGCTGGGGTTATCCGTGTATCGTTGGACTGTGGTATTGATTTCGTGTCTGGTGGCTTCATCAAGCCTAAGGATACATGACGATCCTACTTTGAGGAGAGTAGCAAGCTTTACCGATTGCCCACGAATACAACCCAAAAGTTTGTTTTGTATTTGCAATTTGGTGAAAGGATAGTCATCGCTTTGTGAAATATTTTTCGAGATCGCCAAATGTTTCTCAATAGTATCTGCGAAATTGATTCCTTGATGTATAGAAAAGTCAAGCCATGCAAGGAGTGACACCAGGTCATCGGTCGACCACACTGGCCTAGCCGACATCTTTTTTGAAGACAGAGATATGGGTGACGCTTTGTCAATCTTATGCAAAAGCTGAAGATAATCCTCTGGAATACCTGAAGAGCCGGGACGCGATCGAAGGCAGGCAGCTGAGCTAGATTGGACAGCTTGGTGAAGACGCGAAGCGGTCGCGCGCTTTCCTCCAATACCCAGAAAATCAGTAACATGGCTGGAAGAAGGCTTTGTTTGACGTGACTGTAAGATTATCACAGGGGCTAGACTGTTCATGTGCAGCTGTGGCTGCAGTGGAATCGGCTGCCGAAAGCCGCTGGCCACGAACGGACCTTGTCTCACCCCTGTCGAAAGATTTGTGAACGGCCCACAGCCAATCATATCTGAAGATAAAAAGAACAAATTCATTGTTGGGGCTCGGTGAGCCATTCTAGACATGCACGAGTCCAAAAAAGAGGCTTCGAAGGGAAGGAAGCCTAAATTTGTCTCATAAAACACCCTTGACCTGACCATTTGATTCTACCACACGGCAACAAATGACTCTTTAGGCGTTGTAACCCTAGCTTCTGAGGCTGGGGCGAGCAAACAGTGCTTCAGAACATCAGTTCCTAGAATAGAAACAAGACCGAGACGAATTGAACGTCCTTTCGTGTATCTCGAGGTATCCTGGATTGAAACCACGCATCGGGCAAAGGCCAGCTTGATTTGGTACCCATGAGGATTATTTGAACAAGATTTACCCATCAGATAAACTGGCCAGTGATCGAGTTCTGTCAACCGAATCTGTTTCGAAGAAGAATTGATCGGTCTTGTGCCTCCAAAAGAAGTGTCAAGGGCATCAGAAAGGATGGCACCTCAGCCTCAGCACCAGAAGACGACTTACTTACCTGTAGTATCCTACGATAGTGGCTTTGCTTCCAGATTCAGGGCAGTGCCAACGTCGAATTCCACCTTACACGCCGATATCTCTGTGCAGCAAAGCGGAGCAATGAATGAAGAAGGAAGTTGGAAAAGGACAGCGTCCCAGAAACAGAAGAGAAGGAAAACTGGCCCGGTAGAGAGGAGATCGCTTCCGTCTCGAGTATATGACTCGGCTCAAGAGTCGTTTTCTCCTGTGCCCGGGATACAAGAGATCGGACTTCCAGGAATGGTGATGCAGGCGCCGAATTTGATATCGGATGACCATGTATCGTGGACGAGCCCAAGAGATGACCTTTCGCGACAGAACACCAAGAGACGAGTTGCGTCATTGATCCAGAACTCGACAAAGCGCAGTAGAGACGAAACATTACATCCGCCTTCATCGAGCGCGAGGAATAGGAGCCTGATGATTAGTGTTCCAGAAAGTGGAATGTCCGAAGAGAATGAATCAGAACGCGAAGACGATACTCCACACCTGGGATCACGTATAAGGTATATACTTATCGGCATCGATTACGGAACAACTTTCACTTCAATCTCCTATTTCACTTACTTCGATGGAGAGGCCGTCACAACGATTTACCCGAGTGACATCGCAACAATCTCGAACTGGCCTGAAGATCCTATGCGCGGACTGAACCTGCATGTACCGACGGAGCAATGGTATTCTTCCATCCCAATAAACCGCAGTCCGACCACAGGAAGGATTGAACCTGATCCAGAGGTCGACGGGTTTAGCTCCAGCTCCGAAGAAGAGAACGAGAACGAACCGTCCCGCTTACGAAGATCGCCGGCGCCGAGGCCGGATCAAAGACTTTCACAAATATTGGATAGCTCTAGCGCAGATGATGACAGCAGTCCGGATTTGCTCTGGGGATTTCAGTGTCCATACCAGCGATACATCGCTCATACAACTCGTGATTATCGACGCCATGTAGACAGAGTTAAGCTGATGTTGCTCAACACCGAGCATACCAAAAAGGGCAGAGAGGAACTTCAACCTGTATTCGAGGACCTCATTGAAAATCAGCTGGTTCGCAACAACGGGATACAGAGACCTGATCTAGATTGTGAACTTGTCCAAGACATGATCACCGACTACCTAGCCAAAATTTTTCAACACACGAGGCAAGAGTTGATCGCTCGTGGAGAGTACGACAACAAATCTTGTGTCAAATTTGCGTTGACAGTTCCGGTAATGTTTTCGAAGATATCCTCCTTGGTTCTACAATGGGCATTGGGAGAAGCCATCAGGGTGACTGGGTTCGGGACGTTAACGAACAGAAATGTCGACAACCTCTTTTTGGTGACTGAACCAAAAGCTGCCGCAACATTCCTGCTAGGAAGTTCCAAAGATCTAACTGTATGTCGCATATGAGTTTTATGAGCCTCAAACATACTGATCTGCGTAGGCTGGCGCGACCTTTGTCGTGTGCGACTGTGGCGGTGGAACGGTAGACGCTTCGACATTTAGCGTGGCTAGGTCGCAGCCGTTAAGACTGGGAGAGGAGGTGTGTCCGCCTGCCGGTAAGTGAGTCCACATCTGTAACTTGTAGTCTTACCTAATCAAAAATAGGTGATAATTGTGGCGCTAGCTACTTGAATGAAAACTTCCGCCGATTGATGCTTGAAAAGCTCAGAGATGAAGCCGAGCACTTCGAGAGAAACGGCAACACCATTGAATCGCTTGTTGACGCTCAAATGCCCAACTTTGAAGATCACTTGAAGCGCAATAGGGATATATATAAAAACCCAAGCGCCAGAATATACATACCAGGGCTTCGTGGCGACAAACGACAAGGACGCGAGGGACAGGACGCTAAAGGATTTGACGACAATTATGTTTGGCTCTATCAGTGAGTAATATATCACAGAATATCTGCACTGAGAGTGACAATTTCTGGCAGGAATGATTTCCATCAAATTTTCTTTCCGCTTTTGGATCGTGTCGCTCGTGTCATTCAAGGTCAACTCGAGGCAGCAATAGCTCTTGGGAAGGAAGTCAAAGTACGAACCAAGCAGCCTATCTCCTCGTACTATTGCTGATTCGGTCTAGCACGTCTTTCTTACTGGTGGCTTCGGTGCTTCGCTCTCGCTGCAGAGCCATCTTCAGAAATTTCTTGCCAAATTTGCCGAGGAGGTCGGCTTGTCATACGAAATTGATTTGGTCTTACCCCGTCATGACCAAGATTAGTAAGTTACTGAGATAAAATTAGGAAGAGTTCACTGACGACATGGGAAGCATCACTGCGGTTTCTTCCGGGGCCGTGCTGTTGACCAGAAATCCGGAAGATGGAATTCCACGGCTCGCGGAAACAACATATGGGTTTCTGACGAAGCAGTTGTATGAGCCTGATTGGGTTGGGCATACCAATGGCAAACCTGTCTTATGTCCACTAGAGGCATGCTTGATGATTGAGGTGATCGATAATTTTCTGGAGCAGGTCAGTCAAAGTTGGAAGTCATATGAATGCTTTGCTTTAACTTTGATAGGGAGACATCCTGGACTCTAAACACAAGTGGAAACCACTTACAAGAACTCACCATTTCCCAGTTGATGATAAGACTCTCCTATGTGAGGAAGTGTTATATGTATCTGATACAACCAGCTCTTCTGAGTATCACCTCAACCACGAGCAGAATAAAAGTAGGCCATTTTCATCGTTGCTTCCGCAGAATACTAAAATGTCGTTCCAGATGCTCAGCCTGCGGGAAACTTCTTCGTTGACTTCACCAAGTTGCGCAATCAGGGAAAGATTCGACCAAAAGGAGCGGGCCGAGGTCAAAAAGGGAAGGGTAAGGCACGGTACGAGATAACCTACGACCTGATCCTTCTTGTTGATGGAAGAAATCTGAAGATCGAAGTCAGATATCCATCAGGACAGTATGGTAAGATAGTAAAGGTCGCGCAAATCTGTATCGCCGCTTCTTTCAAGCCGGGGACATCGTGAAAAGAGGCATTCGTGGAAATATTTTGTAAATGTGGGACGCGTTTGGCGGCTTAGGTGCAGACTTTACAACCCTCAAGCTGGCGCATAAATATCAAAGCTGTCGTACAAGAAATGAAATTATTGCTGAATACGGTGGAGAGCCTTGAACTTCGATGAGTGAGGTATCAAATGAACGTTGCGATGTCGAAATGAAGCTTTAGCGTTTCTCGGTTACTGCTTCAGCTAGACCTATTTGGGCTATGGCGGCAACCGCTTCCCCTTTTCGGACGACACTCTCACTGAGGTCTTAGGGAGGCTTTTCAATTTCAGTGCACAAATAATAAACAGATAAGTTACGGGACCGAAAAACGCGAATATATGAAATGAGTCTACAGTCGTTGTATCAACTGAGCCTGCTGCAGTGGGTTTGGAGTAGCAACAGCCTCCTGAACAACTCGGCCAGAAGAACTAGATGCTTGAATAGCTTCAAGAATAAGTTTATTTTCTTATTTTGAAACACACTATTACGACCCTTGTTTGGCCTAGGATGAAAATGTCCGCCATGCAGGTGAACGTCGTCAGATCCTCGTGCGTACCCATTTGCAAAACAGCGAACTTTTCCCCCACGTACTTGCTGATGCCCTTAGTAGAATTGAAAAATGAGCCTTAAAGCTGGGAAGCATCCTCTGTTCTTGGAAAGTACAAGTGGGAGTGGCGCTGTTGCCTAGAATCTCTGAATACTACTTGAGTTTCGCATTTCTAGGTCCCACTTTCCTTTGCTCCTTCTGAGTTGTTAATGTGCCAATTCTCTTTCTTTTGTCATACAAAGAGCCTGGAATCTGCATTCACAGAAGGATTACATTGAAAGTATGAGCTCCAGAGCTATCTTAAAGACAGACACCCGTTCCATAGAAAATAAAATTGGACATTTTGGCAGGTCAAAGACAGGATCACAAAGCGCAATATAGAGCAGAAATAGAAGTTTCAACCTTGGATTGCGTAGTCAGAAAGTCATCAAAGGCATGTCTAGAAGTCATTTTCCTACGTACTCTAAAGCCAAATGAATACCTTTATGTATCAAAGAATGGCACACGCTGAATGTATCAACATATAAGGATCCCAATGCTCCGTCAACTATCCCAATGTTCATCAGAATTCAAAATGTCGAAGCATGATGAGGCTCATCCACCAAATCAACCTGGACCTGCTGTCTGGGCCCACCTCGAAGGAGATAATCTCATATCATTTGCCAAGATGACGCTGAACGACAGACCAGATCAGATTGCGGATACCGATACCAACTCCGAGAAATCCAAAAGCTTGGTAGCGCTCGGAGGACCTTCTCTGCAACCCAAATCCGAAGCTATCAACCTCCATTCCATTGAAGATCAACTCGAGCGCTTCCTCTTGCCTCTCACAGGTGCCAAGGAGATCGCGACTAAGATAATCAAGGAAAGCCAAAACGCGTTGTTCATTCATCGACAACAATTCGAAAAGGTTTGGCGGCGATCAGCAGCATGTGATTGCAAGGCATTTGAGGGTTTTGCACCGGATGATCAAGACGAAGATGACTGGGCACTCTTTGAGGGAGATGTCTTGCTGCATGTGAATGAGTTGAACAGCATCCTCAATGGCTTAGCAGTGACGATCAAGCGAGATGTGGGAGACATCCTGGTGAAGAAAGCGAAAGCATATCTGGAGGCCCGAGACGATTTTGAGGCTGAAATGAAGAAAATGTAGCAGCTCTCTGGATGAGTAGTAGACGTAAGATGTCGTATTGTGGTGGAGTAAGGTTCGCTGTTTGGGAGTTCAGGGTCTAGGCATCTGGAATCGGGCTACTTGGAAGCGCTACTTGATTTCTTAAGTCAGGGATTGAAGAGATGCATATGGATTGATCTTGAGTTGAGGTAGTTCCGTGAGTGGCAAATGCGGCTCAGCAGCGGAGCTGGTGCATGCTTTCAACAGGAGCGAATTAGTTGGTTTACTTTGCCAAATCGCCAACGGCATTTAAAACTTCAGCTTTCTTCATAATTGTCTTTTGACTTGTGCTTCACTACATTACTCGAGAACTCGGTTCGTTTCTATTACATATCCCCAAATATGGAAAAGATCACCAAATATACTCCTTCAAGCGGCGCCGTTATGGAGTGAAGACTTACATGGCTTATGACCAACCTTTCCTCTCCCATCTCCTTGTAAAAGAACGTTTCTCGAAGCCCACGATATTGTACTGATGCACTGTGGCCCGCTAATATCAATCTATTATTCTTCTATCATTTTTATATCCTTTTCTGTAAGAGCAGTGGGGCAGTGGTGGCACGAGAAGTTGAGGTGCATCAGGCAATAGCGCAGTGAGATGGGCTGGTTGGGATTCTTTGTGCGGTGGAAGATTAAAGTGGAGCGATGAGATAAAAAGGATGTAAAGATACCAGGAAGGTGCAATGGCTCTAAGAGAGAAATTTTTTGAATATGTATGGAAGGTTTATAGGACAATATGAGTGGAAAAAGGCCCAAGTGGGGATCAAGAGTTGTGGGATGAAGTGGTGTAAGAACAGCACGAATACAGCTCGATATGTTATGTTGAAGAGGCTATGATTGTAATTTCAGATTTAGCTTGTCCCCGAAATTCTAGGACAATACTATACCAAACTCCCTTTCTGGGGTATTCTAGGCTTTCCAAAAGATTAGAAAATCGCTTTGCCCCGCATCAATAGCACAGAGGAGGCATAGCACATGAAAAGAACCATTTCTTTCAGTACGTTGCCGTTTCTTCTCTGGTCCAAAATTACTATTTAAGCAATTTTTTACTTCTTATGATGTCTCCTCACATTGAACTTGCCTCAACATGGCTTCCCAGAGTCCAGAGCTACCGAGCCCGACAGTATCGACATCAAAGCAAGAGTCGAACCACCAACATCCAAGCGTTGTGCATCAGACAGCACATTCTACCGGAGAGGCGATGGCTGAGGAGAATGTGGAGGGCGAGGAGCCTACATTGACTGATCAACCTCTCAACGATGGGAACGAAAAACCGGATGATGGTGCCTGCAGCGATTACACTACAGCTGATCAGCAACGGACAGAAGACATTACATCAGACGAGATAGAGACTACATCAGATATTGTGAGACAAGCACGCCGAACAGCGGACTCGTTAGATCGTGACTGGGAGACGATAATACGAGTTTGTATTGATTTGGCAGAAGCCCTAGCAGGGACTATTGACGTCGATCAAATGAGGAAGAACAAAGATGTTTTGATAAACGAGATGAGGGGCTTCACAAGAAGAATTGAGTTCCTGCTCCAATGTGTGGAAATTCTTGACGCTTCTCGTGAAGAGCTTCTAGAAAATGTTGAGAGAGGGTCAAAGTTCCTGCAGAGTTTGAGCGAAACATCCGAAACGAGCCAAGCGGCGAGATTCTCGATGGTTAGGGAGTTGATAGAGAAGAGGAAAAGCTGAACTGCTCACAGCAGATGGAAGTGTAGCAATTACGTCCCCTTAGATTGTATCATAATGAAACAAATGCATTGAGCTCATGCGGAAGAAGTTCAGTGGTTCAGTATCTTCTTGAAAACTGTCATTAGTGGGTACGGTCGGTCATGAGTTTTGATCACTATGTAGATTCATTTGAGCTATCAGAGCCAAAATTTCTCCTAGGGACACACATTTCAACCGAAGTGATCTCTAAAGTTAACTTGAAGCACACATCCCCAGATATTATTATTTTAAACGACAATGCCATTTTACCATTCTACCAATTCAAAGAGGTGCAGCATCATGTTCGAATCCACAGATAAACAGAAATGCTCGCAACGCGACGAACGAATACTTTAATCCTCCTCCCAGCAGCGCTCTCGATGGGTGGGTTGGGCCGTTTTTGGCCCTGAACCGTCACCAACCCGTACTAGTACGGGTTGCAAAATAGTGAAACCAAACCTAATAAGGTCTAGACAGTTCTAGCCGGTTTGAACTGCCAAGACAAAAAAAAGCTATCAATAGTATATATTCAACCTCAGGCTTCAAATATTTAAGGTTTTCAAGCTCTAAGGTACTCCTATCTCCCCTAAGCTCCCTTGATTTCTACTATCCTTAAGCTCTCCCAATAGTAGATGGGCAGACGGTTCTTGACAGTTTCAAAGAGGCTGGAACCGTTACGGACCAATAGGCTAACGGTTCTGTAGAATCCATAATCATAACCGGTCTAGACGGGTGGGTCTTGTCGGGCACGCTAAAACGGAACACCCATCGAGAGCGCTGCCTCCCAGTACTGCAATGATTCTAAAGGGCTCACATCGGTGACTAGAAACGGGCCGAGCGCCGATAAATGCACTGGAAGCTGCAGAAAGAGATGAAATGACTAGGATAACAAGATCGATTCGGAAAATCTGGGCGAGCAAGCGCGAAAAAAAAAAGCGCAATTTGCGCGAAACGCGCCGAAAGCGGTGCTTGAGAGATGGATGTAGACAATTGCCCTTGAATCCACCGGTGACGAGCACCTATTCAGAAATAAGCACTGAAAAGATGAGAGACAGGACGACATAGGTTTTAGGTGATTGTACTAATTGATCTGGTACTTCCGTGGCCCTAAATGTTCGTGACGACACCTCTTGTTGGGCGTGGCTCTCCTCACCAAACTTCAGAAAAGACTAAACAAGTTGCTCCGGAATCACACAAGCATAAGTACAGTGTGCCCTAAAAGACACCAACAATCCAGCACATCAACTTTAGAAAGCAATATTCCACCACTTCTTCCACCACGGCCACGTCGCTTGAATCGCCCTCTCCTCCGCCAAGATCGCCGGCAAATCCATCTCCCTCCTCCCACTCGTGACATCAATATCCCTCAACTTCTTGAACTTCGTCTTCTTCACCACCTTAAACACTACATAAAACAGAATAACAATCGGCATCGCGAGATACGCCTCGAAGAAGCCCTGCGCAATTTCCGACGGAGTGTCTGAAGCATAGCCCACTGGCCATACCGCAGTCCAGAATTGTGCTATTAGGATTAAAATGTTCATTATGAGGCCGATCCAAGAGCCGTAGTAGCCTGGTTGAGAGGTGAATGCTAGTTCGGAGAGTGTGTGGCCGTTGTATTTCCATGCGTGGCGGAAGCGGATGTGGCAAGCACAGATAGAAGCCCAGGTGAAAATCGAGCTGAGACCAGAGATAGCTAGCATCCAGTTAAAAGCTTGAGTTCTCGTAGCTGTGCCGGCCGCGACGATGAAGCAGAGGAGACCAATGGTTGAGGCGACGATGATGGAGACCAGCGGACGGCCAGTGTTGTCGATGTAGCCGAGAATTTTAGGGGCTTGGCCGCGGTCTGCGAGAGCGGCCATCGTACGAGAGGAGCCGTAGACGGAGGAGTTGCCTACGCTTAGGACAGCGATGAGGATTACGACGTTCATGATTGAAGGCACCACTGAAATTCCGGCATTCTTGACGGCGATAACGAAGGGTGAGGCATTAGCATCTTGGCTTCCGGTACCATTCAAGAGGTCTGCGTCGTTGTATGGAACCAAACAGCCGACGATGGTAAGTGACACCATATAGAACTAGATCTATCAGCGTCTACACCGTCACGAGAGATGACAGACCTTACCAAAGTAATACGCCAAAACACCTGCTTAACAGCTTTTGGCAACGACTTGCGGGGATTCTCCGTCTCCGCAGCAGTCAACCCCACCAACTCAGTTCCACCAAACGAGAAAGCAGCAGTCACGAAAACCGAGCAAAGGCCCTTAAACCCATGATTGAATGCCCCAGGATCATACCAATAATGCGCTCCAAGGTAGCCTTGCGGACTGCCTGGTACGCCTCCTGCCGCGATGATAATGCCGAGAAGAATAAAGCCTATGACTGCAATGACTTTGATGATAGAGAAGACAAATTCTGCTTCTCCATAGCCGCGTACGCCGAAGAAGTTGATAGCGACAATCACAACCCAGAATATGACGACGAAAGCCGCGGGACTGACGTCCTTTGCACCAGGCCAGAAGGAGACCGTGATTGAAGCTGCCGTGAGTTCAAGAGGGAGAGTGACAAGCCAATTGAGGGCATAACTACAGACAAGACGATAGTCAGAAAACTACAATCATAGAGACACGTGTTGATAGAGTGGGGAGAATGACTTACTTCCAGCCCATAGCAAAACCCCAAGCAGGATCAATAAACCGACTCGAATAAACCGAGAAAGCACCCGCAATCGGAAACGCAACAGCCAATTCACCTAGCGCGTGGACCGTACAGTATAACATAACACCAATCAGACCATATGCAATTATGAGTGAGGCCGGGCCACCAGTAGCTAGGGCCGACCCGGAACCGACAAAGAGACCCGTGCCTGTCAGATTTCAGTCAGTATCGTAAACAATAATGATTGGAGGAAAACATACCAATGGAACCCCCAATAGCAATCATCTGCAGATGCCTGGGTTTAAGCTTCATAGCCAACGCGGGTTCAGCAGGCGGTTGATCAGCCAGTGGACGGCCTTCAATATCAGTTGCTTCCGTAACAACTCTCGCATTTGGGTTTCGCTTGAAGCTTTCCAGCGTAAAGGCAGAGAAGAAGCCATCGTGGTGTGTCGTTACGCTGCCTCGTCGAATTTGGGCTTCTTTGTCGTATCCAGGTGGAGATGTCTCGTCTGAGCGCTTTTCGCTTTTGTAAGCTATTTTCTCGACGTCGTCATGGAGAGCTAGGTCTGCATCCGCCATCTTGCTGGATGTTTGTGTGATTTGGTAGGCAAGATGTGCGGACAAGAAGAATAGAGTAAAGGGTAGGAAATAAAATCTAGGGTCCTTCTTTTCTAGGTATGGCTACAAGGGGGAAAACAGACTTTAAGGAAGAAGCACGAGACCACCTGCCAAGAAACCTTAAACTATAACCAAAGTCTGATAAGAAGCTTGGTGCCATGCCGCCTGCGGGACGCATGTCTGATCCGCTTCGAATGTCAATGAAAGAAGTAACAAAAGAAGCTTAATGTTCGCCAATGACGACGAGATTGAAGGTGAAAAGATAAGATGTGAGGGGGATTTGATAGTGTCTCGCTTCCTGATTCGGCAATTCGAGCCAAGAAATATAGTTGCGGCAGACTAGCAAGGAGAAACAAGCGCCACATACGAGATATTCCCGCCTTATGGTAGATTATTGTCGGTATAAGTGTGGGGGAATAGAGATTTCACTCGGTACCACCGAACGCCTCAGATCTAAGAAAAATGATCAAAGCTTTAGGAGATCGGCCGTTAAATTACTCGCTGGAAACCCTTTTTCTCCTCCTTTCTTCTTTATCTTAAGCAAAGCTTCAGTCATAAAAATGAGATAGGGTGAGCATCCTGGCCAATCCTATTAGTGTTCAATTTTTCTGTCCGCGTCCAACGATGGTCCAGGTTTGCAGTTGCGCACGTGATATTTAAGACTAGCTCCCTCATGCTTTTTACCCAGAGATGAGCATGGGTAAAATATATCTCTTTGACCCTTCGGATCTTTAAAGCAACAAGGAAGCTTCGGGAGGCGCAAAGTATTAAGAACCGGAAAAACCATGCTTCCGAGATGGACTCACGTGACACTCAATCTTCTGAAGGCCTCAGCGAAGAGACTGCTCCTAAGGCGAGACTTAGGAACATGCTGTTCAATGCTGATAAGTTATAGAATGCTAAAATTAATACGAATCAAAAGAAACAACAAATACGGTTCGAGAAAAAACACTTAAGCCGAGTAGAGATAACTAAAAACCAGCAAGAAGTCCCTAGGACTCAACACTTTAACAGTCGCTTTAAAGACTCAAAGACGCATGAATTATCAGCCAGGATAATGACATGAAAACAATACCACGTCTTCGGATTCGAACATCAGAACAACACATCTCACTTAGTAAAGACAACGAGCCCATAAATCTAAACCTAAGTCCACCCTCAACCACACTTCCCAACTAGATCTCCATGGCCACCATATCCACGACAGCCCCTCCTGAGTGCGGGTCCACACCCTCCTCAAAACCATCAAAACCTACCAGCCGAATATCTTCAAAATGCTCCTGGACGAGCACCAACACCTCCGAGGTCAGGTGGAGAAGAACAAGGCGGGGACAAATGGTATAGTTGAGGCAATCAAGGTGTTTGTGGCGCGTTAGCAGGGGAGGGGAAATAGATTGTGTGATGCGACTGGGGACGATTGGGGGTTGGAGGAGGTGGATCAGGAGGAGAATGATGGGGAAAAGAAGAGGATTGTAGACTCCAAGGGAACGCAAGGTAATGGCAGTGATGGGAAATAGAATGCAAGAACTGGTGAAGTAACGTATGAATTTTGCGAAAGAAAGATATGCTTCCAAAGGATACGACCGGCTTCTGCTCAGTTGAAAATGAACCAGCTGCTGTAAGATGTGTATAATTGGTAGACAACCGAACAGAAAGCGTTTCATTCGCCGCCCAAGAGAAAAAAAGAGAGAGGAAAGCCACTCAGCGCATAATCGGAGGAAACTTCCCCACCAATGAAGAAATACAATGAGACAAAACCCAATCCAAGTATTACAATTGGGCGATAACAGAATGCAAAATTTCTCGACCACATCTGAAGAGCAGACGGGGAGATGGAGGTGATTTATGTATTATTTCGGGGTATATCCACCACCATATGCACAATCTGCCATATATGCCGTAATGCCATAAAAACAATCTCCCAATCCTATCAACACACACCTCTTCTCTTCCCATACTCTATTTCGACTTAACCTCCTCCAACCTCAAGTCATTGACCGTCATATACCGACTCAAACTTATCCATCCATAGCGAAACCACTTCATCTGGCTCACATGTGCACTCGTCATCGCCTTCCACGCAACACCATATTCCTGCGGTCCACTCAAAAACATCAAGGGACTTGGATGCTCCCCCATTTTCTTCTTCCCTACCATCATCACCAGTAGACTCACCATACTATCCAAGAACCCAGAGTATTTTCGCACCAAAGGAACGGTGGTAAGAGTATATAGATCCACCGGGCTAGCCCACCCAGGGCGATTGTGTATTAAGCTTGCGATGAAATGACGTGCACCGTGGTACAGTGAGATATGGTTCGGGTGAGAGGAGATACCATGCGAATCGAAGGTAATGAGAACGTCGATTGTCGCGGTGGGGGCGTCGATGGATTTGTTCTTCATTGGTTTGGAGAGATTAGGCGCGAAAGCCGAGGAGAGGAGGGTGGCTATTTTCGTTTTATCCCATGTTGTCGTCATGCTATCTTGGAACTCCCTGAACCACGGACAATTAGCTCCCGCATGTGGCAGAGGGGGAGGGGAGGGGTGCTTACGGGCTCTCGACGACAAATACGTCGTCTTCTTGCCGCAGACCGAGAGCCAGTCCGCTCTTGATCAATTCTTTCTTTCGAGTCTCTCCCAATCCATCTGCATTGCCTATGAAGTATTAGGGTATCCGTCGCGGAACGGGGCGAAAGAGGGGTAAAGCCTACCACTACTCAAACACAACATCTTAACATGATTGCCCAGACTGGGCTCCGTCAGAGCCAATACTGTCGGCGCAAAGAACATAGCCTCGTCATCCGGATGCGCAATCAGGAGACATATCCTCTTGTTCCGCAGCTTGGGGAACTTGACCCGCGCAACGTGCACCGTGTATAACCAGCACGCGACGATGACGACCGGTAGCAGGGACACGGTGAGCCATTGCATGGTGCCAATGCGGGATCCACTGTCGTGTGTATCGTGAGGCTCAACTGAACTGCTGTATGTTTTGAATAGAGAGTGGTCGCGTGTTCGTTGTTGAGAATGTAATATGGCTATGGATCTGATCTGGATAAGAGTTCAGATAGGAGAAGCCACCTTGCGCATTGAAGAAGTTCCAGGCCAAGTGCAAGGTTCCTTCCTTCCGTTTCTCGGGTGCGAAATTGGAGATGGGATGGGGCTGAGTGAGGGGAGTTTAACCTTAAACAGTTAAGAGAGAGAATTTAGACTTTCCGCGCTAAACTTTTTGACGGGCCGGGATTAATTCTGCGGACGCGACCAAGCGGCGGCCATTGTTTTTAAAGTTGCACCACAGACGCAGGTGAGATTCGATCCGAATCCTTCATAAAGCTTATTCCCACTTTCAATGAGACAACAATTGACACGAAGAGCTTTGCAGTGCTGTGATTGTATGACAGGAAGTGTTTGATGGCATCCAGGACCACGTTGATGGGATGAGATGAGACATTGGGAAGACTCGGGAATATCGGACGAAGAACATAACGACTGACAACCCACGAAAATGGCACGACAACGCAAAGAAAAGGATGTGAAGATCAAGCTCAAACAACCCGATCGATCAGGACCAGACCCTTCCCAACAGACGCTTCTCGATATCGCAGAGAAGCGTGGATTGTTGAAGATTCCAGTAGGAGAAGATGAAGAAGAGAGGGAAGGACTAGATGAAAATGGAGAACCCTTGATCGGCAGGCTCGGAGAATCGGTGTTATGGAGCATCAGCTTGACAATGCTCCACTTCACTCTCGATGTTCTGGTTGCACATCAATATGCCGTTGAGATTAAATGGAATGCCATTGTCAACCGTTCTGCACAGGCATTTCCCAGTACGTCCTCCAAATTCTTCTTTCGACTCACAGCTAACGGTATCTAGTTATCCTTCTCCTGATCTATTCCCTCCATTCTCATCCCACTCCCTCACCTCTTCTACCGACCCTCCCTACTCGAATACAACCCCTCGTACACCAACTGTTCTTCTTCGCAGGCAGTGTGGCAGCAGGGTGCTATTTGATATATATCACGAACGTGCATTCATACTATGCAGTCATGAAACAATCCCCCCCTCTAGGATGTCTCTGGATCTGGTCTGTCATAGAATTGAATGTGTTTTGGGCGACTGGGAGTTTGATATGCTGTGGTATATTCCTGAAGTTTGGTGGCTATAGCTTCCTATAAAACATAATACGACATAGTCACAACATATCCTTCGCCTTGCTCTGGATGATTCGGAAGGGATGATACCATGTGATGATTCTGAGCATCTCCAACATCTGCTAATCCCCAATACCAGTACGTACAATATGATCCTATGCTAGTTTCTTGCCTTTCAATTATTTTACTTGAACCTGAAGAGGAGACAACTTATGACGCTTTAAAGTGCTTAATTGTAGATGGACATTAAATCTTCGCACAAATTTTGTGTACTCTCTTCAAATTCAAGCACCAGGTCTCATATTTCTGTCATTTTATGCAGCTACGCCATAACTATGCATAAGATCTGCACTATTCCTCTTCAAGCTAGGTTAATCTGCATAAATTTCGTCTATTCCCCCCTTTTTCACAAAGCTGGGGAGAAAGATAAACTCCATGAGGCACTTAGATATTTTCACTTTGATGCAGACATTGTCACAGGGAGAATAAAGTTTTGCTTGAAGGTCTTTGATTATGCTCAGTTCTAATGTGCACAAACTGAAGGTGAACCGCGAAATACATCCAAAGATCAGCTTAGTTCTCGAATGTCCCAGCAGTGGTGACGACTTACCAGGTCCGCAAAGCGCTCACAAGAGAAAGAGAAATGACCATATCTATCCAGGCCCGTCGCAATGTCCCATCCTATCCTATCACATCGAAAGACCAAAATGTCCTGCCGCAAGGAAAGAACTGAAGTCGAAATCAGCCTCGAAAGCATAATATCCACAATTCTAGAGCAAAAACGTCAGTAAAATAGACAGACATCAAGCAGATCGACCTACCAGTCTCGCAGCTCGCACAATCTTGTAACCACTCAGCGCTTGGCTCTCCATTCCTCGACTTCCTTAACAGCAGCCTTCATGTATTCGTCGGCACAAACGCGGCAGCGAAAGTCGAGCGACTCATCATCATTCGTATGATCCCGGCAATGTTGAACATTTGTTGAGCGACCCAGGATATCGTTGGCTTTGCAGGTCTCGTGAGAGGTAGCGGTGTGGCCGCAAAGCGAGAAGGTCATGTGGATGGTTCTGCACATGGCGATGGCGAGGGGGTTGTGATAGTGTGTAGATGTGTGGCGAAGGAGGTTTGTGTAGACGCGGAGCGCAAGTCGCGTGATGCTGAAGGACAAGAGGAGTGAAGCTGACGCGTATGCTGTGCTGGAGGAACTTGCCCGGTCGAATGTCGTTGTCGAAGATGTCGGGTTACAAGAGACTGAGATGATGTACAGTGTTTGAAAGGTTGGAGATAGATCAAGCAGCTTCCGCGCGAAGTCTTTTGTTGTTGTTGTCTGGAGAAGAAAAAAGAATGGCGAAGCAAGATCGGTGGGCTGTATATATAGAGCGAATAGTACGCTAGTCGAGTTTGGCTCGTTTGGCTCGTTTGGCTCTTCGTTCAAATACAGTGAATACGATTGGTTATCGAAGCTTAAATATTGATAAGAATAGGAAGGTGCGATGCAAGAGTTAGTTTGTCCGGCTCTTTTTCACGACTTCTCCATCCGTGAATTCTTTTCTCAGAACAACAATACTGGAAGTACACACATACTAGGTCCCCAAAATAGTACTAAAGAAGAGCTAGAACGTCCAGCTTTAAGTCGCAAATGTAAGGTAAGAAGGATAAAGGGCGCGCAACGATGTGAAGTCCTCTCTATCTCAAAGAGACTGCTTTTGCTATTCATACAACTTTACACTGTTACAGACACTGGGACAACATGATTTTATCTTCCAATTACAGTATTGCTATAGAAGTGGTGGTCGTAGGAAAGGAGGTGGCTGTGTTCCTATGATTGGTTGGCTTTCTTGGTATACCTAGGTACATTAGTCAGCAGAATCTCGACTTCCTTGTTTGGTTGTTGTGCTTACGTGCTTGTGTGAAACGTCGGCGGACTGAATCAAGGCAAGATTGCGTGTCTCTTTCTCCTTTGATATTTTATATCTGAAAAGTGGATTATGCCCTCAACGCCCGAACCGCCAGCTCCCGCGGCAGCAGCCAGCTCCAGATGTCGCCTTTGTGGAAAATCTTTCCAAAACAGTAGCTTATCTTGCCTTCGACGTAATTCTCGTACTGACATAGATCATTGCAGAAGCTTCTACCGGGAGACATGAGCGCTATTGCCGGAACAGGCGCGCGTGCCCACCTCCGCCGCGGCGAAAGTCATGCCTGCATTGCATCCGCGCCAAGTCTCGGTGCGATTCGTGTGTCCCAACTTGTGAGCCATGTCAAAGGAGAGGGAAGAGCTGTATTTACACGAGTGAGTCTCTATCACCTACAGCAAGGGAAGGGCAGTCTCGTCTTTCAGCAACTCGGTCGAAGCCTCAAAACCAGGCCCCTAGGTCGCTCGTGGCTCCTCGAGAGCTTTCACAAGGCGCCTCTTTGAGATCTGGCCTGTTCATTACGTTTGAAGCATGTCCGTCGAGTGTAGCACCAAGAACATCTACCCCTTTGTCATCAGAGATGAGGGAATTTACCTCTACGAAGCATGGAGAAGCATCAGATGGCGCGTCGGGACAGCTAGGCATGCCGTTCACAACGGGATCTTCAGAGCTGCGCCCCTCCTTCTCTTCTCATTTACTTCGTCCCAAGAGACGGAAAACTGGTCAGATGGAGCTTATCAGTAAGCTCATATCTCAAATGCTACGGTCATTTCCTGAGAGACGAATGAACGAGGTCTCTTGTCCACCATTCATTCATCGCTCGGCATTCCAACGGTCCAGCTCAGAGAATCCAATCATAATCTGTCAAAGTATCACTCGACAGTTTTCTGCGCGCGAAATTCACGAGGACGCTTCTCTCTGGGATGCCATTGCTTCCGAGCAAGAGAGAATCTATGACCTACGCGGATCATTAGATAGGTCGCTGCACCTTGCGTCAGCGCAAGCTATAACGATGTACCTTCTCATGCTAGCCACAGAAGCCGAGAGTGTGCTGACTCATCATCCACATGCTTCGGTCACATTATTGTTTACCTTAGGGCGGTTTTCAAGGTACTCAATCAAATACATCCCGGTTTTGTGACTGTCGAACAATCAAGCGGAAGCAGACCGACATGGGACGATTGGATCTTTGCCGAATCCAAATTGCGAACCGCAATCGTCTACTTCATTCTCGCACTCCATTTCGATGTCGATTTTGGGCTTCCTTGTGATCGTGAGGATGGTTATGACTTTGAAGACGTGGACCTTCCTGCTGCGAAAATACTTTGGGAGGCCAGAGATGAGACATCATGGAGTAGAGAGTTTGATTTGATAGCCCAAGATCGAGAAAGTATCATTTCGAATCGTGCCGGCGAGGAGAGATTGAAATACGGCCATTTATTGCGACATAACAAGCAGCACTGTGGCTATAATGACTCTGTTTACCGTGAGGATGGGTCCAGAATAGCGGACAGAATTGATAAGTGGCAGAGGGAGATCGATGAGTTTGGCATACTCGTTGCTTTATGTAGCACGTTGGTTTGAATAGCACCTCATACTTTCATCATTCGGATCATCCACCAACTAAAGCTATAAGCAAGAGAACACCATAAGAAGTAGGTCACAAAACTTGAGCAAGGCATGGAAGTATCTACAACACAGACTCCCCATTACCAAACTCGAGGCTTTAGAGGCTCCAGCTTTCCATCCTGCCTCAAGAAATCCTTCCACATATCATTCCATAGCCCTTTTCGGAGTTCTTTCCCCACAGATGTACTTATGATCTGAGCACGCCTATTCAGATGGTCAGTATACGTGCTTTTCCATTTCAGCACAATCCAGAAGACAACTCACTCAGTTATCAGATTATCACTCAAGTACTTCCCATGCGACTCCTTCCCCGCAACAGCCAAAGCATAGAGATAAGTCTTCGCACCCTCCTCAACGCTCCTAGCCTTCAGCCCAAAGAATACAGTAAACATCCCTCTCAACCACAGGGGATACTCTCCAAACCCAGTCCTCACCATCCCAGGCGATACATCGTTAACAACCACTTTCCCCGGATCAACATACCCCGCTAACTGCTCAACAAAGATTGTCCCCAGAAGCTTCGAATCAGAGTACCGCCCCATAGACACGAACTTACTCTCATCATCAAAATGCCCCAGCACATTCCCAACATCTTCTATGGGCTTCTTCTCAAGAGTATGATCGAACTGCACAAAACTTCCAACCCACGTAATGCGCGATGGGACACCCGTTATGGTTGCCGTCTTATCCAAGGCGGGCAACAGCTCCACAGCAAGCAAAGCAGGTGATAGGAGATTAACCTGGATCGTCTTCTCGTGCCCCGATTTCGCCGCACGTTCCCACTTCAAGCTCCCCGTCCCGGCATTCAGGAGTAGCATATCCAACTTGCCATCATAGCGCTTCTTGACTTCCTGAGCAAGACTGAGAACACTTGCGTAGTCCTCGAGATCGAGATGCAGAATTGTGATTTTGGCTTGTGGATTTGTCTTTTTCAGTTCGGGGTCGGAGAGGAATTTCGAGGTTGCTTCTTTTGCTTTTGAGATGTTGCGGACGGCGGCGATTACTTCTTTGGCGCCGTGGTGGAGGAGGGCTTTGGTTGCTGCGAGGCCAAGGCCGGCGGAGGCGCCTGTTATTAAGATTGTTTTGTTGTGGAAAGAGAGTGAGGAGGGGAGGGTGAGGTTGGGTTGGAAGTATGGCATTTTCTGAGAGTTTGTGAGAGATAGAAGAAAAGTAAGATTGTTCGAATGTCGAGATGATCGCAGTGTAGGTACTGTAGCTCGAGAATATCAAATATGAAGAGCGTGGAATGGAAAATTGGCAGACTCACCCTCACATATATATGCACTTGAGGTTAATAATTCTTCATTTCTCTGCTGATCCCACGTCATAAATCTGCCTGAAATTATTGTTCATCGCGTTGTTCTCGTACCTCCTGAAGCAGCAGATGATACCATGGAAAAGACATCGGACTTCCGTGTCGCGCCCCAAATAGGTAAAACTTAGGAATTCCGTGTCGCTCACACAGGCATCTCAAAATAGAGCAAATAGAAATACTGGAAAACCAGCTTTAATCTACATCCACATCATTAACAGTCAAGCAGCTCCTTTTTAATTGAGTTTCAGTCAGCGTCAGGAGAAACAGGATCTGGAACAAGTTTTAGCTAAAGCACGTGATATTGTCATAAATCCCATGCTACCGTGCTTATGCAAGCGTCTTCTAGTTCTCGACTTTCAATGTCAGACAGCTGCAGGGTTACAGTTATCTCCCGAAAGTCTGGCAAGTCTGGTAGAACTGGTAGATCTGCGAAGTCTTTCCCGTTCTTCAGTATTCATGATTACTGTTAGACGGGCGATTTGGTTCTTTCTTCATGAACAAATCTATGTATAATGGCTTCTATAATGTTCGGCTTCCAAAATTCCATTCCCATACCAGTAAACTAAATGAAGCTTTAACTCGTAAGTGTATCCGACACTGGCCCTGTAACCCTACTCTTCTGGCTTCGACTACTTGTAGGTCTACTCCGATCCGCACTAGTCGCTCTGCTAGGACTCAATAATAGCCCTTCCCTGCTGTGGTGATCATCCATCTCAACCGGTGTGGGTAGATCACCCATAACCTCATACATCATTGCCCTCCCTCCCAACTCAACGATTTCCGCCACTCTCCTCTGACTCTCCATTCTCCGCGTTGCTGTGAGGTAGTCTTCGTTACCCATATGGTGTGCTTCGGGTAGCTGGTGAATCTCACCGCCGGTTCCTAGTTCGCTGTTGACTATGGACGAAGAGCGGTAGATAGAGGAAGCGGGATCATCCTTCTTGTAGCCTGGTGAAGGCGAACCGGGAGGATAGAGAGACATCTTATCTTCGTCTGCTTTGATTTTGTCGCGTGCTGCTAAAGCGACATCCTCAGTAGGAGTTGTTGATAGAGGTCGCCTCTTCCGCTTGAAGAGGAAGAATGCAAGAATCGCAACTGCGATGATAACGACTATTCCAACGACTATTCCAACAATGACCCCTGTGGACACAGAGTTTGACGAAGTTATGTCGGAACTGGATGGTGATGATGAAGAGTTTGTGTGATACGACGAGGATATGATAGCTGTGAGCTCGGTGGTTGCTGCATCACTCCACAGACACTGGCTGACTGAAAAGTTTCCTTGCTCGTAGTCTACTGTGAGGTATCTGAAGTACTTTAGAATGGCATCTGAATTGCAGAGTAGAAAGACTCACGCTTCTTGCAAGAAGGTTCTTCCCAATGTGTATTGAGTGTCATTGGCAGCGACCTTCAACGGGAAATAATATGTAGCATTCGGAGTGAATGGATAAGTTGCCGAAAGTGCGAATGCGCTGAAGGGAAAAACAATGTTCACTGTCTGACCTCCTGAAAGACTGTCCGCTAACGAGAAGGTGACTTGAGTATCGGAATTTTGAAGTGCTGTGTAGTGAGTACTGTTGATTAGATAGAGTCCTGTTGTATTGTCCCTCGAAAGGCCAAATGCCTTTTCAAAAGCTTCACAGGCAGCTATTGGAAGCCATATGTTTGGATCCGTCGATTCAATGAAGGCGTAGATAGGTGCAGGGAGAAGACTGGCCTGGGTGGTGCCACTGAATGTGATTGATTGGATAGCAACAACTATGTCTCGATTTATGTCTCCAGCCAAAGTAAAAGCTGCTGTATTTGGTGTGAACCTGGATGTATCGTATCCACCAAATATCAACTGGCCATATTGACCATCTTTGAGACCTACTCTCTTGTCAGCACCGAAATGTAAAGTCGTGGATAGCAACTCACGATATTTTGCCCCGGCAGTGTAACTCCAGCTTAGGCTGGGGATTAAATTTTGCGACCTCAAGGTTGTGAAGTACGACGGTGCAGAAGAGTTGCCAATCGTTGAGTAGTTTATTGGCTGTGTCCCTAGACCAAAAATACCCCTGAGAACATATTAACGCTGCTATGACAGAGTAGAACTTAGACTCACATGTAAATTGGTGACGCAGAAGCGATTCCAGCTACAGTTTGACTCTTCAAAGTTGGCCCATTTTGTCCTCCTGCCACAAAGCCCACGCCCACGGTTTCAAGTCCATACTCGGCATTCTGCACATACCCAAAGTTTGCTTCGAATCCGATCCCATCCCCATAGATTCCATACAATCCCTGGTCACTCCAAGTCGTCGATGAATTAGGTGTGAAGAGACCACCTCGAGAGCTTGCACAGTTTGCTGGCAGCGGACTTATTGCTTGTGCTGTACAACCTTCCGATTACACGACGATTGTTTGAGGAGAATTTGTTGAGATGAGCACACGCACATCTTGGGCTGGGGAACCAATTCTCAGCGTGAAGGAAGACCATTGACCGTCGTCGCCATCCCCTGGATTTGCTGTTAGTCCAAATAAAGTAGAGAATAGTAACAGATGGCAAAACAACAAGACTGACAGTATTGACTTGGTGGAACCACAATTGGCGCAGGTATTAGTTCTGTATTATTTCCTCGCCTCCAAAAGAAAGATTCGTCACTGGAGAGAGTGCTTTGGAGACTTTTGACGGCAAGCACCTCCAGCATCAGCCACGTGCTTGCCAAAAGATCGCGAAAACGGTACCGCATAACGAAAAATACTGAGAGCCACGACAAACATTTTGCGGATGATAGAAAGAGAGTTGAGGGTACAGTCTTGCGGGACCACCTACTTCTTTTTCGAGGGACAATCAAAAGACAGCGAGAAAAAGGAGACAGCCACTACTTTCAGGGGCAACTAATGCCAATCTCAAAGCGCGCAGAAAAGTTCGTGTAGAAATTCTACGCCATGCCATGGTCCCGCAGGATTGAACACCCTAGTTTGAGGTGTCGTTTGATTCGGGAAAGTGTGGATACAAAATAGAAATTGGGGGCGACGGCAGAACCGGCTCTGTTACACCCGTTTTCATAGGAATTTTGACCAATTCCGTAGAAGTCTTAGAGTTTTATAGAATTAAAGAATTTCAATAGATTTTTTCCCCATAAAATCCGAAAAAATAAATAAAATTGCCTAATAATTCTGTAGAATTTAGCTAAATTAGGTTTGCCACCCCCTATTCTAAAGCTTAATGTCTCCTAATTGCACTTATTGCCATTACTAGCCTCATTGCATCAATTAGCCTCACCTGCCCTCACTTGCAGTACAGCGTGCTAGTAGAAGGCAGTGCAGTGTAGTGCAGCGCAGTACAGTGCAGTACAGTACAGTGCAACACAGTGTAGTGCAACACAATGTAGTACAGTGCAATATAGTGAAATGCAATGCAGTGCAGTGCAGTGCAATAGTGCGATATAGTACAATGTTGCAGTAGTGCAATAGTTCCTAATTTTATTTTTTATTGAAAAATTACTTGAAAATTCACATGAAAAATGCCATGGAAAAAGTTCACATATCCCACTAGTACATACATGGCAGTCAAACCATCTCCAGCGCTCAGTCAGGACAGTTGCTGGTCGAAATCAAAGGCTTGACAAACACCGTTATAGATTTCGTGCCGAGGCGAAATCATGCACCTGTGCATGCAGGGGAAGTTTTCTATTGTTAATCTCAATCCCTCAGCCCTGCTCTACAGTTCCCACAAGGCAGATTTGCGGCTCTGTATTACGAGGTCAGATGTATAGCAGATGACCCTGGCTTGTTCGCTCTACTCAATTTTGGTAATCTTTTAAGGGGAGTGATTTGAAGGTACGAATACTTCTTCCCTCCAACATTAATCGCACTCCTTTTGCTCATCACTTCGTCTCCTGTCGTTTCTCTCAAGTCATCATGCGGTTGCTCCTTGCTCGCAATGAATTGCTGGCATCGGCCATTTTATTGATGTCGACAATCGATTCGTGCTCTGCAGATGGTATGTCTTCGTTTCCCTTATTCGAATGCGATACTTATCTGTTGCAGTGCTTAGAAGACGCTCAGCGACTTCCGTGCATTCATCTACAAATACGACTTTCATTGCGCCTACAAAATCTAGTTCCACATTAGCGACCGCCGTCTCCTCTTTTCAGACTTCCTCAATGACAGCAGCGGCTGTGTTGAAGTCTTCTACGCTCCCAGCAAATGCCACAAGCCCAATCACCCAAGCTCCACTATGGGGCAATCAGAGCATTCCAAGAAACACATGCTCATCGCTGTCGGGAGATGTCACGGTTTGGAATCCATGCAGCGTGTAATCAACCACTGTGATATTGACATATGGAATGCAGCTGACTCAATTAGTTTCGCTGGAACTGTCCACTTGTCCTACTTTCCCGAAAACAGAGGCAACTGCTCCAACTGTGCGACAGAGTATTACGACCCTACTTTGTCGGTGACCCTGTAAGTAGTTCTCTCCGCCTACTAGTCAATTGATGGGATACTTACAAATGATTGATAACCATCCAGCACGTCTCCATCGGTATATCTTATTGTCAATACGTTGTATGGCTATAACACTTGTGGACCTTTAGGCCCCAATTATGTCAGCCAAGCATTCCCAATGGCTTTGTCGGATGTCTCCACGCTCCCACCATATGCCGATGTATCAGCCACCACTCGAGCTCCAGCGCGTCCTCTGACATTAAGTGATCTGGAGAATTGCCCGTCATGGTCGGTCCTGAAAACGGAAGGTGTTCTAACTGAATCCCATCCCGTGAGCAATGTTTTCAATAGATGCAACCCAAGATTATGGGTGCCAATGGAATTCAGACGAGTTGGCTAGTGAGTTCTGCGACATGCTCTCTACCGTTGATGCTGACGTATTAACAGTCCGTATTGGATGCATTGCGGAAACCGTAACTATGGGGTTGGAGTGTTTGACCCCCCTGGAGCTGTGCCAACAGTGGACTCATTGTTTACCTCGGCCGCTCCTGTACAATATACATCGACTTACAATTCAGCAACCGTCGCTGCTTCTCCTGTACCGGATCAAGCGTCAAGTACTTACACTGCAGCTCAATCCACTGATACGCCTCTACAGATCCTAGCCTCTACCATGGACAGTTCAAGCTCGAGCGTTCTAGATAGTACTACCCAGAACAGCGATAAAATATCTGTTCAAAGCTCGACCCCAATAGCCACACCAATACCAACGTCAAAGTCACCAACCGCCATTGCTATAGTTGGGGCCAACACGGTATCAGCCATCGCTGGCTCCTCCGGTGCCATTCTGCCAGGTGATGAGACAGCCAGCGTCGGCCAAGTTACAACAATAACCGACTCTGCTGGCAGCAAAGCCGTTGTTTCCGTCGGTGCGTCAGGAGTTTACATTGCAGGAACAGATTCCAAAAACACATTCTTTGCGAACCCTACTACTGCGCCCAGCCCAACGTCGACACCGATCACTACGATACAAGGACAGATAATTTCCGCTGGGGCCGGAGACAATTCAGTGGTCATCAAGGGTCAAACAATTACTTCTGAAGGAGAAGTTGTCACATTAGCTGGAACACATGATATAGCGAGTCTGGGTTCGGAGGGTCTTGTGGTCCAGTATTCAGGTGGAGCTATCTCGACGTACTCAATTCCATCATCAACTCCGGCCCTGCAAGGTGGAGCAGCGGTCGCCGGCTACGTCGTTACAGCCACGGTAGGCGCATCAATTGTGGTTATCGGATCTCAGATCGCAAGCCTCGAAGGAGATCCAGTCACGTTGGCAAATAATGATGTTGTTAGCCTGGGAAGTAGTGGCGTTGTCATTCAATCTCCAGGCGGTGCCGTGACTACGGTCGAGCTGCCTAGCAGTATCGAGACAGCGGACGGAGCGTTTACCACCTCGAAGGGGAGGGTTGCTAGTGCCATTGCTTCTAGTAAGTTTAGATGGTTAGCATTGAAGATGTGAATAATAACTTGAATAAAGTCATAGGTGCCACTTCCTCTAAGACTGATATCGGTGGAGGTGTGAAAGCTGGAGTGACTTCGACTTCGAACTCGACTCCACCTTCAACCGCAGCTTCTGCAAATGTGACTGGCCCTATATTTACTGGATCTGGCACGACGACACTACTTCCTGGTTTGTTTTGGGTCATTGCCATAGCCTTGAGTGGAGCACTGGGGATATAAAGACACAATTGTTGGGGATCGAGCTATTGACTTTGGCATATATAATCAACGACACGGAGCTCAGATAGGTTATAGATAAGGCTTTCTTTGCATTGCATCAGTCCTTGCAATAAATCAATCCACCGGCTGTCTCCATCCAATCAAGATCCGATGGAGTCATTCCTTCAAGTTGAAAGAAGCTTATCGATCATCATCCCAAAGTCCGAAAGTTGGCAATAGCATAACTCTAGGATGAAAAGGGGAAATTGCGGAGTGGATGAGCCTTCTCAGCAGGTTGATCTTTTGATTCCTGTTCCTCAGTCCCAAGTTTGCCTGTTACCCCTTGATTCGGAACATTCTTCGTGTCTTCAATCCTGTACACATACTTCACCGCGCTCGCTTTCCCATTTTTGAGATTCTGTAATCCCGTCAAGACACCGTTCAAGCCCCCAGGAATAACCTCATATGGGTGTCCCTTCAATCTCCCATCTTCCAACATTCGAGCGATGTAGCGCGACCAAAGGTACCCAAAGTCTTTGTGGGTAGAGAACACAAGTGGAATAGCGCTGTTGAAAGACTTCGTGCTAGATGGCCACTTGAAGTTCTCCTTATCCCTAGCAAAAAGCTTGGTAGGTAACACGGTACTGACAGTGCCTTCCGGAGCCAGAAATCGAAGCGTTGCCTCCAAAGATCCGTTCTCGCTAATTGCATCAAGGACGTAGTGAATCTTATTGCCTAGGCCTTCCTTTGCAAGGACCTCTTCAACCGCGGCCACGAGCTCGTCTTCACCGTTGCGATAGTCGACCACGTAATCCACCAAAGTCTTCGCATAATCACCGGCGCGCCCCGATATCCCAATGATAGGGCTGAGACCAGAAAGACGAGCAAGCTTTGCCGCAAAAGCACCTACGGCTGAAGTGACGCCGTAGATGAGAAGTGGAATTCTTTCTCCGCCTTCTGCTAAACTCTTGACGGGATAGTAGGGTGGTGGAAGCTTCATGTCGGCGTATAAGGCAATGGCAGCAGTGAGAGCTGCAAGAGGGACAGTCGCGGCTTCTTCGAAGGATACGTGAGGCGGAAGGTGGAAAGTCGCGTAGTCCCGTGTAACCGCGTATTCTGCGAAACTACCATCTGGAGTGAAAAATTCATGGAGAGCTCCTACGCGGTCACCAGGCTTGAACTCATAGACGTCTTTGCCAACAGAATGGATGATTCCGGCAATGTCATCTCCGCTGTTCTGGGGGTTGCCTGTCCTGAACAGATTGTAAGCAAGATTCCTGCCAGAAGTTCGGAGCTGTCGATGATGTGAAATACATACCATACCGGATATTTCCAGTCTTTTGGATTGGTGCCCGAAACAATGACTTTGATGACGATTTGATCATGCTGTGGGGTGGGAATTGGTGTGTCGATTATTTCGACTGCCTCGATAGAACTCTGTACAATCACTTGTTTAGGCATAATGACGAACTCGGAATTTCAAGTGATTGAGATGTCTTGCTTGGTTTCTTTCTTGGTAGCTTCAGGAATTTTTCGTGTTCCGTCAACATATTAGAAACCCGTTCTTAAATATGCGTTTGATAGCTCGGTCTAAACTACCTGTCATTCCGCGGACATCCGCGGACGCTACGAGCGGATGGGCTCAAAGTATTCTACCCAATTTCCTTGCCGACACCTACCGCATTCGATCTGCACGGCCTTAACGCCGACCTATCTCCGATGCTTATATGATAGCGCGGACATCCACGGGTGCTACTTTTCTGCTGTTTCGGGTAGTTCATTGTTTCTATCTCCCACTATATTTACGTATCAAGATGCCAGCGGAGAGAGTCCGTCCAACTCCTGTCTCGTGTCGTTCATGCAGATCGAAGAAGCTGAAATGCAATCGTGTTCAGCCATGCTCCAACTGCACTGCGCGGGGTATTGCGTGCCACTTTTTGGTTGCCCCACAACCACAATCAGACATAACGTCTACGCCGAGGAGCAATGAGGAACTCTTGCGACGCATTGAACAACTGGAATCAAGGGTGCTGAGACAAACAGATTCCACTGAACCTGCCGCTGGCGACAATCTTGCTTCAAGACAGCACCCCCTCAACCCCATCTCAGAAAGCGTCATCGTAGCAAATGACCATCAGAAGAGAGACCGAGACTCGCGAGTGATCGAAAATATCGGGACTAGAGACGATTCACTGGTATGTCACTCATATTCTAGAGACAACCTTCTCGTACTCACAATGAACAGCTGCCTCGTTTGTCCAACAGGGTAGCTTTTAGGATAACTGACACACACCACATCTCGGAGATTGAGAGTGATCTACAGGATCAGTTTTCAGCGTCCAACTATTACGGCGGATTAAACAGCAATATCGTGACCTTCCCAACTTTTCGAGTCGCAAGCCTCCTCATTCAAAACTACGAAGCCAATGTTGACTTCCTATGCCATATATTGCATATTCCAACAGTCAAGTCCCTCGCCAAGACCTTTTACCTTCAATTGAGTCAAAATGAATCCGTACTGCCCGGTCAAGCTGCTTTACTGCTCTCCACTTTCGCAATTTCTGCGTACTTCTACCAGCCATTTGAACGTTCAGAAGTAGCTACTACTAAGGAAGATGGGATTAGGCTGTCGAAATCATTGATCAAAGGTGCTTTGGATGTACTGGATCACTCGCGCCGAAACACTTCAGGCACCTTGGAAGATGTTCAAGCGTATATCCTCATGTCATTCGTAACCTATCATTTGGACGGCTTCTCTGCGAGAGGTAGAATTCTGTTCGCCGCTGCTCTTTCGATAGCCAGGGAGCTTCGTTTACATCAATTGGACGCTGACGAGACCACTCCTGCTGAGAGTGAGACAAGCATCCGAGTCTTGATAGATCGCGAAGTTAAGCGAAGGGTGTTCTGGCAAATAGCCTCAACAGACTGGTACATGATCATCTCTCCCTTGCAGCCAGAAAAGGTATTAATACGTTCACCAGGCTTTTATCATTCATTTCTGGGCCGCAAGAAGGAATGTACTTTATTCATCCCAATCATATAAATGTTCGACTACCCAAGAATTGCGCAGACGAGGACGTCGATTTGAGTGAGGACACCATAGCGATAAATGGTCCTCAACCAACTTCAATGAGCTTCTTCCTCGAACGTCTTCGGCTAGCAAATCTATGTCGTGAAATGACCGATACTGTCCCATTGGAAACATCCAAGCTGATTCAAATGCCATATGAGCAAATTATAGCACTGGACCAAAAGCTCCAGGATTTTCTTTCGAATCTACCATTCTTCTTCAAATTCGACAGCGAAAGCCGCAGAAGAAGCAAGCCGTTCGAAGCCGTCTACCCCAAGATCACTGTCTCGCGGTATTGCATCACATCCGAGGCACATAGCAGGCGATGCAAGCTCCACCAGCGATTCCTCCTACGACAGTCCGTCGATCCTCGATATGCGTACTCGAGACAAGCATGCCTTGAGTCAGCTCGTGCAGCCGTTTCAGGCTTCCTGTACCTCCGAGAGCATGAGTGCACATACGCAAGCTCAGAGTTTATGGGAATAATGTTGCACTTCACGCATCTGGCATTGGTGGTAATGGCTATGGATCTGTGTTTCAATAAAGGTCAACCAGATGAGGCTGAAATAAAATCGGAGTTGAAGATTGCCTTGCAGATGTTTGAAGAGGCCAGAAACTCGTCTGCACTACTAAGCCGATTCTGGTGCTCCCTTAACGAGGTGCTGAGGAAACACAACGTGGATCTGAATCATCCAACGAATTCCGCTGGTAGCAACGATCTCAGGCTAATGCCTGACGGTGGCTATAATTTCCTTACTGTCGACCATATGCAGTATGCCCAGACAGAGATGAATATCGACGACCCAAATTTTACCTTTGATACTTCCTTTGACGACTTTTGGCAGTTTGCGATGCAAGGCGAGTCGAACCCTGATTCGATCACGTGGGACAATTTGTACTCGAGCCTTGACTCGCGACCACTTTGATGCATCGTTCAGAAGTCATGGAAAAGATCATCGCTGGATGATATCGACATCGAATTTAACGATGTACAATGCTTTGTCTCCAGCAAATGTGAAAGTGCTGTGCTCTGCTGCAAAAACTTTCCCCGAACAGACTACTTGTGTCGACCAAAAGCAATTCAGTATTTCTGCACTTCAGCTGCACTTTAGCACTCTATTAGTGCCATACCTTTAGATTCCACAGTCCGCAGTGCGCTTCCCGCCAATTCAAAGCTTCAAGTAGATTTATCAGTCGATCTTCAGCTTTGCAACATTTTACTCTTTAGCCACTTAACAGCCGCAGCGGAAGAGCTTAGACAGTAACGCAGCAAAATCAAAATTCTGCTCTATAGCTCACAAAATTCGACTCTTCGTTTGTCGCTCTGAGTACGTTTTCAACCTCATCAATTGTTCAAACCTATGTCCGCTTTTGTGAAAGTTCAAATAACGATCTAGGGTACTAAGATCCAACAGATCTTAGTGTTGAGCCCGGGAAGCATCCCTGTTGTGAAAATGAAGGTCTTTCTTGAACCCAAGGAGCCGATATGGCGAGATCCACCAGCACGAACAGCTCAAAATTTGGGACCCGAGTTCCTCTTGAGAGCTCCGGCAACTCCAGATCCATAAATCTGATGTCATTTTAGAGTTCGAACCGCCCGAGTGCCTAGGTATTACCAAGCCTATGGTCGAAGATCCACGGTGCGGAACTTCCGTAGCGCTACTCGAAACTATGCGGATGTAGCCGAAGTTCGACCTCGATATCCTCGGGCCTAAAGCTTATATATACAGACCTCTTGGCGACCATATCAGGCCCTTGGAGGAATCATGTTCATATCTCACCTGATAAGATGGCACCTCAAGTCTCACCTGGGCACCGCAAGGCTTGGACACGATCGACATACCGCGGAATCGAAAACCTCCTTTTCCCATCGTTTGGTCCTGATCTCCAGACTCTCGACGAAGATGCGATTCGTCGCGATGTTCGCTTTGCCATCGCAAATGGGTGCTTCTCGACCCTATTTGCTTCCCTAGGCCACCCCGTGGACGTTGCCATTCGGGCTCTCGAAGTCGCATGCGAGGAGGCGTCCGATCAAATTCTGGTTGGTACCTTCACTGAATATGCTACCGTGGAAGATAATTTGGCTCTGGTCAAAGGTGCTGCTGCGGTGGGTTGCAGTCACATGCTGATCATGTACCCCCCAGCCATGACGCCCAAGTCCGAAGATGAGGTATACACTTATCTGCACAACCTTATCGCGGCGACCGATATTGGTATCGTTCTTTACGCAGCACCCCACAAAGGTATTGCGAAGTTCTCATCCTCTCCAAGCGGTGTTGCTCTCGACGTCCTCGATAAGCTCGCAGGCCTTCCCACTGTGAGTGGTCAGAAGCTCACCCAGACCATTGACCCGATTCTTGCACGCGAATGCTGTGTCCGCTTTGGAGACCGCTTGACAATCAATTGCGTCGCACCAGAGCTCATGCCCCTTCTCGGACGTGAGTTCGATCTTCAATGGTCTGGAGAATGGTCAATCGAAGGTGTCCAAAGTCCGGACAAACCATTCCTGGGCCGATATGTAGGCTTGATCGCGAAAAAGGATTTCGAGGCAGCAGAAGCTCTTTATTGGAAGTTCTATCCAGCATACAAGCTATTCAGCGACTTTCAAATCCCGAAGCTGAAGATAGGGAGCCATCCTTGGCAGCATCTCAAATATTATCAATGGCTGACGGGTGGCAATGGCGGCCTGGCCAGCGTGAAAGGGCAAACTCCCGAGCAGATCGGCATATTGACGGCTGCGGATCGTCAGGCCATACGACAAACATTCAAAAGTATCGGAGTTAAGATCACAAATGCTTTGGATGATGAATTCATTGTTGGGGTCGAGAATGCACGTCGAGGCGTGAAGGCAAGCGAGTTCCTGGATCGTCCATACTACGAGTAATTGTGGGCACTCTCCATTGAAAGAATGTGAATACGTTGGAAGTTTATTCTCCCATGTAGCTTTTGAGGATATTGATTGGCTACGAACTATGATCATCCATGTCGAACCTTCTCATACATATTCATAGCACAGTAATCCACCTTGAATATCCATAACATCGGCAATTGTAGCGTTTGGCACTAACCCCAAAACACTCAACGTGTGGTTCAAAGTAGTGACATTTCCGCCATTGTCACCATCATAGTCCAACCAAGAGTCGGTGACGTTGTAGATGCCCATTTCTGCAATGTACTCTGCAGTAGGAACGTTTTGTCCATCCATATCTGTGAGACGAGTTGTCAAATCCATCGCTTGCCACTCCCACCAAAGGCGATCAAGGTTAGTGTGGTGGAGAAAGAAAATGGGATCTATTGTTGAATTAGTCTCGGTTTCAAGGTAACACAAAGGAGCATGGAGAGTAGCGAACTTACCTCCAGGACTACAAGTCACATCCAACATAACTCCGGCAATAGCAGCATGCCCAGCTGTATGAGGCCAACTTGAGAACAGCGGCCATGCAGCTGAATAATTCTGCGCCGCGAACACAATGTCAAGATACGTCTGATTGGCCCATTTGATGGCATTATCATTCAGGCTTCTAGAAATGCAGTGATCTGTCACCTCGTAGATGGGTCCAAGGTGAAGGGTAACGTTTGCGAACGGGCCATCCGTGATGCATTCATCAGTTCCATTGCCGTCTCCGCCAAATCCGTAGACAGGATCGAAAATTGAAGATGCGGTGAGATTGGATGAATCGAGAAGCTCTTCCCAATAAGGCTGAACACCAGTGTAGTTGCATTCGTTTTGGAGCATCGTGATATGGGTGTACATGTAGAGACGGTGCCAAGGGAGAAAACCACCCTGAAGATGTCAATCACTATCCGGTGTTGGTTAATCTGCTGGAACAGTACTTACGACATCGTGAACAACGTTGGTTGAATTGATATGTGCGAACTGAAGATCGTCCCATCGGGTTTGCGCCCCGGGAAAGCCAGCCGTGGCTGGAAGCGACATCAAACAAACTTCAGCATCGAGGTAAGCAGTCTTCTCATCATTGGTGAGGTCGACCCTTCATTTGATTAGCTTTAAATCTCGTCTTAAGCAGGAATATTACCTACCATGATTTGCGTTGCGATACGGTACCACAAGATGCGGAAGTGGTATTGCTTCTCTCTTTGACCTGAGGGGCTGCAATAGCGAAGGAAGCAGTTGTTGCGATGGTAAAGATCGTGAAAACCGAAGCATACATCTTGAAATGACTGTTTGAACCAATGAGATTAACAAGAGAAAGAATGAGAAGGAATGAGAGAAATGGATGTCGATGATATCTGAGAAGAGTGGCTCCAACCCTCGCTATTTATTCCATTCTTTTTTCTATTTTCTGTTGACGCGCAACAACAGCCATGAGTCCTCCAGCTCAGCACTCGTCCTCGCTATCGTCGTCCATTATTCTTTTTGCAGAAAATTCGTTGCACTTAGTGGACATTCAAGCACTTCTACAGACAACTAAAATGTAAAAAGGCGATCGCTGCCAGACTCGAAAAAGAAGCTTATGTGTTTGTCTCCATAGCAATTTCCGCAAAGCGAAGTATGAGTGTCTTCGTCACTCGTGACTCCACGTTGCCCAGCGAAGAACCAAAATAGCATCATAACTCCGATAATAAGGTTCGCTAGCTTGGTAAATCTTGGGGGCCCGTGTCTTCGACAATCGTTTCAGACATTCGCTTCTGGGGAGTCTGTGGCTGACGCGTGGCATTGTGGGACCGGGGATGTGGACGTCTAGTGTGGCTTTTGATAAGACTTGAGGAGAAGCAGAGTTTTTTTTATTTGAATAATTGCGATGCTTTGACAATTACTTCGCAATTGGATTACCAGTCGAGGACTTCAGGACGGGCGAATGTGGCTTCGCAAGCCCTGTTTCAGTACCCGAGCTCACTAGCTCCCCCCTTTAATTTGTCGGCTATATCACTTATGGCTTCCAGCCGTGATCACGGCCACTCTCCCAAACAGAAAGCCTACATATCATATATAGAACACTGCTCGCGAAGATGGAAGAATGATAACCATTTCATTTTTTGCCATAATCCATCACAGGCCACAGACGGAGAGTTTGACGGCACTTGGTAATGATGCATTATTGGTATTGACTGCACTTAAGAGCATCTAGCTAAAAGCACTATGATGATGAGTTGTAGTACTTTCCTCCATCCCCCTCAAGAATTCAAATAGCACAGCACCAGTTTCCGATTCTGCTACTTAGATCACGGAAACGAGCCACTGACGTCCTTGACACTGATAGTCGCACCGTGAAGAGTCCAAGGTCCCAACTCTTCTTCGGCAACCTCTTTGCAAAAGTTGGATCTAGGTTGACCGTAAATGTCGTAGTTACAATGCGCTTGTCGACGAAGCATGTCCAATGCATCCTCGAAGGCCAATCTCAGATAGATCTCAAAGTCCTCTTTTGTATCATCCTTGGGCTCCAACATTATCGCGACACTGCAGAAGATGGGCTGACCCTTAACTCTGGCAAGCTGCAACCACTTTGAGTTCGAAAATAACGTGATGGCTTGGGCTGGGGAGGTGAGCAGTCGCGGTGATGGACACGCGGATTGACTCAAGACCGGGCATGGACGAAAGGCCAACAGCTTCTAAAGAAGAGAATCCGTCAACGTCGAATTTTGCAAGATCTCGAATCACTATGGAAAAGCTGCGACATACTAGCGCGATTGCTCTCTCTGGCAAAGAACTTATCTAGAAGACTCCTGTGATACAATGGTGGGTTGAAGGGGTGATCTGGTCTCGATTATTTGAGGTCTTCGCGCGACCAGTTGAGGAGAAAACAAGCTAGTCGATCAAGTTAGGGCGCCCCTGATCTTGGCTTGTGCGGAAGTGTGAAGACCGGCAGTTCTTCATCGTCAATCTCCAGGATGATGAGTGGCTTGGGCATATCGGATTTCCCGGTTGAGATCAATTTGTTCAAGTTGAGTTGTGAAATTCTGAAAGTAAACAAGCGATCGCGACTCTTGCTCAACAAAGTCGACAAAAAGTTAGGTTCACGTGAACAGAGTTTATATTGTCTGCGATGGCATGGGATTCCCACACTCCAATTTAACCTTAAGTACCGGAAGACATTCAATTAGAAGAACAACGGAACCCATTACTCACCTACTATGCTACAAATCTTTGCGCAGCACTCCGATTACTGAGGGCGATCAAGATCTCTTCACCAATTCCCATCTTCCATGAAAAGCCAATCCAGGATGAAAAACAGTCAAGAAAATGTATGCAGTTGCCACCATAGTTCCGTCTAAACACATAAAAGCCACTTCGTCGTTCCACAGTCGTCCATGGAACCCTCCTGTAAGCTCCACAACCCTGAAAATGGATCTGATTAGAATAGTCACCGTTGCCAGTAGGAGTCCTAGCATCATTGTCAATGCAGAGCACAGTAGCGAAAAAGAGAATCTTACCGAAGACAAAGCCTCGAAAATATTTCTTCTCGCGAATGGTTTCAAACTTCTCGTCCCATTCGTAGCATTTCTTCCAGTATCTCAACGCGAAGTCCGCAGCCAGAGCCAAGACGATGACTAGGCTGGCGACCTGCAATGCGAGCCCAGCCATCATGAGATGTATCCCAACATACTCGAAGCTTTCTGTGTCTGCGATCACTGCTATCGCTCCTCCACCAGTTTGCAACAACAACGATAAGAAGTCAGACGCAATGAAGAGGCTTACGAGAGCTCGTCCTTTGAGTCGAGCCAGTTGCGTTCCAAAAATAATGATAAGGCGGTTGAAGCAGACATAAATGCTTGCGCAGAGGAAGACAGGTGCTATTGTGAGGGATATCACATACCTGGTCAAGTGAGTTCAGTGTCAGTATCTAATTGTTGGATAGAGGTTGTAGAGTGGGGTATTATGGCAGAATCACTAACATGAAGAAGGGACTCTGAATGAACGGATTGAAGTGCATCTGCACTCGACCAATGTATCCGCATAATTCCAGGATCAATCCGCAAACTAAACCGACACTGTATGTCCAGGTTCGATAGTAGGTTCCGAGCAGGATGTGCGTCGACAATAGAGACGCAAATAAAGCCAAGAAGAAAGCATTGCCGGCAAGACTTGGATCGTACTGGAGCTGTCCTTGAATGATGGAACAGGTGTTCAAAGTGCATTGTTGTGCTGGTATGGTGAAGTTGGGGGCATGGTCTCGTAAAGCGAGTAGATTGATTTGGGGATGCATCTTTGACGTATGTGCTGAGACTTGAAGAGTGCTACAGAAGCAGAAAGCCAGCGCATTCACCTGGACCCTTTAGTTGTGGAGATCTCGAGCATTTATACTACATTCAACCTTTTTTTGAAACTGCTGCCTGTCATTCGGGGCACAAGACATCACAGTTTGATGGTACCCTGGATAAAGCTCCGCTCCCATCGTCTGGGAAAATCAAGTCCGTTCATACTATCGAAATGACATTCCTCCAATTTTGATTGAGGAAGATACGCAATCTTTTCCAGGCCACTGAATTCAATTTCGTACCATTGGACACATGTGGAGAGAGATTTCCGACGCTTTGCATTTCGCACCCGAGCTTCGAGTTTTGACGCTTTCTCGCTATGTGATTGGCCTACTCGTATTCTTAGCGAGGAGATGGCTTGAAGATATCCTAAGTCACGTGTATCACCAACCAATGACCTGAACGAGATGGGGTCTGTGTGCTGGAACAGCCGGTTGGTGTGCTATATTAGAGAGAGCTTACAGATACGAGCATCTGCAGGTACGAGATCTTGCGGAGGCTGCGTTTAGTGCTCTGTCCTCTTCGGTATACTTTTTGACTAAAGGTCTTTATATGTACCCTGGAAAAACAAGATAGTCTGGATAAGGTGTGTCTGGAATTGGTGTATCTGTTATTTCCACGTACAGAACTCCACATGCTCATACCAAGGCCCATCCAGACCATTCAGTTTCTGGGAAAGGATCACTTCCGCAGTCTTCTTCACAAAGTCTATCACATCAATCCCAACAGTGTGAACTCGGCCAAATTCCGAGACTCTCCTGCTTGGATTATTTTCATCTTTGAAATAATTCTCTCTGTCAATAGCAACTTGGGCAATAGCTGCTTGAGATGCTGCATTCCAGACCCCTTCTTGAAAGGTGATCGATCGCAAAAGAGATATCGCTTTCTGTCGAGTCCAAGGTTCTCGGCAGCAAAGTGCTGTCCGATACAACGGCTGTATGATGCCTATGTCCAATTGAAAGTCTAGAACACTTGTCGGCTTCCGAGCCCGAATGACGTTTGATGCTAAAGTGACAATCTCATCAAATGGTGCATCAAACTTGTCAAAGATAGTAGCGTCGGAGTAGACACATGTTGAAGCTTCAATGAACGCTAAACGGTGATTCACCAAAAGAATGTCAATCACCGATTGATCAGCGCGTGAGAACTTTGACGTCGTCCGATGAAGATATCTTTGAAATCGATCGTCCCATGCCTCAAACTCGGATACGATGCTCGCAGCTTCCGCTATCTCCTCGATTGGGATGACTTGGAGTTTTCGATGTTTGTATTCTTCTACGACAGATCGAATGAAGGTGTAGAGGCGTGAGGTGATACGATTGAGAACGAGATGTGCTTCTCTTAAACTGGAGAGCCTCCCTGGAACTGAATCTTGGGTGCAAATGCCAGACAATATTGGTGGCCGCATGCCTTGAAATAATGAAGCGTGAATGTCGAGGCCTTGAAAAGTATCAATGAGTTCGGGCTCTATGTTTTGTTTGAAGGAGGGTCCAGCTACCGCATCCGATGGTGATGGAGTAGATATTCCACTCACAACCTGGATCAGTTGCAGCGAATGTTCCAGGTGGAGAACGGCATTCGAATATTTGACTTGAAGGGTTTCAATTGAGATGTGAACCAAAGCACAAATCAAGATGATGTTGATGTCCGCATTCCAACTCGTTGACAAGTACTCGCGAAGGTCACTGATAGCTTGAGAGTATTGACGCATCGGAAAAGGAGTCGCAATGGCTTGAGAACCCTTTTCGTTGGAAGCTATACTCAAACGTTCGTGTAAGGACCCCAATGCGACCACGGCTTGACTGACAACAGGCTCATTACTGCAAGTTTGAAGAATCAATTGCCAGGTTGTTGCCCCAAAGTGCCCTGAGATCTTAGGTGCAGTCTCCGTACGGAAGAAATCGAAGGCACGACGTTTTTGAAGATCGTATGCGCGAGATGTAGGCTGAGTGCTAGTTGCCATAGAATTGACTGCAATGCTATGACTAGCTGGCGAGCTTGTTGGGCTCTCTGATGTGTAGCCATCGCATGAGCGACCTGTCGTCACGCATCGATTGCAACGAGGTTGATTCTCATCGCATTTGACTCGGCGAACTCTGTCAAGCAAGGGTAAGCACTTGCATTCTGTAGACTGTCGGCACTCACTTGCATGTTTTGCACCCATGCCTCGACTTCGGGGCGGACCTACGCACTGTGACCATCGCAGAGGTGAAATTGATTACAAAGGAATTCGGATATCAGATCAGTCAGTAGTTTTGGATAATCAACTGCGACTTAAGCAAATTCCCGTGTTTGCGCTTACGGATAGAAAGAAAGGAAGAAAGTGTACTGCACAAAATCAATATTTGTGCCCGGCTTGCTGACTCAGCTATACTCTCGACATCCAAGGCAACACAATTATTCTGTGGAGGTAGTTTTGGCTTGAGACAAGTAGAATACTTCTTGAAATTAATCTCGCAGAAGATTGAAAATCCCATTGCCAAACATATCTGGGCGAGTAATGCGTGCTGCATTTACCTTCAACCACTTGGATTTCACCACTGTAAGTCTCTCGATAACTTTCCCATCTTCTAGAGTGCTCATTCTTTAGTATGCTTGAACAGCCAACCCATTCCTGTTGCTGGCTGGGTCTTTACCCAGTCTGGCCAAAGCTGTCTTTTCCTCGATCCACTTATCGACACCAACTTCAATATCTTTTTCCCCGTCTCCCAACGGCTTAATCAAACTTCCTTCAAGCGCCAACCTCTTCATACTTGCTTGAGCCTCCGCTCTCATGAGATACGCCAAGCTGTAGCGGGTGACCGTTGCTTGCTCCCCCGGAGGAAACGTAACACGATGCGGGTTGCTTCTCAGGATACCACCGGTCCATTCTCGCGTCATATCGCCGAGATTCACAATCACACAGCCGGGCATTGGTTTCACATATCGCCAATTCTCCTCCAGGCCTTCGGAGCCAGCTGGCAGGATCTGGAGACCTCCTACGACATTGAACAACAATGTGATAGTACCGAGGTCCGTGTGACCGAAAAGACTTGTACGACGATCACCCTCTGGCTGTGGTGGGTACTTGAGCATGCGTACGATCGTCCCGGATTCTTTATCTATCCGTTGCCTCGATTCCAATGTGCCGTCCGGAAGACCAAGGTGTTGGTCCAAAAGTGACAATAGATGAGAGACAACTGAATTGGATGTCGTAATGAACTTCTGCAACGTCGATCGATTCGACTCTATAGTTTTGGGGTTCGCAATAGTGCAACTTGGCCCATGATATCGTCTTGACTCATCACATACCATTCGAAGCGATCTGGCAATCCTGATTCGACTTTGGTAGCTCCGAAAGCATTGTATCTTAACATCACAGAGTTATTGATTGAAAGCGCAGCCGGACTGGATGTAAGATCTTACGTACCCAAGCACTCCTGGTGGAGGATGCGTAAATTTCTTCAGTTCCTCCGGTCCTTCTTCGAACAGGGCCTTGTTCACCTCAAAAAGTATTTCAACCGTTTCGATAAGAATTTCTCCGATGGAATTGCATCTCAAATCAAGAAGGAAGAATCCATCGCTCTTACAAGATTCGAAGAGCTGCGCAGACTCTTTCACATCGTGAGCGAGGAGTCTTTCGAGTGACAGAATAGAAAGACGTGCTATCGGGATATCTTCAGGAAATGGAGGAACAGCTGCGAAAAGCTTTTCAGTAGGCATGATGAATATTTCAATTAATATTGCTGGAGGGTATTGAGGCTTTGGTTTCAGGTCGAGAGAGGCCGAGAAATCTAGTATATCTATATATGTTTTAGACTTATGGACGGCAGCTGATGCTGTCGTTACTCGGGAGCAACACTGACAGAAGGTCATCCGCTCATCTTGCATTGCATTCCCGGCAGGGCTGATGCCGATCCCTCCTGCAAGTGATCTCAAACAGTGTACAAACTGCTAGACTTCAGTGAGGGGTTGTGTACACCGGAAGTCAGACGGCATTTGAATGGTAAGCTTACAGCAGCAAATCGTTGAATCACGATCTGTGTTACCAAGCTCACTTATTTTTACAGAAATCCCGGTTCTGCATTAATGCCCATGCCACCCCATCTTTGATGCACTGGCTCGACTGGTCAATGTCATCCTTGTGCTGATATCCTAGCCTTTCTCTCGCAAAATCGATGGAAAAGGTTCGTTCTTCGTTGATCCATCGTAATGTATGACTTCTGAAATCTGGCGGGGTTCTGGTTCCGAAGCTGAAGAGCCAGAACAACCACTCCAGCACCGTCCCGAGCCCCACCGAGAACCATGCCGGCACACACCAGACTTCACCCTCAGTGCTTCTATCACCAACTGCAGCCCAGACTTTCCGAAACAATGTCCAAGCTGGTAAAGGTTTGGCATTCGTGATGAAGAAAGCCTCGCCATCAACTTTCGGAGCGTCCGTCTCCAGCATCGTTCTTTGCAGGCCCTGGTAAGCGAGAACATGGGCTGCAGTTACATTATTGACTGAAGTGACGTCCATCAGTTTTATGTTACTCGCAAATCAGATCTTACTGAAGCCCACTCGCAGGGAATTTAGAGCCCCGGAATCATTTGGTTATCCCTCTCGCCATATATTGGTGTTATTCGAAGAGCGCAAGTAAGTAAGTTGTCTCTTTTATTAGCCTCCAGTACAGCTGTCTCTGCCATCGCTTTAGTAGTAGAGTAATAATTGAAGTTATTGAATGATTTCAAAGGACAATCTGCTGTCGCGAAGTGGAGCGAAGGAGCGTACACGCTGACGGACGAGGTGTAGATAAAGAACTTTGTTGCTTGTGATTTCATGGCGTGCTCGAGGAGTAACTTGATGCCGACAACATTTGCATCGTAGAAATAGTTGAATCCCGCTGATGAACCTTCGGAAGCAGGGGAAGCAACGTGAAAGACGACAGTGGGCTGAATGTTCGAGAAGAGAGCCCTGACATCTTCCCCGCATGAGATGCTTCCCGCATGGTATTGGACACCAGTCAGCAAGTTCTTGGTTGGGTTTCGTGAAACGACATGGATCGACGAGAAATTAGGGTCTTGCAGGAGAGCCTTGACGATATGAAAGCCAACCAGGCCACAGCCACCTGTCACAAGAGCCACCTCCTGTGACATCTCATCAAATTTCGCAAGAAGACTCGAGGAAGCCTGGATTCGAGAAAAGCGTAACATCGTCACTGTTGATGCATTATCGTTGATATATACAAGGTGCTGCGCCGCAGTGTGGAGACATGCATGTCAGAAAACGGTGGCATATTTGAGGGGTCCACCGCAGTCATTGTGTAATCGGGATTCTTCGAAGCATCTCATTCACACATCTACCTCACATAAACGCATGCCAAAATAGCAAGCTCCAGATATAACCAAGCCCCAGACCCCAACCAGTCCATTCAAATTTTAACCCCGAACTCCCTACCACAATACTGTGGGTTGGTGATGGTACCGTATGCGAAGTTTCTTCTCCAGCACTGTTTTGATCTTGTGTCGGCGACGCTGCAGGTGAAATCGCTCCTACCTCGCCGTTCTCGCCCTCCCCAGCTCCAGCACTTACCCTAGCAGTGTTTGTATATAGCGCGTCATAAATTCCAGGAGTGGTCGGAACGTGTGGTAACGCACAAGTTGTCGTTATTGTAAAAGTCTCCACTATTGTAACAGTGTCTCCTCTTGCGTCCTCACCGACTACACCTCCTCCTATTTCTCCGCTAGGCGTAGTATGCATGGCTATATACTGCTGAACAGACCCAATAGTTGAAGGGCAATGCTGCAGTGTACAGGTTAGAGTAGAATAGTATGTCGAGACAACCGTGATGTAGACATGTTGTCCAGTATACATACTGCCCTGAAATCCGCTCTCTCCTCGGAGAGTGGTCTGAACGGCCTGTAGCCCCTGGGTGGTTGTCCTTACCAGGTTATAGACAGGAGAAACATTCTGTGGAGGACCCTTTATAGTCAAACTTTGCTTCATGTTCGTCGAGAATACAGCGCGTGTGGAAAGGCTACCATGATTTCCAGCTTCTGCTGTGGTTCTACCTTGTGTTATCGCAGCTTGTTGTTGTGAGTCTTGAGAAGGCTGCAGAAAAGCTTGTTCAGAAGCCTCTTGCAAAGCCTCCTGAGAAGTGAGAAATATGGTCGAATAAAGTAATTCAGTTGAAATCCATTCTCCATCGCTAGTCTGTGGCATAGGAGGTATGCCTGAGCCCAAACCGCCTTCTCCACCGCCAGTCTGTGTTACTATGGGTATACCTAGGCTAGAGCTTGAAGAATCAATTAGTCATGAACTTTGAAAAGGGAAGGAGATTGATCTTAGGTGCGCCGACAATTTCATGTCATCGTGGCATTTATCTAAGAACAAAGAGATCAGACCGGCTGCAGTATGAAATTATAAACACAGACGAAGACGAGAAAGTGGTATTAACATCGAAGTAAAGGCAGCAGGTTCTCCGCTCACTAGATTACCCACAGTAGAGGTCACCGCCAACACCCCAGCTAAAGCGGTTGATGACATCTCTAACCCTCCAGGCAAAACGGTGGTCGAATTTTGTCCCAATCTTCCTGCTTCACCTCCACCACTATTCACAGTCGCTCTAGCCGCTGGCGTACTCGCGACCACTGCAGCACACATCCCAGCTTGCACGTCGTTGTCTACCAATGTCACATTTCCATCCAAAGCAAACAGTCCACCACTAGACATTGCGCCTGAACCCATGATAATTGAATCATACGCCAATATCGCGCCCTGAAAACCCGTACCCGCTCCCAAGGTAGCCGAACTGCCCACCATCCAGAACACATTACAAGCCAGCGCATTCTCGCCCAGGACAACTATCGACCCACCACTAGTCGTCAACGAAGAGCCGATCTGAAAATACCAACTCGCATTCCCAGCATCGCCACTTTCCAGAAGCAAATTACCGGTAAGTTGGGCGGAGGATTGAAAAGTGTAACATCCTGGTCCCAAGGTCATGCCACCAAGGTCTTGAGTAGAGAGATCGACACCGACGTAGTTGGCGATTGTGAGGAAGACGGTCTCAGCGTCGGAAAAGGCATCGTCGGCTTGGGTCGATATGTAAGAAGTGCCGGTATAGACGCCTGGTGGGAAAAATCCGGTAATGGATGTTCCCAGTGTGCCGACATTTCCTGTTAAGACGGAAGGGCCAATATTGGTGATTGATGCGTAGCTGAGAGCGGCGAAGGAGGAAGCACGGTTCAGGCTCAGTTGAGCTGAGACAAGGAGTGCGTGATGCAGGAAGAATAGCAGGACATAAATGTCCATTTGAGCAGCATTAACAAATGTGCAGAGTAAAGGGACTGCTGGGGATCAAAGCTCAAAGTGAAAGTGCTTAAGCTCACATGTTTCAACGCTCAGCATCAAAGAGGAAACAAGAAAGGCAAAGTGAGGAGATGTTGACATTTGCATATTTGAACATCTCAGACATTGCGGATTTGGGGAATGTTAGATCTCCCGCTCTGGGTAACGAGACATATTATCATCCCGCATTCCTTCCTGAGATTCATTCTCCAATGCAATGTTCTTGGCAACACAGCGGAGTCTGCCATCAGTGCCCGCCCCGCTGTGCAACCCTTGATGCATGCCAATCTTTGGATTATGTTGATTATTTTATCACCAGTTCGTAATTTTATGAACTGCCAAGCAAACCCCACCAGGTTTTTCTCTAATGGGAAAGAATCGCTTCAGCTGAGGCACACACAAATTTGATTGGCTAAATTTACGAGATACCAGGCACAAGCAAAATCTGATGTAAGCCAACGTCATAAGAGCCCCAAAACCCCAGCATCGGAAGATCATACTCGTATTTTCTTCAATTCACACTCGGTTCGTAATCTTTGACGATGCCCACAACAAAAAAGCCGCAAAAGACTAGAGCAACTAGGAGAAGCTTGCCAAAATCGAGGACGGGCTGCATGACTTGTCGGTGAGCAATAATCGTAGTGCTATTGATTTCGAACCTGCAACTCTGACCTAATTTAGGAAACGGAGAGTCAAATGTGGAGAAGAAAGACCAAGGTGTCTGAAGTGTGTCAAGTTTGGCATTTCAACCGAAGATTGCGAATATCCCCAAACATTCACACCATATAACCAAGGACAACTTCTTCCCGAGTCCAAGCCACTTCTGCCCAAAAGCGCTGCGACTGCTGGACTTGGAAAAGACTACTCTGGAAATCTCGGAGTGGAACAATTCCAGCAATTTTTGGTACCCAGGCCCCCTCGCGGACTCTTCGAGAATGACAAAGAATATCGCTTCTATCAATTCTTCTCCAAGGATGTTGCGCATGAGCTTTCAGGATTCAATCCGTCGACTCTCTGGCAACAATTAATTCTGCAGGCGGCAGAGGCAGATCAATTTATTCGCCATTCTGTCATAGCCGTTGGTGCATTGTATAAGATAATCCACAAAGCGCCTCACATGCGACCATGTGACGCTCACCGGCTATTCAAAGCCGAGCACGACTTTGCTGTCCAGGAATACCAAAAGTCTCTCGTCAGCATGCGAGGTGCAATTTCGACGTCGAGTATGGATGTTCGAACTGCTTTGATTGCATGCCTTCTGACAGTTTGCTTCGAAAACGTCTATGGACGTAAAGATTTGGCTCTCTCAAATTGTCTAAGTGGTACCAAATTGCGACGGAAATTTGGGATCTCCCCATTAGGCAATCGCTCATTGCATCGAGTTCCGGCAAAGGATGAGATGTCAAGGTCTTGTGCTGTCGAAGATGAGCTCGTTGCCGTGTTCTCTCGGCTAGACCTCTCAGCTATGCTCTTTGTTGATTACTACCCTCAAGATGGCCATCGCATGTTCAAAGATGAAGCGGATAGCTTGATTGAGGAGATGGCACTTAGATTTGAAACTATGGAAGAGGCTATTGCGTATAGCAACATCATAACGAATCGATGTTGGCATTTTCTAAACATTGTCCAGGGGCTCGACAGGCCAACGGTACGGCGCCCATGGGACCACATGGAGGACTTCCAGGGTAGATGGGCTTGGGTAGATCTAAGGTACGGCTCGAATCCTTGGACAGGCACGAACAGACGGATCCCGTCAAATTGGTTGAAGGAAGCGGCAGAGTGTTTCGCACAGCTAGAAAAGTGGTTGACCAGGTTTGATTCGTTGTGGCAAAGTCTCCAAAGCTCATCCCAAGGCCAGCATAAAGACTTTACCCGAGCAACCTTGTTAAAGCTACAAGCTATATCAACGTACATATCTGTTAAAGGTTCCCTTTATAGACACGAAACGGAATGGGACGCTCACATTCCCGAGTTTGAGGAAATCGTGTCTCTTACCGAGTGTTACATGTCTTCGAAACCGAAACGGTTCTATTTTACATTTGATGGCGAGACATTGATTTATCTGTACTATGTGTTATGGAAATGCAGAGATGGTGCCATCAGGAGAAGGGTCCTGAAGGTGTTGGATGAGCATCCGAGACGCGAAAACTCCTGGGATGCGGAGCATTCCGCGAATGTTGGTCGGTGGCTATTGTCGTTGGAAGAAGGAGAGCGAGGAAAGTTGGCATGTCATGCGATTGAGGAGGAAGACAGGATGCGGCTTTTGGGGATGGACTATGATACACTTGAGGGTGGCATTCGCACGTGGGGATACAAACTTCGAAACGGCGAACGTGAGTGTTTCTGTCATCAATGGCCAGAGTAATCACGAGAAATACACTTGGACTTGCTTGGCCGTCATCATTGATTTACCTCTGATCTGTCTAGACAGGTGTGGACCACTTTGAATCCTTGCCCAGGCAATTGCCGCTAGGTAGGTACCTAGTAAGTGTTGAGATACTGATCACGTGTCTATAAAATATCACCATTTCGACTAGGTTTGAATCGGCATGATGAGATCTGGTCATGTCGTCTGTTCATGTATCTACAAATTTGGGTTTCTGCCCATACATCACATATCTGATGTTTGACAGTTAGCTGTCTCCATCCGAAGCTCGAGAAGCAAAAACTCACATTGGATAATATCTATGCACTTTAGGGTCTTTCATGCTCTTCCTAACTTCCACCAAAAAGGCTTCGGTTTGTTCCGCTGTCCATCCCAACCCTCGCGTATACAGCGCCATGCTAAGCCCAGAAAGACCTGAGCTAAAGTTCTCGTACATCCACCTCCCTACGAAAGCGTAAGTTTTGTCGTCGATGCCGACAAGAAAAGAACTTACCCAGTTCCTTCAACTTCTTGTCCTTTGGCCAGTGGTTCTGAGGCCACTTGTACATGACTTGAACCACATTCTCGAACCCGGCATCAATCAATTGCTGCTTATAATTCTTCGCGGAATCAAGCGGACGGCCAAGGTTCTGCGCAGCTTCGATCACGAAATCCGTCCATTGCTTCACAGCGCAGTCTGTAGGAAACGAGTCGTCGTTGTCCTCGATTGGGAACTTCATATCATGGATCTCCATCCATCCTCCTGGATTAAGATTGCTAATCTTGTGAGTCAACGGGACATTTGAGACAGAAGAATAACCCACTCGTAACATTGTTTGAAGCATCGTGGCCAGTCTGATACGGAACCTGTCATCATTCGCATGAAGATGAGATCGAATTTGTGTTTGTATGTCCAGTCTTCTTCAAGATCGTCAACTTCGAACATGCAATTAGGTGGTATACTATCTTCTAACAAGCATTTATATCATGAAATCATAGGTAGCCAATACAATCTAGGCTGAATTGGACTGAGGTCAATTCCCAGAACCTGGTAAGCTTAAGTTAAGATGTTGCATTTCAAGTCAAGGAGGCAGAACTACTTGAGATTCAGGGTGTTCATCGGCTATTCCGGATCAGTGCCAGCGTGAGATTACCCAAAGGTGATGCATACCAAAATCAATTGCCCAGATGCCAGTTCCAGTTCCGAGATCCAAAACTCGATGAAGCTGTTGATCTTTGGGAATTGGCGCTGTCGTCAATTTGCCGTCCAGCATCAAGCAGTACATATGATGTTGCAAATCTGCTCAATGTAAGTGTAATTCACTTTACCAGATCGCTTTGACGAACCTAGTCGATCATTTTCTCCCTGCATGATTATAAGCTAAGGCCCTTTCACCAAAGGTGACCACTGACCTCGTCGTTTGGCAGTACATATTCTTAACTGATATTAACCAAGTACTTATTACTGTGAGAGGATGTCCTACTTCCGTCTTTGTAGGCATGATACGTTCTTCCATTTTCCTGCCGATACTTCAAAATACTGGAGCCAATAGACGTAGTTGCGCTTTGTACATCCTAGCGCAAGAAATAGGTTAGTTCGAGCAGGAATTTACCTTGCGGAAACGTACATCCCCAAAAGCAGAGTCGTTTTCGTTCAAATCGTCCACATCCTGTAAGTCAAGCTGTCAATATGTATTTGGTAAAGTCTCGGCAGTGATGGCATGTGCACCTCCACAGTTACTGGCTCCGCCATCATGGACAAGTTTGCTACAGTTATGTTCAATCCGAAGGCTGTGCGTTGAGAGACTTGAAAATGATGTTTCAGGAGCCGTTCAAGCAGAGAAAATCATCAAAGGGTCACCCAACGACGAGAAAAACCGGATATATCAGGTTTTGATCTTTCCGGCTGCCGAGTTGCCTTCCTGCTGCACAAAGCAATTGACCTTGCATGGCAGCGGAATTGCCTTCTTGCATCCCCGCGACTAGGATCTGAAGCCCCACTGGTTCGGCTTTCACCCCATGTGAGGCAGCCAACTCCGCGACCCCACATCAATCCTTCCCATTTCACCAATAACAAAGCTGTAAAGATAGTGACTTGCCAAGCTCGTACCACTACTGCATAATCATGCATCCCTACCGCACACTTATCTCGTTTGCAGCACTCCCAATGAAGTCTCTCTACCAGAAGCCGTTATCCCAATTCGCATTCGGAGCCGTGATGACAATAGGAAGTCTCTCCTCTTGCACTAGCCGCGAATTCCACACCACACTCAAGGCATTCCTCACGTAGTACAAACTTCTGGGATCATCCATAATGGATCTTCTAGCAAGTCTCCTTGACCAGAGCGTTGGGTGTTGGATAGTCACCATCCTGGTGGCTTTAGCTGGCACTTTTGTCGTGCAGACATGCAGGAGCTGGTACCGATTGCGACATTTCAAAGGGCCTTGGCTTGCGAGTATTTCGCGATTATGGCTTGTACGCAGTATCTCTGGAGGAAGGTTCCATTTGGACTTCATGGAAGTTAATCAGAAATATGGTGCGTGAAGTCTTGATGTGTGAGCCGTAATGAAAGACTGATGATCGAAGGTTCACTCGCTAGGATTGGTCCCAATGATCTGGTAACGAGTGATCCCGCAGTGATGCGGCGAATGCTGGCGGTACGATCACACTATCGTCGTTCGGATTGGTATTTCACTACTCCTTCAACTGCCCGAGAAATACGATATTTACGTCTCTAGGTATATTGGAATGCGCTTCGATCCGACTCGTGATAATATTGAGTCAATTATGGACGACGATCGTCATACCAAATTGAGATCTATGATGGCGGCTGGAGTAAGTTCAGAAATGGAATGTGTGAAGGCATCATGTTGACCATTTACACAGTATTCGGGAAAAGAAAACGAAGATCTCGAAGGAACAATAGACCGAAACATACAAAATTTAATCAAATTAATCAGGGCCAAATACTTGTCTACAGACTCGGAAAGCAAGCCCTTAGATTTCGGAAGAAAGGCGCAATACTTCACTCTGGATGTTATCTCCGACGTGGCGTATCGAGAACCATTCGGCTTTTTGGCTGCTGACAGGGACTTGTACGATTACATCAAAGAGGCTGAAAAGGTCCTGCCTGCTGCACTGATGGTGACAATCTTTCCGGTACTCAATTGGGTCCTGCAACTCTCCATTTTGAAGGCAGCATTGCCGTCTGACAAGGACCCTCTGGGTATGGGCAAGATCATCGGGTAATTTGGTTGGCTCCGAGTGTCATACAAGTGCTTATTAACACGTCCCCAGTATCACGAAGAAAGTGGTTGCTGAAAGATTTGGGAAGAATAAAAAGGTTCAACAAGATATGCTAGGTTCTTTCATTGCCCACGGACTCAACCAAGAAGATGCCGAGTCTGAAACTTTGCTTCAAATGTACGTCCTTTTTCCAACGAAAAGCAGCAAACTGATTGAGAAAGTATGGCTGGATCTGATACCACAGCAAGTGGAGTTCGAGCAATTCTGCTCTATATCCTGATGAATCCACGAGTACTAGCGAAGTTGCGAGTTGAGATCGCAAGCACTCCCATATCGTCACCTATCCAGGAAGCGGAAGCGAAGAAAATGCCATATCTTCAAGCGATCATCAAAGAAGGACTCAGAATATTCCCACCTCTTGTTGGACTGATGTCAAAAGCCGTCCCTCCAGAAGGTGATGTGATCAATGGCCAGTTTGTCCCTGGAGGAACAAAGATTGGGTACGGGGCGTATGGAATCTTCCAAGACAAGAAGACTTGGGGGCTCGATGCCGATGTCTTTCGGCCAGAGAGGTGGATTGAAGAAACTGCTGACAAGCTCAAAGATATGGAAAGTACTCTGGAACTCATTTTCAGCTATGGAAAGTATCAGTGTCTAGGAAAGAACATTGCGATGATGGAGCTGAACAAGATTTTCGTCGAGGTAAGCTATTCATCTATGTCGGCAAAAGAACTGCACTGACGAAACTAAAAGCTTCTTCGAAATTTTGATTTCAATGTCGTGAATCCCTTTTAGCCATTGATGTCGGAGTGCCACGGTGTCTTCATGATGTCGGAAATGTGGCTGACTGCATTCGAGAGAGACCAATCCTAGCTCGATGGCCACAATTGGGGAAGAATAAGAATCCAATCCAAACATCGTGCAAAATGTCGCCAGTCTCGGCCACGTGATTCTTAGGGAGATATGATGTTTTGCTCATACATAGTAGCGGTGGCCTTTTTGATGCCTATAGATTCAGATGAAAGACTTGACCAGCTACAAGTACTGGCTGGATTGTACTTCGGCCCGAGAAGCCTCATCCTCAGCTAATACCGGAGGCGTCATCTGTTCTCGATGCTGGCCACGCTTTGCGTATTCTTGACGATGACATATGATCTCCTCCGCCTGTGACCTCGTAACAACCTGTACAATACGGACGCGTGGTATGTTCCATCGAGGGATATCACACTTGACAGCCCACTCTTGTTGACTTTTCAAAAACTTCTCAAGCTTGCCCGCTGTCGTGGTCCAGTAAGACTCCTCGTTACCACCATTACGAAGATGACTAAAGCGCAGATCTGAGAAGATGTACCTATCTCGCTCAATCCAACGCGTCGAGAATATGTCAGCAGTGGTATAATCCATGGGTCGCCACAAGTCAGTCTCAGTCTCAATGTGACCCCACTCATCTTCACCCTCATCATAATCAGGTATATAGTCCACATCATACTCATTACTGCCGTACTCCAACTCAAGCTTAGCAGGTCTATGATTCCTCACTAGCAGGACTTCCTTCAAGTTACCAAACAATCGAATAGCATGCGATTCGAAGTCTTCCCGTGGACTCGTAACATTTCCTGTCAACATATTTTCCAAAGCGACCCTTTCCACTCGTGCCAGATCATTGGGTGATAGTTGACCAAGGTTCCATGGACCCTGATCAAGTGTCCTAGACAGGCCCTCTCCTCGGAAATCACGAATTGGTGCCCTTCTAAGATAGAGCGTATCGTGGTTGAAGTTGAACCAGATCCTTGGACCAGAGGTGCGATGCCGGAATGTCAGCTCATACCCGGCACGCTGCATTGCGTTGCGAGACTCTTTGCAAGTATGGAGTAGGGCAGGTATAGGACTACTACTCCATAGATAACCACGGCGAGTCGCGTCAAAGACCTCGACCATGTCTGAGCAATCTTTGAGGAGATGCAACGGCATTTCTGGTCGGGGATAGCTTGAAGTAAAGTTGAAGCGTTCCAACTGAGTCTGCAATTTGCCTTCCGGTCTGTCAGGTGGAAACTTCCAAGCTTGCTTAAAGTGTTGCAAGCTTGGGTCGATTTTGTACATAGAGGGTAGAGATGACCGAGCATAGCAGATCCTCACTGGATCCCACTCGTCGTCATCATATTCCTCGTCATGGCAATCCAGATATTGTAGGTCAAAATCATGGACTTCGGCAGGACTGCAGTAGAGCTTGCTGAATAAATCGTGATTGTACTCGTCCTCATTGTATTCTTCCGCAACGTGTTCTAGGAGCTTGACGAGACGAGGCTCGGGCATTGCATAGAGCCATATCTCAATGCGCAACTCGAGCGGGAGCCTCTTGAATGGATGGAACATCTCTTTCCAGTCGAGCTAAAACTGTATGATTTAATGCTGTGTGTGGGTAATCTGGTATATATCGTATCTGGTTGTTGAAGGTTACAACGAAGGAAGGAAAGCTGTATGATGCCACAACATGTCGGCGCTAATATTGCGCCACCGTCCTCAGCCGCAGTCACGTGAAAGCATCACTCCATATGTGCTGAAGAGCCTTGAAACTTGCTAGACTCACCTGAAGGGTATATAATTATGACTAATTCTTGACAATGATCTCATACAGAGTTGCTGAGGCAGGTCGTCGCAGGAAAAGTGCTGGAAGAGGGAGAAGTCAACAACAAAGATCTCGACTCTCACCCTTCGTTGCGAGGTGTTAAGAGAGTGTGTTTAGCAATGTCTCAATGCGACGAATCTAAAGGAGCGTCACTACAACAATGAAACATCAAATGCCTCTTGTGCCATGTCCTGAAAAATCCTCCTATAATTGAGCATGACCTGAGCTAGCGTAAGCGAGTACAGCCCGAAGATCTACCGAAAATATAGGGGTTCGGCTCGCTTCAGGGACTCACTTGTTGGTGGAGACGTTTGACGATTTACGCAGGGTTCCAAGAATCATTAGTTGGCCACTGCTTAAGCAGAGTCGGAAGGATTCTGATGAGATAAGAAGTTATAGGTGGCAAGTCTCGAGCGTCAATGGAGCAGGTCCTCGAAGTCTCGATGGATGTTGGATTATCTGACATGATCAATCAGTAGGTATGCTCAGGGCTCGACGACCACAGAGTCAGAGAAAATACGATTCTACAGGTGCAGTAGACACAGATTTTAAAGTCAAACAAATTCATTCTAGATGCAAGAACAAAAACCGAAGTCTATCTCATAGGACACTACACACCTTCCACATTTCATCTCTGAACAGAGAGCACCAACAAAACCAATCTAATCCATAGCCGACTGCAAAGCAACGTCGCCACATGTATGCAGAGCATCCCGAGTTAGAAAGAAATCGGGATTCTGTGCGTGTTATTGTGATCGTGCTCCCTCAAAACTGAACGGGGACTGATCATGGACAACTCTTGAGCCTTTCTCGTGAAAGCCTCATTCTCAATCTCCAACTCCTCATTGTCGCTACTCAGCTTGGCATTCGCAGCCTCGAGAACTCGAATACGGTCCTTCAATAACGCCTCACTCTTGCTTGGGCCAACTAAGTCGCTCATGAGCTTGAGCTCCTTCTGTTGAGATGCGATCTTGGAGTTCAAACCGTCCTCCTTCTCACGGGCTTGGGTGAGCTGTTTGTTGATCTTGGCGAGTTCTTGGTGGTGGTATTCGACTTGGGAAGTCAAATCGGCTTCCAAGTCGCGGACTTTCTCGACCTGTTCATAGCCCTTTGTGACTTTATCAGTAAGACGCGTGATCTCTTCGCGAGACTCTTCGACTTCTTCTTGGCATTTGTTCAGCTCCTTTTGGGATTTGGTGAGCTCATCGAGGCATCTCGCAAGCTCATCACGAGCTTCGTCGATCTGCTCGTTGCATTTTCCGATTTCCTCATCTCGAGATTCGATGTCGGCTTGCAATCCCTCTACCTTTGTATCAGCGTCGTTGATCTGCTGAAGGTACTTGTTGATTTCATCCTCTTGCGAATCGATCTGGATTTTCAACGTCGCATCATCCTCGCTATTGTTGAATTTCTCGAGTTGGGCAATGTACCTGGCGTTGTCTTCTCGGTAGTCGTGAACCTCCTCCAAGATTCTCGAACACTCGCGATGCTCCTTTTGAAGGGCGGATAAGTCGGCCTCCAAGCCCTCAAGCTTATCCTGTAGGTTCGAATTATCGTCCTCGACACGGCTCAGCAGCTCCTTCTCATCCTTAATCTTTTCCTCCAATTCCTCAATCCTGCAATTCAACTTGGAGATCTGATCCTTGCTGAGGCCCTGGAAGAAAGCACCACTCATACTAATATCCTCAAACTTATCATCCAACCTCTCCTTCAAGTCCACCAAATCCAAATTCTCCTTCTGCAACACCAGAATCTCACTCTTGGCCCTCTCCAACTCTGCCTCCAACTTGTCAACGCCCTCAGAACGACGCTTCTTAGCCACCTCCACCAACTCCTTGATCTCTTTATCTTTCTTCACCAACCTACCCTGCGCATCCCGAAACTTCATACCCAAGATCCCCATATCTTTCCGATGAATCATCTCCTCCTCGGCAAAACACCTAACCTTCCAATCCAGCTCCTCGATCTTGCGCTCCGCATCCTCTCGAGCCTGGCGCAGGAGCGAGTTCGAGTACTCGGTGCGGTGGAAATGGTTATCGTAGCGAGCGAGAAGGTCGAGCGTGGAGAGCATGAGCGAGGAGCGGGTTTCGCTGGTCGGGATCGTGAAGGTGCTATCAAGGGGAACAGGAAGCGTGGATTTGAAGTTGGTCTTGTCGTAGCTGGTGTCGAAGCAGGAGTCGTGGATCTTGAAGGTGATGTCTGTGTCCTTGTGGGCGTTGGGGATCGTGGGGGGAGAGAGGATCTTGGCTTCACGCTTGGTTTCGGCGGTGACGGATTTGGGGTACTTGACGGTAGTCGGGGACTTGATTTTGGGGGCGGCATCAGACTTGGGGCCACTCTCTGCAGTCGGAGACTTGGCCTTGGGCGAAGCATCAGACTTGTTGCTTGGAGATGTTTGGAAGAGTTCCTTCACGCCGGTATACGACTTGGTCGTGAAGATGCGGCGGTCGTGGGGGTCGGTATCATCTGGGTCGGCGTGAGGACTGCGCTTCTTGACCTTGATCGAGGTCGTTGGGCTTTCATCGACCGATTCGATCGTGGTAGCTCTGGGCTTAGGAGACGGGGTCATGGGCTCCCCGACGGACTTGCCTTCGACAGGGCTGCAAGGAGCACTCTCCTTCTTCTTGGAGTCGTCTGGAGAATTGTGAGTAGTGGAAGGGGGGCTAATGGGTGCCGCGCCGATGGAATCCATCTTTGGACGTTGTGGGGAGTGGCGAGAGCAGATAATGTATGGGAATGCCTTGTGAGGCAAGTGAGTCATGCCAATGTGATACATGATTTAAGGATTCTAGAACGGAGGGGAAAGCTCTGTTATATGCTCCATGGAAGGTCTGAAGTGAAGTCAAACGATTGCTTTCATCTAACTTCCCTATGCTATAGCGCTTCTTCCCGGCCGTGAAGGACTTCCTGCGATATCAAAAGCCTCAGTGCATGTTAGAATGAAGTTTGTTGTAAAGCATGCATGTCTCAGCATATTGATCAGATATGTGACTCAAAACCCGCAAGACCACAAACGAATTCAACAAAGGCAATTAAGCAGGTCGCAGTTTTAGGAGAGGAATACCCAATCTTTAGAATCTTCTGCCCGAATTCCGATGCTGACTCTATGTTATGAAGAAAGAAAGGGCCATTGCATGAGTTTCAAATGGATGGCAAAGGTGATGGAGGTGGGAAATGTAGAGGGCCGCTCGGCAACAACAAATGCAGCAAGCAACGACAACCGAAGGGAAATGCAAAGCAAGATATGTGCAAGTGATTCAAAATCTCGAAATTCTCAAAGACGGTATACTCTGTTCATGTATTGTACAAGCGAACGTACATCTAACCTTTGTCTATCATCTATATGCCAAATCAGCTGCGCTAGGAACTGTATCAATCTGCGTCTTGCCTTGCTCCGTGCTATTTTGCGCCACTTGTTGAATCTTCCGGTGATGCGTGTTCTAGCCCGTAAGTAGGATCATCATCAAAGTCCTCAGTCTCATTCCATCTGGCAATTAGCTTTGCTTCCCGTCTAGCTCGCCTCGCTAACATTCCCGCTCTCCACTTCTTCAATTTCTCAGTTCCAGTCCAGGTCGAAACAATGCCAGTTGGAGTCCTGTACTTGACTCTCTTCGGCAAGAACAGAGCCCAATCATGTAAGATATTTGGAACATTTTGTGCCGACCAGTGGTCATTGTGCCACAGGGATCTATTCCCACCTGCAAGCAATATTCGTACCCATCTTTTCACGTATTGTCTGTTACGCCAGACTCGGAATCGGGCATATATCAATTCCCGTGCTCTTGCTTCGATCAAAGATTCCTTTCCCCGTCCAAGCACAGAAATGTATGCAGCCTCTTTCCTCCCCAAAATGCGGACTTCGTCTTTCAGCACTTTCCGAGCTTCTTCCATGCGCCGTTGCATCTCGCCAAATCGCTGCCGGTACATGAGATTCGACATGAGCCGATTGTACATCTGGATTATAGGCTTCACATTGTAAGGCTCTAATGTCATCGTTTGCCAAAGATTGGACACTGCTTCAGGGGGCAATTGACCAATTTCTCTTCCAGTTGGTTTCTCAAGACCAGCTTTCTTTCGGACAAGTCGCTTCTTTGCGGATACTACGAATGTCCATTGCAAGAGCTCATTCCATACATTCAGCGGAATGGGGATTGAATAATGCCGCGAAACATGGTCTAGGAGACGTAAAGCGGTCGAGATGTCGTTGTTGCTGCCATAAGCATGAGCAATAGAGTAGAGTAAATGAGTTGAAGGGAAGAACGGAGATCGTGGGCCGTATGGTGTGGGTGGTGAAATCTCAGAATCCTCCTTTGTCATAACGGCATCCACATCAATGTTCCAGACTCGACTGAGTATTGATGCAATGCCATTCAAGTCCCTTTCTCGACCAAGTGCAATGATCATAAGACAAAAGGTCTCCTCGTTGCCAGTAACTCCTAGGTCAACCATTTGTCGGAACAAGCGAGAGGCTTGTGATTTGATACCTGAAACTACTCCGATGCGATGGGAACTCAGAGTGTGAGGAGGAATGAGCCAGGATCGAGGAGTGAAGTTCTCTTCAATCACTCGAAGTCTGTATCTGTGCTTCGGGTTTATTTTATCTTGCCAGCACTTGACTGCCAAAAAGTGATTGAAAGCTTCAGCGTCCGGAACCACAGCTGCTCCCTCATGTTCTTTGGGCGGACTGATCATAGTTTCCCATATACTCTCGGCTGCCTTAGCGTGGCCGACCGCCTTTGCACATTTCAAGAGATACTTGTAGTCCGATATAGATAGTGGCCATCGCTGTCGGCGAGCATTCATGACATGACCTGCTTGGGTAAGAAATGCCGAACAGAATTCGTAGTAATCTTCGTTTCCCAAGATATTTTGACCTCCCAGCAAATGTGTCGAGACCGAACTGATTTCACCAAAGACCGCTGCGTAAGGATCGAGGAAATGCTTCGGATCAATACAACGCAGAATCTCAGAGAATGTTGGAGGTGGAGCTGAGACGAGAATGGCGGAAGGATATCCGTGGCTTTCTAGCTGAACAATGTTCATCAAGGACCTCATCACGGCATGTGGATCTCCAGTACGCAGAGCATCGTAAACTTTGGTCTCCTCCTTTGTGACAAGACCTTCTTCTGGAAGCTGGGGATCGAATGGAACTATTGCCCCTCGAATATGATTGTACCTGGGTTGGCCCCGACGTGGAAGTCGAAGATACTCTGAGGGACTTTGGGAAAAGGACGCAAGCTTGTATTCCACGATTTCCTTATTGGAATTTCCCTCAATTGCCGTACCCCAATTCTGCCAGGTCTGAACGTCATCCGCAGATCCATTGTAGACATCGCGATGTGTCAATGATGTCTGGTCAGGAGCGCCGACTGCAGCTCGTGGTGTGCTTCGGAAGCATCTTCGGAGTCGAAGGGAATGCACGCGACCAGAAGTTCCTCGAGGACAAGAATTTGACAGAATCCGGGACTCAACCGCCTCGAATCGGAGGAACAGCGGAAACATTTGCTATTGTCGAGTTATCATGTTGGTACAGAAGCGCGGAGCAGTGGAGTTGAGAGCTCAATGCGTTTCTGGGGATTCTGGGGAATTTTTGGGAAGTCAATTTGGCAGCTCGGCGTTCTCCGTTGAAAACTTCAGTCGCGAAACCCAAAGTCAACAGCATCAGATTTAGGATCTCGACGCGCCTCTCCACAACCAACACCGTACATTACGAAACGATGGCTGATGTCGATGATGGAACGTCTGCGCCGGCAGAGCCCATGGACTTGGTACGCCTGTGCCTTGACGAGATCGTGTTCGTGAAGTTGAGAGGAGACCGAGAATTGAAGGGCAGGTTACACGTAAGTTCTTCTGTTGATTGCTTGTCTAATTGTCGCTAACAGTCTGGCAGGCATACGATGGACACTGCAATCTGGTATTGGGTGATGTGGAGGAGACAATCTACGTGGTAGAAGAGGACGAGGACGAAGAGGAGGTCATACGGGTAGGCACATCGGAACCTTCATTGCATGTTGGAGACTCCTACTAAGCTCTAATAGACTATCCACAAGAAATCAGAGATGCTATTCGTCAGAGGTATGCTCCCCATGCATTACATTCCTTTATTATCAGAGAGTTCAGAGTTGCTGACTTGCAAGTAGGAGATAGTGTTGTCTTAATCTCTCCCCAAGGAGGATCTTGAAACCAAAGATGCCGATTAAGAACGAATCAAAAGCGATGACTACACAAGGCTGTCTGTAGTAGGCGAAGATCTGGGCAGGAGACGCATATCTAGGACATTGAGGTAGCGGGGGAGGGGCAATTGTCTGATTCCAAAGCTGCAACTTTTGCCTACTTCCATGCATAAGATACCAGAAGAATGAAGCCTCTGGCCGAATTGGCAAGGCAGATTCATCACTCTCAATCAAAGCTATTCAATACGAAGTCAGCCTAACTTCTGCCCAACTTCTGAGGTTGTGTTGTTCTGTTCACCTCCAAGTGACTCGAGTCAAGGTCGATGAATCACGATTCTCTTATCGTCCGATAAAGCTTCCCCGCCGAAAGAGTCAGACTTCTTCCTTTATAAACACCTCAACTCACCTTCTCCATCTCATCAATTAACCACGACTCAATGAAATTATAAGACTGAACCCCTTTGAACTTCACACAGAACAACCTCCAAATGATCTTACGAATACACTAAAGAACAACAGCCACAACTTCAACTCGATACAACATTTGTCGCATCGAGTAAACATCATGGCAACGAAAGGCAAACAGCTCCCACACGAGCGGCGGAAAGGCGAATCTGTATGAAGTATATCTCTATACTCTTGTAACCATTTGCTGACCATCGTAGGCATTAAGTGAATTCGCAGACTACGTCGAGAAGCAGCAAGCACTGCGGTATCCATCTGCTGCAGGCACCGCAAACCCCGCATTAGAAGACCATGCCGAACTTGATATCCTAAACTCTCTCGACCTCGCAGACACCTCTTCTTCAGTCCGACTAAAAGAGCTGCTTCTCTCTAACGACGATGACATGCTAGTGAAACTGGTCACCCTGCTGGAGACGCGGATAGAGGAAGGCCATGGCGAGACAGTATTTGAGATTGGATTCGAGAATAATGGTGATTCGATGGCATTAACCAAAGATGAGTGGGACATGTCCATGAAGAGGCTACGAGAAGCGGCAAAGAATGTCAGGGCAGATTGCCAAGTGCTGTTGACGAAGCATGTCGGGGGGGAGGAAGAGGCAGAAAGTGCAGCGACGGAGAAAGACAAGGAGTGCAGTGGCAAGATATTGATCCGACAGCACCCAGCTACCGTGGAGGAAGTCATCGAGACTAGAATTGCGGTGGTGGGAAATGTAGACGCTGGTAAATCTACTATGCTGGGAGTCTTGGTCAAGGGTGGGCTCGACGATGGAAGAGGCAAAGCTCGTGTCAACCTCTTCAGACATAAGCACGAGATTGAGAGTGGTCGGACCAGTTCAGTCGGTATGGAGATCATGGGATTTGATATTATGGGCAAGGTCGTTGCTGCAGATGTCCCAGGACGAAAGCTGTCTTGGGAGGAAATTGGCAAACGCTCTGCCAAAGTCATTACCTTCACCGATTTGGCTGGACACGAACGATATCTGCGAACCACGGTCTTCGGCCTCCTGTCCTCCAGCCCGAACTACTGTCTGTTGATGGTGGCTGCCAACAATGGTCTGATTGGTATGAGCAAAGAGCATTTGGGTATTGCATTGGCTCTCAATGTCCCAGTCATGGTTGTCATCACCAAAATCGACATTTGTCCTCCACAGATCTTGGAGCAGACTATCCAGCAAATCACTCGAATCTTGAAATCTCCAGGTGCCCGGAAAATCCCAATTTTCATCAAGAACAAGGAGGAGTGCATCAACACTGCAACTCAATTCGTTTCTCAGCGGATATGCCCAATCTTCCAGGTTTCGAACGTCACTGGAGAGTCACTCGACTTGGTTCGTTCATTCTTGAATATCTTGCCGCACCATGGCCACTATGATGCCCAGGCACCTTTCGAGTTCCACGTTAATGATACCTTCTCGGTGCCATTCGTCGGAACTGTCGTGTCTGGTATCATCAAGAGCGGTGTCATCCATGCTGGCGATACTGTTCTGATTGGCCCAGACTCATTGGGACAATTCACTACGACAAACATTCGATCTATCGAGCGAAAGCGGATACAGGTACCGGCTGCATCAGCAGGCCAGTCTGCATCTTTCGCTCTGAAGCGTGTCAGACGAAAAGATGTTCGTAAAGGTATGGTAGTTTTGCCCAAGCTAGAGCAGAATGCACCAAAGGTATACAGAGAGTTTGTCGCAGAAGGTAAGCCATAATCAGGGATTTCTAGCTTGCTCACTGATCATTATCTAGTCTTGATTCTGTCTCATGCAACAACCATCAAAACCAAATACCAAGCCATGCTCCACGTCGGACCAGTCTCTCAAACCTGCGCAATCATCGATATCGACAGATCCTACATCCGAACTGGTGACCGTGCAACAGTCGCATTCCGCTTCGTTCAACGGCCAGAATACCTCGCTCCTGGAGATAGACTCCTCTTCAGAGAAGGTCGCACGAAAGGACTTGGAATTGTCAAGAGTGTAGGATATGATGCTAGCAAACCACTCAATCCAGATGCCGCAAAGGATGCGAAAAACGGTTCTACGAAAGAGGGTAATGGAGCCGTTAAGTCTTCAATTGAAGGCAATGGAAATACCACTGAGCCAACAGCGACAGTTGCTGGATCAAGCAAGTCTTGATATGGGAAGGATGGAGTTGCGGAACGGGAGGATGGACGTAGCTTTGCATGGCAGTGATTTCTGGAGTTGGGCGTAGCTGCTAGGCTTGGCAAGGACTTGGGCATCGTGGGGCGCTTGATGGGTCACAGAACAAAGGCTTGCTTTCCTAGTAGCAATCATTTCAAATGCGTGAACGTCTTACATATTTCCCAGACCTGGCAAATCTTCAATGATCAGCCAGCTACAAATGTCCCAGATTACCACGAGTGTGGCCAGCAACGGAAATCACGAACCAAGATCTCAGTCTCATCCAATGTCCTCCAGTGAGCTTTGAATCTTTCTCTGATCGTAGCACCACAATTTCCGCAACCCAATCATCGTTAACCTGTTCTTTTCATCCATTCCAAATTTTCCTGTTCCTGAGATCGATGTGGCTGAAGCCCCTGTATGTGCCCCGCCACAACCTGACTGTGCCACACCGATGCGGGGATGACGTCGGGAGAACGTCATTTGGGTGCATGGCGCATGAGTACATGCTTGAACCTTGAATACGCAAGCAATAGCAAGCTTTGTTTAGTTTTATTTCAGTTGCATGTTGTTTATTGAGTGATAACCACCCTGTCTGATGTTTCTTCTGGATTTATATGTGTTTAGTCGAGAGTGCTCAGGAGATAATTCATAAGATTTATGTGATGCGGGGTAGGATCTTGAGTGAGACATGAGGGGAAGAACACGCTTCAATACAGACTTTACTTCAGCTTAAGGAAAGAGAGGACAAGCAATAGCATTTCAATAATCCCCATTTTGGAAACAAGCTTCAAGATGAATAGCAGCTAATCACGCAAGCGGATCTGCCATACCAGTGAGAAGTGACAACCCGGTTCTTGGTTACCATCTAATTACCAACACTATGCAAAGATCAGCTAACACAAACTCCCTTTCCTTGAATCGGAAACGGAAGAAAACATCTGGTGGAAGAACTCGATTTCGTGACCCCACGCTAACACGTGGAAATGACGTTGGGGTCTCATCCTTGATTTGGGGATACCCCGCCAAGCCAGCCAGGCAGGAGCGGGACGAGGAGCGGCTTTATATTGCTTGATTCCCTTGGTTATTTGCTTGGAAGTACAATACTAGGAACTCTGATACCCAATACACTCTCAACGACGACGAAGGAAAATCGAAGATAAAATAGTACGAAATGGAGACCGTAAACAACATCGCATCGGCAGCCTCGCGTGCCATCTGGGGTGAATCGGCTCAGACGGGTGAGACTGCCACTGCTGCAGGCACCGAACCGGTTTCCGGTAAGACCGGGAATGTGGAAGCGGGGGAGCCGTATGATAAGGGGAATGATGGTGGTGAGTGATTGCTTTGCCCCTCGAAGGAAGGAATCAAGGATGGAAGCTGACCTGCAGTAGAGTACCTACTTTCGGCCAGGAGGACGAGTGAATGAGGGAGGGGCTGACGTATGAGTTTTTTTTTAGAGCCAGTGAATAATACTTCTTCTTCGACGACTACCGACTCGAAACTTCCTACCTACTTGAACTATCAGAAGGAGAACGCAAATACAGATACGACAACTTCGAAAGATACTACAACCAACTCATCTACAGATACCCCCTCAACAGCACCCACAACCACACCATCAAACACCACCACCTCCAAAATGACAGACAACACCCCCTCCACCTCCATCGAGAAACCAACCACCTCCTCCACCGACGACTCCTCCACGACCGCACCACCCAGCAACCGCTCCGACCCCGCCCCCGCCGCCCAATCAGCCGCCAACCAAGAAGCGATCCAGAAATCTACTCCCGCCGACACCACTCCCGCCGACAAGAACGACGACAAAGAAGACGACGAAGCAACCCAACAAGCCGGTCTCAAAGCCGACGGCATCACCGAGACGTCCAAGGAAGGCGACCATGCGCCGAAGTTCGATACCTTTAAGACGAGTGACGGGCCGCATATCGGGGATGGGAAGAATGATGGGCGTGTAGGGCCGCCGATTGAGAAGGGCGATTTGAAGGAGTTTGAGAATCATGATGGGTCGGAGACGAAGAAGGAGGAGGGTGAGGGGAAGGTCGAGGGTGAGTTTTGATTTTTTATCTTTTGATGTGGGATGAGGGGAAGTGCTAATGCTGAATGAATGTAGGGAAAGTTGCGGAGGAGAAACATGCGCATCATGGTGAGGAGAGCGTGAAGAAGGATACGGAGAGTGCGGAGAGGGCTGATAGTCCCGGGAAGGAGAAGGTTAGCTTGAAGGATAAGATTAAGGCGAAGTTGCATAAGCATTAGATGGCTGGTTGGTTGGATATGGGGGTTCGCTTCTGGTTTTTTGTGTAATTCTTTGAGATTTTGATGATGGGTGCAAAGGAGGGGAAGGGGGTAATTAATCAATGCATTGCGTGGATTTTTCAAGTCGGTTGGTTTTTGGTGTTATTGTGCTGGTGCTGTGTTCGCTTTCTTGTGTCTTGATTGTTGCATTGGAAGAATGTTGTTGTCTGGTGTGTACTTGGGACTTTCAGTTTGCGCTTTATTTCCCTCTTATGTCACATCTTAGGACACAAGTGTCAAGTCGTCGACGTTTCTCATAGTCACATGCTTCACCTTCTTCTTATAAACTCCTTCACTCAAAGCATCGAGGCCCGGCATTTTCGCGAATAAACACCCCACAGGGAATGATGGACTCGGCGACTCTTCGAGGCGCCATTCCTGAGATGGTACTCGGGTTGCTGTCGACGTCGAATTGTTTTCGAAGATAGCGTTCAAGAAGCCTTCTCTTGTTAATCCGCTCCACCGCTCAGCTAAACCAAGTTGATATTTATTTCCTTTATTTCTGTTCTTTCTGGGGTTTCGATGCCTAGATAAAACTGTTACTTGGTGGCTCATTCTTGCGAGCTTCCAAAGTGTCCTTATATATCTGAGAGTTTAAGAATGTAAGTATTTCTTGTTTATTGTCTGGTTATTTTACTGAGGTGATAATGTCCAAAGCGAGGATGAAACAAAGAGTTTGCACGTTGGTCTGGTTTATAATGTTCTCTTGTGAGCTGGGTGCTTACGATTGATGTCTCAGCTGCCCAACCCCTCGGCGACAACGCTCATTCCTACACTGATCCGTCAGTTGTTGACTACCTATTTTCGACGCGCAGATATTTGATCCTCTATAATCCATTCATGCGCGTCACTAATTAGATGACGAGGCATTTGTCTACCTTGAGAGCGTATTTCACCGCTAATTCTGGCCGCGTGTAGATTATACTTTAAGCCCGGAGGCCCACCACCGTTTATTCGTTGAGTTGATAAAATTGGGGCAAAAGAGGTATTTTAGAGTTTTGACTTCGATAATCAATGCTAAAATCGCATCGCATCGCATCTGGCCTTCGACCGATATTCATGTTCTTCTTGGTCTGTTTCACTTGGGTAGTTTGGATGTTCCTGTTACCCTGCTGCATAAAATCCCACTGTTATTTCTTCTTTTGGAGTTGATTTGGAGATGATAGCTTGGGGTGATGATTGACTTCTCAACTTGCTGAGGAAAGAGCACTTTTTCACCACCACCCCCTTCCCAACACCACATTCGCTCTTGCATCTTCTCAATTCATCAGACCATGTGGGACTTTAAGCACTTACTCCTTTCCTCCCTTAAAAAACAATCCATCTTCGACCCGAACACCACAACTCTCCCCTCCCAATCGTCCCACCACCCATCAGACATCCAAAATGCCACCCTCGACTCCTCGCCGCCCGCGAGCCCCTACACCAGCTGCTCAACCCCGAGACCAATGGCAACTTCCACCCTTCTTCCTCGGCATGGTGGTCGCGGCTTTCCTCTTCATTGCCGGCATGTCGGTTAAGCCTGCTGTTGGAGAATGTCTTGTGACGAGGTCGACTGTGCGGGTTAATCCGTTGGATGTCCAGGAACATATGAGATATCACAAAGCTTGTGGATTGCCGGAGATGAAAGCTGGAGAGTTTCGTTGTGAGGGAGGGGTTTTTATGGGGGAGAATCCGGTGGTCGAGAGTCTCAATATCAAATGTCCTCTTACCCTTACAGGGGTTCGTAATGGTAAAGAGTACACTCTTGATCTCTTCGATTGGACTCCGACGTCGACACGTCACTTAGTGAAGCGCGAGCCAGACTTGCAAGCACCAATCGAAGAGACCAAAGGAAAAGGAATTGATGTGACATATCCTGATTTCATCGTCCGTTGGCGACAAGGCGAGGAGGACGACACAACGCGTTTCACACTAAACCGGGGTCATATGTTTCCACATCTTTCAGGGAAATATATGGAGGCATACAAGGACACTATACGCGACCTGCCACATTATTTCCCTCTGTCAGACCTACAGATGTCACTAGTTTCTTGGTCAGAGATAAATGAGCTGGAGACGTCTCGATACCACCTCAGGCTTGCACTCCAGTCCACTAAGCCTGGCAAGGTGACGAAACGCTTTCACGCGAGACTTCAATATCAATGTGTGAAAGAACAACCCAGACTGACCCTTCTGCCGCCGAATGGAAGTACGTTATGCAGTCGACCTTCATCTTGAACGAGTGCTGATCTTCTCTATTAGCTGCATTCTTTGGTATGCCCGGAGAATTCGAGCCGGTTTTCTTGGAGGTCGTTCCTCACTTTGGAGCTAATGGTACATAAAAACATATGTTTCGACCATGATATACGTTGACACTCACAGGCACAATGATTGGACATTCTCGACCTGGATGCCGTCAAGGAGCTCCCTGCGTCTGGTCCTGGGGCCATGCTGCAAGGAAGGATTTCGAAAGTGGGTACTATGCCAGTTCATACAATCACAAAATGATTAACCTCTTTAGGTGGCGAGTCTGAGTTTCAAGTACTGGTCAACCTTCATTCTAACATGGGACACGATGAGCTTTGAGGAGTCGACTCTAATTGGCTTACGCTTTGGTGGCACACCACATGGTCATTACAGATTGCGCTGTGGACTTATCCTCTTTGCACGTTGGGGATTCTCCGCCAGTCATCTTTCTCTCTTGTCAGCATCAATACCAAATGTACTTATGGTTTCATCGCAGTTGAAAGATTACCAGGGGACGTTCGGATTATCACTTTACTCAGTCACAAAGCCGAGCAGATAGATTTAGTGTTTTCATAAATCCAGATTGTTTTCAACTCACAACTTTGAAGTCGTGCTGCCTTGTTCGGCAATCTCAGTCCACATGTTCACCTCGCCAAAATTCGTCATCGTATTTGGCCCTCCTCTCCTGCCTTGTACATCCTCCCAGTTTCTCTCAACAGCAGTCTCTGGCCTCCACCTGAAAGCCTTCTTCAGCTTTGGATCTAACTTGCCCTCGACTGTGTCAGCAATAAAAGCTCCCACTGAAGTGATATGCATAAACCCATGCCCTGAGCCTCCAACTGCCAAAACTAGCGAACGAAGTTCCGGATGCCTATCAATCAAGAACTCCCGATCAGGCGTATCTGCACACCAACATATCCTCGCAAACGAGAACGGTCTTCCTGCAAGCTGCGGCATCGTATCCTTCAAGAACCCTCTTACTCTGTCCTCTGCCTCTTTTGGGATCTGATGTTTGGCGAACGGAACACTTTCTCTTTTCCCGTCCTCCGAGATAACCCAGTTACAATACCCAGGATGCTCGTCACAGATCTTCAACTCCTGCTTCTCCTCATCGGGCTCCATAAAGAACCCACTCTCAATATTAAACAGAACAGGCAAGTTCTTGTACAACTCGCACTCCTCAGCCGACATCTTGATATGCGCCAGCGTCCACGCTGTAGGTCGCAACTGGTCTTTCATATCCAGCAACTGCGGGGCACTAGCACCAGCCGCCAGAATAACAGTCTCAGCCCTCCACTCAGCCCCATCTTTCGTCACGGCTCCCACACAATCTCCATCCTCTATCAACAGTTTGACCACGTCCCCGTTCTCCCCAGTAACAAACCTCACACCAAGCCTCTCGCTCTCCTTGTACGCAGCAACCAACGCCCCCCTCGCAAACACCCACCCCGCACCCCTCCTCTTAAACCCCCCCTTCCACCCCGGAAACTCACCAGTAAGCACCCCCTCCGGCATCGTAGCCCTAAACTCGGCAGGCGAAGAAAGCCATTCGAAATCAGGGTCGTTGTCGAGAGATTCCCGTTTCGTTAGTTGGGCCAGGCCGTCGAGCGTGTGCGCGCAGATTATGTAGCCCGTGTCGTGGTAGTAGGGTGTGAAGAGCGGGTCGGTGGTCCAGCCGTGGGTGGCGTGGTGGAGGAGCGTTGAGGAGATTGAGTCGGGGGAGGTGGATAGGGAGCCTGTGTGGAGGAGGGGGTTAGTTGGTTGGGAGAAGGAGGGAAGGAGGGGAAAGGAGGATATGACCTTGTTCGACGATTTTGTTTATGTCGTTTCCGGCGGAGATGGGGGAGGGGACTGGGTAGGGGTCGAGGACTGTTATGTTCTTATAGCCGCGTCTGGCGAGATGTAGAGCTGTCGAGCAGCCCCAGGTTCCGGCGCCGATTATGAGAATTGGGAAGTCGTGTGAGGGGGTGGTGGTGGGCATGGTTGGTGTGGAGGTGGAACGAGGACTTGGGGGGGTTTTTTTTTAATTTTCGAGGAAAGCAGAACAAATATAAACACGATGTATGAATATCCAAGTCCAGAACGATCTATAAGTACAAGAAGAATAAGCATTGGTACAGCGCGGTGTCAGGTGCTCGCCAAGTCCTCCCCCACCTTTGGCGAGTAGGAAAAGGAGAAACTATCCCATCTTTGGGGTGAGACTGAACGATTTTGGTACTAGTACATCGAGTAGATTAAAACTTATCTGAAGGTCCGGGTTGACCTTCCATCTTACAGAATGATGGATAGCTTAAAGCTTATCTCCGGTCCTGGGTTGACCTTCCATGTTATAGAAAAGCGCCACCCGGAATCTTGCTCCGCACTTTGGTCAAGGTCTGGAAATTGATAAGATACAATTGACAACGGATACTTATCTCGAGCAGATGGTGGGATGGGGATATATATTGCCATGAGTCTCCCGTGAGATGATGCGAGACAAGCATTTGTAAAATTCGAGATTTAGTTGCAGAGATGGCCGACGTTATTGAAAGTGTTCCCGGAACGGAATATCTCGTTGATGGTATGTTGACCCTTTCGATCCTGATAGCACCTGTTCTGATACCGTCTCGCAGTGAACCACAAAGCAGAAGTTGAACATGCTGGGACTACTGGTTCTTCAGACATTGTTCTGATCCCACAGCCTACCGAATGTGGTGGAGATCCACTGGTAAGAACATTTCACGCCTGATACGATGACAGAAGATTGACAATGTGTAGAGATGGTCAAGATGGAAGAAGTACTACCAACTCTTTCTCGTGGCCTTTTATGCTTGTGCTTTCTCGTACGGGGAAAACACTCTGGGTGCAGCGTGGACAACAGTCAGTGAGGACACCGGCGTTAGCCTCACGAATATGAATGGAGGAAGTGCTTTGAACTATCTCTTACTCGTAAGTCCCCATGTCCAAACCCACTCAGCCCTAAAACTGACCTCAACCCAGGGCTTCGTCAACATCTTCTGGATCCCAGCAGCCATGAAAATCGGTCGTCGCCCCGTATTCCTTATCACAACAATTTTCTGTCTCTGCGCTGGCGTCTGGCTAGGCGAGTTCCATGGGACAGGCCAATGGTTCGCTGCCATGATTTTGAATGGTCTAGGCACGAGTGCTTATCAGGCTGTCATTCAACTAAGTGTCTTTGATATGTTCTTTGCGCATGAGAGGGGTCGAATGTTGAGTGTGTATCTTTTTGGACAACAGCTTGGGTCGATGTGAGTCTTGATTACATCACTTGTGATACAGTAACTTATGATAAACAGTCTTGGATTGATCACAGGAGGTTCAATCGCTGATACACCTGGCTGGCGCTGGAGTCAGTATATTGTTGCAATCATCGATGGAGTTGTCCTCTTGCTTCTATTTATCAGCTTTGAGGAAACGCTCTTTCCTCGATTTCTGTTTGGGCAAAGCGATCCCTCGGAGCGACATGCATCATGCTCAGGCGTCGACTCCGACGGAAAGCCGATTCAAACAACAGTCACAGCGAATGCAGAAGTCTCATACGACTTCCCCAAGAAGAACTTTGTCGAGCGTCTCAAGCTGTGGACATACTATCCAGAAGATAGAACGACGTACTGGCAGTACTTCAGACGTCCGTTCTTCTTGCTGTCTTTCCCTAATGTCATCATTGTAAGTCTCTAATCACCTTTTCGAGAAAACTCTCGCTAACTCAAACATAGGCAGGATTCATCTTCGCATTCGGCTGCACCGCAGGAATCGTCTCCTTCAACACGATCTCCGAGATCCTTACCGAACCCCCATACAACTGGTCCACCACCGCAACAGGACTCGTCTTCCTCGCCGCCCTCGTTGGCAACATCGTAGGTTGGGCAACCGGTACACTCTCCGACCAAATCGTCATCCGCTTAGCAAGACGTAACAACGGCATCAAGGAACCAGAGATGCGTCTCTGGACCCTTGGTTTCTCAATGGTGTACGCTCTTCTAGGATATTTCCTCTACGGCTGGGGTGCCCAGACTGGCGCCCACTGGATGACCATCGCCTTTGGCGTGGGCTGCATGATCGCGCATCAAGTGAGCGCTTGCTCTATCGCTACTGCGTACGCCATGGAATCTTTCCCTGGGGTGTCCGGGGAAATGGTGGTCATTCTGGCGATGTGTAGCTCTTTGATCAACTTCGCCTTCTCGTATTCGGTGCAGCCCTTCATCAACGCGGCCGGGTATGGATGGACATTTACGTTCTTCGGCTTGGCGGTTTTTGCGTCGATGGTTGCTGCGGTGCCGATGATAGTTTATGGGAAGAGGTGGAGAGTCAGGTGTGCACCGAAGTATTATCGCTTTATCAATGAGAGCAGGTGGGAGTAAGGGGAGGTTCAGAAGGGGTAGGGAAGGAAAGATAAACGCAAGGGTTACAACTCATATTGAGCTAGGATGGTTGCGCGGCATACTCGTGTACAGGGAAAGGTGGATGTAAGAAAGGGTATAGATGGATCTGTTGGATTCGAGGTAGGATTATATTTTGAACATAAAGCGATAAACATGTAAGCGAGAGCCAAGGCGCTGTAAAAACACGAACTGCAAGTAGCTTTATATTCTCGTAACGACTGGAGCAGACTATTACATCCTCCTCCTCCCCTGCTGCACAAGTATGCTCCTTGTACCACAACTTCTACTCATAGCTTAAGCGTCAACTGTGATAAATTCTCCGGTCTTGATGTCCAAAATGAAGCCATAAGAATGCTCCCGAAGATCTTTCTTGATAAGAGGTGAAGCTCTAAGAATAGCCAAATCATCCTTAACGCTCTGGTGGATCCTGATTTCGATCAGTAGATGTTACGATCGAGTGAAATAAGGTTGTGACTTACTCAATGGTTCCACCAAATTTCATGCTATCGACATCCTTGGCTTCTGGGAGTTCCTTCTTGATGTAATTGCGGACATTCTCATTCTTCATCATGAGGGAACCGCAATCTTGGGGGAGACGTCAGTTCAATACTCGGAACCACAAAACGGCAAATTATAATTTACCTGTGTGATGAACAATGATAACATCCGTGAAATTGACAAGACTATCAAGAGAAACAATATCATTCAGAGCTGGGGCAACATGACCACAGACATTGCGGATGATGACTGGTCCAACTGTTGTCGTAGTACTGTCAGTGTCTCAATTTTCTAGATGGGGAGCTTTCCCTGCAGATAGCAAAAAGACTTACCAGGTCCCAAGTCCAGAAACTTCTCCGGAGATATACGAGGATCAGCGCAAGTTACTGAATTATCACTATGTTAGCTAGGCAACAGAGATATGGCCATGGGTTAACTCAACTGATTAGGGTGTGAGGTACTTCGAGACCGAGAGATGACAATTCCGAGAACAGGGGCATTGGCTGATAAGTCTTTGCGGCGTCTCTGGAACAGAGAGCTGTTAGTAAAAGACTACTGATTTTGGTAAGATCTTACTTGTTCTGCTCCAACAGTTTACTGGCGATGGTGTTGCTTGCCATTTTATTGGTGTGCGAAATTGATATGATGAGAGTTGAGTGGAGTGGTGAGAAGTTATTCCAAATTTGAGTATGGCTAAGAATTTTGAGAGTTGAGTATTGTTAAGTTGTTGGAGGATGATCGATGCTGGTGTTCGAGGAAAGGAGGAGTCTCTAGATGTCTTTATAGATAAATACGAGTGCTTTGCAGATACCTACATATCCAAGCTATCTTCCATCGTAGTCTCTGTTACCCAGGGTAGGTTGACTCTTCTAGGCAATACTTGTTGTCTTCGAGCCGAATTTGATACATTCCCACGTCAGTGTCCGCGATGGAATGGAGCACCAGTGATACACTGCTGGAAAGCGGCTCTCTTCATCAAGGAATCTCAAACCAGGGTAGTTGGACAGTTTCTGGAGGATCACTCATCAGGCACGACTTGATACTTTCATAATTCCGCGGCATTGATGAGGCAAACATTCCACGAACTTCCGCAACCATCGTTGAAATTGGCTTTCACCGATACGCTGAAGCCAGGGGTTTGTGACCTTTTCAGGCAATGCTGGTGCCATCCTGGGGGAATTTCGCGCCGCTGACATAATTTGAGGAGTGATGCTTGAAACCGCGCCTAACCCGTTGCGGTTCAACTACCCTGGTAAGCTCTTGCTTTAGCCTCACAGCGGCCGATCCCATTACCTTATGTAATGCATATGCGTGCTGACCCTGTTTCGATTTCCCTGCCGTTCTCAACTCCAAAGACAAATTCCTTAATAGAACACACGATGTAAATTCATAATGGTCTGTTGCTTACTGAGCACAATCCATCTTCACGACTAGGTGCATGTGAGACAAGCCATTACCCTTGCCACTTATCTGGATTAAGCAGCAACAGAGCTCACATCTCCGCCGGCAACAAGACACATTGTCACACACTTGCACACTCTTCATACCTGTATACCATATCGAGGTTGCCTTTTTGACTCTGCCAATAGCGATGGCGACTAAACAAATGAAAATCAGTTTCACATTCGCTAACTCAAGCATCGAGGCTCCGCCTCAAGACCCCGCGACGAGGGCTAGAATCCGCAAACAGGCAATCAAACAAGCCTTCGCTGCACGAAAACAAGACGGGACTCAGAAAAGGTACAACGTTCGACAGTCTCCAGTCTTTGTCAGAGACAAGCTTGTTGCGCCGTCCGTATCTGGAATCAACCTCTCCCGCTCGGATACTGAATTCAAAGTCAATGTTGAAGATCACAACGCTCTAGAAGTCGATGACTTCTTTGCTGCAGAGGAGCCAATAGAACCAGCTAGTGATGATAACGAGATACCCAAAGTCGACCATCTATCATTGGTCTTACGTGAAAGCCAAACACTCTATGCGAATGTTTCAGGCACAGGCTACGAGCAGATAACCCACAAGTACGGCTTCAACATTTTAGACCTATCAGATCTCGCAACCTTCCACGTCGGGCGAAGCACTCGCACTTCCCTCTCTTCGAACCCTTGCCAACTAGTCAACCTTCGGCAATACCAGCCGTGGTCGTTCCTATCTTTTCTCCCTAGTACCTACGAACACTTCCCGTGCATCAGGTATGCTGCCGAGTGCGTCGCCGCTCGTGTCCGTCAGATTCTATCCCCGGGAGAAGTTCACCACTCAACTGTCATAGCCTTATACGTGAAGGCTCTGAAACATCTTCAAGAGGTGCTCAATACTCCCAAGAGATGCCTCAAGCCGGAAGTTTTGTTTGCGACTGAGATCATGGCCATCTATGAGGTGCGTATGCTTTTCAATCCATCCCACTTTTTGACAGGAGATCCTTGTAACTAACCATTCTACAATTGCAGCTCTTAGCAACATCCGACGAAATTGCATGGGTTCGCCATGCAGCTGGTGCTGCGCGCTTGATTCAATTTCGAGGTCCTGCAAACTTTACGACAGAATTCGAAAAGGCTTTGTTCATGGCCCACGCTGGCGCAATTGTACGTAACCAGAATCCTCTCTCTTCACTTGATATTTTCTATCAGAACGAGTAAGAAAATGCTAACATCCGGTATAGTCCAATGAAGCTCTCCTAAAAAACGAGCGTTGCTTCCTCGAAGAGGACCAATGGCGCGACGTCTTCCAGTCCATCATAGTCAGAGACTCAGCCATATCGGATCGTAGCGAAGCCGCCATCACCATGTTAATGATCAAGAGCTCCGCCCCCGGAATCGCAAAAGACGTCACCAGCGCCGTCGTCCAACAACTCAGCACTGATTCGCCCTTCGTCATCGCCGTCGCAGACCGAGCTCGCCAGCTCCATGCGACTCTTCTTTCATGGCACGATAATTACAAAGAACTCCTCGGAGATGATCCTTCGGATATCTGCACTGCTACTATCGAAGGTGATAGCCGCTGCAAGATCATGGGTGTGTATCTCTCGTGTATGGTGTTGGCAAATCGCTTTATGGCTGCTGTGTGTCCATTGGAGCAACAAGAACGAGAAGAAGAGGCGCAGGAGGTGGTGAATAGGATCTTCGAGCTGCAGAAGCATGTATCTAGAGTTCGTCCACAAGCATGTCTTTATTTGGTGCAAGCGGTTGGCCTCGCGCGTGTCACGGCAGTTACGACGCAAGATTGGCAATGCATTTCAGAGTCCAAAGACGCAAGCTTTGGTGGTCCGAGGAGGGTCATTAGTCGATGGAGATTTGAGCGGTGGTGTGAGCTTTTTGGGCGTAAGACGTCTTGAATGTATTTTCTATTATTCTGTAACCATTACAGCACTTCCAAACGTGATCAACATTACATTACAATGCTTTGCACCGCCAAAAGACCAAAATCTCTCTCCATTTTCAGACTCTCCCAACAGCCACTAAAAGTTCTATTAGTGTTCATAGCCTAAGAAGAGCATGTAAGATCATAAAGAGGTGTTGTAGTTCCGTCCGTTACTCCGAAGCTAGGAACCGCACCTTCATCAACAAGATCATACCAAAACGTCGGGATCTTGTCGAACGCAAAGCCGCATCCGACTTGCTGCCAATAGATCTCAGCATTTGTGGTGCTAGCTACTGCGTTAGCCTCGGTCGATCCAAAGACAGGCCACCCTGTTTCAGTGATCCAGACAGGCTTGCCGCCAGCTACAGCAACGGTAGCGTCGTACGCTGTCTCAAACAGCGACTGGCCGTTCGAAATGACGTTGTCATCGGTGGTCTGGTAATAAGGATACGCGTCCATGCCAATAAAATCGGAAACGGTGATCACAGCTGCGTTTGAAGCGTTGGTCCAGGAGTTCCAAGTATCGACGTGTCCAACTAACGTGCTCGAGAGCGCTGTGCCCGCAATGGCATTTCGTGTAGCTTGAATGAATGAAACAAGTTCGTCCGGAGTCGCTCCAGTGCCCTCATTGGCGTTAATGCCAAGTACTGAATCACGATATAGGTCCTCCGATCCAACAGAGATACCAAGTACAAGATCAGCAAGGTCAGTTCCATATTCATCAATAGCAGCTGTGAGTGCGGCGATCTCGTTATCAACATTAGGATAGAAGAGACCGAGGAGGAGATACGTCTTGGTAGCGATTGCGGCTGGAATAGCAGAGATGATGCCGGCCGTTGTTCCATCTTGGATGCTGGTGTATAAACGAGCAGATGTGAATCCAGAGGTTCCTATCAGATCACGAGCGAGGTTGAATTGGGTTACGTAAGTCGATTGTGTCATGCCAGAGGAGCCATAGTTGAATCCTTTAGCTACAGTGCTCGATGATGAGGAGGTAGAGGCCGCTACCGAAGTTGAAGTAGTTGGTGAAACCAGGTCGGATGTTGCTACTGAAGGTCCACCATCACCAGGACCCGTGGCAATGGTGGTAGGAGAACTTGTGGCGACGCTTGCAGGTGCTGAAGTCTCCGTAGGAGCCGATACAGTCGTGCTCGGTTCAGAACTTTCCACTTGCGAAGCCGATGTAGGTGTAGATTCACTACTGGTCAAGCAGGACTGAGGCGTGCCGGGTCCTGTGTATGGAACAGTGATGACTACCCCTTCGTATGTGAACGTCTCAGTGGGACAAGGTGCTGCCGCCGAGCTGACAGCAGTCAAGCAAGATTGAGGAGTACCAGGTCCAGTGTATGGAACAGTAATGACAGCTCCGTCGTACGTGAATGTCTCGGTGGGACAAGCTTCCGCCCCGGTGGAGGTTGCAGTACCGTAGTAGGTTGCGGTCACCAACTCGCCCGCAAAGGTAAATGTCATGAGCGTGGGCTCAGCATCGTCACGTTTTGCTGCTGGAGCGGCCCATGTCAATGCTGGCAGCAAAGCTCCCAGAATGAATGATCGCATCTTGAAAGTGGTCCAAGCGGATTAACGAGAGTGTGAAGATAGTTTGATTCCGAGCAGAAGAAGCTTGGAGTTGTGTGGTGCAATGTAACGAGAGAATGGGACGTGCAACGATTATATGAGCAGTGAAGAGACTTTACAGTCTACATGTGATGATGGTGGAATGGTGGTAAAAAGAATGCGCGGCAGTGACGTCTAAGAAACATTTTCCCCACGGGAAAGCGCATCATGGAAGAGGACTACCATAGTGGAGGACCAGAAGCAGCTTCCTCAATTGGATGTCGGATAATCGGAACTCAGAATACGCTTGCATTCATGACATTCGATGTATTTAGTTCGTGGCAAATATGTTGAAAAGTTGAACAATGTCTTTTAACGTTCTGCAGATACGAGGTTGCGTGCTATTTATAGAATTGCACTAGTGCCCAAGATCCCCAGAGAGAGACCAGATGCTGGAGCAGGCAATGAGGTTTTATGGACTAATAGACTTTATAGACTTGCTGGCAGCACGAAGCTTCATCTAAATGGGCTATATGTTGAGTATAAAGCCTCGGTTTGTGATCAAAAAGAGCTCCATATGTAGTCACGTGATGATATATACCTTTGTTTTTCGGATGGACATGATGCTGTGAAACAAGATTGACTGAGGAGGAAGCAGTTCTCGGGTCTAAACGTAGTTTGGAGGCGATACATTGCAATATATTCAGGGACTACCTATTTCTCTTCGCGGCAGCTTGCCCACCCATTCGCCCTTTTCTACTCCTGGAGATACCTCTCCGTTGCACGACACGGGTAGCCCACCACACCAGACGATCTCGCATCAAGAAGACGGCGGTGACAACGAAGACCGGTGCTGCTATAGCCCAGAAATAGGTCTCGCCATGATGGATAGCAGGAAATTCTGTCAGATTCATACCAAAGTAACCCGTGAGGAAAGTCAGAGGTAAGAAGATGATAGTCACGATAGTGAGCTGTTTCATCGACTCGTTCTGGAACGCTGAAATGGTGTTGAAGATTAGATCGATCATGTTGTCGCAAGACCTTCGCATCTGATCAAGAGAATCTGTGATCAAGACAATGTGGTCCTCGACGTCACCGAGGTATGTTTGTGCCATAGGACTGATCTTTACAGCCGTGGAGGAGTTTTTGTTATCGCGGCCACCAACGCCTGCAATGAGCGCAGGACTCTTGTGGTCTTGAAGAGCGTTGATGAGATTATGGATTGGGCTGACGAAGTTTCGCATCGATGTGATCTCACTTGTTACGATGTACAGGCTGGTACATTGTTTTATGCTTGGGTTCGTCAAGACATCAAGCTCTAGATCGCCAATGACATCTTGATATGCGGTGGCTGCTGGAATTGCAAGATCGATAGTCGCATCGATGATAGCTTGGACAAGCATGGAAGCATCGCAGGACCTCCTCAAAATAGTCTCGGGCGTACTGAGACGTTGAACCATGGGAATTTCGATATCGTCTGCAGACGACTCAAAGAATGAGATGACCGTATTGTCTGTTATGTGATCAGCAATTGTGTCAATATCCAGACAGCGAGTCAGTACATACCGGATGTAAGAAATATTGAGACCTGCTCAGCACTGATAGCCAGTCTCCTTCTTGTCAAGGGAGAGTGTCGTTCCATGTATTCCATTCGAGCTTTATTCGGTCCCCCATGGTATCGCTGTAATGTTCTTAACTTTTGTACTGGGGTATCATGCGTGCCATCCGTATGTCCGGATATGAAGTCGCTTGCGGGGTCATGTACACCAGCCACAATATCTGCTGTCCTCTGCTTCTCATCAAACTTTGCTTTCGATCCTGAGAACAGCTTGCGGAAGTATTTTGAAACTCTGCTGCGTGGAGCTTTCCGTGAACCGCCAATGCTATCCATCTCATCTCCTTCGGAGTCGCTATCTTCGTCTCGATGTAGGTGGACCAGTTTCTGAAGTGTGAATACCATGTAGGTATGATCGGTGTACCTTTTCTTGTAAGCGGAGATGAACTTCTGAAGAAACAATCCTTACCAATCAGCTTTTGTCCTATTGTTTGTGTTGACCATATCCTCAATAGCCAATTTGTGGAGCTTCTTGTACTTTCCCAAAGCTTGTATCACGTCCCAGCTCAAGCCGTTTACATTGATCCCTTACAACGGAATTAGCATAGGAAGAAAGAGAATTTGAGCAACGGGATTTGGTACATCTGCAAGAAATCCAGCTTTCCTGCGGCTTCTTCACGAAATCGATGATGCCGGCATTGTCGAATTCGTGCATCTGCATATCCTTCTCACTGAAATCCACCACCGTAATCTGGCACTCTTCATGGAGTGTGGGAGTCTGCGGTCTTCCGCCATTGGGTTTGCTCGGATCCAGACCAGGTTCTTGTCCTGGGGCCCAGCTCGGCCGTGTGGCAGCGATATCAACAGTCGAGAATGTCTTGGAAGTATTCGATCGCGTCTGCCGACGCTTTAGGATTGGAGAAACGCCTATCTTCTCGTCTGGTTCGGATCGTATAGAGAGTGGGCGGTGGTTCGGACTCTGGCCTGCAGTCGTTCCTGATGTACGTCCAGCTTCGAGGTCGAAGTTTACGTGAGTCGTCGGCGAAGACATTGCCGAGTGCGGCGTGAAGTCTCTGATATCTGCCATTGCGGCGTGGAATTGCTGAGACCTGGTCGACCTGGAGGTGGTTTGGAGGGTGCTGGAGATTTGATGTTTCAGAAATTGCTTTTGCAGGGAGGAGAAGAAACGAGAGGAAGATGACGTAGACGGATATCTCAAGACGTACATATTAACCGCATATGCATTGAAGATGTCAATCTATCAAGACTTTGCTGAAGGTGAAGAAAACATACTCGCAGTCGCAGACTCGAGATGCGCAAAAAGATAAGATGAAAACAAGCTTTCTTTCTTGATACTTAGAGTCTTGGCGTTGTGTCCCCGCAGCTAGTCCCAAAATAGCAAGCTTCCCCCTTTCCCCCTCGCTTCACGTGGAGCCTGAGGGAGTACAAGATCTAGTTCACTCCTCCAGCATTCTTTTATTTTGAATTGTTGTAAATGTGGAGTCCCGACCGCGTTTACTGTTCATCTTGAACTCGATCTTATCTGTCTTCGAGTCATCTGCAGCAATTTGTCTCGCTGTTCGTGGAGAACATGGGTCAACTCCTTTCATTCTCACGGGGTCGAGAAAAATCTGCATATAGATAGCCCAAAGGTCTCTGCAACGAATCGGAAAGTACCTGGTTCGACAAATCATCTTTATATGGAGCTTCGTCTCATTCTGGCCTCCTTGTAATCAATTCCTTACTATGCCTCGGTCCCTCTGAACCTTACAGACTCTTCGCCAAGGATCCACGTAATCCTTTTCAGAGCTATCGATCTCTCATACCGTTGTTTGTCCACTTCCCGAGGAAGGCAACTGGATTGGTGACTCGAAGCCGAGGGAAAGCTAATCCTTGTCGTATGATGTTGCCCCGCACTAAGAAAAGCTATATTTCAGCGGTGCTGGGGTATCTCAAAACGATCGTTGGTATCGTTAACGGCAGCGCCAACTGCATGCTGCAGGCTAGCACGGTAGTTCCGGCTAGTAGGGGCATATGCAATTGACATTGCATATACCTTCTTGTGGCACTTCAGCCCTCTCAACTCAGAGGTTCACGAGAAGCAATTCTTTCCTTCTAGCTTAGGCTCTTTCTATTTTAGCACATTTAATTAATATGAGCTCAGTATCGGATCCGTCTCTCGACGTCCTTCTTCATAGCGTTTCGTCGCAAACAAGTATCGGCCCTGCTCATATAGAAGACAAACACTCTAGACCTCAGCTACTGAAAGACCTTCGCAAATTAATTTCGGCTTTAGAGACGCCAGAATACCATGTGCAGCGAGTTGTATTTTTTGTAAGTATGGGCTCGGTGTACCATGGATTTCAAACGCTAATCAACCCCGAACAGCCATCGACCTACGCCTGTGCCCGGATAGCAATCGATCTCAAGCTGTTCAATATCATAGCGGATGCGTCAGGTGGCATTTCGTCCTCAGAGCTTGCTACCAAGACTGGAGCGGAGGAACAACTTATTGGTATTCGCAGAATCTCCGTCCCGTTGAGGACTTTCTGACAGGTTATCAGTCCGTGTACTTCGGGGCTTGACATATGCTGGTCTAGTCACAGAGGCAGGAGATCGTGTTTATGCAGCAAATGCGATCACCCAGCATCTGAAGACGCCATCCGTACAAGCAGGCATGATTCACTTGTGAGTTTTTTCGCCTCGATAGCTTTCAACCCGTTTTGATGTTGATTTCATAGCTATGACGCTGGTCTCAGAAGTCTAAGCACCATGCCAGAATACTTCCGAAAGAATGGCTTCAAACTGCCTTCAGATTCAGTATCCGGTCCGTTGCAATATGCGTTTCACACTCCTCTTGAGTCATATGCATATTGGAACACCATGCCGGAGTTCGCAGACAATTTCAATACGTTCATGGCCGGGAAACTAGGAGCGACAAAGACCGGCCAGTCATGGGAGAAGATGTATCCCGTCAAGTCAAACATTATTGATGCTTTCGATCAGAAAATCGGCGACACCATGTTTGTCGACATAGCAGGCGGTCGTGGACACGAAGTCGCCCAGCTTAAAATTGATTACCCCAATGCGCCCGGAAGATTCATTCTCCAAGACTTACCAGCAGTTATTGACGATGTCAAGGACTTACATTCTGGTATTGAGCGTATGAAGTTCAATTTCTTTGATCCTCAACCCATTCGTGGCAGTCGAGCCTACTTCATGGCAAACATCATGCACAATTGGACAGACGCAGACTGTCGAAAGATACTGCTCAATACAGCCAAAGTGATGGTCAAGGGATATTCGAAACTTCTGCTCAGCGATCATATCCTTCCCAGCACTGGATGTGGATTAGAGTCACTGGGGAGAGATATTGGGATGCTGTCACTGCATGGAGGTGTGGAGCGGTCAGAAAGTCAGTGGACTGCACTTCTCGAATCTGCGGGACTCAAGGTGGTTAAATTTTGGTACATGGATAAGGGAGAAGGTTTGGTCGAAGCTGAATTGCAAGACTAAAGGATGAGGTGAGCAAGAAGGGTCAAGAAGCTACAACAATTCCAAGAAAACCTCTGGTGTGTATTACGCTCATTATCTTTTTACTTAGAAGCCATCCCGAGACTGAAAGACTGTGAGATCTCTGGAGGATGAGTAAGCGCTACCGCATTTCTATCTTAATTGGGCATCGGTGGGAGTAAGCTCGCTCTGTCCATTTGTGAAATTCTTAGCCGGTTTTAGTATTCGAGAATACTAAAATGTCCCGTACCAATTCTAACATTACACACTAGTACATAGTCATCTTTTAATTAGATTCAAGTTCTGACTTATCAAGAACATATTCTACGTTCTTATTAAAAGAATTAAATATAAACTTGATTTGTTGTGCGCAATACTTTACATTTTGTAAAATTGGGCCCTGTCGCAAAATGGGCCACGAATTTCACCGATGGAGAGCTCGCTTCGCGATGTGGTGCGACCTCCATGCAATTCCCTTGTTCGTGCAGCGGGTATTGTCTCCGGCTCCAGCTTTTGCTCCTCTGAGATCCAAGCTCTCGGAAGACATCACTAACTAGTGTTAGCTCTGCATGGAGTACTCCACGATAGGGTCTGCCGATGAAGTTTGTACAGCGGGCCAGAGTACGGCTCCACATCGGTTGACTATTGATTGTCGATATTGCTGCAAGAGTCCTCGAAAGTGTACCGATCCCCGTGGAAATCAGCTCTTATCAGTGACAGCGGCCAGTAAATTTCGAGAACGAGCTAAAAATGATCTTTAGACTCACATTTTGAAAAGATAGCAGGGAGCACGAATTCTTATGGTCGCATGGGGAAGTGCTCTTCCGAAAAACTTAAACATTCATTGCGACTCGCTTCCAATGCCAAGTACATGCGTCGCCGAATCGCTCTGCGGCCATTCGTGGACCATATTAACTTTCTCGGGGCTGAACTTCTTTCGGTAATCTACGATGCACCTACTAGGTATTCATGTGACAGTGTAAGATGACAGATGCATACACGATTCGTACGTGGTCCAGACGACTGAATTGTCTTCTCCCCTCATATGGAATCTGCTTAGCAGTTGCGAAAGACAGGACTCCTAAATATTAAGTTGAAATGGCAGGCACATCGAACGAAAAGTGTGATCTTGACAGTACCACAAGTCCCGAGGCTCCAGTGCTTGCATCTTCAGATAGAGATGATAGAGGGGCCGTCGCACCACGCCAAAATAAAGACACAGAGAAGAACGCCAGCGCTGGAGGAACCTATTTCGTGAAAGAAACCACATCGGATGCTGACGATGGTCTCAAGCTCGCCAAAGACGGAGTCACGATCCTTATTCCTCAACCCTCGGACGATAATGAAGACCCTCTCAATTGGACATGGCTCAGAAAGCACAAAGTCTTGATATCTCTCTTGCTTCCGAGTCTTCTGACGGATTGGGGAATGACGTGGGGCACAACTCTTTTCCAAGCTCAAGCTGTGACGTGGGGTATGTCTGTACCTGATGTAGCAAGATCTGTCAGTGGAGGTATCTTCTTACAAGGCCCTGGAGGGGTCTTAGCTGTACCTTTCGTTCAGAGATATGGCCGGTAAGTAGCCAACGAATCTTCAAAGGCTGTCATCTGACGATTTGCCGTAGCCTCCCAGTACTGTTCTGGTCCCAAGTCTTGGGCTTCGTTATGGTCCTTATCGCGACATTCATGCCGAATTACGCGAGCTTCACGGCTTTCCGTACTCTTCAAGGCTTTGTTGCTACTTCACCTCAAGTCATCGGGCTCTCGGTTGTCCATGATATTTCTTCTTCCACGGTAAGCAAAGTATGGCGAATTGGAAAGCAGTCGCTCACTGTTCTAGAACGAGCCAGGAAGGTCAACATTTGGGCATTCACGTTTCTGCTTGGCCCTTTCCTCGGACCCTTCGTCTCGTCTTTCTTGTTGTCACGTATTTCGTGGCAGTTTGATATGGGTGTTCTAGCTATGTTCTACGGTGTATCAGCAATCCTTGTTGTGCTTTTGGGAGAGGAAACACTGTACGATCGAGACAAATCATGGAAGCCCACAGCGGGAGCATCGAAGATCTCAATCCTGGTCGGTATAGCTGGAGCCAAAGCAAAAGGACAAACCAGCTTAATGCTTGTATCGAAACAGCTTCTTGAGTTGTTGATCAAACCCCAGCTACTTCTCCCCAGTAGGCCGATTTCCACATCTTGAAAGTATTGCAGAGTTCTAACACGAAATCTTCAGCTCTTTATATCATGCTACTTTTCACATGGGCAATCGGTATCGTAACCACAGTAACCCAGTTCATCCGGCCTCCTCCGTATCTTCTCGACAACACGCAAGCATCTTTGTTTTACCTCGCTCCAATAGTTGGTGGTCTCGTAGGTGAGCTGTGGGGCCACTGGTTCAACGACTTTCTTTGCAATCGGTACATCAAAACCCACAATGGACAATACCAGCCGGAGAATCGACTTTGGGCAGTATGACCGGCCTGCGCTTTTGGTATCAGCGCAATGGTGCTGTATGGTCAGACATTACAGAAGCAGTTACCAGTGATAGGCCTTGCTGCAGCTTGGTCATTGATGGCATTCGCTCAAGTTGCGAGCACGACAGCCATCAGTGCTTACGCATTGGACGTCTTCCCACATCATGCTGCTTTGGCTAGCTCCTGGATCAACTTCTGGAGGACAACTGGTATGCCATCCCATCAGCATGAAAGTGGAAAGTAAATGCTGACCAACGGTGTAGGTGGATTCTGCGTCACTTACTTCCAGACTCAATGGGTAGCTAAATCGGGAGCTGCGACGACTTTTGGTATTCAGGCAGCCATCATTGCTTTTGGATTTATTTTTGTTATCATCACACAGGTCATGGGTGCCAGATGGAGGTTGAAATTTCCAGCTCCTTCGATCGCGGAAAATTGAGTGCCGTCACCTCAAATAGATGTCATTGGTATTTGAGCCCGAGGTTTTGGTTCAGACCAACTTCTCCGTTGCCAAGCTTGTGAGATGGTGGGGATGCGATCCTTTTCAATAACAAGCGATCCATCCTATCATTATGTGATAATCTGGTGTTTAATGTTCATGCGTACTCTTCGGAGAATGTTGGTCTTCCGAAGTACTGGTTCGCCTTCGTTGGATGCCCCAAAAGATGTTGGCAATCCTACTAATAAGCTGTCCTCTGCTTTGGGAATATATTGATTCACTTTTCGATCGCATTACATGACCAATTAGTACTAGATAATTGTGCTGAAAATAGACTGTGCTACATTTTACTGCTTGGAATGTAGCTGTCTCTGGCATGTGTGTGAACAAGTCCGGACTTATCCGGCACAAGCTTCCATGAAATCCATCTAGCCATGCTTATTCCTTTCATTTGTTTGTTGTCGACATCTTTCACGATTCAAATGTAGCTAATAAGATTGTGGCGTCGCATGGCGGGGTGTTGGATTCGCTTGTGGGAGCGAGAAATCTAACATCTTACTGTGTTTTCTATATGGAGGATGCAGCTTGCGACGCATGAGCGGGGCAATCCTTCTGTTGTCTTGGCTGAATGTCCAACACACCAGTAATGTTCTAACTCGTCATTGCAATAGCACGTTGCGAAATGTGGTGTGCAGCGAAAGGCCACTGCGAAGTTTAGAGCAGCTCTCTCGGGCAGTGCTCCAGGAGTCAGGCGGAATAATCAGATTCCAAATCAAAGTGGAGCTCATAGTGGAGCTATTCTGTCCAACACTCTCTTCTGGATGATTGTTGGTAATGCTTCATCGAGAAGTATATAAAGTATGGTCGAGAATCGAGTCCAAAAGACACTCTCATCAACTCGACACCTTCGCATCTCAACAATTTCTTCTCAATTTCCTTTGTCCATTTCATTTGTCTATTTCCTTATTTCCTGGGAACACTCTCTTGATCTTCCAAATCTGTACTCTTTGGTTTATTAATTGGTCTTTGTCAAAATGAAGTTCAACTGCAGCATCATTCTCAGTGCTCTTGCCTACACTGCTAGCGCATCTCCAATCATTTCTTTACGACAAGCTGAAACTGCTCAAGATTCCATTAACAAGTGGAATGGAGATATCACTGTATGTTTAAATTTCCGTCTCCCTCGTCTCATCAAGTGTTTGTAGGTTCCAAAGCTAATCATCACTTCAGATTGTCAACGAATTCCTGAATTCAGTCGGCTCCTCGTCCACCCCTTCAGCAGACGCAATGCCCGTTCTTGCTACAGCCCTCGACGAACCCGTGCAACTCATGTTCCTCACTAGCATGATCGCTTCCGATGCCACAGCGGCTATGTACGCTAGCAATACTTTAATACAGATGTTTGGCCAAGTACCCGAGGCATTAATGAACATCGTTGCTGCAAACAACGATCCCACTATTGTTGCAGCGAATGTCGCCACCATCAACAATGTCCGGTAAGCCAAAGTTTCGTTTCATGAGGACTATGAAAGCTGACAGGTTGTAGCTGCAACGTTGTACTGCCAAACATCGGTGTCCTCTGGGCTCAAGGTGGATTCCCAAATGCCGGCTCTATCACTGTACCTCTCGGTCCTGCAGTGTGCCCGAATCCTGGCCCGAACGGAGGTCCTTATCCAATGGTAGCTGCTTAGTTGGGATGACGTCGTGAAATGGATGTTATTTGAAGACCTGATCGAGAGCATCTAGAGTGTCAGTTGATGGGGAGATGAAAGGACTGGTTTAATGCATGGAAAGGCACTGGTTGGATTGATTGCTGGTAGATGACTTCTGTTAATATTCGATTATTCAAGCTTTGATTCTTCCGTTTACTCTACTGATCTTATGTTTTCTTTCTTCTTTGAGAACCGTGCAATACCATATGCGCAGTCTATCATTTTCATTATCTTAGCTCTATACCGAGCTGCTTATCCATACTTCGCTGTGATGTAGAATTTGCTCTATCTTTATCCGTTCCTATGGTATCCCATGCTCCATCTAACTCTTAATCTCCACAAGGGAATGGGAATGACAACCACCATAGCGTTCCCTTCAGCAGGCAATGTCAGGACATGCGTCGAAGATTATGGAAGCTCTCACGTGCGAATCAAATTCAGTCATTTCGTGCAATCGGAATCTACCAGGTTGCAAAATACAAATGCAATGCTTGCTCTATCTCTCCCACCATTCCATGAAGAGCGCTTCTCTTTTCCCTGTCAAAAAAGTGACTTTGGATTGCCAAGAGCAAATGAAAACCTAATTCTGCTTCCCCGCATACAGACTGGAACTGATCTACTTAATCTTACCCTTCCGGAAGCCGTGCGAGCCACTACTAGAAGACCTCACACAACAATCTACCCTCTTCCGAAACCTGTTCCAAAGCCTTCTCACCAAGTACCTCTCCCAATTTATCCTTGACACCCTTCACCATCTCTGCTCCACCACAAACGAAGATCCATGCCTTTTGCTTTATAATCCTCAACAGCAACATATGCTTCACGTCATCTGTTTCGAAAGTGTCTTGCACGCGAATCTTTGCCTCGTTGCTAGGAGTGTAATACAATTCAGAGAAGAGACCATAAGAAGAGAAACGTCGAAAAGTGGGCTCAAAGAGTTTTCTATCGTCTGGGACATCTGGTTTGTCAATAGTAGGCGAACGGAAACCTGCAAAGAGGGTTATGGATGAGTTCTCATCAAAGTTCGAACCTGAAGCGATGAGTTGTGTCAGGCGACGAGAGAGAAAAGAGAGGATCGGTGCCAAGCCAGTTCCAGTACCAATTAGGATTACATGTGTCGGTTTGAATCCAACGGGATCGAGATAGGGCGAGGGGAGTAGGGGCAAGACGAGAGTGTTGGGTGCCAATTTGTAGGAAATCTTGTCACCAGGACGGAGGGAAGAGATGCAAGTTGAACTGAATCGTCCTTCAGGAAGAACACGAACTAAGATTTCAGCCTGATTATTACCACCAATACGATTGATTGAAGTGCCTTCCAAATTCGAAGAGGCGAGGGAGTAGATGCGAGGCCGAAGTGTTGGCATGGAGAGAAGGATTCGATGACGAAGCTCGGCGCTGACACTAGGACCATGAAGTTGCTCAGAGAATGCTGACAAGACCTGAAGTACAGAAATATTTTCCACTTCAGGAAAACCGCCAGCCCACTTAAGTGTGGTGAAAGGTTCACAGAGATCGACATAGTCGCTTAGAAATGCTTGAGTTGAGACAATTCCCATCCATTTGTCGTCATTCGGAATTTGTCCTTCATACCTACGTAGGTCGATGACTGCATCGAGTGTTGGGAGATTCAATATCTCCATGACTTTCTGAACATTCTCGGTAGAGTTGCGCGGAAGGATGCGAATATGTCCCATGTCTTGACAATCATTTTCAGTGATCTCAATTGTCAACTTCAAGATTCCACCAACAATGTCGTCCATGGGCTCAAACGTGATAGCTCCCTCGCTGAAAGTCTTTAAAAGATCGCGATGACGAAGGTATGGATTGACTGAGAGGAGGGAATCGGCACCGTTATTCACAACCTCTCCTTTGCCATCGATCACACTGATGATGCTCTCCTTCCATTGCCTGAAAACCTTCAAAGGAGGATTCTCGACAGAAACGTCGCTTTCAATGAGCTTATGATTCAGTAAAGGTGCGACCAACTTCTCATGGTAAATTTCATCGATGATTTCTGCGGCGCCGTTGAAAGTCGAACGATAAGCATCGTCACCAAGACCAAAGATTGAATACTTCACTCCCTCCGGGAATTCTCCTGTGTCAAGCTTCTTCTTGAAGTTGAGGCTATTGGAGGGCAACTATCCTTGGCTAGTAGTAGCAACGATCGAGAGGAATGTGTCGTTCATGTGAATCTTGGTTGCGTCAAATGAGTTGAGGCAGCCATACTCGCCAATAACAGCTCCGGAGTTGGCTTTTAGGAACTTCTTGAGACGCTCTGCCAACTTGGAGGCAGTACCTCCTGTACCGGCAAAGTAAACATGAACCTTCGGATGCTGAACGGTGGATTGATCCTCGAGTTCAAGATTCTTCATGGCTATTGGCAGCTCCTTCGTACTAATGCCATGCCGTCTCTTCCAAGCTTTTACGGGGTCAAAATGATGCTTGGCGATCAACGGCTTGGGCTGGTAGTTTGGTGCTCCGCCTCGATGCCTAACGAACATGGGGACAAAAGTCCGTGCGTTCAGGCTGTAGAACCTCGAAATTAAAACTCTT